CACTACCCTTCCTCCTTTTTATTGATGATTTCGGAGCCCACCGCAACATGTTCAGGGCATTGAAGGGGATCTATCTCACACCTGCCGGCTTGTCCTATGCCGGGCGAAGACGCGTCTGGCAAACTCGTCTTACCGTAACGCTGGGTCCTCATGGGGCCTCCTTCTCAGGATGTTCTTGCCAATATTCCATACTGACCTTGAGACCGTGGCAAAAGGCTTTTACAGCACAATCCATGGGAAACAAGTGCTGTTTACTGCTCCGTCATGGCTCTTACTGGAGATATGCCACAGCAAGCTAAAAATAGTGGTATGCTCAGCTATAGTGCTGATATCGGATGTCGGACATAGCTACTGTCCACGCAGCAAACAGTATCAGTGGTCATATGATACTGTTTCCCATGGCCGATATCATTTCCAGCATCAGTATTACCGAACTGAGGGTGATCACAAGGCCACTGTTCCAGAACAGCAAAGATATTTTAATGCTGTAGGGATACAGTCCGTGCCTTCGCCAATCGAACGGATCATGCCAACTCTTGACATTGTTTTAGGCGTCCGTATGATGTACCGCACTCTGATTGGAAGGGGATCGGCTATCGTCTGCTGGAGTATATCCAGAAAATTCTTGTGCCTTCAGGGGTTTCCAACTTCGCTACAGCCTTGCAAAAAGTTGTTCGGCCGGCTCAATGGCCTCACTTTCCTCCTCTGAAACACCTAAAAACCTGGACATTGTCAGACCTTGGTCGAGGGATCATTCTCTTACCTATTATTCTTCGAGTATGTGCCCGCCCGACTGGTTTCACCCGAGATTCCTGCTGCGGATTAAAAATATTATACCACATCTCTTTCCAAATACCGAAAATGTGTCCTCGCCACAGATGTGGCTGGTCCGTGCTTGTGCAGAGATCGCATTGACAACCACCCTTATCTCAACCAGCCGCGCGTTGCCTCCTGCACTGGTAAATGCAAGGATTACTCACAGCCGCCGAATCTTTCAGCATTTGGTGGTTACAGCTTCAGCCATGACTGATTCAGAGCTACAGGCATTCAGCATCCATGGTCTGTATCTGTGGTATTCGCTGGCCAGTTACCTAGCTAACATGAAGCAGGAAAACTGCCACATGATTATAATAAGAAGCATAATAAAGATAAATGGTTTAAGTATCTTGGGGTGCCAGTTGTTCATGCTGGCTTTCATTTTCATACATTTGCTGCTGAGTATGGCCCGCTCATGAACTGTAATGTTCTAGCCGGTGAGTTGAAGCATAGGTAAGTACCTATTCTAAATTATAGCCAGCTGCTGATAGTATCACACTATATAAGAATATTCAAGAGATGGATAGATCGCGCCTCGCCGCCTCAGCTGATGACTTATCTCTTCCGGCTAGATCGGCTCCACCACTCTTTACGCCTGGGTCTTGCGGGTTCCTGGCGGGATGATCATCCAATTCTACTAGAGATTGTCCAGGATCTGTATATGTCCTGCCCACGTCTGATCCAGAAACATATTCTTGCAGATGAATTTATTACTGACCTGCAAGTTACAATGACACATCCGATTGAATGGCCTCATTCTTCGCTTTCTGAGCAGGATATACTGGACATGTTACCTTCAGCGTACCGGCAAGAATATTCAATCTCACTTCCTCGCCAGTATGATAAAACACAATTATCTTACTATTGTCAGATCAAATTCTGTTCCCGGTATGATTTCTTTATTTTTAAGGAGACAGCTGTGAAAGGCTTTCGCAGCTGATTTCTATATATCTTCTATTCCAAGATACTAACTGTGTTCTGTTCTCCAGTCATTCACAGACAATTACCACTGGAAATTTTATTAAATACCAGTCTTCAATAGCATATGTGAGTTGTGGTATAAAGCATTATACACAATCAGAATGCTTCTTCTTTCTTTTATTACAGCCTTGGGTACGGAACGGAAATACAGATAAGGCAACAACTCTTCCTTTCTATTGTTCTTCTAAGAGATGGGTATTGTCAGGATTACAAAGTAAAGTTGAGCCGGCATTTATGATCGATATAGATAATGTTTACAGACAGGTATCAGTTGATATTAATACTAGACAAGATCTAGTATACTGTTCATGGAATATTGATTTTATGTAAATAACAAATTATTATATTCTGGTCTTTTACTACTTTCGTATGATTATATATTACTTCTGAGAATATTTTGTATAAGAATCTTACTATTATTTAAGGAGTGTAACCAGATAATCTCTAGAAATTATGATTAATATTTGTTATATATCTATAAAATACCAGATAATGTCTAGAAATTATGATTAATATTTGTTATATATCTATAAAATACCAGATAATGTCTAGAAATTATGATTAATATTTGTTATATATCTATAAAATACAGTTTCTGTTCATAAGTAATAGATATCTTCCGTATCTAATCTATTTTATTACAGAACTATTCTTGTTAAATTATAATTACATAATAGTTTCTGAATCGTATTCAACTTTAACAACGTTTGTATGTAATTACCCGGTTTGGGTGAGGTTGTATCGTTAGTAATTATTATTATATGTAAATAATAATAAATAACTGTTTTGCAACTGTAAGCAACTGTAACACAACCTAGCTACAACCTAACTGTTACTGTAGGTAACAGTTTGACAACTATTATGAAATGGTCAGTGAGTGTGGCAAACTATTAAATATATATAAATAATAGTAAGCTACCATCTTTGACTTTTACTGAACTATGCTGTGACCCTCTCTACGCACGCCTCCGGGCCCCTATGCACCATCTCTTCCCCCCCCCCTCCAACAACCCCCCTCGGCCGTGGCGAAAAAGTCATGCCCGACTACCCCCGCCCCGACTTTCAACGTCCCGACCTCAACTGGACCTCCCTCGATGGCGCGTGGGATTTCCTCTTCGACGATGCCGACCACGGGCTGACGCAGGGCTGGCACCACCAGGGCCTCCCGGCCCAGACCGACACCCACCCGCGCGGCCGCATCCAGGTCCCCTATGCCTTCCAGACCCCGGCCTTGGGCATTGGTCTCCACGAGGCCCACGAGGTCCTGTGGTACGAGCGCCCGCTGACGGACATCCGCACCGCCGCCGAGCAGGCCCGCGGCCACCGGCTGGTCCTCCGCTTCGGGGCCGTGGACTACGAGTGCACCGTCTGGGTCGATGGCCAGCGCGTCGGGGGCCATCGCGGCGGCCACGTCCCCTTTGACCTCGACGTCTCTGATGCCTTTCGGTCCGAGGGACCCCCCGCCACGCGCCGGCTGACCCTCCGCGTGCGGGATTCCCCGTATGACCTCAGCCAGCCGCGGGGGAAGCAGTACTGGGGCCCCGTGCCCGACTCCATCTTCTACACCCCGACCAGTGGCATTTGGCAGTCCGTCTGGCTGGAGAGCCTCCCCCGCATGCGGCTCGGAGGAAGCAGCGAGGGCACCGTGTTGCGATCGGATGACATTGCCGGTGGCCACCTGCACGCCCGGGTCGCGGTGCTGGGGCGCCCGGCGGGCACCAAGCCCCAGGTGGAAGTGGAGGCCCGTCTCGGCGGCGTGCTGGTGAGTCGCGGCCGACAGCATCTGGTCTCCGACCGCGATTGGGCCAGTGTCGATGTGGACATGCGCGTCTCGGATCCCACGCCCCTGCAGGTCCGCGATGCGGCCTGGAAGGGTGGAGTCGCCCTCTGGGCCCCGGAACACCCCGTGCTGTATGACCTGACGCTGCGCCTGTGCGACGAGTCCGGGGGTCTCGTGGACACCGTCGAGAGTACCACGGGGATGCGCAGGATCTCCTGGACCCGTGGTGATGGCACCTTCCGCCTCAATGGCAAGCCGTGCTTTCAGACCCTGGTGTTGGATCAGGGATACTGGCCCGAGACCGGTCTCACGCCGCCGTCCCAGGCGGCCCTGCGCGCCGATATCGAGATGGCCCAGCGCATGGGCCTCAACGGCTGTCGGAAGCACCAGAAGGTGGAGGATCCGGTGTTCCACTACTGGGCCGACCGGCTGGGATTCCTGGTCTGGGGCGAGATCGCGAACGGCTACGCGTTTGGCGACGACTACATCGACCGCTTCAACAGCGAGTGGACGGAGGCGGTGCGGCGCGACCTCAACCACCCCTGCATCGTGGCCTGGACCCCGTTCAACGAGAGCTGGGGGTATCCGTCGCTGAAGGACAACGTCGACCAGCGCAACCACATCCGCGCCGTCTACTACCTGACCAAGACCCTCGATCCCACGCGTCCCATCAACGACAACTGCGGCTGGGAGCACGTCTGCACGGACCTGACCACCTACCATGACTATTCGGACTCGATCGAGCTGGCCTCCTCCTGTGCGGACCTGGAGCGCGGCATCCTGGGTAAGAAATCCGATCGCGACATGTTCGTCGGCCCGGTGGCGCAGGACGCGGGCAGCCGCCATGCCCCCGGCGCCCCGGTGATCTGTTCGGAATTTGGCGGGGTGAACATCGTCCCCGCCAAGGGCACCGCCGCGGGCGATCGGGACTGGGGCTACACGACCGCCAGTGACCCCGAGGACCTGCTGGCCCGGCTGGACAGGTTGGTCATGGGCATCGTTCAGGGCGGACACACCTGTGGGCTGGTGTATACCCAGCTGTAGGGACTTCTGGACCCGCCCCATGTGCCACCGTTACATTGCTAACCACGAAACCAGATGTGACATCGAACAAGAGGTGAACGGCTTGTATTCGTATGATCGAAAGGAAAAGGTCCCGGCGGATCGGGTCAAGGCCCTTATGGATGCGGCTCACCGATTCTATCATGAAAGGGTGGCCCCGAAGGAGGGTGCCGTGTGAATCAGAGGGATGGCTCGTGCCGGCTATGTATGCTAAGTGCTATGCATGCAAATTATGCAACGTGGCATAAACCCTCAAACACACGGTCCCATACATCCAAGGCTATTTCCTATGTACTATAGCGTAGGCAATGGCTGTCGTGGAGAGTGACATGAGGACTCCGATTGAGAATTGTTTTGACTTGCGTGTTTACATAACCATGATGTGGAGTCATGTCCTTGGAACCCAGGGTTTACTCGGTACCATACTGAATCAGATGGGAATGTATAGATTTCGTTACGAGCATTATTCAAAACACATTTTCCAGGGCTGGGTGAACTGGGTCGCAATGGGATATCAATAGCTGAAAGGGGAAAAAGAAGCAACAGCAGCGAATGTCCTAAACCAACCAGTCCACCCTGTCCTCGATCTCCTCCCGGTCGACATCGGTGCGGGACTCCGCCGCGTACCGCTCCAAAACAGAGCCCGCCCCCAGCCCTTCGACACCATCCTCGCTGCTCAGACTGGCCCTCTCAGCCCCGGCATAGTGATAGTATTTGCGCATCTCCCGCTCCATGGCCGCCGGGTCCACGGCCGACCTCCGGATATACGGCCCCGCGAGTTCGAAGGTATCATCCTCCGCCCGCGGGTCTGACATGAGACGGGGCCGGCCAAACCGCGCGGACGATGGCGTGGTGGGATGCTTACTGGGAGTGGAGGTATACTCCGATCGCTGGGAGGTGCCCCACAGGCGAGGCAGATACGTGCTCGCAATGGCTTTGAAGCAGGGGGCACAGGCGGCCACTACGGCGACATTCACCTCCATCGCGGAGCTGCAAAAGCCGATGGAGTAGCTGGCGTCGTGCACGGGGTGCGAGGGATAGAAGGCCTGGATGAGGAGCGCCAGGCGCCACACTCCGGCGCCCGTGGTACTGCTCAGAGTTTAGTATCTAGACCCGGCGTAGGGGCGAAAGGGGCATGCTGCGGCGGCTCACTCACATGCCGCCGAAAGAGAGGACGACGCAGATGGCAATCTTCCGCTTGACCGGCATTTGCAGGGACCGCATGATGAGGACTGGGATAGACATGACCATGAGATCCGTGACCAGGTTCGTCACCGCGGAAGCCACGTAGAAGGCCCCTTGATTGATGCAGGTGCCGCTCGGGATGGACATGTCGTACACGTATGCGACGGGGTGACACTGGAAGACATCGGCTCCGATGACGGCGAGAAACAGGGCGATGGTCACGGCGATGGTGAACCAGATGAGCCGATTCACCACGACCGACTGGGATTCAAGGCGACGCAGGAACAGGAGCACGGAGAGCTTGATCATGGTCAGGCAGGGGTTGTAGACCAGCTGGTTTGCGTAGTTCCACTAGGTTTGTCCGGGTGAGGCAGGGATCGAGACACAGATTCGACAGGGTCAGGGCCATACAATTAGTCCTTGTTTCTCGTCGTAATCCGCGGGGATGTCCCAGGTGTGGATGCCGATGTAGTTGACTTTGATGTCTAGGCGAGTGAGCGCGGGGGGTCTGGTCCAGGGCGACAAGCAACGGAGACATACAATACCAGGAGGTCACCGATTGGGCTACTGCCAGGGTCTCCCGACGTCAGTCCGACCCTTGATCGATCAGGGAAAGGGCGCATACATATCCGATGACGATGCAGATGTCGTCTGCGGGGGCGGGTGTCAGTTGGGGCTTTTCTTGTGACCATAGAGCACATACCACTCCCCAGCTTCGAGCCCGTGAGACTCCGGCTCCAGGCCCGCATCAGGATGGCCACCCCGGCCAGCACGGGGAAGACAACCACCAGGGCCAGGGCGGTGTTCTGACGACTGTCATGGACCATGGTATGGTGCGCAAATCGACCGAGGTCCAGCAGGAGGAGCTGTCATATATACGGCGTAGTAAATCATGTATCTGCTGAGCAGGGTAATAATGCACCCCCCACTCGCCCCCCTCTCCTGCGACGCGTCCCCAGGGCTCTAATTTAAGCGACCCGCCTCAGGCGATGGCCGGAGGGAAGCTTCCAGGCGAGGGACGGAGACTCCGTGCTGCACCGGCGGAGGACCGAGTGGGAATAATTATCTAAGATAACCTCTGTGCTGCAAGGTGGGCAGCAAGTGTTTTGAGGGTGCGCCCCGTCTGATCCCTGCGGGGTCGGCACGAAATCATTAGTTGACCCCTTCATGTGTCTGAACTCTGACTCTGGCTAGGCACGGGCCGGGGGGTGTCCCTTTAGCACCCCCCCCCCCCCTCTTCACAGGCTCCGACTGCCTTTCTCTCGGGCTCTCTTCTGATCTTCTGCTCTGCACGCCGTTCCTGTTGCTCTGATCGGCTCGGCCATCTCACATGCGATCCTGCACCGGATCACGAATCATCTCACTGCGTGGGACGGTGGGAGGAAAGGCAATGAACGGGCCAGTCGAGGGCCTGCCTCCGGAGCGCCAGCCTTCGCGGGCTGGCTAGTGGCACGCTACCTGCAACCGTGCTGACGAGAGGCCCAATGGGGGGGAGACAGCCTGGTGGAGCGGTGGGTCGCCCCGACGGCCTCATCTCCGACAAACCGGCCGGCCAGAGCGGACCCCCGGTCGTTGTAGCTTGCCATTCCCCGATCCCTGGGCCTGCATCTGCTGCTCGGGCTGTGGCTGGACGGGGAGGGTAAATAGAACGCCTTCCGTCATCTGGGCAGGACCTATAACTATAGGGAGTAGGACGACTGGACTGATCTGGACTCTCGACCCCGTTGAGAGTGGATGGAGAATATATCTAGAGACCCGAGCGGCCAGCCCTGCCCGCAAGTGGATCGTCTGCGATGTGGACCCTTCAAACCCACTCCCGGAGGACACAATTCAATCTCAACCCGTCCCTTTGCCCTGTTTAAATCTCTGGCCTCCCGCACCCATCCCTCTGTCCCGCTACCCTCGAGTGTCGATCGCCGTCCACGGTGCTTTTCCGTTCGTGACTGACTATGACTCTCTCAACCCCGTTGGCCGTTGCCCTGCTGGCCTTGTGGACGGCCTCACCGGCCACCGCGACGGCTGTGTCTGCGGCTGCATCCGCGTCTGCGTCGGTCACCATCCCCGTGGCTGCGACTGCCGTGGCTGCGACCAACCCCATCGCCAACGCTCCGTTCTTCCCCAGCGAGACGCTGCAGCTGACGGACGGGGTCCTCGCCCGGGTGCAGGCCGCCCTGGGATCCGAGGCGGCGGCTCTGTTTGATTTTGGGAGCAGCACGAACGCCTCCAGCCTGTCGCTCCCCCGTCCAGGGACCTGCAAGCTGCTGCCCGACGACGCCGCGTGGCCAGCTCCATCGACCTGGTCCGTGTTCGATCAGCTGCTTGGCGGTGCCCTGATCAAGACCGTCCCGCTGGCCGCGTCCTGCTCGCCCTCGTGGCCGCAGTACAACCAGACGGCCTGCGACGCGGTGTCAGATGAGTGGACCGTTTCCTATCTCCAGTGAGCCCTGCCTGCCGCTCCCTCGGGCCTCAGCTGCCGCCGCACGGAACTGACCTGCCATGCCATGGCGATAGTGCCGCCGATCCCGCCTCCGTGATGTGGCCGCTGTTTGAGGGCCGCAGCTGCCTGCCCCCGACCTGGCGTCCGGGTCGTCGTGCACCCTGGGCGGCTACAGCAGCTACGCGGTCAACGTGAGCACCGTCGCGCAGGTGCAGCTGGCCGTCAACTTCGCGCGCAACGCGGGACTGCGCCTGGTGGCCAAGAACACCGGCCACGACTTCAACGGCAAGTCCACCGGCGCGGGGGCGCTGGGGGTGTGGACCCACCACCTCAAGGAGCTCGCCTACTATGAGCACTACCGCCTCGGCAACTACAGCGGCCCGGCGGTCAAGATGGGCGCCGGCATCCAAGCGTTCGAGATCTACGAGAAGGCCAACGCGTTGGGCGTGACTGCGGTGGGGGGCGAGGGCAAGACCGTCGGGGTGGCCGGGGGGTACGTCCTCGGGGGCGGCCACTCGCCCCTGTCGAGCCGCTACGGGCTGGCGGCCGACCAGGTGCTGGCGCTCGAGGTCGTCCTGGCGGACGGTCGCTTCGTGACGGTCACGGAGCAGTCGGACCCCGACCTCTTCTGGGCGCTGCGTGGCGGCGGAGGGGGTAAGTTGGCCCGACCCTAGGGTTTATGTTTTATGTTTTATGTTGTAGGGTGTAGGGTTTAGGGTTTCTGCGTTTCTGGAGGAGAGATCTTGACTGACCCGCCGCTGTGCGCAGGGACCTACGGCATTGTGACCTCCCTCATCTCGCGCGTCTACCCCAAGTTGCCGGTGACCGTCTCGACCTTCTCGTTCACCACCGGGGCCAACGTGTCCGTCGACACCTTCTGGGCCGGGGTGCGCGCGTACATGCAGCGCTTCCCCGTCAACGCGGACGCCGGCACGTACGCCTACTTCTGGGTCATGTCGACGGGCCCCGACGCCTTCGAGTTCCTGATGAACCCCTTCTTCGCCGTCAACCACACCGTCGCCGAGTTCGACGCCCTGATGCGCCCGTGGTTCGCCGAGCTGGACCAGCTGGGCATCGGCTACCAGCCCAACACCACGTACTACGACAACTTCTACGCCGCCTGGGACGCCGGCTTCCCGCTGGAGACGGTCGGCACGGTGACCATGATGACCGGCTCGCGCCTCTTCCCGCGCGCCAACTTCGAGGATGCCGCCCGCTTCAACCAGACCTTCGCCGCGCTGCGGGCCACCGTCTCGGCCGGATACCCCCTGCTGGCCTTCAACCTGAAGGCCGACCTGCCGACCGGGTATGCGGACAACGCGGCCAACCCGGCCTTCCGCCAGACCCTCATGCACGCCATCACCTCGACCAGCTGGACGAGCAACGCCTCCCGCCCCGCCATCCGCCAGCAGATGGACCACTTCACGGACGTCGTGCTGGGCGAGTGGCGGCGCACCTGCCCCGAGGCGGGCGCCTACATGTCCGAGGCCGACGTGCTGGAGCCCCACTTCCAGCAGGCCTTCTACGGATCCAACTACCCCCGGCTGTACGCCCTGAAGCAGCGGTACGACCCCACGGGGCTGTTCTTTGCCCCGACGGGCGTGAGCAGTGAGAACTGGCACGTCCAGAGCCTGGACGGCTTGCCCGATCAGAATGGGCGCCTCTGTCGCGTGTAGTCATCGACATCCGCTTATGTATGTATATTCTTTGTATCACAATTGAACAGTATGCGTGTCCCACCATGGATGATGGTACTTATTTTTCACACGTATCTTACCTGGGTGATATCTCTCTCCGTAGAGGCATGTCCCAGGAGACCTCGGGCCGTACGTGGAACAGTCATTTCGTCGGGGACGGAAAGCTCATCGCCCAGGGCTCGTAATCCTCCGCCATGAAGACCTCCTGCAAGGCCCGCCGACGGACCCCGACATTTCCCCCGTCGAAGATGGGCAGTGCCAGCGCCGTGGACAGGAACCGCCCGAACGGCCTCTCCGCATTGTATGCCGATCTAGGGCCCCGTTAGCGACCATCGTAGGGCAATCGAGAGGGAGGCAACCTACACGCCGACGGCATTGATCGCCCCGAGGCACGACTGCACCGAGGCATCGGAGGAGTAGATCTTGGCCAGCAAGGCGGGCTCCCGGCGTTGGTCGTGGTCGCCCTCCCGGGAGAGCAAGCAGTGGGCCGCCTTCCACGTCAGGTACCGCGAGGTCTCCGTCCGCATCTTGATGTCGATGAGCAGGTCTGCCACGGACTGGCGGTGCCCGATGGGAACGGTGCCCCCGCGGGGGTCGCGCGAAAAGGCCAGGGCCGCGTCGAACACGGCGCGTTGGATGCCCACCCCCATCGCCCCGACCAGCATGGCTGGACCGCGGTCAGTGGATCCGGCCCTCTGGGGTTGGGAAACGTACCGGAGATGTCGAAGGATTGGGTCACGACTTCTGCGCCCGTGCCAGGCGCACACAGCACATTCTGCGTCGGGACCCGCAGGTTGGTGTACTGGACCGGGTGAGCGGGACCGAGCGATAAATTGATTGAACGGACAGGAATACCACCGACCTTGAGGTGGGGACCAGACACGGCGATGTGGCCGGCGGTCTCGATGTGTTTCAGCACTTCAAAGCATCCAGGGTCGTTCCGCCGGATGTCCTCCCGGGTGACCAGCAGCACCATGATGAGGTCGCGGGGATGGGAGGCGCGGGCCACGGCATCCTCCTCCACACAGCGACACACCACGCAACTCAGATCGGCACCCTGGAAGTCCCACCCGGCCGAGTTGGTGGCCCACATCTAGATACCACGGTCAGATCCGTGGCGAGGGGGAGGGAGGGGAGTTGTCCGCACTTTCTCGCCGTTGAGCACCCACTCATCGCCATCCTGATGGGCGGTCGTCTGCAGCCCGGGGGCTCCCGGCTCGAGCCAGTTGGCCTAACAGGCCGGGATATCAGCGGTTGACGGTGGGACGGGGGGGGGGGGTCAATGGAAGGCAGCAGACAGGGATAGAGACCTACCACGCCATTCGGCTCGGAAAAGACCAGCGAGGCCAGCGGCGACCCCCGACCGGTGAGGAAGGGGGCGAGAAAGTCACGGACGGTGGGCTGATATGCCAGGGCCAGGGGGGTCAGCCCCAGCCCCGTCCCGAAGATCGTCAGGGACGCGGAGGCCTCGACGGCGTAGAACTCCTCCACCAGGAGGGACGACTCGACCAGGCTGAAGCTGGTGCCCCCGACGGCCGCGGGCACCTGCGCCCGGATCAGGCCCGCCTGCACCGCCGCCTCGTAGATGGGCTGCAGCGACTGGAAGCGGGCCTCCGGGGTGGGCAGTCGGGCGTACTGCGCGGCGGCATCGGCCAGGTAGGCGGCGGCAAAGCTGCGTGCCGCGGCCTGGGTCTTCTGTTCGGCGGAGGAGAGGGTGAGATCGACCATGTTGGAAGGGGGAATGGGATGATCGGTGAGGAATGTTGGGACCGCAGACGATGAGGGACGAGGCTGGCTATTTAACGCGGATGGGCCTCGAGCCCCTCCTTGCAGGAGCCACCAGGATCCTTTTTCCGGGGTCGTACAGGGTCGCTCGCATGCGGTTTTCTTACATTCACCGCAGCGAAGATTCACCATCGGGGGTCCACTCGGACAGGTGGCCTTTTTGTTGTCCCCAATCAAGCGGACTCGACCCTACGCAAAGACGCGGGGGCGCAAACGAACCCATGAACCCCAAACTACAACACCGGCTAACGATAAAAAAAAAAAAAACATCAAAAAACGAAGCGGCCCTCTGTATAATCCAGGGCCGGGGATCACTCTCAAAATGTCTGAAATGACCCAACCACGTCTCACTCGCGGATGCCATGACCCCACTCGCACCGAGCCGATCACACGAACCCCCTTCCACAGAGATGGTCGGGCGCAACACCGACCGACGAAGCTCATCTTTTCACATCATATAAACCAGAGATCAACCCCCCCCCCATGGTGCGATCTTCACGACTCGACCTCCTCGCACGCGCCCGTGATATCGCAGGCGATCTTTTCGGCCAGAGCATCTGAGAAGAAACGGGTCAGCAGGGGGTGGAGAGACGGAGAGACTGGGTGAGGACAAAAGAGAAGACGTACAGACGGTGGCCTGCGGGTGGCCCGGGGGCAGCAGAGGGAAGATGGAGGCGTCCACCACCCGCAAGCCCTGGACGCCGAACACGCGGCCCTGGCCATCCACCACGGCCATCGGGTCCTCGGCCGGGCCCATGGCACACGTGCAGGAGGCGTGCCACACGGTGGAAAAGTCCTGGCGGATCACCGCCTCGATCTGGGCATCCGTCTGGACGGCGGGCCCCGGAAAGGCCTCGTCCCCGATCACCAAGGGCTGCATCGCCCGGGTCTGCCAGAACTGGCGCGCCCGCTTGAGCCCGGCGATGGCGACCTCGATGTCGACCGGGTCGGTGAGCCAGTTGGGGTTGATCAGCGGAGCGACCGCCGTGTCCGCGGAGGCGATCGTGAGGTTGCCGCGGGAGCGCGGCGCGGCGAGGGCCACGGCCAGCGCGGCGTAGTTGAAGCCGTCGTGGGGATCTGCCAGCACCTGCATCGCCCCGAGATAGCCGTTGACCGCGATGTACTCCACCTCCGGCCAGTCCGCCGGGTACTGCGCCAGCGTCGCCTGCGTGCCAGTCGAGAATCCGCCGCGCAGGGCCGCGGGGACCTTCTCCCACCCCAGCACGTCCGTCGACGGGTTCGTGTACATGCCGGCGGCCTCCTCGTGGAACTCCCGCGCCGCCTCGGCCGCAAAGTCAGGGTCTCCCAGGGCCGACGTGGTGGGCGCGTTGACGCGGTGCGACACCCCCAGGTACACATGGTCCTGCATGTTCTGGCCCACCCCCGGCCGATCGGCCACCACCCGGATCCCCAGCGCCTCGAGATCCTCGGCCGGACCCACCCCGGAGGCCAGGAGCAGCTGCGGGGAGCCGAAGACCCCCCCCGACAGGATGATCTCCCGGCTCGCGTTGAGCTGGTAGCTGAGGCCCGCCGTCTCGACGACCACCGCCGTGGCCTGGGCGCTCGCGTCGAACAGGATCTTCTTCGCCATGGTGGAGTGGTAGACGGAGTAATTCGGATAGGACAACGCCTGGCGGAGGAAGGAGGTCTCGGAGGAGTCGCGCACCATCGTGGTGGCGTTGATGGTGAACAGCGCGTACGCCTGGCCCAGCAGGGAGCCGTCCGCGAAGCCCGGGATCCTCGACATCCCGAGCGACTCCAGGCCCTTCACAGCCCAGGTTGCGAAGGCATGCGCGTAGTGCGGGAAGGTGACCGACAGCGGGCCCGAGCCGTTGCCCAGGTGGGTAGGGTCATAGTCCGGGGTCGCGTTGGCAAACCGGAGCCCCATGTCGGGGGGGGTGAAGCGGAGGCTTTTCTCGAAAAAGGGCAGCAGGTTGTCGAAGGTATAGCTGGCATCCCCGACGGCGTCCGCCCACTGCTGGTAGGCCGACCGCGTCCCGCGCTGGTAGAGCATGTAGTTGCGCGCAGAGCTGCCCCCGAGGGTCTTCCCTCGCGCGTAGTGGATCTCCGCCCCGTACGAACCCTATATTGATTGTCTCGCGTCAGAGCCTAGCCTAGCCTAGCCCAGCCCACGGGGAAGAGACCACCCACCGCTTGCGGGGTCGTGCTATACCCCCAGTCAATCAACGGCTGCCAGTCGGTCTGGGACCGGCCGATGTATCTGGCATCGTCGGCAGGCACCTGGCTGAGATTGCCGTTGTCCATCTCATAGAACCCCCCGGCCTCGATGACGGCGACCCTCCCGGCCTGTTGCTCGACCAGCCGCGTGGCCAAGGTCAGTCCCGCGGTCCCTCCCCCGACGACGATGTAGTCGAACGTGGCATTCACCCCGGGGACCCCGAAGGAGGATCCCAGCAAGGGCGGTGGTTCGACTGCCTGAACACCGGCGGCCGCTGCGACAGCCCACCATTTCCACCAACTCCTCATCCGATCCAGCCGCATCGTGGAAGACGGGGAAGTGCTGTCAAGGGGAACAATCTGGCGGGAAATAGGAAACTGGAATGGACGTGACAGCGACCGGAGCCGGTCTTATGCGACTTACATTCCCACCTAGAGACCGGGGGGCCTCGAACTCAGCCCGGGAATGTGACGCACCTATTGGACACGACAGCCATTCCAGTCGGCCATTCTCTCTCAGTAACGTTCCGAATCGGATGGGAGTATCCATCGTCGGCGGCGTCAATACCGGACCGGGGTTGGATGAGAAGGCTTCTGCAGCCCCGGGCCCCTAGTGGTCACTAGACCCTCGATGTATTGCTGTCGGCGTCGCGTGCAGACCTGATCGGTCACATCCAAGCACGTCCAGCGTCTGACGATTGGCCGCCCTGCATCATATTGACCCCGGTCCTCGGGTTCCAGGGCCCCGGCACTGCTTACGGAGTCAATCTTGGATGCAGTGCAGACCACCGCTCCGCCTATTTGAGGCGGAAACCCTCGACCTGGACCCCTGCTTTCCTTGGCGGCAGCAGGGCCAGTCAGGACATGAGACGTCACGCGAACACCTCGCTCAAGTTGATCGTTTTCACTGGATGGGCAGAGGCGGTGGGCTATTCTTTCTCCGCTAGCAGAGTCCGAATGAGTAAAGGTTGGACCAGAAGGGAAATAGCGTACGTTGGGATTATCCCATCATCCCCGACGTTGACGAGCAATCTTCCAAATGGGCAACTATCAAACAGACCACGGCATCTGCCCAGCTAGAAGATTGTCAGTGAAATCCTTCAGTCTAGCATTATGCGTCCATTTGATGAGAGGAACCGGTGGCGATGATGGGCGACAGTCCAAACCCTACATGGATCAATCAGGATGGCCCGGACTTGGCCTTGCGGGTCCTGGAACCTTCTACCGCTCGTTCCCGGTCCGGTTAACTCGATTACCAGCCCGAGGACAACCCTGAAAAAAAAAAGAAAAAGAAAAGAAAAAGAAAATACGAGACAAGTAAAGACCCATTAATTCATACCTGATCAGTGACCAAAATAAAAAGTGCTATAAACAGTGTGTGTGGCGCACACAAAGGAGAAAGGGTTGGAACCAGGTGTCCGCCGAGACTACCTTGCCACGGCATATTTCATCCACAGCTGATCCTGCAGAAGCCGGTCCAGACAGCCCCCATCCACCCCGAGCAACACCTCCAGCCCCCCCTCCGGTGGCACAGGCAGGACAAGTTGCGTTCCGTTGAGAAGCCCGCAATGCGGCAACCGGACGGCGTCGATCCGGTGGCCCAGCGACGCCCCCCAGTCCAGCTCGTACAGCTGGAAGTTGATCCACGAGGTCAGCACGCAGTTGAACCCCGGCACGTCCAGGAACGCCGTCGGGACCAGCCGGTTGACATCCTCGAGCCGGTCCGCCAGGGTGACCACGTCGTCGGTGAAGTGTCGGTCTGCGCGGCGGACTTGTCTGCGGATACGGATGGCCAGATCGGCCAGGGTGGCGGACCCGACGATCTCCCGGATCGGGGCCGACACGGCCAGATACTCCAGGAAGCAGCCCAGCGTCTCCGGGTGCACGGGGGGGTCGGTGCGGAGGCGGCCGTCGATCGCGATATTGAAGACCGAGACCGGATCGCCCTCGAGCGTCGCCAGGGGCCACTGCACCGCCATCACCGTGCGCCAGAGGAGGGCCGCCAGCGCGTCGTTGGTGGAGATCCAGGGCTGGTCGCTCGCCTCCCTCGCATGCACGGGGGAGGCGTCCGCCTTGAGCGCCTGCAGGGCGGCCGGGGAGAAGTAGAACACCTGCCCGCGGTGGGTCCTGTCGAGCATCTTGGGGGGGCGCCGGGCGGGGTGAAGGGCAGCAGGCTGTACTCGCGGTGGTCCTCCAGCAGGCCCGCGCTGCGCCCCGACGGCTGCATGATCCGCTCCCGATCCCCCAGCATCGCGTCGGGGAGCTCGATCGGGGTCGCAATCTCCAGCCCTTGGGCACGGCGGCACTCCTCTGCCCAGATCTTCATCCAGGTATGGTACGAGGTGCCGTCGCCCACCATGTGAAAGGTGCACCAATTCAGCAGGAGTCCGCCCGGGATGAAGTTGGCCTGGACGAGGGAGACAGGCAGCCGCTCACCGGCGGACGGCCATTGGGAACGCCGGCATAGCGTCTCTGCGTCCAGGCTGGCGACGGGGAAGTGCTGCGATTGCAGCTTCGCGTACGTCGTCGGGAATGCGCCCGGGGCGCGGAGATCCTGCACGACCACGTCCTCGATCTCGCCATCCTCCAGCCGCCGCAGCTTCAGCACGCCCGCCTGCGTCGCCTCCTGGTCAGGCACTGCCTCACAGCCGACAACGGCGAGGCGCTGCTTGGTAGCCGCATAGCTGGCTCGCAGCACTCGGGTCACTTCCTCCAGATCGTAGCCCTCGGCGAGCGGGAAGGGGAAGATATACCGTACATAGCCTTTGGGCCCGATGCGTTCCAGGGGGGTGAGCGTGGGGACCTCACAGAAGTCGGTGATGTAGGAACCCATGCTGTGGATGGTGGCCTCTGGGGCTGTGTCTGTGTGGGAAATGGAATGGGGAGGGAAGAATGCCCCCTTGACCATGGCGTGACCAAGTTCCCCTTATTTAGGGCCGGCCGTGGGGATATTGCGGCGCTGCACACTAAGAACCAGGATGAGAATCCTGGCCTGCTGCCTGCTGCCTGCTGCCTGCTAGGGATAATACCAAAGTCGCGTTTCTGTCTTGGTCCCGCTGTCACCTGTCACCAGTGACCCACTGCTGTCCGACTGGGCCATCAACATAGATAGCCGGTGTCCTCCGATTCTGGTCCGTGAGAGACGGACGGGGCGAGCGGGCGAATGGGGATGGAGCCATCCCCGGCCGGCGTCCGCACTACGCGACTTAGCAACTGCCCCTTCCAGTCCCGGAGCGAGCATCTGTCAGTGTCGGGTCCAGGGTTTATCTATTGGGGGGGCTGTCAGGAGTCGCGGCACAGATCCTTCCCTTCCGGTGCGATTGGATCCACCCGCGTGCCGTGGCGCGGATGTTCTTTTCTTTGTTCTGTACACTCCCTACAAGGATGCGCAATCGTCCGTCTCATTTTAGTATCCCCGGGGTCAACGCCCTGACCCTGTTCACAGAAAAGGAGACTGGCGCTCCAGGACCCAATATATACAGAGAGCCCTCTCACGGCGCCGCAGCTGACAGCACTGTTTCCACCGTTTCACTCCTCTGCCATTGCCGTATTGTCACCCTGCTCACTTGATTTGCCAGTTGAGTATGACAGTGGATCCGGCCATTGTCGCCGTCTTTGGGCAACCGCCCGCCGGCATCGATCTGGCCGATAGTCGAGTGGCCCAGGATAACCGGGCGGTCATTGCATTGATCTGTCTCTGCGTGATCACTGTCATCCTACGGTTCGTTGCGCGTCTTGGCCTGAGAAACCCCCTGATGCTGGACGACTGGCTCATCGTGGCTGCACTGGTAAGGTACAACTGCGGGAACACCGATGCTTACATCGCTGACGAGGATTCCATGCCAGGTGTTTGTCTGTGCCACGGCCGGCCTGAGTATGGCAGGTAGGTGGCTCCCTCGCCCAACAGTGTGTCGCGCGGTGCATTGGACTAAAGACGACTGTCCAGGGGGTGCCTTCGGTGCCGGACGACACGTCTGGGCGATCACACTGCCGGAGCTGACGCAAATCTTCAAGGTTGGCGCTCCCCACGGCCATTAATTCTCTCTGCTTACAACGCGGTGTCAGATTCTTTTTGCGTATACGTTCGTGTATGCCGCCAGCTGCTCGACCTGCAAGCTCTCCATCCTCTTCTTCTACCGCCGGGTGTTTGTGACGTCGCACCAGGACCTGTCGCTCCGAGTGTCGCTCCTGGTGGGATTCGGCCTCACGCTGTCATACCCGATCATCGTGTGGGTGACCATGGGCAACTGCTGCCGGCCGGTGTCCTACTTCTGGAACGAGTTCAGCGGCGCCACCGGCACTTGTATCGACACCGACACGTTCTTCCTGGCAGCTGGCGTCGTCAATATGGTCAACGACATTGTAGTCTTGTTGATTCCGTTCCCGCGCATTGCGAAGCTACAGATGCACTTCCGGAAGAAGGTGGCCATCTGCGCCATCCTCGCATTGGGCAGCTTGTGAATGACCCTGCTGTTCTCTTGCAGATGGAAAGCTGACCCGACCCCCTGCAGTGTTTGTGTTGCCAGCGCCGTGCGCATCTATGTCCTCTACCAGTTCATCCAGGGTGTCGACGTGACCTGGATGATGGGTCCGGTCTTCATCTGGTCCAGCATTGAGCCCGCGGTCGCGATTGTCTGCGCATGTCTGCCACATATGGCCCCACTGGCTCGGGCCGCGCACATCAGGTTCCTGTCTAGTCGGGACAGTAAGAGTGGGAGACCGTCGTATCCCAGCATGCCGTGGCGATCCGGGTCAGAGGCCGACGCGCATCCCCTGCCCGACCGTTGCTCCCGATTCAACAAGGGACGACTACCGTCATGCAGGCCCGAGGATGAAATCGGACTCACCAGCCAGGTAGCCGGTCATCTACCACCTGCGTCTGTCGCATCTTCCTCGAAGGACCATTTCCCCGGTCACTCCATTGTCGTTCACTCGACTGTGGAGCAGACGGTCTCTGATCGATGACCTCCGGGGATCACAGCAGGTAGTCATCGCGAGAGATGATTGGTGGGGGGGGGAGAAGACAGAGGGAAAAGACAGAGGGAAAAGAGGGGCAAGATGGTCTATGTCACGCTTAGGTTTGTTTAGCATCGTGTTACCCCCACACCCAAGGCATCTACATAATAAGCCATCCGGGGGAACATACACCAGCTGCGTCGCAAACAGCGCGAAACCCGTCACAACGCCGTTGATGGTGGTGGCCCGGGCATACGGCAGCACCCCTATGGCGTTACCATCGTCCAGGCGGATATACAGTGATCCCGCCTTGGGTGCTGTGCTATTCACAAATGTTCTATTCACAATCCAGCACTCGTCAGTGATCGAAGGGAGGTCCCAGGACATCGGGGCGAGGTTGGCGTCCGTGTCATCCGGATTCTCGGCCACGTAGAGCAGTCCTGACGCAGGATGGTTAGTTGGAGAGGCAATCGCCAGGGGAGAGACTCGCGGGTTCGTACCGTCGCTCAGTCCATACGCAATAAACCAGGCTGAAGCGTTGGCCCCGTACGCATACAGGGTCGCATTCTGCTCCGATCCGCGCTTCGCGTGATTTTCCAACGCGGCGCCCAAGCCAGCCTGTAGTGGCAAGCAGAGGGTAGAAAAGACACGCCCACTGCATGATGGGGTTGATGGAATGATGGATCGCTTCTTGGGAGCTCCCATCGGCGGCGGAGGGGTTTATTTCAGGGCTGTTGCTACCACGCTTTCCCCGATGATTATTCTCACATCCCGTCTCCTGGTCTCTGCAGCCGAGACATCGATCAACGGTGGTTCCCTTGCATACGTACGTGGTCCCCATGCAGCCATCTTGACGCGTACGCTTGGCTCCATCTACACGGGCAAGAATCGGGTCCTCACGGCGTGGTTGATTGTGGCTTCAAGGCCCTGAAATCTTGTCCGCTGCCATGCGAAGCTCAAGATAGCCCGTCGTCCGCGGCCAATGGAGACCTCCAGCGACGGGCTGGGGTGAGGGAGGATGACGCCTCCGAGCGCGCGAGCCGTGGTGACGCCGCGCATCCTTGCCGCGTGAGGGCTTGCATCTCCACCCGCAACGAATCTGCTGTCTTGCACGGCCTTACTAGAGACGTCTGAATTTAGAACAGGGTCTTACATTCGAAGCACTCGTGCACTTGACAGGGAGCCTGTTCGACACCTTCACCCTCTGGTCTTGGTGCTTACCACCCGGACTCGCCAGTAATTCCAGCGTCTTTTCCCCCTGCAATCCAACCCGCGCTCTTTTCATCACGACCGGACTTTGACTTCTCTCATGATACAGCCTGCGCGGGAGGTTTATACGCGAGCAAACCTAGATACGCATCACGGGGTATGATGGGTCTAATTGACCGGCAACGGCAGTGCATGCTGGTGCCCAGGAATTGACGTGCGTGTCATCGGTGGACCCTCGACGGCACTCTGGCTCTGGCCTATGCGTGCAAAGGTGATGACCCGAGATAGATGGCACCAAGCCTTGAGGGATCGTCCGTGGGGCTGTCAGCCCCGGGTTGGTAGCTCTCCGCGACACAGAGATCCATGAGGGAGCATGTCCTGTCGAGGGTTTTTCAATAGAGGGCCTTGCTGAGTTGTAACCTGCCATATGCGACCTAAAAGCCGAATCAGCCAGTAGGACAGGGCTGGCTTTTGGTATCTGGTGATTGCGATCAAGACAGACAACCCGGGGGTAAGTGGACGGAGCCTGAATCCGATGGGACATACTGACCGATGTTGATACAGGCCTGGCTCATGCACTGCCATATTGCGTGACAACCCTCGGAGGGCTTCGCGGTGCAGCTGCTGGAGCATACCTCGGAGATCACTTTCGACTACGAGACGCTGAACGGCACCTGCGCGAGTTGGAAAAACTACATCGCGGCGCAGGATGTGACGCAACATGATTCGGGTGTGCAGTCAAAATGTTCCACAACAATCTTACAATCACCTTGCTCGACAGATGAGAACATACTATTGGAACCTCATACTTTCGCGAGGTGCTGGTTGTAATATTCCTAGCAGCGGGCATTGCGTACGGCCCCCGAAATGAGATGCGCCCCCCGTAATACCATACCGAACGTTACACATGTGTGACCAAACGGGGGTGACTGTGTAATACCAGGCCGATACCATCCAGGCAGCGACCAACAACACCTCAGGATATATCAACCCTACCGCCCCAACGGCTCCCCAGCCAGAGGTCTGGTCACACCGGACACTCATGCCCCCCAGTCACTACCAGCTGAGTCCCCGCTCGTCGGTGGACTCCGTCGCGCTGCTGTCCGATCCCGACACGGAGGACCTTGTGCTACCCCGGAGGAAATCTGCCTGGGGGATGCTGCGGCCGTCCAGCTGGAGCTACTCGCGCCTGGCCACCCGCAAGCCAACTTTCCATGGCCTCCGGCGCGGTCCCCCGCGCCCACTCGCGCGTCTCGTCCGCATCGCCCTGGGGATCCTGGTGGCCCTCGTCGTGCTGACCGGGGCCTTCTGGCCCTCGTATACGCATCTCCCGCCGCACTACCAGGCCCTCCGCCGCGCCGCCGCCCAGCCCGACGTCCACGGCCCCGGCAACCCTCACGACGAGAAGATCTTTATTGCCGCCATTCTCTACGACCGCGCAGGCACCCTGGCTGGGGGGCGGTGGGGGGATGCCCTCCACCAGCTGATCCACCTGCTGGGTCCGGACAATGTGTTCCTCAGTATCTACGAGAATGACAGTGGCGAGAAGGGGGCGCACGCGCTCCGCGACCTGGAGGACAGAGTGGCCTGCAACAGGTCCATCCGCAGTGAGCAGCACCTGGACCTCCACTCCTTTCCGAGCGTGACTGTCCCGGGGGGCGCCTCGCGCGTCAAGCGGACCGACTACCTGGCGGAACTGCGGAATCGCGCCCTGCGCCCCTTGGATGACCACCCCGAGATGCGGTATGACCGAATCCTATACCTCAACGATGTGGTCTTCGATCCGCTCGACGTCCTTCACCTCCTCTTCTCCACCAACATCAACCGCGCCGGCCGGGCGCAGTACCGGGCCGCCTGTGCCGTCGACTTTACCAACGCGTTCAAGTTCTACGACACCTACGCCACCCGCGATCTGGACGGATATGGCATCGGGCTCCAGTTCTTCCCCTGGTTCACCACGGCGGGCCACGGCCTCTCCCGGCAGGACGTCCTGGCCGGGAAGGACGCCGTCCGAGTGCGCAGCTGCTGGGGGGGGATGGTCGCGTTCGACGCGAGGCCCTTCCAACGCCCCGAGAGCCCCGTGCGGTTCCGCGCGGATGCCGACCTGTTCTTCGACGGGTCCGAATGCTGCATCATCCACGCCGACATCCAGGATCCCCCCTCCCGCCAGGCGATCGCGATCGCCGAACCCGCCGACACCGGCATCTACATGAACCCGTTTGTCCGGGTCGCGTACGAGGAGCGGAGCTTTGCCTGGCTGGGGGTCACCCGTCGCTTTGAGCGACTCTACCCCATCGCTCACTCCATCGCCAGCCATCTGGCGGGCTTCCCGCGGTACAATCCCCGTCGGGATGAGATCCCCGGCCAGGTGGTCACGGAGACGCTGTGGGTCCCGGACGAGAAGGACGAACGGGGAGGGTCGTTCAAAACAGTGGATCGTGTAGCCGACAACGATGGCTTCTGCACGGACGGGTTTGGAGGGTACCGTGGCCTGCAGGTGATCGTCGAGGATCGCAAGCCTGGCGAGGATGGATGGGAGGAGATCGCCTTTCCCACCGCGTAGCATGTAATTTCAATTGTACGACTGGTGTTTCCATGTGAAACGAGCGTTGGAGATGTGGTTTCTCATACTATGATACATGGAAATAATAGATATTTTCTGTTTTTTGATTGCGCAATGCTACCTGTGGTGTGGCACCTTGGACCAGTGTCGGCATCGACCAAACATCGTCCGACAGAACTTGCCATACTCCACCCGCAGGTCGAAGGCTCGCCAGGAGCCCTGCGCCCGATGGAGCAGACGAGCGGACGGATCCGAGATGGGCTTGGACCCCATGTTGCCGTACCCACGTCGACCGGGACTGCATCATCAGCACGGGAAAATTGGGTTGAACCCCCCCCCCCGGGGGGTGGGGAGTTAAACGTACCTGAAGCCGGTGATGGGGAGGATCAGCACGTCGTCGACCAACTTACTCGTCCCATTGTCATGCAACCCAGACAGCGCGGTCCATCGGAGGTCCGCTGTGGTTTCCAGCCAGCTCTGCGTCGCTTGGGTGATGGCACCCGGGCCCGTGAGGGCAATCGGATCGAGCGATCGCAGCGCTTGTCGAGCTGACATGGTTTGTAACCCCCCGTTCTGGTCCATGATGGTCCGCAATTGTGCCGTCAGGCGATCCACGAAGGTCTGCAGGATGGGATGGCCGGGCGCCCAAGCGAAGGCCCATTGGGTCAGTTGAAGGGGATGCAGGTAGCCCATCCGCCAGTAGTCGTCGCTATTCGACGGGCAGTCTGCTTCCACCCCTAGGATGGCATTGACTGGACCGGGGGAGTTATACATCTTGCCCGCCTCTGGATCCTGCCATGGGAGGAGGTCGGAGTGGGAGATCCAGTCTGCCGGTGACCGCAGGGGTTCCGTGTCCATATCGGCATACTGAGATCGTCAGTGACGATGTGAAGATGGGAGTCCGATGTACCTACCACACCCCCGATCCATTTTGACACCAACACGCGGAAGACGTCTGCACGCTCGACTGGACTCAAGGCAAAGAACTGTTCCTCCAGCTCGGATTCAAACCGTTGGATGAACTGAGCGACCCCGTCGTCGTCCCACAGGATGTAGGCCGCCTTGCCATCGATCATGCGCAGCCACCTCTCGGTGCTGTGGCGGATGGGGCGGGGCCAGGTGTCAATGCGCGTGTTCTTCCAGGTCTGGTGGACGATCAAGGGGATGGAGGAGTGGGGGATTTGGCGTTCCACGGATGACCTGGCGGCGCGGAGGGCGAGTTGTGCGGCGTCGACGATGCCCCCGGGGTGGTGATCTGTGTCCGAGAGCCAGTCTCGGGGAATATACCACGCTGGAAGGGTCAGCAACCGCAAACACACGTGAGGGGATGAAGGGATGGTTCCACTTACCTCCTCCCAGGGCACTATTCGTGTGTACATAGCGGAATAGCAGCGGATGGTGACGCTCCAGCAGGGACACCTCGTCGCCGAGGGTATCGGAGCGGTAGAAGAGCCAAGTAAAGCACACCACCATGGCAATGGCCAGCAGCAGGGGGCGTCGACAAAGGCCACGCCAGATCATTGTTCCGGTGGGATGTGGGATGTGGGATTGGGTGTCCAAGCCGATTCGGATTCGGGGGGGGAACAGACATGGTTATGTCCCGCAAACGCTATCTATGTATGTACGTCTTTAAGACGATCCCGTGTGTGTTCCCGTGAAGTGTAACCTTCCCAAACGCCTTCGAAATACGGCTGCCTAACCGTTGGCCCCAGGGTCCATTGTGGTGGTGGCAGAGTGACTGTCGCTGGCCGATTCCTGAATTCCACCTGGTGCCAAAACGGGCATGACGAGGGTCGTAGGGGCTGTCTGTCCGGGCAAAGGCGGGGCCGTGCATTGGGATTGAGGCTGTAAACCAGTGAAAGATCCTCTCCGAGGATGTCCGACAACACCCCCACAAGGCATCAGGGAGGAAATAATGGAAGGATTCATGGAGATGAGGGTTGGTGGGGCGCGGACCACCGCAGGGACTGTCTAGAATCAGGGCCCCCACAGGCCGATACGCGCCCATACTCAGTGACAACTGACAAGCCCTACAGGGGCCGTACAGGCTCGTACGCTCGTCCAGGCGTACAGGGGTCACCAATGACGGGCACAGGGCCGACCACGTTCCGCCCGCGGTGATTATTCGTCCAAGATGGGGATGGTGGAGATCGTCCTCGCTAGGGGCCGCTAGCCCTAGTTGGGCTGTCTATAGGATATGATAACGCGATCATAGTTCAAAGTTATTGACTGCTCAACTCGTGATTAGTCTTCAGAATGAACACGCCATCTTGACCCTCACTGCAGGATTCCACTCAGGAAACCAGTAGCATATATTAGAGGAACAAACTATAGGACCCTACGCTCTCCAGGTGGACAGTGAAAATTTGGAGCCTACAGGATGAGACACCCCCCACTCTTGCTCAATAAGGCTAGTCCTCCCAATAGAGAGAGCACATCCAGCGGGTCATACCATTATAGCATCTCATCGAACTATGTGGAGCGAAGGAGCGAGGCTCAACTCTCTGATTTGTGGCCCAGTGTGTTAATATGGATACGGAGTATGCCACTCACTATATATAGGAGTCGGAGGCTGAAAATGACGAAGAGGAAGAATGCTGCTACCTGCCTGCGGTTACCTGATCGGCAGCATGATCCGACTGATAGGCTTCAACATGAACTTTGGCACATGTCATTCTCCGATGATCAAAATACTATTTTCCTTCTTGTGTACTCCGTACATAAAATTCAACTTGCCTCCGCGTATATATTCCGGCGCGTACACGTTCCAGCCTCTACGTGTAGCCATTTCAATCCGTGTATGGCGGATTCAACCTGCCTCTATGTATAAAATCATCATCTTCATGTAGTAATTTTGACTTGTTGTACTCCGTAGCTAGTTTGTTCTGCCTGTGTGTGATGCGTTCAATCTACCTACGCTGCTTGTAACCTGTGTACCGCTTGTGATTTAGGATACGCCCTACCGGCGTATATCTGATTCTGGGAGGGGGTAAAAAAACAGAAAGCGGTGACAGATGGGGTAAAAAGATTTAAGAAAATCAGGTTAGTTACTCACTGTTCTAGTGGGCATGCAGTTAGACCCCTTTCCGCCCCCTGTAACCTCTGTTTCGTCCGTTTTTGTTGGTTTTTGTCTGTCAGGGTCCAGCCCGATCAGCCCTAGCCGCGGTGGGTCGAAGCTTAGTACGCTTGGCTGTGCCGCCCTCTGCGACTTCACCACCGCGACTCTGCTGAGGGGGGAGGGGGAGGGTATTTGAAGCAGGCCATCTCCCTGGTGGATGTCCAGCTTTCTTGGAATCCATCTGCCACATCTTGTCGTGCGTGGAACCGCAATAGCGGGGGTGGTTGTGGTCGGCGATGTTCCCGTGTCTGCGTTCGTGTTTAGGGTTGTCGTCGGTACAATTACAGCTCAGCCTTCCCCCACCAGCCATCCTGCCCCAACAGGGCCAGAACTCTCAATCGGAATCCGCTCGGTTTGCTGGTCGGAATGAATACTCGGAACTGGAGAATTGAGCAGCCTGGTCTGGTGGGAGCAGTCCAGGACCTGTGAGACATGGCTGTATTACCGAAACATGCCCGCCTCCCTGTACGGCCACTGTATGCGACCCGTATGGCGTATATGGGTAATCCATCCTCGTCTGCCTAATGCCCAATTCACCATCGGGGGTGTTTGCGGACCCTGAATGGCCGCCCTCATATACCATCATGAGCCTCAATCCTCTCGCCAGGCCCCATCTCCTCTGGGGCGTGCACACATGCGACCCCCGCCATGGCTCAGGCGCGAGTCCGACTGCTGCTGCTGGTGACACTGGGATGTCTCTTGGCCGGCCTCTTCTCCCCCCTCCTTTGGAAACTATACCTTCTCCTCCGTCTGCCATTCGTGTGGAAAGCCTCATCAGTAGACGCCGTCATCTCTCTTCAGCGTGATGGCTTCGACCTCACATTCGCGGCGTACGAAAGCAACTACACTGTCACAGACCCCCTCATTCCCGCGAGACTCCATCATGTCCATCTAGGGGGGCAACTGCCGCGAGCAGAGTGGAGCGCCGCTCGTGAGGAATGCATCAAGCGGCATCCCAACTGGGAGGTATTCCTGTGGGATGACCGCAATGCCAGCCACTTCGTGCAGAATCGTTATCCGCATATCCTGACCATGTGGGAGGGCTACCCGTATCTGGTCCAGCGAGTGGATGCCTTACGCTATATGATCTTGCACACTTATGGAGGTACTTCCCACCGAGCACCCTGCCCAGGGAATCCCAGACGGGCTGACCGTTATGCTATGAACCCAGGTGCGATACTGGACTTCGACCTCGCATGCAAGCGCTCCATGGAGCCCCTGCGCCAATTCGAATTCGTCGCACCGGCGGCCAATCCCGTCGGAATCTCCATCGGCATGATGCTGGCGTCTCCGAATAGTAGCTACGTGGGCGATCTGGTTCGGAACCTGCCGCGCTATAATCTGCGATGGTCGTTCCTGCCCTACATCACCGTCATGTTCAGTACCGGCTGCCACTATGCGTCGTGTGTACCCTCCCTATCTCACCCTCTTCTATCATTCCGTCGTAGCAGCATTCACCTAACAAGTAGTAATCTTTGGACATAGAACGATCTACACCCTCCAAGCCAATACCTCCCCCCTCCGCATCCTCGCTGGACCACCGTCCATCCCGAAACTGCACATGCTCAACGGCTACGTCGACACCCCGCTCTTCCGCCACTTGGGAAGTTCTTCTTGGCATCAGCAAGACGCGCGGCTGATCAAGGCCTTTGCCAATGTTGATCAGCGAATATCGTTTGCGGTGATATTGGTCGTTGTGGTGGGGACATGCTGGTCAGGGGTGTTGTGTGTGTCGCGGGTGCGGCGATGCCACCAGGGACGGGAATCGTGGGTCTCGCTGCAGGAGGGGACGGATGCGTGGAAGCGTGTATGATTTTTTTTTGTCTTGTAATTATTGGCCTTTGTAGCGAGCTGTACTCTACTTTGGAGATTGTTGTTGATTCTTGTCTTAATTTCAGGGATTTATCTTTTGCTTTTTGTGGGTTGTTTGCGTCGATATATAAAGTCTAGTGTTGTGTGATGCAGGCTACCTGCCCATCAGGACAACATTTGCCGAGGTCACAGTTATCACGCAACATTTACACCATTTTGAAATGGCATAATTCCTCAGAAACGTGGAACATTACTCATAATACTCAAGCTAATCGATACAGGTCATTAAACCACATGTACCGACTGACGACCAAGTACAACACCCGATCCCACGAGAACTGCGTGACATGCTGACCGAACGCCCCCCGGGCCACCCAATAGGTCTCCCATGAGCTGACCAGCAGCGCCTTGTCGCCGTAGAAATCGGGCCCTGTGGCGACATGTTCGGGTGGGGAGGTGAATAAGGCCTTCAAAATTCGCCAGGAAAATGGGATCGAGGTAAGGATCAGATCCACCAGCGAGGAGTACTTGCGCAGAAGAAAGGTGCTCATAAGGGCGTATACGGGAGGTGGGTTGGCGTAAGTCTCGGTGTATCTTCTGGAAATGGTTAGCTTCTATATGGTGTGTTGGGGGTGTGTGAAGGCGGACAACATACAAGACTCCCGCACTGACAGCGCGGTGGTTGATGTGGCCTGATACTCCGCCATTGTCGAAGGTGAATATCTATATACGATCAGCAGTATTCGCATAAACCATGTCGAGAGGGAAGATACATACCAGATCGACCTTCCACATCTCGACGTAATGCGCGACAATATCCTGGATGACATCGTCTCGCCACCACTTCTTCGGGTTGTCCTGCAGGGCACCGTGCTCGAGCACCACGCATCTGGCGGCGGGGATGCCGAGCTTCTCGCAGCTGTGTTCAATCTCTCCTCGCCTGATGTCGCCCTGGCCATGGTAGTCCCCTGGGTGCATCAGTACTCATCAGATACCGTTCAAGCCATGCAGTCAAGACCATTAGGGAAGTGGGGGGCATACCAGTCGACAGCACCAACAAAGCACGTGTGACGTCGGGATTGTCCCGACCATACAGGATGGTGGGACTAAAGAACAGGGTCTCGTCATCGGGATGGGCGGTGACCAGCAGGATGTTTCGTGCGCGCTGGATGGTGGCCGGGACCAGACGGGGATCGTTCGCCAGGTAGTAGGCGAGCAATAGATAGAGGAAGAGACTGGCGGAGAACAGGATGAGGGCGGAATATGCGAGGACCCATCGCCAGTCTCGGCGACGAGTCTGGCGTGCCAGACGCTTGAGGAGACGGATCGGGACTACCATCGGGGCGGGGGATACTTTGGAGGGATGGGGGAGCGTCTGTGGGCGTCTCTCAAACATCTTGCGGGAGGAAGTGTGGTGTGGGTGTAAGTGAGGTGTAAAAGATGTGAGGATGGAGGAGGCCGACGATCTACAGTACTCCGCGGGGGATACGCGATACAGAATACCTGACAGGATACGGTATTCTTACAGTGACCGTCAATACAGAACGGTAGGTATGGTAATCTTACACGGTGCCCCGGACGGGCAGCGACTTTCCTGAATGAAGGCAACAAATGAATCTGACATCTGGCGACACCTGCTAGGCAGCAACCCATTGCCCCCGTCACATTGGCCGGCGCGAGTAACTATATTCCCCTGCGTCGATGCGTGATTTACCTGGCCAATCTGCGTGGCTCTTGCTCCGTGTCATCGCCGGTGGCCGAAACTCGCGGCGGGGTCCATTGCTTCGACGATGCTTAATTGTCTTCACCGCGGGTTGACTTGGTTGGTCCCTGGTTCTAGATCGCTCCAAACGGGGCGAAGCTTGTCTGGATGCTGCCCGTGGTTCGATCGGTTAAAGTTGCGCGGCACAGGGTTGAACCAGTGAGAACTGGGAACTGAGAATCCAGAAGACCCTGGGTTAAAAATAGGTGCAGCCCTTACCTGCTGCCTGGAGTCTGGACAATGGAAACTGCGTGGTTTCTGTGCGGCTGGATGCATCGCAGCCAACTCCTCGATTTGCGGCTGCCTGACAGGTGAAGGAAGCCGTTCGTCAGATGGCACGCGGGCCAATGCTGAGGGGATCAGGGTCCAAACTGAAATTGCGCTATCAAGGCCTGGTTTTTTTCCGTCCGCATGACAGGGTTCCCGTTTCATTATGAAAAGGGGTGTGCTTGAAGTTATTGTTTGGGGGCTGCCCACTCTATGGTCCACTTCCACCCTTAGGGCTGCCAACTGGCTCTCCAACAGACCGTCCAACAGATCCTGTCAATGTACTCCGTAATCGATTCGGTGTAATCGATGCCGGCAGGAATATGTTCGGTCGTGTCGGGATTTCTGTCCAGGTGAATTGCACCTTCAACGGGCCCCCCTACTTGCCCACCGGAGTGTATGCATGCTGACATGGTAGCAGAAACAGTGCGGAGATACACCATTCTGGAGCCGGGGAAATCGACGTGTCCTGGTCGATCGATGTCTCGAGTCTGGAGATGCGATATGCAACACCACAGCCATCGCTGGTCACAAAACCACTATCCCAAATGACAACTTGACAACTGTTCACATCTTTGGTCACGCTTCACTCGTTTGTTGCGACCGTCAATACCACCCCGAATGAGTGGAGGGCATCGATGTGTCGCATGCATGTATGCAGCTCCTGCTTGCGAAGGGAAGGGTTGTGTGACCTGCAGGGTTGCCGAGGCAATCGCGAGATCGGCAGTCGTCCAGCATCCCAGCCTCAACTCCTCAATCCAAACATTCCTGGTCGAGTCAAGTAGGAACTCCATCTCAATCTCCATCTCCATCTCCGCCCCCACGGGACAATGCTCGCCAAGCTGGGAATCTCCCTTCTGGCCTTGGTGGCCCCCTTCACCCACGGCACCTACCAGCGCACCTACTTCTACGTGGGCGGCAACTACACCCTCGACGGCAACGGCGAACACATCCACTCTGGCCAGATCTACGTCGAGAAGCTGACCCCCGCCCGAGTCACCCAGCCCCACCCCATCGTCTTCATCCATGGCCAGGCGCAGACCGGCACGGTATTTGAATCCCCCTAGACTTGTCTATAGCGTGGATGGTGGTATGCTGACCCCGCCAGAACTGGCTTGACAAGCCCGACGGCCAACCCGGATGGGCCTCCTACTTCCTCGACCAGGGATATGAATGCTACCTGCTCGACCAGCCCTTCCGCGCCCGCAGCCCCTGGCAGTCCTTCAACGGCGCGCTCGAGACCTACTCCGCCGAACATCTCCAGAGATACTTCACCGCGACGCAGCGATACAATCTGTGGCCGCAGGCATCGCTGCACACCCAATGGCCCGGGTCCGGGGTGATGCACGATCCCATCTTCGACGCATACTACACCAGCACGGTCCCCTTCGTTGGCAACGATACCGTCCAGGAGGTCGCCATGCAGGAGGCCGGCGTGGCCCTGCTCGATAAGATCGGGAAGCCGGTCTTCCTCCTCGGCCACTCGCAGGGGGGCATGATGACGTGGGCGGTGGCCGACCAGCGGCCCGACCTGGTACACACGATAATCGCCATCGAGCCGAAGGGCCCTCCCTTCGTGGAAGCTATGTGGGGGGGTGGTCCGGCCCGGAAATATGGGCTGACGGACATCCCGATCACGTATGCGCCGGCGGTGACGGATCCGGAGACGGAGCTGATCAAGACCACCGTCCCGTCCAACTCGTCGGACCGCTTCGACTGCGTCGTCCAGGCGGACGATCCCCCGCCGCGGCAGCTGGCAAGCTTGAGCCAAATCCCAGTCTTGCTGGTCACTGCGGAGGCATCGTATTTCGCGCAGTATGACTGGTGCATCGCGGGGTTCTTGCGGCAGGCCGGCGTGCAGACGGAGCACATCCAGCTGGCGGAGGTCGGGATCCACGGCAATGGCCATATGATGTTTCTCGAGAAGAACAGCGACGGCATCGCGGCGTTTCTCCATGGGCGGATGGAGGCATACACCCAGATCAGATCGGATCTGTAGACATGGTAGTGGATTGGTTGGCGATGGTTTCCGCTGGATGGTGAGATTCTCGAGATGGGCCGATAGATTGTGCATAATAATTGTTACGTTGTAAAAGAACTATAATGTTTGGGTTGACCTTGATAGCTGTGGAGTGGTAGACTCGATTGTATGTGGAGGGGATGCGCCGAGCCTGAGTACTCCCACACATCGACTTCCTTTTCACGCTCATGGGTAAGTAAGGTCTATCATCTGGATATGCACAAGCAAGCACTTTCCAGGGGACATCTCGAGTACTCATGATGAACGGTGGAGATCAAGCGCACGGTCCCACTCATCCAACTTCCACGAGATTCAAAACAGAGACCCCATGGTTGTCCTATGAGAGAAAATCATGCAGGGCACACTTCGGTTCCGGCGGATGGACGAGGCCGGGACATCGTCATACGGTTAAAAATAATAAAAATGGATCAACATCGGGCGATCAGCCGATGCCATCTCCACTCGGGCCCGGACGACCTCCGACTTGCGCCATGTTGGGCTTCCGCCGGAACCGGTCCAGCAGGATGGCTGGCCTCAGGGTGGCATGGTCTGCCACTCACGGCTATTAATACAGCTGTCCATTCGGGTTCGCTTGTCCACCTTCTCACCTCACTACCACAGCCATAATGTCTGCCACCGATACTACTACTCCGGTGAGTGATCATCTTGGGTGCAATCGGCACCACTCGAAGCCGGCCGGGTATTGATGATGTGCAGCAGGTGAACGAGGCTGCTGTGCTCCAACCGGGCGGCTCCTTCTACTATGAAAACCGGGAAGTCCCGACGATCCAATCCGACAGAGATGTCATCGTAAAGGTGATCGCCACGGGTCTCTGTGGCTCGGATGTGAGTATTGACTCCCGTCGTGATACCCTCACCCAGCTGATCCGGACTACAAGGTCCACTACTGGCAACATGGCCGCATTGGGAGATACGTCGTGGAGAAACCGCTCATCCTCGGCCATGAGTCCACCGGAATCGTCGTCTCGTGTGGCCCGAATGTCCAGGGGCTGGCCGCTGGAGATCGTGTCGCCATGGAACCGGGCGCCGCCTGCAACAGCTGCGACTTTTGCCGCAGTGGCCGCTACAACCTGTGTCGCTCGATGAGCTTTGCCGCCACTCCCCCGATCGACGGAACTCTCTGCACCTACTACCGCGTGCCGGCCGAGTGTTGCTTCAAGCTGCCGGACCATATCTCTCTACGCGATGGAGCGTTGGTGGAGCCCCTGAGCGTCGCCGTCCATGCATGCCGGCTCGCCGGGGACCTGCAGAACCGCAAGGCGATCGTCTTCGGGGCAGGCCCTGTGGGGTTGCTGTGCTGCGCGGTCGCCCGAGCCTTGGGAGCCGCCACTGTCGTCATCGTGGATATCGTAACCAGTCGCCTCGAAGTGGCCACGAAGCATGGGGCAACTCACACCTACCAAATGTCCTCAGAGTCTCCAGAGGAGAACGCGAAGGCACTCCTCGAGGTAGCGGGACTGGGAGATGGCGCCGATGTCGTGCTGGATGCCACAGGAGCGGAGCCCTGTGTCAACTGTGGCCTGCACGCAGTCGGACCAGGAGGAACTTTCGTCCAAGTGGGGTTGGGCCGCCCAAACGTCTCCATCCCGCTTGGTCAAGTCTGCGACAAAGAGGTCATCGTGAAGGGCAGCTTCCGATACGGCCCGGGGGACTTCAGCCTCGCCGTGGGATTGCTGCAGGCCAACCGGGTCAACCTCGAAGGTCTGGTCACGAACGAATACTCTTTCTCGCAGGTCGAGGAGGCCTTCAAAAATGTAGCCAACCGGGTCGGGATCAAGAGCGTCATCTATGGACCGGGGGTGGACGCAGCGACGGCCAATAGCATCTAGTACAGTCTACACGAATCGAATGATATCCCTCTTCGCCGGGCCTGTGCCGCATTAAAGCCCATCCCATGCCGTGTCCCATAGCCAGTACAATCCATTTTCAACGTTGCCGTCGTGGCCACTTGGCACGAAACCTGCGGAGCCGTTGGGGCCAGGCCAGGCATTTTCCGGCGGCAGCGGCCAACAATCTGGCAAGGGACTCGTCTCATGCTGACGGGGAGCGTCTCCGGGAACCGGTAGATAGAGGGTGCAGTCATCACCTGGTACCATGACTACCGCAGCAAATTAATATTGGTCGGATGGACGGAATAAGAACTTACCATGCTGCACCGAGTTCAGACTTTCATTCAGGCGATTAGCTCGAGGGATGTCTCCCGCCCCTTGGCTTCGCATCGCAGCATCCGAAACATCGAAGGTCACATCGAGCGGCAAGCGGAGCGTATCTTCGACCGATCGGAGGGGCGGGTCGTCAAAGTCGACAGGCGCATTGATGCTGGTGCTGGTGCCGGTGAGCGGCGCCAGTATAGCGGCGGACTCCCGGCGCAAAAGCATGGCCACCACCTTCTTTAGCACCAACGTGGTTTGCCTCGACAGGGCCGACCGCTTGCCCAGCAGGTCCTGTAGACGCAGAATGCGAGTGATGGTCCGCTTCACCTCCTGGGCGGCATCGGACAACGGTTCCGACAGCGCGGTCACCGCCAGCACGACCGCGGCGTGGAATAGGTTGATCGCCAGGAATGCCACCAGGTGGCTCTCGGTCGCAAGCTGGGCCAGCACCGGTAGCTCGGTCACCCGGGCCGTCCGCACCGCTGCCTTCCGCCAGAGGTCTGAGCTGGCGATGTTTGCCTTGGGGAATGCGGGATCAGCCGGGGAATCGAGTTCGGTTTTGCCAGGCGACAGGCTGGTGGAGAGATGGTTGACCTGTCGCGCAATCAACGGGCGGTGGAGAACAATCAGGATGTTGTCGTATGACAACTGCAAGGACAACGCCTGCAAAGCATGTGCCTTGGAGCTCGGCGCACCCCCCGCTCGGTAATCTTGATTGAGTTCGAGGACCAAGTGGCTCGGCAACAGGCGTCGCCAGTTGTGAAGGTTTTCCGTCGCCTGTTGGACCATGGTCACATAGGTATCCCCCACCAGCTCCTGCGAGCTTCTTGAGGTCCGAGAACCGAAGATGGTTTCCAATGCATTCGAAACGATGAGATACAGGCGGTTCAGCTCTCGCTGATACGATGAGTAGCAAATTGGCGCCCCATCATCACCTCTCGGCACGCCGAACGATGGGTCCTCATAGAATTCCACTGGCATACCCAAGTTACAATCCTTGTCGTTGATGCCCAGAGGAGTCCCGTACGTAATGGATGCGAAGCGGTCCCAGGTGTAAACCGTCCACCACACTCTTTTCCGCTCTTCCCGATCGCCGAAATCTCCCGCTTGGGACTCGCGATGAAGTCCAATCGCCTGCGCCATGCGGATGGTTGCGCCTAGCAGAGTGAAGGACAGGTTTGGCCGCCCGTGATAGAGATGGTGGGATCCGAACAGAATGCAGGTTTGCACGGCCAGGATGGAGGGCTGATCCATCAACTCCACCAGGTTAGACTCCACGAGCTTGATCAGATCTGCGCCCACCTTTGCCCAGTCATGGCCCGAGTCGGTCGCGTCCGAAGGTCGGTGCGATCGATACCAGGCGGCCATGCTCAGCATGATCGCCAACAGCAGCAGGAACGGTCTCTGGGCGGGGTCCGCGAAACCATCGGCAATGGCCTGGAGTCTCCTGCGAAACTTGGGTTCGTAGACGACCAGCGAGAACCAATGAACGGCGTCGAAGTAGTCGTCCAACAAGTGGTAGATAACATCGATTGACGGAAATGGCTGGCCCATTATCGAGGCCAACGGACGACGGTGGTCCTCGCTCAAACCCAATACCCGCGGCCTGTTGTTCCTCCCCGTGTAACCCGGAATCGCAGAGGTGGTCCGTTCATCGAGATGCTGACTGTCGAGTTCGCAGATCTTGCGTGCAATTCCCATCGCCGATTCGGCCTCACCCGGTTCGATTGTCGATGGTGGAGGGACGCCTGGAGGTCGAGTGCATGCGTCCGGACTCTCATCCACATGCCCGTCCTCGTCCCCCGAGCCAGCTCCTGGCGACCGTTCCGGAGGTTCGTCCCTGTTCGAATGGGATGTGGATTGGCGGCGGACGGTCCTTCGGGTCTGGCGGGGTTGGTTCTTTTTACCAGATCTGCATGCAACGCAAAGCTCAGTGGCAATTTCCGACACCGAAAACATGCAAGGGCAGCTTACTGTCGCGGTGGAGGGGCGGGGGGTTGTCGGCAATCGGCATCGGCGCGAACGCACAAGGAGCAAGGACGAAAGGGATCACACTGGGATCACGAAGAGGACGATGGCCTCCGTCAGCCATGATCGCCCGGTTGGGACAGGCTCCGACATAGATGGCGGTCCTACCCGAGATTTATGCAGGCGACATCGTTCGCAGGCGCTGCTGACGCGGGTGGGCAGCAACGCGCGGGTCAATCGGCGTCTTTTGGTTGGAAATTCCTCCCGATCCACCTCTTCCGGCGATGGTCGTTCGACCATGGTGGTGTTTGGTATCTTCGAGGAAGATCGGTGTGTTTGGGGGCCAGAGAGAGGGGGAAGCAGAGAAGTAGGAAAGCAAGAGAGGCAGGAGACAAGCCGCGGATCAACAGACAGACAGACAAGGTGGGGTGGGGCGGTGAGAGCGCTGGGCTCCCATCTGCCGGCTTACTCACACCGCCCTACCGCCGCCCCGGGCCTTCAAGATATTGGCCTGGCTTCGGTGTCTGCCTGGACAGGCATCCATCCCAGAACGAAGGGTTGGATCCAGTTGTGGATGAGGTAGATGGGTATCTCTTTTGCTTCTGGGGGGTGAGTGCGCAGTCTATGACTGCTGGAGCGATGAAGGGATCGTGTTCAGTCGGTGCCTCGTTGCCTGACCGACACAGTGACAGATGAGGCCTGCTCACCGCCAGGGGTTCTGCCCCAGGCATGCAGGCAGCCGGGAGCACATGACCTGTCAGCCCCCACGTGGCCCGCGGTGGGGGGGATTACCCTTTTGGGCAGGTCTCCCCGCAACCCCGATTCTTTATATTTTTATATTTCTTCTCTCAAGGCTGAATCTCGAACCTACACCCTCTAAGAGCACACTGTGCCCCCTCGAAATGCCTCCCCAATCCGAACCGGAGACCATCACGCTCGCCCATCTCCCCGACCCGGTCCCGCCCGAACCCTACATCACGAGCAACCCCCCGACAAATCGCCCTCCCTCAAACTCATCGCCTCGGGCTTTTCCTTCTTCGTGGCGGGAGTCAACGACGGGAGCCTGGGCTCGCTGCTCCCCTACGTGCTGCAGACCTACGGCATCAGCACCAACCTCGTGGTCGTAGTGTCAGTCCCCAGCGTCCCACAACCAGAAACAGACAGAGTCGACAGGCCTAATATTCCCCCAGGTATGCGTCGACTCTGATCGGCTGGCTCCTCGCCGCCCTCACCAACAGCTCCCTGTGCCAGTATCTCGGGCTCGGAGCCATGCTGGCCCTGGGCGCCGGCCTGCAAGTGCTCACCCACGCGCTGCGGGCATGGCTGCCCCCATTCCCCCTCTACGCCGTCACCTTCTTCCTCGCCAGTCTCGGGCAGGCCTATAACGACACCCACGCCAACACCTACGTGGCCTCCGTGAAAGCGGCCCATCGCTGGCTTGGCTTCATCCACGCCATGTACATGGCCGGGTGTCTCGTTGGGCCGCTGATCGCCACGGCAGTAGCGTCAGCAGGTGACTCGTCGCAGTGGAACCTTTTCTACGTCGTTCCCCTGAGTTTGGGGCTGGCAAACCTCACCTTGGTGCTCGTTGCCTTTCGCGATCGGATGACGATCGCCTCAGCCCCAGCGGCTGCAGCGCGACAGAGCAATACCTTCTTATCCAGACGGAGTCGCGCCATCCAGGAAATGAAAGATACGCTCCGCGTGCCCGCCGTCTGGCTCACAAGCTTGTACTTCTTTTTCTTCCTCGGAGCGGCCATCACAGCCGGCGGTATGTCACCCCGTCCTCGCCTGAAGAAATCAAAAGACTAAGCGGACAGGCTGGATCGTCGAGTATCTCGTCAACGTCCGCCACGGAAAGGTGCAGCAGATGGGCTATATCCCGACCGGCTTCTACGGCGGCGGTTTCCTGGGCCGGCTGCTTCTCGCGGAGCCGACTCATCGTCTGGGGGAGCGTCGCATGGTGTTCATCTACGCGGCGTTGTGCGTGGGACTGCAACTGGTATTTTGGCTGTAAGTTGACTTTCCACCCATGGAATCTCCCGAACTGACAATGCCAGGGTGCCGAATATTGCCGTCGAGGCCGTGGCCATTTGTCTCATGGGGTTCTTCTCGGGCCCGTTCTTTGTCACTGTGTGTATCGATAGTATTGAACTCCCAGAGGATATTCAGCTCACCGGCTCAGGGAATCTCCGTCGCCTCCAAGATCTTCCCGGACGATATTCGATCTTCGGCTATTGGTATGCTCTCTGGTAGAACATTGCTCAGACGAACCACTGATGCAACTCTCTAGCGTTAGTCTTTGTTCTCGGCCAAGTCGGCGGCTCGCTCTTCCCTGTCCTGACGGGGATCATCTCCGTCCATACCGGCGTCAAGGCCCTGCAGCCGATGTTGCTGGCGCTTCTGTGCGCTACCGGGATTAGTTGGCTACTTGTGCCCAAGGCTCCGAGATTGCGGACAGAGTAGGCCGATGATGTTCTTTCTCGGTACGACATGTGCTGGGGGTTTGATTCACACGCAGCACTCCAGGTCCTGACACTTCAAGCGCTTATATCAGTGAGATCTTTGGTTGTACCTAGAAACTCAGGCCTGAGAACGACGGCTAGAAATGAATTTTCAGGCGTGATCAGATACTCCATTTCTGCATGTCGACAGAAACACTTCTACTAGAAATGATATGATGCCGAACATAGAAGGAAACGCATCATCATTGACTTCAATCTGGCATATGACTACGGAAAGCCGGCAATCATCACCTTGAACACATCCTGGCATCCCGCCTTGACCAGCTCAAACGCCTTCTCCGACTCTTCGAACGGAAAGCGGTTCGTGACCAACGGCTTCACGTCGATCTTGCCCTTCGCGATCAGATCAATGGCGGCCGGGTAGCACCCGGTCAGGTACCGGATGGAGCCCTTGATGGTCAGTCCGCGAGTGCAGACCGCCGTGATGGGAAACTGGATGACCTCCTTGCCCATCCCTGCCTGCACCAACGTGGCCCCCGACGGGCGGCGTAGATCCCCAGCTGCACGCACGGCTCCGCCCCGGAGCACTCCAGCACGACATCCGCACCCTCGCCCTGGCCCGTCGGCTGCACAGCGTCATCCTGTTCGACAACAACCAACTATCGGAATACCGTTACTTTCAAGATTTACCTCTTTCCCGCGTGGGACCACAAAGACCCCATTGACTTCTGGCGCAAGCCCGAAGGGGAGGTCGAAAACCGCTATAGAACGATCCGCCTGGAACGAGATCTGGCGATCCACAACGCTGTGCAGTTCGGCGACATCTTCGCGCTCACTGACCAGAACGGGCAGAATTGGCTGGGCAGGAAGTTGATCATTGCCACCGGATCCGAGGACATTTTAACGGGGATCACTGGTCGCGGTCGAGCTGACCGGCGCCCTCTGTAACGGCAACAGCGTGTTCAAGGTGAGTTCGCCTTCGTGCCTGGATTGGACTGTGCTTGGGGTCAAACCGACGCGACTCGGTGATAGAACAAGCGTTGAGTCGAGACCCTTGCGATGCTTTCGAGCATATGGTAGCTGAAGGGGGTGTTGTCGCTGTTGTTTCTCTCAATGTGGGGTAATATGATCCGGACCCTCTTTATCTCGATTAGACATGGGATTTTTTTAATGAGCCCATTGACTTGGCATTTTGTCACTTCGTTAGAGTAGGTCGTACGCCAACTAATGGCATGGGGTTTGTTCGCTGGAACAGGGGATACATGAGGCAATCCCTGGTCTTCTGGTGTTGACAGGAAATATAGTATGGTCCGACATGAAGGGACAGGACGATCAAATGACACGAAGGGTATCCTAATACGTGATGGAGTTGCCGTACTGAAAACAAACACGTCCGGGATAGGAGACGAGAACAAAAAAAAGGAAAGAAAAAAGAAAAAAGAAACGTCAGCGACAGGACTCGAACCTGTGCGGGCGAACCCAATAGATTTCTAGTCTATCGCCTTAACCACTCGGCCACACTGACTTCTTATTGGTGATGGCATCATTTTTGGGGTATATACATAATAGAGACCTGACGTATTCATACGCTACTCATCTAATCCATCGCCTCCCAGTTCGCCCGGACCTTCGCCTGACACCTGGTGGTGGACATATCTGGCATACCGACGGACGAGACAGTGATACATCTCGATATCTATTGATCCTCGACCCACAACTATGGAAGAGGGAGCACCTTCGATCTGTAGTGTCCGATATAACCAGCAGAGCAGCTCAAAACAACTAACTAGCCATGGTGATATAACCACTCTGTGCCTATGTGGTGGAAGAGACCTCCTGCCCCAGGCAGGTCAGCACCACGTGACACGTCCCCTCCCGAGGCTGCTCCGGGCCGATGGGGCAATCGCCCCTGAGCCAATGAGGCTGCCAACTTCCCAAGAACAGCAAGAAGCCCCGCCGTCCCGCCATTCCGCCACTCTTCGCCGTCTCTCTCTCTCTCGCTCTCTCTCTCTCCCTCTCTCCCCCTCTTCCCCGCCCCGTTGTCATGGACGTCAACCGGAACGTCACCCGGATCGTGGAGGATGCCGATGTCCCCATGATCAACCCGCCCAGCTTTCCGCAGGCCCACTCCGTCGAGGACCTGTACGCGTCCGGGGGGAAGGGCTCCCTGCGCTATGTCTTCCTGCATGGCAACCACGCCCGCCCCAACCTGCCCACCCACGCCTGCATCGAGGGCAAGGTGAGGCTGTTCAACCGCCAAGGAGACATGTATGTACCCCATATATTCTCTTCTCTTGCACAGCACAGCCCCCCCCCCCGACGATCCAGACCAAGAAGGAGCCCCGTTCACCTGATGCCTGCTAGTGTTTTCGATGACGACCCCACCCGCGCATCCTCCCAATACGGCTTCACCGAGGGCCGCTGCGTGTCGGTCAATGACCAGCCGGATGCCTATATCCCCGCCCGCATGTTCGTGCAGACCCTGTTGAAGAACATCCAGGTCCCCGGCTTGATCGCCGCCGAGGTACCCAAGTGAGTCCTTCCTCCCCGAGCCTGGCACTGGCACGTTGCTAAGAGACAGGGACGAAGGGCAGCTACAGTCCGACCAGGATGACTCTTTTCTCTATGTGTACGTCTGGATCTTCTCCATCTCCTCCCATCCATCACGCCCTAGGCCTGGCTGACCGGGCGGCAGAGCGATTCTGGTTACTGGCCGAAGCGGGCTCGATCCCATCCCCGCCCAGGACCGCGACTACCTGGAGAGCATGATGCAGCGGTTGGTCCCGCGCTTCGTCTCCGTCATCTCCGGGAAGAGTGACGCGTACCTTCCAGGCGACGCGAAGAACCTCTGCCACGAGATCGCCGATTCGATGTTGAAGCCCAGGGGGGGGTCCGGGGACCTCGACCTCCTGGCCTTCCTCGACGTGTACGAGAAGCGCTATATCCATAAGCCATCCGCCACCCCGGAGGCCATCCTGGAGTCGTGCCTGCTGCACGTTATGAAGATGCCCTTTGAGCTGAACTCCTCCATCCGATACCGTCTGATCACCGATTGACGGACCCCGCACGCACGATCTACGCCCCCGGACAGCAGCCGGGTGGTTCCCCCGAAGGTGTCTGAGCCTCTCCCCCCCACAACCAACACCCGAGAGGCCAAACAATGCAAGAGCAAGACGAGTAAATCCTACTGCTCACCGTTAAAACAGCAGGCCTGGCTGCTTTGCTTCGCATGCTACGGAGGACTGGCTACGTAGTGCCGGGAGGATTATCGGTTGAGAAACAAACGGTCAGATAGAGATCAGTAGCAGCAGGTGTCACGCATATATTCATGCCAGCGACCCAATCATCCGACATGGTTCTATGTTTCTAAAATTGGTCCCAACTCCCCCGCTACTAGCGTATTCCTTCCGCAGGCGATGACTGATAACCAGCCACTGTCTACCCGCAACGGTCCCCTCCACTTCCTTCCCACTGGCTCCCCTGTTATGTCTGTCTGTCTTGCCCAGTGTTGGTGCCTCTTCCAGAATGTTACGACCAAACCTGGCTGGGCAGTTCGTCTGCCACGGTACGCCGTATGTCAGGGGCGCATCGTCAGGCCCACTGGTCGCGAGCGACCTAGAGCTGAGCTTCTGGGGGGGCGTCCACCCCCAGACGGGCGAGATCATCGATCGCCACCACCCCTTGAGCGGCCGGGTCCTGCGCGATGCCATCCTCGCCATCCCAGGCGGCCGTGGCTCGTGCTCGGGCAGTGGAGTGATGTTGGAACTCCTCCTGAACCACGCAGGGCCGCGCGCCATCATTTTCGAGCGGCGCGAGGACATCCTGACGCTGGGGGTCATGATCGCCGAGGAGATATTTGGCCAGGCCATCCCGGTCGTGACGGTCAAGCCGGTGGATTTTCGCAGACTGGTGCAGTTGGATGGTCATCGCATCCAGGTTGCCGACGGTCGCGTCTCCGACCATGAACTGCCACCTGAACTGCCTCGCCACGAGCTGAACCAGCAGATCATCCTCGCGACGAACGTCCAGCTTTCAGACGAGGACGAAGCATTTCTCGAAGGAAGTCACGGAGAAGCCGCGCGCGTCGCATTGCGAATCATCCTGCGCATGGCCGACCTGCTCGATGCCCACGAGTTGATGGATGTCACCCAAGTACACATCGATGGCTGTATCTACCACGGACCCGGATCCCTCCTGTTTGCCGAGCGACTCCGCGACTGGGGAGGACGGGTGCGAGTGCCCACCACCCTCAACTCGATCTCCATCGACCAGAAGCGGTGGCGTTCTCAAGGCGTGGACGTCGCATTTGGTGAAGCGGCCGAGAAGCTGGCCAGCGCATACACCGACATGGGGGCGCGTCCCACGTTCACCTGCAGCCCTTACCAGCTGGACAGTGCCCCCAAGCTGGGCGAGCAGGTGGCTTGGGCCGAGTCCAATGCGGTCGTGTATGCAAACAGCGTGCTGGGCGCTCGCACGATGAAGTATCCCGACTTCCTCGACATCGCCATTGCGCTGACCGGGCGCACGCCGAGGGGAGGACCTCATGTCGACCTCAATCGGCGGGCATCGCTTATTATCAGAGCTCCTCCGATGCAGGACATCGATGACTCGCTCTATCCCCTACTTGGCTACCACACAGGAACCATCGCATCCAGTCAGATCCCCGTGATTCTTGGAATGGAGTCGTTGACTCCCAGCAAAGACGACCTCAAAGCCTTCGGGGCCGCGTTTGCCACTGTCTCTAGCGCCCCGATGTTCCATATCGTAGGGATTACCCCCGAGGCCACTAGTCTGGACGCAGTGATCAATCAAGCACCCAATGTGCGCTCCATCGACGTCCAAACGAGGGACCTGGCTCAAAGCTGGGATAACCTGAACAGTGCCTCGGACTCTCAGCCGGTCGACCTGATATCCCTGGGTAGCCCGCACCTGTCGCTGACCGAGATCCGAACCCTCGCAGCGTTGTGTCGTGGTCGCACCAAAAAAGACACTGTCACGATGATGGTGACTTGCGGACGGGCCACGCGCGGCCTGGCTCAACAAGCTGGTCTCGTCGACGAGCTGGCGACGTTCGGGGTGGAGTTCCTAAGCGATACCTGCTGGTGCATGATCACCGAGCCGACCATCCCGCGCTCAGTCGCGACTATCATGACCAACTCGGGGAAGTACGCTCACTATGGACCTGGTCTGACGGGGCGGAAGTTCTACCTTGGGAGTTTGGCGGGCTGTGTGGATGCGGCGTGTCAGGGCTGGCCTGCGAGGGGGAGACCGGGATGGCTTGTTTGTTAGGTTGGTGGAATATCAGCATTCTATCATGCTTCTTATCGAATTCTCGTTGACGTTTGAGCTAACTCTATCTGGTACTCTCTCGGGGATTTAACAGGGTGTAGTCCTGAGCAATGCTGCCCTTCAATGTTCGCTTGAATGCATAAGATAAGCTAGTGAATACGCTCTGCCAAGATATGGTCTGGCTATCGGTTGCCCATCGGATGGTGGAATATTCGGAATTCACAACGCACTTTTACTATTACTGCAAGCACTGTTCGGCCAAGCCAGGTCCCAAGAGAGGAACCATTCGATCCGACACATAACCAACAATGATGATGAGTTGAGAGAGGTAAAAGCCAGATCCTCTAGAACACCATTCCCTTGACCTGAGGCACCTCCTTCAGGTTGATATTCCTGATCATCATGACCCAAATGAAAGCCAAGGCCATGATCCCCGTGCCCACCGCCAGCATTCTGGTTTGCGCGTAGCCGTAAGCATGCTGGATGGCGATACGGGTCTCGGATCCGACGGGGTAGCTCAATTGGGTGTCGAGATCCTCATAGATCATGTCGAAATTGTCCATCGCCGAGTCAGGCAGATACATGCGCAGGGCGTTTGGATAGGTGTTCTGCCAAACAGCGGCAGAGATGGTCGCGCCCATGCCATCGCCCACTGTACCGACCACGTTCAACAAGGCGAGGGCCGCTGCGAAGTGCTGGTGGTCCACGGCGGCGAGGATGGCCAGTTGTTCACAGATAATGAAGACACTTCCACCGATGGAGATGAAGACCTGAAGAAGATAATAATTAGCAGGGTTCCGCATCATCGAAAGAGAAAGACATACCTGGCACATGACAAGATAGCCGACTGATTGATTCGGGCGACGGAAGTAGATCATCAGGCCCTGTGCAAAGATATACAGCGGGACGGCAATCCAAAGCAGCCACTTGAATCTGCCCGTGCGTCGGATCAAGATACCGACGATGATGAGCAACACCCCCGAGACGACGTCGAAGGTGTTACTGACATAACCGGCGTCGGCCACACTGAGGTCATTGACTACCTGTAGGAAAGAGGTAAAGTAGTTATCCCAGCAGTAGTAGCACAGCTGGTATGTGGCATCCAGGAGACAGGCTCCGACCACGGTGCGGTTATAGAGGAAGCCCAGGGAGAGCAACGGCTTCGGCGCAAAGCAGGTTTCCCAGATAATCAGCACGAACAGCAACACGAATCCCACCACCAACATGGCGATGATGTACGGGGTGTCCCAGCTGCTGGGGGCACTCCCGGCGATGTCGAAGGGGAGGAAGAAGAGGACGAGGCCAGCGGAGAAGAGGAACACGCCGGCGGCTGGTGAGGTTAGTATTGGTGATACGTTATGTTTTATATTGCTAGCCCAGGGGGGGGTAGGTATGTCGATGGAGGGCTTACCGTCGAACTCGATGATATAGAACCAAATGCTCTGAGTGATGGTGCGACCGCTAGGCTGTCTGACCACCTGACCAGACTTGACAGCTTGATTGATGTTCCACTTCAGCACGCCGTACAGGGGCGCAGCTACGAGGGGGAAGATGATGGCGAAGATGCCGAAAGGCCAGCGGAGGCCAATGCCGTTCGCACCGAGGGCATCATCGGCCGCGGTGGGTCCCGCAAAGGCAGTGATGATGTAGGGCGACGAGGTGAAGGCATAGGCCAAGGCTCTGCTCTTCAGCATGGAAGCGTCGGCGGTGATGACATCGATGCAGTACGTCATGCCTCCGAATCCGAGGGAGTAGAAGACGTATGCGGCACAGAAGGTCGCCAGGTTGTTGCAGCCGGCCATCATGATCAGGCCAACGGTTGCACAGATCGTCATGAAGAGGAAGCCTTCGGCACGGCCCCAGAGATCCATGATCTTTCCGATCGGGACGTAACACGCAGCGGTGATCGCGTCCGCGACGATGTAAATCGTGTTCAGCAAGGAATGGGACTCCCATTGGCTGGTGATATACGGGAGGAGACTGGAGAGGATGCCGCTCTGGAAGGCGTTGGTGAAGTAGAGGAACCAGATGCTGGTGACCAGGGCAGGTTAGCCATGGGTAGGGGTAGCATGGACGAGTGGAAGGGAAATACTTCAAGAAGACGGCGTAAAGCGACCACTTGGACCAGTTCTTGGTCATGGCCTCCATCTCGCGGACACCCTGCTGGAGGTCTTCCTCGGGGGTCTCGCGTTGCCCGCTACCACCGACGCCATTGTCGTCCACCACAACAGGAGCATCCGTAGCCACGGAGCTGGTGTCGTGAGGTTGCTTGCCCATGCCGTCGAGGTTGACGTCGACCGGAGTGGCAGTCTGATCCGTATGCTGGTCTGTATTCTGGCGACGGAAGGGGGCACGGAAGCCCATGATGAGCGATCTCGGAGGACTGAAGAAGAAGAAGAAGAAGACGACGACGATCCGAGGGACGGAGGGACGGATGGGCACGTCTTATCAATCACATCCAGCGGTAACACCCGCCGGCGCACTGATTGATAAATCAAAATCAATCTCCGAAGACGGCTGAAATGGCGGGACCAGCAGGGTGGTTCTTGGGGGCTGCGAGCCTTGATTTGTCGGGAGGTCAAGAGAGTTTGGAACCCACGGACTGAACGGATCAGATCTGATAACAGCATCCTTCCATAGTAGACCAGTACATGATACGAAGGTATCCAAGTTTACCTACCCCTCGTGGGGCGCCCACCAACCCGGTGGCAGTGGCGTTGAACCACACGAACGCAACACACAACACATGGGGGATGTTGGATAGTCTGACTCGAGTCAGAGGTGCCCCGAGGACTGTCTGTGCAGTGGGATGATTCGGCAGCGAGAGAATCAATCGTCGAGAGTCGCAGTGAAACAAGCCCGAACCGGAAATTGGGCAGGGCACAGGAACAGGACGAGGGCCATCGTCGTGCGTCAGGGTCCACCGCAGCCCGCCGTGGGCTGCAAATTACCTAAAGCCAACCGATGGGGCTCCACTTGGGGGAATCCACTCCCCCCGCCGATCGCTCTTGGCTGGCGATGTCGAGTGCTCTCGTTTGCTGCCGAGTCCATGATGTCTTACTGAGGTTGACTTGGACGTGGACAGCAGGGTGGACTCGGTTGGCTCGGGTGTTTCTGTTTCTGAGGGTCGCGCAAAGCAGATAGATCAACGAGATGGGGTACCGGTGATTTCAACTGACATATTGACCTAATATCTATACTTTGTGTAAAGCACGAAGGACGATTTCAAAAACGGTGCATGGATGGAACAGAAAAACAGGCGAACAGTGGCCGGGTGACATCATCACAGTGAGTGACACAGTGTATCTGTATCTACCCAGTGGGGCAGCCCATGTCCTCGCGGGCTGTTATGGTCCCGTGTATTTATCCGACTTTGTAGTACCAAACATTTTGTAGACACCAGGCACAGTCTTTGGGAAACATGCTGCTTCTGTGTAGTAGACATCAAATGCATGTGGTATGTGTCAGGGATGATTGATGATTTGCTGCCCGGAGTCTGCCGGTAGGAACCAAAATTTAACTTGATCCCAAGCCATTGCGCCAAGAGGTCAACACCACTTCGCCAGTCCGTATTCTTTTCGTCTATTTTCTTGGCAGTGAAAAGGTTCTTTTTCGGCGATCTTGGCAAGATGAACCCTCTGTCGAGGAAGGAAGACGATGAAATACCAGAAGAAGCCCTGAACGGTGATCTCGGGATGATTGTAACCGTGGCACCTTGTCAGAAATCTTCGCCGTTGGAACGGCGGAGGGAAGGTGTATGTTGGGATGTTAAAACAGGCAGCAGTTTAAAATAGAGGGTATAAGCCCACCTGGTGGATGTAGAAGGTGGAAGATATCCACCAGGTAGGTTTCCGCTTCCAGCGACACACCAAGGGCACGGGGCTTCGTATATCCAACGAGTCTAGAACGCTCTAAATATTGAACCAATGTGCGATTATCAAGACTGGGAAGACGGCGTTCGCGTACAGGATCATCCGTGCCATGAAGCACAGACATGATGATTCCAGTCCCAGCATTGAACAGAAAAGGTTCTTCACTTCGTCGGGTGCCCTTGGGGTTAAGTGTCTGATAAATCCACAAAACACCACCTGGCCTACGGTTTAATTGCCAGTCAAGAGGTTCTTGAACCCGGAGACGGGCCGTCGACGTTGACACATGAGTGGTGGCCACGCCCAGGGCGACACGTAATGAGGTGAGTATGCCCGCTCGCCTCTGGCGCCGACTGACAGGGGCTGCAGGATTTGCAGACTGGGAAGATAGCGCAACCCTATGAGCGGAAGGTGAATCGGCCAGGGACAGCAGGTGTCCGTGGACTTTTCACTGCAGCCACTGTGCACCGACTCTAGTCCCGGCTGGACACACTTCTTCATGGTGAAACCACCGTGACCAGCGACGTCTCCCTCCTCGACAATGAAACTGGAGGTCCCTTTGTTGTAGGCACTTCCCTCCACCCGCACCGTTACGGCATCCCCTGCCGTCCCAACGATCTCTTCCACAAACGCCCCCGAGCTGAAGTGATTCGAAACCAGCGAGTTGCACGCCCACCGCTGGCCGTGTCGCCTCTCGCCCTTGGCATATGCCAGCGCCATGCGGGCAACGACACACGACCCGGTGAGCGAGCGATCAATCTGATCATCGGCGAAGAAGCAGAGGCCGGTCTCGGCCCCCTCCACGTCATCTGGCTGGCCTCCGACCTCGGTGTCCACCACCATGACCGAGTACGGGTACGCCAACGGCATCCCCGAGGGGTGCCGACACGCCGTTGGAAAGTCCGGATGCGAGTTGAGATAGCCTTTCAGCGTCTTCAACACCGGCGTGACCCGATCGAAGTCCACATCCCTCAGCCCCTGGGCGAATCCCAGTTCCCGCACATCGACCAGGACGTAGTACGTCCCGCCATAGCTGACATCGATCGTGATGGACTCGCGGGATCCCAGCCCCGCCCAACCCATCGCAGCTCCGGCGGAATCCACACGGGGTGATTGATAGCCGTCGCATAGGCCGGGGGTGAAAGAAAGGAGACCGGTCGGGACGGATCTGACTTCGCCTCTTTCTCAGTCACCACCACTGGGACAGTCAGCCGGACGATCCCACAGGGCGCGTGGAGGTTGACCTCCACCGTCTGCGACGCGGAGTCAACCACCCGCTCCCTGCGCCGGGGAAAGATATCCGGGTCATGGATATCAACCAGGAATCTCCCCAAGGCGATCGTCGCATGGCTGCACATGGACAGCGAAACCGCCGTTGTGGACATACAGCACCCCGACATGGGCCTCTCCGCACTCGACCAACTCGTTCGACGGTCGGAGAATCGCCCCGTACATGTCGTAGTGGCCGCGAGGTTCCAGTAAGTTAGACGATCCGGGCCGGTTCGCCGGTCATGTGCATGTCAATGCACCGGATGGTGCTGATGCTAATGCGATGCTGACACGAGGAGGTCGAGGGGTGGGATGGGGGATGAGACGATTGTGATTGACCCACTCGCAGGGCCGATTTCGGACTTGCGCTACTGAGGTGTGATCTATGGATGGGGGTAGAGAGCATCACTGCTTCAATGAGAACCTCTTGTTGACCGAGTCAATATTGAATGCCATGTCCGAGACTGTCTGCCCTGTCCTCACGGGGCTGTGGATATCACGCTTCTGGAGAGTCAGGGTTTAAACAGCAGGTTTCCCCGGGATTCCGCCATGCAACACATGCGAGAGTAATAATAGCGGGCCCGATATTGATATCTAAACAGGGTATTGCGGCGGGGTCCGAGGAGGGTTTAGTGCCCGCACACAGTCTGGCGAGGAGAATATGCCCATCTCTCACAGCAACCATCTATACGGGTGAGTCACGTCGCCATGCAGGAATGTGCTCGGGCTCCTTGCGCTCCCTTATCTCCCTTATATAGCCCTTATGCCGCCCTTTGGAACGTAGGGCTGGATCCAGGAAGCGGGAACACATTGCTAGAAAAAGCGGTCTCTTTTCTTTTCATCTGGATCCAACCATAACAATCGAAATCGAAATCAAGATGAACGTCGGTATCATTGGGGCCGGAGTCATCGGGCTCTCCGCCGCCGAAGCCCTAGTGGAGGCAGGATACACCGTCACCATCGTGGCGCGAGACTTACCCGGCGATGATACCTCAGTGCAGTGGTCTAGTCCATGGTATGGCGTCGCTCAATTCCCCGGGGATCTCGATTGACGATGGATGTATCGCAGGGCGGGCGCCGCCGTCATGCCACATCCGGATGCCCCGGGGCAGGACCTCCAGACCGAGACATTCAAGTACTACTGGGCTCTGGCCCATCGCGATCCGACCAGTGGTGTCCAGGTGACGGTCCGCCGTCCCTTACTGCAAGGTCTCCACTGACTGTCTTCTCTTAGGTGGTCGATATAACTGAGTACTATGACGACCGCGACGGCGACTCGACCATCTGGTACAAGCAGCTGGCTCCCAAGTACCGTCGCATCCCCGCCGACCAGCTCCCGGCCGGGGCGACGCTCGGGTTCAAGTACCAGTCCATGACGGCCAACCCCACGTACTACCTGCCGTGGCTGAAGAAGCGGCTGGATGCACGAGGGGTGCGGTTCATCCGCGCGGCGGTGTCCTCCATCGCCGAGGCGCGGCAAGTCACCGGCGCGCTGGTGATTGTGAATGCGTCCGGACTGGGGGCGCTCGACCTGGCCGGGGATGCGGATGTGGTCCCGGTCCGGGGACAGACGATGCTGGTGCAGAGTGACTCGCACGAGGTCACGATGTTCCAGGGCTCGCATTACTCGTATGCGATTCCGCGGATGTACACGGGTGGGATCATCATCGGCGGAGTGGCGCAGGAGGGACGCTCCGATGAAGCCGTCGATCCGGAGACCCGCCAGGACATCCTGCGACGGGTCCGATCTGTTGCGCCAGGGCGGTTTGACTCGACGGACTTGAACGTCGATGTGATGAAGGATTGTGTGGCGTTTCGACCCGGTCGCAAGGGGGGATATCGCCTGGAGCGAGACGGGGAGGTGATCCATGCGTATGGCTTCCGGGGACTGGGGTATGTGTTTAACTATGGGGTGGGCATGCGGGTGCGAGAGATGGTGGAGGAGATCGAGGGCCAGGGGCCGCGCAGTCGGCTGTAGCTTGTGCCTGTGCCTGTGCCTGTGCCTGTGCTTGTGCTTGTCTTGTTATTATTTGCTAGCATCATGCAATCCAAACATCCTGACACTATTCTCCCACTCGGTGATGAAAACCGTGAGGGTCAACATCTCGAGAGGAGAAGTAGATAAATGGGGAAAGGATCATAACTTGTAACTTGATGGTGAGAGCTGAGCTATATGGGACCGTAAGCGAGACCTGCAATTCCAGAGGAGGTCCTAATCCAGAAGTACACTGGCAATAACACCCAATAGTGCCTCAGTATCTCGACTCCCGGGAAGGTATATTTCCACGGAGAGGTCCCGCAATGTACTATAACCCCGAAAGAAACAGAGAGACGAAAGAGAGAAGAAACCCGCTACTCCCCCACCGCATCAGCCATTTCCCCGAGCGTGTCGAACCGCCAATCGAAGACCGCCTCGGCCACATTCCCCATAATCGCCCCGGGCCTTACAATCCACACCGACTTGATCCCGACCGCGCGGGCCGGGTGGTGGTCATGGAACTGGCTCTGCGCCGTCTGCAGCACCTGCGCGCGATCGACCTCGAACCTCTCCTTCACCGTCCGCAGCATGTACTCGAAGTTCCGCACATCAGGCTTATACGACCCGACATCCTGCGCAGTGATCACCAGATCAAACGGAAACCCCTGCAGACTGCCCTTGTTGGTTTTGGCAAACGACTCGCGATCCACATTCGACAACACCACCAGCTTATAATACCGCGCCAGCCGCGTCAACGCCGCGACGGTATCCGGGAACGCGGGCCAGTTTCCGACCGAGTCGCCGAACCGGAGACTCGCTTCGAGGGACGGGGTGGGCAGACCGAGACGCGTCGCCCAGACGGGGTGGATGGTGGCCAGCAGTTGCGAGTAGGGCATGTCCGGGGTTTGGGTCTGCTGGTGGCGCTCCAGCTCGTGGTAGAGGGTCAGCAGCTGCTCGGCGGGGAACTGCGCGTGGGACTGGTCGAGGGTGGGCTGGAAGGCGGCGAGAATGCCCGTCTCCCAGTCGACGAGGGTGCCGTAGACGTCGAAGCAGAGGAGACGGGAGGAGGCGAGTTGGGACATGGTGGGGATGGGGGGGGAGAAGTGGTGAGAAGTGGTGAGAAGTGGGATGTTTTGGGGCTGTTTGGGCTGCTTTCTTCCCCTCTTTCATGGGGGCCGCGCGGAAACCCCGTTGCCGAGCCAGTGGACCTGTCAGCCCTGAACTGAGGGCAAATGTCAATCCCCCCCCCCCCCCCCGGGACTGCGGGGCCCTGATGGTGGAGAACATGACTACACCTACGACAGTGCTGTGTTTCCCACGCAAGTCTACAGAATCACCAGACAGACAGACATGCAGACGAACACCTTCATATATTCACCATTCGACTCCGACTGCCCGTGTCTGTCAGCGGAATCTCATCCGCCACCACCGTCACCTCCACCTGCTTCACGATCCCCGGGATATGTCGATCCAGGAACTCCCGATCCCCCGCGAAGATGTGCGTCGTGATGTTCTGCAGGATATGTCGCTCCAGATCCGCCCCCTCGGGCTGCTCCTGCCGCGCAAACGGCATGATCCACCGCGACTTCCAGTCCTGCGCGAACGACCCCAGATTGACCATCGTGCTGGTCGTGGGGACGGTCTGCTCCTCCGCCGGCATCATCTGGTGGCGCTCGGGGACCCGTCTGAGTAGCTTCTTCATCCAGTGCATCACCAGCGGCCGGAGACAGGGGATCGAGGCGGTGATGAGCACGACGCCCGCTTCGACAAACATCCACCGGAGGAGCGTGACGCGGTTGGTGCGCGGGTTGGTAGAGATCATGATCGTCGGGTATTTGATTGTCTTGACGACGGAGGCCACCATGGCCCTGTGTCCGGGTCAGTGTTCAGCGTGGGAGGCGGGTTGGTGAGTCTCGGGGCACACGTACACCACACCCAGACTCAGCAGCGAGATCAAGACCAGCTTGACGCGCAGGTTCCAGTTAAACCGCCAGAAGATATAGACGGGGAAGGCCGCCAGGAGGAGATCACAGGCCGAGTTGAAGGCTATCCGATGTCAGTTCCCTCCATCCGTCATCCATCGTCCGAGGGCAACCGGCTCGGACACTCACCTCCCTGGAAGTAGGCATAGTCGATCTGCACCGTGATCGACATGCAATTCTCAAACTCGGTCGGGTGGAACATGTCCGTCATGTGGCCCGAGCACTGGAAGAAAAGCAGAAACACACTGACGATGTTGATGAGGATCTGACTCGGCACGAGCGCCCAGAGGATGATGCGGTGCCTCGCGCGCGCCGCAAGGAGCTCGAGGAGGTATAGGATAAAGGCGACGCGGCCAGCAGTCGCGGCCAGGGTGACGATGGCCTGCGCGATGGCGGAATACTCGATCGAACTCATGGCGCGGTGGAATTGCAGCGAGACTTCGCTCTGGCCGTAGCCATAGTCGACGGCCACATCCGAGATGGCGGCGGCGATGACGAGGAGAATCTGGCGGGCGCGCGGGTTAGGGGAGGGTGGAGATGGAGATGGAGATGAGAAGGAGGATGGGAGCGTCGACGGACCAGGGCCAGCAGCGTCACCAGGTCGCTGAGCTGGAAGTTGCCGAACTTGTAATTCCCGTGCAGTCGCAGCACCACCACCACGATGGACAGCGCCGTCATGGCCCACACGGTGGCCAGGAGCTCAGGGCCATAGTTGGTGGTGGAGACGGGCCTGGCGCCTCCTCCACGGCCGGTGCTGTTGGGGTGCGTGTGCGTGCCATTCCCATGACCCATGCCAGGGCCCTGGCTGTGGCCCCCGGATTCCATTTCCAGCGAGGGGGTTGGGATTCATGATGGGATTCATGATATCACGGAGACGAAGCCGGGGAATTAAAAGGGAAAACTCGCCATGCCGTCGCACGGACAGGTGGGAATGGGCTGCGGGATCAGCCAATTCGCCAAGATCGACCAGGATCGAACAGGGGGCGTGTGATAGGGCTAGGGTCGCTCGTCGAGAGTCAAGACATCTCCCGTACGCGTCGCCGTGCAGCTGGAGCGAACTGGACAGGCGACCGGTCTGCTGCCCCGACGATCCCTGGCCACATCGAGGCGGAGATCGGCCGAAGGTGTTCTATGCGAAACGGCGCCGTTGCCCGCCGCTAACGCAAATGAAGCATATCGCCCGACCGTTGTTGCGCGCGTCTCCACCCCATTTCCCGTTTGCATGTCCCACCCCGAGGCAGGGTTCGGCAGTTGGCTTGCTGCTCGGCCGGGTCAGGCATTATCGCCGGGGCTGGGGCGGTCCAGGGGTATCTAACGGCAGGAAAGGAGGCCGGAGATTGATGAAGGAAGGGACGATTCGATAGCCGGGGATGTGCCGCTGGATCTGATATGCCCGACACAGACAGTCTGGTGCCAATACGTTTTGGCCGAGAAAGATATAGATGCGACACGGCGGACATGTGGGCCGTTGTAACTTGTCACTGACACGGTATCAATCTATCCCGGACACTGGCCAGACTGACTAGTAGTCCGGCAGGTCATCCGAGTTCGACTGCACGCCCGTGAGCGGGGCGCGGCTGTCTGAATAAATAGAAAGAGTCTAGTCGCTGCATAGACTTGCAACCCCTGTCTCGAGTGATCGCATGGCTTTGTCGACCCCAGAATACTGTCCCGGGGAGATTGTTGCGAATATCGAAACATGGATGAGGTCAATTTACCGTCAAACTCGGGGCATTGGGCCCGGGGGACCTTTGGCCGTCTGTCGACCCGGTCCAGTCGAACCTTACTGCGTGTCTGTACGAGAAAGAATGAAGGGAACAAATTGAGCGGGAATACCCTGATATTAGAGGTGGTACAAGAATTTTCCCAGGAGCAACGGTCCATGCGGACCCGCCGTCCGGGGCTAAATAACTAACGCATTGAGTGCCAACGCCATCGCTTAGACTTTAGTACTCCGGGCAGGGCTCCTCGTCGTCGGATCCAGCACCCGCATCGAAATCAGAGCCGGAGTCAGATCCGAAGCCAGAGCTGGACCCGGAGCCGAACTGCTGGCTCGAGACGGCGCCAGAGGGAGCAGCACCCGCACCAAAGCCAGAAGCAGCGGAGGGAGCAGCAGCGGAGGAGCCGGAGCCAGAGCCGGAGCCACCCAGGTGGTGGTGACCGAGTCCAGCACGGCCGGAGGGAGCAGCACCGGAGGGAGCAGCGTTGCCCGACGGGGGCGAGGCCGATTCGGTGTAGGCGGCGGCAGCGGCGCTGGTCGGGACGGAGACGACCTCGGTGGCCACGGGAGTCGCGTGCGAGACGGTGCTGGTGCTGGTGGCCGCAGCGGTCATGGCGGGGATGCTGATGGTGGCGATGTTCCACACCTTGCCGTCCTCGCTGGAGGTCAGGCCCTCGTAGGTGCCGCCGCCGCTGACGGCGATGGTGTCGCCGAACGAGGTGTCGGCGGAGCGCAGGGTGATGGTCGTGTTGAGGTACAGCTGCGAGGCGATCGTGCCGCTGCAGTCGTCGTCGCACTCGGTGCCAGTGCCGTAGCTGCAGAGAGAGTAGGTTCATTCAGTTAGCATTCGTGGGTCCATGTGCGTATGCATCCATCGGTGGGTCATGGTCATGGCATCTCACCCCGTCATGTACGGACCCGCCGGGTAGGAGTAGCTGGACAGAGCCGCGCCCGTCTTCGCATTGGTGACGTTCTGGACCCAGGTCTCGCCGTCCGACTCCAGGTTGTAGACGATCTGGACGTGGTCGTCGCCGCTGACGGGCGAGCCGGTGCCGTCCAGCTGGCCGAACGAGCCGAAGATACTGGCGCGCACGCACCACTGGCCGGTGGTGGCGCCGCACCAGGCGTTGCTGGGCCAGCTCTCCAGGGTGGTCTGGATCAGGTCGCCGGTGCTGTTGCTCATGCCGGGCCAGAGGAAGAGCTCGCCGTTCTGGGTCGAGGGGGCGGTGCCGGGGATGATGGTGGTGACGGCGTGGATGATGTCGGAGGTGGTCGGGCCCAGGGACACGGCACCACCCCAGCCATCGCGCTTGACCTTGGTGCTGCTCTGCAGGGCGGCGGGGAGGACGGCACCCAGCGCCATGACGGGGAGGGCGAGGGGGGCGAGGGTGCTGAGGACGTGCATGGTGACGATAGAAACAAACTAAAATATACGAAGAAGTTACGGCTGAAGCAAAGGAAGGAATGAGAATGTCGAGGCCACCAGTGCCGTATGAACGAAAGTAGACGGTAGAGAGCGTAAAGAAAGAATGACTGTGGGAATGAATAGTAACATCAGAAAGGATGGAGGCATGGCAGGTGTCGGTCGGCCTATATATCGAATCCATGGAACCCCCCAGGATGCCGGCAGATGAGGGCTCATTTGCCCTCGTTTCAGACTAAGCCTTGGACCGAGACCGCCCTGCCAATGAGAGACGCACAGGGGGCTGCGGAAGTCAGGATCCGTGGAATTCCGACCGTTCCGACACTAACTATAAGGAACGAGTCAGTTGTCATTTCTCTGGCATGATTCGTGACCAGGTTCGGAGGCAGCCTGAAGTAGACTATTCTCGTCAGTCGGGTCTGTCAGTTACGATGGATGAGTGGATATCGATTGATCTCTTGCGAGGGTTGCATGCGAAGAATTTCCCTGCATTGTGAGCTGCAGACACCCGATGGATGGGAACTGAGACGGAGAAAAGGAGGGCGTTGAAGACCTAGGTATCTACTAGGTATCTACAATCTACATCCGAGGCCCCTACTGGCAGGATTGTGGGACGGCGAGATGACGGCCGAGCGCCTGCCTCATTGGGCTGCGAAAAGGGCTTCCCGCTGCTCCTGACAGCAGGATTAATCTATTGTGGACGCCCCAGGGGGAGGCACTAACCGCATTGCTCTTCTGCCTATTGTATGCATTGCACACTCTGCTTACATCATCCATTATGCATGCATAACTAGTTATTTTGGTCACGCGGTTTGACATTCTGCTGTCGATCTTCTTCTCTTCTTCTTCTCTTCTCTTCTTTTTCTCTTCCCCCCACTAAACACAATCACCCTCCAGAAAACACTTTTCATCAAAAAACCAAACTCCTCACACTGCAATCGCTAGCCGCTCATAAAAGCCCACCCCCCCGTTGATCCCCGACGAGATCAGATCATCGCTAGCCTCCGCACGGCCCGACCCAAACCGCTTCAGATTCCACTTGTCCACCCCGTCCACCCCCTTGAGGTCCTGCCCAAACGTCCGGAACAGATCCGCGTTGAGTCGCTCGTACTCGGCGTATTCCTTGGGCCAGTCGCCCAGTCGCTCCACCGCCAGCTTGAGCAGGTGCAGATGCTGCCGCACACACTTGCCTTCCTCCTCGCCCTCGCCGGGGCTGGACGCCGGCGACGACGCCCCCGACAGACTGCCGCCGTCCATCTCCGTGGACGAGACGGATGACGGGTCGATGAACACCCGCAGGGCGTTCTCATGCAGGGACGCCGCCTTCTTGTAGTACCGGCACGCCAACTCGCGCCGGTCCTTCTGGTTCTGGTACCCCTGCGCCACGCTGGTGTACATCTGCGACAGCAGCACCGTCATCTCCACCGTGCTCGGGTGTCGGGGCCCATGCACCCGCGCGCAGTTGTACACAATGTCCTCCGCCAGACGCACCGCCGCCGTGTAATCGCCGATCAGGTACCGGGTGATCACCAGCATGCGCCCGAGCGCGAGGGTATACGCCGATTGCGGCTGCGACGTGGCATGCGCGTCCCGGCTGTTCCAGAGCGAGGTGAGAACCCAGGCCAGCGTGTGGTAGTCGTGCTGCTCATCCAGCACCCCGATGAGGCTGTTGAGGTGGATCAGGTCCAGCTGCGCCAGGTCGATGTTCTGCTTCTTGAAGTACCCCAGCGTGTCGCGCATGATCGTCGCCGACACGTTCAGCATTTCCTTGCGGGTTGACGCCGCGGGACGCGTCTTGATGTCGTGGCCCGCGATGACCAGGCCCAGTTGGAACACCAGCTTCAGCGTCGCCTGGGACGAGTAGCCCTGGTGCGCCCAGATGTACTTGAACGCGGTCAAGGAGAGATGGCAGGCCTGCTGGTAGTTCTCGGACGCGAGCAGCTGGGTGGCCCCGTTGTAGCTGGCGATCGCCACCGACCGCACGAAGTTCTGCGAGGTGTGCGCGCTGAAATACTCCAGGATCGTCTCGACGAATGCCTTGGACTGCCGCGCGTTCACCTTCAGGCTGCTACCCTCTGTGGCGAGGAAGTAAGTCGTCAGTTGGTCCACGACTCGAGTGGCAGCCTGGTCACGGCCCCGCGCAAGCAGGAATGAGTGCAGGCGGGCAACGGACGCAGTCACGCTCTGCAGACTGCTGGTCTTCGTACTGATCTCGCTCCGCAGCTGCTCGAAGTACAGGTACTCGGTCGTCAGGGAGGAGTAGACCTCGTTCAGGGTGACGGACGAGTCCTCGCGTTCCCGCAGGCTGTACTCGAGCTGAGCCAGGAAAGCGAGGCTTTGGCGCTGGTTGGAAGACAGGTCGAAGCCGAACGAGCTGGCATTGGCCGTGTCCTTGGCCACGATCTGGCGGTAGATCTCGCTGGTCAGTTCCTTCGCCCGTTGCACCTGTCCGGAAGCGATGTAGCTGGAGGCTATGCTCTTCGCGGCGGCGGTCAGTTTGGTGGAGGAGGTCTCGGTCGACAGGACCTGGACGGTTGCTTCTTGCAGCATAGAGACGGCGGCGTGGGTCTCGCCGCGCGTGGCGTACAAAGAGGCGATCTCCGCCATCTGGGACAGGGCTTCCTCGTGTGCCCATCCATGGGTGGAACGCACGGTGGAGAGTCGCTGACTGCGGACAGACACCACGTTTTGCATCTGCTGGGCGGTCAGCTTGTCAGACCTGACCGAGGTCAACGAGACGCCCTGCTCCTCGCAGATGGCATCGAGAGTGGCGCGGATGTCCTGGTGGTCGATGTCCACCTCGCTGGAGTTCGTTCGGAGGAGTTCCTCGTACAGCTGGATGGCCTCGGACTCGTATCGCTTCGTTTCCTGACAGATGTTCGCCAGTGTCTTCGTGGCCATGAGGGTGACCGTCGCCGTGGCGCCGAACAGACTGATACATGTCTTGCGGTACTGGACCGTCACGTCATGGATGGAAGCAGCGTCGCTGTGGACCATACGCAGGCAATGCACATAGCGCTGGTAGATGGTCTGGACAAAGGCTTGGTCGTGCAGCTTCTGGCTGATATTGGGATTCTGCAGGGTGTTGAACAGCACGCGGCAGGGCTTGAGGGCCTCGGTGTAGCGGCCCTGGTTGAGCAGCTCCGTGGCCACGATGATCAGCGGCTCGAAGGCGTCGGGGTGACAGCCCTCGGAGTCCTTGTTGAGGATGTGCACGATCCGGCGGTAGTAGTCCACCGCGATGGGACGGGGGCGAGTGAGCTCAGCCAACGTCCACAGCTTCTTCACGACCGTCGGATGCTCCGCGCCGTATCGCTGGGTCGAGTCGTGGAGAACGTCCTGGTGGATGGTGATGGCCTTGTCGGTCTGCGAGGTGCGCTCATACAGACGGAGCAGGGTGGAGGTCACCCGTTCGAGCAGCCGGTCGCCTGCGGGTCGATCGCGTCGGACGGCGCGATACAGGCGCACTCGGATGTCCTCTTCCTTCACCGGACGACGGCGCGATCGATAGCAATTTGCCAGGCGCTCGGCCAGGTCGACGCAATAGCCGACTTCGGTGGACGGGAGGACGACGTCCTCGATGGAGGGAGCGAAAAACGCCGGCCAGATGCTCTGCAGAACCGTCTTGATGACCTTGGTGGCGTCGTGCCACCGATGCTGGGACAGGTACATCTCCACCAGGGTGTCGGTGGCCGTAGTCGACACCTGGTCGGTGCTGGAGGAGTTGTACACCATCTCCTTCAGACTAGCCTCGCTCACGACCGACGAGGACGTGCTGGCCATTCGCATGACTTCGCGCGAGGTGGCCTGGATGTGCTGCTCGGCCTCCTGGTGGGTGGAGCTTTTGCTCTCGGTACTCTGCGCGCAATGCCTGAAGACGCTGAGAGCTAACACGGACAGGCCGACAGACTTCATGACCTTGGCGACCTCCATGAACTGCGCGACTACCGTTCCGGAGCTGGAGCTGGTTTGCTCATACTCTTCCCAGAAGCCGCCCAGAATGGAAGCCGCTTCGTTCTCCCGTCGCTGGGACTTGAGGAACTTGGAGTACGCGAGCACGGCGCGGACGTTCTTCAGCTCCCACTCGGTGGAGCGGTTGAGACGGGACTCTCGGCTGGCCTGCTGCCAGAGCTGGACGAAGGTGCTCTCGGCTTCTTTGACGTGGCCCTCGGACGCAGCCCGCTCGGCCTTGGTCAGGAGGGTCTGGAAATTGAAGGACCAGGTGATGAGCTCGTCTGTCTCGATGCCATCCAACATCAGGACCATCCCGGGCTCGGTGGTGTCTTTGCGACCGCGAAGATGCACCAGCAGCGAGTCGTCGATCTGCCGCGATCCACTGCGCTGGGTGGCCGTGGTTTCGGTGGTCGTCCCCTGGAGAGACTTGGTGATGTCCTGAGCCTTGCGGTCCTCCTTGATGGAGTGGTAGTGTTCGGACAGCTGGGTCAACGTGGACGTCACCGTGCTGGAAGACACCCCGTAGTGGATCTTGTAGCATTCCACGAGGAGCTCCAGCATCTCGATCCGCTGGACCATGACCTCGGTCTTGGACTCGCTGATCTGGTCGGCGGTGGTTTCGAGGAAGTACTTGGTCATCTGCATGGTGATCAGGTGTCGGACCGAGAGCACTTCCTGGCTGATCTTGGCAGCGTCGTAGAAGATGCGGCTAATGTGAGCTGGGAGGCTGTCATGGATTCGTCGGTAGAAGAGCGCCTGGCAGAGGATGGTCTGCAGGGTGGTTGGGTGGTTGGCCGTCAGGATCTGGCGATACAGGCGGGTCTGGATCTCATGCAGCGACTTCAACGCCGGCGCGGACTTGTTTTCCCACACGGTCATCTCCAGGAGTGGGATGGTCGGGCAGGTGGGAATGACGGATCGGAGGTCCTTGCTGGCGGCGATGATTTCCTGGTCGGTCGAACAGCCGAAGGCGATCTTGGTGTGGTTGACCCAGTAGCGAAGAGCGAAGTCCAGGAGAGGGAACATCTCCAGAAGGTCTTCGCTCACATTGTCGTCTAGTGGCGTGACGGACGGATCGTGGCCATCGGTGACGGTCTGCTTCGCATAAAGCAATAGACGGCGAGCCAGATCGCTATTCCGGTTTTTGATCACAGGGACAAACTTGTCCTTGGAGAAGACATCCAGGATGGCTCCACGGATCTGGCCGTGACGGAGATAAACCAGGTTGTTCTGGAAGAAAACCAGCGAGGCCACTGGCTTTAGAACCTGGTACAGATCGACCTCGCGCTCGGTGACGGTGGCCTTGTCGATCTGGATGGAGACGAGGGCTGCCAACTCGCGGTGCGTGAGAGGGCGGACGGCCGTGGCCAGCCACACCAGGACCTTTTTACCGTCGTCACTCAGCTTGGACTGCAGGGTGTGTGCGACATGATCGGTGATGGTGTATCCGGCCTTCACGATGCTCTCGATGGACCTGGTGAGGGCGTTCGCGTTGGGCGGGTGCTCATCGCACACACGGCGTGCGGCCAGCTTGGCCCAGAGGAACGAGCCATCCGATGCCTCGGCGACACGCGTGACATTGAGCTCCTGGTCATCCTCGGACATGGCATTGAACGCGTGGCTGTGCTGCAGGATCTTGCGCGACGTGGCGGCAATGTCATCGAAGATGAGCTCCGATGTGATGTTCACATTGGTTTGCGAGACGCTAGAGCTGTGCTTCTGAGAGCTCAGCACGACGAGCTTCACCTTGGTGGCATTCTGGGCAGCCTCATGCAGTCTCTTCAACAGGACCGTCTCGCCGCAACTGGCCTCGTCCACGCCATCGACCACAAGAACCAGCTCCTTGGCGCCTTGCAGAGTGGCCTTCAGTGCACTTCCCATGGTAGACCACAGGATATCATCGTACGACTCTTCGTCGACGATCCGCTGGCTGCGGTAGTACGCATCAGCCAGGATCTGGTACAGCCTCACATTGCCGATCCGCTTGTCGAACAGCTGCGACAGGATGGTCTTTGCGACCGCGCGGGGGGTCGTGTTGGCGGGGATCCGACTGTCTGGGTCCCAGTTAGAGAGAAGGAGGTTTTGAGAGACAAGTAGGTAGGTGCTTACTGATTGGAGCAAAGATGGATTTATAGGTCACGCCTCCGACGGGATGCTGCAGATGATCGTTGATCACGGTCGACAAGATGGACTTGCCAGAGCCGGGCTTTCCGGTGATGGACAGGATCTGCTGATCACTTTTCAGGAACCGCGTCAGATACGGAGTCACCCAAAGACAGGTCGATTCTTCTCGTTCCTGGGCGAAGTGGGCGGTGGTCTCGCTGATGTTGGCGAGGACGGGGTCCTCGGGCTCGAGCCAGCCTTTGATCGTTTTGATTTCGGTCACTGGGATTATGTTAATGCATGTAAGAAAGCAACCACCAGCATAGTCTGCAGGAAAACCAGGTCCCGTACCTTTGTCGCCATTGAGTCCCTCGCGCATCAACTGGTGTCTCCACATCAGCTCGGACACATGCTCGCAGCGACCGCGGAAGCTTTCAATCGGGCCGGGGAAAGTGCTACAGATGTCGATCGAGACAGACTCGGACGTGAGTAGCGACCGGTGGAAATGTGTCGCGACGTTGACGACCAGGGTGACCAGATCTGCCAAAGAGAGGATGAGCTGATCCTTGATTTCCTGAGAGACCGTGAACAGCTCTGTCCGGTCGAGCAAATTCCCGAGTCCCATGGAGCAGCGATAGAAGAAGCCGAACAGATCCTGCAGGGCCGGGGCGTTTTGTTCTCCGAGCTAACCAGACCTCAGCATTTTCACAAAATCACCCGCGAGTAGATAGGATGGACAAACCTCAAGCAAACTCCCACAATGCACATAGGCCAGCTGAGCCGCCATATGGCTGTCCCCGGCGAACTGCTCAATAGCCGAATCGAACGAGTGCAGCCGCTCGACGAACAAGGCAGCCCAAACCAGGGCCTTATCGTATCCGCTTCCCTCGGGGGGGAGCTTCCTCATGCGCTCATATCGTATCCATTCCAACAGGCTGGCATAGTCGGCGTCGATCGAGGAGATCGTGTCGTCGCCGTTCCGACGGGAGAGGGAGTTGACCACCTCCGCGAGAGTGGAGGCTCCTCCTGCGCTGATTCTCCGGGATCCGCGTCTCGAGGATCCAGCCTGGAAGACGGTGTTGGTGTAGTTCTCCTGCTCCAGGATGTCGGATGCCCGGCGCGGGCCAAACAGAGAGGTCGGGGAGAGGGGGGAGCCGAAGGTGTAGTGGACGTTCGGTTGGAAGGAGGTTGCCATTTTGTTTGGATATTATTTGTGTTGATATTACCGGGTTAAATCAGTGGGTTGTAAGGTCGGAAGAATGGGTGGAAGCTTTTGGTAAGTCAGAGTCCGATTGGAGTTATTAATAGATATGAAAATAGGAGGTGAGCGTCTTGTCTGCTGATTGATTCCAGGAAGTCACAATATCAATATTGATCGATTATTTCGAATATCGAGTGTCACATTAATCATTGTATAGATAAGTATAGAGACTGAGATGATCATTTGGTTGCCATCGTGGGAATATCACACACAACCAACATTTATATTTTACCCCGTACTTTCTCCCCACAATCAGCTCGCAGTGCAAGACGTCAATGTGAGGTAGTCCCCAGCCAAACCCATAGGACTCTCACCCTGGACGGTGAGCAAGAGTTACGATCGAGCAAGTAACACAGAGAACCCTCATCCCCACATGGCTAGACCAGGTATCGGTTGCGGAGATTGGTCTCCACGCACGACAATTCCATTCTTAGCAACCCGACCCAGTATGTAACCCGCGCTCTGCTGCACAGGCAGTATCCAGTGACAGCCTAGCCGACGGTGGCCTCGCCCCAAACAAGCCTTAGGTGGCTGGCTGAAACCTGGCCTTGGTATAGTTCCATGGGGCAGAGGGCGATTGGGTTCGAGATGCCGCAGTGTCGAGATCATCGATTGATGCGTAGGGCAGGATTAAGTTGCGCTGGGCGCTGAAAACGACGGCGGCGAAAAACTCGGGAGTCAGCATCCGAGTGCTTGCTTGACAGGGAGTCGAGTGGGCTGCGCAGAGTGACGAGATATGAGTTTGAGTCGCTCTTGGTACTTCTCTCTTGCTTCTTGCGCAGAACGCGGATCTGGGCCGACCTCGAATATATTGTCTATTGACATGAGGAAGGCAATCGTAGATCCCAAGCAGTTGATATTTGCCCATATATGTCGCGAGGCACGATTGATATAGCATGCGCGAAATAAAACCGCATCGATGTGCCAAAATCTCGGTCCGACCGGCCAAACATCCCCCAAGCATTCTCGACCCCCAGCCACGGATCCATCGCACGTCATGTCCAAACAAACTCCTGGATGCATCGAATCGGTGGTGCGCGGGAGACGATTGGGTTAGGGTTTGGCGGGGACAACCGCAAGCGGCGAGGCGTGCTTGTTGCTCGGCAATATGACGTTTCCAGCCCAACCGGGCGATCCACGGCTCGGGGGATGGGGACCCAAGGGACCTCCCCCCGACGACGATTTATACCAGCTGCTAGTGTAGCTTAATCCAAGCATGCCCCGGAGGGACGACCAGGTTCGGTTCACCTCGATGAGATGAGTAGAGGTTTCGTAAAGTAAAGAACTCCCAGACGTACCGGATTCGAGCCGATGCCAATCTGTGCCAGTTCCTCAATGATATCCTGCCGACTATCCTTCATGCTGATGGTATTCAAGAGCAGAATGACCTTCCGATGGAGATCCGGGCAATCTGAGACATGATCTTGTGCATAATCCATAATCACATCGTTTAGCGGAATTTTATATTCCTCGACACAGCCCAGTGGAGCGACGACTGGTGCATACGCCATCAACTAACCGAGCTCCCATCCATAGTATTGTATCGTGGCCAGATTGCGTCACCGTACCGCTTGTCTGCGATGGCCAGCGCAGTACTGCGACGCCCACGCCTCCACCCTGGGAAGTCGGGCCCTTTTATCCAGGAAATGCTCTCCCGGTTCGTGGGATTCATTGCCAATGTTGGGTTATTAGGGTTGCAATGGCTCAAACATGTAAAGAAGTAGATACGGAACATGCATTGGAATATTTTGGAATAGAGCGAGAAAATACTCTAAAGTTTAAAGTAGTAAAGGGATAAGAGCGATGGGGGATGGGGGGGGGGGGGGGGGGGGGGGGTTGTTCGCAGAGATGGAGGTGTTACGGCTGCTCTTCCGGTGCAAATATATATCCCCCAAACCACCGTGTGTGCAATCCCCGTCGAGGCCGGAAATGAAGGATCCAGACCGCCGACACAATGGACCCCCTGGCTCAGCGGCGTCGAATCTTGATATTTACCTTCTTTGGTTTGTAGAACCAGTAGGACGTGTTGTCCAATTTGTCTTCAGGAGATTCCAGCTCGAGATGGAACGATCTAAGCAGCTCTGGGATGACCTTATAGATCTCAACCATAGCCATCTATGCAAAAGACATGACGAGTGAGTTTGTGATTGAATCCTGGACAATAAAAGTAACTTACATGCTTGCCCATGCAGGTCCGAGAACCGAAGCCAAACTGTCATTTTTGTTAGCAAGTAACCCCCCCCACCCCCCCCTTTCACCCATAGGAGTAACGTACCTGCATGATATACTGGCTCATATTATTAGCGCCGGGAGCGAGCCAACGATCAGGGTTGAAACTGTGGGCGTCCTCCCCGAAGATGGAGGTATCGAGATGCACAATAGCAGGGTTCACCCCAATACGGGCGTGGCCTGGGATCCAGTGGCCGGCAACTTCGCAGCCCTCCTTGGGGGCATGTCGCGGAAAGGTCAAGCCCACGATCGGATGGAAACGCATGCCCTCCTTGATGCAGGCATCGAGATAAGGAAGCTTGCTCGCTTCTTGATACGCCAAATGGGGGGAGCTGAGCTGGTCGTTCATAGTTGCATGGTCGATCTCCTCGACCAGGGCATCATACACCTCTCTATTCTTCACAATGTGGAAGAGGATACCCGACAATGTAATGGCAGTCGTATCACTCCCCGCAAAGCTTCCACTTCCATCAGCTGTGGCTCCTTGCGGAATGATAATAAGAACTTACAACGCCACCCAGGCCTCGACTTTAACGTCCTCGACCCTCAAATCCACTTTCGCCCCCTGAAGGCGATAGATGTTGAAGATCTTGGTCAGCACGTCGGGCTTTTGTTCCTCGCCTCGCTTCTCAGCCTGCAGGCGATCCTCGACTGCCTCGTCAGCCGCCTTGACCAGGGTCATCGTAGCGACCATGGCCTGGCGAATGCTGGAGAACAGAAGTCCGCTCAACATGAAGGCCGACCGGAGGTAGCTGGGCAGGACACCCGCCACGGCCATGACGGGGATCATTGTGTCCGTGGACTCCATGTAGCCGAGGTGATCCCTCATCTCCTGTAGAAACCCGAACATGCGACCGAAGTAAAACTCGCCGATCACGTCGTATGCATACCTGTGGTCACCGTTATGATCGAGCTTGCCGGACATCGGAGGGCTATACACACATTCGAGCCCAGTGAAGGAAGTTGATGGTGGCTTTGTTATCTGCCACCCCCCCGAGCTGTAGGAGGAAAAGATCCGTGACCTTGTCGACATATTCCTCGGCCTGCAGGATGCTAGTCATGGAGTAGACGCTGTTGACGATCCTCCGCCGAACCGCATGGGACTTTGGATCAGTCGCGGTGAAGTGATCTGGGTATCGCACTGCGTGGAGTTAGATCTAACCTATACACGGAGGATCAAGCGGTTCATACCTCCCGGTGCTCGGAAAGTAAGATAAAAGTCCGTCTTTCTTTGCTTGTTAGCTTCATCGCCCCGGACCAGGGGTTCCATGGGGGAACCGACCTTGGTGAACCCAGTGTTGATGCCGTAGATCGTCTTGATCGCACGGGGATCACTGATGGCGAGCTCGTTGGGCGCGATCCGGATGATAGGGCCTGCTAGAGCTGAGTGGGCGAAGGAGGGGGGAAGGGCTGATCCTACCGACCATATTTCTCATGCAGTTGCTTTTGCTCTGTCCCAGCCCTGCCTCGCGCCACATGCAGGACAATCCACAGCCTAGACACTGCCGCCAGGGGAGGGCCAGGGAACTTGGACAGGGGGTGCAGCCATCTTGCATAAAAGATCCAAGCAACCCAGTAGAGGGCGAGTGCCCATGCCGCTGCGTAGAAGGTCGCGTGGACGTCCATCAGGCTTCCTGGATGTCCGAATTTGAAATCCTGGGAACGGAAAGGAGGAACAGGAAGAGCGACTGGCGATTCAGCAGAGGAGGGCTGATGAACCTGGTCTTTACCCCGCCTTGCGGTGGACAGGAGAATCCGAAATGCGAGATTGCGAGACGGCGAGGCTAGTCGTTGGCCGTCCCGCAGGCCGTCCGACGCCAACTCGGACGCCGGCCAGTGATAAAAGAGCGACGGTGGTCCAGCTGTCAGGATGTGACACAGCGCCCTGCATTGATAGGCCCAGCCATCTATCCCCGGCAATTTGGCCAGCCGTTGGTGTATTCTAGTGTCGTCAAACGCACATGTTGAACCTAGTGCATCTTTAGGGCTAGAAGGATGTCGAGACACCTTTTTAGTCTAAAACGGGGGGGGTACCGGGCAACTTCCAACAGCACAGGAAGACCCACAAAGTTTCAACACCGGTTTAATTTAGATTAGACAACCAGTAAAGGCAGAAGCCGTGGTCATATGTCACGGCCATTCCAGAAGGAAAGCACCAGTTGTAGGGCTTCGCCCGAATAATGCCCTCGATCGGCGAATATGATCTCAAGCACTCTTCCCGGGGGGCCTGCGGTTAATCTGAACTGCCGACAAGCTCCTGCTTCTGACCAATACTAATGCCACGACTGCTAAGATAATGTAATAAATTGGGTGTCCAGATCTGTGCGGGCCAGAGCCTCACCATCCAGGAGGCTATCCACGTAGCATTCTCCAACGAGTACGTCCTCGAGGTACCCCGGTAACCGACGACGCCAGTATGCAAGCGAAAGCTTCCTGGGCACAATCACCCCAAACATACGACAACGCCTCGTAGTTAGGGTTGTCTGACAGCGAGGTATGTCTCAAACGGCGCCGTATGTGAGCCTTCTCTTTCCCGGACTCCAGTACCAACAGGCGGATCTCACCAGCTGCTCGAATAGGTACGTATGATGGCCGAAATAGCGCGTTATTCAATCCGCGATACAGCGACACGCTCATGTTGTAGGGCTTGTCCCTGTGCCGGTAGAGCGTGTAGGCGCCCAATCCTAGAACAACGGTGAGTCCAGGAGCGCTGGAAGTTATAAGGATTTTTGCAAGCCTGACGGAAAGATTTATATGGGATAAGTTCGATGGCTTGGCCTCCTCAGGCCTCGCGGGCTTCGCGTATGATCTGGACCGGGGAGCGCCGCGTGTCGGAACGCAGGCCTTCTATCGTGCTCGACGGACTATCTGTAACATGATAGCTGCTTTGTGTTACTATCCTGAAAGAATTCACCATCAGATGAAAACCAGGATGGCCCCTCGTTTTGAAAGCAGATGGCGAGGGGTTCAACTGAGGAAGGACACGTCCAGCAGCCAGTGGAGCCATCCACTAGAATGAAGCAGATCTAACCGACCTCCGACTGTTGGACAAACATTCACTGGACACCAAAATTCCCAGCCACCTTCAGTGCCATCGGCTCTTAAAACGATGTTGAAGGCGCACCTTTTTCTCTACTAGCCTGACTTCGTATCCTCTCCGATGACCCCTATACAATCTACATTTCGTTAGAAGGCGGATTGAAGGCAGTATACCCGATGAAGCTGGTCATTCTGATTCAAGATGATCGAATTTAAATCAAGCTCCATGAAATCAACGCGAAGTGCCGTGGTACTCGAGAGCTTATCAAATGACTCCTACCACCAAGTCTGATCTATTCCATTACGATGGTTCCCAGCACAGCTCACGCATGAACAACTTGACCAGTACGGATAACCTCACAACCTGAATCTTCCCCCGGGTCAGCCGCCATACCTTTCCCACTGTTAGTCCATCCAAGCTTTACCACTGGGCTGGTGGTTGCAAATGTTTCCGGGGTTTGCATTTCTGCAGTGATTTCCATCGACTTCATGCGAGCAAGATGGCAACCGTCCTCAAAAAGCGTTGCGCCCATGCGAAGAAAGTGCCACTTCTGATCGCCCACCCAGTCCTTTGACGTGAGAGCAACATTGACTCTAAGGGTCTCGGCCAGGGCGATCGGTCGCGGGCGATGTCGACCAGATATCAATGAGGCGGGCCCGGACGGTGCAATGCCACCACGACTGTCCACATCTGAGCCACTGCCCGGGCTTTCCACTCCACGACATACAGTTACTTGTCGCATCTGTTCGGAAAGACCCTCTGGTGGCTCTGGCAGGCTTAGTGGCTGGATGAACTTGGCCAGCGTGCACGAAATCCCGAGTGCGGCAGTAAAGAAGCTTGCTATCTCGGGCGACTGTGATAGCAGTACCTGGGCCGTGGAGCACCTGGAATCATCCCACACTTCACGAATGCTATTCTCTCTGTTTCTGCCAATGGGCGAAATGATCTTTTCTTCGGGCTCATACAAGGGCACCTCAACACATTGCGCCAAAATTGAAGACCTCATCAGGGATCGATGAAGGGTGACTCTTAACACCTGTCTGCGGGAATCGATCTCGGGATGGACTAGCATCAGGCGAGGGACCTGTTTTTGCTTCAGAATCTCCCCGGTCTGGAGGTGGATCAAACACCATTGTCGATCCCACTGCAAGCCCGTCGGGGTGGCATTCCACGGTTCATCATCCGGGACCCAGTACGCACAGCAGCCTCGAATCGGGTAGACAATGACGCTGTGTATGCGCAGCTCCAGGGGTGCGGATTGGATGGGAGGCGTCAGGGGGTGGTTTATCCATTTCCCGGACCCATACTGTTGGTGGATAAAGGCCACAAATCTCTGCACATCTTGAGGGGTGCTCATGGCTCCCAGGCTTACCCGAGCAACTCCCGATGGCTTTGACCCGACAAGGATATTTCGACATCCACATCGCACCCCTGCAGTATAGTTGCGGATGCATTCCCACGGCTCTAGACCTAATGCCTTTGTGAGGCCCCCGGGGTTGCAGAGATCGCCAGTCCTCAAATGAATGTGGTGTTCATTAGCTGCATTTTCGAGCACGGACAGCCGAAGCCAGCGGCCATCATCCGACTGGATATTGAAGGCGATTATGGGTCCCTGTGTCTTGGAGTTCCCGTATTGCGCTGCTGGATCCTGGTAGATCATGCACACCCTAGTGCCGTTGGGGTGCTTCAAGGCTGAGAGCTGGTGATAGAGCATGGCGGTAAGACCAGTCGTATGGCGCGAGACCTGCTCTTGGGAGCCATACAGCTGCCGATGGCTATCCAGTGCACAGCCAAGACCAATGATGCTGTGGAAAGGAATGGTACCGTCTTCCAGACTTTCGTGCAACCGATCGATCTTCCTTGAATGCCACGGCTGATCGGAGCAGACCACCATTTCCACGGTGCCCCCGCCAAAGTAGGGTCGTTGCGTGAGAATGTGCGCCGATTCTCTCCTCACTATGAGGCCTCCTAGGTCAGGAAAGCCAAAGATCTTGTAAAAGCTAACAGCTGTGAAGTCAGGGGCCGCGTCCCGATCACTCAGATCCAGTGGGGCGGTGGAGGCCAGCGCGGCCGCATCTAACAATGTGAAGATCTTCTGATGGGCTGCATATTCGGATTGACGTAGACGCCCTGGCCAGTTCAGCGGCAGTCGACGTCCCGTCATGTTGGACTGTCCCGGGTATGCGAATAGCCCGACCTGAAAGGTCTTGGACACTTGCCCAGGGCATCGATCGCTTTCCTCCTTGCATGGTGCCGGTCTGATCCATGACTCCACCTCGGCATCAGACTCGAAACAGTGCTGTCCCGCATCGGCCAGCTCTCTGACTCCGACGATGCTGGTGTGAGATTCGATGTGATGTCCAAACCACAATCGGGGCCCTATGAATTCTCCATCATGACCCCTGGTCTTGGGCACAGGGAAATGTTTCAAAGCTTCAACAACCAGCTTCACAGCGGCAGTGGCATTCATCACAAACACCAGATCAAAGTGTCTCGGATCTGCATGGAAGAACTCGAGCGTACGCTTCCGGATATCATCCACCTTCGCCGTGGAAAGCCGAGATGACCGGGACTCGGAATGTGGATTCCCCAGGAGATTGTTCGACATTTCCTGCATGAATCCTTGAAGTGCCGACTGCGAGTACAGCGTAGTCCCGGTGTGGTCCAGGTAGACTTCCCCTTTATCAACCAAACCTGTGAGTTGCGTGATGGCGTGATCATCTGGCCCAATGTAGCACGTACCTTGAAGCATGGGATACTCCCGTTCCCGCAACGCTTCGGCGTCATAGCCAGTGACTTGCATGTTTTCGCCCATGGTAAATCTGATGAAAGAAGTCAGATTCTAAGCAGTGTTGATTTCTGTCGCTAGATGTTGAGTGGATGAGAAATTCCGGGGTGCCTTGTTGAGGAAATGAGTTTACGCACAGGGTAGACCCAGAAATCATAAATGTCCGGCACAGCTTTTGAATCGAAAGGATCGACAATGCTTTCCAAATTTGCTGCTCGATATGGAGCCTATGAGTCCTCATCCCACACCGCCAAAATCAGGCTGCAGCCGGTTTCCTCTGTTGACCATCGTCATGATAATCATCTGTTCAGCTCGCTGGTCATTTCACCAAGCGGGACACTCGATATTTCCGATCTTCACTCTATCTGGAATGTTACCTAGGTGTAATCCTCGTTGGTGTCTTTCCAAACAGAGAAAGATGCAGCAATGGACAGTCGGATGCAGCGCAAGTGCGTCAACCGACCACCTCGGTATCATCTGAGACTAGATAACGATGTCGACTACGCAATTATCCCAATAGAAGCTGCTAGCAATAGATGCATGGGGACCAGATAGGAAAGAGACCAAGCATAGCGGGCGGCCTCAAAGGCAAGCCTCAAACCTTGGTGTCGGTGATCTGGGTTCAGTCTTCTGATTCGATATCGGATTTTTGGTGATGGTATCATGCACTGGTACTGAGAATAACAGAACCGGAATAGTGGAGACACGAGCAGGTTAAATTGCGCCCTTTTCTCGACTCTATCTTGGACAGGACATCGGGTTCATTCATCTTTCCATCGCTCTACTACCGAGTCTTTACTTCTATTTCCTTCCTTTCTCTTGGAACGAGGACACCCTTTAGTTCCACCATGGCTGGACCAGTTCCCCCACATGACCCTGGTATTGAGGAGAATAAACTACGTCTTCTGAAGCATTTCGGTGGGGAGGGGCCTCCTGCGAACGACCGCTGGGCGGCCTTGTGGGATGCGGGAGACTTTCTTCCCTGGGACCAAGGCGTGCCGAATCCCGCGCTTGTCGATGTCATGAGGGACCGTCAGGATCTCGTTGGAGACAGTGTCCTCGTCGATGACGGAGGCGAGCGCCGTCGTAAGCGCGCACTTGTCCCAGGATGCGGCCGTGGCTATGACGTCCTTCTCCTATCAAGCCTAGGCTACGACGCGTACGGCTTGGAGGTGTCATCCAAGGCAGTGCAGGAGGCCCAATCGTGGGCAGCACAGCATTTGGATGACTATCCCGTGCGTGACGAGTCGATCGGTCGTGGAAAAGCCCAGTTCATCGCGGGGGACTTCTTCGACGACGCGTGGGTCGCGCACGCTGATGGTGTCGGAAAATTCGACTTCATATACGACTACACGGTAGGTCTTCGATGTCATTCTCTTCCGATGTGGCTCTCATGAGGTTCCTGTTCCTGGACTTCGCAATCCCGAATATACATTGCGTGCTCAGGAACCGGAACGGTCAAAGCTGCCTTTGCCCTCTACTGACAGCACGCAGTTTTTCTGCGCCCTGGCCCCTTCGCTCCGCCCAGCATGTGCATTACGGTTTTGCAGCCTTCTTGCATCCCTTCCTGGCAGTGTCATGATCTGCGTCGAGTTTCCGACTTTCAAGACCCTGTCCCAAGGTGGACCGCCATTTGCAATGCCTTCATCCGTCTATGTCGCACATTTGGGTCATCCCGGACAGGAAATCCCGTACGAGGAAGCGGGCATACCGAAGGAGCGCTGTGAGGGAGGGGGGCCTGGCCTACAGCGGGTTGCACATTGGAAGGCCGTGCGATCGCATCCCATGGGAAGAGATACGGACTGGGTCAGCGTATGGAAGCATGCAGTCTGAGTGCAGAGCAGTTAACTGGCCCGGCGATCAGCAAATTGAACCTTGTTGTATCCAGTAGGATGACATGGGGAGCGCGCTCTAACTATTATTTGCATCCATTGACTGCTTAACCGTGCTATCGAGTAATTTAAATGATATAGGCGGTTGGCCAGTAGATTCCAGCCTCGTGTTCCCGTCCGGCTGCAGGGTGGAAGGGCGTGCAATGGTTCATACCCCACAGACAAAGTTCAAGCTAAGGGTTACAGTCCATTGCCCAGCTCGGTACACTGCATGAGAAATCACGCCACAGCTAGTCAGCGGAATGCAACTAGCTGAAACCTCACCCACCATCGATAAGATCCCTGTACATATTTTCCATGTGTATCAAATGGCGGAATGACTTGCTGTTGAGCTCGGATCTTCGGATGCACGCTCGTTTGGAGGGCATGCATGGGATGTGGAGGTGGAGAATATATCCGGCAGGCCAATTATAGACACCCCGGTCAATGCACCACACAGCAAGGAGGTTTGCTATTGTACCATGCAGATCTTTGTCCCCTTGCCACTGTGATGTGTGATGTGAGCGAGTTATACGAGACGAACACAGCAGCTTGCAGTAGAGTATCCTTGCCTCGATCGATATGGTATGTGATGTGTTTTGGATCCCTAGGAAACAGTCACCAATTTCAAATTCTGTAACAGAATTTTGTTTCTCATTGTATCAATGTTGCTAGATAGATCTATTGAGTCAGCCTCACATCTTGCGGCGGGAGTACGTCGTTTGTTAATGTCTTGCGGGGCATTTCTGACCTAGAGTATGGCAGTTGGCAGCGCTACCAGGTGATTACTTAAATAAGGATATATAGTTACGCACCCTAGCTGGGGTTTTGAAAAGGCCCTGGGTCGAAATTGTATGAGCCATCAACTTCCTAGGTCTGTCCAGTCTCAGGCCTGGATTTTTTCAATGTCCATCGGCAACCCCGAAAGGGGAATTCCGCCCGTCCTGACAGCGGCATCGACCAAAGGAGTAATCAGGTGTGGTGTCATCCTGGCATCCTCTGGATATAAACACCAAGGGCAAAATTTACTGGCAGGAAAATTTGTCAAACTGGCACGCAATGAAGGATGATCTTAAATCTATTCCGAGGGCCATCGCCGCCACCGAGTGCCCCAACTTATTTCGATATAAGGTAATAACATAAGACCCCACGATAGCAAATATTTGCTGACTTCGATTAGGCTTGAGAGTGATCTTGTATGGGTCCCTGGAGACGATGATTCGGCTAGATATTACCATGTTCTGGGAAAGATTCTCTTGTGCCTGAATCAACCACTCTGCGTCAAGGACATTAAGGTTCATTTTCAGGGCTTCCGTTACATGAAGTATGAAATGTTTTCCCCGCGCCATATTCAAAGCTAATGTGACCTAAAGTTGGGATAAGAACTTCCCCGAATTTATTATCAAGCATCGGAAGATCCCATTCGGGGAAAGAGTCTTCATGCATCAGATCTGGAGCTTTCTCCGAATACCTGGAAGTTCAGCACCTGTCAATGTACCAGCTGGGAATCATGAGTTCCCATTTGACTTCTGTCTCTCCAGCGAGACCCCAGAGTCTGTTCAAGGACTCGATGACTGCTATATCAGATACCACCTCAAAGCACAGATTCAAACCACCAAAGGAGGGAATCTCGATGTCGTGAAACCCGTTAGAGTGTGCAGGATACACCAGTCAGTATTATTCCCGGTGTCAAAGGTGAGTTAGGAGACATACCAACAAAGCAATACATTGAGAGAAATCTAATTTCGAAAGACTTTGCAGAGAGTATGGCCGCAGAAAGTGATATATCGTGCCACTATACCATCCGGGACGTACAGCTTCGACAGCCTGATCCCGGTCAATCTTCACTTCATACCCCTCGTCAAAGGGATCCGCATCGATGGCATCAACACTCATGTCATCGAGTCTCACAAGTCAACACAACCTCCAGTTGGCCATCGGTCCCGTGTTATCGTGGAGGACAATTACCAAGCCCAAGAATGGGATGGATTCGAGACCCTGTCGGATGATGACGGCCACTGGTATTGCCTGACACGCGTACTTCGACTCCCCCGGACAACGATACAATGCCTTCAGAGCACGAGGACCAGCTTCCTGCATGTGGACCATATTCTCAGCATCCGAATCGGCCTGCTCAACCCCGATGGCCACTTGTCCGAGGTGCGGATTCTACCTTCCCCACTACGGTCTTCCTACTCACCCTAGCCTAGATTAGCTTGACGTGGCCTATCTTGATTCATTTCCCGATTCCCTCTGCCCTAAGTGAATACTTCACCATTCCAGGCTTCGACCACGTCTTGTTTGCAGGGAATGGTCAGACGGATCCCCTCCCGCACTACAAGGATCATACCATGCACCGGACACCTGATGAACCTCTCCCCGAGACATCACCCGATGACCCTGGAAATCAAGGATTACCGGAGTATGCGGAGTGGGACAGTTTGAGCAAGGTCCCGAGCTATTCGACTGCAATCCGCTCTGGACCTTCAAGTCCAACCCCCTAATCTGACGAGGGCTGATTGATGTACATACCCTTGGTGGGTTGCTTTTTCGTCCCGGGGTCGCGTAACAATAGCACCTGAAGTCACGGCACTATAGCCTTTTGCCTAATCTGAGCCGATCCTCTCTCCAAAATGAACTTATGCCAGATTTGAGTCGTAGACTCAGACTGCTTTGTAATTAGTAGCACCAGCTGCTTCCGCCTATTGGCTACCTGGGATGGTGGACAGTGTCAGAACTAGCCCTGTCACATCCATCCAGGTGTCTGGACACCGTTTTGATAGATGAGCTTTTATTTCAGTCGATAGCCCTATATACATGTAACGCATATATATATTGTTGTCGTTCGAGGAGGTATGAGAAACGGGGAAAAGAAGTCCTATTAATTAGTTTTTCAGCAGAACCAAATTCCGATCACATCGATCAAACCGGATTCCCGAACAAATGCAAAGTGCCGAAAACATGCTACCAGTTGAGACAAGTAGGGACACGTTGGTTTTCGGGAAGGACCGCCCGAGATGCCGACCGGGTGGCCACGTGACAGGAGGGGAGTTCAACGATGGTCCGCCTGCCAGCCATTGGCCACTCTCGCCGGGCCGAGGGGGCGGCCGACTTCCCGTTCTGGCGATGCCGCCCAGCGCCGGAACCCTCGCCTCTCGCCTCTCGCCAACCCTCGCGGCTTCAACACACGAAGACCGTCGGCAATCCCGCATATTTCCAGCAAGCCACGATACATCCCGGCAGGATATTCTGCATAGCCGACATGGAGCTCGCGTGGCTGGCGGAGACCCCGCAAACCCGCCACCGGAAGCGGGCACTGCGCGCCTGTCCGCGGTGTCAACTGAAGAAGAAGCGCTGCCATCATCTAGATCCAGAAACAACCCCCAATCGGGCGCAGACGCGACCTGTCTCTCGGAGCTATCGACAGCCCAGACCCAGCCCACCATCCATCCTCAACCGGCCTGCTGATGATGCCGTGGTGCAAGATGCCCGGCCCAGCCCCACGTCTCCAGCGACGGAAGGGGGCATGTCCCGGCCAGAGCGATTTCTGGGTGCCATGAATCCCGAGTCGTTGATGAGAGAGAAAATCGACGCGGCCACGAATGCGAATCTCCTCCGTGATCGCATCGGGCTATGGATCACGTCACCAGATACGAGCCAGAATGGACCGCGCCCCAGGGATGCCCAGAGCGCTGCTATCTCGTCATCGGCGGGATTGCAAGCCATCTCGTATCAATTACAACGGAAGCTCGAGTCGGCGATGAACGCTTTCACCAACCTTCCAGCCTCCACTCGTCATCATCTGATCCCCATCTACCTATCGAAGATTAATCACATGCTGCCGATAGTTGACCAAGATATCTTCCTCGCCGATCACTCCGAGGGTCCAGTGTCGCCATTTCTCGAAAGAGCAATATGCTTGGTGGCAGCAAAAGACAGAGCGGCTCTTCCGTACCTTCGTCTCGTGGAAGATGGTCCTGTTTTGTCGTCGCGGGAATTCTGCTCTAACATTTATCGTGGCCTCTCCGTTGTCATCAACGAAGGGCTGGAGACAGACAGGATCACCCGAATCAGAGTGATGGCTTTGATGTCCCTACATTGCGAGGACTCTGACGGTACCGAGACAGCATCCATGCACCTATGCCATGCGATCCATCAGGCTCAGACAGTGGGGTTGCATCTCATCCGACCCAGAAACACCGATCAGGATTTATCGGGGCTCTTCTGGTGCCTATGGACCCTGGACAAGATCCATGCCTGCATTGGCGGTCGCCCGGTGCTTCTCTTGGACAGCGACATCGGTGTCAAAAAGCCGGCTGCAGTAAGGAATAACCAACCACGTCCCAGGACGGCGTTCGAGATTTGGTTTGCGATCTCCGATTTATTATCGGACGTCATACATCTCTACCGACCGGCCGCAGACCCTGACAGTCGATGGGAAAAGGGCTTCCCCAATTTCCATGAAATCGTGGGTGGCAACGTCAACCAATATTTGGACATTGCGACACTGGGTATGTCTTCCATAATTAGAGGCATACGTTGCTTCCTATTTGCCACGTCCGGGGATTCAACGTGACCTTCCCTCTTCAATATATTGTCTGAAACCCATGATCATGCTAATTTCGACCTTTTAGGTTTCTTGGAGCTATTTTACAATTCCGTCGGAATTTTGTTTGCCAGAAATCGCAGCGTGGAGCATTCAGAAACGTCAAACTCGTCGCACATCCGCCAGGATCTGGCCGCCATTCGGATCCAGTCCATCGTTGCCACAGAGTGCCCCGACGGCTTGTTGCCTCTTCCAATTGTCCCGTACGCTTTGGGGCTATCCATGGGTGTTTCCTACCAGCAATACAGATCGACTAACCTGGTGACAAGCCTCACTCGCTGCAAAACCGACCTCGAAGCCCGCTGCGCGCTCATGGAGACTATCAGTCCCTACTGGTCCTCTGCCGACACAATGGCACGCTTGGGACGAAAGGCACTGCACCATATCCAGGAGCGCACCCCCGGTTACCGTCCAAGTCTTTCCACACCCATGCACGCGATGCAGCCAAGGGGTCCAATTTCAGCCCCGTCATCCGATCTTTCTCAGAGCAACCGTGCCCCATTCAATAATTCAGCCCCCGCCGACCCTATGCAGGGATACCACGCGGAGGATGTTGCTGAATCGGAACAAGCTCATCTGCAAGGCATAAGTCTTGATGGGTTTGCAGACATTGATACACTTTTTGGTGATTTTCTGGATCTTTCGTTGCCGCATGGATTCCTGGACTCTGCGATCTTCACCCCCGAGCCTGCTGGACAAGGACAACCATAATTGCACTACCGCCTCGTTTGTCTCATGAAACAACGCACTTAATGACCAGTATATTCATGCTCTGATATACATAAAATCGAATGCTATCAAGCCCTGAAGTCTATTTACATATCCCATGATAGCTCCACCACTTATTTCGCAGCTAATCTCTCCTCCAGCCCCTTCCGCACCGGAGGCAAGACATAGCGACCATAATCAATGGCATCATTGAGATTATCATACCCACGGATGGAAATCAAGTCCGCCCCAAGATCCACATAATCCAGAATCGAGTCCACGATTGTCTGTGCGGACCCGACCAACGCCGTCGACGCTCCCCGCGCATTTGTCGCCGTGACAGTAGGATACCACAGCGCACGATCCTGCACCTCACCCTTGGCCGCGATATCCAGAAGCCGCTGAGACCCGGCATTCTGCGGCGCCGGCGCATTGGCAGGGACTCTGCTCAGGCCGTTCGCGCGGAACTCCTTCAACTTGTCCAGTGTTTCATGCGCCTTCTTCCACGCCAGCTCATCTGTCTCCGCAATAATGGGCCGGAACGTGACCCAGATGCGCGGCCGGTCCGTGGGAGCACGACCTGCCTTGTCGGCCTCTGCGTAGATCCGGTCGATCTGCTGCTTTGTTTCCTTCAAAGGCTCACCCCACAGGCCGAAGATATCGGCCAGGGAGCCACCGACCCGGTAGGCCTCGTCCGAGGACCCGCCCACAGACACGGGGATAGTGCCGTTTGTCGGGCGAACCTTGTTGGTGAAGCCCTTGAATGTGTAGTACTCCGTCTCCCAGTCGAAGGGGTCGGCGGACTCCCAAGCGCGGCGCAGAATGCGGATGTATTCCTCCAACCGGCCGTAGCGCTGCTCCTTGTTCAGGAAGTCGCCTTCCTTGGCCTGCTCGGCATCGCTGCCGCCGGCGATCAAGTGGACGACGACGCGCCCGCGGCTGAGCTGGTCGAGGGTGGCGAGGGCTTTGGCGGCGACGGTGGGGTAGAGGGTGTTTGGGCGGAGAGCGATGATCACCTTGATGTTCTTGGTGACGGAGGCGATGGTGGCGCCGATAGTGAAGGGGTCGTAGGAGGAGGAGTCATAGGGGACAAGGGTGTAGTTGAAGCCGTAGTCGTCGAGGGAGCGGGCGTAGCGGACGAGGTAGTCCGGGTCGATGCTCGCGTTGGGGATGGGAGCGACCTCAGTGGAGGCGTTGGGGAAGGTGACACTGATGAATTCGGTAGGCATGGTGAGGGATGGTCTGGAGATGAGAAGGTGAGATGTGGTGGGATATGCTGGTATCGTGTGGCGAGTATATATGCGGTGGTGTTGCTGTACCCCGCAGGATATCAAGATGACGCGAGACACTAGGCGATCACGCCTTCACGACAGCCCGATACCGGGCGTGGTCCTGACATCCGAGTGGACGGACAGGGTGTTTCAAGTCGTCATTCCTGGTCGGCATTGTGCAACTCGAGATAAGTGAATCGAACAAAGGTTGACACCATCGGCAGTCGGCCGCATTATCCGGGTGGTGTATGGGAGTCCTCGCTGCGGGATCAGCCCATCAGTTGCCTGCAACAGCCCTGAGGGGGGTTGAGTTATCATAACTCTTAGAAATCACGACTACAACGTGTTGACCATATCTAGGATGATGTGCTTTGCCGATAGTCGAGGCCGTGTTGGATGCTGAATGCATACTCGTGTGGAGCGATGGCGTATCATGTCCCGTTTGGATGCTGTCGGGAGCGGCGTCATGGATACCCCCCCATGTACCCCCAACATCACAGTCCAGGCAATCTTGACGAGGGAAATTGAGATGCAGATTCACGGTGAGCCTTCAGGATGATAGGCAATGAAGATGGAGAGCATGAAAAGGTGGGTATGCCTAAAACCTTACATGAAATCAGTGCTGAGCGGTAATGTAGGCGTAGGGTTCAAGAATGGTCGTCCCAGACCTAGTCTCGTCAACTAGACTCCATTCTCTCGCTCTCCAACCCTGGTGTTGGACGCGAAGGGATAGAACGGGTACTTTCACTCCCTGAGCGAACCTTCCTGTACGACTTCATGCACAATGCACAGCCTTTCGTTTCATCGCTGAGGTATCGCCAACATCACGGCTTCGAGTCCGAGGTTTTCAATATTGGGACATTTCTCCATCTTTCAACCTCCAGTTCCAAGTCAGAATATGTAGTCTTCCGGTTCCCGCTTCGTCCGATCGATGCTTTCACTTGCACCGCACGACAAAGAACTCCCGAGGAAGATCACCCAGACCGCCCGATGAGATTCGGAATCGAATTCTCCTGACGGCTGGCTTTCTTACCATTCATTCTTCCACTAGAATCGCGAAAATAGCTGAGATGCAAGCCGAATCCCGTCTGGGCATACGCTAATGCACATGCTGTAGAATCATCATGGCATCGGATTGGATACAAGTAGGCTTACTGATAAGCTGTCCTCCAAGTGAGGAGATGAGCCGATGCTTTCAAACCTACTTGAGTAATCAAGACTTTGAAGGACGACCGGACAATTCACCAGAATTTCTATAGATCCACTAGCCCTGAACAGCGGTGCCGTCGTCTCCACATTAGCATGGCTTCCTACCAAAACGCCAATAATGCCTCCCACCCTGTCTGTTCAGAACCACGCACAGCCCATACCCAGTCGCGCGGTGCGCACTCGGCAAAATCTCCGGCGTGTAGGCATAGATGACCGCATAGTAGATATCGGATGCGGCAGTGATAGCAGCCGAGAGACCGAGATTCTGCGCTGGGGTTTTGATCTGAGTGTACCCGAACTGCAGTGCGGTCGGGATAGCAGCTCCGATGGCGAGGGTGCCACGACGTCCAATGCCGGGTATCTCGACCAAGATCCCCGCGATGGCTGGACCTGGACCCGCAAGCCCGCTGATCTGGTCGATCGCATAGTCGCGCCAGGCGTCGTACGTTGAAGTGTCGCCTGTGTCGGCACCGCGAGACTCGAGCTAGTACGGCAAGAAGACGTTGTACAGGGCACTGACGGTCCCGATGAGCAGCCAGTTGATGATGATCATGACGGTCGAGTACGCCAGTCGGCGCGTACTGACCAGACCGGAGAGATGTGCACGAAGTCTAGTCGCAGACCAAACAGACTTCCCTGTGTGCTGAACGCGACCTAGCTCCTGGAGCTCGGAGAGGGTGAGTGTATATGGCAGGTCGTACCGCTGGGCCAGAGTGGAGAGCACGTCCACGACTTCTACATCGCGATTCTGGCTGATCAGCCATTTCGGGGTCTGGACCAACCGGACAAGAGTCACCCGCAGCAGAGCCATCACGATAACGAGCGTGCCGCAGGTGAAGTGCAAGTATTGCCAGTCCATGTTCGCGGCCCGTGGACAATCCCCGTCGGGCACATCGGACGCGCAACTGTAGGTCGCCATGAATGCCCACGCTAGCAAACGGGTGATGGTGTAGCCGACGGCCCACCAAACGGCTAGGAAGGAGACCAGCCATGCATGCGAGACAGGCAAGAACTCGAGGAAGTTGGTTGCATCCAGGATGTAGTTTCCACCTGCACCCGCGGAGTAAATGGCTACCCTGGCAACATGTTAGCCGATGAAAGAAATGCAATAGGACCAATGTTCGTCTCACATGGCACAGAACTATATGTAGTTTGGCATCGCGCCCGCTATCAAAACGAAGATCGCACAGATGAAAAGACTGGAGTTGAGGACCCATTTGCGCCCGATGACATCCGCCGTAAACCCCCAGGTGGCCGCGCCGACGAGCAAGCCCACCTGGGATGCCAGGGCAACCCCTTTGATGCGCGGGTTGGGGCTGTCGAACTCCTGCGTCACAGCAGACTGGACAATCGATTGACACGAGATAAGTAGCTGGAGCGGTCAGTCAGAGGCAAAAGGTATCCGAGTCGGCATACCGAGTCAACACCGTATCCGAATCCGTTCAGGAAGAACAGCTTCCATTGGAAGGGAGTCATCCCGATCTCGTCAATGGCTTCGTTCACCCGTGCCATCTTGCGGGTCAAAATCGGGTCGATGACGGAGATGTCGATGACTTCCTGATTGTTCAGGTTCTCCTCCACCGAGCTTGCGACGATACGTTCGTTCTTCAACTCGGCCATTATACTGTTGAGATATCTCACGATGCGGACCGTGAAGAGACCGTGATACCCAGCGATGTATCTTATGCCTCGCATCATGACACCATCAACCCTGACAATGGCGATCAGCCAGGATCTCGAAAAACCAAGCTAGGATCCCTGCAGGCCAACAGTCAACCCTGCATGCAGGATCCGCTCGCCAGATATGTCCGTGAAGGGTTGGGATCCTGTTAGAACGAGAGACTGTGGCCAATGATTGACTAGTTTCAGAAGATAACAAACTGCAGCAGACAAGAAGAAAATGCAAATCCCGACTTGCCCCGCGAATATCAGCAGGGCATCAGTCGTGCCGGGCGCTTCCCCTCGGTTTGTGAAAGTCCGCCACAGGGCCCCGGACAGAGACATGGACCCTTGACCCCCCCGCTTCGGCGGACTGAGATGTGCGGTATCCCCAGCGATGAACAGCCGGTCCGTGTGGTAGTGATCTCTGAGCCGAGTGAGAAGACAGGAGGCATAGCTGGCAACCTCGACCGGGGCGATGATCTCGTTGGCTCGGCCATTGGGGTGGTCTTTTGAAATAACGGTAGGGGCATGCTCAAGAACGATGACTGGCGTGTCCTGCCGATGACCGTTGGCGTTAAGGGCGAGGCTGACCCGTCCCATTCTGATAATAAAAGATGGGCGGCAATGCTGCCAGCGAGAGGGGCTGCAGGGCGAATCCATTCAATCCGGCCGGCAAACATGATGCCCGCGTAGGATGCCCTCCTCCGATCGAGACCATCCCCCGGAAACCCGACCGCCAGCGCGAGTGCATCAGGGCGCGGGTGTCATCATGCTCTACCATGTGGCCGACGGGCTTTATCGTTCATGGAATAGAGCTAATCATGTAATCAGAACGTGAGCCATAAGGACAGTCCACGGTGCCGCTCGCGGCGACCGGGCAAAAGATGTGGCCAAGGGGCCGCAGCAACGCGCAGACACGAAGCCGGTCGCCGGCGGCCAGGCGACAAACAGCCGTGCATCTGGGGTAAGGGGATTACGGCGCAGCCCCTGGGGCGGTAAACTACTTCCATATTGGAGGAGCGCGAATCCACGGCGCTGGTGGTAATACGCTTACCCCGCCAACCCGCCGACCCGCCGCCCGTCCGACGCCCAGGCCGCTGCCAACACACTCCCAGGGTCAGGCCGATCAGCTCACGATAGTTGCAATAGTGAAGCGGTCAGCCAACGGCATTACCCCCTAGGAATACATTAAAACCATCTCCAAGCAACATATCCTCCAGGAACAGCGCATCCAACTGCGTGTCATTGTGCCCAACCGGTGGACAACCTGGATCACCGCGCGGTGCGCCTCTGACAGTCACGGCCGCGAGTTTTGCAGCACACCAAGCTCTCACCGACGCGAAGATCCTCGTCGCTCGGTCCAGCGGGTTCCTCGCGCACTCTTCGCCGGCAGGTCCTTTGGCGTGCTCGATATTGCCGATCAATCGGTCCATCACTTCCAGCACATCAACCGTTGACCGCACCAGAGTTCTATCCCAGGCGGGATCGCTCAGAGTCGACAGCTTGAACAGGACGATGAGGTAGCGAGCGAGCTGTGTGAAGAAGGGAAACGAGATACCGGGGTACTCGACGAGAGGTATCGTGAAGAAATTTGTAAAGGCCAGTTTGACCGTGTTGAGGCAGGTGTAGAGACAGTCGATTCTTTGAATGCCAGGGCCGGGGGGATTTTGGTTCGACAGGGCCAAGCCGAGAATGCTTATCTCTGTGTAATAGATTGAAGCCAGGAGGATCTCTAGTTGATCGGTAAGCGCTGATCCTGTGGGTAAGAGGGCAGATATCGGGACTTATCAAACTCACCCTCTCGCTCCAAGCCTGGTGAGATTTGTGCCTTGACTTCATCCACTTTATGTCGAAGAGCAGACAGATAAAAGGCCGGCGGAACGTTCTGTGTACCTTTTGCGCTCTCAACCTCCCCCGCGATACGCTGTAGTCGGGCTTGGTGTGCAGCCATCTCGTCGTACGGGGATTCCGTGCTTTGGCTCAAAACCTCCAGACATTCATCCATATACGACGTCCACTGCATGGTATCGATCTGCGCGAAGTATGAAGAAACGCTACAAAAGTCAGCCAAGCACGCGCGCATGGACGAGAAACGAACATCGAGCTCATGACAAAACACCCCAGAACAGCACGTCTCTCCTCGAGAGATCTTGTCGGAGCTTTGGGGATCACGCAGTCTCCCCCGACAGGGAGCATATTGGGATCATCTGGCAGTGGCTTGTTGAGACGAAGATCGAACACCAACGTCATGGCCAATTGTGTGAAACGCGACACTCTCGCCGCAGTGCCGTGGAGGAGATGGTCCTCGCCCCAAGCAAGGAATGTCAAGAGGCCGAGAAGTAGATCGATATTAACAGCAGCTGGATCATTGTCGAGGAAAATGCGGTCCGTCAAAGTCCGCTTGATTCTTTCTCCGAGTTGAAGCTTTGTCTGCGTTGATGGGGAAGATACAGTCATGATGCAGAGGTATAAGAACGGTCGTTCTCGGCGCAGCCATTGTGCATCGGCGGGAAGATGCAAGAAAGGGAAATATTTGAGCATTTGGGTGCGAAACTTTGCTAAAGATTCTTCGGGGGATAGGTCCAGGGGTAGGGATGGGGCCGCAGTCGATGATACTGCAGTTGTGGAAGAGAAGGGGGAGCTCGCATTGGAGGTGGAAATAGGTGGAGTAAGATGATCAGCACCACCTGCTTGCGGGGTAATATTCAACATGACATGACCACCGCTCATCATGGATACCAGGCCATCCAATTTTCCTTCCAGACGGGCGATAGGGTTGTTTCGCTGGGCGTTGAGGGCGCGAGTCGAGTCGCCGGGCAGGCACGGTTTGTTCAGACGAGAACACCTCTCGCAGCCCCGGCCACCAGGTTTGATGACGCACCTGCATTTCGATCGTGAACAGTTGCCACAGGCCTATCTATCCATTAGCCATTTCATCAGTGCACAGCAGGTAGGAGGTACATGCCCGTCCGTACCGCTGAGTAGTCGCTGCACGGCGATCGGGCGGCATGGTCAACAGCGCATTCACTATGCCCCTACTAATTCCAAATTGTGCGACTTCCTGTTAGCCAACAGAGACAGTGTCTGACACACGGCATTCGGGGCCGATGAGGAAAGAAGGGAGATTAGGAGGCTCGTAGTCTTCAGAATAGGGTGGAGTCGGCCTTCGTCCTTCCGCCGCCCGCCATGGCACGAGGCGGGGTTCGGGATGCCCGATGCCGCCGGGGAGCCTGTCTCCCTATGTCAGGCAATTCCAGTCGCATGCACCACAATTGATGATTTATCCATCGCCTTAGGTAATGGGGTGATTCGTGGGAATGAAAACTAGATTTCAATTACAGCCCTGGCTAATAAAGTGAATGGAGAATCTAGTGAGTTGAACTTGGCGCATTCAGCCACAGGAGATATACATCGGGAGGGGGGCTCTTGGCCTAGAAAAAAAGTTCCATTTCAGCGAGAATGAGATTTCGGATGTGGATCATGAGTCCAGGGTACCCTATGTCCTAACACCGATATTAACCCCAGACTGCATTCCTCAAGTGATGGCTTTTGACCTAGATGCTAGTGCAATTTCGCCGCCAGGCACGGGGTGGGAGGAGCGCATCGGGATTCGGATACCGATTCACCGACAGGTCTCACGGCCCACCTAGACGTGGTTGGCGACAAATAATTGTTCAACTCCCCCCCAAGTTCCACTGGACCTTTATTGGCAAGGACTACAGGCTGAGGACGTGCGGAACTATAACGCAAGCTCTAGATCAGTCGACAATGGGCTAACCAAAGCCCAGCGGCAGCGGGTACGGCCCCGAACCCCGATCGTGCTTGTCCGCGAGGGCGACGACTATAAGCTCTTGTTTTTCCTAGTCCTGATTGAATCCACGATAGATTGAAAATGTGGTATGAGCTACTCATCCTGTCAATCACTCTCGCAATAGCGAATCCCTCAACCACACTCGAGATAACCCAGCCATGAAGCTCATTGTAGCTGGTGCAACCGGTCTGGTGGGATCTGAGATAATCAGACAATGCCTGCAGATGAGCGAGATCACTCAGATTATCGCACTGGCTCGCAAACCGGTCTTGATTGAAGATGGAACTGACCCGACCTCGGAGCTAACAAGTGTCGTGATTCGGGACTACGGTGAGTATTCCGACGACACACGGGCTGAGTTCGCCGGGGCAGATGCCTGCATATGGTACGCATCAATTACGGTCTTTTCATTTAGACTTGTGGCAATTCAAAAGAAGAGAACAAGAAGGCTGACCCAGTTGATACTTCAGGACTGTTGCTGTGACACCATTCAGAACAGGAAGCTTTGATTTCGCCGAGGTCAAGCGCGTGTGTCAAGACTGTACTCTCGCAGGGTTCAAGGCCATGTACGAAGCTGGGCCCACGCGACCTTTCCGATTCTTGTACTTCAGCGCCGATGGCACGCCCAGGGACCCAAGCAAAAAGCCAGCCATCATGGGTGATTACCAAGTCATGCGCGTGGGTCATCTCCAGATCTTCCATGTTTGTGTACCGTGGTGCTAATGACAGTCGACTTCTTAGTGCGAAACAGAGCTCATGGTCCTTCACCTTCCCGCCGAGTACCCAGGAGTCGAGGTCTGCATCGCTCAGCCCGGAGTGGTAGTGAATTCCACGTCCGTGTCAAGAGCAGTAGTGGCCTCGCTGTTCCGTGTCGTCAACACCTTCACACGCTCCATCCCAAATATCCACCGGGCGGAACTTTCGGCGGCGGTGTTGGACCTAGCCGTGAAGGGATTCGACAAGGAGACGGTTACAAATACTGAGCTGGTTTGCCGTGGACAGGCAGCGTTAAAATATACGGCGGAGTCTAAGAATTAGGCAGATGTGACGGGTGAAGATGGACGACATCATTTTTATTCTTAGTCTTGCCAGGATGGTCTTATTCGTAATAATCACACCTCTAAATCTTCACGCTGAAATTCAAATCAGAACTGCGAGGTCCGTTTGACGAGACTGCCTCCTTGCTTCCTCCGCAACCTTGCCTCCTCTTCATCGAGAGCCTGTCTCCAGCTTCCTTGCACCTAAGTCGAAATGTCAGTTGCAGACCAGTACTCGAACATCATACAAAGAAACGCACATCATAATGATACATCCAATGGGCGCCTTCCTCCCACTTATTTGTGACAGTCATGAACACCGCATCGTCGAACCCCATCGAGTCGGAAATATTGTCATCGGACCGACGGAATCCGTCCAGGACCGCATACTAAAATCGTCAGCCAGCGCCATGCTCACCACAGGAAGCACCCCTTACCAGACTTTTGTAATACGGTGAGCGAACTAGGTCATATAGGTTCAATGCTTCGCGAATCGAACGGCCGCGCGTATGTGCCCATTCGATGGCTCGCACAAGTACGAATACATCTTCTAGGGCGAATCCAGCGCCGTCCCCTCATTCAGGTGAGTAATTGATTCAGGAAATCGGGCGAGTATTGTTGTTCTTACCAAAGGCACCGCTTAATGCTGTCTGAAAACATAATTAGTTGAAAAGACTTGCAAAGCGAATACTCGACTATGAGACTTACGATGAGATGCATCGCCAACCAAGGCAATCGAGCCGCACGACACTAACGTGGCCAGTGGCGGTCCAGCAAAGAGTGCGAACTTCTTGACCTCTCGAACCTGATCCAACACATCTTGAACAACCGGTCCAAAGCCCTATTTCCTGGTCAATTGTAGTGACCTCGTATATTCCCTGGTTGAGATTACAGGTATAAACCCAGTCCTTCGGACCATGCCAGAAAATTACTGCGTCGGGAAAGTTTGGGATAGACAGAACTTTCTCGGCGTCGACCAGCGCCCGGTAGGCGATTTTGGCTGTATATGCGATGCGATGGTCTGAAAAAGCGAATTGACGGACTACCTAGCGTTCAATCGGTTTCTCGGTATCAGGAAGCGTTGAACCAGATTCTCAATTCGAGTCACGCTTACTGATCGCACCCTGTCAGCCCCAACGAGCAGGTCGACTTCATCCGTGTGTCCGTCTTCAAAGCGCAAAGACAGAACTTCCACGGACTGTTTCAGTAATCTCGACAAGTCGACTAGAAAGCCTCAGGCGCGAGGGGTCGATTGTCTTTAGCAGAGCCTGCTGCAAGACCGAGCGTAAGGCTCGCGCATGCTGATGTCGTAGCGGAGTTTCTGCAGCAGCCGGTTAGCAGACCTAATGATACAGAAGTAGTATGAATGAGCATGAAAAACAAACCAGACTGCCCATGTGAAGACAACAACTCCCCCGTCCGCCCATTGCGATGCTGAACCGCATGCCCGTCAGCCGCTCGGAAGACGGTCTCGGGGTCGATGTTATCGTAAAGGCCAAACGCATCCAACAGCCTCCACGTATTGCGTTGGATACTAATTCCCGTCCCAATCTCACGAAGCTCACGAGCTTGTTCATCAATGCGAAAAAATCAACAAACGGCAGTTTTGCAAACTCGATGGCTGCCGCGAGGCCAGCCGGGCCAGCTCCGATCACGGCAATCCGGAGTCGAGGTTGGGACGAGACCATGGTGGCATTGGTTTTTTTCGCATAATCTAGCGATGGAAATTTTGACAGACATGTTGCCGGTATAACTATTCCAACCCTGGTCGTTGCGTATTCACTGGCCTGCATGGTGCAATTGACCCTCTGGCGCGACGCGGCATTACCCGGCGAGGTATGAACACAGTTCCCACGACACAAAGAACCCGGCAATGGAGGTTTCTCGCGATTATAGCTGAAATTACCAGTTGCAACAAGTTGTGGCCTCCCAGGTACTGGGTTCCAGCCCGGTAGATAGATAGAAATTGGACAGTTGTCGTGGTGCGACGGATCCGGACGGCAACGGATGCGGGCCGGGGCGGGGATTGCCATCCTGGAGCCTGAGGCGCACAAGCCACCCCACAAATGTGGTTGTTTCTCTTTTCCTGTTTCAACCTCGCCATCAATCTTCGCAGTCACCCGGCATCATTCTTTCCATCAAAGTTCCCCGTTAGAATCACATATGATGACACACCTACAAATCCCACGAGACTTCCTGCCCAACGCGAGAACTCGCGCTCGAGTGCGTTCAGTGCAGCAAGGATGGCCAAGCGCCCACGCCAAACTTGAGGCGCTTGCTTATCTTTCGACACCATGTCCGGACCAATCATTCTAGGCTAACAGGTACGACGAGGTCTCAGTGAATAGTGATCTTTCCGGAGAGAGATCATTTTGAGCCTTCAACTCGCGTCCTCATTCGTACGTTGATTGCGCCCGGCGGACAAGACGCGCTGCGATGGCCAGTATGGCCAGCACCCCGCTCCATGTTAGGCGCGAGGCTGAACGACCGGGTTGACCAGACCAACCCTTTTATCAACCCCCCATAGCCGTTGATGGAAGGAAAGAAACCACCAGTCGCACATGCTAGCTCTGTTTTCTTATACAGCCAAAGCACGAATACAGTGACACGCAGAAACGCAACGATCCTAGGACACGACCAGAGGAGGAGAATCCACATCAGCAATGTCAGACACCGGACGATCCCGATTCAAGAATGAAGAATACACGGTCGGTTGGATATGTGCCCTTCCAGTCGAGCTGGCAGCTGCAAAAGCCATGATGGACGAGTTACATGGAGACCCGCAAAGATCACCCGGAAAGGCAGACGCGAATGTCTATGTCTTGGGATCAATGAACAATATCAAAATCGTCCTGGCTTGCCTACCGATTGACGAGCCCGGACCTAGTTCGGCAGCGGTGGTGGCGAAAGATATGTTTTATACCTTTCCGGAGATTCAGATCGGGCTTCTCGTCGGAGTCGGAGCCGGTATTCCGCACTTCTCGAGCGATAATATTCGCGATATCCGTCTTGGGGATGTGGTAATCGGGTTTAACGAAGATGATTCAGGCGTGGTTGCGTACGACTTGGGCAAGAAACTCGCGGATGGCTCATTTAAGAACTATGCCTTGAACGGCCCTCCCGGACCACTGCGGTCTGCTGTTGCAGCGTTAAGAGCCCAGCACCAAGTACGGGGGAATAAGATTCCCCATTACATTGAAGAAATGCTGGGAAAACGTCCGTACATGCGAAGAAAGGGATATTCATACCCATTTCAGGTGCCAGACCGGCTGTTCCGTCCGGACTATGTACATGTCGGAGGGAGAGATTGTACGCGATGTGACCCCAAAGCAGAGATAAACCGTGAAGATTTATCTCGATCTGAGACTGGCACAGACCCGGTGATCCATTACGGCACCATTGCGACCGGGGGAACGCTGGTTAAGAATGGCATATTTCGAGAGGAAATTGGAAAGAGATACGGTGCCATCTGTTTGGAAATGGAAGCAGAAGGCCTCATGAATATTTACCCCTGCATTGTGATTCGGGGGATCTCTGATTATGCGGACTCGCACAAGAATAATCTCTGGCGGGCTTATGCAGCTGCGGCTGCGGCTGCTTGCACCAAGGAGCTTCTCGAACACCTTCAACACACGCAGATTGAGGAGAGGAGTATTTCATGGCAGGGTAAGCTTCTTCGAATTAACAATCATCGATCAGAGACTCACTGCTAGTAGATCATGCCCAAGTATCACAGCTCTACAAAGTCTCAATGACGCATCAACCGTTGAACGCACCGAGTTGCACATCTCCAGTAGAATTGGACAGCTTACAACAGTGTGTTCCATGTCATCAGCAGTTTGAGACAGGCCTTTGGCTTCTCCGTTCTAATGAACTATGCACATGGGTTGATGCACTTAGGCGAAACTGGTTTTGTGCTGGAAACCGAACGACAGGACGAGCGATAACGCCAAAAGCTGTGGTCGAAAGACCATATCATTTTGCGCAAGCGAGAAGACGGACTCTGAGTATATGAGTTCTATGAATGTCCAGCGATTATTGCGCTACTAGAGAAAATGGGATCAAGTTCATAAATTGGTATGAGTTCAACATTATAACTATGCTGGTTATGAGAGAGAAATAATAACATTCATGTAGTGTATTCAAGAGCAGATTATTCTATAATTTGCAAAATGAAAGCCTTCATGTCGCACCAAAAGCTCCAAATTAAAGGATAAATGAGGGGAAATGGGGATCTTATTTAAAAATTTGAAACATCAGACAAAGCATGGGATCATGAACCAATCTCCCGGAACCTTCCCAAAATGCCACGATGTCATTACGTGTTTGCATTAGGTTCCAAACTCAGACTTCTCCTCGTCAGGGTCCATCTATGGGGTGATCTTCAGAAATCGTTCCATCGCAGCCGTCTGCACTGCGGCGACCATCGCCTGAAATGTCTCGAGGTCGAGCTTCAGAACCTGATCACCGACCTTGACCTTCATCGACATACCCCGGGGATAGCGCGGCTGGAGCTCCAAGACACTCATTCCCCAGTTATACAAAGGGGACTTCTCGCGGTAGAAGTACGGTCGACCATGCTGATAGACCAGCTCGTGTGTCTGATCGACGTCCTTGGAATGCACACAGCGGTAGTGACCGTCCAACCCCACCGCGAGACAGCTATGCCACGGCGACTTCTGGAACCCACCATCAGGTCCCAGGATCAGAGGAAATGACAGCTTGGCGGCTCCCGATGAGGGGTGAATTGAGAGACGAGTGTCATGTGGACGCAGTGCCCTGATCGCCGAGGTAAATGCTTCGGACCGTTGCATCATCCTCTTGGCCATGGCCTTCATCATGCGCCGCTGGGCACTCTTCGCCAGCCCTGCAAGGGCCGGGCTGGTTTCGACCTCCAGCTCGAGAAACTTCACCATACCGCAGTATGTCAGCTCTGTGTCTCGGTCTTTCTTGATTTCTGCGACAAGCTTCTCTTCAGAGAATCCGAAATGTCTCTCGAGCTCGGCACGGCAGACATCCACGGTGGCAAGGTATGTCTCCCGGTTTGTATCTTCCTCCGAAAGAAGACCAAGCAGGTTGATGGGTCGGATCAGCTGCAGGCCTTTCAACCCATAATCGGCGATCATCCCCTTAAGTGCTTCGCCGTACTCCCAGCAGTCCTCATCACTGATACCGAGAATGTCTAAGGGTATGTTAGTTACACACTGCTGTGTGTGGAATGACAAGGCAGACCTACCGTTGAACAAAGCACCGTCGGTAGCGATGGTTACAGTTGCACCCGGGGCATATACACGTTCAATGTCTTGACAGAGGGAGTTCAGACGAAGCAAGGACAATTCCTCCCCCAGATCAGGTAGATGTCCCAAGACCTTGCTCACACGGTTGAGCTACGAGCGTGTCAGCAGAGTGTCAAGGCACACGGCATCAGGAGTGACTTACACTTTTGCAAGGAAAGGCAGGCAACGTGAGCTGGACTGGGCGTCTCTCCTTCACAAAGTGGTACACATGAGGAAGAAACTTCATCTTCCCGATCCAGGCCGGAGGCTTGGGTTCGTCCCCAAGGCGGGGCTCTGTGGCCGAAGGCCTGGGGGTGATGTGTCGGCCGTACGTCTCGATCACATTGAGAACCTCGATAGAGAGACGGATCCTCTCAATCTCAACCTCAAAGGATCGGTACGCCAAGCACAACGTCTTCTGATCAAGCGGAGGGAGGAAGCTATAGGCCGGGGCCGGGGCGACATCGTCGACCCCGATTTCCATGACATCGACAGATAGGAAAGTCTTGGCCATGGTTTGTGATGCTCGTCAAACGTGGCTCTACGCTGAAATGGACAGAAGGTTTACAAAGATAAAGATTGATTGGTAGTGGAAGAGCGAAGGATTGGAATGGAGATAACTTGGAATTGACTTCCTTCTTGGAGACAATGGACGGATGGCGTATTTGAAGCCCACCTGGTGATCCGCTTCTCCACCTCTCCGCCCTCCTTCAGCCTCCTTCAGCCTCCTTCCTCGCCAAAAGCAGGGATTCCTCATGATGCCATCCCGGGCTGATAGAGATTGGACCTCAGCCCCTCGGACGTGCCTAAAGGATCATGGTATGCCTTCTGTGTCGCGTCGCGCCGTGCCTATCCCACGGGAGAAGTGGCAGCTGACGGTCAATGAAGCTGTCTAGTGGACGGCCATCCTGAAGGATCCGTGTTGTTGAAAATGCCAGTTCTGCATATGGTGACTCGTACATCCAGGTTGGAAGTAGGATAAACATTGAGGGTCGGGACGGCCGACCCTGCGGGCCGTGATTGGATATGTCGTATACGACGATGAAACAGGGCGCTAATGTAGGTGGGACGGGCCTGAACGTGGCAGAGCCTGCATGAGGGTTGCAGCGGTAGTTCGAGGGACATTTCCATCCAAACAGCCTGGTGCACAACGCTTCTAGATCGACGGTGACACCGCCGAGGCCCAGTCGAGTGGACACGGTATCGTACGATACCAAATGTGACGCATGGATCCTTCCGTGTTCATGGAAATAGGGCGGGCGAGGACCAGGGAGCTAAGGATGCAGCTAGAAATGGATCCGGTGTGGGCTAACTGGCGGGCTTATGCATGGCGTAATTTTGCCCCCGACGGTAACGCGACCCCGGTTGAATTGGGGGGGGGTTGACGGGGGTTGACGGGGGCTGACGGGGGTTGGAATCCTTCAGTTCCCCTCTCTCTGGGCCGGAGATTTTCCCAGTCCCAACACGAGGGGCACGCCAGGACCACCAGTGCCGGCAGAACCTCCAGGACCGCGCCAGAAGCCCTCCAGGACCACTGCGCAGGAAGGAGAAGGATCGCAGTCATTACTCATCGTCTCGGCCAGCCGACTATACAAGATCGGACAGGCCCAACCCCCCCCCCCCCTGTCTCTTTAGCACCAGTCCCCTCTTCCGTTTTCCCATCAAGTCCAAAGTCCTTCCGCAGTTTGCAGCATTCACCGCTTTTGATCGGTTCTCACTCAACTTCCCTTGTCCATCATCATGATTGCTGCCGCCGCCCCCGTCGAGCTTACGCAAGGATCTGACCCGGTGTATGCGAAGCGCCTTGCGGGCGAAGGCAACAAAGAAATCTCCGCCTTTTACAACCAGGATATCTCAGACAAGCTGACGCCTAAGGCGAGTTCATGGTCAAGGCAGCCACTGTAAACCGGCAGCTAACGGCGGCCATGTCTTAGACAAGGCAGATTCTTGAAGAATACAGTCAGATCCCTACTGCCCGGGTGATTCGGCACATCCACGAAGTGGTAGGGCATCCCAAGGCCACCCGAACGGAATATCCATTAACCACTCTCTGCAGCGCGACAAAGCGTGGGCGATTCGGGCCTACCCCTGCATCGGGTCGGGAATCTATCTCGATCCCATCCTCCCCAAGCAGCCGTCGTACCCGACAGTGCTGTCGCGGCTCATCAACGAGGATGCCGTGCTCCTGGAGGTCGGGTCGTTCCTAGGCTCGGATCTAAGATCCGTGGTCGCAGATGGCGCCCCGTCGAGCAATCTCATCGCGACCGACGTGGTCAGCTTCTGGGACATCGGCTACGAGATGTTCCAGGACAAGGACCGGTTCAAGTGTCGCTTCTACCAGGCGGACCTGATGGACCCCAACGGGGCGCTGCAGAAATTCCAACACTCGATAGACATCATCCACATCAGCAAGGTGCTGCACCAGTGGAGCTTCGACCGCCAGGTCGAGGCGTGCGAGCACCTGGTGGGCCTGAGTCGGGAGGGGACCATGATCGTGGGCGATCAGATGGGCGGGGAGACTGCGCACGAACTGATTCCCTACCCGGATCTGCCGGGGCTGTGGATGCACGACGAGAACTCATGGCGCGAGATGTGGGAGATCATCAGCAAGAAGACGGATACGCAGTGGGACACCCAGACCACCGTCCGCACGATTGCGGAGATGGAGTGGGACCCCAAAGATTACACCTACCTGCGGGAGGATCGCATCGTGTTGATGTTTACCATGACTCGGACCAAGTAGCTAGCGTGCTGGGACGACAGCCAGCCCACATTCGTTAGCTAGAATGCAATCAAATTACACGCTATCCTCAATTAGCAGACCTTTTTTTGGCCCGGGGGGCCAAATGATGACATAACGTGCACATGACCTGTTGAGTCAGACTGTCTCAGTTGCAGCTTGCCTGTTGCCTGTGTTGTGTTGTGCGTCTGCAGCGGCGGGGAGAAGATGTGTAAGCTGACAGCCGCGCCTTGCACTTGCACGGACGGACGGCCCCGGCATAGCACAGCCCTATGTCTCATCTTTTTCAGTCTTGCTTTCCTTTGGCGGAATGCTCCCCGCTAGGAAACAAATGTGAGGAAGACCACTCGGGCAAAAGAAGAATTCCCCACTCAGAGCTCTCAGGAAGACTCCACAAACCGTAAGCGAGAAATAAACGTTTGCATTTCATTCCATTTACACTATGTATGTTCCGAATCACTGTTCCTTCCCAGTCGCAGCCCTCCGTTTCTCATAGCGATAGCACTCGGGAAGCCTCGTCTCCTCCCAGCCTCCCCCCTGCAGCAGCGTCACCAGCCCCTCCACACAAGTAAAGATGTTCGCCATCCCATGTCCATTGAACCCAGCACAAATAAACTGACCGGGGAGTTCCTCGATCGCCCCAACATACGGGACCTTGTCGGGGGTCATGGCGATCAGTCCCGTCCAGACATGATCGAGACCCTCCCCGGGCTGGAACTCGCGCTTGGACTTGGCCATTTCCGGCGAATGAAAAACCTTGTCAATAGTGTCGAGCGTCTCGTCGATCAGCTCCTGCTTGTAGGACGAGTCATCGAAGCTGATCCCACTGGGCTTGCCCACGCTGACAATCATCTTCCCGTCGCTCTGAGCCTGCGACAATCCATAGAACAGCTGTGGGTTGAACCGCACCGCCATAGTAGATTTCAGGGCCTGGTCACCCGCGAAATTTGGCAGGATAAACGTCTGCACCTGCACTCTGATGGGGGTGATGTGCGGTAGAGGGAGCTGCGGGAGAAGCACTCCAGCATGGGCGTTAGTGCAGTGGAGGATCCGCTGAGCAGAGATATCTCCGCGCGGGGTGTGCACAGTCCACCAGGGCGTGTCGATCCCCTCCTCCTCCTCCTCCTCCTCCTTCTCGGCTGCAGCCTTTGTGATACCCGTCACAGGGCAATGCGTCCAGAGGTGAACGCCCTGCTCAACCACCCGGGCGAGCAGCCACTGCGCCAGCTTGACCGGATGGATCGAAGCCGCGGTCCACGCGTACGCGGCAACAGCATCTTTGATTCCGAGCGTCCGCGCGGCCTCATCCGCCCCGTAGACCCGGATTCCGTCCATGCTGCCGCCGGCAGCGACGTATTCCTGGACATTGCGGGCCTCGTCTGCCGCAATTTCCTCGGTCATGCAGACGTCGTAGGTCTGCTTGAGGCTAAACTCGCAGGGGATCTGGTGCTGCTCGATGAACGAGCCCCATGCCTTCAGAACGGCGTTCTCGTTGTCGGAGATCTTGAGGGCCTGCGCGGTGCCATGGGCTGCGGCGTAACCACTGAATCCGCGGAAGGCGTCTGGCCGGACGTGACCAGCGTTCCGGCCGCTGGATCCCCCCACGGCCTGGCGAGCTTCCAGGAGGAGGATCTCGTCCGGAGGCACGCCCGCGTCGACGAGCTTGAAAGCGGCCAGAGCGCCAGAAATACCGGTGCCGATGATAACGAGGGGGCTGCGCGCGGGGAGTGGGGTCTCAGCATTGTGGTTGAGGTAGGGGAAGGCATGAGTGGTACGGTGCCAATGTGACAGGCCAGGGAGAGCGCATGGCAGGGAGGGCTGGGGCGGCTCAACAGCTGCGGCAGGCGGTGCCGGAAGAGGAAGGGGAGATGCAGTCATGGTGAGTGGGTGTTGGATACTTTCGGGAGGAAAGAAGGGTGGTGCCAAGAAGACTTATGTCGTATTATCCAAGGAGAAAGCGGTATTGTAGAAGAGATGCCAACTGAATACCGGTAGACGAGGCTGTGGGCCAGCGTGGTCCTTTTCTGCGCACCAGTCGACGGCATTCTGTCGTGATGACGGCTGGGCAAAGACGTGATGTCAGGGCACATTGGCCTCATACTTCCTGAATCCTGTGAATCCTGCCCATGGATGGAATCATGGCATGGAGTCACAGCAGGGAGGGCCATGAGGATGTGCCTGGGGTCGGACATGATCGGGAGGATCAATTCTAAAGTCTGACTGCTGGATTCTTCGCGGCTGATGCCTCGTGTACTGACCTGTCTGATCATTCGGTTCAGGCCGCCACCTCTTCAGCAGGTTGCAGAACGTGCGCCGGCTGTGTGGGTAATGCACATTAGGCAAGAGATGCGAATCCATGCGGAGAGAGAGGTCCTAAAATCTGACATCAGGATCTAGTGACTAGGTTCTTTCTTTATCTGCGGGGGTTGCCTTTAGTCCAACGACCTTGGGGTCCGTGAATAACAGAGCTGCATGACACCAATGCATGTGCTATTCCTGAAGACGACATGGGATGGCATCCTTACGCATCGATATCTATAATCTGATGCATAGACGAGCAGCTGTAATCCTCCTGATTTAGCACCTAGCGTTAGATTGATATTGGCTTGATCTATACCTATACTCGTGTAGAACTACGAGAGCGGCAGTGCTTATGGATTGCACCTGGCCAGCTCGGCGTCCCTCTCAGATCCCGTCTTATCAAGTCTCTACGGCTTAGCAGATGGTCAGGATGTCTTAGATTAGGCCATCACCTTGAAAATCCCGCATGCCAAGCGTTGCGCCTGAAAGCTGAACGATGCAGCCTACGAATGAGGAACTGACATGGCTCCCACGTTGGGATCGGCCTCCTCTGTCTTACACGAGCCGCATGGCAGGATGTTGCACACACGGAGAATGATCTCCTTTGAGGGGTCATGGCTCTCGCGTGCTTCCATGTGCGAGAATTGCGCCCCATCCACCTGCATGGTGGGACGGTTTACAAGCTGTATTTTTGATCCCCTGGCTGGTATACACCAGTCAGCACGGGAAATCACCTCATTCAGCCTCGCCAGCAGATGATCTATCCTTAGCCTCAAATCCCGTTTCTTTTTCTATCCCGAGGGATGGAAATATAACGGGCCCGGAAGAGTGTCACTCCCCCGTTTGAGCTCCTCACACCACCATTACTGTCAGAATCTGTTCTAAATCCTTTCTCCCTCTCCATCATGAATTTTCACACCAAGGAACATGGCGACGCCCCTCAGTACCCTGGAAAGCCGGAGGCTATTGAGGACCGCCTGTTTATCAACGGCGAGTTCGTGCCGTCCAAGGCCGGGAAGAAGTTCGATGTCTACAACCCGGCCACGGAGAAGGTCAGCGCGTCGGTGTACGAAGCTGATGCCGACGACGTTGACCTTGCGGTGCAAGCTGCAAAGGCAGCATTTCCTGCGTGGTCTGAGCTGAGCGCCCTGGAGCGTGGCCACTACCTCGAGCGGTGGGCAGACGCGTTGGAGAAAAGCCTGCCGGAAATTTCATACCTCGATGCCATCAGCATGGGCAAGCCGGCCTACCCAGATCGTGAGTTTTCCCGTACCAGGGCATATAATCCCATCTAACAGCCATTTCAGCTCTGGCACCAATGATCCCCATGATTGTGCGGTTCTTCGCCTCCAAGGCCCTAGATGTGACGGGTGAATCGTCGCTCAACACGGCGAACTTCATCAATATCAGTCTGCGGCAACCATACGGGGTTTGCGGGGCCATCACCCCGTGGAATGCCCCGGTGATGTTCCTCGTCTACAAAACCGCTGCAGCCCTGATCACCGGTAACACGATGGTCCTCAAATCATCAGAAAAAGCACCCCTCAGCTCGTTGACTGCCGCGCGCTGCGCACAGGAGGCCGGAATCCCCAAGGGCGTGTTCAATGTCGTCAGCGGGCTCGGCAGGCCATGCGGTGAGGCGATCGCACGACACATGGAGATCCGCAAGATTTCATTTACGGGCTCTACGGCGACAGGGCGGGCGATCCAGAAGATTTCAGCCGAGTCCAACCTCAAGAGCGTGACCCTGGAGTTGGGAGGCAAATCGCCCTTGATCATCTGGGACGATGCCGATCTTGCAAAGGCGGTTCCGGCAGCTGCGATGTCCATTCTCATGAACACGGGACAGGTCTGCAATGCCAGCACGCGCATCTACATCCACTCCGCAGTGGCAGACCACTTCCTCGACAGCTTGCAGGCCACGATGAAGCTGATGGGCGCGAGTGGCGACCCGCTCACCAACGGGACCATGCGCGGGCCGCAGGCAGATAAGGCGCAGTTCGAGCGGGTGCTGAGCTACCTCGACGAGGCGAGAGAGTCGGCAGAGGTGACGGTGACGCTCGGCGGAAACAAGGAGGAGGGTCGTACAGGCTACTTCATCCAGCCGACGATTCTCACCAACGTGCCTGAAGACTCGCGGTTGGTGAAGGAGGAGATCTTCGGGCCTGTTCTGATCGTCAACACGTTTTCCGACGAGGAGGACGTGCTGCGCAAGGCCAACGACACCGAGTACGGACTGTACTCGAGCATTTTCACCCGTGATATCTCGCGGGCCTTGCGCGCGGCTAAGCGTCTTGAGGCCGGCACTGTCGCAATCAACTGCACGAGCCCGACTCTGGCCTTCGATATGCCGTTTGGTGGGTGGAAGGGGAGTGGTGAAGGTCGCGAGTTCAGTCGGTATGCCACCGACTACTGGACCGAACTGAAGTCTGTGTATATGGCGCTGTAAATATGGATATGTTTGTAAAACAGCAGTATTTCTGGCTCCTGGCGTGCAGGCTGGGCGTGGATCCAACAATAGCTACCTCAATCGAATATCTTGTATCCTCAGAGTGGTGTTTTTGTTTTTGTTTTTTTTTTTTTCCTTTTTTCCCTTTTTCTTTTTTTTTCTGGGCAAACAGGCATGGTTTAGATCGAGAGCAGAATGTGTGACTAGCATGCAAGCGGAGATCTTCTTTCCCTTCTGCACAGTGGTCCTGTGGACGAGAACCTCGGCGCCTCGGATGTAGGATGCTGAAGCCATGCACTGAGGGACATTCGGAAGAAGTTTCGTATTGCCATCGATTCTGTAATTTCCAAAAAAAAAAAAAAAAAAGAAGCACGCTTATACCACATTATCCATTACCTAAGAACACTCATCCCAACTTAAACCAACAACCTCCGCTGCATAAACCCCTTCAACACCTCGTCCGTTACCGTAGCACGACCTTTTTGAAATCGTGTCGCCTGTTGCTGAACCACGTCAACCAGCAGCTCCCTGAGGTCGGAAGCATTCTTTTGCCCGTCGCCATACTCCTGCGTGACGCTCGCCAGCAGGTCATCATCGTCCAAGAAAAGCTGCAGGTACTGCAGCACTACATCCGGATCGACGGCCGACTCAGCGGTCAGTTTCTCCCGGATGACCTCCAGCGAGTCGCGCAGATAGATTGCCGAGTTCGCGACCGACGCGGACATCTTCTCCGCTGCACCTTGCAAGGCAGGCAACAGACCGGAATACAGGAACGCAGGGCGTATAAACCCCAGTGTCTCTGCGTGCTTGCGCACCTCACGGAAATACCCATCGATGTCATAGGCGCAGGGGATCAAACACGCGATGTCGCGCAGTTTCTCTCTGTCTTCCCCCAGAATCCCAGGGAAGGAGTGGGCGAAGGCGCCCGCAGACTGAGTCGAGCAGCAGTAGAGCATGCCGACGTTGTTTGCGTCGGTGAAGCCAAGCGCGTCCTTGACGTCCTCGACGCGAATGTGGCGCGCGACAGCGATGATGTTTTCGTAGAAGGGCCCGCCGACGAAGTCGAGGTTGGAGAACATGAAGGTCGAGTCAGGGTTGAAGCCGAAGGCAAGCATATCCTTGGCGTTCTCGACGGTGAACCATCGGACGTCGGGGAACTTGAGGGAGGGGGAGTGTAGCAGCTTCATGTCGTCGGTTAACATCAGGATCAGCGGGACGCGAAAGACCCTTTGGAGCCATCTGGTGGGGGTTGGTCGGTTAGTTGCTGTTGGGGAAGGGGAAGGGGGTGGGGCGATCGTACTGAGTGAATTCCAAGGGGATGGAGTGGCCCAAGTGGAGACTCTCGCTGCTAGGGCCCCGGCCTGTGAACAGGTAAAACGGCTCGCCCCGCTCGTATCGGTCGAGGATCAAGTCCAGGTCGCGATGGCTGAACACCATGCCGCGACGCAGGAAGCGGTGGGGGCGCTGGCCGGTCAGTCGTTCGAAGCGCTCCAGCAGCTGGCGATCGACAGGGCTCGCATCTGTCTGGTGGATGAATCGCTCCAGAGCCACCTTGTCGGCAGATGGGGGGGTGGGGGATGCTACTGCGCTTGGCATGGTGCTTGTGGAGCTGGTCTGGCCGGGACGGTCGGATTGATTCAAAGTGCGAGTATCAGATTTAGTAGTATCCAACAGGTCTAATGCCGCGAAGGAAGATAGATATCGTCGGTTCGTCGGTGGCAGACTCCCAATTGGGGCCCGGGTTCCATCCTGCTTCTTATATTCAGTCATCAGTCCTTCGGTACACAATGTTATGCGGCGTCAGCGTCTTACCTCACCCTCCTCCGTCATTCTATGGAGACTTTGTTCCAAAATAAATTTCAGGCCCTCCTTCCGCGGAGAGTCCGAAGGCTCGTCAGGATGGCCAAGCCACGATGTCTGACCATGAGGCTCCAATGGGAAGGCAAATAGCCGAGGGTAAATTGCTGACTGCAGTGTCGGTGCTCGAGCCTGCGATGGCGTCGTCGGACAGGGGGCATACTCATCTCCCGCCAATCAGGCCGTTCTGCAGGAAAGTTCACCAGGCCAACTGATCCTCTCGAGCAGGAATGGCTTCCCTCCACCGCGCTAGAGAGGAGGATGTTAGTGGGTGGCTGCTGCTGACATGGAGGGTGGAGGGATGGACCGGTCCGCTGGCTTTGGACCGAATCATGTTGCGCGGTCGGCTGTCGGCTGTCTGTTGTCAGCACTCCCAGATGCTGAGAAATCTCCCTGACTGTCGATTATTATGGACGTTGGGCCGCCGGGCTGAGCGCCCCTCTCGGACCCGCGCTGCTAGCTTGCAATGTAGGGCTATCTATCCACCGTCCATCTGGTTTCCATCCCCGGTTTCCATCCCCGGTCCCCACCACCCACCCGCCTTCAATGTCAGAAGACTCAGCATCTTGCCCTTCAATGTTAGGTAATTGACATAGGCATAAGAATCAATCGCCGACAAACGTAATCTGAAATGGTGACCATTCCATTCCAGGAACCTTTCCCAAAACGGGAACTAATCTGCAGGATCTCCATCCCGGTCGCGATGCAGCCAGGCGTCCGACCGTCCGAGAAGTCAGGGATCGATGCTGCTGACGCGCTGGCACGGTACCGTTCGAGGGACCTTAGGCAAATTACTCAGTGCACCAACCCAGCTATAGCGGGCATTTGTCAAGCAGCTCGGCTGATTTCTCATCACTTCCCCAGTAACGCCCCAGCCGAGGACACGCAGCAAGCACCCCTGCAGAGCCCAGGGGAAGGATGGTTTGCCCGTCCTGATTGGGCCAGTATAGGGTTGGCTCATGCCGGCCCTGAGGCTTGCGATCGCCCATGGTCTTTCGAGGCTCGCTGCTCTTGCGCGGCCAGCAGCTATATAAATCACCGCATCGCACACGGACTTGTCCGAGTCCTTTCGTTTACCCCCCCCCCCCCCCCCAAGTCGTTCCTCAGGCAAGCCATTCAACTTCCTGATATCGTGGGAAGATCAACGAACTCCACCACACTCTTCGCTTGCCCATCATCCCATCACGATGTCGGAAAAGGCCCACACGGTCCCCTCGCTGGACCAAGAGGCGCTGGAGTCGCACTCTGACTCCGCGTCTCCGGAGCCTGAGGCATTTGCCCCCACGCCCAAGGCCCGCAACCCCATCACCGTAAGCCGGCACTTTTCATTCCCCCAGGCTCCACAAAAGGGAATGGAGAGACAGATCAGCTAATCGCGACCAGTGGGTCCTTATTGTCATGGCCATCCAGTCCAGTGTGTTCCTCTTCGCCCTCGACAACACCATCACAGCCGATGTCATTCCCGTAAGTGCATCCCTGGTCGTCCAATTGTTCTCTGAATCTGAATCAACAATAACACGATGACGCATTAGGCTGTCATTGGACGATTTGGAGGTGCGGACAAGATTGCATGGCTCTCTGTGGCGTAAGACATCCCTCACTCCGTCAGCGACCTGGATCTTGCTCACATGGCAGGCAGCTTTACCATGGGTGGTGTCAGCGCGGTGCTTCCATTTAGTCGCCTCTATGCCCTCTTCGAGGCGAAGAAGCTCTACCTTACGTCCGTGACCCTGTTCCTGGTCGGCTCAGCCCTCTGCGGTGGCGCTCCAAGCATTAATGCCTTCATCGTGGGCCGCGTTATCGCCGGTGTCGGTGGTATCGGCATGTACCTGGGCGTCATGACGCTGCTGTCGGTCAACACAAGCCCCACGACGCGTCCGATGTATCTCGGTCTAGTGTAAGTAGAACAGCCCGTCGATGATAGCGATCAATGCGATCAATGCTGACCACAAGGCTGCAGGGGATTGATCTTCGGTATTGGCAACGTCGTGGGTCCCGTCATCGGTGGTGCCTTTACCGACTCCAGTGCGACCTGGCGGTGGGGTTTCTACATGAACCTGTGCATCATTGGCGTCATGACGCCGGTTTACATCTTCCTCATCCCTGTCTTCCATCCTACGAAGGGCCGAACCGTCGGCGCCCGCATCGCGGAGATCGACTTCGCTGGAATTGTCCTCAGCATTGGAGCCGTCGTGTGCTTGATCATGGGTATCAACTTTGGCGGCACGCTTTACGACTGGAACAGCGCATCGACCATCGTCCTGTTCGTCGTCTCGGGCGTTCTATTCATTGTCTTCGCGGTGCAACAGGGTCTGGCTCTCCTGACAACCAAAGAGAACCGGCTCTTCCCTGTTGTCTTCCTGTGGAACAAAGAGGCCATGTTGCTCTTCGTTTTGACATCCACCTTCAACGCGGCCGGCTTCATTCCCATCTACTACATCCCGTCTTACTTCCAGTTCACGCGCGGCGATAGCGCCCTGGACTCCGGAGTCCGGCTTCTCCCCCTGATCATTTTGATTAGTTTCACCATCATGTGCAACGGTGGCTACCTCTCTAAGGGTGGCTACTACATGCCATGGTATGTGTTTGGCAGCGTTCTGACCCTGATTGGCGGAGTCCTATTCTGTAAGCCCCTCCCTTCGGCTCTCTCTCTACTCTATACTGTGCACCTTTCTGACCAGCACAGCACGAGTCAACGTCAACACGTCCACCTCTGCCATCTACGGATACGAAGTGTTGATTGGTATCGGGGCGGGATGTGGTATGCAGACAGGCTTTGCTGTCATCCAAAGTATCACCAAGCCCGAGCTGATGGCGCACGGTATCGGGTTCATCATGATCGGTCGGTTCAGGCCCAGCCCTAATGCAGTTCTTTTCTCAATTGACCCTTTTTCTCCCTGCAGCCCAACTCCTGAGTGTCTCCCTCGCCCTCTCCATCGCCGGTACAGTCTACCTGAACCTGGCTATCGACAATTTCCAAGACCTGCTGCCCGGCACGTCTAAGACCCAGATCCAGGGCGCCTTGCAGGGCTTGAGCGGCAGTTTCTTGGACTCGTTGAGCGCAGAGCAGAAGTCCAAGGCTCTTGTCATCATGGTTAACTCCCTTTCTAAAGTGTAAGTCCTACTCCACCAATCATTGCCCCTGGAATATTTTCTGACATATCCCCCAGATACGTCCCGGTCTACGCGGGATCCGCTCTGGGCATTGTCGCCGCGATCTTTCTCAGCGTAAGTACTTTTGATCAATTGTACCATAGAAATAGGAACGGAAATGCTAATGACCCAACAGAGAAAGAAGATGAACCCTGCCATGTCGATGTAAATGATCGCCTCGCCACCTTTCGACGGTCATGTGGCAAAGACCCTGGCTCTTCCTCGGTGGTCTTACATCCTCTAGCCCTCCCTTTAACACTGGTGGCCTCCGGAATAGCAAACAGGATATCCTGTGACATTGCATCCGAGTATGACTCCAACAGGGAAGGCTGTGGTCCATCCACGCAGAATCGGATCTGTGTCCGCCTGTGATGCGGACTAGACGACCACGCATTCCTTTATTTTCAGCGGCATCGCGGCTCGGGTGGTTGCTTTGCTGGCTCGCAGATACGTCATATAGATAGTATCGTCTAATGTCAGATGAGGTTGATGGTTTTTTTTTTTTTTTTTTTCTCTGTAGCATTACCCTGTATCTGATTGTACCACTGTCAGGGTATCGTGAATGTAGATATATGAAATCGCGCCGGCATTCGGATTGCCTTCTGGAATGTCTCAGAAGGACTTGCCCGTTGGAGTATCACATAAATGCTAGTATGGAGGGGCGTCTGGATACTATTTAGTTATCGGCGGGTTACTTGATCGACGAAGAGGCCACCAGACGGAGTGACTACACAACAAAAGAAAAGGCAGTTTAGGCTGTTGTGCACTAGCAAAGGTCGACTTTACCGGTGGCACGGCATATCTCAGTGCTTTAATAGCAGGGTATGACAGATCGCCGTGGTTACCCGCTAGGTCTCCTTCTGAGCCCAGGGTATCGATGTGATCAGAAATTGTGTTCCGCGGGGATTAAATATATCATCATAGGCCTGAAAAGTCTGTGGTTCAGGCCGAGATAGGCTAGTGCGGGGCGAATAGAGGAAAAATGAGTGTCACGGTTCAATTAACAATCGCGTATTATTACGAAGACATAAATATATCATGATATATTTTTTTGAAGTGACATCACTTTCACGAATAGAATTCAAACTACTAGTAAATGACTCCTCCGTAGCAGGGTGAAGAGGATGAAGTCGGTCTGATTATAGCAATTATTAGTATAAAGAGTAGTAAGAAATCGCAAGATGTCAAGGGTTAGGTATAGAAAAGAGGAGTGGATTTGTTGGTGGTTTACTCTGTAATTTGTCAGTCAGTCGGTCGGCGATTGACCCTTCGCTTTCCCAATACGGGAGCAGCTGGCAGAATTGCTCATCGCCGATGCCACCCCACGTGCTTTCTCTTCGATCATGTGACCATGGCGGTATCTTTATTCTGCGAGTTTCCAAGGCGGGGAAGGTGGGCGTCCCCCCACCACATCTCTAAACACACCCAATTCTCAACCAAGATATTGATTTGATGGTAAAACTTACCTCTTACCAATTACCCGCTCCTCGCAGCTTCATAGCATATGCCTCCCTGCATGCGCACAATTCACTCTACCTTGAGGAACCACGAGTGAGAAAGGCAGGAAGGTTAAAATGGCGTAGGGTTTGCAAAGTTGGGTGTGGATGTGACCAACCCCGAAGCAATGAAGCACATTACAGGGGAAACAGGATTAAAGCCAGAAAACAAGGGAATCATAATCAATACTCTGTACATAATTAGGAATTACAATTTAGCAGAGGAAAAAAGTGTCTCCACATAGAAACCCCCCAAACGGAAAGTAGAGAAGGCGTAAGCGGTGTGTATATAGCAATCCAGGGGGTGTCTATCGGGACCGCCTTTGGATTGACTGATTGATTCCCCATGATCTGATACCGGCTCGGCCGGCTCTAAGTTGCGACGGCGCTAGCCAAATGGCTTGGTTCGACTGGGGTGTCCGTTCTCTAGCTCATCTCCCATCCTAGTTCGTGTCCCTGTTTCCGCGCCAGGATTCGTCCAAATGTCCGCCAAGGCAAGACCGGGAATCAAACCAGGCACTACGAGCGACGCTAGAGAACCGGCCATTTCCCCTGACTGAGGAGTGACTGAGGAGGGTTAAATACAAAATCTTTGCTCGTCAAGCACTCTCCTCGGCACGGAACATGTCGATTTTTTGCCTCAGCTGTGCGACAAGATGAAGAGCAACCGCCAAGCCCTCGCGTGGGGAATGATCGCCTCCTCTGTATGGGGGGCCTTCGCCCAAGAGTGTACGACTTCTGGGGGCCTCTGGAATTTTACCAGCCAGGCATCGGTGGATCTGGTGACTCATAATTGCACGATCCTCAATGGCGATGTGACCGTCAGCCCGAGCTATTCAGGCTCATTGACGCTCAATAACATCACGAACATCACGGGAGAAATCTATTACTACCAGAATCAAACAGTAGACCTCACTTCGGTCGACCTTCCGGACCTATTGTACGCCGGGGCAGTTGATATCGAGAACACGCCTTCCCTGACTCGACTATCCGCGCCAAAGGTGACAGAGGTCCCAGATGGAGTTATGGTGGTGATTATCGCCAATTCATCGGCGCTGGTGGAATTCGAATTTCCAGAGCTTGTGGATACAAACGGCGTTATACTATTTGCCAATATTTCAAGGTACGTGTATCTTGTTTCCGGACAATCACAGTTGGCTTCGGACTAACCCTATATAATCTATCAGCGTCGACCTGACCAGTTTGGAATCGACCCAGTTTGTTAGCATGGCCGGTACAGGGGATGGAATTGCGCTTGATTTCCCATCTCTTCGCGAAGTTGGGATGCTTGATCTGGTGCTATCCTTCAGCAGGTAATTTAATCTGTCCTTTAACCGGATTGCCAATCCTTGGGTATTGATCGTCTCAACCACAGCTTCTCTGCACCCCTCCTGGAGACCATCGGAACCTCCGAGGGTTTAGCCACCGGCGACGGCATTCTGCTCTGGAGCAGCGGAGATCCCGTCGACATCAGCTTCCCGAAATTGACCTATGTCGCGGGAAACATCCAGCTCTCGGAAAACATCAACAGGTAATACTGCATCCCACTTTTTCTGCTCTGATCGGGGAAGATACTGACGAGCCATTGGGATCCAGTCTGTCCGTGCCTCTCCTCACCACTGCGGCCACGACAACAAACACCTCGGAGGGTGGAATGGCTATTTATCCTGCTATTCCTTTCACAGTGGACTTTACATCCCTCGCGAACGCTAGCTCTATCCTCCTTGACGGCAACATCTCCAGGTAATGCCCCCCCAACTCCGCCTCCCGAGATCCCATCCACGTGCTCTGTCTAATGTAGACCACTTTACTTACTGCTGTCTCCATCAGTGCCTTATTCCCCGTGCTGGAAACCGTCGACTACATCGAGATCACGTCCACGCTTCCATTCAACTGCAGCTCATACGATGCCGTCCAGGCCCGCGCCGAGACTACCGCGTTTGCGGATAAATGGTTCTGCAACAGCACGTATACCAATACTACGAGTACGACTACCAAGGCGACGAAGAGCGATGCGGGGCGACCCGTTCCTGTCGGTGTGGGGCTTAGTGGCTGCGTGGTAGCCGCTATGGTCGGTTTGCTCGGTCTGAGCCTGTGGTAGCACGGATAAAGCCAGACGAAGTATGCGATATGAGAACAGGACTGAGTGAGCGCCTACGACTAGCTATGCCGATGGGGGGACTTGAGTATGGGACTGCATACGACGGTTTGTATATTAATAAACAAAGTTACAGATGTGTATTATCATAATGAATCTAAATCATACAGAGCCGTCGCAAGAAAGTAGGGACAGTGCTCATCAAACCATCAGTGCACGGGAGCGAGAGACCCCGCTCAAGAAGCAGGACAAGCGTCAATGGTCCGATATGCAGTTGCGTAGATAGTGGAAGTGACCTCGATAATCGAGGCAGTGGGAACATCGGTGACAGTTTCGCCGACAGTCATGGGACGGACGGTCGTGTATGCCGGCACAGTCTCGGTGGTCAGATAGCTTGTCCGTTCTGACGCAGGGCAGTTGGGGACGGAATATGGGCAGGCAACAACAGTCGCGACCTGGGTGGTGTAGACGGTGGACGTGGTGACGGGGTAGACCGTGGTTCCGATGGTGATTGTCTCGATGACGGTGCTGTAGGCGGTCTTTGCTGTCAAAGGGCAGTCGGTCACGGTGGAAGGGCACTTGTAGATGGTAGAGGAAATAGTCGTGTAGAGGGTTTCCGTGGTGATGGAGTCACCCACAGGAGGGATGATGCCCGAGATTGTGGGCGCGGATGTGATCGATGGCGGCAGGTCCCCCGATAGACTGGAGGGAGTGGTGGACGACAGAGACGGGGGTAGGGCTGTGGTGTTCCGAGACAGGGGGATGGATGACGGGCTGGGGTGCACAGTGGTCTCTAGGCGGGGGGGAACGGAGGAAGATGACGGCACATTCGACGAGAAATGGAGGACGGCGGATGACGAAGACGAAGAGATCTTGGACAGCGGAGTGGGGGCAGAGGAAGAGGCTAGCACGGAGGAAGACGATGTTCTAGGCAGACGTGTTGACACAGAAGAGGGGGATCGCAAGGCTGAAGAAGAGGGTCTGGACAAAGGAGTAGATGCGGATTGCGATTTCAGAGCAGACGACGAAATGCTGGGAAGAGGGGTCGATGCCGAAGATTTTGACAGCAAGGCCGAAGAAGAAGTGGAGACACTAGGGCTGCGGATGGCGGAAGAAATTGAAGAAGCAACCGGAGATGAGACGCTCGAAGAAGCGGATACGCGTGTTGTTGAAGCAGCGGCAGTGCTGGAAGACACGGGTGAGGAAGGAGGCGCCACTGCAGAGGCCGAAGAAAGGACAGGAATGCTAGCCGAGGAACTTGAGGGGATGGTCGAGGATGACACAACTGGCGAAGGGACACTCAAGGGAGCTGCGCTGGAGGTGGCCACAAGGACAGAAGACGAGGACGGAGTCGATGTGGGAATGACGATGGTCGAGGTATAGAGAACGGTATGGGTCACCGTCGAAGTACCGGTTTCAGTCTCGGTCGTCGAGCCCGTAGCCGTGATAACACATGGATTGGTGGTGAAAACCTGCATGAGCTTGTAAGAGCTTGCTGCGGTTTTTTGCGTGACTGTGCCTGCCATCAACTCGCAGACCGAGATACCATTCCAGATGACATAGTTTATTCCAACACAGCTGCTTGTGGCAGTACAGGATGCGTAGCAGGATTCGAAAGGGAAATTGACGCCACCACCCAGGTCGGTCCCCCCAGAGAGAGAGGCGGACGAACAAACCGCTTGGTAGTAGTTGGTTCCAGCAGACCATACTCCAGCCTCACAAGCAGTACCAGTCGGGGCCGTCGAGTCGAGGGTGCAAGTGGCCTCGCTGGTGATGACCGGAAAGGCAGTCGTCGTGGTATAGGTGACTGTCTCCAGGGAGGTGGCTGTGATCGTGGTGATCTCCCCTCGAGCGGGGACAGTGGCAGCCCTGGTCAATGGCACCAGGGCACCGAGGAGGAGTGACCTCCATCCCAAAGAAGATCCCATCTGAGTCGTTGAAGGAAGGATACTATATAGCGGGTCTTATGTCGGTTTGCGCCAGAGGTTAGTTAGGTAGCAGTAAAAGAAGGATACCACCCCGAAAGACGTCTCAGGCGGTGTAAGAAAAACGACTGTAGAAGCAACCCGGCCAAAAGAGTGACATGTAAAGAAGGGACCGAGTGAGATCCAACGGAAGAAAGTCGAAGCCGGGGGAGGCGAGCGGCGGATGTTTTGTAGGCGGGCCGTCGGGTATTTTGACTCCAAATGCCTCGCATCTCGGGTCGTCGCTCCAATAGTCAGGCTAGTGGCGCATCAAGCCTCTGCGGCATCGAATAAGCCTTCGCGAATTCGATCCTCGCTCCACTCGTGTGGCTGTCCGTCAGTCTCGCCGCCGCGTGTTTTGTCCAGATTGTGCCAGCCCCTGATATGGGCTCGAGGAGTCGAGCGACGCGGATCCACCGTGGCGTTGCGAATGGGCCACGCTCTGAGATTGCGGCTGAGAGGCACCAGGGGGAAATCTGCAAAATCTACGGAGTACTCCGTGCTCGAGCTATGTGTATTGTAGAGAGTCCTGGAAAATCGTAGAAAGGTTATATTGGGTACAGTGCCGGCAATTGCGGATCCAATCGCGGTCAATGGCAGGTTCAGCCAGTGTCCTCGCACCACTCTCCGAATCATCCGAGCAGCATCTCCCAACCGAGTCCAACTGACGGCTTCGCAAGTAATCCCCATCTCTGACTACAGTGAATAGTTCAGCTGGGGCTGAGCGAATCGGTCATCGCCCCGCAACATCTCTCTCCTTCCTCCGTCCCCGCTTGTCCGTCCCCCTCCCGATTATTTCTTCTCCCATTCTCCTGTATGTCAACTTTGGTTCTGCTGCTTCCAGACGTCTCCTCAGTAGTGTCACCTGTGCTGAGAATCGCGTCGAATTCACGTGTTGGGGCCATTGTTTACCTCCCTTCCAATGTGAGGTGGCAGTTGGTGGTTGGTGGTGTCCATCTTCACCCGGTTTATTCAAATCAAACACAGCAAAGGCTCAACTCATGTACAAACCTCTGAAAAGCAAGCAGATCCGACGTTGATGAACCGTTATCTGTCTCCTTGGGCTCCGATCTCAGGAACCTCGAAACACCACCCCCATAGACGTCCCCCATCCGGAACTCAACCTGCCCACGATCCACAAATTCGTGCAGTAGCCAATTCCGCGTCCCCGCCAGAGCTGAGATAGAAATGTCAACATCCTTCTTGCCGACATCAACGTGTCTTTTGATGATATGCTTGAGTGGTCGCCATTCCGCAATCTCGACCATAACAGCTCCCAGTGAGTAGAGGTCCATGCACATGGCATACGACATGGAGGGTTCCCCAAGGGCCTCTGGATGTCGATAGATATCCGACAGCGGATCCTCGGATGCTTGATCGCTAATTTCGATCGGAGAATCGGCTCGTGCAAATGTGAATCCCGTCAGATACGGCTGCGGGAGGGCTGCGATGGTGGCGCACGGATGGCAGGGTGTGAAGAATAGGATATTCTCGGACCGAATGTTCTTGTGAAGCCACCCCGACGTGTGTACAGTCAAAAGCGTGCTGCAAATCTCCAAAGCCAGCTTCAATCTCGCCGTCGCGCTGGGTAGTTTCATCTTTGAGTCACGGAGCAAATCCTGGAGGGATCGAGGCGGAGCACTGAGATCCGATCCGGGTGGATAGTCGTACAGAAAGACAAATTCGTCCATATCTTCCACAAATCCAAGACATTGAAGGGTCATAAACGATGGGCCCTTCGGCAATGATAACAGCCTTGCAAGGTTCTCGGATCGCAGTCGCAGTTTCGATTTCATTCGTCCATGGACGACCTTCGTTTCGCACAACACCGGCTTCCCGTCATACTCGGCGATGAACGTGCCTCTCGCGCCTCGGGTGCCGGACGCTCGCTTGAGGAAACTTCTATTCAGGGGTTTCAAAGGCTCTGGACCTGCTGAGTACAATGGAATTGGGTCCGAGTCCCTGGTGCTCTCTCCTGGAAGCTGTTCCCGCACCACCTTCAGGTCAACCGCCGCCGAAAGAATCGCATCTTCTGGGAGCTTGACGTGCTTTCCGGTGAAGCTGGCTTGGAGGCCTTTTAAGGCTTCTAGATCATGACTCATATCAACCACCGCGGTGAGGGTTTGTCCAACTTGCTGAGACAGCTCTCTCAGACGGACCGGCTCAAGCAGATTCCACAGGGAATCAACAATCTGCCTCACATCGAGGATAAGGTCTTGGAATTTGGTCTTGTCAATAACCGCCCACCACAATCGCTTTGGGAACTGTGTCCGACCCTGAATCAATCTTGCTCGCTCGATAATCTCCGCCCGCCGTCCATGGGACACTGCTTTCGCAAGAACATCCGGGGCTTCCGGATCGACTTTTATGTCCCCCGTTGTCCCCTGGACCGAACTTTCAGCAGGGCGAAGGTCAAGCGAGTATCGCTGCTTCAGCTTGGAACTGTCCAGTCTATCCTTCAAGTGGACCAACAGCTCTTCTGCCAGAACGTGGTTGATCCGAGGTGACATCCGGCCCTCAGTTGCCGTCAAGCCGACCGCATCCGCCCATTGGACAAACCGGTATTCCTCCACATTGAGTATGGTCCGAAGGAACGTGGCATCTTTCCCGAAGTTGTGCGCCGTCGACAGGATCACGAACCCCTGGACACAGCCTGCGAATGCCTGGAAGGCTAGGCCCGGAACCGCGAGGGCTAGTCCCGCCGCTGTCACAGGGTCCATCACGAGGATCCGCGCGTTTTCTCTTTTTGTTTTGATTGTTTTTTTACCAGCTTGGCTGCAGCGATGGATCGATAGATGCCTCTTTTATTGACCTGTGAGGGTTGTCGCGGGGAGCATCGTGTGCTGGAGCTGAGCATCGTCCCACAATCGAAGCGACGCCAAGGATTAGTTTCAGCTCCAAGCGATTTTCGCCTTTACCCCGCTTCTCCCCCTGTCAGCAAGATATGCAGGGTACCAGCCGACGCGATTAAGGGGCTGGGACTTTCTGCTCAGCCTCTCTCCTCTTGTGGCGCCTCGTGTGGTTAGCGTCTGCCCTGCTTCAAGGGTTCTTACGTGGCCCAATCGGTGTGGTGGATAGGCAAACCCTTCAGAGGGCTCGACATCCGACAATGCCTGAAAAGGAAACGGCCCCACCCTCTAAAACCAAAGGATTGCATGAGGAATGGTTTGCTCTTTGCCAGATAAGCAGCGTCATCTTTCCTTCGAGTCGATGTGTTTCTGTGTTACATGCATGTCCTCTCTGACCCGGCATACACAGAATGGCATCATCCAGTTCCCTTTCCGGCCGAGCGTGGTCATCAGAGCGACGGTCATCATCGGAAAACACCAGCGAAACCACCGAAGAAACTGCCGATTCCCAGTCCTCCGAGGACACAAGATCGGATGCGATCTTCGTCCCCCATGTCTATGACTTTGTCAGCATCCACCAACCGGCTCACTTTCGTGTCTCGTCGCGCATCCCGACATTATACCTGGAACCTCTATCGGTAGATCAATCAATTTTCGTCGGCCATGGAGCATCGTTTACCACCTTCAAGAGGGCTATCCCGGATGCTCTGACAATATCCCAGACAAGTAACATGGACGGGTGGAGTGTGAGTGTTCCCAAGCAACACATGGCCCGACCCAAGCACGTCGTCTACAAGGTTGCTCGCGTTGCCTTCACCGAAACCGGCACCCCAACGCCTCAAACACGCCATGCGATGAAGGCTGCGTTGATGGAGCTCTACTCTTTAATGCACGAGCCTCTCCGACAACATCCAAACATCATCGACCTCCTGGGTCTGGCTTGGGGGTCCAACTACTTCGACCCATCGCATCGATTGCCAGTGTTGGTGGTGGAATATGCCGACCACGGGAATTTAGCCGACCTGCAAAGGAAACACGATCTCACACCTTTGATCAGAGGTCGTCTCGCCCTCGACATCGGCCAAGGTCTGGAGATGCTGCATCGATGTGGGATCATACACGGGGATGTCAAGTCCGAGAATGTCCTGATCTTCAGTGATCCGGGAAGGGAATACATCGCAAAGCTCTCCGATTTCGGCTTTTCCATGGTCGGAGAAGCAGCAAGCAATGAAGTGTATGTCGGCGGCACCAAGCCCTGGAAAGCTCCAGAGGCAAAATCACCGGTTCCAAAACATCTCCTCCAAGCTACGGACATCTACTCTTATGGTCTACTTTTATGGCGTCTAGCGACTGATGGACATGATCCGTTTCGCTTCTGGGTCGAGTCGAGCCTGCAGGGAGACTCACATCTGCAAGAACTCGAAACAATCAAGGAGGAGGATGGTCCTGCGAGGAATACGGCACTCGAGAAATGGCTCATCCCATATATTTCTGGCAAAAATCTAGACTGCCAGGCGGAATTAACGGTGGACTGGCTTAGGGAAGCCATTTCCAATCTTCGATTGGGGAAGGATACAAATCAACCGGGCAATGCACACACGTCTCCCACTTCCTGGCAGGCGCTGATGAAATGTGTGGGCCCTTGTCTTCGGCTTCCGCAGACTGCAAACATGTTCTCGGGCCCCTTGATCGATTGGGCTCAGCGAGATGCCTTTTACGGAAGAGTGCCTTCTGCTCTTGACAAATGCTTAAGCGTTGATCCCGTAAAGAGAGACTTGCGCGGGGCTATTGCGGCGCTCTCCGATAGCGATCAGGTAGATGAGTATGTATACAGTGCCTCTGGTCGTCACTCTCGCCATTTTGCATTTTGCTGATCTCTTTACAGTGAACCAACACCGAACACCAATAATATTCGTCTGAACATGAGCTACGAGGTATCTTCTTCTGCATTATCTTCGCAATGTATTGTTCTTCTGCTAAACTTTATTTCTCTACTAGCACCACATTCTGTCCTGGCAACAAATGCGTGACCTTGAACCCGCAGTTCAATCGTTTGTGTTGAACTCCTTTCACCAAAAGGTGGAAACATTGATATCCGACAACCGAATCAACCCTCCGGATTGCTTCGTCCTAGCATCCTACTACATCAACGGCTACGGTACCAATGTCAATTACGAGGCAGCAAGGCGACTACTCGACCTTTCGTCGGTCGCAGCCTATGACCACGTCTCCTCCCGCGCCTTCGCCTACCGCATCCACAAATCCCTTGACCCAAATTACGTCCCCACCGCGGCTGTCATCGACAATCTATCCGTTATGGCGCTGCGGGGCTCGCGACCCGCCCTCATCGATCTAAAGGAGCTAGCCCCCGCAAAATACGATTGGAGTCAGAATATCATCCGCGACATAATGGCGGGGGTGGGAGCAAATTTCTATCACCAGGATCAGATGCTCGGTGGGTTTTCTTATCACCAGTGGATTCGAACCTTTGATAACCCGGAGATACTCGTTCGCAATCTGAGAAACATGGATCGGATTGAACAGTATCGAGTCAACAAACGCGGGGATAGGATCCTGCATCTCGCGGCGAGTGCGGGTCGCTTCCAGGCTATTGAGAGTCTGTTGGGGGCATTCCCTTCACTGACCATTGACCAACGGAATGATAGGGGAGAAACGCCTCTTTTATGCGCTTGTAGAGCGGGACAACTCACGACTGTGACGAGGCTACTCGAACTTGGTGCCGATCCAGCCTTTGCCGCTGCGAATGGCGAAACCTGTATGCATTGGCTCGTGTCATTCAACGATGAGGATATTCAAACTATCGGAGAAGCTCTTCTTGAAAAGGGAGCCAAGATGCGCGAATTTACTCGCGAAAGGATTTCATACTCCGAGTTCAATGGCACAATCGATGTTGACTTCCAGTTACCCGGCACACCTCTCACTTGGGCGATTCACAATGACCGACCCTGCATCGTCAAATTACTCTTGGAAAAGTCCCCTGACAAACGTTTATGTCTCGACTGGGCGAAGGGTCATCCTGGAAGTCTGTCCCCCCCGACGTACGCCGCTTACTACCACCATGTGGAATGTTTAGAGCTCCTGCTGAAAGCCCTCGACGACGCCAAAATCGTATATACCATGGAGCCAGTCATCGCTGCGGCTACTCACGCGGCGGACACGTTTTCAATGATTCTCCGAAACGGTGCCAAATACGAAGAACGCCTACATCAGACTCTGAACTTATGTCTGACAAAGTCCCAGGAGATTGTCTTCGCGACCGGGATCGGGGGCTTCGATATGCATCTACTCTTCTACGCCGTTAGCGAAGGGCACGAGAAAGTCGTAGAGCATCTGTTATCCAACGAGGTCAAACATCTTATAGAGACGTTCGAGCCAGCACCAGACCCATGCCGGCCTGGCGCATACAATCCAGGCGATATCAATCAACCTGTCGGCGAAGACCGCCGCACACCGGTTCTGGAGGCGATCCGTTGGAATCGCAAACCACTCGTCCAGCTCTTGGTTGCGAACGGTGCCGATCCCAAGGCAATGGCCAAGAACCCTTTCAATTCCGACGAGCAGAACTGGACGGGGCTTCATATCCTCGCGACAGCCGGTCACAACACAGATCATGTAGCCGAATTGGTCTCATACCTCGTGGATGTTGGACTGGACATCGAAGGGTCTCATTCTGGCAGCAATGAACACAGCCCTGAGACGCCCTTTCTCGTTGCCGTCCAACACAACGCCTTCAACCTCGCCAGTACATTCATCCACTGCGGTGCCCATCCAAACGCCTTATGCACCAGCTCCGGCCTGCTTTCCCTCGAGTACCCCACCACCGTTTTGGGCCACATCATCGCAGCTTCGGCACAACACACGGTCCCCCGACTCCGATACCTACTCGAAGCCTGCCCCACCCAGGACAACAAACAAGGAAGTTTCGGAAGTTTTATCGTCGAACCGGCCCGACAACTAAGCGCCCTCCACCGTGCCGCCTGGGCTCACCGGGGTATCATGCATCGGACACCAGAATGCAACACCCCTGCACACCGGTTCCTTAATCGCGACGAATACGACATGATCATGAATCAAGATATCATCCACGAGCTGCTACAGAAATGGGGCGATGTAGAGAGCGTCAATCTCCGTTGCGGTATCCATGGCAGAACGGCGCTTCATTTGGCTGCTGAAGCGGGCAATGTTAGGGGATGCGAGATGCTATTAGCGAGGAAGGCGGATGTTTCTGTTCGTGATGAGTTGGGTTTGACGGCCGTGGAACTGGCACGGGAGACTTTGGATGGGCTGGATGAGGGGGTTGGAGAGGCGGAGATGTATAGTCGGATCATTGGGATACTGGAAGGGGTTGTGAAGGTTCCAGCGTCCGGGTCTTGATTTGGCGATTGAGGATAGATTTTACCTGTCGAGGTCTGTCTATGGATCAATGATGATATTTTCCACGTTTGGAGGGTATTTCTCTTGGTCTTCCAGTCCTTCAATTGCCGGTCTTCTCCCTGTGTAGCTTGTCAGCAACCCGAGGTAGACCTTCTAAACCAGAAGACGTCTCGATAAATTTCTATGTGGGAATCTGCTGTTTTCTCTTTCATGGGGCCTATCTGGCCTAGCTCTCTCAATAACTAGCAAGGATCTCCTTTACCTTGGACTATTGACCAATGGCCTGTGCGTTACAAAAACGACTATCTTGCTTTTCCGGATCCATGCTCCGAAAGGTACAACGAGACCCGGGTATAGAGGGATTGTCTCCAGTCCGTCATCGAGAATTGATTGAAAGGTGAAACGGAGCCGACGATGACATCAGCTTCAGAATACGAAGCCATTGTTTGGTTCCGTCCCCCTTGATCCGTGGTTACCCAGCCACGGTATCATCATTCGATCATGTGCCCCGTGCTCAGCCTTGGCGGACTGGATATAGGCGGAGAACCCACCCACAACGTGGAGATGAGACTCCATCGCCCGTCGATCGCATGTCAATCAGTCCATCTTATCAGGGACTTATATCCATCGCCAAAACCATGTCCCAACCAACCACAACGGCAGTCGAGCTCCTCGGAAGCTTTGCCAGCATCATCAGCAACATCGTGACCAACCTCAACAAGAACCGCCTGGACCGGGGCAAGATCAAACAGACGCTGACCGAATACTCCGCGCGAGCCGAGTCGGACGGGCGTCTGATCAACGCGTCGCGACAGAACGAGCGCTGCATCGACCACGGCCTATTCCTCGCCTTCGTACACATGGAATTCGTAACCACGCTGCTCCGATACAACTTCACCCTCCCCGCAACATCCGTGAAATGGTACCGACTCAAGTCCCTTCGTAAGAAGTACCGATTGTCGCTACTTTCGATCTCCTCGCAGACGGCAGATCTGCAGGATCAGTTGCGGAACATCCGCAACAAGGCGGAGATGCTCTATGCGGACTTGGAAGTAAATAACGTAATTGCTCATCGTCCATTTGTCGGGGTGGGATTTAGTAGTGCTGTTCTTGAGCTGAATGGTTTGAAACACAAAGGTCCAGGTTCCGCCGACTCCGATCCAGTATAACAGGGTTGCGCCTTGTACGCTGCTGGCTGCGCCGCCTGGAAGTATGGTCCTTCCCTCCCTTCCCTTTGGAGATAGAGGTGGTTTGGCTGATGCTTCCGTCCGAATTAGCATTTAGTGAGCTTCTCCATCGCGGGTCGATAGCTGAGAAGGAGCTGAGTGGCAAGATGTCGGTCTGATGAGGGTGATTTTCGTTGATTCCGGATGGGTCCATGAAGGATTTGCGGGCGCTTCAGAAGCTGTAATGTGGAGAGGGTTCTGCCGGGGTTTGAGAGACGTTCTTGCGATGTGTAAGTATAATCTTGATGATATCCATGGGTAGGGTAATTGGAAGAAATACTTAATTGTACTGCTGAAACATAGTTTGATGCGGGTGATAGCACGATATCAGTAGAAATGATAGTGATGTCGACCAATAGAATTGACGGTAGTCTTACTTCAGACGAATATAGCTAGGTAGAATTCATCATTTTCAGCGATTCAGGTGTAGAAAGAAGAAAAGACAGCTCCAGACATGGACAATTATTGAAAGGGGAAGGTTGCCAGCCTCCCGGGTGGGTGCAACAAAAGCAGGGGTGTGTCCCCTGCTCCCGCTCCCAGACAGGGATGTAGGTGACACAGCCAAAACATACGAATAACTACATAAACATCGTCACTCCCAGGTCTCAAAAACAACCTCTTTGCTTCCTTTCTTCTCAAAACAAAAAGAGAAAGAAACATACAACAGAAGGGATTCGCTGGTGGTCACCCACCCAACTACTAACCTCCCGGCGTGTGGCTTAAGTACGGCTGAGCGGACGGGAAGCCCTGTTCTCCACACCCTATGGTCGTATGTGCTTGTTTCAAGTGAGGAGAGGCATATGTAGGGCAGTTGGAGGTGTGGTGGGGGTTGGACACATCGGTAAATCGAATTGCCTGGTCGCATTCGAGTTTGAAGGGACCTGTAGGGTGGTGGTGCTCAATGGTTTTCCCTAAAGCTCTACGTCCCGGGACGAAGAGGCATGCATATCCAACCAAGGATTGTAGCGTTGTGCATAGCAATCTGCAGGTCAATTATTATTGGCAAAGTTGTAAATAGATCTACGTGCAAATGTCTCGTTGGATGTGTGGTTGTATCAATTGTGAGGTATTCACCAACATCGAAAAATATATACTCTTCGAAGATTCGGATTCTGTCGCAAACTCTCGCCCCCAGCCTACCTACCTACCTCTGTAAGATTTATACAAGAGCCGCTAACGTGAACACCTTTGAATAAAATATATGCCTGCTAACAGTTGGGACATGTACCGAGTGTATCATTCAAAACAGTCTTCTTTCTGCTCGGCAGGATCCTGCCTGCCGACGACGCACCGTGCACGATACCATATCTGCGGAAACAAAAAAGAAACGATCTTCCAAAAAAAGAAAACATGAGCCCAGCCCGAATCGAACGGACAACCTTACGATCTGGAGTCGTACGCGCTACCAATTGCGCCATAGGCCCATGGATGACTTTTCTTCGCGTAAGCAGTAGACGTGCCAAAAATTGAATTCCGTAGCCCGGAATGATGGGACGCGCAAAAAGTAACATTCGAGCCCAATATTCAGTATAATATAATCGCACAGTACCCAATTGGTGTGGAAAGTATAATGCGAGCCAGAATAGTTTCGGTTCGGGAAGAAATGCTTGAGATGTATGGACCCCGAGTAGGTTTCATCAGTCGTGGGTTACGGGGTGAGATATATATATTTTGGTAACCTGCGACAACAAATTTAGTTACAGTCGCAGATTGGACACGCGTTTCATAGACAAAGGATTTGAATCAACGAAGAAGAACGATATGAATATTTATGTAAATAGTGCAAGTCGGTGGCAAATTGATCCAGATTTAATTTATGCTATACAAAAGAGACAGCCTTGAGACAAAAGACAATTGAAATAGGTCCCTAATTCTGTCATACACAGTCCAAAAAATCCGCTCTAAGATACAGAGACGCAATACGCCTCATCGGCCCAGAAACCAGTGGTACAGTCCGAGGAGACAGCAGGATTCCACGCCAGAAACTCAGCTTTGGTGATGCCAAACTTCGCTTCAATGGCGGCACAGGTATCACCCGCTACGGAAGGGAAACAAAGATGTTAGTCACCGTGGGACTGATATGGTATGTGGAAGGGTCAGAGATCAACTTACATTGCGCAATGTAGTACTCATCACAGTTGGAAGCAATGCCGGACTGGGTCGGGCCTGGCGGGACGACCGAAGTAGTCGACGAAGAGACAGATGCAGATGTGCTGGTAGCGGTAGCACTACTGCTGCTACCAGATACACCCACACAGTAGGCCTCATCGACCCAGAGACCACTCGTACAGTCGGACGAGATGGCGGGGTTCCAGTCAAGGAACTCAGCTTCGGTAATATCATATTCAGCTGCGATGGTGGCGCAGTCATCTCCCGCTACAGAAGAGGGGAATACCGTTAGCTAGGCTATGAGGGCAAAGAGGGTTGGACATACATTGTGCAACATAGTATTTGTCACAGTTTGAAGGAATACCAGATTGAGTGGGAGCTGGTGGAGTGACGGAGGATGAGGATTCGGTTGCAGAAGCTGAAGTTGAGGGGGCAGATGCGGATGTAATAGTGGCCGTGGATGCAGTAGATATACTGCCACTACTTGATGTAGTGGTGGCAGTAGTGCTGTTCGACCGCACACCCACGCAGTAATCCTCGTCAACCCAGAGGCCACTTGAACAATCAGATGAGATGGCAGGATTCCAGGCAAGGAACTCAGCTTCTGTGATCCCGAACTCGGCAGCAATTTTATCACAGGTATCACCGGCTGCACATGGGGTTAGTTCAGACGGTATTATATGAAGGTTATAGGTAGTTTGCACGTACATTGAGCAACGTAGTATGCATCACAGTTGGCGGGAATTCCCGTCTGAGTCGGCTCTGTAGGGGACGTTGCGGCAGTAATGATTGCAGTACTGTTAGTAGCTGTGGCATTGCTGTACTGCCAGCCGGTCAGGGGGTCAATGCAATAGGCATAGCCTGCAACAAGGTCCGAGTTACATGTGGTGTAATTGAGGGAGGGATTGGCAGCAGTGAAAAGATGGATGGGTATGTCATTATACAGACAAATCTCAGAACACGTATAGTTCAAGCTGGCTGAATTGACGAACCACCCGCCGCAGTCGAGGGTAGTTCCTGGGGCCACTTTCACACCAGCAGGGGGGTATGCAGCCTCTGGTTCTGTAGAGTCAGATGCAGTAGTGTTCAATGCATGCCCCGTGTATGTTCCACCCGGAGGAGAGACGCACAGTACTGAGCCCCAGTAGGGATTGGTCGAATGCAAATTCGAACAGTTCCAGTTGAGCTGCGAGTTCCAGTTGATCACCTCCTGAGTGGATAAATAGTAATCAACAGCAATCGAGGTACATGTATCATTGGCCTTGACTGAATAGAGATCAGTGCAACTCAGGGGCAGACAGAGAGTGGTTCCTGCCAAGATATCTGAGCAGTTGACGATGTTAGGATTGGTGTAGTACATGGTGGCCGCTGAAACTCCTTTGGCTAGGGCAATGGAGTCACATGTATCCCCCTCCACAGTTGTGTACATGTCGCCAGAAACACAAGAGGATGTGGACGTCGGCACTGACGCATTGAAAGCGCTCGCTGTGGCGTTGAAATCGGCCACTGTGAGGTTGCAGCTTGCAGCAACATATTCGTAAGTAAACTGGAAGTCATCGTTGTATGCATCTGAGAAGGCATCCTCCTGCATCATTTCCAACTTTTTCACGTAGCAGTAGGAGCACAAATCAGATGTAGCCATGTCCGCTAGGGCAGTAACATTATCAAACGACGCAATTTCATCTAGGAAGAGACGTTAGGATTGAAAGGCCCAAAACCAGGGGCCGGAGTATTTACCATTGCAGTTCTCGCCGGTGGTGGGATCTGTAATGCAGGACTGATTCCAATTGCTCCAGAGTTCATCGACAAGGGCCAAAAAAGAAATCCCGGGTATCAAGTCCGCTGTTGTACCGCAGCTGGCCGAGACGGACTCATGAAGCTCCGCGATCGAAGATCCACAACTTGAAGCGCATACCAATGCCGTCAACGTGGAATTGTCAAAGCTACCAATGTAGTCATCGGTGATCAGCGAGGAGACCGTCTCGTCGCAATAGATCTTCTGAGAAAGTGCATCCTCACATGCCGACGACAGATCCAAGCCAGACAAACTCCCATTGGGGAACATGGAAAGTCCAGGGAATGACACGCTCGGATCAACCGTGCGGGATTGATGATGATGCCGAGCGGCATGAAGATATCCATGAGAAGAGAAATGGACAGCCTCTGCTGGAATGAAGCAGGAGGCCACCGCCAGAAGGAGCGTAGGGAGGCTTCCCATGTTGGGAGTTAAACGAATGGATCAAGGTCGAAAAAGGACCAGGGATATCAGCACAGCTGCTGTGAGAGACGGTCAAGAGTCCGCTACCAGGGAAAGGCCAAAGGTCGGAGTATATGATGGGGCTCCCCTCCGTTCTCCTGATCTCACTTGCGATTCCGGGTCCACTCGACGACCTCGAAAGCACGCTATTGAGATCAGCTGAACGGGGCCTCATTTCCGAAGCGACCACCTCGATCCGTAAAGTGAGACAGGCTCCTTATCCGGTAGTGGTTGGTCGCGGAAAAGGGCTCAGACATGGTGGCGGAGGTTGCGGGATTTTCTGGCTCTCCAGCACTACTCAGCAGCTAGTTATCAGTGATACCTCGCACTTCGAGACTTCCGAAGTGACACTTGCCCCATGCATAGAATGGAAGTGAGATCTTAGTTTGGGGAGTAATCTCGTTCATCGTACAAGACAGTGCCACAGCCTCGGTACAAGAAGGGGTATAGATACTAAACAATGGGTGTGGGGATACATTAAGATTACACCTCAGATAAGCATTTTAACAGCCTATCACAAAGCCATTCCCCCACAGAGGTTTCAAGGCCAGGGCCTATGGGGTCTGGCGAGGGTCCGACAGTGGTTCAGTGAATAGTCATGAATTCTCTGCTGCCTGAGCTAACCGCGGGTACGGCCTCGGATGATCCGCAACCGGGACGAGCAAGGACCAGCGCCCCGGCCACCAAGTCTTTCCCGATGCATTGTGAGGGGGGCTTCGGACAAGGAAATTAGCCAGTATTGCTTAGCGTGACAGGCAGCCCCCAAATCTGACTCAGGTTCGTCTGTCCATGCGCCCAACCCTGCCTGTTTTCATCGACCGGTACTCGACCGGTGCGTGTGGGTTCACCACGCTTGGAAACTCCCAGTAATGTTGAGGCACTACTCTTTTCAGCTGGCGGGGCGGTTGATTTCAGATTCGACAGGTCTTTGGCTGTTGCCTTGGCTGAAAGCCAGCTCTGGAGCGCAGCAATCAATCATGCTGACTTCAAAGTGGCAGTATGCTGATAGGATGATACTGTGGCGAAAACTGCAAGTTTTTATCCAGGGGATATCAGACAATATCTCCGTTACTATATATCCTGCCGGGACGCCGCGGTGACTTGATCTCGGGCTTGCATGTGCCGTATCATCATAATCTGTCCATGCACCTTTCCATTCATTAACCACTTCTCTGTTTTCTTTCTCACCTTATACATTCATTGAATCTTTCACTCTTTTCTTAGAAGCTTCCACCCGCCGCATTACTGTATACTTCGTTGTGAATATCACAGCGTGTGCCCTTTTTAAGACGTTGAGCTGACGGGCCGTCACGCCTACATATGTGAGTATATCACGCAGCCATACTTTGCGAAAAGCTCCAGACTGACTGGATGCAGTGGTAGAAAGAATGTTGGCCGGTATTGCCTTGACGCTTCTCGTGGGTCTGGGAGCTCTCCCCTCCGTGATTGCAGACACATCCTGCAGCGCAACTGTGCCTTGTGAGATTGGGTGCTGCGACAAGTATGGGGTGTGTGGCATGGGCCCTGACTTCTGCGGGACCGATGTTTGTGTCAACAGCTGTGATGCTAAGGCTGAGTGCAATCCTGGAGGATGGCCGTCCGAGTATGTCAATGCCACAACCTGTCCGCTTGACGTCTGCTGTAGCGAGTACGGCTTCTGCGGGACTACAGAGGAGTTCTGTGGGAACAAAACCGTCACCGCACCCTCCTGTGATGCCAGCTCCCAGTCCTTAACGCGTGTGATTGGCTACTATAGCTCTGCTGGGGCTTTCCGAGCCTGCGATGGCATGGCCCCATACGCCGTCCCCCAGGGTGTTTATTCGCACATATATTTTGCCTTTGGAAGTATTGACCCCGATACCTTCGAAGTAATCCCTGCCGAGCAGGTCGATGAGCTGCTGTACCCTCAACTGGCGGCACTTCAGACTCGCGATTTGGGTCAAGAGCTGTGGTTGTCGATTGGCGGCTGGGACTTCTCCGACAGCGATGAGCCGACGGCTACCACCTTCTCCGACCTCGCTGCGGCCGATACAGCCAAACAGAATGTCTTCTTCAAGTCACTAATCAATTTCATGAGTACATACGGATTCACGGGTGTGGATATTGACTGGGAATATCCCGCTGCAAGCGACCGCAATGGCCGCGCTGAAGACTACGAAAACTACCCTACGTTTTTGGCCAACCTGAAAAAGGCATTAGCGGACTACAAGTACGGTCTCTCCATTACTCTGCCGACAAGTTACTGGTATCTGCAGCACTTTGATCTGACCGCCATCGAGCCCTCGGTGGATTGGTTCAACGTCATGAGCTACGACCTTCACGGCACATGGGATATTGGAGACATATGGACTGGGGCGTACCTGGATGCTCACACAAACCTGACGGAGATCAAGTTGGCCCTTGATCTGCTCTGGGGAGTTGATATCAAGCCTTCGAAGATCAACCTGGGCTTGGCCTTTTACGGCCGCAGCTATACGATTTCCAGCGCCTCTTGCTCGGAGCCAGGCTGCTCCTATGTCTCCGCCGCCGATGCCGGGACGTGCAGCGACTCTGCCGGAATTCTCTTTAATAGCGAGATTGAAGATATAATTGCCGAGTACGACCTCACGCCTACCTTGTACGAAGATGCTGCCGTCAAGACCATAACCTGGGATAGTGATCAGTGGGTCTCGTTTGACGACGAAGAGACCTGGAAGCTCAAGGCCGAGTACGCCAAGTCGGTATGTCTGGGCGGCGTCATGGTGTGGTCCATTGATGAAGATGATTCCAACCACACTTTTTCGGTCGGTTTGGCGGCGGCCCTCGGTAACAAGATCAATATCGACCCTGACACAGGCCTGGCCATTGATGCGTACGGCGAGGGAATAACAGCAACCTCGTATATATCAACCCAGGACGATTATTGCCGGTTTATCAACTGCGGGGAAACGTGCCCCAGCGGGTTCTCCGAGATTGTTCGGGAGGACAAGAAGAGTCAGATTATGTTGGACTCCACGGAGTGCCTGTCCGGATCGAAACAGACACAAACCCTCTGCTGCCCAACTTCCAGCGAGTTGCCAACCTGCCGCTGGCGAGGCTTTCACAATAGTGGCAAATGCAAGGGCGGTTGCGAGAGCGACGAGGCCGAAGTTGGCACCATTACTGCCGGCTGCCACTCGGGCTATCAGTCCGCCTGCTGTACCATCACCAGGTCGACGGAGCCCTGGTCCGAATGTGCATGGACATCGAAATGTGAGAGTGATGAGACCTGCCCGTCCGGCTACGACAACTTTGTTGTAGGGTCTCGTCAGGGCTGGGGCGGCCGCAAGTCGTGCAGTGGGAAGAAGAATTACAACTACTGTTGCAAAGACTTATCAGCACCGGATGCCTTTACCAACTGTGAGTGGAAGGGTCACGAGGTGGAGTTTCCGAACCAGGAGTACTGCACCGATGCTTGCCCGTCGGGCTCAATTCGCATTGCCGAGGAGTCGATTGATGTGATGTGGGGGGCCAACAAGAGGGCGCACACGGCCGATTGTTTGTTTGGCAATGAGGCCTACTGTTGCGCAGGCACGACAAAGGTCATCGTAAACCCGCGCGGTGTCACTCCCACTTTCAACCCGGCAGCTGAAGAATTTTACTATTATTTCGACAAGTTCCTCTCCAACCCCTCCTGCCCGGCTAATTGGGACGCCGAATACAGCGCGTCGTTTTTCAAACGGTCTACCAGCCCGAGCGATGTCGATTTGCTCTTCAACGAAGTGCTGGCTCAACTCGTGACCTGGATTTCCTCTATCATCCCACCAAAGGAAAAGACCGACATTTATACAGGACTGCTCAAAGAATATGGATTTGAGAATACGGCCCCCAGTCCCGAAAACTTGACCCACCTGTTGTATGGCATGGAAGACATTTGGACCGGGGCTCCGATCTATGATGCCAACACGTTGATGTCCCAGACAATGTGCGATATCTACGTGGCGCGCAAGGGAGTGGATAATTTGGCTGTTGCGAGTGATACGCTGTGTGAGTTGCCGACATCCAGCACACTCTCCAAGCGCATGCTGGACGAGGCGAGTGATGCTGCCCGCTCTGTCAACGATAACCAGCCTACGGTGTTGGCTGCTATTAACGGCGTCTTAAGTGTAAGATCTCCACCGCTGTGTCCCGACGTGTCCTGCGACTAACCCGATATTCACGGAACAGGGCAACTTGGCCTTCCACTATGCGAGATGGCTCGAATCGACCTCCGAACAAGTCATTCTGGAATTGGCCTTCTGGATCGGCGAGACGCCGGGTACCACTCCCACCGCGGATCAAAGGGCCCGGTTTGCGGACAGGGCGGATACCAGATTCGTGGACCGGTGGATTGTCTTCCATTTTCACATCGGCTTGGATGCACGCACCTTCCTCCAGACTGACTCCACGAACCCCGTATTCTACCCAGGCATCACCGCCATCAGGGTGTATCACGGCCAAACCCTTCATACCTATCCAGGTGGCCAGGCCGACCCCCGGGCTGAATATGTTTTTAGCAACTCCTATCGTGCAGGACAGCTCAATGTGGGGGCGATGCAGAACTACAACGCCCGATCCGAGGTCCTCCGGTGTCGAAATCTCAATTCAGCAGAAAGAGAAAGACGTGTGTTTCCACATCGCTGGTATATCGGCCGCGATCGGACAACTGCCATCACAGAGCAGGCGAGGCAAGGATATTCCACGGTGTACGTCCGGGCGCTCAATCAACTGGTAAGTTCTCCTAGGCATGTTTTCCCAATTATGCGTCATGGTGACTGACTGCGTTGCAGGGTCTCTGGCTTCACACCCGAGGTTTCTTCTCGCCTGCAAGATTGGCATTGCTCTGGCCGAGGATGGCAAACTACGTATCCACTGGGCCAGACTCAGACGGCTTTATACCTGCACCTAGTAGTGTGAACATTAATGGGCGAACAGATTATCGCCCACAGTCGGGGGCATTTGCTACCAACTGGGCGGCAGATGGTAGCCATGTGGATATCTCTGAGTCAGCTCCGGTCACTCCGTGATCCCCTAGGCTTGACCTAGAGAGTTATTCCGAAAATTAAACTTTGATTTACTTGGATATTGAGTCGGATTCTGTGTCATAGACAGATGTAGAAGTTGAGCCCTCGAGGCAAGCGATGTCTACTTAGGGCTGAAAGTGGAAGGGCTAGGGTCTGGTCAGGTGACAGTAGAGAGGATTTCAGAGTTTGACTAGAAACCAACTACCCCATCCATCAAAATATAATTAAAAGTTTGTTCAAACCACCCCCTATCTTGTCGTAGTGGACATCCCAGGTCTCAGCCGGTTCTACTCATATCCACGGTCGTCCTACTAGGTAGTAGCCTGCATGGTCGGGCACCCGATGCGGCTAGTAGGCCAATCTCGCCTTGTCCCTTCGCTCTTCCCCCCTCGTCCCCCTCGTCCCCTCCTTTCTTCCTACTTCTCTTCCTTCCACTTCACCTCACTTCCTCCCCCTCTCAAATCTCTTCTCTCCCCGAAATCTCCCAGAAATACTCCTTTACCTGCACCCCGACCTCTTTCACCGGTTATGCGCCATGGCATACGAGAAATTCCGCCAAATTGATCGTGAGCTCGAAGACCGCCCACCTAAGCCTGCCATCTACGACACAGAAGGTGCTCCGCTATACGAGGGCCCCTACCAGGAGCTTTTCGGGGCAATTGTCGCTCGCAATGACGTCGAGGCCCTGCATCGTTACAACGAAAGTCCAAACACCCGCGTCTTTTGGCGAGCCTACGAGGTACATTACTGGAATCCGTTCGTCATCGCCGGAAACAAGGGAAGTTTCGACGCTCTCCGCGCGCTCGTGGAGATTTACTTGGCCGATTCAACCCTCACAGAGCCACTGGACAAGTATCTCGAGCGATTAGAATACTCCCTTATGAATGCGGCCTGTGTTCATGCCAATTCGGAGATGGTGACGTGGTTATTAGAACGTGATCCGCCTTTGGGAACGTTACATGACAGGGACGTGTACGGGGAGACGCCTTTGTTTTGCGCTGCAGGCGCATTGGGGCGTGGTAGGAGGGAAGATGCTAGCTATGAGCGCAAGGAAGAGTTCTTTTACTGGCTCCTCGACAGAGGCACTTCGGTTCGCGACTCCGATGTCTATCACGGCTACCAAGAAGAGCCGGATCAACCGCCAAAGCTGAAAGATACTGTTCTCAGCGCAGCCATCTCCAGTGCCAGCTACAACATGGTGTCTCGCATCATTGCCGAAGGGGCCGATGTGCACGCTCGGCAGACCTGGTTTAATCAGTTTGGCAGTATCGAGGATGCCGAGCAAGTGACTGTTACGCATATCGCGAGTATGTTTTGGAATTTAGAAGGATTGAAAGCCTTGGCAGATCATTGCGGGGCAGGCTTTGCAGATATGCTTTCTGCGAGCGATAGTGGTGGACGGATTCCATTGCACTGGGCGTTGGTCGGGTTTCGATATCTCCCGTGCAATGAACCTTTGGAGGAAGTTGCGTCTACAATGCCGAGTACCGTGAAAATGCTTCTCGAGACCAACCCGAGCACGATAAACATGCGGGACCAGGATGGTTGTACAGTCTTCCATTACGCGGTGAAAACTGAAGCGGGTTGTTCTAGCATCCTACCCACCCTCAAATTGCTCTTCGATGCAAGGCCGGATCCTACGATAATAAATGCGCGCAACAGCGAGGATGCAACAGCCCTAGAGGATAGTATAGTAGAACATGCCTCGTGTGATGGTCATATGATGGAAATACTGGACATCCTTCTCACGAATGGAGCCAATGGAAGACTACGCGATAAAAAAGGGCAGAATATACTACATAAACTGGCTATATACTCCAGGGGTTATGAGCCAATTGACCCTGCGACGGTGGATAGGCTGGTGGGGGTTGTCGGTGTGAACGACGCCGATGAAGATGGCTGCACGGTTCTGCATTATATGGTACGGAGCCTTGGACATATCGACGCGGTTCGTCGTCTGATCAGTCACGGAACGGATGTCAATGCAGTTAATGGCCAAGGGGATACGCCACTGCACGAGGTGATGAGAGGGACGCTAATAAAGAAGGCCAACCATGATACGATTCCTAAGGAAGTACGAGCTGAAATTTTGGATAAAGCAAGGGGAGACATGATATCCCTCTTACGGGATGCCGGGGCCTCGATGGAAATACGCAATGCAGCGGGAAAGACGCCGCCACAATTACGGGAAGCTATTGTGGAGGCTGCAGAGAGAGCACGACAGGAAGATGCGAGACGGCGTGCATCCCGAGCTCGTGGAGGGAGGGGGCGCGGCCGGGGCTAGTGGTTTGTTCTTGAATTGGGCATATACCTGGTGCTCTTGGAGGATGTCGAAGGAGTGGTTTGTCAACAATAGCGCGGCCAAACTTGAGAATGACCAGCCCTGTCTGCTAATCAGATCCTGTCTGCCAATTGATCTAATTCCTATGAAGCTTTCGCCATCTAAGTGTTTGCGCGCCTGATGTCGACCGATAAGTAGCCATGTAGGTACAAATCTTATACCGACACTTATCGTGAGTTTATTATACTGGGACGTATGTATAATTCATCTCCGTCCTATCAAAAGTAGTCATACAATTCAATTGTGTTCTGTCGCCTATCTTCTGACAGCCTGCTCCAACAGCCCTTCTGTATGCTTCCACACCAATTCCGACATCCCCTGTTCCCGATACTGCACCAATGTCTTGTTGCTTGAACTCACATCCCCCTTCCAGTTAAGCAGATATGCACCACTGCCCACTTCCCCTGTAGTACCCGTCGCCACGTCACCCTCGACGGGAACCCCCTGAGTCGCGGAGCCTTGCTTCGCCGGATACCGCGCCGAGCTGAGATGGAATAAATGCCGCTCGCCACTTTCCTGGAGATTGACCGAAAAGAACGGCCACATGGCGTAGTTGTAAAACGAAGAAATCGGCCACGGAAAACTGTTGTTGTAGATGTTTGTGCCAACCAGACCCGGGTACGCGTGCACGAAGCTAACGGTCGGGTGGGTGTTCGCAAGATGTTCCATGCTGGTGGAGGTCATGGTGATGGAGTGCTTGTAAGCGTTGAGAAGAGAGAAGTTGTGCTTCAGGTCGAGGTCGGCGGTGTTGATGCCGAATTCGAAGCCCCCACCGTAGATACTGACGACGCGGCTGGGTCCGGGCGAGGATTCCAGGAGCGGGAGAAGGTTCTGGATAAAGCGCATGCGGGAGTAATAGCGGAGGGCGAAGAGATAGTCGATACCTTCGATGGTTTCTGGTCTCGGGCATTAGCATGATCCAGACTTGCGGGTTGATGATGTTTTGCTCACCATTGCGGCCTCCCAAAGAGATGCCTCCTGGGGTCATGAAGAGGAAGTTTAGGTGCTTTTCCTTCTTGAGGATTTCCTGGCATGCGAGGTCGACATTACGCGCCAGGGAAACATCCGCCTCGATAAAGTGGAAGCGACCCTTGGGACTCAATTCGTGTAGTTCCGACAGGAAGGGGGAGGCCCGAGCCTGGTTGCGACCGACGATATACGCGGTTGGGCTGTCGGCATGCCGAGCCAACTGGCGTAATGTGCTCTGGCCGATGCCGCTAGTGCCGCCCACGAAGAGGGCTGTAAGATTGGGGAGCGCCCGAAGACCTGCATTGGATGCTTGAACTGCTTTTAGGGAGACCATCTTGCTCTGATATTATGAGAAGAAAAAACAGTAACATGGACAAGGGGGGGGGTCTCGGGATAACTATGTAGGACATGACAGTATGAGATACGCGTGACTGCGGCCAAGCCGCCAAAGATTTGATCCCTCCGGTGAAACCGTAGATCACTGCATACTGAATTGCATACTAGATAACTACTAAGGTTATTTCTTCTGTAGATCTTCACCCATTATAACTAGCCGCTATGAGTCACTGCGGAATAGGATCCCAATCATATAAGCAGTTCTGATCGCGGAGAGACTTTCCTCCGTCTCTACCAATTTCAGCTGCATTCTCTGGCCGGGAAATAGATACGGCAAGGCTGCAGCAGTTTGTTCCGTTCTCCAACGGCAGCGAGTCAGCTAGTTAGTTGCTTTCTAGTGCTTACACACGGGAGTTACCGGGTCAGGGACGCGGAAAGGAGCCTCATACAGCGCATTATCTCCACCCAGGTTTAGTCCCCCTCACTGTTTTCCCTCGATGATCGAGGGCGGCTCAATCGTAGTTAAACATGGACTAAAAGTACCAATTAGCCCAGTAACCTATCATCATTGCCTCAATTTGCAGCTCTCTTTGAAATTAGTGGCCCCGACTCCCGGTTCGCCCCGTCCAGATCAAGGATCGAGGATGTGGGGTTCACCAGAAGCCCTAAAAATAGTAGTAGACCGTGATCGGCCAATCGCATCAAATCATGGCTCCGGTGTTATCTTGGCTGCAGCAGTAGCGTTAGTAAGTATGTACTTGATTGGCATGACGTAGTTGGTCTCCTGTGTACATACTGTAGTGACTACGGTCGGCTTTCCCGGTATGTTCGGCACATTCTGGTAATTCATATCATTCATCTATGCACATTTCTTTCAAAGGATGGTGTTCTCGATCGAGAAACGGAAACCCACAATTTCTTCCAAGGATTTGGCCTCGAGTCAACCCGCAAACTCATTCTCCCGGGGGTTCTAATCACGGCGCTACGACTCTCACCTGCTACATTGCGTCTATGTTGGCTCCGATGCGCCTCGATATTATCTTCATACCTAGAGTCTGTTGATCTTGAAGAGAAATACCTATACGTCAATCCGATTATGAATCCTGACACCGACAGCTCAATCACAGATCCCGAAATCTGAACGTATTAGGAATGGCAGACTTGTTCCAATTATCAGGGCGTCATCTATCCCAATGATTTTGTGATTATGCAGCATCTATATCATTAGCCTCCAGCTGTCGATCAATGGCCAAAGGAAGCAGAAATCGTCAAAAAGATTTACCAAATGGCAAATCTGGTGCATCACATTAGCCTGTCACTTTCATTGGGCGCCCCTCCCCATGATGACCATACGACCTGTGGTAACACCGAATGTCCTGTTCATCAGCACCACCGTCATAATCAACGGAAATGATCCATTCCCTGCGAGTATGACAGCGACATGACCATTCTCATCATGGCGGAGCTCCCTTTTTCCAACCCCAGATTGTTATCCAGACGTGTTTGAAGAAACAGGTTAAGTCTGGTCTAGCTTACAGTAATCATTAACCGCCCACCTTTCGATCCTTGACTGGAGATTGGGTATTCGATGGTTATTTGGGAGACAGAAGATGTTTAAGTGTTTATCAGGGGGCCGATTGTCATGATGTTAGGTTGTAGGCATGCGGAGGAACCTGGCAGAGATCTTTGCGCTGACTTTGCCAACAAGAGCTTCAAAAATGCCAGCTGCTTCTAAAGATGGACCAATTGTTATCATTTCCAGATATCGGGAATTGGTTATCAGTAGTGAAGGACTAATGGCTCATCCTACAATCCTTTCCAGGGACGGGTCAGGGAACGACGACCGCGTCGCATTTCCCGTTTTCGATGCATGGCGCGCAGTATGCTCTGGCAGGTCAATTCGGTGTTCATGTTTATATCATCGTTATCTTGATTTGGCACTGATTGATTGGATCCCTCAGGTTCGGTGAAGGGTGCGGCTAAAATGGCCAACCCGGTTCGGACGAAATTGCGCTGGTATGATATTTGTTTGGAGACAACAGTATACGAGCGTCGGCAGATGTTCCTCTTTCCAAGCGGATAACAATCATGAACTGTGTGATGAGTCCACGGGAGAAAATCAACGGCTTCCCAGACTCGACTGTTTATCAATCACCGACCCAAACCGCTCATTTGAGCATCGGGATAAGGAACAGGTGAAATCTGCCAATGGTGGTTTCATGACCGGGCCAGATAGTGTGGCCATCTTGCGTCTTATCTTGTAAAACCTAATCTGGAACGAGACAATTCAACGCATGATAGGATTGATCCAGCAGATGAGCTTCTATACTAACGAAAGAGTCGGCAACTATCGTATCTGCGGGCCGCGTTCGAAGAAATTTTCCTGATCCACTCAACAGTCAGATCTCGGTTGAAGTGGATAATGCTTACGATGGACAACCGCCAATGCACTTTACCCGTTCTTCGGTATGAACGCGTGGGCGGTCCACGATTTCAATATGGTGTGGGGAACCGAATAAGCCGATAGCGTTGAGTGCGGAATGTCGGTTTCAGATTCGACGCAAGGTCTTCAAGGCCCACGTGGGAGCGATGAAGTGGGCATTGTTAGCGTTCGGGGCGTCCCATGGACTTGTATAGGTCAAGATCTCACCGCGGTGCAGATTTGGAAGTCAATTTCAGTCTGCAGATGTTTTTGTCGCTTCCAGCTTACTGGGAGGGTCGAAAGTGGGTCCCGATTGGCAGTTGGTTTCTGAGACAGTTGGGCATGGGTGTGCTGTTCAAGAAGGGTGGAATGACGTGCAAGTACAACTCAATTTCCTGTTCAGAGGAAGCAAAGTCTGGCAGGTTCTAGAAATAATATTAACAAAGTGTATGGTGATATCGGCATTGGTTGAGGTGCCATAGTGAATGAACAAGGGCAAAACACTTTTTCCTGCAACACCCCCACGCCCAAAAGGTGTGGTCCACAACACCCTTTCCGTTTGTTGCAATCCCCTGATATGCTTCAACTTCCCCCCCACAAAACTCCCCTCTCCTCGGACATATCTACTCGCAGTATCCTATTTCTGTCTTTCAAGCGCAAGAAAAGCAAACCAGTCATCCGTCCGCAGTCCGTCCGCAGTCCGTCCGCCCCTGACAGCAGCGGCACCCGGAATCCTCTTCCAGCGCCACTGCATCCCCACTTGCCGCGTTTCTACCCAACCTGCCAGGCACCAACCGTTGGCCAGGGGCACCGCCACGGAAACTTCACTCTGATTGCTTGTGTTCCACTTTTGCTGTATGTCATCTGGTACTCTTCCCCGATTTGTCGACATCGACGAGGAGTGTCGAACGTTCTGGACACGGCATTCCCTGATATCGTCGATCGATCGACCCCCTGTGAGAGAATCCTGGTTTTCACATGGCTGATCAATGGGCATAGAATGGTCAAACAATGCCATTCTCCTTGACGCCTACGCGTCATTTTCGCGGGTAAGAAATTCTAATTGCCCAGAACTGCATAAAGATTACCAATCGCTGTGAAGTGCTCCCGCAAATCCCGAGATCAAGAAACAAGAAAAAAACTAGTACACAACGCCACCAGGAATGTGAATCGCCCCTCAAACTCCAGCAAAAGCGTCCCATAAAAACAAAACTTCATGAAGATCCCATCTTCCTCCACCTCATATGATATGCCAAGTTCTTCCACAGTCCATAGATAAACGCCCGGAAGATTGAGGCACTGATCATCACGCAGCCGGGATCCCCCAATCCCCGATCCCACTGCTTCTTAATCACACGTCCGAACAGCGAAGCGTCCAACTCCTGGGCGGTAATTCGGATAGAATCCTCTCCATGACAGATCACATAGTATATGGGGCCGGAACTGTCGATGCCCACTGCGCATGGGCTCTCCGTGGGTCGCCACCGAAGTCGTCCGATGATTCGACGAACCACAGCTTTCGTGACCTGCCATCCGTGTCCGTATTCCAGGAGACCGATAATCCCAGCGTAGAAACCGAGGAGCTCTTCGAAGGAGACGAGCATTTGCTCTGAGGGGGTGCCGACGTGGTAAACGCCGGCGGATTCGAATTGGATTGCGAAGCTCTGTGGCGTGTTAGACTGGGTTAGAGTGGTTGGATGATGAAGGGGCTATCTCCGAATGTAGAGATCAGGCTGTATGAAGCTCCGGGCTACGTATGGGTGAAGATTTGGAAAACACGTACCATGATGTAGATGTTGGAGAATCAATGATTCGGGATAGAGGGCTGGCATTGTGTAACAGCATTGTTATATGGCCTGCTGTTATAGCCAGCTTGAGCTCCCTGGCAGAGTGGGTCTGGATCAGGGATGGCGGATTGATCACAGCTTGATCTTTTTTGATGTCTGGGATCTCCAAGATCAAATCCCGGCCTTGATAGTCCTGCTGATTGGGGCCTGATAGCTGTCGGACCCACCAAACATTTGCTGCCCAATATGCTCCAGAAGGATCTTCAACGTTGCAATGCCAGGGGAAATGCGTGAATTTTAAAGTACTATGTGATTTCTCTAGATCATTCATATTTCCTCATAAAACTAATAGTCCCCGGTCTTTATAATCTTGTCTGATAAAAGCAAGTGTTCCATGTATCCAATATTTCAGGTCCGATGCCCTAAAGGGTCTAATTTACGCATATAGTGAATCACACTAACATGCACATATTTTGTTGTTTTCAAGCCATTTCCAAGGCTCGAATTTACCACGGTTCTCAACCCCTTCATGAGAACAATATATTCAGGTGCAAAGCCAGTGCCTGGATCAACTAGGTGAGCAAGGAAGAAGGTGTCTGCGCCGAGTATGAATTTTCAACTCATCCGCGGCCCCCTTGACCGCGGCGGCATTGACTGTAACCTTTTCTTTACTAAATAGAGCAACCATGCCGAATGATTTATTGGTCTCAAGCAACGCTAGTTCCTCTTTTCCTCTTTTCTTGGTGGTGTTCACATTTTGCATGAAGTGATTCTCAATGAAATATGATGATGCATAGTGGACTCTTCCATACCATCATCCACGATGGATAGATTTGTCATCGCAGGAGTTGATGGTAATAATAATTCACTCTCATGTTGTGGCACTGTGGCTAGCACATTTCTCATAATGTAGGTCCGACAGATCGCCGAAATCTGATGGAATTGACCGGCCCACGTATATTTACTCCAACAGGAGTCTACCACTATCATGACTACTTTGGCAAATTGCTGAATTAAAATCGGCTGGAGCAACATGCAAGCATGGCTATCCGGAAAATAAGATAAAAAAATAACAGACGCTGTACTTTTTGCTCGTTTATATTCGCCTGTACGGAAATCTTGTCCATAATTGGTGCCTTAGGAATATGGTGTCAACTATCTGTCACTCACTACACTCAAAGTGGTCTAGCCTGCGGACTGCCCGCAGTGCTAATATCATGCCTGGGGCATCAGGCTACTGCACGGACTCTTCATCCTAGAGTTTCTATTGGCTGGATGAAGCCATGTCATCTGACCTACAATGCTTAGGCTTGAATTTATGCCTCAGGCTCTCTGACTTCTACATATCTTTAGGATGCCACCAAAACGTCATTGAAATTCAATAAAGTGTTAATATAGGACAGAATCCGAGAAAGGCCATGGTTGCTAATACTTTGATTGATCCGCTGGACAGAAATTTTCAGTATCTCGCATTCATGTCCGCCAACCGTGAGATGTCCCGTGCCGCAGAAATATATATTCGCTTTAAGTTGTTACTAGTTGAATTACTAGACCGCAATGGACCCCAGGGCGCGGGCTACAAGCGAGGCAGCCAGGAATAGGGGAGTCAGGGACAGGGGAGTAACAGAGAAGTATACCAGGTAAAGTATAATAGTATAGATAACTTAACTAAGATTTTGAACTTTATGAATAGAAGCCTCCACTACGCTGCAAGCCATGAGACATAGAAGGCATTTATAGATATAACCAACATCGCAAACACCCCATCCAACTCCCATATCGTGCAGCTCGCAGATTCGGGTGTAGTCAGCCGAGGTGAGCTCTTTGATTTACCTATATAGATCAATGGGAGAGGCACTTGTAGCAGTCTGCGAGATGATGATGAGGTTCATTCGCGCGCGTCCGAATGGGCGTGTTTTGGGGGCAGAATGCTGGAAGTAGTAGGCGGTCTGAGTGGCGCGAACGACGCGGTGTCGCGTTTGCATCGCGGCTTCAACAACGCGGCTGTCTTCCTTCCATTATTGTTCATGAATTCTGTGAAAACAAGGTCATTGTCACTTCGGATCAACTCCCACAAGCCAGGTTCGATTACGCCACCCGCCAACATTCCCCGAATAGGAAGGCAGGGCCCCGTCGGGTTTGTCGGCGGATATCAAGATTTAAGCCCTGGCGGTCCCGCTTCCATCTATCAGGTCTTCCTCCTCTTTTCTGCTCGCCTCAAAATGTAGAGTCATTCAGCGGTCTGGCTCAAGGAGAAATGAGGATCATGTGTATTGGTGGTAGGTGGTGAGGTGAAGCCGGCTAGGTCACGTACAGGACGATGCATAGTCACATGATTAGCAAATCGACAACCGGCATCTGCCGTCAAACTGACCCGGGGCTGAACTGGCAGGAAGAACGTTTGCACATTGGACATCTCAAGCTGTCTGCTCCGGAGTTACCCGTCTTAGAAATCCAAACCCCACCTCTGTCAGAATCGACCAAACGACAACCGGAATGGTATCGTCAATAACAGAACTAGACAAAAGAAGTCACTTGGCGGGTACCGGCGTACCCATCCATCCATGGTAGCGACTTACGCTAGCTCCGATCTGGATAGCTTCCAGCCCCGGGAGCAAATTTGGGCCGGGATTGTTTCAGTCTGCCACGCTATCTACTCCCTACAAATTATAAGAAATGATAACAGAGGATGGACCGAATTTGAAATTTCTAGTATTCCCAGGGCGCGGATCCACTACCCCACCACAGGCCAACCCGAACCGTTTCCATGTCCGATGGGCTGTAGCACCTTCTGAACCAGGAGTCTCCTGGTTGCAACCCTCCAAGAACAGCATGGAATATTGTCATAAAGGGGGTCCGTCTGACACTCGGAAGAGTGCCGCATGCCAACCTAAATGCCTGGTCATGTTCTCGGCTCGGATGTTCCGGGCGTCGGAGAACCTGAGAGCAGGGATCCGCCTCGACCAACCGCACAATCAACGGGCAGACCTCATGGCATAGCCGCATATTGGTACAAAGCTGATCGTGTCTTACCTGATAATCCAGATGGACGTTGTGGCTGGATAGAGGATAGAGGTGGCGTTTTCTGATAGGTGAGCGCCCCTGCATCCCATCGTGGGAAACGAAATGCATTACTGCCCCGCGGCCACGGGTCGCCATCGGGGCCGTGGGACAGAAAGCGAACAGCCATGGTGCAGCGGCTCGGTTATCTCGCTACGGGACTCCTTCAGATCGCCGTCATGGCTCGTAAATCAATACCCTACTCGCCGCCGAGTGCCGCAGTCCGATCGATCCTGATACATACCGGGAACAAGTTCCAGAGCTTCAGGAACCTCCCCACTTGTCAGGCTCCACTCCAACAGTGGTATAAAATTGCCGACCCAAATTCCGGAATGGTCTGGCCCATTCATTGGCCGCCCACGGCCTGTCTTTCAGGTCGATGGCCAAAATTTCCGTCGATGATCATGGGTAGGTTTGCGCCGTCACCAGAGCAGCTGCATAGTGAAACTCCTCTAGATCGCTCTGATCCAGGAACAGTCTCCCTTCCACTGGCATTTAGCTAAATACACGGAAGGTACCTCATCTTGCAGGCCCTTCGTAAGCCAGTCAGTGTGCCGTCGTCCACACGGTGTCCGCCATAATGGCTTCCTCGATGCCTCTTACCGGCCACAGTCTGGGCATCTTCATCTGTGCGGCCGTGCTGATGGGTGTTTGTACGGTTCTGGTGATATTGCGCAGCTTTGTTCGCATTTTTCTGGTTCGCGCTTTTGGGTGGGACGATGCCCTGATGATTGTTGCGCTGGTAGGTCAAAATGAGGCCTACAACTGATGTATGGCGGCTGATTCTTGTTTAGGTATTGCTAATAGCAATGAATACATGCTGGATGATCGGAGCAGAGCACGGGGTTGGTCATAGGAATGTCGAATTCACGGATCTCAAGACGATGGAGCAGGCGCGTCTGGTATGCAGGACTCTCCCGGTGCTAGAAGGGAACTCCGGTCGTTGCGCATGAGCTAACAGGGCATGATTAGTTGTGGTGGCTCAGTCAAATCTTCTACATGTGGTCTTCCGCCTTTGCCAAAATATCGATTGCTATCGCTCTACTCCGATTAGCCGTCAACAAAATACAGCGCATCATCTTGTGGACCGTCATCGGTCTGGTGATTGCTATCGGGCTGATGATCTGGCTGACCTTCGTACTCGACTGCCAGCCGGTCTCGTATTTCTGGATGGCCGTTGATACAAACGTCCATGGAAATTGCGGGGACCCTGATACCCTCCTAACAATTGCCTACGTTTATAGTTCGCTCACCATCATTTCGGATGGAACCCTAGGGATCATGCCCGGGATCCTGCTCTGGCAGCTGAAAATGAATCAAAGGACCAAGGCCGCACTAGCAGCAGTCCTGAGCTTGGGAGCGATGTAGGTGCACGTCTTTTTTGACCTGTGAAGCGGCATAACTAACCCCTTCCAGAGCCAGTGTAGCTGTGATCATCCGGCTCCCATTCTTACACACCTATAAGGACCCCGATTTCCTCTGTATGTTAATGACAGCCTGTCATCTTGCAGTTACAAGTCTAATGTGGTCAGATTCTACTTTTCAAATTATCATCTGGTCTATGCTTGAGACCGGAATCGGCATCGCCGCAGGGAGCCTCGCCACCCTTCGCGCCCTGTTCCGCTGGGTCCTGGAAGAAGCCTCCGGCTATGGCCGCAGTAGCAGTCGTGGGAAGCGTACCGAAGGACAACACCCCCTTGCGAGCCTGACCACAGATCGCCCAAAGAAGGGATCGCAACACATAAGTTACTGGCGTCCGGATCTCAGCAAGACGAATGGGCTCATGGTGACCACCGTTTCATCCCCGATGGCACCAAGCCATATGAGCTTTCCCAATAGCAGCCAAGAGAACTTGAATCCGAATACGGAGCCATGGGGCCCGCACCATGTCAATGTCCACAGGACATTTGAAGTGTCAGATGGGAGTGGAGGGATGATATGAAAGTCCTTCTTTCACCGCTTAATTTTCCTATGTCAATCGCTATTGTTCGATTTATAATCGCTAGTCCTACCTATCCCATAATCATAATCCGGTGCAGGCACTTGAGATAGATGTGTTCCTCCTCCATTTTCTTGAGGCAAGTCAGTGGAGCGGGATCTACCGGCTTGTTGCCTTTACCGTCCGGTAGGTTTTCTTGAATTTGAACCTGGGCGGGTACATCCGACTCGCCAAGAGCACGATCTCATCGTCCAGCCTGTAATATCGGGCTGATCGCATCTCTACTTATCACCCGGACGGATTCTCGCCCGTCGAGCGATAAGGTGGCATTCAGCACGGAGTGCGGAGTACAGAGTACATGTCGGTTATTACCGTGCGCCTGCGTGGATCGCAACCCTGCCTGTATTGCTGGCAGGTTTCGGCCTGGATTGTCGGTTGGCGGACAATTGAGATTTTTGAGCAGTGCAACCGAATAGTACGTGCACAATGCCGCGAGAGCGATCGTAATGGGAGAATCCAGCGTGCATGCGACGGAGTATCCTGATAAGACCGACGGTCCCATATCTAGGCGGGGCAAGCGGCCGAATGTTGGGATACGAGGATACACCCCATGGAGTGGGTTATCGCAGGGTTACAGAGAGGGGAGGCCGCTCTTTGCCCTAGCCAAATGTCCGATGCGCTCTTATAAATATTGGCACCGCCATGCCTGCAACAATTAGAAATTCTAGCCCTCATCAACCCTTTGATTTTGTACCCCGCCCCTTTGGAGGACTGGACTGTAATTAGTTTAGTGGTTGTCGCTGTTCAAGATGGGTTTTCCTCGACTCGCGTGGGCCTACTCCGCACGGTGGTCGCTGGCAACCTTTAGCTCTGAGACTGCTCAACTGGTATCGACAGGTCTGTCTGTCACACTGGATAGCATCGACTACTTCATTTCGCCTTATGCGTCGGGCAATGTGACCATCTCTTCGGCCTAAATCAACCACCTCGAGATTAAATACCTCATTCCTGAATCTAGAAAGAACGTATTATGCTGAGAATGTGATCCACCAGTTCCTCGGGATTGCTCAAAAAGGGACTATGGCCAGTTTCCATTTCCCTCAAAACCCATTCCACTCCACTCAACTTCAACATCATGTCCTGTCCAATGTAGGGCAAAGCACGATCCTGTCTCGTCATGATATAGCCACGGCGATGATCAAATGCGGCATCATTCCAAGCAGTTGGCGGGCAGGGTGTAGTAAAAGACTCGAGGGAATGAAGCTGAATTTCCGATGCTGCCTGGGATGCTTTGTCTGCGGGAGCATCGTGGTAGAAGACCTCGATTGTATCCTGTACATCCAGCTGACCATCGCCCTGTTTGAGAGTATTAGACTTAACAGCGATCTCATAATGCCTTTTCGCTTACCCTCTCTACTACCCAAGTATCCAACTTCCCTCCCGCTGTCTGCACCAGCGAGTGACCCTCCTGCACCAGGAATGCCGCAAGAAAGACCAGCCCTATCACTGCGCCCGGGCCTGTCCGCTGCACCGGACTGAGTCCCTTCGCAGCAGCACCGCCGGCACATCCCCCATACGAATGCATCAGAAGCACGACCTCCTTACCCTGGTCGACTACCCGGAGTAAAGTCTCACGAACAGCCTCAACATCCGCAGCGAGGGTCTGACGTTCAGTATATTTTCCATTCACGCTGGGTAGACTGACACTTTGGATGGGATATCCGGCATTTTGTAAAAGCTCGAGCATGTCCTTGTACGGAGCAGGCGTATGCCACGCGCCAGGTACGAAGACAATGGTCGGATTAGGTTTGGTATTGGATATGGGATCCATGGATGAGAGGATGGTGGCAGCTGGAGTTTGACAGTGTCAGGTTTTGGCTGACCCCGGATCCAGCTCGAGGTCTAGGGTACTTTATGGTTAATTCTGGCTGGTCGAGACCGTCGTGCTAGGAAGTAAGGGCCTCTTTAGTAAATTGAATCACTGAATTCTTTGTCCAATTAGCAGCTATGCTGCATGACTACGTGTTTCCATGTCACTGGGTGTATGCCGTAACTTGACTCGCTGAATGATGCTTGTTTAGGTTTACATAGTTACATTAATCGATCCCTTGCAGGATTTCTAAGTTTTCCCTTTGGCTAGCCCCTGTTCTACCTCTGGCTCGAGGGTGTGGTACTGGTAAGCACAGTATAATTACCTGATAGGTTCCAATAGCAATTATCGTATTATGTTTTTCAGGGGCAGCAGCAGCAGCAGTAGTAGTCTAGTAATATTATTGAACAGATCTATTGGGAGTAGGGAGAGAGAGGTAGGGACTTTGCAACCACAGGCCCACAGGAGCGCCTTATACTAAATCTATAAGTTAATGACTATTTATTCCCTGGAGTGTTAATTTGGGTGGTATGGAAACGATTAGTTTAGGATTATATGTATTGTGGCTATTTCAAGTAAAACAAATAGCCCAACTCTGCCATCTTGCTAAAAAGAAAAAAAAGAAAAGAAGATGCGACACCTCTGGGACTCGAACCCAGGCGGGCGAACCCACAGGCTATACTATAGCAGTACCGGAGTAACGCTGAATAGCAGGCCTGCGCCTTAAACCACTCGGCCAAAGTGTCCTGATTACTAATTTGTCCCTTGTGAAGGTTTTCAGACGCTAAGAATAATGAGAACATAATAAACTCCTAGGCCAATCTGAACCACGTCGTCCGTTGAAATCAAGCTCAGCCTTGCGAGACTCTTGCCAGCAGCCCCCAACTTCCGGAGCTTACTTGACCATACGGCGTTGCGTGAAATTCTCGAATGGTTTATTCGATTGACAGAGGTGTTGGTCATTGTTAATGTGCCAGAGAAGATGGATGTGCAAGGGTTGTGGGAGGTGAAGAAGAGCTCGCAGCAAAGGGCTTTCGTTTATGATCCCGTCCATGGCACATTCTATTGGAGGGAGGGCGAGAATTTAGGCGATGAACTCTTAGACATGAAGATTGAGGAGTCGAGTCAGGGATTGGCTGGGGCTTTGGCTCGTATTCCTAGTCGCCAATTTGAAATCAGGCCTGTTTTTCTTGTGGAAAGTGACGGGTGATCATAATTATTGGAGAGGCCCGAATGTTTGAATGGGTCTGGTCCTATCCTGGTGATTCATGGTTGCTTTATACATACATTCACTACCCTTTAGAGAATGAAAAGAAGCGCAAAATTCTTTTGGTGATGCATTTGCATTCAATCATGTCATAATCAGCTTTTTGTCGCAATGTGTTAGTAGGAAGTTGCCAGGACCCATTGTGGCTGGCTATAGACCGGAAAAATATACGTGACTTTTGCAGTCAACTCAAGTAGAAAAATTATGAAAAAAAGCGACAGGATACGAAATCACGAATTGAGTTTATGTACATGGCATGGTGAATGAAAACGATGGAGATAATGAACTACTTTACCCTGCTAATGCGTAGAGGCAATGCCCGAGACGGAGGGCATGGCGAAGCGAGAGCGGAACGTGGGTGGAAGGTCTAGCCGTCCCGCATGGTCGGTGGAATTCGGCCAATCACATTCTGGGAAACGAAGTATACAATATCCATCGGTCTGTCTATAAAATCGATTCCTTGCCTATTGTTCAGCTTGCTCATCAATAACAATAGCTTTCATCAAAGCGGCCCACAGACTCTTATAGAACTGTTCTCTTCATCTCCAAAATGTCTTCTCCCGTCGACCTCCGCAACCCTGGACGCCCGATCCATGTGGGCGTTGTGCTGTTAAACACGTGTGTTGCTACTTGCTACTTCATAGAGAGATGAATGCTGACTGCGTGGCCTACAGTGTGACCGAACAACTCGATGTGGCCCCCGTTGGCTTTTTCAGCAGCATAGGCTGTGATTTCGTGAAGGACCTACCCCCTATTGCCATCTCTGAAGAGCTCAGAGCTCAGGCTCTAGAATTCATCTTTCACTGGGTTAATGAGGACGGCTCCACCCCTGCGGCTCTCACAGGAAATATGAAAGTGACCCCCACGGTAATTCATAATACCACTGCATATGAAACAAGCAAGAAACTGATAATCCCGAGCAGGACTCCTTCGCTACCTGTCCCCCATTAGATATCGTGGTCATTGGAGCCAGTAAATTAGGCTACGAAGCCAGCTCTGTCGAAAAGGAGTTTCTGCGGAAGTGTTATGCTGACTGCGCTGCGCTCCTGTGCGTTTGCGGCGGATTTGAGCCCGTTTTAGCGTCGGGGCTTCTGGAAGGCAAGGTCGCAACGGCACCACGTCTATTCTATCCCGGATTGAAGCAAATGGCCCCTGGGACTGAGTGGGTAGACAAGCGATGGGTGCAAGATACAAAAATTTGGACGACTGGAGCTTTGCTGAATGGTCTCGACATGGTCGCGGCTTTTGGGCGGGAAACATGGGGCGGAGAAGGGTCTCTAGTTGAGCATATGATCCGGGCAGGATTTTTCCCGACTAGAGATGTGGATTACAAAGATGAGCTGTGAACTCTTCCTGGGTGATTTGGGTCATTCACTGTATGGAGGGAGGTCATGTGCCAATTGCCTGTTTTGTATGCAGCCTGCTCAGTCAAATTCATGAAAGACGTCCCCAATTACCAAATTCCTCATCATAAATCATATTTAAGAAGGGCGAGGCATCCATCAGCCACTGGGAAGTGTCTATCGTTGTCATCGCTGGTTGCCAGCATCCCAGTCTGATGATTTAGGGCATCGACTAAAGCAGCAGAACCGGGATGTTCCCAATTGGGGAAGCCGCCCGGCTAAACCTGCCATCCGCATGCGGGCTCGCCTTGAGTTCCCCCCCGCATCTCCCCAGTAATGCGACCGCGTCTGACAGCCATCCACCATATCCCATCACACTGCTCAATCATTCTCATCCCGAGAAAATTGCAAACAAAAAAAAAAAGAAAAAGGAAATAAATGAACGAACAAATGGGCGAGGACTTTAGATTTATCTGCCCGCGTCCCCGGAGTACCAGAGCCTGCGATCTATGCAGATCCCGCAAGATCCGGTGTCTACCCACCGAGAAAACATGCGGCACGGACGCTTGTCGAAGGTATAGTATGCCCGAACCAGCAACTGTAAGTTCGGTGGTCCGTACTCAACTCGGTAGATGCGCAAAACTTGGATATAACTGCACCTTTTCGGCCTCTTCGCCGTCGACGGCACGGTGAGTGTTTGGCTTTACTTCAGTCTGGGACATTCGCTGATTGCCAGTTAGAAATGAAAAAGCCTCGAAGAGCCAAACAGTGCGGACTGGTGCAATTCCGTCTAGCGACGATGATGTTGTCTCGGCGCTCTTTCAAGATCAGCCCCAACAGGAAGACCAATCGGCAGGTTTGTGTGAAATGCATCGCCGTGTGTTGGGGGCTCAAACTCCCAGTGATAGGCTTCTTGAGAATTCCAGTGGATCAATAACCAATATAGCAGAGACAAGTAACACTGCAGCTTGTGAGTCTAAGACTGGTAGCTTTAATATCAGCATGAAGGAGGCAGAAGAGCTGCTATCGCTGTTCAAACTGCGAAGAATGTATTTCCCGTTCGTCGAAGTGCCCAACATAGCCTCAGCGGCCTCGATGGCATCATCTCGTCCTTTCCTATTATTGGCCATTCTCACGGTATGCCTAGTACGGAAGCCATTCCTGCAAAAGAGGGTTGACGAAAGATTCCGTCGGGTACTGAGTGAAAGGATTGTCTTTCACGGGGAAAAGAGTTTGGACTACGTGCAAGGTATACTAATTTATATCGCATGGTAATTAAGATCAAGCTGAACATACCCTCTCGTCTACTGAATGGGCTAAATTGTGGTTGCAGGTGCCCGTTACATTTACGACCACTGAACAACCAAATATCGCAGTTTCTGCAAATGCTCTCAACTATGATATCTGACCTAAAGCTCTCTCAAAATGTCGATGATGAAGCGTCTCGAAATGCGTGCCTTGGAACCCACAACTTGTGCTCTCTGTGAGATTGTCCCATTGTTTCTCCGACTTGTCTAATATCAATCTTAGATTATCTGTTAGCTTGGGACGTCGCGGTGATGATCCAGCGTATAGTTATTTAAAAGCGGCACTTGATGCCAATAAGACATCAGGTCAGCCATACGATAATCGACTTCGATACTCGAGGCTTCAGGTGTTCTTTGAAGAAACATATCGCTGTCAGGTAAACCGTGGATCCGACGGATGTCCTATCAAAACACAACAAATAGTTCAAGAAACGATGGAATCGCTTCGGCTGGACCTCCAAATTTTTGAGCGCATGCAAGGTTGCGATAACGGTATTATCAAACTGATATGTACCAGGATACATATACTAATAAATATATAGTTCCTCTCCATCTATCCGCTATGTCCCTTAAGGTAAACATAGCCTTTATGCCGTTCAAAGTTCTCGACACCAAACCCGGCTACAAAGGTCATCCCAAATCTTCGCTCGTGCCACCAGGTCAGGAATCGTATTTACTTGAGCATGCATATTCGTGCCTGACAGAAATACGCGTCTTCTTCGAATATTTTCTCTCCATTCCAGCAGATCAATACATCCACTTCTCAATCAGAGAATGGTGCGAATTAGTCCTCACTATTAGTTCCGCCTCCCACATCTGTTTCCTATCATTCTCCTCTATGAGCCCCGAGTGGAACGACTTCCGAACCAAAGCACGATCGAGCGTCCTAATCTATGTCGAGAGTCTCTCACATCGCATGTGGACTTTATCCGTGTCAAAACCCGGCGACCCTCCCGATAAATACTTCATGTTCAAGTCGGTCCTCGACATTGTTTTATCTACATATGCGTCAACTACTACGCCTCCTCCATCCCAACCATCTGTCACCGGCGAGACATCGTCTGTGACGCAGTCCGATCCTCAGGAAGTGGCCCCGCCAGCAACCACATCAAGTCGCTGCCCCATGATGAACGGAAGCATTCGGGATTCGGATTTCTGGCAGGCTATGGAACAAAGCGATATTCTCTATTTGGAAAGCTTGGGGATCGGAACGAATGGTCAATATGCATTTGCTTCCGGAGCAGTGGGTACTGACAACCTGTTTGATGATGCTGGCGATTGGCCGAGTATATTTTCAGAATGGGTCAATGTTTCCAATTGATCACTCGGGAGTTTGAGTTTTGCGTGACATTGCACAAAAGACCTGCATCATCAAGTGTTGCTCGAGATTAGAGATTTGAGATCGAATATAGCATGTGTTCAGGAAAAGTGCTGCGTGGGTTACTTCTTAATCACGACTCCTCAGAGAAAGTGCAGGTGAACTATATTTGAACAATAACCTGTTCCTCTGCCGTTCCGGAGATTCCCTAGCAAGAATGACGTGTTGGTGCTGTTGCGAAGAACCATTTCCATGCAGGGGTTGGCATTTCGTTCGGAGAAGGGGCGGGACATTTTCATTGGGGGTTCCTGGGGGTGGTCCGAGGAATGCTGCTATTCCAGAAAAAGCACATCCACGCACAACTGTCAAGTGGATACCGATGCCGACCGAGGTTCATTGGGGCCAATTAAAAGAAGTTATCTTTGATGAAAAAGGCCATCGTGATGGTCAGCGGGACTACCGCAGTCATCTCCGATCTGAAGAGATGGGGACTGCTTATCAGCCCATGCCGATGACATCGTTGACACTCCGGATTTTGCGTGAACTAACCTCCATGACATGGCGGAGTACATCTCTGCATATGCAATCCGAGGTCCGAGGTCTGAATACTGGGGGGCTTCTTGGACCAATGATCCGAGTCTGCGGTTCGGTTCTGGTGGGTGGCATATGGCAGACGGTTCAGTCCACGCGAGCGACCCACTCGGTTGCCCTGACTCGATTGAATAGACAGGCACAATAAGTATGGTTCGGTCATTGGCCAGCGAATCGTTATCTCATGGCATCTGCCAAGTTTGGGGATTCATCTGCCAAAGCTTGCGTGAGGAGATGATGTTCAGGGTTGTATTTTTAGACTTCGGGCATTCCCCGATGCCCCCTGAACCGCCGGGTCGATCCATGGTTCGTCGATCCGCGAGCGATGATCCACCGCATAAAACAGCCGAAACGATAAATGGCCAAGCTCCGCTGTTTTCGGTCGGTTTCCTACTTGCCCATTCCTGGCAAGGACCGTCCGGTTCATCACCGGAGACTCGCAAAAAAACCCAAAATTGAGCCATAAGTGGATGACTGTATCACGCGGAGCGGACATTATGGCGTCCGCGGTAACACACTCGGCGCTTTAGCTCGAGCTGTCCAGAGATCTCTATCCAGGGGCATAATATAAGACCATGGAGGGGTCTTCGATCTTTTGAGACAGGCATCCACGCTCACACTCACCACTATGTACCTCCTGAAACCTTTTTTGGTGGCCTTATCCGCTATCACCGCCTGCGAGGCTTTCCCAGCCCTGCAGACAAGAGGTGCGTGCAATCCAAGCGACTGGCCTACCCCCGCTAACGGACTCAGACATTACAACCGAAGCCCTCAGTTCCTTCGATTTCTGGGTGCAATATGCCGCCGCTTCGTACTGCGAGCCTAACTATGTCGGCAAGGCCGGTTCGAAATTGACCTGCTGGGCGAAAAACTGTCCGAGCGTTGAAGAATCTGAGACGAGTATTATGATGGACTTTTCCAAGTAAGGAGGACCCTAGATGATTGCGCTATCAGCTGCTTACACAGACGACAGTACCACCAATACCGATACCTCCGGCTACCTCGCCATCGACGTCACCCACAAAGCCATTGTCCTCGCCTTCCGAGGCTCTTACTCTGTTCGCAACTGGCTTGCCGATGCCACATTCATTTACACCAACCCCAACCTATGCAGTGGTTGTGAGGCGGAACTGGGCTTCTGGAGCTCCTGGATCAACGTACGCGCCAACATCACAACAGCCCTCGCAGAAACAGTCACCCAATATCCCGATTACTCGCTGGTCGTGGTGGGCCACAGTCTTGGTGCCGCGGTCGCAACACTCGCAGCTGCAGACCTGCGCGAACAGGGCTACGTGGCGACTCTATACGCCTTTGCCTCGCCTCGCGTGGCAAACCCCACACTGGCGAAGTACATCACCAACCAGAACAAGGGCGCGAACTTCCGCTTCACGCATACTACAGACCCGGTGCCCAACTTGCCTTTGCAGTTGATGGGATATGCCCATGTCAGTCCGGAATATCACATCACCGCCCCCAACAATGCGACGGTCAATGCCAGCGCGGTTGTCGTCTACCAGAATGGTGATGATCCCAAGGGCAACACCGGTGCTCTTGGAATTCCAGACCTTCTTACCATCGATGCCCATCATTGGTACTTTGAGCGCACTGATGGATGTCTCGGACCTGGAATGCCATTCAAACGATCGAACTAAAGCAGTGATCTGAATGGTTGTGGGCAGAGGCTGTAGCGAGCCTTCAAAGCCACCATGAAGGGAAAGGAGGCCCTCTCGTTCTTTATCAACATTCGTTCAATAGTATATAGAACCACAAATATGTGAATTTAATGATCGGAATTTTTATAATGAGGGGATTGAGTTTATGATCGACATCTGGGCAACAGCCTAGGAACTTTGATCCCAGCATGTGAAACAAGCTACTTGGTGGTGATAATCCCTTATTTTACATTGGGCACCGAGCAATAGGATTGACCTTGCATAGTCCCGCTCAAGTTGCAAGGTCTAAATAGACCGCGTCGTCGCGTTGAGTGTGCTTTACTTTTTTTAGACAGTTCAATCGACATTTCACCTCTTCAAGAACTCGATGTCTCATTTTCTACACTTTCAAGGCGTCAGCCCTTTATCCGCGGAAGCGAGTTATACTATAACAGACCCACGAAATCACGTTCTCAAAACAAGCTTGTCGAACTGTGGTTGACGTCTTGATAAGGGAGGGTTTGAGGATATTCTTGTTACTAACTGGAGACCTTCGTAGAATATGTCCTTACAGAACTTATCATTGTAGGTGTTGAGGTTGGTTGAGAGCGAGCATGAAACCCGACATGGCCCGATACTTGATTACACAGACTCTGGTTGGAAAAAGGATTGCCGTCACAAGGTTGCCCATCTTATCTCGTAAGAGGAGAGCAGCGCAGACACAATCATCTCGGCGACAGAATGGCGGGTGGCGGCCCTCGTATACAGGAACCCCGCAACCGAATCACCGGGGACAACAAGGTTGTGGTCGCACCTCTTGTCTGACGATCATGTCATGCCAAAATCTCGATCACCTGCCAATAGGCGATCCGTCCCAAAATTTTTAATTCCAATGATGAGACGTCGAATACCCGCAAGCCCCGGTAGACTGCCGGCCGGCCGCCGACTGCCGAACCCGCCCCGAGTACTCGGAGCTGGAGATGCATGCCCTGGCATTCATATTCCTGCGTCCTCGCTTGCGAGTACTCTCTCCGTCCACGCGAGCCAACACAATAACAATGCCAGAATACCACCCCCTACCACACCTGCCAGCCATCCGCCGAGTCGTGACGGGCCACACACCCGAAGGAAAAGCGATCTTCCCCCACGACGACCAGGCCCAACTGGTTAACCCGCGTCCCATCCCAGCAGACAGTAACCCTAATACGATACCGGGGTTCTGTCTCATTCACCGCACCCATGGCTACCCCGTCAATCTCCAAGGGCCGGAGAGCGAACTGAGCAATGAGAACCTGGCGCGCGGGAAAATGGCCAGCGGGGATATAATCTCCGAGGTCATTCATATTCCCCCAGGAGAAGGAGAGAGGGGCGCGGCGTATCTGCATCGGAACCATAGTCTGGAGTATGGGGTCATTCTGAAGGGAAGTGTTCAGTTGATTTTGGATGATGGGGTGGAGAAGACGTTATCAGAGGGCGATGTGTTTGTGCAGAGGTGAGTTTGGGATGGAGTGTTTGAACTGTGATGACAGTGTGCTGATTTTGATCTGGCAGGGGCACTATGCATGGCTGGAAGAATATCACAGAGGAATACTGTCGCTTTATGGCCGTGATTATTCCCTCGAACCCGGCAAAAACAGAGTCGGGGGAGGGATTACCGGTTACCAAGATCCCGGGTCTGACGGATTAGTGGTTTGTATGGAGTGTTCTACATTTTTTGAAAAATATGTCAGGGGAAATACGACAGCCCTAACCTATCGCTGAGGAATGTGTGGTTATCGTCTGCAAATGAATCATTGGTCGTAGAATGTTAGGAAATTGCAGAAAGTGCTTGAGTAACTAAGAATAGAAGACCTAATATATCAAATCCCCGATGGTCTAACGGTCATGATTTCCGCTTGTCAATCCTAAACAGGAACAAGCGCGGGAGACCTGGGTTCGACTCCCAGTCGAGGAGATTTCTTTTTTACCTTCTTCGTTTTTTTTTCGGACAGGCGCACGGACATTATTGCCCGGTATATTACCACACAACAACCACCCCTTCTCAGTGATGTTGTTTTTTCTTTCTTGTCTTTTCTTTTCCTCGTTACAGATATCGGGCTTTTAATTTGGAGACAAAAATAGCAGCCCAAATATAAACCAAGGCCATTGAATGAAGGTTCAAAATTCTTCGTCTTGTTTGATTCGTTGCAGTTTCTGCAGAAGTATATAGATCGAACTAGATATCATTGCGACTATATTGGCATAATCTTTTCCATTTAATCTCTACCAATCCGACCATAATGCACATTACGAGCCCTTCAGATATCGTCATTCAGGAGAAATTGAAAGAATCCAACCATTCCGTGATTTTTAGAGTGGCAATGAAGGGAAGAGAATATGCTATGAAAGTGGTAGGTAGGAACGCTGCACACCATATAACCGGCGCTAAATATAACAAGTACCATGACAGAGGTCAATCCTTTCGTGTGCGAGTCGAAGGCATATCGACGACTGAGAGACACGCGACTTTGCGAGCGGGGAGTTGTTCCCGATTTCCATAGGACAATCGAGAAACTGGATCCCACCCAATACCCGCAGCTATCTATGTTCATCAATGATGAACGTCCTCCAAGTGCAATTATCAAAGAATATATTCCCAACATGGAGCCAATCAACGTATCTAACTATGCAGAGCGGCGTATGATAAGATTACGCGAGATTTTGGACGACATTCACAATGCAAATATTGTCCATGGCGACCCTTGGCCACGAAACATGATGGTCTGTTCAAGGCAAAATTCTAGAGTGCTCTGGATTGATTTGGACTCAGCCCAGACATTTGACGAACGCCCCTTTACTTCGAGACAAGATGGTTGGATCAAGGAAGAGGACAGAGTTTTGGATTATTTTATACTGGCATTGGTAGGTCTAGGTACAGCTCACAGTGGAAAGTATTTTGACCGATGATTCTGTAGGGTAGTGATCACAAGGAGGGAAAACTGGCAAGGGCCTCATCCTACAACTATAGTTAGTTCTTATAGAAACCCAGAAGATAGAGAGCATACTGCTCAAGTGATCAAATCTGTCCTTCACAACCACATATTTAACACATTCACCCACAGTGCATTGGTTGTATGTTCCGACAGGGGGTTAATGCTGGTGGGAAATTTTCGAGATCGTCGGTGCTATGAGCGATGGCAGCCGGGAGACGGAAATCGAATCATATGAGCCACATCGGACCCACTACGACTACACCTGCTGCAAGTGCAAAGTACGATAGTGGGCTTTCACCGGACTGTGCATCGCCATGAACGGTGCCAAGGAGAAGGATATCTGTTGGGATACACACCACTACATCAAGGCATGAAAAGCGCCATTTGGACTGCAGCCATCCGCTGACTGAACCTTTATCGACGTCTTGAATATGGACATGGACGAGCAACCAAAGACTATTATCATTGCGGTGACATTTAAAGCAAGTCTGTATAGCTGTTGTGAACATTTTATAATTCGAGCCACATACGCCCTACATGAACTCCATTAGCCCTGATGCTGTCCATGAGACATGAGTACAGTGTAACAGCCGATTTTCCGTAACCGGAATTCCTTCAGGTGGCCCTGGCGTTTGGATATTACATGATGTTGTCCCTTCTTAATCAAAGACCTTCATCCGAACACTCTGGTAGCGTGAGCCCTATACACATCAACATGGTTTGGTGACCTTACTCGTTCGAATCTCGCTATAGTTTCTTCTTGTATCTACATCTCCAGGGGTGGGGAACAGGGCTTCTCGCATAATCTTCGCGGTTAATTTGCCGAAGGCCCGCACTTCCGATGCTATTCCTAAGTGAGTCAATAGCAATAGCTCCATCGTTAGGGTAAGTGGGGGCACGACCTTCATGGCCAAGGATCCTAGAGACTAAGGTGAGGGGGTGAGAGCAGGGAGAGGAACCATACCACTCCGAGCCAATCCCGCCGTCCGAGGCGAAGAAGATACCAAAGTCACTCTCTCACAGAAATCACCTGCACCAAGCAGTGTGATCCTTTTCCAAGTTTTCCCGTCTGTCCAACGATCCCGTCACTGCGCGACATCAGAAAGCCCTACGGAGCCGAAGAGGTCTCACGGACTGGGGACACGATATCCTCCAGTCGGGGATTTGGGGTGATAGGTTCGACGCGGGAAGCCTGCAGTTAGGGCACGGAACCCTCGTTGAGCATGAGGGGTTGAAAGGGACGCACACAGAGAAGAGGCTTGGGCACAGCGACGATGACGCGGCCAAGACGGCTTGATGGATCTTTGCCAAGGAACCGATCCCACCTGCTGACACGACGATGGACGTGCTGCCCGCCAGAGTTGCGGCGGCAAGCGGAGGAGGCGTTCCGTCGCGTGTCTCTGGAGCTGGGTGCATCGCGAGCAAGGCAAGGAGGGTAGACTAAGCACTGCCTCGCGAGCCAGCATAACAGTTCGAAAGCAGGGTGACATGTGGCATGTGGTCCTCTTGCCATGAGACAGGCACCTGGCACGCAAGGGCCTCGGGAAGATACTACGGGGAAGGCCACGCGGCTTAGTAAGGGGTGGAGGTTAATTTCGCGCGCGGCCTCCGACAATAAAACCACTAACCGGGGGTCGGACGGGGATGGCACGGGAATCGGGGGCCGTATAGAAAAAAAAGGGTAACTCATGCGAGTGGTTGTTGGACGATGTGGAGGAGATCAGGCTGTAATTTGTCGGCCCTAGCCGCAAAAGCGCGTCAGCGGCGGGGGAAGAGAGTAACGGGCGGTGGATGGGGATGGGGTTTGCAAAGCAGCAACAAGGCGGGCAACCAGATACACTACTGCGACTTGGACCCTCGGACCCTGATCCAAAAGCCCCCGGGAAATCCCCGTGGGGAGAGCCTAGGGTCGCATGAGATGCCGTTTGCGGCAGGCAGACGGACGATCCCCTGGCCCACTCCCGGGGGCGCTCCACCCGCACGGCTCAAGGCTGACCGGGTCTCTGACTCGCTGAGCCAGCGCAGAGTCTCGCGGTCTTAGAGTCTCTGAGAGTCTCTGACATGGGAGGCGTCCAGTGGCCGTCCAAGCGAGTGCTTGTGAGCGCTTGGCACTTCGGCGTACCATCCACACGTAGCAAGGCTCAGACACTGAGGTCCGGGCCAACCACAAAACCTCAGCCGCTAGGTCCTTGGCCCTCTCGGCGCCTCGCGCGACTTGCCTACGGCACCGCGCCGATGATGCCATCTCCAACCCGACTGTTCTTGGCGCGGCTACACGTGGGGGAGGCCCTAACTCCCGCAAAAGTCCATAAAGTAGGGCCGTCTTCCCCACGTTGCACCGCGTGTCTTTGGTTCTTCTTCCCTCCAGTCCATCCTACAGAGGCACAGATCACCCTCCTGCAACATGTGGACAAAAACCTCCGGCTTGCGGGGCAAGCGCCTCCATTTTGCCATCACCCTCACCTCCGTTGTCGGCTTCTCGCTCTTCGGTTACGATCAGGGCTTGATGTCCGGCATCATCAACGGTACTGAGTTCGTCAAGGAGTTTCCCGCTCTCTCTACCAGTGGCCCCGTCCCAGCTGGATACACCGAGAGCTCCTACTCCGCCCATGTCTCGGTTCTTCGCGGTGCTGTCACGGCTTGTTACGAGCTGGGTTGTTTCTTCGGTGCCATCTTCACGCTCATCTACGGCGAACGTATTGGCCGGACCCCGTTGCTGGTCGCCGGTGGTCTCCTAATGGTTCTTGGTACAGTGATTTCCACCGCTGCGTTTGGTTCCCATTGGGGTCTGGGCCAGTTTGTTATCGGTCGTGTCATCTCGGGTATCGGAAACGGCATGGACACGGCCACCATCCCCGTCTGGCAGTCAGAATGCTCACGCTCCCACAACCGTGGTTTCCTCGTCTGCTTCGAGGGTGCCATCATCGCCGTGGGCACTTTCATCGCCTACTGGATCGATTTCGGTCTCTCCTACGTGAACAACTCGGTCCAATGGCGCTTCCCCGTCGCATTCCAGATTGTCTTCGCGATCTGTGTGACCATCGGCGCTCTGATGCTTCCCGAGTCGCCGCGATGGTTCCTCATACGGGGACACGACCAGGAGGCATTGGAAGTTCTGGCAGCCCTTAACGACAGTTCCCCCGATGCTGACGATGTGCTTACGGACTTTAACCTCATGAAGGCCGATCTCAAGGCCATGCAGGGCGCCAAGGGTAACTGGAAGACTCTCTTTACCTTCGGCAAGACCCAAGAGTTCCAGCGCATGATGATCGGTTGCTCTGGTCAGTTCTTCCAGCAGTTCACCGGCTGCAACGCCGCCATCTACTACTCGACCCTGCTGTTCGAGCAGAACCTGGGCATGACGGGCAAACTGCCCTTGATCCTGGGTGGTGTCTTCGCCACTGTCTACGCCCTGTCAACCATTCCCTCCTTCTTCATGATCGAGAAGGTCGGTCGCCGCAACCTGTTCCTGATCGGGTTCGCGGGCCAGGGTCTCAGTTTCATCATTACCATGGCATGCCTGATCGACGAAAACTCGCAGAACTCCAAGGGTGCGGTGGTCGGAATTTTCCTGTTCATCTGCTTCTTTGCGTTCACGACCCTCCCGCTGCCGTGGATCTACCCTCCCGAAATCAACCCTCTCCGCACCCGTACCATGGCTGCGTCAGCCTCGACCTGCACGAACTGGATCACCAACTTCGCCGTGGTGATGTTCACGCCCGTGTTCTCGGACACCAGCAAATGGGGCATCTACCTCTTCTTCGCGCTGGTCAACTTCATCGGCATCCCGTTCGCCTGGTTCTTCTATGCCGAGACCGCGGGCCGCGAACTCGAGGAGGTGGACATCATCTTCGCCAAGGCCCACATCGAGAAGAAGTGGCCGTACCAGGTCGCGAACGAGCTGCCCAAGCTCAGCCCCGAGCAGATCGCCCAGATGCAGCAGGATCTGGGTCTGGACACGCCGGATCATCACGTCGTGTCGGAGGCCGAGAAGGCCGAGGTCGCCATGAGCAGCGGCGAGAGCGTTGAGAAGCAGGAGTAGATGTTATACCCCGATACCCAATTGTCGAAGGCTTCCTTCCAGCCCACGGTAGATCTGTTTGTCATGCGATATGATCCGTTTTGTCCGATGGCTCGAGGTAGCTGTCGGCTGTTATGATGTGTTTTCTCCTGTGTCTAGTGGCCGATACCCCCTTCTACTAGCAATCAGAGAATTTGTCCGGCTTTGTCCGCTTAGTATAGATTCAGTGGAATGAGATTGTTACGTACTCCTCTTATTTACCTACTATGTATTTGTCTTAGGTAGATCATGTGTTCAAGGATCGCTAGTGAATAACGCGCGAAACTAAATATTCGACTAGAATTTAGGCCCGAAGGGAAACAGAAGGATTGACTGCAGGGTCGGGGAGACAGGAGCCACGTAAGGGATCTGCTGTCAGCATCCCGCTCGCGACTAGTACTTGCAGTAGGCGTGCATATCGGACATGTCAAATGTGTCCTGATATCCAATTAGCTCCTACTCAGTAGATTGCCCACACAAACATCGATGGACAAAAATAACCCGTGAATGAACGAATAATATCGTTGAGTAAAGTACTGTACTACACTCGCATGCGAGAAAACAGTGGTTATATGAATACTTGCTACATGCGGGGAAAAGGTGGCTCCACGCTAAAATCTCACATTCCGATGATCGCACTCCCGAGACTCTTGCTTTTTAGGTACAAGACTTACCCTTTGCCTCGAGCCGGAAACAGCCAGGCTGTATTAAACTCTATAAGTACCTACTATCTAAGCTCTCTGCAGATTTCCTGTCACATGCGATCGCAGGAAAGTGAAGGACAAGCAGGCTTCGCGTCCGCTCATAGATGTGAAAGAAAAGAATAGCGCCCGTACCTATTTCAACAATTCCCCGAACCCAAAATAAAGCACTTTTTTCGCCCCCTCATGTCTCCAAGACAGTCAAAATCTACAACCACTTCAAAGACCTCGCGATATAGCTCCCACCCCCAACCACGCCCGTGACGCCCTTAAAAACAATCAAAGTGCCATATCCACTCCCGTATCCATACCCGGGTTTCCCCTCCCACGGCATCCCCTTGATAAGAGCCTCGCTAAGGGGCCCGGAAACGATACTCCCGACGCCCCTCCCCGCGGCAAGACACGCAAAGACCATGCTCGATTCTGCGGAGGCCTTCTTGCGGACAACATCGCGCATAATACCCGGCCAGGTGCTTGTGTAGGACCCCGCGAAGAGACCGTATACGATGGCGAAGATGAACAGGGGGGCGAGAGACACGGAGAAGCCCCAGATGAGGAAGACGCCGACGGTGGAACCGACGGTTGAGACGAGGATGCAGACGGTGACGTCAAGCCTGTCGACGATGGCGCCCATCAGCACACAGCCGACGACGGAGGCGAAGTTGAAGAGGATGACGGTTAGCGCTTGCAGACTTTTCGAGGCACCGATCATGCCGGCGTAGGTGGGGAGGTAGAGGGAGGGGAGGAAGAACCCGAGGGCCTCGACGATGTTGCACAGCTCGAAGAGGACAAATGTCGAGGAGAGTATGAACCGAAGGTTGGGAGGTGGAGGGCTAACCCGGTTTTTTGCGACCGGCACGCGCGGTTTGACGAAGTAGACCAGCGGCGCGGCGAGGAGAAAGAGCGCGATGGCGAAGGCGCGCAAGGCAGTCCGGAACCCATATCGGTTGAGGAGTTGCTCCATGACGATGGGGAGGACGACGCCGCCGAGTCCGGTTCCGGCCCACATGACGCCGAAGGCGAGGCCCTTGCGCTTGTCGAACCAGTCTTCCATGAGGAGGATGCAAGGGGAGTAAGCGATGCTACCGCCCACGGCGTAGCAGACGCCTTGAGTAACGATGAGGTGGGTGACGTTTGTGGAGAGGGAGCTGAGCCCGAGGGCCAGACACATCACGAGCACGCCGGCACCGCAGCCCCGGCGTTGGTACTGGGGCCATTGTCGGTATGCGGCGAACACAAACGGCAGGTCGAGATACATTATTCCCTGGGGGGGGGTTAGATCGGGTGATTTATAGATTTGAGCGACCGGGAATATTCGATGTTCTTACCATGGCGCAGGTTCCGACGAGGGCGATATTCCCCGAGCTGCTGAATTCGGGTAGCTGGGTGTAGTATGCTTGGAAAATGCCATAGGTGAATGCAAATCCCCAGACGAGAGCCTCCATGACGAAGCACGCAGCGAGGAAAAGCCAGGCATCCACCCCGCGGTCCATTGGGGGGAGTTTCTGCATGCCATGGCTGACATTTGACAGCGAAGTCGCCTCATGCAGCCCCTTTTCGGTCTCATGCATCGAGGAGGGCGAGTCTGTTACCTGCTCCATTGTCGGAGTCGGGGAAATCGTGGCCAAGGAGAATCCAATAATGAGGAGATTTTCCCGAGTTGAACGATGGAAGAGATTCCATCGCGCGAGCGTGAACAGAACAGAATATTTTATAGCTGTTACCCAGGCTCAGGCTCAGGAAACGCGATGTCATCCACAGGACGCGCAAAGAATGATCACCTCATAAAGTCGGGGTTTGCTACTCGGCCGCTAAGGCATCCACCCGTCAGTAGCGCGGCACAGGATTCGTGGAAACTGAACTCCAGTCATCTCCACATGAGTGGCAATCGGCCAGTCAGATATCCGGGGATAGGCGTCCTAGTGCTGATGCCGGCGCCAACAGCTGCATCCTTCTGACGATCTCTTATTCAAAGGCGTGTGGAAGTTGCCTGCAAAGATCTAGGAATGAATGGTTCTTTGTAAAAATTAGAAAAAAAAATGTAATTAAGCTCTTTAAAGATTAAAAAAAAATGAATTTTAAATTTTAATCAATAAAGGTAAAATAAAAATGTCATAACAGAAAGCACCCCCTCTGAACCTGCAAAAGTCGCGCTACTAAATCCCATCGTCTAGCACCACTGGCTGCCTGGATCACGTGACTTGCTGCATTCTGCCTCTGATTTTAGACTGCTAGCACCTCTACGCGTACCGCGCGTAAAGTCAGACCGACTGGATGTGTACTGTGTAGAGTCTGTCGCGCTGAGCACGCCCTCAAGACGCGCGATCGGCGCGTACATCTTTTAATCATGTTATGACGGATTTGTTAGTGTGGCTTAATGGCGTGGAGTTGTCGAGGCCGGTGTGGCTGTAGCGCCTCTCTCTCTACAACCCACCTTCTCAGCTCTCGCTCACCGCGCCATTTTCTCGCTCCTTCATCCTTAACTGGGCCGAGAGTCAGGAAGAAAAAAAAAACACATTTCCCAACGGTACTCAACCGGGCGTTGGGTGGCATTGAACCAGTTGTCCGCGTCTTGGCACATGCGATGCCACATGTAACCCTACAACCTCGGCTCTTATCAACGCACGGACACTCGCTGCCCTGACGTACGTATCTATCGTCCCAAAGTCCTACAATCCAAGATGCAACATGACATGAACCAAGGTTCTGGGCAGATTCCTTCGCTTGATGCATGGCTGTTATCGCAGACGAACAATTGGCTACCTTGAATCAATTGAGAGACGGATGCTACGACAACGTCCGTGTGGGAGTACTTATTGCAACAGCGGGAAGGGATCTAGATCTGATCCAAGATAGACATCTATCTGGACGAAGTCACCTATCTAAACCAGTCGAAAAGGTGCTGTACCGGTGCCCCGACCTAACAAATGATACCCTGCTACATCATCCATGGCAAGTACACTCCACTACTGATTGAATCTTTGCGTGGGAAATGGTCAAAGTATCCAAAGTATCGGTCATGACTCTGTTATAGGGCCCGAAAAAGGCAGGAAGACCTTGCTGGGACGGTATTCAAGCGCCATGGTCAATGTCGCCGGTGAGTCTGGATTTCGGCAGGTATGCCGTGAGCTTCGGGGCGCTGGGAAGACACCGACTAGAAACGACATGCTGGTGCCGTATGCGAATCTATGGTCCTTCAAAAGGATCTAGAGTTGTGTTTGACTCCTCGAACTACGAGTGGCTGGCATATGGTGATAGTTTTGGATGAGTGTAAGGTTGGAAGGTTGGGGCCAATTTTCTTGGGAGAGCAGAAGTGAGATTACGGTTCTAAACTAATGATGATATTTGATGAGGCTGATTTATTGGTCTGATTACAAATGTCTTTGCCATAGTGTATCGCAACAGCGTATCTGCTAAACATATCCCTGACTGCCAACGAAAGCCTGATACAGATTCTAGGTGGGGAATAAGACAGTCTAGCCCTTGATGTCTGGCGAACAGGATGCATGGGCCAAAAAGTGTAGCTAGAAAAAGTCCAACGACCAAAAAGAAAGTTCCAAACAAGTGACGAATGAAATGTAGAGCCACTTCGTGAAGCACTGCACATACCAGGCTGCTCACTGCCAAATTATGTCCATTCAATTCCGGGATTTCGTTCGCATTTCTTGCGCTTTCAAATTCTGGCCCTTGAGGATTTTTGCTTGTCTCAGCGCACATTGAAGATCGAACACATAAGCCAATAGTCGGTCTCGCATCATGCAATGTCAGGTAAAGACAGCAGTGTCAATATCATCCCGTTTCATGGCCCGTATCCTCCATACTGCTAGATACAAATATGTTTCTAGAGCCCTTATCACTGCGGATGGCACAGGCAAGACCCTCAGAGATCAATAAAGAAATGCTCTGACCATTTCCCTAAGCACTGAGTACATTCCACAAATTCTGGTGTCTTTCGATACTTCCCACTGAGACTTCATAGGCCTTAAGGTGCTCGGGAATCTCCTCGTACTTGACAGGAGTCTCACGGTAGAAGAGCTGGAACAATTCGTCGATCACACTTTGAGGAATGCCACGGTCGACCACGAAGGCATGTCCGTCCAGAGTCAAGGCTGTAACCCTCAAGTGTTCGACCCAATCCCCGATATCCAGGTCTTCGAGGTTTGCATTTTCATACGGGTTACCGGTGGTCATGTTTGACAGAGCGTGGTCCAGCTCCTCGGACTGAAGCCACTCTCCTAGGTCGGAGCCTTCGACGTTTGCGTTTGCGTTCGCGTGATTGTTCTCGATACTCATGCTTGGAGGAAAGCTGTTTATGTCTGTGGGCAGGAGCCAGTAATTCTCTAGATTGAGGTCCTGGAGGAGCAAACTTTCGTCGTGATTTAGAGTGCCCATACCCAAAGTAATGTGGTTGATGTCCATGGACTCAAACGGTTCTCCGACATCGAAATCCTCGTGGTTGGCATTTTCGTATTCGTTGCTGGTAGTCATACTCACAGGAGGATGGCCGTTGATGTTCATGGACGCGACTCGTTCTCCAATATTGAACTCTTCAACGCTCGCGACTTCATGTTGGTTGCTGTTGATCATGTTTGAAGGAAGGCGGTTGATATCCATGGACTCGAGCCATTCGCTGATGTCGAGGTCCTTGGGGCTTGCGACTTCGTGTTGATTGTCCGTTGACATGATTAAATGGAGGTAATTAATGCTGAACACGAGGGAGTAATATCAAGCACTTGGTATTCAGACTGTCCTCCTTAACGGTGGCTGACAGGTGGGGCTGTGGGTGATGAAGGGAGGAAGGAAGGAAGGAGGAAGGAGAAAAGGAAGTGGAGAGGGGAGAGGGGGGAAGAAAACTCTGGCACCAGGAGACTGGAGTGAATAAATCTCTATATTCACGTTTGATTTGAAGGTTTCCCAGGACCAAAAGCTATCCCCTGGTAACACAGGTTTAATTGAATACCAGTACCTTTCACTGGCCATGGAGCTTTCTATTCCCGATCTTCGCTCAAAGTCTCCTCCAAGCCGAGTCATACGTGGTTTCACAATCCTTGGACATCTTGTTGAGAGGTGAGTATGTTGTCATTTCTATCTCACACCCTCGCCCAATTTCATATCGGATAGAAGGAAAGCACGTCTTCCAGGCTGCGGGTGCTGCGACAGTATATCGTCACTTGCAGGTGCCTAGGAAAGACTATTCCCTAGGTAATTATATCCTTCAATACTGTACAGTACATTCACGCTACTTGGTTCATTATTGTTCTATCCAAGCAAAATAGATCAATCATTCATTCCTGCTATTTGGTGACTGCTGGAGTGCGAAAAGGCCTCCCCGAAAAGGATCACCCGGGAGGGAATATATAGCTTGACAGCGACATGGGTTTGGGCAAAACAACTACATTCATTTTAAAAGCCATATTTTATGCAATCCCCAAACGACTCAAATTCGAATATAAAAAGTAGCCGCTAAATCTGTCAACGATGCAAAAACCCCTCGAGGGAAACTGCGTGCAGTGTGGAAATGACTGAGGGATAACGGGGCAAAGGAGGCGCAGGGACATCCGACGGCTCGGAACGTAGAACTTTCCTCGAGCCGAATACCTTCAGCCCGAAAAATGCTTGAACAATCACGTACATCACCTCAGACATCAAATCGCCAGCGATAGATTGATAGAAACCCATGGAATGATGAGATGGGGCATGTCATACGTTCCAAAACCACCTGTTGAGATACTGGGGGAATAATGGTCAAAAGATTTTTCAATACGAAGTCATCCTTTCGTCCCTCCGAAAGCATGAGAAAAGAACGAAGAGGAGGGCAAAAAAAACCCTCGTCTCGGGGAAAATCGAAGTCACGAATATTAATATCGTTGTTAAGTTGCAGACCCTCCTTAATTTCCTCCGCCATGTCAAACCAGCTGATTCTCGCCCACTTTGCCCGAAGTGGGCTAGTACCCGCTACCAGGGGGCCCAGGGGCCTCCGAGAAAAACTCGGCGATAAGAACAAGATCAGGCTTTGAGGCCTTTGTTGTCTGTCAGCCGGGGGATCTTCCCTGACAGGAAACCCTTTAATGGACCGGGGATGGCATGCTCACCTCTTGGTGGGGGGAAGGATTGTTGAAGACTTCTGCACGCTATTGCCCCGCCGGCCACCGAAACCTGAAACCAACCGCATGGATCAGGCCCCGGCCCTGGCTAGCGCTGATCAGGCAATTTACAGGATCCTCTATCAGTCGATTTGCTCGTATTCCAGATTGATAGTACCTGGAAGTAAGAGGCTATTACGTATACCTTAAAATTGATGTGGCGGGAAGGAGGTAAAATAGAGTAAACAGATAGCGTGTCGTGCATATGACCGATGATTGCCGCAGAATAGGCCCGTATTCTCAAATTGTTTACCATCCTATTTTGGTTACAAGATCGACCTAGGATCAATAGCTCATGCAAAGGAATTTCAAAAAACAGCTTGTTCTCGAAGTATCAAGATTGATGTATGATCAATCGGCCAGAAAGGTCCCGAAGCGCGTGTTTACAAAACCCCCACGCAAATATAGTAGTCCAGCCAAAGCGAGGAACAGGAGCTGCCCACTGTCGGATTCCACTCCTCAATCTCCGCCTGTGTGACATCCTCCGCTGTGGCAATGCTGGAGCAGCTATCTCCCGACGCCACCAAGTAGAACTTGTCACAGTCGTCGACCATTCCAGACTCGTAAGGGGTGGGGGTGGTGATACCATTCCCTGCAGAGGTCGTAGTGGCTGTAGATGCTACGGTGGTGGTCGAAGCGACATACCCAATCACATCAATGCAAACGTAGTCGTCAGCCCACAGGTCAGCGCAGGTATCGCCGACGGCAGGATTCCAGGCATAGAAATCCGCCAGTGAGATACCAGCGTCAGAGGCGATCGTGGAACAGCTGTCCCCGGATTCAACAAGATAGAATTTATCACACGTGGAACTCATACCCGTTTGGATGGGGGAAGGGGTAGTGATGCCATCTCCGGCACTGGTAGTTGTGCTTGAGATGGCAATGGTGGTAGTTACCGCGGCAGTTGTCGAAGCCACAAACCCAATGACATCAATGCAGACATAGTCGTCAGCCCACAGGTCGGCGCAAGTATCGCCGACCGCAGGGTTCCAGGCATAGAAGTCAGCAAGGGAGATACCCGCGTCAGCAGCAATCGTGGAACAACTATCTCCAGAAGCAACGAGATAGAACTTGTCGCAGGTGGATGTCATCCCGGTTTGAATTGCTGATGGAGTGGTGACTCCATCGCCCGAACTGGTCGTCGACACCACAGTGGTTACAGTCGACGCTGCAAGTGTAGTGGTGACCAAGGTTGATAGTGTAGAGGAGGAAGCGGAGCCAAATGAAGACGAGGTAGAGACGGAAGACGAGGAGGAAGATGTGGAGGTGCCCCAAGTCAAAAAGTCGACGTCAACGCAGTAGTCGAACCCAGCTGCCACATCACAGCTGGTGTATACCAATACGAGATAAGGGTTCTGGTCGCATGTCAGATGAATGATATCCAACCACCAAAGAGCATTTACGCACCCAACTGAGAAACTCGAGCTCTGAGATGCCGTACTCCTCTTCGATCTTTGCACAGGTGAGGCCGTCGGTGTACGCCACCCATTCGCTGCAGTCAGGGTCCGCTCCGGGAAACGCTGTTCCCGGAGGATCAACAAGGTAACCTGCGGCGAAGTTACTGCCAGCAAGCAGAAGGCTCGCCACCACTGAGGTACGAACCATGATTCATAAAAGAAAATATCAATCAAGAAATGCGAGGCAGTGGAATAGAAACGGTCTCTTGGTCGGGAACTATCGAGGCACCGTCCGTTGAGTTACCTTATATAGCTACCGGACAGCTCAGATGGTAGATATACAATATCCGGTATCGAGTTCTGATATTGATCGCCAGGATCCAAGCAGGCCCCTGAGCTGGCTTGGTATGCGTGTTCACTCGACCTGGAGACCAGGTCATGGCTCCTGCCTTTCGGCAGAAGGACCGTTGCAAAGTCCGGCTTTAAGCCCTGAAATAGGTTTAGCATGGTCCGTGTTTGGGGGCCAAGTATCCACAGGATGCCCACCTTCTCGGATGGCAGTGAACACTCATTTACGCAGGCCAATCGAACGGCGGGATTGGAACGCCAGGGCACCAGGGGAATTTTGAAATACGATATCCGTGTGGATGAGGCTGAGTCTGGCTCAGTTCAATCGAAGGGCCCAACCGAAGGGCCCAATCGGAGGGTCTTCACGACTCAGGGGCAAACACGGCAAATTAAGCTGAAGAAACGAATGATCCACGAGATAAGATCGTAATTCAGTCAGGGGATAGATCCGGGTCTTTCAGGAGAACATCATCTGACTCGTGTTGGGGGGAAGGCCCAGGGAGGACTCACATGGACTGAAGGAAATACAACTCCTCTACGCACGGCCAACAAACATCCGGGCGGACATAAAGACAGGCTACAACATCAAGACAGGAAATATATGGACAAGTGACTATGAATTTAATTGTTGCCACTGTCAAACTGCCAAAGAATTGGAGGCAGATACTTGGCCTCTCTAGTCCGGACGTTAGCTGGCAGTGCCATGTGGGCCATCATGCGACAAAGGATCCCCGACGGGCGAAGGAAAGTGTCCCGTTTCTCGAAAAGTTGCCTCAGCCTTATCGCTGTGTTTGATGCGTAAATCCAGTGAATGCCGCACTATTCACTGCTTTGCTTACCGCCCACTTTCTATGTCTGAATATATCCCCTAGACAGCGACCATCTCAACCGGCCAGCGCCCATATATACTAGTTTCCCAGAGACCACAATGAAATTTAGCAAAGCCGATGCCCTGAAGTCTACTGCAACCCTCCCCACATCACCTGGCGTCTGAATACGAAGTCGAAGACTAGGCCATGATTCCCATAGGTAGCCAATTCATCTAGCGGCCAGACCACAGGATCTAGCGCCTCTAATTAGCGTGGCAGTATGGGCTATCGATACAACATCAATTTCAGAGCTCGTATGAGCCCCAATATGGTCTACGATATAGGAACAAAGGTCGAATGGCCTGGTCGGAGAGAGTGAGTAGATAAATCGACCCTCTCTCATGAACTCCCCCTCCCTTCGAGCGACATTCATTCCCTACTTTCGACTTCTGACCTCTTCCTGGATAGGGGCAAATGTGTACCTGGGCCTTGGTCTAGGATTCCCTCTCTTCATATTTTTCTTTTGTTCTTTGTCACTCATTCCTCTGGGGACTGCTGCCCATTCTTTTAGGGCATATCCCAAAATGCTGCCCAGCATGATGATCAAGACAGGTTTTTCTGGCCTGCTCTTGATGGCATCGGGTGCCGTTGCAGATAGCCTGAACGCCTCTGCAGCGCTCCAAGCCTATCTGAGTACACACCCCATCAGCACTCGCTCAGCTCCCGCATCTCAATCCACCACCGACCTGGACAGCCTCAAGGCTGCAGTCCTGGCCGGTAATTTCACTCCTTCTCGATCATGGGAATTCTTGCGCGACCCTTGTCCTGGTAGCTGCACGAATCTCGGGACCGACTCGTCCGCCTGGCCGGTCTACTCCAGTGTCAGCCGTCTGTCTCGATGTAACAGCACCATGCTTCTTGATTTTGCCCTCTATACGGACGTGGATCAATCCAGTGGCCATGTCAGCATTCGTGGTTGCAGTGCCGATCTGGTCGCTAGCCTTGAGGGACTCACCGGGAACTCTTCCTGCCCGGTGCCTGGCAACACAACGGCCGTCACTTCGCTGATGGAAATATCCCAAGACAACACCACCGTCCCAGTAGGCAACGCTGCTGACGCTGTAGCAGCGCTGGGAGAGCTTCTAGCCTATGAAACATTGATCCCAAACCGTTGCAACGAGACAATAAATTTTGCCTACTCGGGGGAGACTGCCGTCGGTTTGTACGCGGGCTCCAGTCTCCACAGTCAAAACATCCTCACCACCGTTCTGGTAACTCTGATGGAGTACATTGACCAGAATGGTGCGCCAGGTACCTTGGTGGTTCAGCTCTGTGACGAGCGTAGCGCTCGATACTCCCTGGGGATTATGATAAGCTCTTCGGGAGATCTCTCTGCTACACAATCCGCAGTCCAGACATGGCGGAGCGATAGCTGTGTGAACACGGTCAGTGAGAGCAATCCCTGGGTGAATTTGACGTATTCCGTCCCGACATTGTCCCAACATAGCACAAACTCCAGCAGCCTCTGGGCTCGCCATATGCGGGCCCGCACTAGCGATGACACATGCACCACAGTCCAGGTGGTGTCCGGAGATTCATGTGCCACGCTTGCCACAGAGTGTGGCATCACTGCTGATGAGCTGACTACCTACAACCCGAGCTCCACTCTGTGTTCGACCTTGACCGTGGGCGAATATGTATGTTGCTCGGAGGGGACTCTGCCTGATAATGCTCCCTCCCCCGATGCCGATGACAATTGCTACTCATACCTCGTCGAAAAGGGGGATAGCTGTGACGCACTAGCCACCACATACACGTTGACCGTTGCGGAGATTGAAAGCTACAACAATGACACCTGGGGCTGGATGGGCTGCGATGATCTCCTTGCTGGTGAATACATCTGTCTCAGCTCGGGTTGGCCCCCGATGCCCGCTGTCATCTCCAATGCGGTTTGCGGGCCACAGGTCAACGGGACTGCCACAGTGCCTCATGGAACCGATCTTAGCACCTTGAACGAGTGTCCCCTAAATGCCTGCTGCGACATCTGGGGTCAGTGTGGTATCACGGCCGAGTTCTGTACCCCGACAAACTCCACAACCGGAGCCCCAGGTACCGCGGCCAATGGCACCAACGGCTGTATCTCAAATTGTGGTACGGAGATTGTCCTGGGTGATGCACCCACTGAGCTGTTCAAGATTGGATATTTTGAAGGATACGACACTGATAGGGTATGCATGCGGACGATGATCAGCGATATTGACACCAGCGCATACACCCACATTCACATGTCCTTTGCCACCCTGAATGCTGATTTCTCTTACAATATCTCGTCGATTGAGTCACAGATGGACGATTTCATTCTTCTGGACGGGGTCAAACGCATCATGACAGTCGGTGGATGGAGCTTCTCTACCGACGTCGGCACATACGATATCTTCCGCGAGGCCGTTGGAAGCAGCGACAACCGAGCGACCCTGATCTCAAACACGATCGATTTCCTGGATACCTACGACCTGGATGGTATCGATTGGGACTGGGAGTATCCTGCGGAGCCCGATATTCCGGATATCCCTGCCGACAGTACTGATGATGGTACGAACTTCTTTCTCTTCCTCATGGAGTTGTCTCTCCAGATGGAGATCGATGTCCCGAACAAGACCATCTCAACCACCGCACCTTCGTCCTACTGGTACATGAAGGGCATTCCGATCATGGCAATTAGCGAAGTTGTCGACTACATCGTGCTGATGGCCTACGACTTGCACGGACAGTGGGATTATAACAACACGTATGCCGATCCCGGCTGTCCGGATGGCAGCTGTCTGCGGTCCCATGTGAATTTGACCGAGACTCTAAGCGCCCTATCCATGATCACCAAGGCTGGTGTTGCGTCAAACCAGGTCGCCGTGGGAGTGGCCAGCTATGCCCGATCATTTCAGATGGTGGAGGCGGGCTGCTATGGGCCTGACTGCTTTTTCACGGGCCCTGATTCTGGGGCAGTTCCTGGTCCCTGCACGGACACGGCCGGTTACATCTCCAATGTTGAGCTTGCCGCCATCGCGGAGGAGATGGAAGTATATACATATATTGACGACTCAGCGAACTCGAACATTATGGTCTGGAATGAGACCCAGTGGGCCGGCTACATGGACGATGATATCAAGGCGACTCGCTTCACGTTGTATGAAGAATACAACTTTCTGGGAACTGCCGATTGGGCCATTGACCTTATCGACACCAGTGGTTCATCTTCCGAGGGGTCCGCATGCGAGGTTTACATCGACCCGTCAATCTGGGACGAGGATGAACCATCGGTGACAGCTATCCCGGGCTGTTCCTTGATCTGGCCTCCCCAGCCGCTGAGCACCACAACCACCATCACCTTTCCTGCTTGGACAACGACGATCACTTACACGACCGTTGTGACCGAAACAACCTCCGCCTCCAGCGGGGCAGATGTCACTGCACTGACCTCCCACGTCAGTTACTGGTTCCCCACTGTCATTACCATTGACCCCATCCCAACTACAGCTATTCCTGTGTGGGGTGTCAATCTCCCTAACAGCAGCACCACGGGCACGATCTATTTGACCTCCTCCGTTGAGCCATCTCCGTTCGCTCTGGTGTATACTCCGTAAGTCCCGATTCCCATCCGCGTGATTTGTTAGTACTAGTGACTTACCTTTTTCAGAACCGTTGGAGGCACTACCGTAGTCTCAAGCGCCACAACCACCGCAACTCAGACCTCTGAAGTCTTCATCTGGGGAGATTACACCTACACGGAACCCGGTGTCACCGAAACTCTTGGAGGATCTACAACCGTCATCAGCGGAACAACATTGCCTCCGGTTACCACGACCCTGACGCCTGTCGTGTATCCCAGCACGACAGCCACCACGCACGACACAAAGCTCAACACCAAGACGACACATTGGAAGAGTGGTAAACCTGCCAGTCCGACGGCCACATCAGGATGTGCCGGCTGTGGTACGGGCTGTAAGTATCCTCCATACCTAGGTCTGATGGTAACGTAACTGACCTTTCTGTCACAGGTAAACTGTTCTGCGATTCGAGCTGCCCTACCTGCCCATTCGGTATCGAAACTGACGGCGGTGGTGGCGGCGACAACCCTGACGACGATGACTCGTCTTCAACAACAACCTGCGCCACCACAACCACTACATCCAATTGTGATCTGTACTGCACGATCGCAACCGAGTCCGCCGTCGCTAGCACAGACTGTACTTCGACGCAGTGCTATACTGTAAGCGGATGCGAGGTGACCGCCACGACGAAGACATTCACATCCGCCACGACCGCAGCCTGTCCTGTTGTAACCGCAGGAACGGACCTGTACCTCAACGCGGATGTCTTTGATGGTTGTGCTCCGTGTGCCTGGCACTTTATCCCACTCTACAATGATGATGATGACACCTATGAAGACGACTGGCCCATGCTGTATGAATCCACGTTTGCCTGGCCGTCGATAGACCTCAAGCGTCGTGGAATGGACAGTGATCTGCCCAGAGAGACTGGTGCAGCAATTACCGCTCCTCCTGACGCGATGATCACCCCGGGCCCGAAGATACCTGGAACACCGAAGGCTCATGGCGGCCTGGCCAAGCGAGAGAACAAGCGAGAAACAATCACAAAGGTGGGAGCTTGCGCGATCCCCGACGGCACCACAGTCACCGTACCTGAGTACACACCCGGCATTAGTTGGTTCAACAGTGAGCTTGCTGGGGAGATTGTGGGGACTCAGACTTCGATGCCGCGTTGGTATCATACCACCACGGCGGCTGGGTGTGCGGTGCAGGTTACGCAAGCTGCCATTGCAGATCTCTCTACTGACTTCCAATACGTGGCTACTCTTGACCATGCGTGTAAGTTTCCTGGACCGCGTCATCTAGTACTGCGGTGCTAACATCAGAGTCTAGGGGAGATGGGTTGGCTGAAGGACTTCTTCTCCACGATGTTCACGGGCAAGAGCACTAGTCCATTTTCTTGCGACCAGGTGGATGAGATTTTCTTTGGGTGTGGAAATCGCCTGCAGAGTGTAAGTTGATCACCTTTGACCGAGCCGGCAAAAGGAGGACCCCGAGGCCAGGTTTTCATTCCTGAAATACCGACCACAAAGCTCACTGGTATAGATTTACAATGCAATCGCCTCCGATGACAACTTCCAGTTCATTGGCATCAGCCAGGCCCTCAATCGAATGAAAGCCAGGGTACTTTTTATGAAATCAACGCTTGAATGGAGAGTAATGGACTAACCGCTGGCACACAGATCTCCAAAATGGACTTTAGCGGAAAGGCCTTCACCAAGATGACCACTGGCAACGGACTGGTCAAGGCCAACACGGCGTGGTATAATGGCGCCAACGAAAAGCCCAAGGACCCGAAAACGCAAGGCGCGCGAACCAAGTTCCGCAATCAAATGGAGTTGCTCTGGGAAATGACTGCCTCTTGCATTCTGGTTACGGACACCGACATCAACGACTACACGATGGTCACTAATGCTCGGATCTATAACAAGATGTTGGTTCCCCGTTCTTCCACCTCAGTGGCCGAGTCACCAGGGCCAGATGCTAATTCAATCCTTCAGGCTGGCTCTTGACAACTGGATCACAGCCAATCTAGGAGACACGTACTCGACCAGCACGACCACCCAATTTGCCGTCCAGTTCAAGACCTTCATGAATACCTACTCGGGGATAACAACCACGGTTGAAGCGCTGATAGATACCCTTGTGTCAGTCATGGACGTCGAGGTCGGCTACCTGGATACGATTGCGGGCAACTCCGGCATGGAAAACGCCCTTACAGAGGCAGCGTCACTGAAAACGGGCTACGAGAAGCTGAAATCCGACTATGGGCTGTCCAGCGGATCCGGGACCAATGTCTGTGGGACCCCACTCACCTTTGACTTCACCGAGGACGCCGACCCAGTGTTGAAGAGAGATCTTGACGATACAGAAGCCTCTGCGTGCACGATCACCTTGGCCCCAACCTCAACGGCCACTCCGCTGTGCGTGGAAGCTCAAGACCCCGACTCGGGCACCGATGGCCTGTGGTGTTCCTGCTCCGGGGCGTCTGGTCTCATAACCACCATGATTGGCAGCGATCCCTGTGGATACACGGCGCTCCCCTCGAGCACCTCGACCAACAAATACCCCTACACCTTCACCGACTCCCTCGGCGACAAGATCGCATGCGCCTCCGAGACCGTGAAGACCAGCGATGGGACAACGACCACCGAGTGTGCGGGATCCAAGACCACAATCTCCATTGACTACGCCAACAACCCCTACCCGTATAAATTCACCGAGCTCAATAGCATGACCCTCGAGTGTGCCTCCGAGACGGTCATGGTTGTCGCCGGGTACACCATCACCGAGTGCGTGGGTAGTCGCACCACCGTCGGTGTCACGGCGGCGCCCACCACCTCCACAACAACAGAGAAGACGTCGACCAAGACGACAACCAGCGCTACATCGACACAGTCGTTCAGTTCCTGGTGTATTGGGCACAATTACTATATCTGTGTCGAAGCGTACGCTTTGACCTGCCCGGTCCGCTGTGACGATGACGATCTGATCGCTCGCCAGGATTGCATGAATCAATGCACGGATAGCAATGGTCGGGACTGTCAGATTTGGTGTAATTAGAGTTATTTAGGAAGGATAAGAGTGTTATGTTCTTTTGGTTTTGTCTGTTTCCAGGTAGAGGGGAGCCTCCGGGGGTTGAGTCACACCTCGCGGCTGCGGTTACTGTCGGCGCCGGGAACTGGTCGGTCGGCTGCAACCCTAAGTGTCAGGCTTTTCGCGGAGGAACTTGGGGAGGGGAAGAGGGGATTTATTTCCTCTCAATAATCAGATCTTGCCAACAATAGAACTTAGCTATGTAGGGACAGTATGACCGAAGAGATGAGCCGGTGACCTGAATGAGAGCTGGGGAGTAGGTACGGCAGGTTTCAGGGGAGAGCCCACGAGACTCCTAGGGACTCCACCTGCCAAGACAGTGAATAAGAGCATCTGATTATCCGAGGAAAGAAAAGCCACAGGGTTGGGACTCTAAGTGACAGGAATAAATACCATAGGGGAATTCGGCTTAGGTAGTAAAGCACTTTGTTTTGTTTCCGAGTGACTTTGTCTTCCCCCTTTCTTTCCATCTTCAAGTAAGGTTGTTTGATGATACTTCTCGAGGAAGGCCATTCATGGTGGCCCACTTCCGTTGAGGACTGACTTTTATTACGGTGCTCTGACCATTGTTATCAACAGGTGATTGATTACCAGGGTGGATACTTATACGTGGGCGGAACAGGCTATATATAGTCCGTCCAACCCACCCGCCACCTGCTTCCGCTCAACTGAGTCAATCCCAGATTTTCCAACATAACCAGCATATCACGATGCCTGACCACCGCTCCAACAACTCCCCTCTGCAGAAACCGAAGAAACAAAACAAACATTTGGACCGGGAGCTTTACACGGGCACGTACGCCCCGCCCCCTATCTTTCCAGCCGAGATATGGAGGTCTATTTTAAAACTTGTAAGGTTGTATCATAGGATCTGACAAGCCTTTTCTAACTGCCACCTACATAGCTTGGTTGGACCGATCGGAAATCCCTCAAAGAAGCCAGGCTGACCCAGCATGGACTGTCCGAGATCGCAACTAATGTTCTTTTTCACACCATTCGGTTGGAGCTTGACGGTCGGAAATGGTACCGAGAACAATGGGCAGAGCTTTATAGGTTAGCGAGTATCTGGAATTCTGTGAGAGTTATTGTCGTTACGGGCAAAACCCCCATTCAGAGTCCGTTTCCCGACGAGGAGATTGCTGCTCTACTGCATATGATTAGATCATCGAAAGATCTTCAGAGTTTATAGTAAGTTCTGCCTGCCTAATCCCGAGATGCACCGTCACTATGACGTCCTCATCGTTATTTCAATTATCTGACTATTTCAGTTGGAGACATCAAAGATATATGCCAGGGCTTATGCTGCGTAGGGTACATGAGTGGTGTCCGGAGGTGGCAGTACATATTGCCAGCTCTAAAATCTGTGTGATCCAGCAAGTGCGCCCCAAGTCTAAAGGACACGCACCGCCACCCCAGTTCCAGTGCATCCGCTCTATCACGGCACAGTGGAACTCCGAAGACATCAAACGAAGCCCAACGTCACCAGCGAACGTATCCCATCCGGCCGGATTAAAGGATATCATATGCGGAAGCCCCAATCTGCAGACTTTCAAGCTCCTCGCACATCAGCCTTCGCAAGACTATTGGGATTTCAGTCCGCGCTACATTGATGGGATGGTTCATCTCAAGGAAGGTGACATGCTGCCAAGATTAGAGCACCTCCACCTTTACAAAATAGCATTTTGCCCTAGTCAAAGTGCACTGTGGTCGGCTAACCTCCAGTGGGAATTGCTAAAGTCCTTATCGTTGGTGAATGTTGATTGGACGCACCTACTCCCGAAGATCACAGGTCGTCTTGACAACCTCGAGTCACTTGAGATGGCAATGTGCGACTGTTCTCCTCACTCATGGTATCACAACTTGCCACAATTAGCTTCTGCCCATGAATATAAGAATCGTGCGCGCCCGTTACAGTCCTTTTTGGGGGCTCTGCCTCCGCTAAGGAAGTTCATTGGCTATGACCTTCCCCAAGAAACAATATCGGTTTTGACAAAGCACCATGGAAACTCCCTGCAGCACCTGAGATTCCGGAGCCCTGGTAGAATGCACCTGGATGTGCAAAACCCCCACAATGCTTTTCCGCCGAGCATTGCGAACTTGGATGACTTGCCCACCCGGTTTCCGCACCTGCGGTCTCTAGGGTTGGACATTGATTGGGAGGACACGAAGCACATGGTAAGTAAGAAGTATTTTATCTCTGATTATTACATCTGGAGCTAACAATTTGTCGTCATGACCAGGCGGACGATATCATTGCGCCATTTCGTCAATTCAGCCATCTGTGGCATCTAGAGATAAATCTCCCGGACATTAGCCATGAGTGCAAACTATGGCGTTGCTACCAACTCAGCGATTATGAATGCAAGATGATTATTCAGTCAATCCATTCGAGTGTCCCCGGAATTATCTCTATCCACCTCAAACTGGGAGAATGGGAGGTATTCAAGCATTCCCCACGTCATAGGATTCCAGATGAGAGACCAATGTATATTGGTGAAGTTGGTAGCTCTGGCTATGTTCGCGTTAACAAGATCTTGTCTCCGGCACATGAGAGCGGCCCTTTTCGACCCCGCATTCAATCCGGCGATTTATATCGAAGTGGTTTAGCATCAAGGGCAATCAAAGCTCCGGGACTCATGGATGATGATCGATCATCAGTTTTGGGGTATGATATGGGCTGGGGGATCATTCCATGATGTGCTCGAACACTACCCCACAGTTTATTTAGATTCCTTGGTCTTTTTTTTGCAAATGAATTTCTTGATATAATCATTGATCAGCTAATACTGTAGACTCCATGCCTTAAAGATGACACTCTAGTCACAATAAACCCACATAATCCCTTACACCCCATTCTCAAACGCACTCCCTCCAGCCCTCTTATCAAACGCCAATGAGTCCCCCAACCTCACAACATCATAGAACCCCTTGACCCCCATCCTCTTCTGAAACTCACTAACCTCATTCCTCCTCTCCACTCTCAACCTCCTCAACGCCCTACTCGCCTCCTCCACAATCGGCCCCAAACACACCCCCGGAAAAATCACAATGCGAAATCCCAACTCCCTCGCCTCATCCGCACTCAAATCCGGGGTGATCCCACCGGCAACCATATTCAACAACACCGGGGTGGGTGCCAAATCCCGACAAACTCTCCCACACTGCTCGAGACTGGTCATGCCCTCCAAAAACGCCACGTCCGCACCAACCTCCACAGCTTTCTTCAGTCTCCCAACAGCAGCCTCATACCCGAGACTCTGCAACGAATCCGTCCTCGCAATAAGCACGATATCCGACCCCGGCCACACTTCTCTCTGCTCCTCTCTCGCCATAACCGCCGCCCGGATACGGGCGAGATACTCCTCCTCACTAACCAGCTCCTTCCCAGAGAGATGTCCACACCGCTTCGTAACAACCTGGTCTTCGAGATGCATCCCCGCCACCCCGGCGGTCATGTACGCCTGTACGGTCCGCGCGACCATCAGCGGGCCACCGTACCCTGTATCCGCGTCGGCGATGACGGGGACCGTGCGGTCCAGCGAGGCGATCATGCGTGCGTTCTCGACCATGTCGTTCAGGGTCGTTAGACCGAGATCGGGTGCGCCGAGGCGAGTCGCGGCTGTGCCCGCGCCAGTCATGTAGAGGTGCGTGAAGCCTTCGTTTAAGGCGATGCGCGCGGTGAGGCCATCGTAGACACCCGGACAGATCAGTGTTTGGGTGGGGTCGGAGAGGTGGGACCGCAGGCGGGCGGCGGCGGAGAGGGGGACGGGGTCCATTTTGGGGGGTTGGCGAGGGTAGAGGTGTGGTGAGTGAGTGATTCTGTTCCTTGGAAGATATATTTAAGGGCGAAGGTGTCTCCAATGGCGGCTGATTTGATAGCAATGACATGAATATGATGTCAAACGGTGATTATATGCGGTCTAGTCGACAACTGGTCTAGCCGAGAACTCGGCGAATTCGGAGATCGGTGGCAGCATGGGTTCCCCGCTTGGCGGATACGACGGAGCATTTTCGCTGTTCGCTTGCCGAGTTCTTGGATGGTAAGCTTACTTTGTGTTACGGTGTGGAGAGTGACCGTTTGATGAGCAGTTTTACATGTGAGGAGATACACTCCATCCTATCGGAGATATGTGGTTTAGCTTGTATAAACGGGCTACATGAAGCGGTTATCACCACACCAGTAATATATAACCCTCTCGAGCGCTCAAACGACAAGGAGAATTAACTATGGACCAGGTACTAAAATCTGCAACCCGATGGAGTGATCCGACTCCGTCAAGAAATCACCCAGAAAAGAGAGTAGCTGCTCAGCATCTCCGAGCAGCGCAGAGTTTACAATATCGTCGTCCATCTCATTCGGCATCATGACCGTCGTGCTATCACTACTTTGCTCAAGATACGGGTCCGTCTGGCCGTTGAACTCGCGTGCTCAGCACCAGAAACAGTCGTAGAAGATCCCTATCGACTGTTAGGCAAAGTCAATACAAATCCGCTCCGATTGTGAAAAAAAAGCTTACCCCTCGCGTCCGAATCCGCACAGCCAAACTATTATACGACCCGTCTCTTCCGCTTGAACGTCTGCGGACTCCGCCACAGCTGCGTGAGCACGCCCGCCGTCCGCCCATTCAGATCATTATTGCGGATCATCCGGCGCTTGAGAACATGAATAGACGAGAAATACTCTCGCTCGCCGACCGTCAAATCGACCTGATCGGGCAGATCACTCCACGTTACCCGGAGGATGGCGCTCGCGGGCATGTTAAGCGTGCGGTATACGGACTCGGAGGTATACATGGCATAGTCGGTCGCTTGGTCTACCGAGGCGATGGAATTGATGAGCGAGCATGCGAGGTCGTACATTTCTATCAGCCGGGCGCGTCGGAGGAGTCCGTCGTCCTCGTAGAAGTGGAATGCGCGGATGTGAAGGCGTGCGCCTGAGACGAGGAGGCTTCCTGCATCTTGTGCGGACCGGATGCTTGACAGTGAAGGGAAGGCCATACTAATATGTCCATCTGCTTGTTGACCGAGCTCTACGAGTGTATCATCGAAAACATCGGCAATTGTGGAAATACAGCTCTTTGCGAACCGGTAGGCTTCGCACATGAGGGTGGCAACACCGTCCGTCAACACGGCCTGGATTCGTTGGGCCCAGAAGACTGAAGGACCAAGGGAAATCAATAGCATCCTGTTGCTGCAGTCTCGGAGATCTAAGGCGTCGGTGACAATCGATGGTTGCAAGCCATTGCAGATGTTTGTCCTGTCTGGTTAGCAGGGATAGGATGGCAATATCGGGTGGGTCACCGAAATTGACAAACTATCTTGCAGCAGGACCACAACGACGCCCGAGAGCAACTTCGCGTCGGGCTTTGAGCGATCCGGGTCGTGAAATCTTGCTTCCGCTCGAAGAAATGGAGGCCGTGTTGCACGGCTAATTGCATTGCCAGGAGGGGCACGGATCGGAGACCATGACATCCATTGGAAACGGCCAAGTACATAGTAGCAGGAAGCTCTGAATCAGAGCGATATAATTATGGGACTTTGCGATTGATTGCATTGTGAGTGAGGTGACTCGAGGGCCGAGGGTTATATCTCATGATGCGGTAGCTCCATACCCTTGAACCAGCTTTTATGTTCCTGATAGAGTCCGGCAGCTCCCATCTCCGAGAGCTCGGACATCTGTGCACGGTCGTGCCGAGTCGTTGGGGAATACGACTTGCCGAATCATCGGTTTACCCAGTGGCGGGCGACTATGCGGGGAGAAGCTATCCCCGCAATCCACGGCCAGCCCTCATCGACCCCGGATCCCGGTGCTCTCCATAACCTGGCCGAATATTCGGTCGCGGATTTTGAGGCGGGATTCGGATCGGAATTCTGTTGTCACGATTGTTGGATGCACATACCGACAAGCGGCATAAATACCAGGGAGGCATTGATCAGTGGGAATGCATTTTCCCAGCTCAGACTGACTTCCACATTCAACACTCCATCCAAGACAACCCTACTTTCATCGTCCACAATGACGGTCATCACAGACCAAGAAGCCCTCCGTGACCGATACGTTGCGACCGGAAGCATCTGGACACCAGCACTGGAACGTATCCTTCAAGCCGACCCATCCTACTTCGCAGCCTAACTAAAGGAGCACGAAGCGCCATTCAAGAAGGAAACTCTCCCGCGCAAACTCCAATATATACTGATCCTCGCGGCCGACGCGAGCCCCCGTACCGAGTATGTCCCGGAAATCCGTGCGGGGTCCCGTTGTTGTACGAAGTTCTTGCCGAGGAGGGCTTGCCGGTGCAAGCGCACAGCCCGTCCAATGAATCGAGTACGCGACAGCTGAAACTGAAGGATGATTTTACCGTCACGCGTGGATACTGGCATGGTGCTTATCAATCCCAGCTAGGCTCATAAACAGAGGGGAACGGAAACGGAAGGCCGTCATATCGGCTCGCCAGAAAGAAAACCGCAGCCTCGCAGAAGATGCTCCACCTAACCAGGCCGTCCGTCCACTTCAACAAATGCATGTGCTGCTACTGATGCAATCATTCGCTCTGTTCTTGGGCAAATTAGCCCTTCAGTCAGCCAGTGGTATTTACGCAAGATACCCAAGGCAACTGGAGAATCCAGCCTATACGTCGTCCCCAATATCGCTGACTGGTATGGGCAAAAGCTAACGCCACAAGGAATTCGCCGCAAAGAACCATCATGTCTAAGTCGAAGAATAGGAGTTCTCCGGCGGTGTTGTTGATCTTGGGAGAGGAACTCCACTGGGAGAACATTTCGCCAAAGGAGAACTCCCCCTCTTGGTCGTCCCACATACGGCTGGGGTGTATGCAGCCAATTGAAATCTCATGGCACAAGGAATTCGCGGACAAGAACCATCAAATATTGCCTCCATGGTAGAAGGTGTCCTACAGGATCTCTATCCTGACAAGGGAAGCTCCGAAAAGTGACAGCTGAGACCAAATCTATAAGGAGCACTCCGCAGGTAGTCGGCAGAAACTCAACATATGTCCCAGACCCAGTATCCAGGATATAAAAGCACACGTCACCCTCCTTGTCCAAGATGAAAACTCCCTCTCACCATCAACTCTTGTCGTCTCAACATTTTCAGCAAGCCTCGTGGTAACTAGGATACTCGAACACCATGGAGTTCAACAACAGCATGCAGTCAGACAGCAACGTGGGGTCGGAAGAGAACAACATTCAGTCAGACCAAAACATTGACTTCGACAACAGCCACGAGTTCGACAGCATCATGCAGTTGGAGAATATGATGCAGTTGGAGAGCATTGAGTTTGACAACAACAGGGACTCAGACGACAGCGTGGAGTCAGACAGGTCAAGAGTGTCTGCATCTCCCTACCCTAATTATTCGGCACCGATTTCCTTCCTTCAGTCGCACATCTCAAAAGTTCTGAAGGACGCTGGAGTGCCATGTTTCCTGTGGGACGAATCGGCATTCGCCATCTACTGCTTGGGGCAGCCGACCGCGAAGACTTTAAGCTGGGTAATTCCAGATGCCTATATCCACGATGCCGCCGCAGCCCTGTTGCTGGCCAAGTTTCAATATCCTCTGGAACTTTTCTATGACGATTTTGTGATGGTACCAGACTACCACCTTGAGATCCCAAGGAAGATGGAGTTGGATAAGCGTCCAGAAATCCTCCTCTACCAGAAGACACGAGTTTGTTGGAGCTTTCCGGATCCCCCAATGGGCCGTCCCGGACGAAATGCCACGTACTACACGTTGACCTCTGACACACGGTTCTATAGCCCATACGACCCTGAGGATAGAGACATCAAGGAAGACCGGCCGATTGTGATCGTCGACAAGCAGGACCCTTTCCTGCGACAAGTCGACCCAGGCACACATATCCCCATCGATGTCGAGGAACTCCGGTTCCCGCATCTCATAGATCGCTCGTTCAGACGGCGTTATAATACGGACAAACATTTCAAAGACGCCTACCTAGCAAAGCCTTTTTGGTATGCTCGACTTGCGCCAGACAATAGCCCGAACATGTTGTACCCCCCGGTCCATGTGACGATTCTCAAGCCGGAGAGATGTTTGGAGGCGATCCTCTTGCTTCTGCTTCGAAACTACGGCTATTTGAACTCGGCCGTCGACTGGGACGCCAAGATTGAGCGCGTAGTGCGTTTGTGCCTCGAAACGGACAAGCCCCCGTACCTGCGGTTGGATCAGATCCAGGAACCGTTCCGGGAGTACTTCTCGCGGATGATTGATCCCGATTATGTTTTCGTCATTACCGAAGGCGGCATCTGTCAGGATGTAGTTTATCTTCGAGCTCTACATCAGGTGCTGAGGGCTACAGCGCAGCTTCCACCTCCGGGGGATGATCCTTTCCCTCGGGCTTCTGTTGAACCGATGATGACCGGCGATCTGGACGCTATCTTCCAGAGGCTCAAGATCTCACCCGGTCTCGACATCGACCCTCCAGAAGACAGCAGATCTGCAGAAGGCCTTGCATCTCCACAGGACAGCACCCTTCCTGACGCTGATGATGAGGAGGAAGAAGGACAAGGAGAAGAAGAAGAAGAAGCAGAAGAAGAAGGAGGAGAAACAGACATCTTCGACGCAAACCAATGCTTGCCCCACGACAAGCTGGTGGATCTCCTCAATACCGACCGTGTCAAAGCAAAGATAGCAGCGAATGAGAAACAGTGGAGGATTGGCAGGAACTTTTACTCAAGATCCGTGTCTGACGCAGAGTCTGATCTGTAATTGTCATCAGGTATCCACAGGGCTCGTTTTTTTCAATATTTTCTTCGGAAAATATTGTTTTTTTTTTCAGTCCTTGAATGCTGGGGTATCCGGATGACTATTCTTGGTTTAATTTTGCTTTTTCGAATTGAATGTGAAATGATTTCATGTCCTCATCTCCATGATCCATGATCGAAATTCGTAGCCTGGCGTATGTCTTTGATTGTACTTCGCACCCCTCCCCGACGCAATGATAAAACTGGAAATGCTTCGAATTCTCCAATCAATGGAGGGTTGTGGTCCAGCGACACCCCCAGTCTCCCCAACGGCTACTCATAGACCTGAGGTTATTAGCGGCGGACGGGAACTGTAACGAGAAGGGCAATAGGTGTCCCCAGACTAGACCTGAAATGACTATTTCTAGCATGTTAACGCTAGAAGCAGTAAACATGAACTGTTTTGATTAAACCCCGCCTTAAAACTTGGTACAGATAGTAAGTTCCGAGACCTCGCCAGTACGATCTTGTGCCCAGTCGGGTCTGGCGTCTGCTGCGTGGTCGCGTTCGCCTACTAGCGAGGCGCGCCCATTTTCTGCCTTTTTATTTCTTCCTCTCCACCATCGAGTGGTTAGTATGCCAGCAAGCTTGCTCCCTTTCCTCCCTGCATGCCTGATGAGACGTCGGCCTCCAGATCCAATCCAAGTCTACAAGCGGAAGGGGAAACAAAAAATCAAGAATAGACAAAGCGCCGCCGAATATAAACTCGGAACAACGTGGAGGCTGTCTGCCGCACCAGTAGCCTCGCCCCGCCTGGGCTCCATATGTTTCGGAAGGGGGTGGTATTCATCCTCCCCGAATGTTGAGTTAAGCGTGACATTTTCGGTCACCATGCCATCGTCCAGTCGAATCCATGAAATCACCTCCTCTGTGAGAGTGTCTTTGTTAAGAAAGATTTGTCTTGCACCTCGGGCCAGGTTTCCGTATCCCCCGTATCCGGTATTGCGCCCATAGCATACGGGGATTCCGATATAATCAAATCCTCCACCCCTGACATAGTTGGTGTCTTTCCAGTTAAAATACCTGGATATAATGTTTAGCAGGTGGGCTCACCAGGAGGAAATACTTATGTCAACCTCACCAGTCATTATCATGGTCATGACCGCTGAAGACACCCAAAAGACTATTCGCTTTCCCCAATGCTCTCATGAGATCGTCATCATGCGGCCTCACCGGCGAGTCGCCATACATGGCACCTTGGTTTGTGACATCCTCTCCATTGATGCCTGGCTTCCTGCTAGGGCTAATCCCTGGCCTCTTTTGGAAGTCTCTTGCCCCAGTGATGGGGATGTGAAAGAAAGCAAGTGACGGGATGGTCTTGTTGTATTGGTTGTTGAGTTTGAGGCGTGTTGATTGGAACCAAGCAATAGCCTGAGCCATCTAGAGAGTTAGAACAAACGGTATTCGGATTGAGGAGTCACGATGGCCAAACTTACCACATAATCAACCCAGTCCCTGTTATCACCTCCTCCCCTACTGTCGAAAAACCACAAGATCAGTTCTGGAGTGTCGAGGTCCCCAGATGCTGGAAAGACCAGTAGGTAGTAATTGGAGACTCCTGCTTCGGGGTTCAGGGGGAGCATGTCCTGGGTCAGACTTCTGCTGTAAGCTTTCTCCCTTACAAATAGCTTTGGGGTACTTGAAAAAGACTCGTTATCATGATTTCCGTATGTTGTAGCCCGCGGCAGACCTGTATCATTTATCGGTGCGAGGATTTGATCCAGGTATGACGTAGCGTTGTCGGAGGCCAAGCCATAGCCTGATATAAGATCTCTATTAAGCACGACTAACTGGGAACTCTCATGTTCGAGCACCTTTCTGACTACATCAGCAGTCCTCTTGTCCCTTGCTGGGCCCTCGAGAGTGTCCGGATCTGGGGAAGTCAGTCATGTCAGAGGTTATAGCTTTTAGCACACTTTGCACAACCTACTCTCGCCAAGATGAAGATCCGAGAATACAGTGATTTGAAAGGTACCATCCTCGGCAAATCGCAGGGTGCTATCCTCACTCGACTGAGATTGAGGACTCCCTGCCTGCCTGTTCGCACCCGGTGGTCCGAATGCCATTGTCGGTTTGCTAATAAAAAAAATCAAGTTTGGAAGATAGTGGGAGTCAATCCTGAAAATCTCGAAATATATCGTTTCGGTGAAATTTGATGTTTTGTAGGATGGAATATGACATTAGAACATCTTACATTGCCTCTTTGCGGGGGTTAAAACAGGTTCCAGATACATGCACCCTTGCCCTTGCTTAATTCGGGGACTTGGGGACGAAGGGCATGGCGGTGACACAGTCTCAAGACCCTGCAAGTCACAGGCAGCGGACTTTGGTCGGTTGCTATGGAGAAAAGTCAAATGAGGCTTGAAGATGGCTTCTTCAAATCTATGGGCTTTACAAGGTAAGAGCTCTTTCCTTGGCCTCCCAAATCTGAATCCTGGACTTTCTGCTTCTTGCGTTACCCGGTGACGTGAGTATCTGGATCTGCCAATGGTGATGTTTGTCTGACATACAAGCGGGGAGGTCTCGGCCGCAGCGTCCCCCTTGCTTGATACTCCCGAAGGCCGACCGGGCTCAGGATCCGTTGTCAGATCCCCGCAGCATTTGGTGGCAAATACTGCAATATTTGGTGAAGTACAAATCACCTCATCATACGGTGAATACCAGTGGAGTTGATGAGACTGAGTAGCTGCACGGCGGGAACAACCCATGCAGGCCATGCAAATGGTCTCTCGCAACGCCAAAACACAGAAACAACAGCACCGCGGAGCTAGCCCCTGTAAGGCATATACTACGCAATCATCTCCGACCCCGTGGTATAAGAATGACACTAGTCCAAATACCTTGGCTTTATAATGGTTTGGCTGTAGCCAGGCGGGTGTGGCTGTATCGCCCCCCTTCTTGAAACAGAGGCCAAAGATGGCATTAAAATAAAGATTGGGAGTGAGAGTGACAGAGTCGAGGGATCTGGAGGAACACAGTGACAGACAGAATATTCACCACTCAGATCTTGTAGTGGACATCGATGTAGATCAATACAGTAAGGCTTATCCTGAAAGTGAAAGGACAATATATTGGATCTCATAAAAGTCTTCCGCACGGGTGCTATAGCCGCCCTTCTGCCATGGTCCTTTCTTCCCATCCTCTACAGCTTTTAGAAAAGCGATTTTTATCGCTCCCAAGAACACGTATATACAGTTTCAGTATCCTTACTTGGGTTTACTCTCGATCCAAGAATATATGGAAAAATCACAATTTCAGGATACGGAATGACACAGATAAGCAACCTTCGCAGCTAACGGTTCATCCAGTAGTAACCAGCTGGACATCCCAAGCTACAAATAAATGGCAAGTATAACCGAGTCCAGGGCTCGAACAGCCCACTGGCCATACTCCGATCGTATCAAATATCAGAGCAGGGGGCGCATGACCATCACAAGAAACCCTTTAGCTGAGCTTCCAGACAAGGTAAAGGAAGTCTCCACCCCGACCCTTGTTGATATCAGTGGAATACGCGTCGAAGCCGAGCGACTGGACAGTTCCAAAGTCAACACTGTCCTTGCGGCGAAGGAGGCGGATTTCAGTGATCTTCTTGTCACCGTCGCGTTCAAGTCTCAGGTATCGGTAGTCACCGCCCGCACCATGAGCAAGGTCCTTGTAGCTGGAATCCGCGTTTGCCTGGATGATTATGCGGACGTTGGAGACTGCGTTAGATTCATTGGATTGCCACTTTGGAGACAGCCAGACGTAGCTGATGACAGAGAGAAATGTATTAGCACCTGGGCCATATATGTAGAGATCCCAAAGCGAGGTGTTGTCTTACTCTCCACCTTGTCCCGCGTTGATGTCTCCGCCGTTTTGGTCAACGGTGTGAATAGCGTCAGAGGGCTCCGAACTGGTGTTTTTGCCCCAGGTGACCTGGACAGAAGTATCAGCATAGGATTCCATTTATGAAAATAGTTGTTACTTGCATCAATTCCGCTAAGGTAAGACATGTTGCTTGAGAAGAAAGGTAATGAGCTGTTCTTGGTTGCTGGCTTTCTGTCTGATTGTAGTCTTAGACTGAGTTGATTGTCTGAAATTGAGCTGCTGGTTTTCTTGGCTGAACAGGTGTCAAGGACGTGACTTTTATATTGTAATTCTCCATAGCAGCCACGATGTTGTCATTAGACGGCTCCATGGCAACTGACGACAGTCAGAAAATGACGTCAAGAGATCATGCTCTCCGTAAACGGCACAATTGTGCCAGCCTATCCCTGTCTGCGTAGGCAGTTAAAAAGTCAATATGATTATTTGCATGCACCTGGTGCGACTAATGACTGGATCAGCCAGCCACAGCATAAATTCCCTGAGGGTGAGCACAGGTATCGTGAATACCCCCTTTAGAGTCGTTGTACCTCAGAAGCCATGTGCATTATCAAGAATAATCATTTGAATCATCTTCCTGTCCATGCAAAACCACTGAAGTGTTTATTGAGGCGGGGGCTCGGATGGGGGACATAACACGGCTGGGCCAGTATCTAACGCCAGGTCCTATTACCCCGCATGATACTTACTACTTTTGAAAGCATTGTTACTTGCAGGGTTGCATAAATGTACCCCACCTGATGATGCCTTAGTACATCTGCTTTGTGTGGGAATGGTATACCCTGCAGAGTATTCCTGCATTAGCTCCAGCGGCTTTTTCCGTGATCCAAGGTTCCACAGCGCAGTTGACTCTTCCTGGGATACAAGATCGCGAATAATGACTCGGATGGCGCAGTGTAGGTGATCAAACTGCGTAGTCTGGGTCCGAGCTTAAATTCCTGGTGCTCGTCGTGGAAACGTCCTGTGTCGAAGTTAGTGCGGGTGATAATAAGGTTTCGTCAGTTGGTTGGACAATCGAATCGTGTAATCTGAAGATCGAAGTTGCTTACTATCAATGTGAGACTGGATATAGGGAAGGGCTGAATTAGATCCTTGGCTGAAGGCCAACTTCTTCTTACTCCTCGCTAGAGCAGGGTATACCTGCAAGTCAAATTCAAGGATTCTTGTCATTTTGGTAAGCCAGTCCTATAATCGGGTTGTACTTTAAGACAAAGATAATTTGTAGAAGGATCAAGTGTGATGATTACCGCTTGTCAAGCTGAAATGATACGAGTTTTGGGTGAGTGACAGGGGGAATTTCTCATCCTGCTTAAAGTATAATCACCCTAGCGGCAGAGTGGCATAACCAGCTGGATCACCCGAGCAGCACTTACCCGAATTCCGCCCGCGTTCCAGGCCCGGGGCATGCGAGGGGTGTGCGGCAAACCTTGGCTGACCCTTATCGGGGATTGTGTGTTTGGTCGCTGCTCCGAGAGGCCCTCGAAGGCAGGACTCCCCGGCATGTCCGTCCGCTCTGCTGACATATGTTGTTGCTCTTGGCAGATGAAGGGGAACTTGCATAGAAGAGAGGGTGCAATATGCTTACGCTCGTTGTCCATCTTAACGGCTGATATTGCAGACAGGAGCCAAAGCAAACAGTGAATGGATTTACTGTGTAACTTACTCCTCAGCCCTTGATGACCAATCAGAATTTCACGTACATATAGTCCCCACAGAAAGTATCCCGCCTTCCGTCCCGATTCTGCGACGCGTATGACTGATATTGGCTATTCGATGACACGGTGCGCAGAATACAAAAACCCTAGCAGCCCAAATCACCGCAGACTCCGCGCATCCCTGAGCACTGCAGGTCGGAGAAGATACCCAACATACATAAGAAACACGTCCGGGATCCCGCGGGCTAGTCGGTCTTTTTCTCAATCTGCAGAATTGCTTCCGTCATAGCCGGATAGCTTAGTCTACATAGGTATAGCCTGATGGTACATAGCCAAACCCGACTGGTTTTCAACCGCCCAAGTAGACGGTAAACGGTATGTGTAACCACTCAAACAAGGCTATCCTGGATCCCAAAATAAAGACCTATCCTACCCCTCTTCTACCTAGGTAAGCGTTTCATCATGGCGAATGAGAGGTCTCATGACCAATCAACCCTTCGAAGACAAACAAGGATACAGCCATGCGACGGTATATCTCGGCTCGAATTCCCCTGTCAGGCCCGTCATGGCTTTATTCACTCCGCATGAAAGCCCGCAACGCACGTACCTTTAACCGCCTACTAGGCAGTGGAGTTTGTTATGAAACCCCACCAACCCCGGGTGGCGTCGCAGTCGACCGAAATTGCAATACCCTGGTTACCCCTCCAGGCTCCAGTGCTACCTGACAGCTGAGCTTCAAACAGCTAGAAACGGAACTTGCACCTATGACTTGGCAGGATGCAGTTGTCCGATGGACACTTTCGGCGACACCGATCTCGTTCCGTGCGTTCCCCTCAGACCTCCGCATCTCTACGGATCTCCACGGCAGGGGGGTTGAGACCCCACAATTGCCAGAACCTCCTACCATCTTACATCCTTCCCACATTGTTCAAAGCTAGACCCCATTACTAGGACCATTCGGAACTTGCGGGTCGAGATTACGCAATGAAGTATGCATCAAGACTGTTGACTGCGCTGAGGGACATGGCGGCCGTTTGCTTCAACGAAAGAAGCGCATCTAAAAGACCAAACAGCTACGTGCAACCGCCACAACCCTTCACGATGTGTCGAGGCAAGGCAAAACTCGGGATTCTCTACACCCCATCGGCTAATCTGACCCTATTGTGACAGAGAATCACGCAAATATTAATTGTACATCCCCTACGCCGGTGTATTCGACAATGGAACTATCTATGCAGTGGCTTGGGGGCATTTTACTCACCTATGGGTGGTATATATTGGAAATGCGATGCTGTTGAGACCAGTTCGGTTATCGCCAGCTGAAATTTCTCGGGATAACTACGTATGCACCTTTCCCAAGGGTTGTCGATTATAAAAGTAATCATCAGTTAGGCAGGTGCCTGAGGCTACAAAGCAGGCTTTCCACGGGTACCTTGACTATCTCGATATTGTAGAGATGCTGAGACCGTTTGGATCCCGGCGACTTCCCACAAGCCACCTGATTCCCAATCACAGCGATTTTCGATTGTCAAGGAGGTGCCCCAGTTCGGTCTTCTTGGCTATAATCGGAGTTGACTAATGATTGGCTTTTCTTCATGTCACTGGTAAATCCACCCAACGCGACGACTGATATCAAGACTCACCCTGAGTAAACCTAAATGGGACCGGGTAACCCTAAATATCCTCATCAGTCACCGCTGTTTCGCAACCCCGACGCCGAGTAAGCCAACAGCCGACGTGGTCAGTTTATGTCTCGGGCGCCAGGTATTATCCACCATTAGCATTCTGCACGCAGACCACTTGGAGTTAATAGTTTCAGCTACTTGTCTTCTTGTCACCAAGTTACTCATCTTATGATGTCATTAGGCACGCTGACACCTGATAAGGCAGAAAGTATAAAGTCACGTGGGTCTGTTGGGCATTGCTCACTCATCGGGCTATTGGGGGCGTTGTGCGAAGTAAGGTTGACAGTGGTGTGGTGGTAGCAATCCCCTTTACCATCACTTAAGAAGGCAGGCCATTGCGATGAAATTTCAAGGTCCATCTGCCATCTGTCGCAAGATGTTGTGTCATTCTATGGGTAGTAACGGTAGTAAAGCGACTCTGTCGGATTCTTTCTCTACAGTTGGCTGCATCATATTGACATCAACCCGGGAAAGGAATTGGAACTTCCGATTCTACCCCGCCATGTTGGAGGTACATCCCGCTTAGAAGGGGTAATAGTGACGATAGAAACTGAGTTATTGTTCTGTTCAGAAAGGGTATTCCGGTATTGGTTCCGTGTTTCTAACTATGACTTCCTTAAACTTAACACCGTCGGAATTTATAACAGAGCAGAGGCTATGAATCCACCCACACATATTTTCGATCCCGAGGGTGAAGTGGTCATCGTGCTGACCAATCCGAATGCCCCCTTTGCAGAATGGGACGAAAGCATTATCTGCGATGCAGTGATTCTAACCTAACTGACGATGAGGAGTACGTTGAGAGAGAAGCTGCAGAGAACGTCCCGGGGGCTAGAGAGGGACATACCGAAACTGGGACCGTCAGTCAGCCGTTGCACTTGGAATCCATGGATACGCACAATGTGGTGAATGCTGCAGGTAATGGGGATCAAGCCCCCGGAACTCAGTATGATGGTGGTGACGATTCTGCCAAAAAGGTATCTGCCAAGCATTTGACCCTGGCCTCGCCTTTTTTCAGGGGCTTACTTAAAAGTACTCTCAAGGAGGGCACCACCTACAGGTAAAAGGGAACCGTCGAGATTGCAGCGGAAAGTTGGGATGTTGAAGCGCCGTCTCTTTTCCTCGCAGTTTTACACTGTCAAAATGCCCAAGTACCCCGAAAGCTCGGTCCGAAAATGCAAGATAAGGTTGCTGTCCTGGCAGATTACTATCAATGCAAGGAAGTATTGGGGCTTTTTGCGGAATTATGGTTTCCGTTTCTAGAAGAACTTCCCACAACGTACTGCCGGAATCTGATGCTGTGTTTATGGGTATCATGGTTCTTCGGCCTACCTAGTCAGTTCCAACCGCTCACCTCGACTGCAATGTCACAGAGCAGCTTTTCGATCAACAATGTCGGGCTTCCGATCCCTCATAGTGGGATTGATATGGGCGATACCTGAGAAATTTGGCTTGCGTCTAATGAAGTTCTAGAGTCAATGAACGTTCGAAATGAACGTTCGAAGGGAGCAGGAAATCGGCGACATCATAAATCTCCTCCACGAGCAACCCCAAGACCTGTTTCATGGCCGGGCAAGGTGCGGTTTTGATTGAAGTGCAGCAATGTATAAGGCCCTGACGAAGGGGATGGAACCAAATCGCCTCCTTTTGCCAAAGCCTGAACCCCCTTACGCGAATCCAAGTCAGCAGCAACTTGTGCGGACGCTGTTGTCGTTTCAATTATCAAAACCGCGCCAGTCTCTCACACATATACGTGGATCTTATGGCATTGCCTACCCATGTCCCAATCGCTCCTTCTCATATATTTTCGGCGGATTGCATGAGAAAATTGATATTCTCAACTTATATAGTGCCATTTCAGAGCCAGAGACTCTGTTTAGCTTTGCAAACTTATTTGAAAGTATCCAGACTACTTGAGCATGTGTCCTTCTCCCAGAGTTCCGCTATCTTGTAAGAACAGCAGGTTACACTAATTCCAGGGGAATAAGAAACGTTCATTTCGTTCCATTTCTTGCAGTACGCGAAAATATATCTCTTTGCCTCTTGAAAGTATTCCTACCTGAAAGACGAGTTCAAAAATTTAATACCTCTTGCACTGTATCTGCATTGGATTTGGAGCGCAAGAAGTAATATCATTTATGGCGTTGTGACTTGATACCGTTGCAGTTTACGACTTATGTCGGAGGGCTTGGTTCAAAATGTCCCGGAATATTCATCGAAACTAAATGCAATTTTCTGGAGTTCATTCGCTTGAGGCTAGACCTGGGGTAGTATTGTAATTATAAATGTAAGTTTACTAACAATATGGCTCAAATAGCGGTGAAGCAGTTTGACCTTCTACCCTTCTCGCCTCTCGCAAGAACAAACGGATGTATATATTTTACCCCACGTACGTCGGACCATGAGATTGAGATTAACTTCTACACCGAGTGAACCACCTAGAGCACTACCACATAGTTGCGATCTACAATGCCCACCATGCGTCACTCTGACATTCCCTTGTTTCCGGACCGGATCAAGGAATGGAAGGTCAAGGCTCTGCGCGAATGCACACGTTGACTAGTCTGCAATGACTTCGAAGATGCTATGGACTATGGTGGATTACGAAGATGGGGCTCAGAGTAGGGTAGGATGTAGGCTCTTCGGTAATTCGTTCGTCGCATTGGCTGTGGCTATAGTTTATCCTCTATCTATCTTGATACTTACAATTGAGGCCGTACTTGCAATAGAACAAATGATGCTTCTCAGTTGCTCGGTTGTGCATGACAGGTCAATCGAGATCCGATATAATGTCGCGTCTGCGATCACCGGTCCCACTGCGGTCCCCACTGCTGGTGAATTGCTGGCTGTGTTCCCAGAGCTCCCGTAAAAGTAAGACTGATCCGAGGATGGTACAGACAAGCCAGGGGGGACGCGATCAACCTGAAGGGGAGTTGAGTTTGGAAAACCTTCAGGATTGAGGCTGAGAGAAGCGTCCAAGGCAACGAGGTCCACGCTCATGGAGTTGACATCTGTTCAATAGTTAGCCGCGTAGCGATTGCTGTGGGTGGGAATCTTACCATGTGCCATAAACGGGGCACTGACACCTGACCCGTCAAATGGGGTACCACTGGAAAAGCTCGCACTTGACAATAGCGGAGTTGCATTGGTCGTATGATTATTATTCACCATCTGGTCGCTTGGTGATCCGACCGTCCCATTCAGGGGTGTCGAGCCATGTCCAGAACAGACATGCCGTGGGTTGGACATCGTTGGGCGGGCGAGATCTGGTGTCAATTCACTAAGCAAGGGCGCGTATGTTGTGCGATAATTCTCGTTGTGGTTCTGCTTGGGTTTTGCACCTTTTTCGTTTGCATCATCATCACCCGCTCTGTCATGATCCCCAGTCAAATCTCCCGTCGGCATAACATGCTCTTCTCTGGCAAAATCGGTTCGCGACGCTGAGGCACCTTGGATGGACGTAGACGCGCAATCGACTGGACCAAACGAGCAAAGCTTAATATACCGATTTTTCAGAGCCAGCGTCGTTCTTCGCGGGATGTGGTATGCGGAAATCATTGACCATTTGGTCCCACATGTTGCAACAGCTTCGACTAGGTGTGTGTCCTATGCGATAGTTGAATCAGAAATCACATCAAACCCAGAATCAATAAGAGCAGGTCACTAACCTCTTCTGACGTCCAGTCGCATGCGTTGATACTTGGATCCAACACCTGGCGCCAGTGGCTCGAGCATTGATCCGCAGACCGGGTGCCCACAACCTCAGCAACTCTTGTCCACTTCATCCCATGCATCTGCACCGCTTCAAACAACAGTCTGTCCTCCTCCTCAAACCAGGGACCCTTCACCCTTCCGTTGGCAAGAGTGTTACACCATCGTTTGCGACAGTCCCTGTTCGATCTTCCGGGAAAGTATGCGGCGATATCTCGCCAAATGAACGATTGCGATCTTTCAATTTCCGGTCCTGGACCCTCTCATAAGCTCGGATTCAACAAGGTGGATGCAATAACCGTGAGGTTACGTCCCACTTACGTTGTAGCACCAGCTCTCTGAGGAGGGCATCCTCCCCCGCGGTCCAGCTTCTCCTCGCGCGGCTCACCATGCCGGGACGGATGCAGCCGTGGGGCATTGCAGGTGGGATACAAGATGTTGGAAGATCGTCGGAGATTGTGGAGAACATAGAATGCTCCACAATCTTACTCCGTCCCCTTTCTTCATTACTTATAAAGGATATATTCTAGTAGACCCTGAAGCTTCCAACTGGTTTACAGCGGCTGGCGCCCCGCATGTGTACTGCAGTGCACGATCCGCGCATGGCTGAAACATGCTAATCGGCAGGTAGTACCCCAGCTGATCATAGGGCTTCCAGATGCATGATGTCATGTCTCTATTCTCAATTTCAAAAAGCATTGAAACGGTTAGGAGAAAGTACCCAAAAGATTGTATATTCTTCTGTAGGACCTGTTGTTTAGGGGAAGGGAGTTGGTTGATTGCAAGATCAACACCATCCCCGCATCTCCAGACGTAAAGGATATTGTTTGGCTATATTTGGAAGGGGAGGTACCCGCCCTTCTCAATGTATATTGTTCTCACCACTATATATCAGTCATGTCAATGGAATCAGATGTTATTAATGCGCTAGCAGCAGCCCTGTGAACCTTCGCTGACCGACTGGTTTAGGCTTTGGCTGTCACCAAAACCATTCACCGGTGACTGAGACAAACGACGTGGCGGGGTGGCTGACCCCTTCTCATCCCGGACTGTGAGAATAGGGGCCTCCATTGTTGTCGGCATTGTCGCTTCCCATTGATACCTATGTTCGGCACTGCACTGGGTATAATACCCCTCCATCATTGCAGCCCATCAGTATGGAGGCTGCTCCCTTCCGGACAGCTCTAGACTCTTCCAGAGCAATTACACACTCTCAGACAGGGATGGGAATCGCGCCCCTGAAGAACTCTTCAGCCTGAAAATACCAGTTTCTATTTACAAACTAGACAACCATCAAGGTTTACAGCCATCAAAGTTTACCCAGGGTACTGCGTGTGGATGGGGCGGTCATGGTGGTCATGGGGCACAATAGTCTGCAACCCAGCAATCCAGGCAGGCATAGATAGAGACTGACGCCCAACAATCCAGGTTCCAACCTTTCAAACTACATAACAGCTGCTTCAAGCAAAAAAGCCCATTCAGAATTCGCTTTCAAAAAACTTCTCCCCATACCTCGTCCAACTACACCATCATCCAGCGCTCCCGAACTACCGATATCCACCCCGTCGCAACCTCACGACAAAGAAGTGGATCATGTCGACAGAGAGGCAAACCAGGTCAAAGAAGAGACAGCGAGTCACCAGGGATACGACACCACCAAAAGAGCCCTGGTCAATCTTCAACAATGACAAATTCCCGAAAGAGCCAACCCCACCGCATACGCAGCCCGAAGACGACCTGGATTGCAAACAGCACGCCGACCCCGAGACGCAGCCCGAGCCTGACAATTACCTTCCAACACCGGGGATTGTTGTGATCGTGGTGACTGTTATACTGGCTTCGGCCTTGCGGTTGCTGGATGCATGGATGGTGTCTAGAGTACGCTGGCCCTTGTATTGTGATGGCGTTATCGGAGCACCCATTTATTTCGATGTGGGAGCCCCGCCACAGGATAGCAGCATAACTACTTCCCCTGGATTGTGCTGAGTTGTATAGGACCACATGTTGATCGGTTGAGGTTGTTGAAGTTCGGGGTTGGGTCTTCTACGTATTGTTGGTTGGTTGTGCACGAGATAGTCTCCGGGAAGGCGTGGGAGGAGGAGTTCGCCAATGGGTGGGAGAAGACGAGAGTTAGAATGACTGTTACAATAGATTGTTTGATCTGCAATGGCAACGCTATAGTTCCTACCGACAAATTGAAATATATAAACTGTAGCATTGCGTATTCGGAGCCGTACTGAAGCCAGTATTTCCCCAGCGTTTGGTAGATTGAGGTCGACTAAGCTTGTAGATGACACAATTCGATGTTATGGAAGGCTATCGCGTGAAATAACATCAAAGTATAGGTTCAGAGGAAATATTTAACCGTACATTTAGAAAATTATTGTTTGGGCGCATCTCGATGCCGGATACACCCCCTCCCGCCGTCGCAATCCTCAGTTCATAGCAAATATGCGTCGTTTTTCGGCGGTCGCAAGTCCACGGACATAGTTCTGCTTCCTCGGCGCAGGACTAGTCCGTATACCGCCTAGTTCCCACTGGAGGGCAGACTGGGTCCACACGTCATGTCAGGGCTCAGTTAAGTCCGCGGACTTAAGTCACGTGCTTTCTGACCGGCTGGATGCGGGGGATTTCGGCCTCTGCTTTCCTGATGCCTCTTGATCGAACAGGAGATGGATATGGACCGGAAGACATCCATGCCAGTCCAACCCACCCAACTACAGCCATGCAGTCCCACGGGCACGTGTCCTCTCCGAGTCGTGCCGCCAAGGCATCAACCTCACGCCGATCGGGGCGACGCTCCCGCATCCCCCTGTCATGTGACCCCTGCCGCACCAGAAAGTGCGTGACTGGATAACCCCCTGGACAGAAAACAAGTGTCTTCGGGGTGGCTGCTGACGGCTCTGTTTAGATTAAGATGTAATCGCGAAAAGCCGTGTCAGAACTGTACTGCGCGCAACGAACAGGACGCTTGCAAGTTCCGGGGTCCCAACAATGCATCAACCCCCTTTGCCAATCGTGAGGGGAATGCAGATGCCATGCGGCAGAGAATCGATCACCTGGAGAGCCTTGTAACAAGAATGATCACAGAGCGCCAGCAGGGACCTCCGAGTCCCCATAAGGAGGTGTTGACGCCAGAAAGCCCAAGCTCCAGGGGCGACGCGACAGGGTCGCTCCCCACCGGAACGTCGGATCTCCCCGACGGGGCCGGGACTACGGTCATCGACGGTGTCCATTCGGTGTATAGGGCAGGAGAGGATTGGTACGACGTGCTACAAGAGGTACTCGGATATATTTTCCCATTTTGATTCTAGGCTTTGGCTTCTCATTTACACTGTCTTGTGTTTGCTTTTGATTTCTTCTCATAGAACCTTGTGCTAACGATGATCAGATCAACGAGCTTAAGAAGGCATGGAACGACACACAGGAAGACGAGGCTGATTACAGTGCACGTCCCACTATGTCACACACCGTTGATGGGTCGAGTCTGCTGTTCGGACACGTTAAACCGATCGAACGGATCGAAATATTGGCCACCCTGCCACCGAAGGCCAAGGTGGATAGCCTGATCCGCCATTTCTTTGATCGTAGTAACTTTCCTATATCAGTACCGCGTAAGTGCATCGGCGACGATATCATGAAGACATAGCTCACAAATTCTCAGCCATTTTACACGAACCCACTTTCATGCGAGAGGTAGGATTTTACCCGCATCCTACTACCCGTTCTTACTAAATGCCTCTCAGTATAATGATCATTGGAAAGATCCTTCCCGTAGCAGTCCTATCTGGCTGGGGCTTCTGTTCTCTATCCTAGGTATAACCATGCTCGCGTATCACCAACATGGAGAACCACCTGAGTACGATGGAATTTCGGAATCGCTCTTCCAGCTCTACCGCATCCGCACAGCACAATGCCTGCTCAGTGGCGATATCGCGAAGTGCTTACCGTACACGGTTGAAACATTGCGCTTCAACGCGACGGCCGAACTCAATCGAAGAGATGACAACCGTCGTGGTCTGTGGATCATGACTGGGGTGGTCGTCCGGGCCGCAATCAACATGGGCTATCACCGGGATCCCGCCCACTCACCCTCCATCTCGCCTTTGCAAGCAGAATGTCGACGTCGTATCTGGAGCTCTGTGGTAAGCATGGACGACATGACCTCTTTTCTTGGAGGGTTCCCTCGTATGTCATCCGCAATATTCTCGGACGCGCGAGAACCCCGCAATCTGCATGACTGGGAGTTGTCGGAAGATACCGCCGTTCTGCCTCCGTCCAGACCCCTGATGGAACACACCCAGACCACCTATCTGATCGTGAAGGGGCGCCTCTTTCGTGCCCTCGGTCGCGTCGCAGATCTTAACAGCAACCCGACCCCTGCCTCCTACGAAACAATCCTGGAGATCGACCGTACCTTATATGATGCCTATCAAAACTTTCCGCCGCACATGAAGGTGGATAACGTCGATGAGCATACCGATCTACCCAACGGTCTATCCTTCTGTACCATTCTCACCCTTGCAGCAATGTACCACAGGGGAATGTGCACCCTCCACCGAAAGTTCCTCGCGAAGGGACGACTCCACGGACAATACAATTTCTCTCAAGAGCGGTGCACCGCATCCGCTCTCGCAATCCTCGATCAACAGCGCATGTTGGACCTAGCATGGTACAAATCAGCACAGATCCGACAGATGTTGACTCTTGCCGCAATGATATTGTTTCTTGAGCTCGAACTCCGACAACGAATCCCGGACTCGGATGTATCTCCTGACAGCGGAACTATCTTGGTGGCGTTGGAGAAAGCATGCGCTCTCTGGGAGAATGCCAGGGAGTCTTGCGATGAGGCCGAGAGAGTTCATCAAACCCTTTCTGGGATGCTTTCCGGTCTTCGCACTGCTTCTGGAGCCGGCTCCTCGCAGACAATAACGCCGGAGTCACTTGAACTGCCGGGATTCACCCCGCAAATCCAACCCTTTGAGGGAGATCTTTCCTTTGAGGATAATTTAGCTAATATGGACATTGACTGGGTTGGTCTCTTCTTATTCCCTTCGGGGTTCTGTACTGACACGCGCAGGCTACCTGGGACGCATTCATCGACGACAGTAATTTTGAACAGGGACCCCTGTATTGATCGGCACAATACCCACGAGCGCTAGTTACGAAGGATAATTCACTTCGCGAATCTAAGTCGAAGCTTTGATTACAATTCTTTTCATGTCAGGCTACGTACCTTTTACGACACTTACAGAGACTTGACCTTTTGCCAAATTTCACCCGACGACTGTATAATTGCCCATAATTTTGGATCAATGTGCCGGGACCTTTGATCTGTGTGATTGTGATACTACCACGGTAGGATGTCGGGTTGGGATTGATTTTTGGCCCGATTGACGGACATGGTGACTCGATTCATCCTCCCGCTCAGAGATGTGGTGGATATTATTACTACAGCCTGCAAGCAACATGACAATATTTCTGGGTCGTTTGTCCAAAAGAAAATAGCAAAAATACATGCGACAGAAGGGATTCGCTGATGGTCACCCACTCAACTACTAACCTTCCGGCGTGTGGCTTAAGTACGGCTGAGCGGACGGGAAGCCCTGTTCTCCACACCCTATGGTCGCATGTACAATGTTGGGGTGGCGTCCGTATTTTATACTAAGGTGTCCATGTACATCCTTTAATTAAACATCAACTCCGTTTAACTGATTCTGTCATGAAATAACGAGTTCGATTGATACTGCTCTGATACATAATCAATGCCGTAGCCGGCAGACAATGAACCCGACCGGGCGACTGGGACAGCAGTAGTAGCTGCTGACTCTACTGCCTGTAAGCCGTAAAAGTCATCATACACGCCGGCTGAGATGTTATATCTCTTGCATTTACCTCTCTGCCAGCCCGATGGTCAGATGCCCATTCTTGCAGCGTTGATTGGAACTATAAGATGACATCGCGCCATCCCGATCAAGGACGCTCCCAATGATTGTGCATTGATATTTATAACACCTCTGTATAGCCTCATGGCCTTTGGGAATAGATGTGACTTTATCCAAACTACTCTGGACCCTGACATGTCGATCCCCTTCAACTTTGCCCTTGATAGTTTCCTACTGGCTGAGGTAAATCGTCATTAGCTCTTCAAACTTAGCCCTTGTACTTATAGTGTCCTTTCACATGACCTGTTTATGTCCCGGCGTGAGATTAAAATCGCATCTCTAGTCCTTCAAGAGTACCTCTATCCAAGGGCCAAGCTGAAGGTAGCAGGGTCTTTCCTCCATCAAAAATGGCTCGTGTAGAAACAGATTATGTTCATCAATAGCTTAGAATGTCCCGGACGACCTACTACGGCTACTGCGGGAACAACCTGCGAATGCCGTCTACACGGGATTGCAGGAGTCCCCACTTGCTCTGATCTCTGCCCGCAATACCCCTCGACTCCGTCCGAGGGCTTTGGCTCTTGGCCTCTAGACTTATTTATATACAGCAGTTGCAGCGATTCTAAATCTGTCTAGGTATGGCTTTTATGCTAGATATTCCAAAATACCTCTCCCTTTTTCCGTCTCCTGCAATTCATCCCCGGTTCTCTCACGAGCATTTAGCTTAATAGCAGATATTTTCTTCTGTCAATTTTTAAATTTTTTTGTCAAATCGAAGGCTCCCTGAACATAAATATTTGGTCTCTTCTTGAAGTATCCGGCTATCGCCTAAAAATGGCCAACTCGTCACCTAGTCGGTGTACCACCCCGATGTCAGAGACAAACTATTCCACGGACGGCAACCAGCTTGAAGCAGTGGTACATGCCCCCCTTCACTCTGCAGCACGTTCTAACAACCATGCCCAGATCGATGTTTCTGAAAAAGATACCTTTCCACCTACGTCCATTGGAGCAGGAAAATTATTACCTCCATCCCTCCCGGACTCGGACACTTATGTTGTCACTTTCGAAGGCCCCAACGACCCACAGCATCCCTACAATTGGAACCTCTGTACCAAGTACGCCACCCTTCTTCATAGCTTGACCTCTCTGACCACTTTACCCCTCAGACTATCCATGTCCATTTTCGGCTGCTTCGGTACATTCACCGCTTCATTCAACAGCGGCATATTTGCTCCCGGAAGCAGCAGCGCAGCCAAAACATTCGGCGTTAGTGACGAAGTCGGGATACTCGGAACAACATTGTATGTTTTGGGGTTTGCATTCGGCCCATTGATCTGGGCTCCTACATCCGAGCTGATCGGGCGACGATGGCCATTAACCGTTGGTGTTTTTGGCGGCGCGATCTTCACCATTGCATCGGCTGTCGGGAAAGATATCCAGACCGTCATGATCTGTCGCTTCTTCGCGGGCGTGTTCGGCGCTAGTCAGCTGTCTGTGGTCCCAGCACTGCTCTCGGATATGTATGACAACACACAGCGAGGTATATCCATCGCAGTCTACTCGCTTGCTGTCTTCTGTGGCCCATTCATGGCTCCTTTTTGCGGCGGGTTTATCGCGTCCAGCTCGCTTGGTTGGCGGTGGACACTCTATATCCCTGCTTTCATGGGATTGGCATGCAGTATTATCTTTCTGTTGTTCCTTAAAGAGACGTATGCTCCGTGTTTGCTGACTGCCAGGGCGGCTGCTCTTCGACGGCAGACTTCTAACTGGGCTATTCATGCCAAGCAGGAAGAGGTTGAGGTTGATCTGAAGGAGCTGGCCCAGAAATACATTACTCGCCCACTGAGGATGCTGTTGACAGAGCCGATTATCCTTGTTATCTCTCTCTATATGTCTTTCATTTATGGCCTCGTCTACGCACTCCTGGAGGCCTACCCCTATGTCTTTGAATCGGTCCACGGCATGAACCCAGGAGAAAGCGGACTCACTTTCATCGGCCTCATCATCGGCCAAATACTTGCCTGTGGATTTATTGTATCCCAAAACGGCGTGTATGTGCGAAAATTGACAGCGAACAAGAAAATCCTCATCCCCGAATGGCGTCTCTCGCCAGCAATCATCGGCGCTCCTGTGTTCACTGCGGGGATATTCTGGTACGCAAATTTTGACCGCTTCGCGAAAATCAACTGACACCCCACAGGTTCAGCTGGACTGTATTCACATCCTCGATTCACTGGATGGTACCCACTTCAGCGGGTGTTCTAATCGGGTTCGGGATCTTGTGTATCTTCCTCCCCTGCTTCAACTACCTCGTCGATGCCTATCTCCCTCTGTAGGTTTCTCTCTGTTTCTCTCTGGGGGATTCTCTAACGTGCATAGTGCGGCCTCCACTGTGGCCGCGAACATTATGCTCCGATCTACCGTCGCGGCCGCATTCCCCCTTTTCTCCACGCAGATGTTCAAGAACCTTGGCATACAGTGGGCGGGGACGCTGATTGGATGTTTGGCTGCGATTATGATTCCGATTCCGCTGCTGTTCAGGGCGTATGGGCCTAAGTTGAGAGGGAGGAGTAGACTCGGTCTGTAAAGTGGCTGATGAGACTGAAGACAAACATGGGAGGGACTCCCAGTCTAACACGCTCCGTTGTTTACTGATGGACAGCGCGAACACGCGATGGGGGGGTGGGTCAGTCGGGAAAAAGGAACGGGAATTGCGGATGTTGCGGAGAAAGCTGATCCCGCGGTGACGCAATGCGGGAGTGTCGGGACAGCGATGCCAGCTATTTTTCTCTCCACTCTGTTGGCGGTGTTAGGACAAGGAAGAATGTTGCTTCTAATGGAAGCGTTCCTTTCGCCTTGGAAGACAAATAGGACCCTTTCATTCATCCAGTCAAGTATCCCGCGGAAGCGCCAATTCTTCCTCACCTAGTCTAGCAAAGTAAATGACGAGTAACTGACTTTATGCTTATTGTCTGCTTCTTTCCTTTTCCCAAAATCGGCGTTTCTCCCGACAAACACCTGCATCCCGATGTCCAATGCCGGAAACCAGCAGCGTGAGTCACGACGGCGGGGATAATTAAACCAACGGAAGTGCGGAGAGCGACCTCACATAAACACACTCCTCTCCATCAACATACAACCTAGCCTCATCCACCCCACATTCTCCAAACCCACCCAAACCCAACATGTCCAACCCCAGCCCCCTCACCGACGTCTCCCCCGAAACCCTCGCCCTCCTATCGCGACTCCACGCGCAATCCCTCACCCAAGAAGCAAAGGTAACCACCTCCGACTACGCCGACGACGTCGTCGACTCGCGCATGAAAGACACATTCATCGCCCTCGACGAAGACAAATGCCACTTCATGTACCAGCTCTGTCTCGCGACCAACGCCAAGACCATCGTCGAAGCCGGGACCTCCTACGGCGTGAGCACGATCTACCTCGCGCTGGCCGTGGCCGCCAACACCGCCGCCACGGGGGGCGCAGGTCGGGTCATCGCGACGGAGCACGAGCCCGAGAAAGCCCGGCAGGCGCGACAGCATTGGGCTGAGTGCGGGGACGGGGACTCGGTGAGCGACGTGATTGACTTGCGAGAAGGCGATCTGCGGGAAACCCTAAAGCGGGATCTGGGGACGGTGGACTTGTTGCTTTTGGATAGTGAGTTTGTTTCTCTTTTTTTTTTTTTTTTTTGTCAATGACCTGCGGTCTGGCGATGGAGCCCTAAGTTGACTGACATCTACAGTCTGGGCGCCTCTCGCACTTCCGACATTGAAGCTGGTCCAGCCGTCGCTGCGGCCGGGGGCGGTTGTTCTTACGGATAATACGATCGGGGCGGAGGCAAGGTATCGTGATTTGTTCGCGTATATGCGTGCTCCTGATAGTGGGTTTCGGAATTTGACCATCCCCTACACGAAGGGGTTGGAGATGAGTGTGTACCTACCGGGTGCTTCTGCGAAATAGATAGGTGTCTGCTGGACTGGACCCGAATGCCGATCCTGAAAATACCAATGAGGAAAACTATGAGACTTGCATCGTCTTTTAAGTTCTCGTGTATTAAGCTCATCTTCAGTTGACATGATGTATGAGATTCCTTTGAGGCGAAGGCTTTGCACCTGATTTCCATTCTTCATGCCTTACGATAGTTTTAAATATATATATTACGATTGCCAGTCTTTGAATGAAAGCTCATATTTAAGGATGATTCTGGCGATCGAATGCATTTTCAGCCTCCTATCGATGTATCGAAAATAAAGCAGATGTTATCCAATATTTATTTTCCCAGAGTCATCCAGAAACTACTAGAGGAATAAATAAGATAGACCAGTATGGATGGCAGCGATGAGCCATGACGGGTCCGTCGGAAGGCCGCACCCGCCCCGCCCCGCCCATAGTAGCCATGCCGGTCGGTCGCTTCCCGTTCATCAGAGAGCATGTCTCTCGACATCTCCATCCTGCGCCATGACCAGCACACCCAGACTCTCCAAGCGCAAACGATCTCTGCTAGCCTGTGAGCCCTGCCGCCAGCGGAAGCGGAAATGCGACGGTGAAACCCCATGTTTGACCTGCACCAGTTGGGGCTATGAGTGCCATTATCCTCGACAGCGACGCGCGAGGCCTCGAGCCTTGACGCCCGATCCGCCCGCGGCCGCGTTGGGGGATCCCGCACGCGACTCCGCTACAAATGCCGACACGAGCGCCTTCACCAAGTCACTCGAGGCCAACTCTGGTGCGGCCTTTGTAAGGAAGATCGGGCTCAAGGTCGACCCGGCCAACGCTCCGAAATTGAACCTCTTCGGGTGGAACGTGGGGATGCGCAAGGGGCCGTCTGTGGCTGCTGGGGCTGCTATCCCGATCGTCGATATCCTTTCGCTATCGCATGCAAAGACCCTCGCGGATGTTTATTTCGCCAAGGTCGATCCGTGTTACGGATTCATCGACGCCTCTGTGTTCTTCCGCCGCCTAGATGCCCGCTGGTCGGGATCCGAGGGCAGCGCATACGACGGCGTGTTGGCCGGGGTCATGGCCCTGGGGTCGCTGTTCTCGGAGAGAAACATAAACATCACCGAGGCACATCTGGTAGAGCTGACGCGCTCGATCGCGGAAACCCACATCGGAAGTTCAGCCCCATCAATAGACAGCGTGACAACGTGGGCGCTGCGAGTCGTCTACATGCGCATGACGGCTCCTCCGTACCCGACATGGATCGCCAGCTCGACGTTGATTCATCTGATCGAAGCTTCCAAGCTGCATCAGGACTCCTCGGACCAGGACGACGTGGACATGCGACGACGGCTGATCGGAGTCGCCCAGCACCAGAATATCTGGATCTCATACGACCTGGGTCTTTCCCGAGTCTCTTTCCCACATGACACGGTCGCGATGCCGACTACGAGGCAGGGGGACTTCACCGTCGAGCTTCTTCGACTCCTACCCCTCACCACCAGCCTTGGACCAGAGAACCAGCGCCATGACCAGGAGATCGAAGAGTTGTTACTCCAGACCCTAGGAAGCACGCACACGCAACCACCATCCACGCTGGCGCAATGCAACCTGGTGCTTTGTCTTCTTCGACGCCTCCGAATGACCAACCTTACGGCCTCGCCATCTACAATGGAGCGAATTGTCGACCTGCTGAAGAGCAGTCTCGCCGCAGCTCGTCGGATGGCTACCACCTGCAGCCCCTGGCAGCACGTAGCCAATGTGCCTTTCCAGATGATCAGTATCCTGCTGGAGATGGACACGAGTGCTTCCTTGGAGCTGCTTCCCGAAGCCATGCAGACACTGAAGCTGGTCGCGTCGACGTACGATACGGAGACCATGCGAGAGGCATACGGCACGGCGTGTCTCCTTATCATGATGTACGAGCGACGCAGGCGTGCCGATACGCGGTTGCTGAGCGGGCTGTTGGAGGACCACCAGCAGCCGTCGGGATCGCAGGTGCTTCCGGGTCCTATCCCCAGTTCTAATGAAGTGACTTGGCTGGAGGGACTGGTCGCGGATGTGCCGACTCTGCAGGGACTGGATTTCACGCAGTTTTTGCAGGCAGATATGGCTCGGATGTCGAACTCGGATGTCTGGGATGATAATGATGTTTGAGGGATTGAGTGCTATCTGGAGTTTCGGCTGTTATATACAACTCTGTCTGGAAACAATCTTATATACCAGTTCGTTTCTATGACCATCAGAATTCAGCTTTACCCTGTTGGTCCACAGCAAGTTCAATAGGTGATGGCAATCCTGCGGAACTTTCACACCTTCTAAGGACCTGCCAGACTATATCTGCTTCGACAATGACACCAGCTTGCCACAATGTCAGTAAATTAATGACCCAAGTGAATGTGGTCCTGGAACCTGACGATGATCGTCGTCCGCAATACCCGCTCCACCGCCCAGCTCCGCCTTTTAAGAAGCGGCAACCCCCCCCCCCCCACCAATCTTTCCCCATCCCTGCGTCATACCTTCCCTGACACTCGAGAAACCGCCATTTTATTCAATACCAGCTGGACTCCGATCCTTTTACAATTCCTGCCTCAAACATCACATCGCTATCTCACTCGCACACTCACACTCACAAAATGTCACACCCCCTCCAACGAGCCGCCTCGCTCGCCCTCGCCTACCCATGGACCACGACCCCCCTAATAATCAGCGCCCCGATGCGCGTCATGGCCGGCCCAGCCCTAGCCGTGGCGGTGTCCAGCGCGGGCGGGCTGGGGTTCCTAGGCCCGAACACCAAGACGGACAACATGGCGTCGGACCTGGAGGAAGCCAGCGCCCTGCTGAGCACCCTCCGCTCAACCCCAAACATCGCCCTACCCCCCAGCACCACCAGCACCACCCTCCCCATCGGCATCGGCTTCCAACTCTGGAGCGACTCCCTCCTGACGGCCCTCAAACTGATCAAACAACACAAACCAACGGCAACATGGCTCTTCGCGCCCGCCAACGGCCAAAAAGACCTAGACGTCTGGACGCGCGCCATCCGAGAAACGCAGCCCGAAACGAAAATCTGGATCCAAATTGGCACCGTCTCCGAGGCAGAATCGCTCATCGCCGCCTCATCGGAGAAACCAGACGTCATCGTGATCCAAGGCTCCGAAGCAGGCGGGCACGGCCGCGCATCCGACGGAATGGGCCTCATGGCCCTCCTCCCGGAGATCGTGGACATCGTCTCGCCATCAGGCATCCCTGTCGTCGCGGCCGGCGGGATCGCCGACGGACGAGGCGCCTCCGCGGCGCTCTGTCTCGGCGCGAGCGGCGTGGTCCTGGGCACGCGGTTCCTGGCGTCGACTGAAGCCAGGATTAACCCCGGGTATCAGGCGGAGGTGGTCCGCGCGAGAGACGGCGCGACGAGTACCACCCGCACGTTGCTGTATAATCATCTCCGCGGGACGTATGGGTGGCCCCAGGAGTATAGTCCCCGGGGAGTGGTGAATCGGTCCTGGACGGAGTTTTGTGCGGGCAGGCCGTTTGACGAGTTGAAGAGTGAGCATGATCGGGCGCTTGGGGAGGGGGAGAAGGGCTGGGGGGTGGAGGGGAGGCTGGCGACGTATGCGGGGGCCGCGGTAGGGTTGGTTAGGGGGGTGAAGGGGGCTGGGGAGATTGTGGAGGAGGTTCGAGAGGAGGTGGGGAGGTTGTTGGGTTCTTCTGTTTGAGGGATGTAGGCCCGTCGGGTGGAGGTTTGACTGAGGGGGGAGGGGTCAGGGGTCAGGGGGGAGTCGGATGGGATGTTTGGATCGGTCATTGTTTCATGATTCAGTTATGCTTGTTCCGGACCAACGTTACCATCATACAGAAAGGGAAATGCAGATGAGAAGTCTATTGCTATAGACAATTATCAAGATACTAACACCGTGGTAGTAACGCCCACAGGAATGATACTTAAATGGTCGATCCTCTACAATGCCCATCACGGTCCGACTACCCATGGATGCTTAAAAGGGGCAGCGTTCCTCGGAAGAGGGGTTGTACTTCTCAGAGCCGTAACTCTTACCCTGACCCTGACCCTTGTGGCCCTTTCCTTGGCCCTTGCCTTGCTTGCCAACCCCCTGGGTGGGCTGAGCCTGAGCGCCAGGGGTCTGGCCCTGCTGCTGGGTCAAGAAGGTGGTGGGGAAGGCACCAGCACCGGCACCAGCAGCGGAGAAGGAGGCGGGGACAGAGAACGGAGCAGGGGTGGCGACGACAGCGACAGCCACGCTCGTCTGGACGTACGAGGCGGAGTTGGCCTGCGCGGCAACGACGGCGACGACGCTGGTCTCGGCAGTAGCAGCAGCAGCAGGGACGGACGAGCTGGCCACAGCGTGGGTGACAGCAGCGGACACGGCAGCGGAACTGCTGGACGCGACGGAAGTGGTCGAGTTGGAGGAGGAGGAGGAGGAGGAGGAGGAGGAGGAGGAGCTGCCGCTGGGGTCCATGCAGGCAAAGCTGATCTGTTTGGTGTACTTGGAGGTGTCGGTGCTCCACACGGGCTGGGACAGATCCCACTCCATGCTGACGTAGGGCCAGCAGATGCGGCCGTCGGTCATGGTGACCATGTCACCGGCAACGTAGATGTCGTCGCTCTTGAACGCGTCGCCCAGCTTGTTGCCGCTGCCGTCGACCTGTTGGAAGTACGTACCGGCGAACTCACCGGCACAGCCCATGGCGATGTAGGGGCAGTCCGGGTCGGAGATCTCCTCCCAGGTGATCAGGGCAGAGGAGTTGCCGAAGGTGGCGACGTGGGCGTTGGAGCAGTCGTTGTCGCCGGAGGTGACCCAGGTGATCTGGCTATCACCGCTCTTGGCACCGACCTCGGAGGTGGCCTGGGCGCCGACCTTGGTGTACTTGTCGGTGAACAGGGCCAGGGCGACGTTGCGGGGGTTGGTGCGGTTCTGGGAGTTGGTGTAGCCGTCGCCCATCCAGGTGTTCTCGGTCAGGTCGATGGAGCCGCGGGACACCCAGGTGAAGATGTAGTTGGTGCTTTCGGCGAAGCGGGCCAGGCCGCTGTAACTGCCGGACATTCCGCCCATGGCCTCGTTGGAGGCACCGTTGGTGGTGTTCTCGTTGGAGATTTTGACGCCGTCGTTGGTCATGCCCTGGGTCTTGGTGTTGAGCCAGATGTCGCCCTGGTCCTCGGCGCAGATACTGGCGTAGGGGGGCTCGTCGGCCGCCTCGAACGCGATGCCCGTGTTGTGACTGCAGCCCCAGTCGCTGGAGGCCCCGGAGATCTGGACCAGCGTTCCGTTGGTGGAGACGTACTCGATGCTGTCCCCGAAGTGGCCGGACGCGTCGCCGGTGTAGTCGGAGACGACGAAGTAGGCCCCGTAGTATCCGGCGGCTTCGGAGAAGACGAGGTCGCCGTTCATGTCGGTCGCGGCGGCGAGGCCATCGTCGGCGTGGACGCCAGGGCCACCCAGCCAGGTCTTCCAGGTCGCTTCCCCGTTGGTGTAGCGGTGCAGGACCGGGACGGGGGTGTCGCTGGGGGGAGCATCGGTGGTGCTGGAGGGCATGACCTCGTTGGTCAACAACGCGAATCCATCGTCGTGGGCGACGAGACCGCCGGCTATGGGTTGTCAGTATGGTTTGAGGGCGAGGGGGATGGATGTACGCACCCTCCTTTCCGCCGCTGACGGTCACGGTGCTGGTGGCCTCGAAGGTGGTCGGGTCGAGCTCGGCAACGTGGATGTCAGTCCCGCTGGCGTCCAGGTAGGCGAGGTAGGCAGTCTTTCCGTTGGGGGAGAGGGCGAAGGGAGTGCGACGGTGGTGGGGGTAGTCGGTCCAGTAGGCGGGGATGATGGGGTTGAAGGAGCTGTTGAGTGCCAGCACATCAACGTAGGTCTTCAGGTTGGAAGCCGTCAGGGCTGCGGAGGCGCCCAGCGCCGCAGAGAGCATGGAAAGAGTGAAAAGCCCACGCATGATGGGCGGTAGTTGGTGGTTGCTGTCTGCAAAGGAATGTCGTGGGTTGATGTCGATGCTGGGTGATCGACAAGCATATATAGCCGATTGCATTGTGTCTGCGACGAGAACCCCTTCTGGGGCGCTCTCTGGCCTCGTACTCGGACTTTTATGCGAGTTGAGCTGCCAAGCGATCCTTCATACCCTGTAGACTAATGGCAGAAGTGAGACCCTGAGGGGCTCACCCCCTGAGTAACACACTCAGGGTTTCATCTTAATCGATTTAAGGTCTCGACCGTTTACCGTCCTGCCGAAAAAAGAGTGTCGCCAACGGGAGACCAGCCTGATTGAGCTATATGACAGCGGATTCTGAAAGCTAGATGAGCTGCTTCGGACATTGTTGACGCCACCACAATAACCTCATCATTCAACCCGTGTAGCGGCAGACAGGCAGCAATCACGATGCCCCCTCATCCACCGTGTTGAAACAACGACACTCCACCCCTGAGACATGCCCGCGCCCGTGTGAGCGTTATGCAGGTGCTTTTCGGTGGCAGGCCATTCTTCATAGGGTGGCACTTGACATGTCCGGCGCCAGATAACTGCCGAGCCCTCGTTGTTGAGACGTGGGAAGTGATCGGTGATGTCTGGAAAGCGTCAACTCAACGAGGTTAAGGGGGTGAGAATCAGAAAGAAGACCCTGAAGGGTCCCACTTCATGACTCGCGCTAGTTCGGCCAAATGACTTGACGCCGGGTAAGGCCACCCACCCGCGTGGGGACCGTTCCGGATCCTCGCCTTCTTGTCGCTTTGTCGGGTGTTGTATCCTGTCATTCTGTCCAGGGTTTTGATGTCAGCCACACTGACTTGGTGAGCTTGGTAAAATGTATCTAGTCTCAGCTCAATCACCACCAGACGTCATTTTTCTGCGGTAGGAATCTTTGCTTGATGCCATACTCTCTCCCTCACCACTAAGTCAAAACCAGGGGGGGGGGAAGGGATGAAACGAAGTGGATTTCCTTCTCAGCCGCGACGGAAACAAAACCCTCCGATTAGTCACTGTGAAGGTAGCTCAGTCTGGAACCGATCTATTCCCTATGGACCAAAAGCTCGCAGTCCCGCAGGTCGTTCCTCCTGGTCTCAGATCCAGTAGGAGGGACTGGGTTTAGTCTGCCTTATCCCAGCACCAATCCAAATGTCGCTTTGCTCATTCAAGATCCTGTCGCTTTATATTTTTCATATGTATCGAAGGCACTGACACAGAAAGTTTTTCCATGTTGTAGGTTCACTTTCTACTTTGGTCTCTTGGAGGTTGTGGCCATCTATGAACGACAAGGTTGAATTCATTGCCAGTAGGAAAGGGAAAGTCATGGTTATGGGACGAGAAAAGGATGAAGAGGAGACTTCCGTTACAGGTCATCTTGGAGAGATTATTTCTTGACATGATCTGATCTAGGACGGCAAGCGATTCAAGGCCTGCGCACGAACCTTCTCCACACAGATCTATTAGGGACGATATTCACTCGTTGAAAGCGTTTTTACCAACTGTAACATGTCATTACGCTCCCTACCTTATCATACTTCGAGTATGAGTGTCATCTTGCCATTTTATTACAAGAGGCGTTTCCAACCCACGGAAATGGTGTGGAGGGAGCTCACAGATATGTCAGTTGGCTCATACTCTGTTGTTGCTCAGATCAGGTGATTTCCAGACCTGACAGTTCTCTAAGAATGAGGATTGTTGGGATAAGAGATGGCCACAAGAAATTAATTCATTAATTATTGCAGCCAGAGCAACTGGATCATCTTGCGCGGTGTTGTTGTGAATATATACCAACTCTGGGAGACCCGGGCAGGGAGTTCTCCTTTTACTGCTGTGCTCTTTCCTGATATGAATCATCCCATTGATACTTGAGATGTTGGCAAAAGTCAGAGTGCATATGAAACAGGGAAGTCAAGTTATCAGCCATTACCTGTGGAAGTCATTCGTGAAGGTAATAAAAGCCATTCACTAACCGCATGGCCATATAAGCACTGGAGGTAGTGAATCAACAGATGTGCATGATTTCTTTTTCACGGCGGAAGAGGCCAAGTGTCAATCCATGCCATAAATCCATACAACAGCCGAAACGAGCGTAGCCGTAACCCGAGATTCTCTATCTAATCCCAGTTCAATCAACGCCCACAGTCATTCGTATCAAACATCCACCTCGAAGACAAAAATGAGCTCATCACGACAGTCATTATGCCTATCAACAATATCCACAACCCTCAACCCAGCAGCTTTCGCAATCCTCCTCAACTCCCCCTCGGTCCAAATCTTCGCTTTTACCTCCGCAATATTATCCTCAACGACCCTCTCCGACCCATCCTCCAGCACCCTCGACACCACAATATGTCTCGTATTATGCCAAATATCATCCACCACCTCCAGAACAGTCGTTGTATCCCGATAGATAATATCCTTGAAATCCCTGCTCCGAAACTCCGCGGGCGGTGGCTTGGTCATCATCTGATCAGGGACGCCATTATCGGACGACCCGCCCTTGAGAACAGAAATATATGCCTTCCCGGTCTTGGGCCTCAAAACGCTCGCAATTCCCCGGAATAGCTGCTCTGCCTGTCCAGGCACATTCAAGTGACAGATGCTCCCGCATGCAAACACCATCATGTCGGCGCGGAGGCCCTCGTCCCGGAAAGCAGGTACACTCTCGAGGTCGCATGCCGATCCGAGGACCCATGAGATCTTGTCCGCGTGTGCTGGATCAGTGAGAGTCGCGGCGCGCTCGAGCATGTGTCGTTCCATGTCCAGGCCAAGCAAGCGTACGTTGGCGATGTGTTGGGGGAGATTCGACGCCAGGGCGTGGGTGATGCGGCCGGTTCCGGCACCGATGTCGAGGACGACGACGGGTTCTGACGGCGGGGTGTGAGAGGCGATCTGGCTCAGGCACTCGGAGTAGAATGCGGTGTCGTCCCAGAGGCCAATCCAGATGTCGTAGAACTCGGCCAGGTAGGGAGAACCGTAGCAGAGGATCTTTTTGGTGGGCTTCACTTCTTCGGAAGAAGCGCTGGCTGGGTTGGGGAGTGAGATGGTCATGATTGAAGATTTCGCGGGTCAGGATGATGCTCAGAATGATTATCTCTGCAAATGGGCGTTTTGATATTGTTCATAGTGCTGTGGTAGGAAGGGGAATGTCCGTGAATTACCTTATAAGAAGGAGGAGGCAGTGTACATTATGAGAAGGGTTAGGTCTAACTGTCCTATCGCTTGCTAGCGCCAAATAATGAGATAAGATTACTTCCTTGCAGTTGACAGCCACGACCTTACCGCTCCTGGCCAAGCAGGGGCGTTTCCCTTGCTTGAGGCACCGATCTGGGCTGTTTCTTATCGGCCCTTTTGCCGTAAGTGGGATCATCCTACCTATCAGTAAGAGCAGCAAGATACACGTCGAATCATGATGTAAGGCGGCCGAAGCAAAAGGAGAAATAATTTACCGTATATGTCTTTTCGGCAGGAGGCCATAGGTCAACAGATCCTGACATGAGTGGCGCGATAAGGGCAACCTTTTTAATCCAGGAACGTCTTGTGTGGCTCGCGACGTTCTCGGGAAATATTTCCATGGCTCTCACTTCAAAACCCAGATAGCCGCATTGACAGGTAGGAGAACCTGGTATCTGTAAGAAACATAATTAACCAGAGAAAAAACTTAGCTGAACAAAAGCTTATTTATGCTTTTTTTTAAAAAAAAAAAAAAAAAAAAAAAAAAACGGATATACGGTTCGCATGAAGACGCAAGGTCCCAGGCCTCTACTCTGAAAACACCTAAGTTTACTGACCGCGATGCCTACACAGTCAGATAGGCTCTTTAGCTAACCACACCTAGCATCCAGATTCATAATCATGCCGAGGTCAATAGCACCAAGTGATCGCTTAACCTTTACAGCGATCCTGCGTTAAACACACACTCATACTTGTACTGTGATGCTGATAGTAATCGCTACTTCAGCAGATAGCAAGCTACTATGACTGACCCGGTGGCAACTGTTGCTTCGGGGGCTGTCAAACAAATCCCCTCGAATAAAAGACTCACCAAAACAACTTGTATTCCGATAAGAGTAGGAGACAGCTGATGTGGCTCTCTGCAAAGCGCACGAATGCTCTGATGGTTAAGTTCAGCCAAACTATGTTGCGCCCTAGGTTAGAAAATGATCAACACTTTGCTGGGATAAACGGCTCGAAAGCACTCAAAAGTACTCACCGAGTCCCAGAAGTTCCGGTAGTTTTATCGTGTTGTTAGATCTCTACATTCCAATGTCAGGTGATAGATGCGAGAAGTACCGGACCCATCCCCCTTACATTAAGGAAATCTTAAAGTTCCAAATAGTAGACGGGTTTCAAACGAGCGCAGCAACATCGGCCTGGCTGCTGCCACACCTTTTGACACTGAATTCGGTAGTGTCACACCTTCAGTATAAGGAACACAATCTGCTATCAGATGATATGATTACTCTGCCTGCTTGCCTGCGAGTGGTTAACCTGTTATAGCCTTACATATGTAGGTCCAGTTTTAGATATTAATACGGTCATCCTTAAACCTGCCTATTGATGTTTCTTACATTGGAAGGCAGCGGGTGCGGCAGGAGCCTGGCTGGTGCGGCTGTAGCGGCTCTTGGAATAACTTCTGTTGCATCTAAGACTAGAGACTATATCATACACAGACTATTTACAAGACGCGTCTTCAGCCCTGAGAATCTCAAACAGGCTCGTTCTTACGTATCTTATGTCCACCCATTATGTATTGTTCGATATAGTGTTTAAGTCAGCGACCCGGTCCGCATATGAAACTCCACCCATCGCCACTTAAGCAATGGGACCCGGACTTTGGAAAAAAAATAAAATACGAACCCACCACTCAACACGTTTGCTTAACTGGTACTGGTTTCTGTAGCTAGGAACCAGTGAAATCTATGAGAATAGGCTTTCGGTGACACCGCAATGTCACCAACGTCATATTGACCTCTCCATGGTGGTATCTGCATCAATGGTGCACCTAGCGTTGACCACCCGAATTAGTCTAATTATGACTAAAAGCAAGGGCGTTTTGCCCGGAAAGTCTCGTGTGTTCTCTCCTTTCCCCCTCAGTTATCTGCACTTGTTGAAGACCTCGGAGGTATACTGTTCATCTCGTGTTGATGTCAGTCAGCAGAAGTAATCCACTTGACTTCACCAATCTCTTCCCTGCCCTCTGTCCGAAGCCGAGTGCGGAAAACGGAAGACCAAACTCGCGTGGAGAAAGATTCTAACCATCCCTTTTCTTCTCACCGTCTACCAGTCTTTCGAGGATCACTTGAATCACCTTGATCCGATCGCGATTAAAAATTCCCGGGGCTTTAGGGTATAAACTCATCCACCCAGGTCCCGTCAGCTTCCTCCGCATTTTCCTCCCGGAGTCTTATCACTCAATAAATTCCAGACTCCAGACCCCAGAATGCATCTTCAGCACGGGCATAAGCATGTATGGTCTCACCCACCAAGCGATAAGCCTAGTGGCGTACCGGAACGTCAAGTCACCCACAACAACGCGTCGGACGCGACACTGCAACATTCGGCTATTCTCCCAAGCGCAATAACAAAGAAACCAACCGACTTCTGTTGTCATCATACGAGACTATATTTCACATCTACCGGCCAACAGAGTGTCTTTTCCGCCAAGCCGCGCTGAATCCGGAATTATACACCCCCGATGAGTCATCGGAATAATACACGGAATTAACGCAGTGCGGAGCGGGTCACGACGAATCAGCGGGGAGCTATCCTGGTTGAGGCATTATCAGGCCCAAGGCACCGTTTTTGCTCTCTTGCTCTCTCCCTGTTCCAGAAGAAAGGGAATTTTGGTAAAATTCAAATTCATCGAAATCTGCGATTCTGAATCTAGAAGCAAAATTTCCCGATTCCATCTGAAGAGATACATATACACCTGAGTCCCACCGTCCCCATCCATCAATAGCTCCCCCGCCCACCACCCCCTCCCTCATCCCCACTAACACAATAATCAATAACCAACTAACCAACTAACCCAATATCCCCAAACCAAAACCCCTCAACAACAAGAGCAAGACACGAATACCACCACCACCTCACCACCACCAGCCCACCCCCGCAACACCAATCGAAAACGCCACCCCAGGGCGCGGACAAAAATACCGGAGATTACGCCCCCAGGGCCGCGATCCAGGGGCTCAGTTCGGTCCGGGGATAACTGACAACTAAGAAGTGAACTAGTTTAATACCTGCTAGTCCAAGCTCCTCTCCTCCGCTAACGGGCACAGCGCAACATGGTAATGCAAGCCTTGCGTACGGACTACGGAGTACTCCGTACTTGGTGAGGCTGATTCGGTTGGGTAGCACATGTGCATGTGCGAGTGTGACTGTGCCGGGGTGCTGGGTTCCGGAGCCGGGCTGGGGGGGCTGGGGACTGGGAACTGGGGACTGGGGATTGGGGATTGGGGTATACCGTTGCCACGCCATGTGATGTCTGAGCGCAGGCGCGACTGCGTGTCGGGTGTCGGGTCGGGTCGGATGGGATGGGATGCGACGGGAATGGGAATGGGGGCTAGTTGTGGAGGCCGGAGGCCCGGGGGAATGGGTGGAGTGATACATACATATGTTGTGTGACTGTGGGGTATTCTGCCTGCCCGGGGTCGGGAGGGGGGATCCTTGCTATGTTCTCTTGCTGAAGCTGGGAGGTAGTAAGGGGTTGGACTTCTTAGCGGTGTCCGTATCATGGGGATGTGGGAGGAAGGGTTTCCGATTTTTCTCTGACATACGATGGAGAGGATTCCAAATTTATTGAGCGAGACATGTATGTACGCTCTCGCACACTGGGGAGAACTTTCATCAATTTCAACATTCAAAAAACCTATATACAATACCCCGATGGTGATCATAACAACATCTAACATCCAACCTCTACATATCATCACAAACCCCCAACCCACCCAACAAATCCCCCGCTAGCAAATCCATCCCAGCTGTGTCGCTATCCTCCCTCCCAAATGCCAAAAACAGGACATCATCCAAAAACCCATGATACTTCTGGCCCGCAGTCTTCCAACTAATCGAGGTAACATACAGCATCTCCGTCTGTCTGCCCTGATCGGCATCACTCTCCGACATACCCCGCCCGTGAATCCACAGCGGCTTGGAGGAGATCCCGTAGACCTCGAACGGAGCGCGCTGTCGGAAGAGCATGACATAAGGCTCGTACACGCTGTGGAAGGAGACGAAGCTCTTGTACTGGAAGATGGTGAGGATGAGGGTGTTGGTGTCATTGGGGTGGCAGAGGGGATCTGCCCGGTCGCACAGGGTGAGAGCGAGGGAGTTTGTGGCTTGGTGGATGGACTCATGGTCCGGGTGGGTGAGGGCTGGGAGGTAACGGCGGAGACATTCGGTGTCTGTGGACGCGGCGGCGGGGGCGAGGTCAGGGCCAACGGTCCCGTCGGGGGAGAGCTGGGCGAAGGCGCGTGTGGGCGCGATGTCGTAGTGGGCGTACGGTGCGCCGTCGATGTCCCAGAAGATGAACCAGTTCTTTTCGACGGGGAAGTAGGAGGTGAGAAATGGGCGTTGGAGTTCGGTCGCGCGACGGAAGCCCCGGTCCATGACCACGTCCGTGGCGGGCCAGTCGACGAGGACCCGGAAGTCGAGAACCCATTGCCCGAAGCAGGTCACTGCTGAGTTGGAGCCGTAGATGGCGTAGGGGGCTTCCGGGCCGTAGAAGACGCGGGCGTCGTGAGGCCCGATGCTCAGGGCGAAGTAGGCGAGGGCGTCGGTGCAGTGGGCGCTCTCGCCGTCGGTCGCCGCGATGGGCAGGATGAATGGCGGGTCGATGCAGCGAAGGGTGCGACCATGGTTATGGTCATGGTCTTGGAAGACGGCGTCGCAGACGAGCTCGGCATACCAGACGGAGTCTTCGCGTGGGGAGGTGCGGTTGTAGTGTAGTTGGGCGGTGATAATCCAGGTGTCGGGCTTGGTGGGGTGGGGGATGATGCTGGGGTTGATGGCGATGCGGGAGTGGAAGTCGATGCGGAAGTAGCCGTGGTCCGGGGTGGAGGCGGAGTCGACCTCGTGGTGGGTATGGGCGATGGCGTCGGAGATGGCGAGGTCGGACAGGGCGTTGGGGCTTGCTTCTATCTCCCAGTCCTGCTGGGATTCCTCGCCGGTAGCGCGGTACAGGTAGTGGACGGTGAAGAGGGCGAGAAGGAGCAGGCCGGCGAGGGGCACGAAGCGCACCAGCCTGGAAAGCATGGTTGAGGTTGCTAGGTTGAAGCCACCGAGCGAGGAGCTTTTGTCCAGGAGCAAGCAGTCTGTCGGGTCTGCTGCTGACGGAGGGAAAGACAGCGCGAGCTGCAGGATGGGCGTGATAAATTAGGGTTGCAGCCGAGGTTGACCCAGCTGGGATGGTCCGGACAGCAAGCCCCGCCTAGTGGCCTGCCGATCAGGACTGCTTGCCCGTCTCGGTCGTGGCAAGCAGTCGACCTGCATCGTCCTGTATCGTCCTGCATCATCCTGCCACTGGAATGCCTTCCCCGCCCGAGCCAGTGTGATGAGCATGTGAAAGTCGAGGGCTCAGGCCTCCCAGGGCCTTCGAGCTAGAGCGAATCCTTGACGCTATGGCTGTTAGCCCCTCGCCCCATCTGACGACTCTTCCCCCGATGCGGAAACCCCGGTGTTCGGGTCCTGGGGGAACACAAACAAAGAAAAACTAATATGCAGAAGTCAAATTCCCGCACACGGGAAAAACAAAATGAGACATGCATTTCGGACATTCGTGGAGGACAATCCTTTCTAGCTAGCGACTACCGTACATTTCAGGGAAGCGTCCGGCGATACAGCCATTGGGCAAACCGCACACTCGGTTCATCGATCAGTTTGGTTACGATCTCCGCCAGCCACAGTGTGATCGGGAGCAGGATCAATTGCGACAGCAGGAAATTGACCTCGAGTCCCAGCGGCCCCGTGCGGGGTAAGGGAAAGCGATTGATCCATCCGGGACAGTTGATCGCATGCGTGTCGCGTATCCAACCCACCGCGGCATACAAGCGATCTCCGAGCACCCACAGCACTGGCCCGTGAACCAGGTAGAAGGCAAATGAGATGCGGCCGAGGTATTGGTTGAAGCGCGTCTCGAAGAAGCGCTTGAGCCAGGACATCCGGCTGATTGCTGTGACGAGGAACGTGGCCGCCCAGAAAAGGAAGAACCACTTGAAGTCAAACACCGCCTGTGGCTTCAGGAAGGACAGGTAGTACCAGCCGGGAGAGTCCCTTAGCACCTGCGGGTCCCAACTCCGAGAGGGAACTCCCCCGAGGTAGATGCTGATGCCAAAGAGGACATAGTAGATGACCTCCTGGAACGGCTCCAGCATGACGAAAATGTCGGGCAGTTTATCGCGCGCTGCAAGGAGGTCGAGGTCGCAGAGGAGCATCCCCGACACGAACAGGGCTCCGAACCAGCCATCGACAATGTAGAGGAAGTAAACTATAAGGCCGACTTCGCACCACAACCGCTTGCTGTGGCGACACCGCGAAAACGCGAGCAGGGCGGTATAGACGATGATCGACCCCCGAAACTCGACGGGGATCGACCACGAGTGGAAGTTGTATGTGAACCAAGGCTCACCACCCCCGCGGAAGATGAAACTGAAGTTCTTGAACTCGGTATACCAGTTCCACAGCTCGTCGCCGTAGCTCCCCTTCAGTTCGAGCACGGTCCTGATGCGGAATAGGTGGAGGAAGGTCATATAGCAGAGCGTGGTAGCGATGACGGGGAGGTGTAGCCGAAGCCATCGTCGGAATAAGGCAGAGGTCAGGTTGTCTCCCAACTGAAGAAACTCCCCGGCGTGGATCAGGGCCAGCGGTTTGGCGGAGAGCACATAGCCGGACAGCACGAAGAAGACACTGACCGCGAAGTGCCCGCCCGAGAAGAATATGCGAACGCCGGGAAAGGCGACCAGGTAATGTTGCTTTTCATACCCGTAGGCGTTTTCAAGAATGCGCTCTCCTCCGATGCCATCATGAGCCCATAGTTCATGATGCCCCCAGTACACCAGAAGGGCAGCAAAGCCGCGCAGCCCATCTAAATAGGCAGTGCGTCGCACCTTCTGTTGTGGCTGATTACCGTCAGTGCGGGACAAGAAGGAGGGCCAGAGAAGGTTGAACAAGCGACCTCGGACGGCTTTCAGGCCTGGCCAGCGTGGCCGAAGTGACCAATAGCCCTCCTCCAGGCTCTTCTCGTGGGTTAGGGGAAGCATGCGACCAGGCATGGGGGCGATTGGGCTGGCGCGTCGTCGTCAGGACGGGGTCTGGCACACCGTCTCGCTGACGGTGGGATGTGATATTTGAGGGATTCACGAGCTGATGGCAGATTTGCCCGAACTCCGCGAGGGGGAGATCAGCAGTTCAGACTGGCACCACCGGATCCCTTTTCAGCAATTCATTTCGAGGTCGGACGCACATGCATCGGGGCCATTTCCCCTCTCGACCAACAGAGCAACCCGCCACCCGAGGCCTCCCTCTCCCCTGCTAGCACCCCAGGATCTTTAAATTGATCGACGGGTGTGAGAGAAGCCCGGATCCAATCCAGCAGCGTGCTCAATGGACTCGGGCTCCAGACATGAACCCTAGTGACGCTAAGCCGTGTAGTACACGCAGGTCGGCGGATCCGTAATATCCGCACAGGACGCCGTGCCCTGAATCCGGCCTCTGCGCTGCGGGGGATGGCGCCCCCCGAGCTCCCGCTCGCCCAGCTCATAAACATCCCCCCCAGCGACTTGTCTCCTCCCCCTTCCGTCGACCCCTCTCTCCTCATGGTCAGCCGTCAACGATGCAGGTGAAGACTCCCATGCCCGGCGTGTTCCTCCCCCGGCACTTCCGCCGCGTGGTCCCTCTTTTTGTGACCGCCTTCGTGCTGGTCTTCTATCTCTCCATCACAGACACCTTTGGCGAGCTCAGTGGCAGCCTGTCGCATACCAGTGGTCGGGGCAAGCCCTTCCCGCGGAAGATCTGGCAATCGTGGAAGGTCAATCCGTTTGAGTTCGAGGAGCGCGACTTGAACGTCGCGCGGAGCTGGACATCCACAAATCCTGGCTACCGCTACGAGGTGTTGACTGATGGTAACGACCTAGACTATGTGGAAACGCATTTTGGGCCCGATGGGCTCAATCGTCCGGACATCGTCAGCACCTACCGCGCCCTCACCGCAAAGATCATCAAGGCTGACCTTCTCCGCTACTTGGTGATGTACGTGGATGGCGGAGTGTACGCTGACATCGACGTCGAGGCCATCCGTCCTCTGGACCGCTTCATCCCAGAGCGCTACAGCGAACGCGAGATTGATTTGATTATCGGTGTTGAGATTGACGAGCCAGACTTCAATGACCACCACATCCTGGGACAGAAGTCACAGTCCTTCTGCCAATGGACCTTCATCAGCAAGCCGCGTCAACCCGTCATGATGCGGATAGTCGAGAACATTATTGGATGGCTGCACGACCTCACCGTCAAACAAGGCAAGCCCATCGCGGAGCTGGAGCTCGACTTCGACGACGTGATCAGCGGGACCGGGCCCTCTGCCTTCACCACCGCAGTCTTAGCCGAGATGAGCTATCGCACAGGCCGAGAGGTGACCTGGAAGACCTTCCATGACATCCCTGAGTCCAAGGTAGTGGGTGGGATCCTGGTGCTCACCGTCGAAGCCTTCGCCGCAGGCCAGGGCCACTCAGACTCCGGCAACCACAACGCCCGCAGTGCGCTGGTCAAGCACCACTACCACGCGTCGGGATGGCCGTCGAACCACCCACGATTCAACCACCCGTTGTATGGCGAAGTCGAACAGTGCAACTGGAACAAGCAATGCGTCGCCGAATGGGACGCCAACACAGCAGCGTTTGCGGCCCTGTCGGAGGAGGAACAAGCTCAACAGATCGCGCTGAAGCAGGCAGCGGATGCAGCCGCGGAAGCAGCAGACGCAGCGGAGGTGGAACTGCAGCTGGATGATCTAGACCTCGGGCTAAAGCATTGATGGTTGATGATTGATGTTGTCGGAACGCGCGGTCGACACGAACACGCCATCTAGCGCGAATAATTCACCATGTGTCGCGGTCTGGAGTAACGGTTCCTCGTGGGGGTACAGTGAATGGGTCATGGAAGTACCTCGGATAATGGTTCTGTATGGCGCATGATTTATGGCTTAGAACTTGTGCTTTTTACTATACTACGACAAGCTAGGACATGGCGGGAGCTGTTGCTGCTATTCATGTTACTCAGCGTCTGAAGAAAAAATGTCCTCAATTTAATTTAGTCACGTTGTCCTTCGGCCAGATAGTGGTGGGTGGGTACGACCTCACGAGGGCTCCGACGGACGCCCATTTTGAGAGTCACCACCAGAGATGATGGCAGGTTTTACTAGTACGCTGCTTTCAGGACTATTTTTTTTTTCTTTTTCTCTTTTGTTTTTCCTCTTTTGTTGAAACAGTTGATCGATCGATTGTTGGTTCTAGTAATGTCCTACTTCCAGAATACTGGTGACCATACGGTTGTCCAGCGACAAGCGCGAAATATACTCCCGACCGAAGCAGCCCTAAGCGGGTGGAGCTGTTGACATTCACCATCGCCCCCCACTGTTCGCCCATGAGGAAATCCAGATATGAATTGAGTTTTCTTTGTTTTTCCAAATCACTCACCTCTTCACAAACTAGCCAAAGCTTGCAGGCATGTCAGCCGCCGTCACAGAGACTATTCTCCCGTGCCAAGTCAGTTGCCGATCACGCACAATTTGGTTGCGGTACGGGAACAGCTCCGTCCGGCTGGCGATAACCACGAAGCCATATGCAGATTCCACAGCCCAGGAGATGGTTTCCGCCACTCTCCCACTAGATAGCTACTAAACAGGCGTCTTATCGTCGCGCGACCCGCACGATAGCCAGCAGAGGAATGTCGCCATCGCGAAACTAGGCTAGGTCGGCGTACGCACCCAATCACGACATCGGACTTGCGTCGCTCCTGCGGCCGCATAAAGCTGCCATCTCCGGACCCCACGCTGAGCTTATCTTTTCTTTTTTTTCTCCTTTGCTCTACAGCCCCCCTTCCCCTCCACCTTTCTTCCCTTTCGCACCTCCATGTCCGCGCCATGAGTGTCTCCGACTCCCCTGTCAAGGGTCCCGATGTGTCCCTCTATCCTTACTCGCCGGGCGAAGACGCCCCCCTGCCCAAAGACGGGGACCGGACCGCCCGCATCGTCGACGATGAGGAGGCCCAGAACCTAAGCCGGGGTCTGCAGGAGCGCCATACCCAGATGATCGCCATCGCGGGCGCCATCGTGAGTCACCATGGTTCCCCATCCATCCCATCTATCCCATTTCACGAACCTAAACCTAATTTCCATTCCAGGGAACGGGTCTGTTCCTGGGTCTGGGCAGTTCCCTCCAGACAGGCGGTCCGCTGGGTGCTCTGCTGGGCTACGCCCTCGTCGGACTAGTCGTGTGCGCCATCCAAATCGCCCTGGGCGAGGTCTCGGCCCTCATGCCTGTCACGGGCTCGTTCGTCCGTCATGTCGAGATCCTGGTCGACCCGGCGCTGGGCTTCGCCATCGGCTGGAACGTGGTGTACGGGTGCTTTATGTCGGTGCCGAGTGAGATCGCCGCGGCGGTGGTGCTCATCCAGTACTGGACGGACCTGAATGCGGCGATCTGGGTGACGATCCTGATCGTCATTTCCGCGGTCGTCGCGCTGCTGTTCATCCGGGTGTACGGAGAGCTCGAGTTCGGGTTCGCCATCCTGAAGATCCTCCTCATCATCGGCATCATCCTGATGGGTCTCGTGATCGATCTTGGTGGCGTCTCCGGCACGCCCCGGCTCGGGTTCCACTACTGGAAAGACCCCGGACCGATGGTCGAGTACATCGCGTCCGGGTCATGGGGCCGGTTCCTCGGGTTCTGGGCCGTGATGACAAACGCGGTCTATTCGTTCTCTGGGGTGGAGAGTCTGACGATGGCGGCAGCCGAGATGCAGAACCCACGCCAGAACATCCCGCGCGCATGCAAGCGCGTGTTTGTGCGAGTGACGGTGTTCTATTTCATCGCCGTGTTGATTGTGGGGATGCTCGTTCCGAGCAACGATCCCCGACTGGGCAACGAGTCTGGCACGGCGTCGCAGAGTCCGTTTGTCATTGCGGCTGCGGACGCGGGGATTAAGGTCGTGCCGTCGATTATCAACGCCGTGGTGCTGAGCTCGGCGTGGTCGTCGTCTAACCAGAGTATTCTCGCCGGAACACGCACGCTGTATGGTCTGGCGCTGAAGGGACATGCCCCGAAGCTGTTTCTGCGGACGACGAAGAACGGTGTGCCGTATATGTGTGCGCTGTTGCAGATTGCCGTGTCGTGTCTGGCGTACCTGACCTGCTCGAATGGCGCGTATACGGTGTTTAATTGGCTGTTGGACCTGACGTCGGCGGGAGTGTTGTTCTCGTGGGGCACGATTGCCCTGAACCACATCCGGTTGATCCAGGCGTTCAAGGCCCAGGGGGTATCGCCGCGCGAGTTGCCGTGGCATAATACTTGGTCGAGTATGTGGTCTTTTCCCTCTTAGTTCGCAAGAGGGAGCATGATTGGCTGACCAATGCGCAGTATATTCGTCCTTCTTTGCGCTTTTCATGTGCGTGCTGATCCTCTTCACTGGTGGGTTCACGGTGTTTACGACCGGAAACTGGTCTGCCTCGAGCTTTATCTCGTCTTACCTGTAAGTGACGCTGCATGAACCGTCTAGAGATTATGAGCTGACTCTTACTCATTAGGGACATTCCTCTCGTATTGGTGTTTTATCTCGGGTGGAAATTCTTCAAGAAGACGAAGACGGTTTCCCTCTATGAAGTCCCCATTCAGCAGGCCTTGCATGAGGCCCGGGAGGATGTGGAGAACGTTCCCGTTAAGAAGAGTAAATGGTCGAGATTGAATATCTTGTGGGGATGAACGGGCTCGCGAGGTACAAAGATAATGAGTCGCTGTTGGTGATAATAATATTAATTAATTTGACGCCCTATAAAATACAACCCTCTTATGTTTTCTTTGCTTCATGTCATGGTCTAGACATGGCTGCTCTAAGATAGCGGGGGGATGATCTGCTAAATTTAGTCGGTACGTCCTTTCCAACCATGCCCTGTTCTGCCCTGTCGGCGCTTGTCTACGTGTCAGTAACCTTTTCCTTTGTTTTACAGTTTCTATCATTCCTATTCTAAAATTCAGCATCCTCTGCCAAAAATGGATTCCATCCCCGAAGCGCCCATCTCAAAAGCGAAGCGCATGCCATTTAACTCACTCGCATGAGACCAATGCGAGGAGACATTTGCTGCCTGGAAGAAGAGACTCTTCAACACCGACGTCTTCCGAGAAATCGGGGCCTCGATCGTCAAATATCGAAGAGGCCCTGCGGGCGAGCTCTTCCCTCCCCAAAAGGGTCTTTCAATGCCATGCGGAGCATGACATTCCTCGAAGCCGGCAGCGCAATCATGCGATTTCCCGCCCCTGGCTATTCGGTATTCCCCGACGAAAAGCTTCAACGGGAGATCTCCGTGATGCGATTTATCGAAGAGAAGACATTGATTCGTGTTCCCCATGTTCTCTATCATGGGACGGTCGAGGAAAGTCCCGCGGGGTCAGTTATGCCGCAAGGAAGGGTTGGGCCTTTGATATGGTTTATTGGGCGAAGATCGATCGTCGATTCTATGGGGGTGGTGATCTGGATGATCGACTTGGACAGTTGACGGCGGAGGAAAGATGTGAAATGGAGGATTTAGTCCGCAGGAAAGTGGCAGACGGGTGTTTTTAGGGCTTGACTTTTGTTTGGAGTTGTCAGGGGGCCTATGGTGGCCTCTTGGGTTATTAGGGCGGGGAGTTCCCCTTTTGCCTTGGCGGTGTTCTTGTTAGGGCCGTGGTCAAGAATCTTTAGGAGATGCAAGGCAAACTATCTACCGCCGTGGAAAGTGTTGGTCGTGGGGCTTGGATTGGCGATTTAGCTAACATTCAATCAGTAGAATTGGTATAGTATCCGAAGTCATCCCCACGCACCCAATCTTGATTCTATAACCGGGCAGACACTCAAGCAAGAGACCAGAAGCAATGAAGGTCTACTATTCGCTGTAGGAGCTAGAGATTCAAACCAACCATGCGAGACAGTATGCATGTCCCCTCCCGCTAATCCCTATCGGGTTTCTGAAAGTGACCTGTCGCCGGCATTGCAGTGCTGTGTATCAAGAGATGAATCCGCTTTGACTTATAAAGGGACAGTCCACCTTCCGGGGAGTCGTGTTTCCACTTTCTAATTCTCCGGAAACTCAAGAAGTACTGCGCGGGCATCTATCTCATCTAGTATCTTACCACTTTTTCATCATCGTGGTACTCTTATCTGTCAGTGTTCATTCTTCATCCTCAAACAACCATCCACTCTCACTATCGCGCCCGATTCTACTGATTCCCACAGCTACATTTCAACATGTAAGTCCGGCGTGTATCGCTGCACTATCCAGGTCCATTGCCCCTAACCAGAGAACCAACAACAGGAGCACAAGCCCCGCCTCCACCAACACCCGCACCCCAGACCCATCTTCAGCTCCAGCTCCAGCACAATCAAAATCCCAACCAGCAACAGACGAGCTAGTCTTCGTATGCCCCGGCTGCGTGATCATATTCTCCGACATCCTGAACTCCTCCGGACCGCCATGTCCACACCTCTCAGCCTGTATGAGATGCACCGTCTGCGGCTCTCTTGAGAAAGAAGGATACCTGGTACTTCATCACTCCCTCCCAGCACACAACCCCCCCCCCCCCTCCTCCCTCCAACTTAAGCTAACCCCTCCCCCTCCCCCTACCAACATCTAGACCTCCGCAACCGCCAAAGAGCTCGTCCGCAACCAATTCACAAAAACCTACAAGCGCTTCTTCTCCTACACCGAGCAACCAGAGCAATGGCTCAAAAGGGCCGGCCCGGAAACGGTACACATTATCGAGCGGAAATTCTACGATCTGTTCAAGCAGGATGCGGTGGAGAGATACAGTCATATGGCGCGGTGTCGGGCGAATAAGAAGCTGGGGTGTTATCGGTGGCGTATGAGGGGGGATCGCATGTTTCGGGGGATTAATCTGAGGAATGTGTATAGGTTGTTTTTGGAGGATTTGGCGAGGAAGGGGCGGTTGAAGGGGGGTGTGGTGGCTGTTGAGAGAGATCGGAGGGTGGTGGGGATGGGGATGGGGATGGAGGAGGGGAAGGGGGTTGTGGGGTTGTAGGGTGTTGGATTGGGACTCAGATTTGGCGCATGCCGACAGACGTAGAGTGGCAGGAATGTCTTTTTAGCTGGTATATAGGTGTTTTGGTTATAGCAAAATTGGAGTAGGCATTAGGTCATGTCACAGATGAATATAAGCAGCTAATGCAACGAGTTCGAAATCTTATGTATCGAAGTAACACTGAGGTCAGAGAGATCGGGGCAAGATACCCCGGGCATGTTTCACTGCACTGAAACCAAAAGTGTTGTATGTTAGTGAATGGCTAGGGTCGCCGGGGTTATGCAAGAGGCAGGTTATAGGCCATCCTAGCAACATTCTCTTCTACGTCTCTCTCCTTCAACTTCCCTTCCACGTCTTCTTCCCATACAATTCCTTTTTATCCCTTACGTGGGAAAAAAGTACATGGAGGAATCCTAGCCTATATATTTCACCAGAATGGCACACAGCTGCTCATCAACAGCCGAATGTACCTTGAGATCAGCCTGGGTGGTCGCTGCAACAGTTTCATGCATTTAGTGTGCTACTGAAGCAAGTCATGACCCCTGCGGGCATTTCTGCTCCTGATACCCTTAGTTATATCCTCTCTTCGAGGTCATTCTATCAAGACCATCATAAAAAAATCCTCCGTGACTTAATTTGGGGAGTATATCCCACCCCTTTCCTACACTGATGGTGCTAACAACGGAAATTTCGAAATACAGGATATTGAAATTTTCCTCGTTAGTCTACCCTTCCCGTCAATACCGAGGAATAGATGTATGCATTATACGCACAGAGGAGGGGAAGAAGAACCCCGACGTTGGCTATATATTCAAGCCCTCGCCAGTGGAAAGCACGCTCCTTTCTACTGAACCTCGCCTTCTCAAATCTGGCAGTGGAATAACAAGGGACTAACACCTAGCTTGCCGGCTATACAATTACCCACTGGTTCATACCTTGATAAGGCTAGAAACAGTATCATAAGGCGGCCACTTTCATAGCTCTTGGTCCGTGCACAGGGAAACAAACCTGGCAAACCTGGCAAACTCCCCTTCTGACATTTCAAACAGAGCAAACAAACTTAATCCAGGACGCTAAACACAGCAAACAGGTCAAAGCACTCTCTGCCCCACCTGTGCAATTCAGACAAACCATCCAAATATCGGCTTATCGTCTGACGTGCCAATTACAGGAACAGCCTGACATCCTAAAGGATTCATCTCTCTGAGTAACTGTCCGACATGTTTGATTTCATGGTTTGACAGAAAAAATGATCTGGAGCAGATGTGGTCCCCCATGGGGTATATATAAGGCCCAGTGGACTTGTTGCTGTCGATTCTAACACATCAGCACTTTCAATATATATTCAACCCGCACTTCGGCTAGCATCTATAGCACAGTCCATCAAACCCATCCATCTTCACTATCCAAAAGCACACTATCACAAATCGCCCATCCATCTAACACCATGCCCGCAACAATCCTTCCCAAAGCTCTCCGCAAAGGCGACACCATCGCCTTCATATCTCCGTCCGCTCGGCTCAACCATCTCTTCCCCATCGCCCTCGAGCGTGCCACGGCCGTGTTCGAGTCCCTCGGCTTCCAAGTGAAAATCATCTACTCTACTCTCCCCAAAGACGTCAGCTTCAAAGAGTCCGTCAAGGTCCGATGCGAGGAGCTCCACTCGGCGTTCCGCGATCCCGCGATCGCGGCCATCATCTGCACCATCGGGGGCGCCCATTGCGGCGAGATGCTGCCGCACCTCGACTACGACCTCATCCGCTCCAACCCTAAGATCTTCGTCGGCTACAGCGACACCACGTTCCTGCACTACGCGATCGAGTCCCGCACCGGTCTGCGCACGTTCTACGGCCCCAGCATTCTGACCGACTGGTCCGACCTTCCCAACCCCGTGTCATTCACAGTGGACCACTTCCTGCACGTCCTCGCAGGAACAGGTGGCGCCGTGGGTGCTCTTCCGCGCTCTAGCGTCTACACTACCGCACACAGCGATTTCATGCTCACCAGCGACGCCTCGACCAAGCCACGCGAGCTGACCGATGCCCCAGCCTGGCGGTGGCTCCAGAACGGCTGCGCCACGGGCCGTCTCTACGGCGGGGTGGTGAGCTGCGTCGTCCGACTCCAGGGGACGCTGTACGCGCCCAAGTCGTGGAAAAACAAGATCATGTTCCTGGAATGCTCCATGGGCGATGACATGGTATCGCCGTACCTGGTCTCACGCTTCCGCAGTGCGCTGATGGACTTGGCTTTGTCGGACGCGTTCCACGATATCTCTGGCCTGGTTATCGGAAGATGTTACAAGTACGACGCCCAGATGCAAGATGAACTCGCTGATGTTATTCTGGGCGTGTTTGAAACACTGGTTGGTCGGTCGGATTTGCCCATCCTGATGAATGTCGATTTCGGGCATACGAGTCCGCTGTTGACGCTGCCGATTGGGGCCAGTGTGCGGTTGGATTCGGAGAACGATGAGTTTGTGGTCTTGGAGGCTGGGGTCGAGGCTTGAGGTTTCTGTTTGTGTATACTCATGCTAGCTGTTAGCGTATAATTACTACTAGAAATAATCTTTGTTTATTTGTGGCTTTGTGCACGTAAGTGGAGGGGATGCAGATGTGTAGGAGTCGGCGAGGATAGGCAGCAGCGATCGCGAATTCATTTTGGGGCATTTATAAAGATTGTATCCAGCAGATATCAGGAATCTTCTGTACTTATCAAACGATGTTGTTGCCGTAAGAAGATGGGGGCTTCAGCAGCATGTACTCGCGTTGTTATGATTGCGGATTGGTGACGTCACGCGTCCAAAAAACATCACCAAAAGTGCCTTGCGAAAATAAGGGAACTAGGATGCTTTACAAACAATAGAATAAAGTATGGGAACAAGGAAGTCAGAAGAAGAAGGGTGACGGTCAAAAATATCGCGATGAAAAAAGAATGATGCGAATAGCATGTCCTGGTTTCGATCCAGGGACCTCCGGGTTATGAGCCCGGCGCTCTTCCCCTGAGCTAACATGCTGATTGTGTGATAGAGCTGCGTTTTTAATGTCTTATAGCCCACCATACTGCTCATCATGCTCCAACACCACGACCGATAATATCATGTCTCTGCGATTAGAGATTTTCCTCTCATCATATTTCGACAATGCACTTTTACTGGCAAATAAAATAATGAGCTTATGGCTGTTACGTCAGTCGTAATACTATCATTCTCAACGTGCCATAGCAGCAAGTAGGTTTCATTGACCGCTATGCCACGCTTCCTGAAGCAAAAGTATTACCCCCCACAGTTAGATAACTTAGGGTAGGACAATTCATCTAATATGCCATTTCGCACAGAGTGCAGATTACGAGTCACGTAGCTTAGATTGCTTACGAATGGGGTTATAGAATTAAAAAAACACATATGTGAGAAAAACCTTGCCAATTATTGATTGAGAGCTAATAGATATCCCCATCTTAGCCTATCCTCGCTAGAGTTAACCAGGTTCAAATGCTTTGCGGGACAAGGTCAAAGTCAAACCCCAGAAATAACCAGGAATTTCTTTCATCCCCCGTTCAGTTCGCTGGGAGACATTGCTATCTCATAGAAATAGAAATGGTTAAATCGTAGGATTAACTGCGCTTTCATACAAATGGAAATCCTGGATTGCTGGGAGGTTGTTGCAGGATTTGACCTTTTGCACCAGCAGCTTAAGAATATAGAATTTATACTTGCGATACGATAGTTGAAGACATCTCGCGAATTCATACTTCCAATCCGGGTCATCCAACTCAGGGCGACGCAGGATCTCCTCGATCACAAAAGTGAAATCATGCTCGATTGCTGTCGTCAATGCGCTTTCAGCCTTTTCAGTCGGCGGATGCAACTCGATTCCATTTTTGAGGAGATATACTGCATTTCTCGACTTGCACATATCTAAAGCACAGTCCAATGCCGTCTTATTTTGTCCATTCCGGACATTGAGAATCTCTGGTGCGCGATTCAATAAAACCCGAAGCAAGGCAGGAGTTTCCTTACCGGCAAGAATGCATAGATATGGCGCCGCACGAAGGTTCATTCCATATTCGGCCGCAGTCTTGATGATGGCAGCGCCATTTCTATGGTGGCAAAGATGGCTAAAGGTAGTCTCTGTGCATTTGGCACGGGCAGGTGCAAGAACACGGATCACACTTTTTGGAACATCAAAGCAATAATACTTGCATAGACCGTCCATGACTCCACCTTCAAACCCACACGAGGGTAAGTTTGGGTTGGCGCCATAATTGAGCAAGAGTTGCATAATCCGCGTTTGGCGTGTCTTGCCTGCGAAAAGCAACAAACGTTGACCAAATATATCGTAACAGTTAGGGTCAAGACCCGCGCGTAAGTATTGTCTGACAATTCTAAACCTGCTATACATGACATCATCAAAAACGTTATGCATCGCATCAGGCTTTGTAACAAGATCACCATTATCGTCATAATCGAAGAGTTCCCAGGGACCCGAGCAGCCATCATCGTAGGGATCTCTTTGACGCAGGGTGCCGTCAGGTTCCTCAATGACAAATCTGTCATAGTAGCCCTGAAGTGGTAACGCATGCTTTTTAACTTGGGCGTTGAGATTATGCCTAAGCATGTTCCATAGCGGCCTGCATGCTCGCGCGAATCTCAGAAAGGAAATCGGGTCGACAAGTTCCGCACACTTCAAGATTAGGGGAGGAGGAAGCTTTTCCAGAATGAGGGATGTCTCTGCCATTGTGACGGATGCTTTAGTTGCTGCAAGATCGGTCATTGTTTTCGGATAAAGTATGGAATGCGGAATATGAAGGGAAGTTCAGACCGGTGACTTGTACCAGCTTAATATACCCCGATCGCTCTACTGCGGGAGTAGGAGGTTTCCGAAATAATATCTATAAAGTGCCCGAGAATAAGGCAATAGCCGTAAACTGTATTGGAGATCTCCGACATAAGATCGGATGAAGGACACAAGAAGAAGGAAAGGACCGTAAACGAATCGGCAATCGCTGACATGATTGACCCAAAGGATCTAGGAAGGAGGAAAGATCCTTAAAATACGATAGCATCATTGTTGGCCCCAGTATTTGCTGTCCAATCATGACGATTTCCGTCATAGGCCGTTGTCTGCTTGTCGCACCGGATTCGAAGGGAAGGATGCTGAGTGCCGGGTATTCGAGTCAAAGAAAAACGGATAACTTGATAGCACATGGCGGACACGAGCTACGCAGACGGAACAGAATTGAAAAAAAAAATTGAGATACGTGGCTATCTGCTAGCTTTGTGATTGCATCATGAAGCTGGATGAGGAAAAACAGACAATCCGTGGGCTCGCTAGGTGAGGCAGATACGGCCCTGCTGCAGGCGCTAGACCCAACTGGGCCACCAGTCCAATAGTATAAGTATAAGATGGCGTCTGAGCTATAAATATTTGCTCAGAGTATCGAGATAATATGTGTTGCAGCTGAGTTTATGTTTTGATTATTCTCTAATCGCAGAGTATGCGTCATATAAGTGGTGATGTATATAAGTGCAGACAGTGCTGTTAAAACCAGTGCATAGTATGTAAGATTCAGGAATGAGTGTTGCCTCGAGTAGTCAATATAAAGTCATCTGCTGCCAGTGAAGTAAGCGGGGTGATACCCACACTTGTCTGCCCACCTTGCCTTTCTCATTAGGAATATGGCCCTACCGCCTCTATACTATCTCTGTGCATTCGGCCCCATGGAGACCCCATCTACAGATAAAGAAGTGTATAGTCAACAGCATGAGTGTACTCGTAGCACATCCCTACAGCAGTTCTTAAATCAAGACTACTCACTTAGGATAGGTATTCCCTATCATGTGACTGCATTTTGGTTTTAATAGGAATTTTTACATCGACTTGCTCCTGGTTACAGGTGGAGGATACCTATATGACTGTTTTAACTACTGATCAATGTCTCTGGGCCGCGATACAGCTTTCCAGCAACGGGGTCATTCAAACAAAGGCTCACTTATCTACTCACCTTACAATCTTCCTGTATCGTCACTTTCCTTATGTTTTACAATTACTTCCTTTTAGGTTACTAGGAAAGAAGACCGAGAAGGTGATATCCAATGCTTCAGTCCTGTACTGGTCATTTGACCGTAACAGGCTGTATAGGCATTCTCCGATGAATGGATGTTTTACTAGACAATCGCCGAGAAAATAATTAACTTGACCCAGAAAACCGCCGATAAATTCCCTGAACCTAGAATCTGAAAATTAGAGCCATTGGCTTCTGAAGGCATTTAAAGAAACAAGGCTCAGCACTTTAATCAGGTACTTTCTTCACCAATCTGCTTCTCATCGGTACGCATTGTATTTTCCCGAGAAAAAGTGTCCCGCTATGGCTAGGAACCGTTCCACTTCCGAGGGTGCCGAGACATGGAAATTCTATCGTCCGGGTCTGGAAGAGCAGGATGCTGACGCATGCGTCATGTCAACCACGGATCCGAACGGAGGCTGGGAAAACCGTGATGAAACTGGTACCTATTGGTATGCCGCTCTCTTGAACGTGTTTCCCGATACGGTTATCTCCCATCACCGTCGGACCCCAGTAGATGCAGAACATCCCCAAATTCTGAGCACAATCATCAGTCGCGCCGATGATATTCCTGATGTCACCTTTTGCCTCCGTCAATATCAAAGTACAAAGCACGACGGTACACCGGAGGACTTGAAGCGTTGTTACAGGGACTTTGAAAGCCGACTCTACCAATTCTATCTAGACAACCTTGATCAAACGGAAATGGGTGTTCATGGGGCCTTTGTCGTCGGCCATACAATTTGGTTCCTTGACTATGTTGACCATGATCATTGCGGGCATTATCACGTGGGTGGTAAGTGTGCTTTGCATCTACCTGAAGACCAGGAGTTGATCAAGCACAATTTCAACCAAATCAAGCAACGTATACGTCTGGAGAAGCAACGACAGAGAGTTGAAGTGATTGTGCAGGGGGGGAATCTGCCACCACCCGATCCTGATGACTGGCTCTTGCGTCGTGGTCCTGCTCACTTCGATGCATAAGCATCATTTTTGAAACATAGTATTCAATACATCTGCAGGGGCTTTCATCGCTTATCTAGTATTTCTAGTTTTCCCTTGACATATCATTGATGGGAGGTGCTACACACCCCCGGTTTATTATACACACCTCCACTCCACTTCCGCTACTCAAATAGAGAAATGTATATCGTAGCAATATTGTAGTGAAGCAACCAGTACAAACCCCCGGGACAAAGCCTGGCTGCCTCCGCTTTCCCCTCGGGAGATACCCAATCACACGTGCCGATGGGCGCGTGAGACAGGAGATTACCATCCTGCTTCCCACACGAGGCATTCCTTCATGTATGCATTCATTGAATCGGGCTAAGCCGCCCTCGAAGATCAGAGCCTGATTACAAAGGAACTGCCGTTGCCTGAACTGTCGAGCGCTTCGACAACATCGATCGCACTGCTATTGAAGCCAGGCAGCGTAAGTGGTGATATTATCGCTGGATACGATAAAGAATGGTCCCGAGCGGGGTTCAGAATTTATTAATAATCAGCGGGTTAGTGAACAGGGGTCTGTGATGGTGTGATAGGGATGCTCTAAGGCGTTCTAGATGGTCACCGAAGATGGGGTTATATACTCGAAGAGCCTTGCCACTGCGTATCTAGTATTTCCCCCCTAAGAACAACAACATGACAACTTATAATAATGCAAAAAGAGACAGCAAAGCAACCATATTCAGAAAAGAAAAGCTCTATACTCCGTACAACGTCTCAGAAGGGGTTCGCTCGTCGTCAACCACCCCCAACTACTACCATCCCGGCCTGCAGCTCAACTGCGGTTAGTACGCCCGGGAGAGCCGTCGCGCGGCCGCTGGCCTCGAGCTCAATGACCCTTTATCTATTGTCCAATTGGTCTATTATTTCTTGGCATGGGCACTCAGCCACCACTGAGATGCGCATACGGATCCTTGGTGCCTGCGGGCATACAAAGAGAAGACAATAAGACCCTCAACTTATCCTCCCTTCGGGGCCTTAATGACTATCACTGTTCAGCCTTTCTCTGTCGCAGACTGCCCCAGGCCCTGGGCTTTCTAGTATCCCTTAGATACCTCACATGGCTCCCTATGCAATCTCCCAATGCAGCGTCGCCGATGGCGCCGCCCTAGCCGCCAATAACATCCCCGCTTTCTGGGCTGACCCGAACTGGGTCCTGGCCTGGCGCCATCGGACTCTCGAGTACCATATCTCACAGGTGGCCCTACGCTTCCCGCGCAACATGCTGAACGACCGGGAGACCTTGCGACATCAGAAAGCAGTGGATCTAGAGACAGGTCGCATAGTCGGCTACGCCCGATGGAGCCTGCCACCGTCTCATGAGATAAACCCAGATGATGGCACGCCGACATGGCCTGAGGCCCAGGTCCCAGCGGTCGAGCCTGAGAAGGAGGCAGAGATCCGACGGCTTGCCGAGACTGCTATCTGGGATCCCAACGAAGATGCCGACGTGCTCTCGGAAGGCGTCAACGCGCTCAAGAAGGAAGTGACGCCAAAGACACCGCATATAAGTGAGTTGCGCATCAACCTGCGACTCCAGGGAAAGGTTTATTATTTCCTGGTCTGACGCGTTGGTTGACAGGTCTGAAATATCTTGCTGTGCATCCTGATAACCAGCGGAAAGGAGTCGGGATGGCATTGGTGAAGAGCGGGATGGACCAGGCGGACAAGATGGGGTTAGATATTTTCGTCCACGCTTTCAAAGAGGGAGCTGAACTGTATAAACGAATGGGGTTTCGGCTCCTAGCAGAGATCGTTCAGGACGACTCTGCGTTTGGTGGCAGTGGGGAGTATGGTGCATATTTCCTCATCTATGAGCCTGGATCGAGGACGGATTCTGCATAATTCCCGGTCTTCCGACTACCTAACACCATCGAATGTCATTATGCTAACTAGAGCACAGCAACGCCATCTTGCTATATATTCACTTAGTTATCATGCTTCCAAGCGACGGAAAGTACATAGTACTGGTCGGGTTTCTGAGCCGGCGGTAGCTCGAGATACCGTTGATCCTGAGCTGTCTGATAATAGGCCTGGCCACTTTTCCGTCGCCAAACAATTCTTAAGACCTATAAGAAAGAAGGGGATTTGAGGTAGTATATCCCAGAAGTAAATTGAACTTATAAGCCTCGAGGTAGACCCGATTATTTATGGAAGAGATGGAAGGAGTTGGCCTGATGGAAACCGGGAAAGTACCGAAGAGAACTGTTCAGTGGTGAAGCTGCTTTTGCAGCAGCCTCTACCTTAAACTTCTATTACCTGTCATGGGACATGCCATAATATATACTCTTGAGGGAGGCGGCGATACACACCTAGAATACTACAGGCACACCCTGAATTCTACATGCACACCAGGATCACTACTCACACACCCTTCTTATTACTCCGCCTTCCCACTTGGGTGTGTCCTCCCACCGTCTTTACTATGTTGCCGGCCTGTCTACCTGCGTGTTGCTAGTCCGCGTAACTAGTTAGTTAACTAGTTAGTTAACTAGTTAGTTACTGTTAGTCTATTCAACATAGTTATGCGTGTATTATATGCATAAACCTTCTAAATGGGAAGATATAGTCACGTGGCGGGTGTGTTCCCAGTGTGCCTGTATCACGTCCCTACTAGAAGGGCTTCTCTTGTGGTTAACTGTGTTTAATATACGGAGTATGGCTTAATTACGGCTGAACGGACGTGAAGCATTGTTTTCCACACACTATGGTTGTATGTGACAGACACATAGAAGAGATGGATGGTATAGAAAGGCTATGGTGGCGTGGGCTGATACTATATCAACAGGAAGAGCTTTTTTGGACGTTCCCGGAATCAAAGCCAAACTAGTGTATACCCAATAATTGAGAAGCTAATCAGATGAACTCACTCGTGTGGGTGAGCCTTCTTGCAGAGAATAATATTCTGCAGTTCCTTGATTTTCTACCCTGGTCCGTCGGAAGCGGTCTCCTACTTAAATGGGGTGGGGCAAGATTGTCCGCTTGAACTAGTCGGCGGTTAGGGAAGGCTGGAAGCACCTCGGTGCATCCGCCATCCATGTGAGTAAGACCTAAATACTCGTAGCGTGCTTTGGCAGATTACTGGCGAGCTGGAATAATTCAAGCCTCCTCGCGTATGGACTTAGATTGCCTAGCTTAGATGCATGCAGCACTGGGCTGTGTGAAGGATTTGGGGGCGGAGTACGGAGTATAGGGGTCCATGGTCCAATCTGTTCAGGAGATATGCTAAAGAGAGGCTATTCTGAGATGCTTGATCACAGAGAAGAAATATGTCGATTCTCCATGTGGAATACAAGGATTTCATCCAGCATATGCAACCTTATTGTTCTTCGGGCATGTGCAATCACCAATCGACTTCGTACAGTCGATAATAAACATAATGGGGGATACATATCGGCTTACCGAACGCGAAGCAACGGAAAGAATGGGTTGATTCGTGGAGGAGGGGCCAGGGACCGCGGCGACTACGTAGGGAGGTGCAGTCACGTGGCCCTGGAGCGGGTGGCTCTTGACTGGATAGATTATTCAACAAGTTAGCCCTCACTTCACCATAACGAATACATCAACCTCGTGGTTCTCCGCCGTCCGGAGGTCCGATCATGCTCCGTTCGAGTGCGAGTAGATAGAGATATACAGAGGTTTCCCGGAATGGTAGAAATGTCAATCTCCAGGTGGTACTCCGTATCTGCCTCACAGTCCGCAATGTAGTATGCTTTGCGAGATCCCAAGAGGCTCAAGGGTCACCTGGCACTTGCACGTGTGGAGGATTCATATCCTGACTATTGGCTGTTGCCTGGTGGCGGACTATCCGCCGCCTCCCGCCTAATGACACTAGCAGTTGGCGGTATCTGATAGGCCAGTTGGGCAATAAACTAGCGTTCCTTCATGATGCCGGCCCTAATTAGGTCGATCCCTCAGGATCTACTGCCTGGAACCGAGCAGAGTTGAACACTCAGTTTGATAGAATCTGGATCCCCAGGCAGTCGAGATAAGACCATTGCTTAGCTTCCGGATGCAATCTGTGCTGACGAACTGGCCATATGAATGAGGCCAATCTAATATCCACCCGGGGGATTGCACGAGATCTAAATTAGTATGTCTTAAAACTGTACAAGCAATTTGGGTTCGCTGAAGGGTCTCGCGTAGTATATACAAGCTTCTGGAGCTATAGTCTGACGTGAGAGATTAGTGCCAGGAACATTGATTGCATTCAGCCTCGGGGGGTAAACCTCCGTCAGTGAAGTGAATGCTGACTCAATTTGCATGGTTTGATAGGCAGTGAATAGAGTCTTTCTGCCTGAGCATTTCCCCCCACCAGCACAGAATTCACGCCTAAAGATCTCTTCTCAGAGTGTAGCTACCGTACCACAAGTTCCCAACACAGACGGATGCACTCAGCCTCACCCCTCAAATCTCATCACTACTACAGTACCAAGTAGCCGAGGCCTAGAATGTCCTGGATTAAGATATTCCCCCCCCTTCACAGCCTTGTGCTGCAGGGCCCACAAATTATCTCTCTTCTTGCCACTATCAAGCAATCCTTGACTAGGAACGCTAACTTTATAGCCTCCGAGTGTATAGCGCAGGATCAGTCTTCATCCTGGGCTGTGGCCGGCGGTGAATATCGGAAGCATGAAGATAGCCTCCTCCTCCAAGGCATCCTCCAGACCATGCCACGTCGAAACAAATCCATGGGTTATCGGCTCGGAAAATGGAAATTCCCTCTCTATCATAAAGCCATCAGCCTCGCTGAAACGCCTATATAAGACAGTCTAGCACCCGCCGAGTTGAATGCTATCCCAGACATCTCTCTACATCCCTCCTCAATCAAACCAACATCTTCTCTTCTACTTCAATCTTCGTGGCCTCGCCTCAAACAAATCAATCAATCAAAATGAAGGTCTTCGCTATCCTCACTGTTCTTGCCTCCACCGCTGTGTCGGTTCTGGCCGCTCCCTCCGTCGATGCTGGCCTCGAGGCCCGTGGTGACAGTGGTTGCACCGCTTTGTGAGTTACCCAATGGGGAGAAGGCCTCCTTGTACCACTCTGCCTGTGGTAGACATTCAAATCGAGCCTTTTGCTGACTGAAGATACAGCTCCGACCCCGACTGTGGTGTCTCCGGAACTTTCTGCGAGTGTGCCAACGGTAAGTAGAATGGATCCTGAGAGTTGACATCAACTGAGATGTTGCTGTGCTCTTTGCATGCTTGTAAAATGGGTGGCATGTCTGACAAGTGTTTTGTAGGATGGTTCTACGAATACAACACCGACGAGGGTGGCTGCAACCCTCCTTGGGGCATCATCTCCACCTCCGAGTCCGGACTCCCTGGCTACTGGTGCTAGATTAGAGAAGAATGAAAGTGGATAGAAGAGGGGGCGATGAGTTACTACAGTAATTATCAGCGCTGTGATTTTGGATATCTTGTCTTTGATTGAATACTACGCATTCAATTTTTGAAAGTTTCCCCGTAATGGTAGATTTTGCGCTCATTTATCGACTTCCTATAGAGTAATAACCTATCTACATCCCGTATGATAAAGTAAACTACCCATGTTGAGTATTCAAAAAGTCGGCAAAGACGCCACCGTTCCGACCAGCAAGAACCCCCGGATCATCCATCTCTACCACCTGCCCTTTATCCATCACAATAACCACATCGGAATCCATAATCGTACTCACCCTATGCGCCACCGTGATCATCGTGCAAGAGCTAAATGGATGTTTCCGCAAAATACTCTGCATTCTGGCGTCCGTCTCCCCATCAACGCCACTTGTTGCTTCATCCAGCAGCACAATCTTCGCATTCGTGACCTGAAGCTTCAGCATCGCCCGGGCAAGTTCGAGTAGCTGCTGCTGGCCGATGGATAAGGATAAAGTATCCTTTATCTCGGCATCGAGTCCGCCTCTTTCTTCTAACACGCCTTTCCAGATCCCAACCTTGCCCAATGCGGCAATTATATCGGCATCCGAAAGCTGACCGGATGGGTCTGCATTGAATCGCACAGTGCCGCCCACTATAATCAGTGGGTCTTGAGGGATGGTGATGATCTTCTCTCGGACATTCTCGCGGGAGATGGTGGCGAGGTCAATGTTGTCGATGATGATTGATCCGCTGGGGATGTCGAGAATGCCTAGTAGTGTGGCTAGTAGTGAACTCTTCCCACTGCTTCTTGTTAATAAACACTCACCAACCCAGTAGGACAGTGTAGACGTAGTGACTTTGTACATACCTCCCAGTCCGTCCGCAAATACCGATTTTCTGGCCGGGGAAGGCCTGGAAAGAGACGTCCTTTAAGGCGACGGCATTGGAACTGAGGAATATAATTTTATCAGCCCTTGATTCATGTAATTGATGGACTATAATTAGACAATTACTTACCTGTACTGCGCCGTCACTCCTACAAATTGGACTTCTCCCCGTTGAGGCCACTCGGCAGGAGGATCCATCTTCTGCACCGTCTCTTCGCGGGGAACTTCCATCTCAAAATTCCTCACACGCGAGATAGACCCAAGTGATATTTCCAGCTGAGTCCAGCCTGATATCAGCGACGAGAGACTAGCGTTAAATGCTTCAAAAGAAGAAGTCAGCTCTGCAAACGACCTTGGACGGAGACGAGGCAAGCATACACAGAATATTATTAAGTGAAACACCAAGTAACCCCACATTAGTCGAGTGTCTCAAGAAGACGGCCAAACAAACGAGCACAACTGCCTCCGAAGCCACAATAAGATCCAATGCCAGCGTGAGCCAACGCTGAATACAAAAAAGCAGATAATACGGTCGCTGGGAGACGTCCAAAAGCTTCAAATTCTTCGCGCGAAACCTTTCTTCCCAGCCAAAGGCTTGGATACTGGCAAGACCTTTGATTGTGTCGAGAAAGTGTGAGTATAGCGGACTCTTGCTTTCAAGGTCTAGGAGTCGAAGTTGTCGTGATGTTCGGAGGTAGAAATGCTGCAAAATGAAGACTGCGAGGACGAGGAAGGGTACGGATATAGCCATGTAGCTTGATCCGGTTGCGATCAGCGCAGCACTGGCGATGGATGAGAAAAGGTCTGTATGTGTAAGTATGTCTCGTGAAAATTATGGTATCATTGAAATAAACGATGCCAGTGATTGCGGAAGGAAGTCGCTGTAGCTTACTAGAAACCGTAACCAATACGCCAATTGGCAATTGACTCTCAATCAGGGTCATGTCCTGACTGAAATGATTCAAAATCGTACCGCTATCGGTAGTGGAAAGGAAATGTGGAGATGCCCTGTAGCCACAATTAGTAGTTGGCCAAGACCATGGGCAATACTGCAGTCAGCCATACTCCATGACAGTCTTCAATACAGTATAGTGCAGCCTGCGTGCTGTTGCCGGCGAGATAAGCACGAGGATAGCCCTATTAGCCTGTTAGCCCCCTCAAAACAGCAAGTTATGAGGCATGATTTACCAAACATAACCTCCATTTCCGACAGTATTGAAGATTGCTAGGAGGAAATAGACAGTCACGTAGAGCGATTTCTGCTCCCCACCGCGGTTGGCCCATCGCTCAAGCCAAATTTCTGGGGTCAAGAAAAAGTCAATACAACTCGGGTAGTGGGGTGATAGGGATGCCTACGGCTGTATGTGCTGCAGAAAACATGTATAGTGACGAAGAGAAGAAATATCATGGCGTTTGACCAGCCGATGCAGCTTAGATAATACTTGTAGAGTGAAACGTCTCCTGTTGCTCTGGTCAAATCACTGATCTGATTTCCTTTGGAGACGTCGGTTGCTTTATCCTTCATAGTGGATGCTATGGGCCTGTTCAGGTCATCTATCCCATCCACGGAATGGATCCTTTGGCGAGAGATTCGATCATGGGAATATTCTTGCCGGAGACTGCCGTCAGCCACGACAAAGACCTGATCAGCATAGCTGAGATATTCCACTGCCACAAATTTAGCAACCAATGATCAACAATAGCGGGATTCGGAAGAGTAATATATTGAGGAGACCTACCATCATGAGTCACCAGGATGATAGTCGAGTTCAACCTTCGCAGGAGGCCATCTGTCCCTAACAAACGCTCCACTACAGTACCTTTTGTTTTCCGATCCAGGGCCCTGAACACATCATCCAACAGCACAACGTTCCTCCGGGCGTATACCGCCCGAGCAAGAGCAACCCGATGCATCTGGCCTCCACTCAACATAGAACCGGACCCACTGCCGATTTGCATAGCATCCCCCTCTGGGAAAAGTGCCAAGTCTGGAGTTAGCGCACAGGCATGGAGAACGGCATCGTACCACTCTAAGTCCATATCATGATCTCCTGTTACGTTTTCCTGGACTGCCCCACAGATTGCTTCGCGAATGGTGCTGTTTGGAAGCCATGGTGTCTGTGCACAATATGCAGGATATGGGGTGTTCACTGTAACAACCCCCGTCTCGCACAAAGCTTGGCCGAGTATAGCTCGAAGCAGCGTGGATTTGCCTGATCCCACCGGCCCACGGATCATGGCCAAAGCTCCTCGAGGAACCTTGAGGGAAACGTTGTACAGCACAGGCTTTGCTGATGCCACGGGACAGATGCTCACATTTTCCATGATAATAGCAGGTGATGTTGAATCATCCCTCTCGAGGCTATTCAATGGTAGAGGTTCCAAGATTTCAGACTTTGCAAGATTGAAAGCTTGGGCATGATCCGCAGTATCAGATGAGATCCCCTGGGTGTGCTCCTCGGTCGAAATTACAAGAAATGCCTGGATTCTATCAAAGCATCCCACAGCAGCTGCCGTCGAAGGGATAGCACTCAGCAGCTTGGCGGCTGGATCCGTGAGAAGAAGGATAATTGACAGACTACTAAAGGCCTTGGTAGTATCCAGTGTCTGTCCTTGAGCAGCGTAGACCGCGAATGTAAGAGCCGGTGCCAGTGCCCACGGTAGGTTTTGGATCATGTTCTGCCACACGATGCTCCACCGAAAGCCGGCCATACGCTGCGTCTCCTGGACGCGTTTCGCCTGAATAAGCGTCATGAAAGTCTTACTCAATCCCATTCTCTTGATAGTTTGAATCCCACTAAGCATTGAACTGGTGATTGCGATGCGCTGCTGAACCGCGTCCACCCACACCTTTTGTTGGCTTCCAATGTTTTTCGATATGTAAGTGCTTCCTAGACTCGATACTGCACTTTATCAGCGAAATTTTGGTTTTTGCAAAGTAGATTGGCACCCACCGAAGACAATAAACAGTGGCATTAGGCAGACCCATCCCATCCGGAGGGCCAGTAAAGTGATACCGATAGCGACCTCCACCACACGAGCCCAACACTCGTTCAGATTAACCAGGCAACCAGTAATCCGATCAATGTCGGTTGTCATAAGGGTGATTGTCGCCGACCGATCCTCCAGCTCGCCGTCTGGAATGTGTAGCGCACGCTCATAGATCAGCGACGAAGCGGCTCCTCGAAACATAGTAACAAAGCGATACAACGTATGGTTATAGTGTAGTGTGGACATGGCCAGGCCCAGGTATACCAGAGTTGTTGCCCCGATCAAGCCATAGCCTTTATTTTCTGCACTGTGCGGATCATTAAGCCAGTCCAGAATGGCTGTGATCAAAAAGGGCTGCGCAAAGGTGAAGCCAATTAGACACAGTCGAGGAAATATGGCGGATGCCAGAGGCCACCAAAGAGCCCGACACATCTGCCATGGGAACTCTAACCGTCGTTCGGGCCTCTTCCGTCGAATCCAGGCTTTTTGTGCCTTCTTGGCGATTCCGACGGACTCCAGGCGCTTATCCAGAACATACAGGTCCGACATGGTCAGAAGTGACTGGAACCCATCTAGAAAAAGACGGTTTAGCCACCACATGAAAGACCGGTTCACGATTCCACTTGTGGACTCAGGTGGCAGATCTTGATACTTGCTTGTGAGATACCTCCGCTTCTCTAAGGCTTCCAATAAGAGCATGGCAGCCTTTGCTGCAACACTTGCTGTGAACAAGACGGGGATGAGATTGTTGGTGTGAGATAGCCACAGCGTCCTCGCTTGTGCAATGTCAAACAGCAATGTCAGGAGGAGATAAATATTAAGAATTGATGACGGCCGAGCCGATCGCTCATCTTCCATCCACGACAGAACCACAATTTCCAAGGCCACGACCAGATTGATCGTGCTGAACGGCACGGAGACTTGTGTCCGTGGACGATCATTACGCGCCCAGCAGACAAGCAGGGCGAGTTGCATCGCGGCGAAGACCAGAGCGAGTATCTGTCTATGCTATAAATTCGGTGTCTCGACGACGTGCGAAATAGCTGGGGAAGATCTCACCAGCTTTGCCATCCTCATCGCGTTGCGTTCTGTTCGGACATCTTTCTTGGCCAGTTGTCTCACTCTTAAGGGAGACGCGAGGAGGAACGCGACCGCCGGAATCAGGCCGAAAATGGATTGTTCAAAGAGAAGGGTGAAGTCAAATCCATCGCGGCAGGCATGAACAACCACAGGCCCGAAGACGTTGTCCGCGTCGAGCGAGCATCGGGACATGGCGTTGGCGACTCAGTTGGGTTGGTGGATGAACGTTGGTGGTTTGGAAGAGGGGATGATAATCCCCGGCGATCTCTGACCACCCGATCGATATGTAAGCCTTAATTAAAGCCTCTTCCGGGAGATGTGGACACAACACTCCGGCAGACTTCCACTTCTTCGTCTCTCTTGCGTGGGATGGTCTTGCCTCTTAAGAATGATGTCCCAGGCAACTAGTAAGCGCGCTAAACCCACCCGGGACCCCGATGCAGCATCCATCTGGGCGACTACTCATCGCACTAAGTCCACGTGGCCCTATATTCACGACTTTGCTCTTGCTTTGATTCATTTTGGCTATTCGGCTAGATGATAAGCCCACGCTGCACTCTCCAAGGCCATGCCCATCCTTGGTACAAGGAAGCTTTATATGTAGAGCAAGCCTTTCCGGTATTCTAGGGTTACACACTCATCTTCAAACGGATCTCTATCGTATCATACCACCCTGTTGGCACATCGCCGCAATTTTCCATCCGGTAAATGTTACAAAGGACGCGAGAGTCAAAAGTAGTCCTCTGGTGATAGGAAGGAGACGCGCCATTTCTCGGGGCTATACAAGTTAATGGTCTGCCGTGGAAAGGCTACAACACAGACACGTATATGGCTAAGGCTCAGTGCTTAAATGACGGTGTTGAGTAGGAATTGGACAGATTTATAACTGTGTTTATCCCCAAAGCCTTGATCGTCCATTCAAAAAGACGAGCATCCAGTAATAAAAAAAACACAAGCTTCTTAGAAACTGCCACCCAGAATATATTACTCCCTATATGCAAAATCTATTACCAGAAAGCCGGTTAATTCGAACTCTATAATAACATCCGGCCCAGCCTTCCCTGCACTCGATATTTCATGAACTAGAAACCTGTTCCGCCATCATCCTCTTTACAAGACGCAACATTTGTCTCTGGTCTTGCAACCACGGGCGGATCAAAAACTCATGCTCAAATTCGTTTTCAGCTCCTTCTTCATAATCATCCCCCAAGGAATTCACCATCTCAGCCTGTCTATCAGACAATGCTTCTCCCTGTTCCTCTTCTAGGCTCTCTTTACATACCTCTTTCCATTCGTCAACTCGGGCAGCTCGGAGAAAACGGTGACCAAAGCGAGGGTCATGCAGTAATAGCTCCATAAATTCGTAATATTCAGAGCAAAACGCGGACTCCATACCCAAAGCCACGTCATTGTCGCTCAGGTCCAGGTCAGGGTGGTCCAATATCATCTGCATAGCATCATATGCTTCGATATCAATTGCGGTCGGTAGTGGATTCTTCACATTAGGCGCCACATTCTTTATTGAAACGCCCTTCTTGAGCAAGAAAATTGCCATTTCCTTATCCTCTTGAACCAAAGCTTCACAAAGAACTTCACCAGTACTTGTGTCCATAAGGTGCGGCACGTGGTCTAGAAGAAGTTGTACTGTTTGGCTTTTTCCATATGTGACGGCTATATGCAAAAGGGACATCGGTGCGCCCGGAATACCTGTAGGGCGGTAATACAGGGCAGGCTGAGGGAAGACCATATCATGTTCCAAATTAAAAAGGTCGCTCCCATTGCGTATCGCTTGCTGAAGGCACCAGATGCCTCGGCCCCTGTGCCTGGATGTGGATTCCGGTTCAATTTTGCACAAGGCTCCAAAACCCGAGGTTGTGGTGAACTTTGCGCCAGCGTGCAACAAGAGCTTAGCTTTCTTATGAGCAATGTAAAATCCCTGACGGCCGACATAATCCAGGAGCGTCTTGTCTTGACCGAAGGGCAAGTTAGGATCAGCACCGTATTTTAGCAGGAGCTTCAGAGTCTTCAAAATTTTGTCGGGTTGGTAGGAATGTGCAACGCAAAGCTGATATAACAGGGGCAGTGGTTGCAGTGTGTAAAAATTGGGATCTACCCCGGCAGCCAAATATTTCTCGACTGTGTCACAATCACCAATTAAAGCCGCACGCAGCAAGCGTTCCCGTGAAAAAGAATATGTCGGTTCGACAACCGGATCCGACTTGGTACACTTGGGGCAGCGGTCACTCCTGCAATGCACTTCCCGATTACCATGCACTATCAAAAACTTGTCGTATTCATGCTGGGGCGCAAAAGCATCCTCTGTGGCCCTCCGTAACATATCATCTTTTCCAAATGCATGGATTCCACGACATGTGCGCAGAAATCTGCCAAAGGACTTGTTGTCCATATACCCACAGACTGAAATAAAAAGCTCAGGAGGGAGGCTGTAAAGCCCCTTCGCCCGCTGTGACTCTGTCTCTTTGGACATTGCAATTGTTTGGAGAAAATGGACTCGGGCGTTTTGTCGTGTCAAACGATGGGCCCAATTAGCGAGTGCACCTTGTCAATACGGCGTGCTCTGTGTATGTAGTAGTGCTAGATTGATATCCACTGTATGTCCTGGCTTTCCTCGGATTTGTGGCCTCTTATATAGTGCTTGTCTGCCACAGTCATGGGAGTTTACCACGGCGTAATCCCGGAGGTGACAAAGCCACAACTTAAAGCACAAGCCCTCTGAGACCATGTATCAAAGAGTTATTCTCTTTGGCAACGGAATTCTGCCTCGCCTCAAAGGGTAATATTGGGGTTGTCCACTCCAGTAGGCCGTTTCGGGTAAGCTCATTTAGATAGGGGATACTGATATCCACAGTCCTGTACCTGCGAAGTTCCTTTGTCCCCGGATCTGAAACCAGAATCTAAAGACAATTGAAAGAGGGGGGGGGGTCGACTTCGGCCTACTTTTGCCATTGTCTGGCTGATAGCTTCTTTGTACATGCCTTGGCTTTGTTCGCAGTCAGTCCATCGACTCTTCCCGAACAACCCATTATCCCAGCTAGACTCGGCGCTCTCCCGAAGCGCAAGGGCACCATAGGCTTCTTGTGACAGGACCTACAAGCAGTCGGCATAAAGTAAGACCAACCCTTTCATTTCCTGTAGGCATGTACCGTCAGCCACAGGGTACTGGTTCCACCTGAATATGCTGGCCGTTGAAGCGCAGCAAACAGCAGGGGCTCTCTCCTAGAATGGTATAGGAGTCGGGACTGACACCGGCGTCCAGGTAAGCTTTCACAGCATCATACCGACTGGGCAACGAACTGCGTCAAACATAGGATGTGGGAATCGTTCATATACGTTCTTCATCCCGCGCAAACTAGCAGATCTAATCTGTCCAATTCCTGGCAATGGTATACCACCCAGCGAACCATCTGGATACTTATGAAGAATCCTTTCATAGATCTCCGGTGCCGGCAGGGCGTGCTCCCTAGCCCGACGTTTGTTTCAAATCCTCGTTGACGAAATCACGCATAACTGTGCATGTACGTACTGGATAGGCGGCTCCGGTGGGGAGCTTCCCTTCTCATGCAGTGGTCTTTCATCATGTCTTGTTGACTCGGGTATACTTACCCTGGTACATCCTCTTCATGGATGGGTTGCCCTGCCTTTGTTCGTCATGACAAAGCCTATTATTAGGGCGGCCCAAATACGGAAATGGCCAGTCTGAGGAACCAACAGTGTCAAATTCCGGAAGAACAGGGACCAGCACCAGTAGATACCCGAGTACAGTCTCCGATTCGGGGCTTCTTTCGGGTCCAAATCAGTCAAAGGGTATGTATGAATCCAGTCACCACGGAGAAGTCCTGAGGAATTCGTTCCTGGGAACAGACAAGTATCAAAGCAATGTACACCTTCCCAGAACTATGCGGGAAGGAACAAGCTCTACCATGTACCGACCTACTGTATAGTACATCCCCATCCCAGCCCTACAACCAGCACCCACACCAGCACCCAAGCACCCCACCCCCACCCCCATCTCCATCTCCAACGCATCTATCCATCCATCAAAAACCGACCCCACCCTCTAAAACTCCAACTCCTCGACCTCCATCCCACAATCCACACATTTCTTCACCCCAATGCCCGTCTTCGGATCCTCCACCGACCTCCCCCACTGATGAACATGTCTCCCACCATTCCCCAAATCATCCCCGAAACTGCCCCCCGCACCGGCGGCCCCCCGACTGCGACGGTACGCGTCGACACGAGTGCGCTTCTTCAGGTCCTGCAGTTTCGTCTTGAACTTGGCCTCCCTGCGGCGTTTCTTCTCGTTCTCGCGTCGCTCGAACTCCTCGTCCAGGGCCTCGGGCGAGCCCCATTTCTTGTCGGAGAAGGCGTACTCCTCGACCTGGTACCGGAGGTAGAGCATCATGTTGTTCCAGGTGGATTTGTGCGGGTTGGGTCGTTCGAGGTGCGGGAGGAGGTCTTCGTCTTGGAGTTCGGCTAAATAACAGAGATCATGGTCAGTAAAACATCGACAATCATCAGTGCCACAAACCAACTGGAGCAGGAAGACAAGAAAGAGAAGGAAATCGGGAAGAAAGGGGGGGGGGGTAAACTCACAATTCGTCAAAAGATAATCCTCCCTCGCCTCCGTCTTGGTCAACAAACTATACCTCTCGGCAAACTTCTCCTTACATGCAAAACAGACACAACACCTGAGCATCTCCTCCCACTTCCAATCGATCTCGAGACTCCCGCACTCGCGACAGCATTTCTGCCGACTCTTGTCCTCCAGCACGCTAAGTCCGGGCTCGAACGGCCCCGCGCGGTCCCGTCGCAGCGACGCGAGAAGTCGTTGGCGTTCCCACTCTTTTTGCGTGAGGTGCGCGGGTTTTTGATGAGCTGGGTTGGTGCTGGTGGTGGTGGAGGAGGAGGCGTGGAGGGCGGTGTTGGACCGGTCGTCTTCGGCGGTCAGGAAGCCGCCTTTCGTGTCGGTGATTTTGGAGAAGTCGTATTCGACGAATTTGGTGAAGGTGCGGCTTGGGCGGAGGGTTTCGAGGGGGCGGGCGGTGGGATTTGTTGCTGGGTTGGTGTTTGTGGTTGGGGTTGGGTTGCGGAGGGTGGAGGGGGTGATGCTGCTGCTGCTGGGGCTGGAGGAAGAGGTCATGGTGGTGTGGCTGCGTTTTGTGCCGGTCGGGGGTTGTGTTGATGTGTATGTGGATGTGGATGTGGATGATGTGAGTGTAGCTGCGTGTTCGGCTTCGCGTTGCGCGCGGATGGCTTTGGCTTTCAGGCGGTTGGCTTCCTGGTCAGGGTGGTGATGTTAGCAGACGTGGACGGGGGGGCGAATCGGGCTAGGATGGTGAGGCATGGGACGTACAATCCGCTGCAGCTGCTCTGTGGTCAGGGGGGCTCGGGGGGGTTGATCCGGTGACCCCGTCGTGGTGGAGGGGTTGTCCGACTCCATGGTGTTAGAGTGGAGGGGAGGGTCTCTGGAGTGGTGAAGTGGATGACGTCCGAGAAGTGGTCGCAGTCCATCTTTCGGTCGCGATCGATCGGTGGGTTCACGTGACCGCGCCGTGTATTAGTCCGCGGTCTCGACTCGCAACACCAGCACTCTAGATGGTCGATCATGAAAGATCATCTTGATCAAATATCCTTTCCCCCAACCCTACCTCCACCATCCCTCCTTCCACCTTCAAAAAACGACCCAAATCCATCACACAGCCACCACTACGACGCTCCACCCCCAACCTACCCTCTACGAACAACACTACTATACTAAACACCGACAAAACACCACCCCTACAAGAAACCATACACCCCATGAGAAAAACTTATTTGAACACCAAAAATGTCATCCGTCCAGAAGAGAGATATATATACACACATGATTATATTAACATATCGAGACAAAGAGTAATCCCAAGCGATGGATGGAGACAGATACATAAGAGGAATCATTCGCCGTGGAGACGCCATACAGATCATTCCCCACGCCGTGGATGCAATGCAAGCGATCGATCGATTGATCATCAGTCAGTCGGTCAGTCAATCAGACCATCAATCAGTCTGTCCATACCAGATCATTGACATATAGTGTAGTGATTAGGATGGAGCTGAGCTGAGATGAAACGAGATGAGATCGAATCGATTAGGGTTTGGAAAGCTGTTCTTTCCGGAAGAAGAGGATGAAGCCGGCGCTGTAACATCACCATATTAGCCAGAGTCCAACAAAACATAAAAAAGAAAGGAGGGCGGGAAAAGAAGGGGAAAAAAAGGGGAAAGAGGGAAAGACTCACCAAACCAACAACTGACAAATCAACGCCACCCAAAACCAAGCATTCGCAACAGCGCTCGCCCCGAAAGTGGGATCCGGGGAGACGGGCCCCGGGCCGAGTCCATTGGGCGCGAAGGCCCTCGCACAGATCGTGGCGATGGAACCGACGACCTGCGAACAGATCAAGGTGAAGAGCATGTGCATGCGAGTCAGGGTCTGCAGGAGGATGATACCGAAGCCGAGACCCTGGATGGAATCGAGGACGCCGAGCCAGAGCCACAAGCTGCGGGAGGCGAGCGCGCCGCCGACGTACCCGCCCGACACCCACGGCAGGTAGTAGCCGATGCCGGAGACGCCCCACCAGATCTGGGCCCAGCGGGGGGCGCCCAGCCCGCAGGCGAACACGGGGAGAAACCAGCTGTGCGAGTTGAAGTACTTGCTCACGATGAAGAGGAAGCCCGCCCAGACGAAGCCGAAGAAGACCACGCACAGGATGACGATTTGCCATGGTTTCGTGTGGGATGATGTCCACAGGACTAGGGGGGAGGGGGGTGTTAGTTATCTGGGTGGATATTCTGGGGTTTGAAGAGGGGAGAGGAGGGACTTACAGCCCCAGTTGCGACCGTACGGCGCGCTGAGAAAGAAGTTCTGCAGGATGACGGCAATGAAGTTCCAGATGACAATCTTTCTCCGGAAGACGGATTTGTAGAACGAGGCCACCTTGCCGGGGGTTTGGCGGTAGTAGTTGGGCAGACCGAAGTAGATGAGCACGCCGACGGCCCAGAGCGCGAAGGCAATGGGGTAGCAGATTGCACTGAAAATCGGTTAGCAAGATTGAGGATGACTGGGGGGGGGTTGGCAAGCAACAGGAGAGTGAACGTACGTCATCTTCCAGCTATCAGCAAAGGTGCTCGTGGTGACACCATCACTGGAAGCCTTGGAGATGGTGGAACCCCAGTACCACAGGGCAATAATATAGGCGGACTGGAAGCCCTGGATCAGACAGGCGCGGAAGATCCAGGTCTCGACGGGGGCACCGCCCTCGTCACCGAAGTTGAGCGCAAAGAACATGGACCCGCTGGACGAGGCGACGGCGTAGGCGCCGGTGCCGATATTCTGGATCCAGCCCTGGTTGAAGCTGTTGCTCTCCCAATGGGCCGACCCAATAAGCAGGAAGGCAAGGCCGTAGAAGAACCACGGCACAGACAGACAGATCACCGACTTGAAGTACCGGAAGATGAGCCACCAGCAGATGGAAGCGATCAGGTAGGTCGTGGCGATGCCGTACAGTTTCTCGGCCGTCTCACCGACCTCGCCGGTCAACAGGGTGACCTGGTACGAGTTGGCGGCGATGACCTGCCCCAGGGCCAGGAAGAGGGAGTAGATGGGCCAGTCGCCGATGCGGATCTGCATCCACTTCTTCAGACCGGTCGGGGGCACGTAGTCCTTTCCGAGGAGGAACTCGTCGTCCTCGATGTCGGGCGAGTTGCTGCCGCTCATGCGCGAGCCCCCGTCGTCGTAGTAGGAGGGCGCGGGCGAAGGGCCGGTCTTGTCGCGGAAGATGGACGAGGCCGGAGACCTGAGCCGGCCCAGTTTGGCGTCGCGGAACTTGTCGAACCATTCCTTCTCACTCTTGATCAGATACTCCTCGATGCAGAGCTGGGACTCGGATGTCGATCCGTTCAGGTCGCCGAGTCGCTTGTCGAAGGCCCGGTAGTACTCGCCCGTGCTGTCGGTGAAGAACGGGTCGACCTTCTGCAGCTTGAAGTCGGTCTTGCTGCCCACCACGGAGTCCAGGGAGAGCACGGACGCGCTACTGAGACGGTTGTTGGCCGGGTCGAGGACGCGAGGGGGGGGAGAAGGCTCTGGGACTGGTGCGCGCCAGGGCTGCCGGGCAGCTGAAGCTGGCTGAATCGCAGGTTCGGCGAGTCTTGACTGTACGGTCTCTCGCCGGGGCTGACCGGCGGGCGACCACCCCCGGGCTGCTGCTGTTGGGCCTGGAGACGACGGCCCTCCTCGACCTGCGCCGGCGTGAGGGTGTACTCGTCGTCCGCGTACAGGTTGGCCACCATGTCATCTTCGCCGCCCTCCTCCACGTCGGTCATGCCGCCGTCGTCCTCCGGGATGCTATCGCGGTTGCGTCCACGGCGAGCCTGGCGTTCCTGGTGGCCGGGTCCGGAGCGAACACCCAGCGACAGCGAACGCTGGAGACCCGATTTGGGCTTCTCCGTACCGGTAGGGCTGGGGTCGCGGCTGTAGTTGGTCTTGGGGTCGGAGACATATTCACTCAGGCGGTTCAGGTTGGAGTAACTGCTGTCGCGGGAGTGAGCCAGGGGAGTCTGGATGCCGGGAAGGGGCAGGGACGGGCTCATGGGCTGGCTGGTGCCAGACGGGGTGAAGGGGCGACCGTGGTTCTTGACCAGTTCCTTGTTGTGGACCTGGATGGCGGTGGTCTGCAGGATCTCGAGATCCTCGACCCACTGGGCGACGGGGAAACGCTGCTTCGCGGACCTCGCACGCATCATGGCACGGGTGTTGGTTTTCGAGCTCAGCGCCGCATCGATCGCCAGCTTGAACTGGTAGATCAGATGGGACGTGGCGGTCGATTCCACATTGTACCACCAACCGGGCATCTGACCGAGACCCCCGACTCGGGCACCGATACCAAGGGCTCCCTTGCGGCCGAACTCGACGGCCACCAGACCGAAGGGCTCATCACGCGAGGGGATCAGGGCGAATTCGGCACCGGAGAAGATATAGGGGGGCAGGGCAGTGAATTCGGGGCGGGAGAACACGCGGCCAGGGTAGACCTTCATCATGTGGTCGAGCTTGAGGGCCGCAAATTTACCATAGAGATCGATCACCGGCCCGACACAGATCAGTTGCACGTTCGGGCGCGCCTCCATGACCGCAGGCATGACGTCGGCAATCAGGTCGACACCCTTCTGCATGGACCAACGACCGACGAAGACCAGCAGATCAGCATCCGGGTTCTGTTCGAGCCCGGCCCATTCCTGGGCCTGACGCTTCAGCTCGGGTCTGGCGGTTTCGAAATCCGGATCCACGGTGACGTTGTCGCTCATCGCCTGGGCCTGTTCCTTGCTCCACTCGCCCACATCGGAGGGATCCGGGTTAGGCAGGTTACCGACCTTGCGGAGACCCCAGAAAATGGGGTACCGGGCATAGGACCGCTTTCCGTACTTCTTGGACACGCCGACGGCACCGAAGCCTTGCTGGTGGACACGGAGATAACTGGCCCCCGAGTGCAGGAGGTTGAAGACCTCGCCGAACTGGACGTAATGCCGGACGGTTTCGATATCCAGGTTGAACACGGAGCACACTTCCTCCTTTTCTTTGAGCGTGCGCATGGGCCACAGACCCTGGAACTCGGCGTTGTGCAGAGACAGACAGGCGGGGATGGTGCCGGGGAGGAGGTACAGGGGGGCGAGGGACCCGTGGTAATCGTTGATGTGGTAGAGATCGATGGGGAATCGCTTGCAGGCCTCGGCAATGCACTGGTTCCACGCGGAGTAGTAAATGGCACTGTTGAGGTCATCCATGCGGGCCGGGTAGGGTTCGGACTTGGACTGCTGGCGGAAGACAGGCGCGTCGAGCAGCACGTAAGTGATGTTGTTGAGGACGTGGTACTGGACCTGCACCTCATAGTCGTTTCCGAGGATGCGCACGTTCATGGGCTCGGCCTGGTGATCCACGGGGTAATCGACACCACCCACGCAAGGAACAACCCAGATCAAGTCCTGATGGCCGAGCGTCTTACCCATGAGTTGCGCCATGACACCGAGACCACCGATTTTGATCTTGATGGCCCAGTCCTCAATATCGTACTCCATGGTGGCAATGAGGACCATGCGACGCTTGCCGCCCGCTGCCACTGCCGCACCGCCGATGGCCGTCGTGGCCTGCAGGAAGCCAGACTTGTTCGCCAGACGCATCAGGGGGTTGCCGCCGCCGCCGCCGCCCTCTTCACCACCGCGGGCGCGCTTGAAGCGCCGGCGGATGGCCAGGGGGATCATCTGGTGCTTCTCACTCACTCCGACCTGGTTGAACTTGACCTTGTAGAACGACTTCATGAAGATGTACACGCACAGGGCGCCCGTGATGGCCGGGACAATCCAGAACATCACGTACATGGCGATCTGCACGTTCTGGTGACCGACGGGGAAGAGCTGGAACTTCAGGGTGCCATCGTTGATGAGGATGTGCCAGGAGATGTAGGGGTGCGGAGGGGGCTCGGTGATGTTGATCAGGGTGGCCGACAGAGACGAGGGGGGCATGCGGTCGAGCACCGAGTCATTGTCCGCATCACCCAGCACCCAACTCTGATCGGGCTTTCCATTGGGATCCATGCCCCAGATGTTCAACTGCGCGACCGCGGGCCATTCGTTCGTGAAGTGGTACTTCCACAGCCCGTCCTCCTGATCCTGGGTGACCTTGTTGTTCAAACCCGCGTCATAGCCGTACTCGTTGTAGGGTCCGTTGAAGTGGACGTGGGGGAATCGACGAGGGAATTTGCCGTCCCAATCATAGTCACCTTCCTGGTGGTAATCACTGCTACCGGTCAAGCGGTTCCAGTACTCCACGCGGATGTGCTCGCCCGCCCACTCCTGTTTCTTCGTGCCCGACCAGGCCAGCTTCTCGATGGTGTCGTTTCCCCCCGTGTACGTCTTCCAGTCGGAGAACGTGCTGCCCCAGTTGGTCGAGTACCGCCATTTGTCGGCGCCGGCGGCGTGATGTTCGACATATAGCGTGCCGTTGGAGTCCTCGTGGAGCAAACTGCTCGAGTAGTTGGCGGAGCTGAAGATCATCGGGTTATCGACCTGTCCGATGCGGAAGAGAAAGTGGTCGACCGCGTCGGTGGTCTCGTTGCCGCTGGCCGCGCTGACGTTGGTCACCGTGATCCGATGGACCCCGTTGTAGACGCCCGTCAGGTTAGCCGACCACATCCAGTTGCTCGGGAGCTGTCCGGTGTAGGTGGTGTTGGTGGCGGTGATGTTCTTGCAGCTGACAGTGCTGGTATCCAGGGTCGGGGTGTTGCCGCTCTCGGTGGACGAGTTGAAGGTCATCGAGCTGGTCACGGAGTCGCAGTCCATCGCCTCGGAGAAGTACAGCGCGATGCTGACGCTCTCATCCAGGTTCGGGGCCACCGTTGACTGGATCGGGTAGTCGTGTCCGGGGGTGAACTGGGTGATCATGGGGCCGGCCTTCAGGAAGCGGGAGACGGGCACGTAGGCACGGTATTCGTACGCGGCCATGGTCATGTTCGACAGACAGCCGTTGTACTCGGTCGAGCCGTTGAGGCCGAGCTTGGTGGGGCTGGAGATCAACGTGTGCTCGTCGTACGGGTGGAACAGGTTCTTGACGGTGGTGCCGGTGTCGAAGGGGGAGATGAGCGCGGTGTCGTTGTCCGTGCAGTCGAAGGTGTACGAGATGGTGCGGTTGGTGTTCTGGTAGACCAGCCAGATAGGCTGGTTGTCTATATCCGACCCCAGATCCTGCACGTTCGCGTCGACATTGCGGAGGATCGACCACATCCCGGTCTCCGTGGCCACACCGTCCGAACCGGGATAGTACACGTTCTCGGTCATGTTCGACAGCCGTTCGAGGGTATAACCATCGTTGAGGGTGGGGAACTGGCGACGCATCTGGTACATGTGTTTGATGATGTTGCGTACCGGGTGGGACGGATCGCGGTGGTCGTAAGCAACCGTCTCATCATGGCAACCATTGCGGCCACTCTCGATGGGCCACTTGTAGTACTGCGAGGAATCCAGCGAGAAACACCCGTGGTCCCTCCACGCGGTAGCAGGAGACATGCTCTGACGACCATAGATATAGTTCGCCGCCGTCGCATCCAGGATGTAAAATGCCTGTTCCTCACCCCAGAGGAGGAGAGGAATGCCAGGAAGCAGCAGGGTGGTAATGAACTGGCCGAGCAACTGACGCTCCACTCCCTTTTCCACTGTCGGCCAACGGAACACATCCTGGTTGGTGGCACCGTACAGATGGCGGGGGTCGAATTTGCCGGTGTTAGGGTTGATCAGATCGTTGGAAGTCAGCATCTCGTTCCACGCGTCCACCCAATCGACAGGTAGATCATAGCCAGCGGCCAAGTTACCGTCCATGCCGAGGAATCGGGTAAGGGCTCGGTAGATCGAATAGTGGAAGGCCGCTCCATCGATCGCCTCGAGACCGGCTTCACGCAGGAAATATTGCGAATCCGAGGTATTGGTCATGTTCATGGCGTACTCCGCGGACGAGGGATACTGATCCGGCTGACGGCCTCGACCGAGATAGATGGCACCGAAGGTGTTTCCACCTGTGATCTCACCCGCGATGAAGAAGTTCTCTTTACCCACGGCACGGGCGCACTCGCGATACGCGCTGGACATGTCACCCAACGCGTCGACGGTCGATTGGGTCGCCTTGTCGTAACGGAATCCGTCGATATCGAGCGAATAGATGATCATACACGAGTGACGGATCAGACGCTCGCGAACCGAGGGGTGCCATTCACGGAGTCGATCCTGGACGGAGGCGAATTTGGCCAACTCACGTTCCCAATCCGGGAACACACCGAAGGCCTCAACATCACCATATTGGTCGAAATCACTGTTGTAACAGCCGACGAGTTCCTCGTTGACGGACTCCTGGACAGGGTAGCCGTTCTCGAACCAGAACCGGGGGTAGTCGCACGTGTCATTATAGTCGTTTCCGAACCGGAAGTCAACGTATTGCCGTTCGGATTTCCACACCACCTGATGCTCCTTCACGGTAAAAGGGGCCGTGGTGTTCAGATACCCGTCGAATCCGATCAGATCACCCATGCTGCGCAGACGGTTAGCAGACCTCCGCGGGGGGGAAGGGGGAGGGGGCGGGAGATTGGAGCACATACGTAGCGATGGTATTGTCGAAAATGACATACATGTTGCGCTTGTGGATTTCGGTGATGGCGTCTCGCCACACTTGAATGGTTCCATAGTGTTGATCCAGGAGCGTTGTGTCCAGCGCCGAATAGCCGTCATAACCCCAGGGCTGGTTCATCAAGGTGGTTCCCGCGATATATAGGGCCTAAACAACCTCAGTATATGCCATCCCATGCGACGCGACCCCCAGAGCGACAGACCTTGACTCCCATGCCTTGCAGGTAATCCAGAGTGTCCACCAGACCGACCACATCGCCACCGTGACGCATCTGAGTCTGGGAGATATCATGTTCGAAGAGGGTGCCATTGATGTTGTCGTTCGTGGGGTCGCCGTTCACGAACCGATCGAGGAAGACGGTGTACACGGGGAAACGCCAGTTTTCGGGGGAGGGGTGGTAGCTGCCGGTGTGGTTGGGCCATTCTCCCCAGTAGTCGGCCGGGTTTGTTGCCGTCTTATTTGTGTTGAGATTGTAGTCGACGAGGGATTCATTGTAGGGCCAGGCCTTTGCGGTTGCGGCGAGCAAGGCAAGCAACGGGCCCGAGGACGCCCACTTCATGATGGGGGAGAGGGGGGGGGGGGGTCGGGGAGACCCAGGAAAGACGACTTGCCAGTTCACCAGTAGAGGGGGAAGATGATGGATACCCTGCTAGAAAAAAAAATAAAATAAAAAAAGGTCCAGTCTAAGGAGCTCGCGCGTGGTTGTCGTGCAGGGCCGTCAAACACCGTCTGGAGAGCTGCAGTGGGTGGCTTCCAAGCTCTCTCCACTTCTTCCTTTTTTTTGTCGCAAACGATGCCGGGGGTGACTGATAACGAGCGATAGGAATCTGATAAGCAGCAGCTCAGAAACCGACTTCAACGAGTGAAAGCCGGGGGGAGAACAAAACAAGAACAGAAAACGAATGCATGAGAAGGGGAAAAGATGATACGAGGGAGACGAAGAGAAAAGGTGGTCAACTGAAACGACCCCAGGGCGGCGAGAAAGGGCTGAGGGCTGAGGGCTGAGGGCTAGCAGCGATGCCTCTGAGGCTCAGCACATACGAGGCTTGGAAATGCGACGGATCCGCGAGCTTCAGCGATAGTGGATCAGGGAAGCGCAAAGACGTCTCGTTTCTGCTAATAATAACACGGCGCAGACCGAGGGCCTCCGTCTATTGCTCACAGCGCCAGCTCATTCAAGACCTTTGTCCCGTATCAGGTAAGATGACGAGCCGGGGCGATATAGTGAGCACGCTGTTTTACCCTAGCTTGCCCAGTTATATGTCCCCGTCCGGGCCGGATCACTTTTTGCGACTGACTTCAAGACTTGGCCGACCAGTGGTGACCAGTGGTGACTAGCTTCTGGCCCCGGGTGATGAGGTAGCAGACTTGCCTGTTCGAAGGTAAAAAAAAGGGCCGGTGGGTGCGCGGAGAGCCAAACCACGAATGGAGATCTGGGCAGAGGAGAGGGAGAGAGAGAGTTTGATGATACATGCTCGTATGAAAGTACGGGAACCGTTGAGTTTCCCTCTTGGACAGGGGACTTGCTAGTATTGCAACTGTAGAGGAGGGCCAGTCAGGAAAGGGTGGAGACTCCAAGGGGGCAATCGGCCGGTTCCATTGATACACCCGTGGAGCCCTTTCCAGGTCACAAATACGACCCAACTGTTCAGCTCGAGATAGCGATACTTGCGGTACCGAGTAGATACGGAACCTCTACTCAGCATTCTACGGAGTACAACCACACATCCATCGCCCCAGGCCGAAAGTGCCGGCCCGCGGGTTGTGCCCATGGGACCCCCCCGGTCATCTGGGCTGGGATGGGATGGGATTGGGGGGGGGAGGATGTGTGGCTGTCTGCCAGCTGCGAGGGCCACCATCCCCTGCGGCAGAGTCAGATCTCGTGTCGTCACCCAAATGGGAGGTGGAATTGGAGGTCAATGGATGTAACTGGGATGTAACTGGATGTACATGTATGTATGTAACTGCAAACCTGATTAGGGCCCGAGTGGTGGCGGTTGAAGGTTGCAAACCCTGTCGACAGTACGAGAAACACGAAAACTTTATTGGCCACCCCCCAGGCAGCGACTAGTGCCTGAGATGTCTTACTGTCATCCATCCTCACCATCCTTATGATCATTATTATTATAAATATGCTCTTCATGATGTTCTTGATGTTCATGTGGTCATTCACTGTTGCCATCCCCATTATTACCTCCAGACGTGACAACGTACCGGTACCTGTACATGTACCTGTAAGGTATGTATTAATTACCATACAGGACCTCCCTGGGATGGCCCTCCCCCGGAGACAGCCAGAGTATCGTATATTGTACTGAATACCCCGCCGGTACCGATTCCGATAAGGACGGGCCGCCACCATTGGCCGTGGCCGGTCTCGGTGGTAATGGCCCATGCATGCAGTGCCTGAATCGAATCGACGGCTATGCTCTATAGAGCATCCCCATCGGATGTATCTGCCTGCATTCGTTCGGTCAGGAACCCCCCCCTGCCCTTCAATTATTCTTCTGCTGTCCTTCAATCAAACCCGCATAATTGCTTTCCCCTTGATAACACTATTGGCTGTCTGGTGTCGGTCGAAAAGCAATATCACGCAGAAAAGGAGGTACTATAGATGTAGAAATTAAATACTTGCACTAGAGTATCAACGGGTGAATGAAGCATGGAGAACCAGGACGCCATCCAGGCCGTGGGCGGGCCCTGCTGCATACGTAGGGCGGATGGGTGAAAATTCCAGAACACTGTCACGGCGGGCCCCTGCCCTCCGACCGGGGTTTATTCTTGGTAACAACAACATTCCAGTCTCACCCGTCTCGTCTTGTCTTGTCTATTGACATCCCAGGAAGGGAGGGTCTGCTGGTCTGCCTTCCTGCCTGATGTTTGCCGTCAGGCCCCCATCCATCCCTTCTGCCGGTGGCCATAAACAAACATTCTTTTGGGATCGATTCGGCAATGGCCGAGAAAACTCCTTCTCACATCATCCATCTCCCCCAACCCCAACACCACCCTTGCAAGCGGACCTGAAAAGCGAGGTGAGAACGGCGGGAACACCAAGATGCAGGGGCCCGCTTTCTCGCCCGGGATCCGTAGTCGGTCAAGCCATCCTACGGAAGATGTACGATTTGTCTTCCGTCGGTACGGAGCACCAGATAGAACATCCGGCTCCCAGGCACCGTCGAATCCTCTTCCGAACACTAATGAGTACCGACAGCGTACCTACGGAGTCGATACTCTGTATCTCCGTACGGTCATCGCCATGGGATGACAATTAGTTTGCAGCGTCAGACAGTGGGGCATGGGCCCAGGGATTACGGGATAGCAGTGGCCAGCGAGCATCTGGTGTATGTGGTGTGTATGCAGGCTAATCCGCAGCCGGAGGAAGACCTCGACCAGTCCTGGTCCGTCCAGAGCTGCTTCCAAAGAGGAATGGGTCTCGACGGGGTCTTTGAACCCTTGGCACAACCGCCGCCGTCTGAGCATCACACTAACTCGGCCTTAGTCTGCGCCTAGCTTCAGCCTAGCCTGTGCTTAGCGTCCTGGTAAGGGTCCGTCTGGCTGCTCGGATAAAAAAAGAAAAGTGGTAAAAAAACAAAAAGACAAAAAAAAAAAAAAGTGTGTGAGAAAGAAAGAAGATAGATAGAGCCATGCATGTATGTCTTACCCTTCTGGGCCCTGCCGGCCAATCACCCGCCCGGTCCCTAACCGAGCCAATTCAATTCTTTGGATCTGGGACTTTTGGGTAATCCGTACCGACTCCTGTAAGCCAGCTGGGTAATCTTTGGTAATCTGGGTAATCTGGGTAAGCTGTATGCAGCCAAGCCTTTTCCATTTTACAAAATTTCCTCGCTGGCCTTGTCCATCACAGCTTGCCCGTATTTTCATTTCAAGTGAAAAATTTCGCCCGCGCGACGATCAACTGGCTGACCTGAACCGCAACCGCAAACAAAGAACCCCCCGAGCCCCGACGACTCTCTTGCTCCCCTCCTCCACCCCCCATCATCACCACCACCACCACAACAACAGCACACGTCCAAATGCCCCCCCAAAGCCCCGCGCAGCGCTGATTCGTCGTTTTCCTCATATGAATAGTTACGTGGCGGGCGCCCGCTTGCTTACGTATATCCGGCCTGCTAGGCGCCTCTTTCTGGCCTGCACAGGACTTTGTATACGTAGGGTGGGCGACGTCACTCCTCACCAGCGACATCTTATCGGTTAGTCCGTCAAGCCACTACTAGTAGCGTCGGTCTCCACCTTTCTCAAATCAAGCCATAATAGGCGGGTGCGACCGAGATAGGTGCTAGCCAGAGCTAGCCAGAGCTAGTCAGAAGGGAAGGTTAATTTGTCCTTTTTTTTTCCCACTTATCGCCCGCCCCAGCCCTCGATTTTTCGGTGCCACCATATGCAACCGGGCCAAAGTGGTCAAGCGGGGGGCCACCCGGTCCGACCAGGCTGAGTTGGGCTGAGGGCCGGTCGGCCAAACAGCCCGCCCCTCGCCTGAGTCGTGAATCGTCAATCATATTACCAAGCTTTGCCCTCCGGCGGCTTCGTTGCGTCTCGTGTAGCAGGTGGCAGGGCATCACTCCCTATTACTTAAGATCTCAGGCCCGGAAGGCGACTGTCATCACTGGACTCCGTAGAACGTGTGATCTGAGCCCCGAGCCCTAAAAACCTCGGTGCTACCTGCCAGACCGGACGGACATCTTCCATCCTCGGGCTGGCATCGCCGGTGGTCTGACTGTCTTACATTATTATCTAACAGATAACAGCCAGCTCAGGGGGACAAGGTACTCTTAGCGTCTCATTGGTGACTTGGTTGAGTTGGTTGGCCACTTTCCCAGGCTAACTCGTCCTCCCAGGAACGTGTCTCACGCCCCCATCTCCGCCCCTCGGCCCTTCCCGGGTCTCTGAACCTCTCATGTTGGTGTTCCTGGCAGTAGCTTGTCAACTTCCTTGGCCAGTAGCCACTGGGGGGCAAGCCGGGAGTTGATTTAGCAGCGTGTCAGAGACATTAGACATTGCAGTACCTTCATCCAGGGGAGGAGGGGGCAAGAGTCAGGAGAGACGGTGTGCGCAGAAATAATCCCATTGTGCAGGGGTCGACGGACTCAAGCCTCGAATTAACGTGAGGTGACAGCTGCAAGGGAGAGATTGCGAGATAGCGCCCGGTCCAATGGCAGGGCTTGACAAACAGCAATCAAGCTCTCTCTTCCTGCTACTAGTCTCTGCTGGCAGTGACTGGCCTACCTATGACCGGTGCCACTTGGGCCCCCCGCCCCGGCTAATCTATCAAGGAACCAAGGCATGTGACCGGGTTTTCGCGGAAAACCGCGCGATAGGGGCTGCGAAGGACAGCAAGCATCCCCCCCCCCCCCCCCCCCAAAAGGCCTCGAAATTGAGGAAAGGTCGCCCCCACGATAAAATCATGGCTGCCGACGATGCAGCTGGCTGGGTCGGACTACTTATATCTGGGAGGGATTCACACGCCATGATGGGGTGGCGACAGCACTGCGGGCTGTCAGAATCCGTCGCGATTCCTGGGCAGGCACCAGTATAGACCTACAGTAAGCTACACTGAGTTAGGGCTCGCCGGCGCGGTGTTCTGGCTGATCTGCTGCTCCACTTGTCTGCAATTTGGCTCTCGAATGTAGATAGACCGGCCATCTTCCCCAGGATTGAACCTTCTCTCGCTTTTCTTCCCCTCACCTGTTCCTTACTAGCAGTCGTCACGCCAGCGGATGTGCCTCTCTTTTAATTAATCGCTCGTTCGATCTTTCTCTCCTTCCTTCTTTCCATCCATCCATCCGCTCACCCTCTTCATCGCCTCTAACTGACCCTCTCATTCTCTCGCTACCTGTAAAAAGCCTTTTTTTTTTTCTCTCATCACTCGTTCTGAGCGCTCAGTACCGATTGCCCGTGTTCTCCTTTCCGCGTTACAGGGCCTTCATGAACGCGCCTCGACATTAGCCCCCCACAAACGCCTTTCCCCTCACTTTAGGCATCCGCTTCTTATGACTTGTGCTTAAACGGAAATTGGAAATTAACCTCCCCTCTCAAAGATATCGCGGCCATGGTTTCGAGTTCACTTTTCGCCCGATGGGCTGCTCTCGCCAGCCTGGTAGGGCCGTCCCTGGCCGCCACCACAGAGGAATGGAAGCACCGCTCCGTCTACCAAGTGATGACAGACCGGTTTTCGCGCACAGACGGCTCCCTCACGTACCCCTGCAACACCACGGAAGGTCTCTACTGCGGTGGAACATGGCAAGGGCTAATCAACAAGCTGGATTACATCCAGGGGATGAACTTCGACGCGGTGATGATATCGCCCGTAATGGAAAACATCCCGGGTCGGGTCTCGTACGGAGAGGCCTACCACGGCTACTGGCCGCTGGATCTGTACAATCTCAACTCACATTTCGGGACTCACGAGGATCTGCTCGACCTCAGTGCGGCCCTCCATAACCGCAGCATGTATCTGCTCGTCGATATGGTCATCAACAACATGGCGTACATGACCTACGGCAACGACCCGGCCACAACCATCAACTACACCGTTTTCACCCCCTTCAACAGCTCGACCTACTTCCACTCGTACTGCATCATCACCAACTGGAACAACTACACGGACGCCCAGCTGTGCCAAACCGGAGACGACGAGGTCGCGCTCCCCGATCTGTTCACAGAGCACGAGGTCGTTCAGGATCTGCTCGAGAGCTGGTCCAAGGATCTCGTGGAAACCTACTCCATCGACGGCCTGCGTATCGATGCCGCCAAGTCCGTCACCCCCAGCTTTCTGCCCAAATATGTCGACGCCGTGGGCGGCTGGATGACCGGCGAGGTCATGGACTCGCGCGCCTCTATCGTCTGCGACTACCAGAACAACTACCTGCCCAGTTTGCCCAACTACCCGCTGTACTACTCGATGCTGACGGCGTTCATCTCGAACAACATCAGCGCGCTGCTCGCGGAAACCCAGGAAATCAAGAATCTGTGCGACGACCCGACAGCCATGGCGGTCTTCTCCGAAGACCAGGATATCGCACGGTTCGCCAGTCTGGACGACGACATGGCTGTATGAGCCCCTCCCCCTTCTCCCTGACTAGTTTTGCGCCCACTAACTCAACCCCCCAGCTTGCCAAGAACGTCATCACATTCGTTATTCTCTTCGACGGCGTGTCGATGATCTACCAGGGCCAGGAGCAGCACCTGAAAGGCGATGGGGTGCCCTCCAACCGCGAAGCGATGTGGCTAGCCGGCTACAACGAGACCTCGGAGCTATACCTGCTTATCAAGAGCCTCAACGCGATCCGCAAGCACGCCTACAACCTGGACAACACGTACTCGGACCAGCAATCGATCAACATCTACGAAGGCAGCAGCGAACTGGCCTTCTGGAAGGGCACCTACGGCCGGCAAGTGATCATGGTGATCAACAACCAAGGCTCGACCGGCGGCGCCTACAGCCTCACGCTCCCGATGACCTACGGCGCCGGCACGGCAGTCACTGAGGTTCTCACCTGCGGCAACTACACAGTCAACGACAACAGCGAACTGATCGTCGAGATGGACGCCGGGCTCCCGCGCGTCTTCTTCCCCACCGCCTACATGGAAGGCAGCGGCATCTGCGGCTACAACTACTCGAACGTGTCGTACGCAGACCTGAAGCTGAAGAACGCGGGCGAGTCGACGTCGCTGGGCGTGCAGTCCAGCACCGTCCCCAGCGTTCTGCTTTCGCTTCTCCTGTCTCTGATGGTCGGGCTGTTTGTGGGGTCGCTGTAGAACATGAGTGGGGTGGAGTCGACTAATCAATCCCCTTCCGCCTCCCCATTGTGGATATCTGACGTTAATTCTGTATATTTTTTTTCGCTTCCTCCCGCCGAGTCTTTCTTTGTCGAAATGTCCATAATACCCTCATCCTGATCTGATTCTGAAACCTTGTCTCATTTTCGTATATGACTGGTGCTAGCTAGCTATCTAGGCTAGCTATCTAGGCTAGCTTTGTATATACATAGTACGACTTACATAACGTGTGATATGTGTCCATCCTGTCCAAACTCATCTATTTCTACGAGATATTTTTAACGTTTATTTTTATCTTTATTATATGTCTCACCAGATCCCCATGCAACAAATTGCTTTCTTTCTTCCTCATCAATCTATTTTCATTTTCCCATTTTCCCAATCTCCCACCACTAGATAGATACTATCTAGTGTTATTATTATTATTATTATTATTATTTCTATTATTATGATTCACTAGTGAGTTAAAATTTTTGCTTATCTGCGCCACGCAGGAAATGGTGGTGTTAGGCCGGGATTCTGGACGCGCTATAGATTTTCTGCCCGGATTGTTCGCCCTCCGACCGAGAAGTGTTCCGTGTGGACTGGACAGCACAGCGGAATATTCCCTCCCACTCACCCACGTCCCACTTTAAACTCCGGCTGTCTTATTTTCCGCGACCGTAAGGAAGGAAGGATATATTCACTGCAACTGCAAGTACTTTCTTTGTAAACGACTTACACAGGTTATAGATCACGTCACACTCACAGTAGGTAGGTACAGTGAATAAAGTCAAAGTCAAAGTAAAAATAAAAATCAAAGTCAAAGTAACACTGGGTTGTCTATGACGCACACGACCCAATAATTTGCCCCTGCCTCTCTCTCCCTCCGCCCGTACGCAGTATCCATACCACTTCCGTCTGCCACGCTTTTCCATGGCAGCCACCCAGACGGCAACCTCAACGGCCATTCGCCCGCCCGTCGCCCGATCACCCGGAAGTCGGAATGGGCCCGGCGACGGCAACCCTCCGGATCTCCTCCTCCCTCCGCCCTAGGGCTAAAAATAATCATGGTGCCTGGAAATAATAATGAAGACTCGGCTGGGTCCTATGACCTGCGGGCTGCGGACTGCGGACTGCGGACTACTTTCCGGGCCTGGACTTGTCACTTCCCACCTACATACATACTATTTACCTGCCAACCTTGGTTTGAATGCCATTGGATTGATTGATTGATTGATCCATACATTACGTTTTGGATTGGGGTTGTTAGTCTTTGAGCTAACCTGTCCTGGATTACATTGATTGAATTGGTTTGTTTGGAAGGATCTATAACCTCTTTTGTGTGTGTGTTTGTGTTTGTGCTGCTGTTTGTAGGGGTGTGATAGCCAGAGCTATACAGACTATTGAGTATTGAGTATTGATTGCATCATGCTATCCTTTCTCACGGCGTGCCGGCCACGGCGGAGAAAGGGCCAGCAACAGCACCAGCAAACCCAACAACAACAACACCATCAAGAGCCAAACTGGAAAGAAATTGAAGGTGAGTAGCCATCTACATTCTACATTCTACCTTCCACCCACCCACATCTCATCCGTCCCATCCATCCCAATGATCCCACCCCAATTCCAATCCCAAACTCGATATCTAACACCCCCCAGAAAAAGCCTCCCACCTCCCCACCCACCCCTCCTACCACACCCCCACACCCAACAGCACCCTCTTCGAAACCTTTGAATGGCACACCCCGTCCTCCGCGTCATCGCGCCACTACCCGCGCCTCCGCGCCGCGCTCCCCGCGCTACACGCCGCCGGCATCACGGACATCTGGCTCCCGCCCGGCTGCAAGGGCATGGACGCGCACGGCAACGGCTACGACATCTACGATCTGTACGACCTGGGGGAGTTCGAGCAGAAGGGGGCGACGAGCACGAAGTGGGGGTCGCGCGGGGAGTTGGAGGAGCTGTTGGGGGTCGCGAGGGAGTTGGGGGTCGGGGTTGTTTGGGATGCGGTGCTGAATCATCGGGCTGGGGCGGATGGGTGTGAGGCGTTTGAGGCAGTGAGGGTTAGGGAGGGGAGTATGTTTTCCTTTCCTTCTTTCTTTCTTTCTTCTTTTGCTTGTTTATTTGTTCATCTATATTTCTTGTTGAGAGGGAGAGGGGGTGGGGGTGGGGGTGGGAGTGAACGAGTGAGGCTGACGGGAAATCAATATCAATATAGGACGGGACATTGAAACGGGCCCCGCGCTCGAAATCAACGGCTGGACACGCTTCGACTTCCCCGGGCGCGGCTCGACCTACAGCACGCAGAAATACAACTGGAACCACTTCAGCGGGGTGGACTGGGACGACAAGAGGCAAGAGAAAGCGATTTTCAAGATCCGGGGCGCCCACAAGACCGGCTGGGCCGACGACGTGGGCAAGGAGAACGGCAACTACGACTACCTGATGTTCGCGGACGTGGACTACGCGAACGCGGAGGTGCGGGCGGATGTGCTGCGGTGGGGGGCGTGGATTAGCTCGCTGCTGTCGCTGAAGGGGATGCGGTTGGATGCCGCGAAGCATTTCTCGATGGGGTTCCAGCGCGAGTTCATCGATCATGTGCGGCGCGAGACGGATGCGGAGTTCTGGGTCATGGGGGAGTATTGGTCGGGCGACGTGAAGGAGTTGGTCGGGTATCTGGAGGAGATGGAGTATAGGGTTTCGGCGGTGGACGTGCCTCTGGTGGTGAATTTCTCGAGACTGTCGAGGACGCCGGGCGCGGATCTGAGGAGGGTGTTGGAGGGGACGCTGGTCGAGTGTCGGCCGGATAATGCGTTGGTATGTCTTTTCCCTCCGTCCTTTTCTCCAGACGTAAGGACATGTGTCTGTGTGTGTGTGTGTCTGCATATGTGTACGGAGTACTGCAGAGTGAAGAAAGGCTGATAGATGAACAGACCTTCGTCGCGAATCACGACACGGTAAGTCCCCCAGTCAATCGGTCTCGTTCGCTTTCGTTTCTTTTAGTCCGAACCGGCAGCGCTGACGTGGACATGCACACGCACAGCAACCAGGACAAATGCTCGAGGTGAGTACCTACATCCATACCCCGGACACTCTGCCTCCACGCTACCCCGGATAAGCAGCTTAGCCTCCCCGGAGACCCGACTAACGACGTGGCAGAACGTGGTGTCGCCGCAATTCAAGCCGCTGGCCTACGCCCTGATCCTCCTGCGCAAAGGCGGCCAGCCCTGCGTCTTTTACGGGGACCTGTACGGCGTCAACCACGGGGACAAGCCACTGACCCCCGCCTGCGAGGGCAAACTGCCCCTGCTGACGCGCACTCGGCAGTTGTATGCCTACGGCGAACAGCAGGATTACTTCGACCAGCCGAATTGTATTGGTTGGTTTCTCCTTCTATTTCCCGACCGGATGGGTGTCTGACCATCCATCCATCCATCCATCCATCCTGATCTATTCATATGCTATCCCATCCTATCCTATCTACGGAGTATATTACTCACATATGGACCACTAACGGAGAAAAGGCTTCATCCGCTACGGCAACGCCCTGCACCCATCCGGGCTGGCCTGCGTCCTGAGCAACGGCGCGGCGGCCCAGAAGCGCATGTACGTTGGCGCCAACCACGGCCACGAGAAATGGACGGACGTGTTACACGACGAGGCCCGACCGGTGGTCATCGATGAGTCTGGCTACGGGGTTTTCCCTGTCCCGCGCATGGGGGTCAGCGTGTGGGTGAATGCCGCGGCCCCTGGCCGAGACAGTCTCGCCCTGCCGTTGTAAGTGCCGTCCCACTTTCACTGCCACTGCCACTGGAAATATCAGGATTCTATTTCCGTTTTCCCGTGGGCTTGAATTTGAGGCTGAGTTGAGTGATTGAGTGACTGACTGACTGACTGGATATATATAGTGATGCTAATATATATCAACACTAAGTTGAATAACTAACTAACTAGAGTACCTGTATGGGGTATGTGTATAGTGTATATTATATTTAACAACTAACTACCTACCTACCTACCTACTTACTTAATTCGCGACTGTAGAGGAGAGGACTTTTGACTGACTGACTGTACCGGTACATAGCACACATGCAGGCACGCAGCCAGGCATACAGTAGATAGCATCATCATCATCACAATCACAGTGGCAGTAATCATGTGCAAAAAAAAAAAAGAAAAGAAAAGAAACACACTAAGCCCAATTCCCGCGCCCCTCCTCCCCAGCCCCCAAATTACTGAGAGACAACCCATACATGAAAACCCAAATCCACATCCAATCACCCCCCGCCCGACTGGACCTAGCGAACCTAAAAATAATCCTACTGTAAAGTACGGAGTGCAGTAGATAAGATACACTAACTACACACAACACAGTAATCTGCCCGATTTCCGCTCTTTCCGGTGGATCCGAACTGCCGCTGCAATCTATCTACATAGTAACTAACTACAATACGGAGTAGAAAAAGTAGATACTGGGAGGTCTGCGACTGGAGGACGGGAATCCAACCAGATCTGGAAATTGATCCCTGGTTGGTTGGTTGGTTAGTTGTGTCCGAACGGAGAGTCGGAGTGGGTGGATTGGGACTTCGGCACCGCCCGACAGGAAGATTCCTTCCTATCTGGGACTGCTCGCGCTGACGGTCTGAACCACGGCTCGGACAGAGAAAAAGACAATCAGCAAACAGAGGGGTTTTTGCAAACGCCGTCTTTACGTACATATACGTCTTTTGCATGCGGTTCTGTATGGATGTATCTTGTACGTACTTGGGTATGTGAGTAAGGGTACGGAGTACAGGTACAGGTACTCCGTACTGGGTTCAATACACTGACTGATACTCCGTAGGTAGAACTGGATGGATGGCGATGTGGACCCATGTCCACGCCCCATGCCCCATGCCCAGCTCATACCCACGCCCCCATGCCCTACAGGGTCAGGGTCAGGGTCAGGGTCAGGCTCGGGTCGGGGTCGGATCAGGGTCTTCTCTCCCACCCACCACCCACCCATCTACTTATCTGGGAATCTGAGCATCTAGCATCGATCAGTACGGAGGAGTATCATCTACATACCCGATACGGATCGATTATCGACCGACTATCGATCGGTATCTACGGTACTATATATACTATCTAGTATCTATGGTAGTCTACTCCGGAGGTACTCCATGGAGTAAATGCAACCCAACTTGGTGGTCCTTTCTCCTACTGCACACAGTATAGACTGTAGACATGTCTCGGAAACTTCGCGCGATATCCCCGCTTGCTAATTACCTAGTGCTTCCACCAGTGGGTCTCGGAGAATTGCGAAAAAGGTGGCCAAACGGGGTAGCTAGCTAGCTATAGTCCCTAGTATCTACCGCACCGCACAAGGTCCACCAGAAGACAGACAGTAGTATCCTGTAACCAACCGTAAGTAAAGAATCGTCGTCCGTCCGTCCCTCAGATCGAACTCGAAAGAATCTCCAGGGTCCTTCCCGGGTCGTCTTAGTGGGGTGGGGGCAAAGGGGAGTGGTGGGTGGGAAAGGGTCCTCGGGAAGGGGAAGTCTGGTGCGACTGCGAGACGAGACGAGACGAGACGAGACGAGACGGAGCTGGGGGGTCTTCGGACGGTTACATCCTTACCTGTCTACCTACCTAACTTACATCTTTACATCGTTACGATCAATAAGAATATCCGGGTTGTGTTTACCTAGGTATTCGTGGCTGGTGGATTGGATTGGGTTGGGTTGGGCGTGGCTGGACTCGGATATCGCCGTGGTTTTTTTTTCTGCTGCTGCTTGGGTTTGTGCTTTGAGTTTGACTTTGGGGGTGATGTGAGGAGGAAGTATCTGCCGAGGTGTACCGGTAGAAGGTCAGGTACCTAGGTACATAAGTACCTGTGTATTGTATATACCTGGCTGTGTGGGATTTTACTGTAGATACTGAGGTAAGCAAGCAAAGTAAGTAGTAGATAAGTAGTAACTAAGGCTGTCGGCACATCCAGTCACGCAGGTACCGACCCACCAGTCGAACGAGCATGGTGCTGTTACTGTTAGACTTAGACCCTGATCAACAGCCGCCCACTGCGGAAGATGCCGATAGGTGTTCGGTGTTCGATGCTGGTTGATCGGCGGTTACTGATAGTCATAGTCGACAGTGGTGGCTGTTGTATAGATTGCTATCTTGCAGTAGTTCATACATATATATATGATGTGCCTGGGGAAATCGCTGCGGTTTGGAATTGAGGGGACGGATCTGCGGTGTATTGCATTGATGTGCACGGGATGGATTTGCTGCAGGGTGGTCTTGCCGCTGCATGAATCTGTTGACGAGATGAAGCTACTACAGGATGGATAGATTGCAGATTGGATGGGCTAAGGCATGAATCGACTACAGAGAGATCTACTCCAAATAAATGCATGCGTACGTGGTAGTGAGTACGGAGTATTGACAACAGAACAAATCTACTAGACAAACGCACACGGTAGATAGTAATGGTAATTATTATGAAGCTATGTAGAATAGTTACAGTACAACCGCGCATTAAATCATAGAGCGACCAGACCAACTAGCCGACCATCATTATCCATCCGTCCTGTATATATCCACGATCGCATCTCAGCAACAGCCAGTCGGCTTACAGGGTGAACGCCAGCATCATCATCAGACCGGCAGCGGCGGAGACGGGGGCAGTCAGGGCGACGGCGGCGCCGGTGGACGTGGGGGCGGTGGTGGAGGTGCCGTTGGCGGAGGTGCCAGCAGTGGAAGAAGCGTGGGAAGACACTGCAGTCGACAGAGTGTTAGCACCCGTCACAGTGGTACTCACGCCGGAAGTCGAAGACCCGGAGGAGGTGGTGGTGTTCGAGCTAGTGGTGGTGCTGCCCTGGGATGAGGAGGATGAAGAGGAGGAGGCAGTACCGGTGGAGGTAGTGCTGGCAGTGGAAGTGCCAGTGGAAGAAGAAGTAGAAGAAGAAGTGCCAGTGGACGAGGCGCTGGTGGAGAGGGTGGAGCTGGAGCTGGAGCTGGCAGAGCCGTCGACGGTGAACTGGTTGGATTGCGCGAGAATTCCGGTGTTCTGGGTGGAGTCGGACATCAGGTTGATCTGGTAACCGTCGCTGTGGTGGGCGTGGTTAGTTGGGAAATAGGGATAACATAGGCGAGGGGCGCCCGTGGGCGCGATTGGACCTTACCCATCGGTAACGCCGGACACGCTGGAGATCGTGTAGGATCCCTTGGAGGTTTCGACGTCGGAGGCGAGCTTGGTGTCGACGCTAGGGTAGATGGCGTTGTTGACGAGGTAGATGTTGAACGAGGTGGGGTCGGTGTCGACGGAAGTCCACGTCACGGTGAAGGACTTGGACAGGTCAACATCCTCGCCCTTGGTGGGAGAAGTGACATTGAGAGCTGGAGATGGTCAGCGCCAGTATCAGATCGGTCGGGACGGGAGGGGTACGAACCGCCAACGAAGGCAGCCAGAGGCAGGAGAGACACGGCGTGAGACAAACGCATGGTGGCTAAGAATCAATCGATAAACGAAAGGTGGGAGGTTAAAAAGTTGGTAACGAGTGGTGGTGGTGGTGGTGGGGGGAGGGATGGGAGTGAGAAAAGTCGACAGATCAGGCAGAGGCAGGGTTAAATAGTGGGATGAGGGCCTCTTATGTCTCAGAAAGTAAGCACGCTCTATACCAGACCAACCAACTGCCCAGCACGATGGTTGGAGGCGAAAACTCGGATGTCTACCGGCACGGTTGCTAAGTATAACCGTTTGAGACCCGGTCCGAACTACGAACTACTCCGTACCACTATTCTTACTGATCGCCTATATATAGCCTGAGTCAACGAACCAAAGGACCGGAGTGTCTCTGGGATGGGGAGGTTTCTAATGACAGCCGACTCTTGGGCATTCGGAAAACCTTGGGGAACACTGGGAAGCGGGCATAGCCGCTGGGATTGGGCGGGTTTCAGGTGTTGCAAGTATTGGCCAACGGAGGGCATGTTTGTCTCTCGCCTAAACGGCCTGGGGGGGCACTTCGATAGCAGGCTACTCGACAGGTCTCTCGTCTCTCGTCTCTCGTACTCTTTCCGACACGCCAACACGCCACTAGTGCGGCCTTGGCAGGGCCAACTGGCTGAGGAGATAAAAAAAAAAGAATGGATGACACCATCATGAGGTTCAGACGTTCGGTAGGACGAGTGGCCAAATCAGGGCTGTGCAGCATCATCGGTTGTTCTCCGATAAGGTGAGACCGAACGTCCCTGTTTTCGCTGCCGAACAACAGATAATGCAAGGGATGGATTTGGTGTAGTGAGTGAATGACCTGTCCATCGTGTATTCAAAGTAGAGTGTCGGACCTGCCACCTCTTATCTCCCCACTGCCGTGCCGTGTTCCCCCCTTGATTCTGCTGTCGCCGTACCACTCGGTATTGAGCGGACATCCTCTCTCTGCCTTGATTCGATTCACTGAGCTGGCGATCAATGTGGAGTAAGGTTGGAGTTATCTCAAATCTCAGGCAAAACATTTAGCCCCCTTTCCTTTCCTTGCCCTTCCTCTCCTTCCATCGGAGCAGTCCAAGATCCCCAACCGGCCGAAGACACGGGCTTATCGAACCCCGATTGTGCGACTCTCACCAACAAAGGAGGCTTACACCTCTTCCACTGTTCCACGAGCCGCAGTCGAGTCGATTCAAAAGCGCCCAACCGGTTATGGTTGCACCCCAGGGGCAACGAACGGCCAAGGCACCTTCCCCGCAAAATATCAGTCTGCATATTTTGCCGCAATCCTTGCTGGAGTCGTCGCGTGCATCGGTGGCTGCGATAGATCTACAGCAGTCGATACGGCTAATAGCTACATCTCTTATTGAAGGGGCTAGTAGGAAATGAGCTTGTTTTGATGATTCGACATATCGATCCTCCTACTTATGCATTCATCCTCGATCGCGTTTGTTAGGTATCTACCGAAGTATGGTACCGTACCATTCATCTCCATGGGCCAATTCAGAACCCACCCAACTGCCATGGATATAGAATCTCCGCCAACCGGTAGTAGCCATGCATATGATCCCCTTATGCGTGCTCTATCATCCGTGTATAGCTTCACCCGGGCTGGACCCAGACAGTGCGACAATACTGAGTATCCCTACTTCATACCAAGGGCACTACATATTTCCTCAGTCTTTCAGCATCCTCTAGGTCCGAAGCTAGCTAATCTTCCCGGCCTATTTGACATTGGTCATTTCCCATCCAAGCTTGCTATTGACGCCATCGGGTTATCCTTTCACATTCGAGACTTGCTTGCGCTATCACAAGACCCGACTCCCATCGGGATGCCGCATCTGGCTAGGTTCAATAGTCGACTGGGGGTTGTCTTTGAGACCAGGGTCATAAAGGTATATTGACGAGCAAGTACAGTACAAGCTTTTCTCCAAGCTGTGCTGGCGGAGCTTGTAAACTCCCTCCAAGCCCGTCTGTTAGTTGCATTAGGGGCTAGCAGAAGCAATAATACCAGGTGGGTTGAGGTTATTTACCCTCTCATTTATTGATATAGTTTTACTTTGACGGTCGAGACGGAAATGACAATACTCCATTCTCGCAGCGAATTCTTCCTCATATGCATAGGCTACTTATCTGTACCTTGAAAAGGTATGTACTATAGATGGCCCTGCAGAAACAGGACCACGCGAGACAGAAATGAAGAACCGATTCCAGTAAATATGAAAGGCGAGCTACACGAGGCCCAGCGCGGATCATCCCAAAAGCTCCTCGGGGCACAAAGGTACAGCTCTTGGCCAGAAGCGCCACAGTGCCACAGAACCACCACAGGCCGGTACGCATGAAAGTACTGTAGCTTCCATATGCACGGGTGGCCTGATGGCTGACTGAGCCCTTTTATTGGCGAGGAGGCTGTATGGAGTAGTCGTTGGTGTTGTGAGTTTTAGACCGATAGACAAAGCTAGTGAGTGGGGTAGTGCTCAGAATGTGAATCCATATACAATCAGGGTGGTGATATGCTTGGTGAGGTCTTGGAGATTGTTGATGGCAGTTGTTTACTCCAGGCGTGACTATGTCGCAGTGGCTCCTTTTTTTTTCGAAAAAAGTTGTTTTTTTTTTCTTCTCGTACGATGGGCTCTTTCTTTAGTCTTTTACTTTTCCAACAGGCAGGTAAACCTCTGGATCAACATGATGATACCGAGGGTGGTGAACCACTGTAGATAGGGGTGGTAGTGAATAAATATATTTCAAGCACGAGCCGACCAAAACACCATGCCGAAGTCCATTCTCTGTGGAACACCGCAAATTACAGGAATTTCCTCCGTCCTTATAGTATCTTATCAATGCCTTCTGCTATTTTCTCTCTTACAAGACAACTATTTTGCAAGTCCGAGGGTGAATGCTAAGCGTTGGATGGTGAGTTGTTGTGGGTAGGGTGCGGTGCGGGCTTATCCGTCACCACGAGTCAAGCTAAACAGAAAGCGCCTGGAGAAAGCCACATGGAAGTAGACAATCTGTACTCTGTGCAGCGTCACGGTAAATGGAAAGAAAATATCTTCCGTGCTGCAAAAATGGAGCAAAAATGGCCGAGGGAGGAGAATAAAGGGAGACCCCCAGCATTCAAGACATCCAGGGACCGCCACGTTATGACCGCCGCGTTCTTCCCCGAGTGAATGTACTGTCTCATCATCCACCGGATCCACTCTTGGTCGGGCTGTTTTGACTTATAATCACCTTGCGGATGGTTCTGCTTTCTGCTTCCTACGGTATAAGGCCATTATGTGTTGGCCCCAGGCAGATGTGTCACGTGACCACCAGACGAGGCTTGAGGGCCCCCAGGCATTGGAACCGGCATCAGCGCCTGCGTCACTGACCCCCAGGCTCAGTGACGCAGACAAACAGTGCTTTCACGGCTGTGTAGATGCTGTAAATAGATCCCCTGAACAAAAAGTAGCCTGTTGACCTGCAAGCAGGACATCAACCACCCCGAACGCAGAGGCCCCGGTCGGATGCGGCAGCGATCGGCCGCGATCGGGTGTGGCATTCCTCCGTCGACAGCCCTGGATGGCACGGCTGGGGATGCATCCACCGAGCCCATCGGTGTCTCTGCTGTCTCTACCGTCCGCCATCTCGGCACCCGCATTCCTCGCCTTTCTGCATTGTTGACAGAACTCCGGATACATGATGCGGATGCCGAAACCACCACGACAACAATGCGTCCGAGGGCGCGTCTGGGGTATAAGACAAAACAAGATGTCTCGGTCTCGTCTCCGTGGAGGGGATCCATGACCCGGATATCTTGACTGCAGTCTGTCGCTTCGTCCGTTTCCCCTCGTCTCCGCGGCTTTTCTCTTCCAGCATGAAATTGTCTCACACCGGGCTGGTCCTGCCAGCCCTCACCTGTCTCTTCCAATGGGTCGATGGACGCGTGGTGGACTTCACCCTCGACCTGACATGGGAGGATCGCCCTGTCGCCGGCACCATGCGGAAGACCATCCTCACCAACGGTCAATTCCCCGGCCCGCCTCTGCGCGTCAAGCAGGGCGACCAGGTCAGGATCCTGGTCAACAATGCCATGCCCTTCCAGACCACCATGCACTGGCACGGTGAGTTCAATAACCGTCCTGCGTTTGTCCCTCTGGACCTTCCTCTGATGAGCCCTAGGTATCGCCCAGTACGGCACCCCGTGGTCTGACGGCGTGCCGGGTCTCACGCAGACGCTCATCGAGCCGGGCGATTCATTCCTGTACGAGTGGGAGGCGCTGGACTACGGCTCCTATGCCTACCACTCCCACACCAGAGCCCAAATCGACGACGGTCAATTCGGAGCCATCTATGTCGAGCCGGACGAGTCGGTCCCCAGGCCGTTCCATCTGATCAGCAACCGCACGGCTGATCTGCGGGCTTTGCTGCAAGCCGAGAAGAACACCCAGCCTCTCATCATCTCCGACTGGCGGTACTTCACTGCGGAACAGACCCTGGAAATCGAAGAGGCCTCCGGCGTGCAGGCATACTGCGCCAATTCGGTTCTCCTCAACGGCAAAGGCTCCATCCTGTGTCCCCCGCAAGAGCATATCAATGAGCTCACTCGATCAGGGGAGAAGGGGGTGCTTGGGAATCAAACCATGTCTGATATGGGGTAAGTCAACTCCACCGTGGACGCGGACGGCCGCTCGCAGAGACCATGAACTGACCTCCACAGCTGCATGCCACCTCTTGCTGCTCGACTGGGCTTCTTCCCCTTCGACGCCAGCAAGATCCCCGACGGCTACTACCAGGGCTGCAAACCCAGCACCGGGCCAACGGAAGTCCTGCACGTCGACCCCCAGACCCAGTACGTCAGCTACGATCTGATCAGCTTGGCGGGCACATCCAACCTGGTATTCTCGATCGACGAGCACCCGATGATCGTCTACGCCATCGACGGCCGCTACGTCGAGCCCCTCGAAACCAAGGCGATCAACGCCTTCGTCGGATCGCGATACTCGGTCATGGTGAAGTTGGACCAGCCCGTGGGGCAATACACCCTGCGCGCGGCCAACAAATACGCCAACCAGATCATCAACGGCACGGGCGTGATGGCCTACCGCGGCTCGACGCCCGCCCAATTCAACACCTCGCAGCCCTATATCAACGAGGTCGGCACGGCCTTCGACCGCAACGCCACCGACACTGTCCTGGACGAATCCAAAGTCATCCCTTTTCTCCCCGAACCCCCCGCCCTGGTCCCCGACCAGACCGTCATCGTCAACGTCAGCCTCTTCAACTCGTCCTTCCGCTGGGTCATGGGCGGTGCCAACTACCCCATGTCAAACGAGGACATCACCCCGCCGGTACTCTTCAACACCAGCGCGCTGCCGTCCGAGAACATCGTCCAAACCCTCAACAACACCTGGGTCGATCTGATCCTCAACATCTCCACCCCGGGCCAGCCCCAACACCCGATCCACAAACACTCCAACAAATTCTACGTCATCGGCCAAGGAAACACCCCCTGGACCTACTCCTCCGTCGCCGAGGCCATGGAATACATCCCCGAGAGCTTCAACCTCCGCAACCCCCAGATCAGAGATACCTTCCAGTCGCCCCCCTCCACGGCGAGTCTGGGCTGGCTGGCCCTGCGGTACCACGTCGTCAACCCCGGCCCGTTCTTCATCCATTGCCATCTGTCCATGCACGAGAGCGGCGGGCTGGCGATGGTTCTGATGGACGGCGTCGACAAGTGGCCCAAGTTGACCCCGGGGCATACGTTGTTGCCCACTGTCGCGGATACCTCGATCCCGCATCGCCCTATTCGGCATAATAATGTCTCGACCCCGTTTTCGAATTCCACCACCGGGCCGTATTGCAACTCCACCAGACCGAACTGGAGCACGAGCACAGATACGGGCCCGAATCCAACACAATTATATCCCACCTCCCTCTCCACTGCGACGGGGACCGCGAGCACATGATGGTGATGTGGTCCAAGGAGTGAATGAATGGAATGGGTGCATGGAATTTGGTGCCGGTCCACCAACCCAACAACCATCCATCCAACCATCCAACCATCCAACCAGCAAATGTGCAATCTTGTCTACATCTGACTGGTCGACCCTGACCCGACTCTAATAATCATGTATACCACTTGACACGTTATTATTTTTTTTTTTCTTTATGACATTAGACGCGTGGACTTGCGGGCGTTTTTTTTTTTTTTTTTTTGGTTCTTGCATTGACTGACTCGACTCACTGATTATCTATCTAACTACACTTTGCATTACTAATTACTACATTTGTCGAGATGATTACTTGCTTGCTTGCATGCGCGCGTTTATGATAATGGTTTCTTCTTTCCCTTTTGAGCTTAGATGTTTTAGAGGATCTACTATCTCTTAACTATGTACTAACTATCTTCCATCAAGTATCTCTCCAGATTAGGTGATTGATGCCTGTAGTTAATAAGAAATAGTAGATTATACATCATTGTGTCCTCATGGGGGGACTGATCCTGATCCTGATAATGAAGGATACCACCACGCTTGCGCTTGCCTACCAGGCGACAGAAAAGAATGCTGTTGTATTGGTCTTTGTCCTGTCTATCTACCTTGGTGGCTAAACTTTCGTTTTCATGTTGTGGGTAGAGAGAGAGAGAGAGAGCCGAGTATCTTCAATTAACATTCATATTAGAAGAAGTGTCCCAAAATATTACATACTACGTACTACGTACTAGAGGGATAAGAAAAAATACTACACTATATACTTTTGTCCTCCAAACCCCCCCCGGCCCCGGAAAAAAAAAACACCTACCACGCAACAACCTGACTAACCCCATCCAACTCCCTCTTCCAATTCCTATGATTTGAAACCTGATAAAAGAACATCCCAACAAAATCCCTCGCATCCTTTACAATCTGCACCGTGCCCTTTAAGCTCTCGGGCTTCTGCACCCCACCCGCCGTCACAACGCCATACCACTCGACCGGATGCGGATGGGCCTTATCCGCAACCTTGATATCAAGCCCACTGCCCAACGCCTCCTTAATAAACTCCGCTGCCTCACCCGTCCCCGCAATAGCCTTCAAATGTCCGAAAGACTCCGCGATCCAGTAGCGCAGCTGCCCGATCTTCCGGAGCGCGGCGACGTGCGGACCGCCGGGGATGAAAGTGGCGTCGAACATGGTCGAGCGCTGGCCGTCGTACTGGTGGTCTGGGGTGACGCCGTCGGAGGATTGGTTGGATTCGCCGTCGGCGTAGACTGGGGAGCGTTTGGGGGCGATGACGAAGGGGAGGGCGCCAGCGGATTTGATGGCCGTTTGGAGGGCCGTGAAGGCGACGGGGTCGTAGCCGTCGGCGATGAGGATGGCGATGCGGCGCGAGGCGATGGTGGGGGATTTGGCGGGGAACTCGGTCTGCGAGAGGTGAATGGCCCGATGGCCGTGGTTGGGCTTCAGGGCTTTGGAGGGGATGGGGGCTCCGACGGCTTCCGCGACCCTCTGGGCGAGCGGCAGGTCGATTTCGGCGAGGCGTTTGCCCGCGAGCCGGTGGTAGACGACGGGGTCGTCGCAGTGGTCGAGCTCGAAGCTGAAGGCTTTGGTCATGTGTAGCTTTTCGTGGGCGGACATGGAATTGTAGAAGAGTTGGGCTTGCGAGAGGTGCTCCGCGAATTTGGGCGCTAGGGCCCGTTGTTTGGTGCCGCTGACCGGGGCGGGATAGGACGAGAGGCCCGGGCCGGAGGGGGCGGGGTCGGCGGGCTTGCCGGCTTCGAAGCGGTTGGGCCAGTAGTTGACTGTGCCTTTGGTGATGCGGTGGCGCATGGCCCCGTCGCGGTTGTGGTTGAGGAATGGGCAGACGGGGCGATTGATGGGGAGTTCTTCCCAGTTGATGCCGAGACGGCTGATCTGGGTGTCGAAGTAGGAGAAGTTGCGGCCTTGGAGGAGGGGGTCGTCAGAGAAGTCGATGCCGGGGACGATGTGCGAGGTGCAGAAGGCGACTTGTTCCGTCTGGGGGAAGAACTCGTCGACGTTGCGGTTGAGTTCGAGCACACCGATGGTGCGCGGTGGGACAAGGTCCTCGGGCCAGATCTTGGTGGCATCGAGAACGTCGAACTCGAAGTCGTCCTGCTTGTCTTCGGGGATGGTTTGGATGGAGAAGTCCCACTTGGGGAACGCGCCGTTGTCGATGGCCTCCATCAGATCCTTGCGGTGGAAGTCGGGATCCTGGCCCGCTAGCTTGAGGGCTTCGTCCCATACGAAGGAGTGCACGCCGAGATGGGGCGTAAGGATGAACTTGACGAAGTGGCGCTTCCCGTCCTTGTTGATCAATGAGAAGGTATTTACGCCAAAGCCTTGCATCATACGGTAGGACCGAGGGATGGCACGGTCTGACATGGCCCACATGTACATGTGAGTGGCTTCTGGGTGCAGGTAGGTGAAGTCCCAGAAGTTGTTGTGTGCCGTCTGGCCCTGGGGCACCTCATTGTGCGGTTCAGGCTTTACCGCGTGGACTAATCGTGTCAGTCTGCTGTAGTCTGCAATATAGCAAAGCGGTGGAGTAGAGCAGGCATTTGGGGCAGTATAGCAAAAAAAACAGTAGATGAGGATGTATATGTAGCAATATACCAATGCCACTCATCGAAATCAAAACGTACCAAAATCCGGAAACTTGACCGCATCCTGAATAAAGAAAACCGGAATATTATTTCCCACAAGATCCCAATTTCCCTCGTCTGTATAAAACTTGATTGCGAATCCACGGACATCGCGCACAGTATCAGCGCTCCCCTTGCTGCCCTGCACAGTAGAAAAGCGGACAAAGACGGGGGTGTTCCTCGAGGTATCATTCAAGATGCCAGCATGGCTGACATCTTCGCAGGTCTCGAGCAACTTGAAGTTCCCAAACGCTCCTGTTCCGCGCGCATGGACGACGCGCTCAGGGATCCGCTCGTGGTCGAATCGGTGGATCTGGAACGGATCAGCTACTCAGTTCCTGTTTTGGTGGTCACTTGTGGTGGTGGCGGTACCTTTTCTCGGCCAATTTGATCCTCCAGCAAGGATGGCCCGATGTGTTTGCCGTCGGTCGGTCGCAACCATTGGTCGGTGTTGCTGATGGACACGCCGTGATCGGTGGTAAGGCGCTGCTCCGGGGTGACATCGACTGTGTCTCGCTCCAGGTCGACGGCCTTTTTGTTCTTGGAGGAGGCGCCTTTGACGGCCTCTTGGGCTCTTTCGAGCCCTCCAGCTACGAATGTAGCCATGGCGAATGCGGTGCTGTGAAGATGATATCGAGTTTTAGGACATGGATCTGCGAAAGAAGCAGTCCAGACATGGGCATAGCAGCCTAGGTGGTTTATATTATCGTGGAATTGCTAGGTAATAATAGGCATATGGTTGGTCCATGACAATGGTGACGGTGATCGTGGTAAATGGTGGTTGAAGTAAGGATGACGTCTGGACCGAAACGTCATTGTGACTGTCAAACCCTAATTACTGTCCGACAGCACCAACATACTATTCCGTTGCGAATAAGCCATAACAATGCCAAGACTGGTAAACTAAATCTGTATCATTTGGGGAGTGGTAATTGGTGGTTGAGCCTCCGTTCATGAACAGTACGTAGGTACATGACACTCCGTGTGGGGTGATACTTACCCAAATCATCTTCGATTTTGACGAATGATGGCGGTTGCTTTGTTTATGCACGGCACATGTGCCGAACCGATATTCCCTAGTTTAAGGTTAGTGCCATCTCCGGTTGACGCGGGCAGAAAGCGTGCCGATAAAACATTGTATTGCAATCAAGACACACTCATAAATGCCCAGCATCAACAGTCCCAGATAGGCGTTAGTGCGACACAACCTTGCCCAGAAGTGCATCATGTGGAGAAAGCGATGAAGTGACCGAATGCTCGAATGAATGTTAGCTAGACCCAGCACACCCCGAGGGAAAGGTTTTAGATAGCTAGCCTGGCTTGGTTAGACAGAGCTTGACGACACTCATCGTCCGTGTCTACTCCGCACGCCAAGGTTTGTCTGTCCATGATGGTGCTGTTCAAGGGAACTATATCAGTAGAGGTTAGCGTCACCCAATTGACCTAAAAGAAGAGTCGAGAGAACATGTTCATCGTCTACAAGACTGGAAAAGCACTATGATACGAGTGTGACTCGGGGCTCGGGAATTCGGTCGGCAGCAAACAGAGAGACCAGTTAGAAATGACATGGGTGAGCTTCTGCGGCTTTGATCTTGCCAATATGCTTGCCAATATCGGCTAGACAATTTGACAAAAAGTCATCTTAGAACACAGCACCACGGCACCTACTGACAACGCAAGTCAACCAAGAAACGCGGCAGAGAATCCAGTAGCTCGACCTATCAGGCAGACCGGGTCACCATGGCATTTTTGGGGCGTCCTACCTGGAAAGTATCCCCGAGGCATTGGATGAATGGCAAGCGTCCCGCATCCTCCTAGTCATGAGCATGGCCGTTGATACGAAGACCTCGGTGATCAAAGACTTGGATGCCCGCCTTTCACACTTCTCGCTACAGAAGAAAACCGGGGTGGGGATTCATGGCCCCTACAAGGACCCCATCAACATTACGCACACGATCAAAAACCACGATATCTAAGCCGCCGTGTCCATCGGATCCGAGCCTAACTTGGACGCGTGCAATATCGCAGTCATGCTCAGTGGAACTCTGCCGGCGGGATGCAATGTCGATGATATGGGAGCATTGGTAGACCAGGACCATGGCCCTGCGTGTCCTGAGGGAATCAACGCGGCCACGACCAAGATGATATGCGTACCGACTAGTCCAGTACAGATGGGTGGAATTCCTATTCTTGCGACAAAAATGCTAAGTGGAAGAAGCGGCAATTTAGACACCCGGAGGGATCGTGGGTATTGATGCTGGCGGATCCCCGGGTCGCTCGCATCATACGCCCCACCTGTGGCTGGCATCCGGGGTCCGGGCCATTGATCATTTCGTGGAGTGCCTGTCAGTGTCATGAGGAAGCGGAAGCCCATGTCATAAGAAAAAGGGCTGCGTCGTTTGGTCTGGGGCCTGGATGAGCTCCATATTGAACAGGAGAGTCAGGACAAAAAAGAGATGCTGAAAGGAATCCCCAACTGCTCAGCGGGGTTCCCGAGATGCCCTCATCCTGTCCATGTAATGGGAAGATTTCTATGGGCCCGGGCCATGCGATCGGCCATCAACTTGTGAACGGCAACTCCACGCGCTGTTCCTACGGCATTCGCTAATCACTCTTGATGACATGCAACTCTTGCTGGCGTGCAGCATGGGAAGTGAGAACTGTAACCCTCGTCTTCGAGCGATCAATCCACTGGTCAGTATGTTATAGGAGTGACGGTATTCTGACCCTGATAATAGATAATCATCCCAAAGCTAACATTTCATAGATAGCTGCATCATCCTACCGGCCACATTGCGATTCACTCAGTCGCAAACGCAAGCTGCGCAGGATTCGATCCTGTGTATCTTCAACGAAGTGATGGATTCCGGAGACGAGCGCCGCTGACGCGCTTTCACGATTCGAGCGGCTATTGGCGCTACCTTCCCGACTGTCGGAAGCTAACGTGACCAGTGACGCACAGTTGCACCAGATCACTAGCATGACCTTGACTGACGTCGTAGCCAGGGACGAGAGCCTCCCGGACAAGGATGGGCTTCTCCGGATTTCAGAAATGGCGAGATAAGCGAGCAATGTCCAACAGCACTGTGCAAACGGTCCCCCGCAGATCGCGCTGCCTACCTATCCTTGGGTTCGTTTCCTTGATGGCTGTTGGAGCAAGGTGGAAAACTCTTATTTATTAGCGTGCCCTTGTCTGGCCTGTAAATAGGTAAAAGACAACAACAATGGCACCAGTGTGACGCGTGTCGAGCGTTGTTGGGTTGTACTATGTCGTAGGCAGGTAGATCTGCGGTCCGCAGGCGAGTGGGAGCAGCCACCCCTGACGTCATGGCTACCCACTCGCCCCATATAACATCCCGCAGGTGGATTCGGTCTTGAAGACGAACGAGCACGACCTTCGCATCCTATCTTAACAGCGCAAGTCAGATTGACCAACTTTCACACAAGTCCTTTCCTCAACTGTATTATTGACCTACATACCTTCCTCCTATCCAGTCCCGGTGTTCCAAATTTGACCACCCAAATTCTCTCTCACCACACAACCCATAACGACGTCATCGAAGACCCACCGAATACCATATCAGAATGCCTTCCTCTCAGGACTCGGGCGTCACTGGCGCAGCCAAATTCGTCACCTCGACGCTGGGTAACACGGTCGGGGGCGTCTCTCGCACGGTGGGCGGCGTGACGGGGGCCGCCGGACGCGGCGTCGGCGACACCATCACCGGCGCGGGGGGCAGCGCGGGGAAGCCCATCGGCGACGCGCTGGGCAGCTTGGGCAGCGGCGTGGAGGATGGAGCCCGCCGAGTTGCGCGCGGGATCGAGGACGCGGGGCAGTGGAAATGATGAACGTGGGAAGGGGGTGGCAAGGCGAAGGAGGGAGTCACAGAAGGGAAGAAGGGGAGGCGGCCGCCGAAGCTGGCGAAGAAAGTGAAGCAGGAGGAGCGGCCGGAGAAGCAGAGTGACGAGACCCCGGGGGAGCCCCAGGCAGGCAAGGCAGAACAGGCAGAACAGGCAGAACAGGGCGGGCAGGCGGTGTACAACGAGTGGCTTTCGGTCGCGATTCTTGGGTTGATCGCGTTGATTCCCGTCATTCTTTTTCTGTGTATTCGCCGGATTATCGTCTTTTTTAATGGTTGAGCTATCCCGGCGATGGCTGTTATGAATTATTTTACTTACTTACTTCGAATACTCTCATGCAAAGGTCTACCCTTGGCAAGAGAGCCACCCCCCGCCATCCGGTCATCCCACGGCCGGCCATTCAAATGACGGACCATGGCAGTTGGAAAGATGGCATCCATTCTTTTGAGAGGTCCGTGGAAGAAGAATGAATGGTACTCCGGGCGACCATGTTCACGAAAAGGGGTGGAGAGCACGGCATGAACATTATCGTTTGGAAAAATAGCGTTGGAATATATATTGATCTCATCCCCCTGGCTTGCCGGTGGGATGCAGCTTTCTGCGCTCCAATTGCTTTTATTGATCCAATATGTGTCTCGAGTACCGTAGTACCTGTCCAAATTCGGCGCACGGAAATTTCAAGGGTCTTTTCATGGTTTTCCCACGGCACTGGATTGTTAATAATGGAGTGGATATAGGTAGAGGAGTCTACAGTAGTATTTCACTCGTGATGTGGCCGGAAGCGGATGTCGTGGGTTATGTACACAAGCCCGTACCGTACACAGGCGACGGCTAGATAGTGCCCGTCGGAGTCTCGGAAATGAGATGGCACAAGCAATAAGCATCCCAGCCCGTACGACCCCCCGACCCCCCGACCCCCCTCTACGTAAGCCGGTCGATCAGATTGATAAGCACCGCATAGCCCAGTCCAGGCAGTGCAGCAGTGCAGAGTTGGGCACTTCGTATTGGTACTGACTGGTACGAGGGAAGCCGACATTGTCAGCCGAACCGCAGTCAGACTTTGCAGGTGGTCAGGTAGATAGAGGGCGGATTGTGAATGCCACCCAGGGAGCCAGGGAACAAGGGCCGCCACGAGCAGCCTCGTTCGGGGCGGGCAAGAGAAAAGTGGCTCCGGAAGTCCGAGGCCGAGCGAACCTTTGGGTAGGTACGGTTAGTTACACTGGGACTAGCCCGCCCAGAGTAGGATCGAGAAGTATCTTCAGCGCCGGGTAGGGCGGCTGAGTCAGGCCCGGACCAGATGGAGGGCTGTGAGTGGCCAGAGGTACCACTCGGGGGCCGCCTGAGCCGAAATCCGCGAATCAAATGGGGGGCGCCCGGGCGGTGGGCGGCGGCAGGCCATCTTAGTCGTTGCTCCCCCCCGTCGCTGGCGGCTTGCTTGCTTGCTTGCTTGCCATCCTTCCGACCTTTGGTCGGGCTTATTATTCATTCATTCATTCATCCGGTCAGCCTCGTCCCTCCTCCTCCCTCTCCTCCTCCTCCTCCTCTACCTTCTTGCTCGCATTCCGACTCCTGGCAATTGCTGCCTCTCGCTGTCCCTCCCCTCCCCTCCCTTCCCCTCCTCTAGACACCCGCGTCTATCGAACTGTCCGCCCGCGCCCCGTCCCTCCACCGATCACCCTCCAACTTACTTCGGTCGGGCCTCGCGCAACCTCTGTCCCTCTAACCACCTGTCAGCGACAGTCGATTGCCTCCGCTCGCCAGCCTCCATTCGCGACTCCAGCTCCGACGAACATCGGCCACGAGATCCCCATTCCCGCGCACTTCCGGTCCCTCCCTCGATTCGCGCCGTCTGCTTCCGCTCCGAAGGCCTGCGTGGCCGCCTCGCGCACGGTCTCTCCGATCCGATGGTCGCCGTCCGCGGCTGAGAAATCTTGGGGAACAACCCGCTGCTCATGGATCCCATTCAATCCAAAGGGGAAGAAGGCGAGGAGGGCTTGGATCGCGCCTTCTCCGAGGTCCCTCCCCTCCCCGGCCCCGATGCCGAAGGGAAGTCGACTAAGCGCGCGCGATGGGCCACCAAGCGCATGACCGCCACCTCCGGCCTCCGCAAGAGGGTCTCCATCCTCGAACGGGGTCGTCGGCGAGACACCCAGAACTCCGCGACAGAGGCGGCGACAGACACGCCGGAGGATGGCGAGACGGAAGCTGCATCGCGGAAGGTTCACTTCAATTGTCCCATCCCCGACAGTGAGCGGGACGAGGAAGGCAATCTCAAGGCCGTCTACCCCCGCAACAAAATCCGCACCTCCATCTATACGCCCATCACCTTCTTACCAAAGAACTTGTGGTTGCAGTTCCACAACATTGCCAATCTCTACTTCTTGTTCGTCGTCATCCTGCAGTGCTTCTCCATCTTTGGCGATGCCAGTCCGGGCCTGGGCGCTGTCCCCCTGATCATCATCGTTGTCGTCACCGCATTCAAGGACGCCGTTGAGGACTGGCGGCGCACCGTCTCAGATAATGAACTCAACAACTCCCCTGTCTACCGCCTGACTAACTGGGACAATGTCAACGCCACCGCCGACAACGTGTCTGCCTGGCGAAAGTTCAAGAAGGCCTGCACGCGCACCGTCATCGCCACCTATCGCGGGATGAAGAAGCTGGCGCGCCGCAAATCCACCGAAAAGGACATCGCAGGAGACGTCGAGGTCGCGGACGCCCGCCCCTCGGTTGAACCCTCCTCCCCGACCGCATTCGAAATGACGGAGGTGACATCACCGTCCATCGAGGCCCGTGCTTCCATGGAATGGCCCGATCCTTCGAATGATGTGCATTTGCAACCGGGCCATGATGCGCCCTGGGCGCAGGTGAAGGGCAGTGTCCTCAATCCGACCAAGACCGCGTCGGGGCAAGCGCGCTTCAAACGGCAGCATTGGAAGGATGTCAATGTCGGCGACTTTGTCCGTCTGTATAACGGTGATCAGATCCCCGCGGACCTGGTCATCCTCTCGACTTCGGATCCGGATGGAGCCTGTTACGTGGAGACCAAAAACCTGGATGGTGAAACTAACTTGAAGGTACGCCATGCCTTGAACTGCGGTCGCACCGTTCGAAACGCCCGGGACTGCGAGCGGGCCGAATTTACCATCGAAAGCCCGCCCGCCCATGCGAATCTCTACGCCTTCAATGGCGCCGTCTTTTGGAACCAACAAGACGATCCGGAGGCGCCACCACAGGAACAGGTGGAGCCCATCACCATCAACAACATCCTGCTCCGCGGATGCAGCCTTCAAAACACGGAATGGGCTCTGGGAGTGGTGCTTTTTACCGGCTCCGAATCCAAGATCATGCTGAACCAAGGTATCACGCCGACCAAGCGACCCCAGATGGCGCGCAACATGAACCGGAACGTGATTTACAACTTCGCCATCCTCTTCATCATGTGTTTGATTTCCGGCTTCATCAACGGCTTTGCCTGGGACCTCAAGCATGCGTCCCTGTCATACTTTGAATACGGCTCGTATGGTGGATCGCCCCCGGTGGAAGGTGTAGTTGCGTTCTGGGTGGGTATCATCCTCTTTCAGAACTTGGTGCCCATCGCCCTGTATATCTCATTGGAAATCGTACGGTGGTTCCAGGCGCTTTTTATCTTCTTCGACCATTATATGTACTACGAGAAATTGCAGATGTCCTGTGTGCCCAAAGCCTGGAATATCTCGGATGACATTGGGCAGATCGAGTACATTTTCTCCGATAAGACCGGCACCTTGACGCAGAACGTGATGGAATTCAAGAAGTGCACGGTCAACTGCGTCGCGTATGGCGAAGCCTATACTGAGGCTCAATTGGGAATGCAGAGACGGCAAGGTTTGGTCAACGTCGAGGAGGAAGCCGCTAAGGCTCGCCAGCACATCAGCGACAGCCGAGTGGAGATGCTGCAGCGACTGCGCCAACTGCACGATAACCCGTACCTCTTGGACGAGAATCTGACGTTTGTCTCGCCACAATACGCTGCGGATCTTGGCGGCGCGTCGGGAGATGCTCAGAAACAAGCCACCGAGAGCTTCATGGTCGCGCTGGCTTTGTGCCACACGGTTGTCACGGAACGTATTCCAGGCGACCCTCCCCAGATTGAGTTTAAAGCGCAATCTCCGGATGAAGCGGCTCTGGTGGCCACTGCTCGAGACTGTGGGTTCACTGCGCTGGGCCGCTCCGGTGATAGACTCACTCTCAATATTATGGGAGAGGAGCGTAGTTACCGAATTTTGAATATCCTCGAGTTCAACTCCACGCGTAAGAGGATGAGTGTGATCGTCCAAATGCCGGACGGGACCATTCGCCTGTTGTGCAAGGGAGCCGACACGATCATTTACTCTCGCCTGGCACCCGGCCAACAACGCGAGTTGCGCGATACGACCACCCAGCATCTAGAGCAATTCGCTCAAGAAGGTCTCCGTGTTCTTTGTATCGCGGAGCGTGTTCTTGACGAGAAATACTACCAGGAGTGGAGTCTCAAGCACGACGTGGCCGCAGCTGCTATTGTGGACCGCGAGGAAAAGCTCGAAGAGATCGCCAGTGCCATCGAACAGGACCTGTCCTTGATCGGCGGAACTGCGATTGAAGATCGCCTGCAGGATGGCGTGCCGGACACCATTTCCCTCTTGGCCGAGGCCGGTATCAAACTGTGGGTTCTCACGGGCGATAAGATCGAAACGGCTATCAATATTGGCTACTCCTGCAACCTGCTGAACAATGATATGGACATCATGGTGTTGAACGCCCCCCCAGACGCGGACATGGCTGCGAAAGAGTTGGACAGCAAGTTGGAGATGTTCGGAATCACTGGCTCTGATGAGGAACTTGCCGCCGCACAGAAGGACCACTCCCCGCCTCCGCCGACACATGCCCTCGTCGTCGACGGTGACACCCTCCGCTTTATGTTGGATGACGCCCTCAGACAGAAGTTCCTGTTGCTTTGCCGACGCTGCAAATCCGTCCTCTGTTGCCGTGTCAGCCCCGCCCAGAAGGCGGCGGTGGTCGAGATGGTCAAGAGCGGCTTGAATGTGATGGCTTTGTCTATTGGGGATGGCGCCAACGACGTCGCTATGATTCAAAAAGCCGACGTCGGAGTGGGCATCGCGGGAGAAGAGGGTCGCCAGGCTGTCATGTCGGCCGATTACGCCATCGGCCAGTTCCGCTTCCTCCAGCGCCTCATTCTCGTCCACGGTCGGTGGTCGTACCGGCGTCTCGGCGAGACCACCGCCAATTTCTTCTACAAGGTGAGCACCTTGGCCAGTGATGCGTGGTTGGGGATAGATGCTAACTGCTATTAGAACTTGGTCTGGACGTTCGCACTGTTCTGGTATTCTATCTACAACAACTTCGACGGCTCCTACCTATACGAATACACTTATATCACCTTGGTGAACGTTGCGTTCACCTCTTTGCCTGTCATTTTCATGGGCATCTTCGACCAAGATGTAGACGATAGGGTGTCTCTGGCGGTACCGCAGCTCTACATGCGCGGCATTGAGCGCAAGGAGTGGAGCCAGTTGAAATTCTGGTAAGTCCGGTGCTATGGAGTGGAGCGAAGCTGTGAAGTTGGAATGAGGTTAACAAATCGACCAGGATCTACATGCTTGATGGCTTCTACCAATCGATCATCTGTTTCTTCATGCCATATATGCTGTACGCCGTGGCCAACTTCCAGACGGAGAACGGACGCGGAATCGACGACCGCTACCGTGTCGGTGTGCTCGTCGCAACATGTGCCGTGATTGCCAGTAATACCTATGTGATGCTGAACATGTATCGGTGGGATTGGCTCTCGACTCTCATCAACGCGATCAGTTCGTTGTTAATTTTCTTCTGGACTGGTGTTTACTCATCCTTCCAATCATCCACCGTTTTCTACGGAGCAGCTAAGCAGGTCTACGGCGCCCTGGCTTTCTGGGTGCTCCTGCTGTTGACGGTCGTGATGTGCTTGATCCCTCGCTTCGTCTACAATTGCATTCAGAAGGTCTACTTCCCGCGTGATGTTGACATTATCCGGGAACAGGTGATTCTCGGGCATTTCGATCACCTGAAGAAGTTTGAAGCCTATGTTCCCCCGGATGCCGGTAAGCTGGCTCACATGGATAGTGATGCATCGGCCACCCCGTCGGACGGCGGCGATGCGCCGCACTCGAAGTTCACGCGCGATTACCCTGTAAATCAGGGCATCGACCGAACGGCGGACTCCACGCCCGTTGCACCGCTAGTCGACGCGCAAGGAGCCCCCACCCACCTGGATAGCCATGTCACTAGCGCCAACAGTAGCGTTGCCTTCGGCCTCCAGCGTCACGGGTACTCCGAGGAGCAACCCTTCTCGCGGGTGGAGTCCGCCAACATGGAGCCGCAAACGCCGCACAGCCCCCTGAAAAGCCGCAGCGACCATTCGCCATACCCTGTATAGATAGAGCTACAATCTCCTGTTTTTACCCCCTCCCCCCAGCGTCCCTCAGATCTGTCGATATCTACCATCTACATCTACGTCTTTCCTTGATATCTATGCTTGTTGATTTGACCAAAAGCTCTTGAGCACGTCAAAGACTGCTTTTTGTTTATTCTCATCTTATTGTTACATTCTCACTTTCTCTTTGTGATTATCCCCTTTATTTATATCCATTCCCGGAGAATATGACTGGTGTCATGTCATGGTCAACTCTTTTGTTTCTATCCCTCTCTCTTCTGCGCCTTCGGACCCTCGCCCTACCTTTATATAAATCACCATGACTCCGTGGTTCCTGTCTGCTTGATTGGTCGGCCGGTTGGTCGGTTGGTGGCCTGTCAGCAGACAGGGTTGGTGTTTCCCTGGCCGTGTTATTTAATGTCTGAATTCCCGTCACGATCTTGAAGTCCGTGTTCGTTGTTATGTTTATACCGATTTGATCGAGATACATATATAGCACTCCGTGTTGTAATATAGACGGCTATCTATGAGTGAATCAGATTTAGTTCTTTACTTTCTTTGTGTTTTCTTTTGATTGGGCTGGATTGGAGGTTATGGTGCAGGGTGACGTTGATTGAGTGTGTATGCGAGTGAAACTGATGTTGAATCTGCTCCTCATAATGGTCATTTATTTTCTTTTATCAGTCAGTCACTATAGAATATCTACTTTTTTATTTCATCACTTCAGTAGCCTCCAATGCATAAAACCGACTTACCAAGTAGACAGATTCCATCACTCGGCCTAAATATGCCGAACAGGTACCCAAGCATAGAACTTAGCCCTAACCACCTCACAAGTCTCCCTCAGGACCCCCCCCTACCCTCTCCCCCGGCATCCCACCCAACACCAGCCATCACTCATCACTCATCACTCATGAAAATCAAAGCAAAACCCCGGCCCCTCTAACTCTCTCAAACGCCCTCCCCCAACTCTCGCCCACCCCCAACTCCTCGGCAAACCCGACCCCCCTCGCCCTCGCCAGATCAAACGGCCTATCGAAATCCATCAATCTCAAACTCCCCAGCCTGGCCCCCGTATTATGCACACTTTTCCAGAGCACCTCCGCCCGCAGCCCCCTCTCCTCACAAACCCGGTTCACGGCCTCCCAGTTCCTCTCCACAAACTCCGTCGGGTGCAGACTACCTTCCTGGGGTCCCACCCCGACGAGGCCGAAATGTGCGGCGAGGGCGGGCCAGCGCTCGCTCCAGGGGACGGGGCGCGCGCTGTCGGCGATGTTGAAGGCGCGGGTGTGGATGGCGGTGCGCGGGGAGGGGTGTAGGGAGAGGTGGATGCAGAATCGCGCGATCAGGTCTTGGTTGGAGTCGGTGGAGTGGATGTTCCAGGAGGTGGTGGTGCCGGGGAAGGGGATGCGGGCGTTGGCGCCGTGGATGTGTCGGTAGATGCTTAGGTAGATGCCTAGTGTTTGGGCCATGCAGTTGGCGTTGCCGAAGGGGGCGACGCCGACCTGGTTTTTGTTGTTAGTATTAGTTAGGTATTATTGGGGTTGGAGTTGGGGGTGGTGGGTGGTAGAGGTGAGGTGTGTGTGTGTGTGGGTGGGAGAGGTGAGGTGAGGTGTGAATCAGGTTGGGTAAGTAAGGTTTACTTAGGGCAATTTTAGCCTGGGAAAACATACAATCACATCCGGCCGCACTTCACACCACGACCAGGACTTGTTCGCGGATAGCTCGTGCAGAAGATCCACTTCATGGTAGTAGAAGAGATCCTTGGCGTATTCGGCGGGAACACGAGGGAGGTCTTCGCTCAGGGGGATCTGGTTCCGGAATGGGAACTTGTCCAGCAGGTAGACGCCGTAAGCCTGTGGGAGATTGTTAGTTGGGATGTAGATGGAATGTGGGGAGGGGAGGGGAGGGGAGGGAAGGTACCTTTGTGCCAGTGATGAGAGTGACGAAGGATAGCTGTGGGGAAAGAGTCTCGAGGGTCTGGACTGCTGCGCGAAGCATCTCTTTGTTCAGACGACATTCCTCGGCGGGGTTGTCGCTGGCGCGGTAGGCTGTTGGTGGTGGTGATGGTTAGCCAGATATGGATGGAGAGAGTGGTCGATCGTGATCAATCATGATGATGATGATGATGATGGAATGGCATCTCACCTGCGTAGTACACATGGCTGATTGTCTCGACGGAGGGGATCTTCTCCGTCAGTGTCTTCTCTAGGGCTGCATCGTCCCCGACGAGCAGATCCACGCCGGACACGATTTGCAGACGATCGTCCTTCGGCCACTGGGCCTCGTCTGCTGTGAACGCACGGTTCGCAATCGCTGTCACTCGAGAGAATGAGCCAGGGGAGGGGTAGTTGGACAGCAGCTGGTTAATCAGGGCCCAGCCATTAATGCCGGTGCAGCCGAATACGACTGCGTGGTGGCCAGATTCTGATCTGGGGGTCTCTTGTTGCTGCATGGTTTATTGCTGGGGATGTACAATAAGATGGGAAACAAGTATTGCCGGTAGATGCGCGCACGTTGGACAGGCATGCAGGGAGTCCCCGGGGGGGGGGTGCATGTTGACAGACGCTCTGTCGGTGTTTATCGGCCGAGGAAACGTTGGAATGGACGATCTCACACTACTGCGGCACTAATCATGCATTGCGGCACAGTCAGACAATTACGCGGCGCAGGTCACATCCTTGTTGGTAGTGGGTACATTTGAATATAGTACGTCCTGTACAGAGTAGTGCGTACCAATTCAAGTATAATGGCTGCAGTAGCAAGGGGACTATTAGGTATCTATCTATTTCTCGACTGAAAATAAAGTGTCCAAACTGTCCCAAGCTCAGCGAACTTGAGCCAGGAGAGTAGGTGGTCCCTGCAACAAGACCGTCGAGGAGAAATTACACACTTAACCCGGCTTTGTTGGCTTCACCGTCGATCCTTCCTCAACTTGATACTCTATAGCGCCCTAGCCTCGTAGAATTAATTACACTATCTTGTCGCGCCGGAAGTCTTCCATTTCGTCACATGTCCAACGCGCCAGACTGGGTAACATTAATATTGCAATTTATCAAGTGTCTCGGACTAAGCCTCTTAGTTTCCCTCTAGGCTCTCCTCTTAGCCCTCGGGACGTTGGATGCGTCCGGCCGTCCGGCCGTCCGGGTCCACCCGTCCAGCCCTAATCATTAGCGCGCAACGGACTATTTTGGCGTCTATGCTTCATTCTCCATGCTCCATAGTGCTTGGAGTACTATTTACTTTTAGTCCATCTACAATCCCTGTCCTTATTGCAGCTTTCCTCCAAACGGGGTAGTCGCCACCCATAGAGCTCGTTTGGATTGGCCTGGAATTGTCTGATCCTGCTCAAGGCCGAGGGGATGTCGAGGCTCCAGAAATTGGACGCCGCGGCAAACCGGCAGACGAGCAGGTGGGGTTGGGGTCATATGGTATGAAAAAAAAAAAAAAAAAAGCTGAAGTGAATATTTAGTACATCATACAAGAGAAAAAATGAAAATAAAAGAATGAAGGAATGAAAGAAACTGATTGGTCCAGTCTCTTATTCACTTGCATCCACAGTCACGTCCGTAGTGACCTGGATGCCTGCTCGGGTGGGGGAGATGATGTGATCCTCAGATCCATTGCGACTTGCTTCGACGTCTGTCCGACTCTGCGATAGTAGATAATTCATGGGCTTCAGCTTGATGCTATGTTGCCCAATGATGGACCGACCATTTCCAGTCCAGCGAGTTGATGAGCCGTACATTTTTGACCGGCCAGTAGAGTCGCCCTTGCTGGATAAGCCGAGCAGCCGCTGCAGTGTGGGGAAGCGGAAGGTGATCAATGATTTAAAAGAGGGAATGCATGCGATGAAGATGGCTACTGCTACCTCCACGCTGGACCAGTTCATGGTGTTGACCAGCGTCCCTATGAGAATTCGCGGATGGGTCAGGTGAGAGTGTCTGAGGGTAAGCATGGAAGGGCAACGCACATGTGTGGTCATCGGAGAAGTTGCTGATGTAGGTTACGCGGATGATGCTTGTCACACAGACTCTAAGGTATATTGTTATTCATGCGTCCGGGGAAGGAAGTGTGAGGAAGGAAAGGGACTTACAGAACCCCCAGGCCAAACATCACAATCAAACCGCCTTTCTTGGCCATCGTCATATTCAATCGCATCAGTTTTGGGAGCGGTAGGGCAAAGAGGGCCAGGTCAGTCCCCAGTTTGATCCCAAAGGAGATGTAGTAGAAGGCTGTCAGATTCAGGCACTTGCCCTGCACGGTGCCACTCGCATCCCAGGCCTTGGAGACAGGTGAGCATTGGAAAATCACCACGAAAATCTCCTCGGTTGTCTCAGCGGTGAGCAGGCCGAGCAAGCTCCAGCAGGCGATCCGAAACCGCTTTCCGGGGAATATTTGCAGATAAAGCAGGCAGAAGGAGACCTTGACGGTGCCGAGGGCGAGAAGGTAGGCGATCATAGTGACGAAGTCGAGCTGGAAGGCAATCGGTTGTGGTCAGCATCAAGCATATGGCGCGTCCCATTCCCACGTGGTGGATTCCATACCTTGAGGAACATCTCCACCTCAGCACTTGTCACCGTCTTGATGTGCCTGCCATAGCCATATCGGGTCACTGTGGATGGTATCCGTTAGCATCGTCGGCGAGATCACTCGTCCAGCATAGGCCTGCATACTCCAGATACAAACAAAGCAGAGAACGAAGGTAAAAACCTGGGTTGGGCAGCCACTGTCAGTATGGGGAAGGCAACAAGCCGAACGGGCCGGAAGGCGTACCCAGCTGAATATACACATAAGATCATCCAAGTTGATCCCCGAGAGGTATCGAACTCGCACGAACAGACGCACCAGCAGCCCACTGGTCGCGATGACAAGGAGAACCGTATTGCATATGATGATCGACGGCACCCGGGAGGCACTCAGATCAACCGACGAAGAGTCGGTCGAGGATAGTAGTTCATTCCACACCACCTCCATGAGAGGGCTGTCTGCTTGAGAAGAAAGGGGGAAACCAGTCTCCAGGCATACGCACCGAAGCTCTTGTGGATGAGGAATTGGGGTCTCCGGGAGTCGCCTATTACGAATGCCATACCCCCGTTTATTTACAAAGCCATTCTTCCCGGGGACCTGAAGGATTCGAGAAACCCCCCCTGGTACTCCTCCGTGGGCCGAACAATTAGACACCCTTGTATGTTGGAGTCGTCGCCTGGAGCGCAGGCCAACCGACAGTCACCATTCTCGCCCGCTAATGCGATGGAGTCGAAGGCTCGCAGCTAATATCGAGCTGGGACACCGTCGCCCGCGCTAAGCAAGGGTCGGGAAGTGCCTTGTGGGTAAGAGGGGAGAAACACTCTGCCCTCGACTCCATGGCCCCGACCGCCGACCGAACATTGCATGCTGTCAAGGTGGTGACTTGAAATGGCTCCATGTCTGGGCTGGGTCCCATCCGATTCGTTATGCCTTCCTGTCCACTATCAGCCCGTCGCACGTTGCGGCCGCCGTCCCTGGCCTTCTTGCTGCCTTCTTTATCTACGAGTCCCCTTTCGCGCTTATTTATCCCCTCCCATCCCTGTCTTCTGCGTCTCCCGTGGTGTCTCCAGTTTTCTCAGCATCTCCCTTGCAAGTTTTAACACAGAATGGCGGACTTGAAGAGCCACCGGGCACCGACGGTCACACCGGTCGACCTCGAGGAACTGCCGGCCGGCTACTACTGCAGTAAGAACTTTATTGGCTCTCTTGTTGCTGTCTGTCTGATGGCAATCAGTCTGTACCTGGGCTACGTCTTGCCAGTGCGTTCCTCTCCTTCCCGCCTCCACGCGTATACATCCGACTGACCATCATCGCACAGGTGAACAGTTTGACCGCGATCAACGCCGACTTGGGTACGCTGGCCTTTTATCTCCCGTCTTCCTGACACGAGCCGGCCATTGCCGCGCATGCTGATCGTCTGTCATCCAACCCGCAGGCCCGGACCCGAGTTATAGTTTGATCTCAACGGTCTTCACACTCATTTCCGGGGTATGACATTTCCCGCCCATCGCGCAATTCATTCGAAATTGGTACTGACCATACGGACAGGTTGGCCTTCTTCTCGTCGGCCGTCTGGGCGATCTCTTTGGTCGCCGCTACATTCTCATCGGAGGGCAACTGTTCGGCCTCATCGGTGCCATCGTCTGCGCGACAGCCAAGACCGTCCCGACAGTCATCGGGGGCAGTGTTCTCTTAGGCATCGCTGCCGCCGTCCAGCTAACCTTCAGCTTCGTCATCGCCGAAGTGGTTCCCAATCGAGCTCGTCCGGTCGTCAATGCGGGCATTTTCATCACCACGCTGCCCTTTTCCGCGTTCGGGTCCATCATTGCCGATCTGTTCATTGCCAACACGGCTCGCTCTTGGCGTTGGACTTACTACCTGAACATCATCACCTGCGGCCTGTCGATAATCCTGCTGGCGCTGTTTTACTTCCCTCCCGGATGGGATGCGAAGCGCGGGGCCGAGGGACGCGTGGCGGGTCTGAAGAAATTCGACTTCCTGGGTTTCGTCTTGTATGCCGCCGGGCTGGTCCTGGTGCTGCTGGGTCTCTGTAAGTCTGCCCTGACCCACCCACTAACCCCCCATACTGAAGCCCGACTGATGACCCTACCACAGCCTGGGGAGGCACCTCGTATCCATGGGATTCTGCACATGTCGTGGCCGTCCTGGTCATCGGGTTTGTCTCCTTGATTGCCTTCGCCCTTTATGGTACGTCCACCTCATGCATCCAGCCCCATTGTCAACCCACTCACTCTCTTGCAGAAATCTTCGTCCCCCTTGAGCAGCCCCTCCTACCCATATCTCTGCTCCGCAACCCCGGCTACACTGCAACCGTGTGCTCAGCCCTGGTCGGAAACATGGTATATTTCTCCATCAGGTAAGACCACCAGTCTCCAAGTCTACCGAATGACTCCTCACATACATAGTCTTCTCTGGCCCGAGGCCATTGAAGCTCTATTCACCACCAAAACCATCGAAGCTGGCTGGCTCTCGGTAAGACAGGCCTTTCACTCCCCCCTCTTAATCCTTCCGATTGTTTCCTCTCAGCCACACTAACCTCTATACTCAGATCTCCACCGGTGCAGGCGTCATCGTCGGCGAAGTCGCCGCCGGTCTCCTCATGAAGCCGATAGGATTCACCAAATACCAGCTCATCGTGTCGACGCTCATGATCACCGCGTTCTCAGGTGCCCTGGCATCTATCAACCAGGACCGACGGTCCTACGGGCTTGCAGTACGCTCCCCAACTTCTTCCACACATACTCCCTCTTCCCACCGACTCTATCTTCACCCCCTTCCCATCCCTCAACATCATCACTGACGAACCCCAAAGTTCACCGCCCTAGGAGGCTTCTGGGTCGGCTACCTCGAACTGATCACCATAATCATGTGTCCCCTATACTGCGACCCGAAAGACATCGGTCTCGCGAGCGGTTTCCTCGGTTCCGCCAAACAAGTCGCCGGCACCATCGCCAGTAAGCCCCCGTCCCCCTTTCCCCCATCCCCCTCCCACCCCCACCACTTCTAACCAACTTTATCATCTCAAGCCGCAATCTACGTCGCCATCCTCGACGCCCGCATCGCGACCAATCTCCCGCGAGACGTCTCCGCCGCAGCCCTCAAAGCGGGCCTTCCTTCCTCGTCCGTCTCCGATCTCCTCAGCGCCATCGACACAGACGCCTATGACTCCGTGCCGGGCATGACATCTACCATTCTGTCTGCTGTGACGAACGCAGTCAAGACGGCGTACTCGCAGTCTCTCCGGACGGTGTTTCTGGTGACTATTGCATTTGCCGCGATCTCGGTGATTACGGCGCTGTTTTCGGTCCCTGTTGATGAGAAGTTTACGGGAGTTGTGGCGGCGAAGTTGGCGGGGAATACTGGGGGGAGTTTGGAGGGGTTGAACGAGAAGAAGATTGGTGTGGATGAGGAGGGAGTATGAGGATCTTGTAAGGAAAGTTGTGTTTGCACTTTGTACTACCCTTGATGGGGGGGGGGGGGTTATTTTTAATGGGGGGACATATGTGCCCTACATGCTAGCAGGTTTAGTAATTGAGTTTATAATTTACATCAAGGTTTATCGTTTTTGTTGTTGTTGTTGTTCTTGTTGCTCCTTTAATGTTACCATTTTGTGGTCGTGGCAGGAATGCCGAGTTGGCCTGGTTTACATTACAGCATTTGTCTAGGCCATCTACCCTGGACCATCCAAGACAAAATCACATCCCTTGAAGTCTTAGTTCCAGGCCGGGTCGTGATCTATGTAGTCCTGAGATGCAACTGCGAAAGCCGATCGACCAGCCAATGCACAGGAAAGTTCAACGGTGAGATACTCTCCGGTAGATAAAGATATCAGTCGTCTTCATCCACTAGGCTCAGAGTACGTGTCAACGCAGTGCACTCGTAGTAAAAGGGATAGAAACCACTATCCTCCCAGTCAATGATCCCAGCAATAACATATTGCGCCATGAGGCGGGGGAACTGAGATGCAGTGCTTTCATCCGCATCCTCTGGCCTAGGCCCATGGTCGGAGATAATGTGGAGGAAATATCGTCATAATCCAGCGGAGAAAAAAAGAGGAGAGGCACTTCCGAAGGAAGGGTGATGAATTCGTGCCCATCTTCAATGGGTACAAACTGAACTCAAAGCCAGGGAATTCTGCAAATCCTTTGTTTCAAACTTATTGTTTGTTCTGGCTGTCCTCAAATGGTTATGGGTTGTCTTGCCAGTATTGTTCCGCTGAGGGATGATATTGGAGAATGGCTGGTAAAAACTGGGATCAGGATCCCAAATGATATGGTCAGGGACTTTAAAGATTTGGATTAGACAAGAAAGATTTAATAAGCCAGAGTTAAATAAAGTCTATAGAAAGAAAAAGAAAAAAGAATACAAAAGTATTAGAATTTGTAATGCATTAACTGGGAGTCGAACCCAGAGCACTTCCTGTCACAGACATGGAAGGGAAGTATGTTACCGCTACACCATTAATGCTGCTGATGAATAATCAGAGAACTTGAAGGTACTTAACCCTTTTAAAAGGGGGATCGGTTGTGTTCTCTCCAGAATGCGGGGAGCTTCTCATTTGTGGTAGGTAATCAAATGTTTACTATAATATTTGTCTAGTGTGGAGTTATGTTGAAATAAGTGACGGGGATGGAGATTCTAGCCCTAAGAACGACCTCTCCGACCGAAAACAACACATTTTACAAGGACTCGATTTTGAAATCGCAGTACAATAAACTTTCAGGTATATTTAAGCACTTGGACGCCATTCCACAAGATCACAATTGCTGTTTATATACCAGCAGGGCAACTCTACATTTAGTATGCTGATAAATATATTCTGAGACTTGCCAATATAACAAACAGGCGGTTCTTAGTTTACCTTCCATTTGGCTCATCAGCTATCCATGCTCAAAGCAGGCCACGAGCAGCGAAATGAGCAACAGCCGCAACGCCCAACAAAAAGAGACACATCTTCACATGGAGCTCAAGACACCACAACAACATCCCCACACCAACCATCCGCGAAGCCGTCAGCATCTGTAACGGCACCTCAACCCTCGAAAATATCTCCCCAATCCTCAACCCTCGCTGCCTGCTCGACTCAAACACAATAGTTTCACAGGACGGAGGAAGAAGACTCGCTTCGACGGCGATCAAGACAATATATGACGGGAAAAGAAGCAGAACATGACAAGCCAGCATAAACACCGACACAAGAATATCCGACAGGATGATGTTCGATTTGGTCGCTAGTGTGAGGCTTTCTTGTGGTACGCCGATGAAATGTTCGACCATAGCGGGGATATAACTCATCAGGACCTCCGCCGAGGAGTGAATTAGGGCGGGGATCGCTAAGACCTTCCATAGCTGGCGACTTCGGCTGTCCCGTAGTAATCTGCTCATATGGCTCACTGGGCTGGGGTATTGGTCATGAGGGAGAATCGTATGGGCGGTCCAGGAGAAATGCGCCCCGGCAAGTAGGACCGATGAGAGGATGTGGGCGAAGGGACGAAGTGTTTTGTTGTGAAGGACTAGCGATGATAATATCGTGGTTAAGGAGGAGTGAGTGGTCCAGTAAGCACAAGAAGTACCGAATACATTAAAGAGAACACGGAGACCGCCCTTGCGGTGGAGACAGGAAACTGCTTGTAGAAGCCGTCGAGACAACGGGATGCGTTTTCCGCCGCCATCTATTTCTGATGGACTGGCAGCCTGCCTCCTCACAGCTTCGAGTATCAACATCGACATGATCACATGCCCAATTGCGTATTCGATCTTATTCTGGTTGGTCTGAGAAAGAAAGGAAGTTGTACGCCTAGCTTACCAGCAAGTCGAGGATGATTCTCGCAATAATTGGAATTAACAAGGTGAAGTTTCTCTCGACAGGTTCCGCTGGGAAGAGTTCATGGGTCTGTCTAAGCAGAGGGTAATCTCCAGACGAATGAATGAACGTATTCAGCAACTCACGGAAGAGAGCTAAAACAGATTTTGGGCGTGGAGTGTACGCGATCATGTCTGGTTCAAAAATGGGTGTTTGGTGAACAGATCTGGGGTTGGAGTTGAGCTACGGTTGGAGATACTTGCGCGCTCTCTCCCCAACGGCGATTCCTAGTCAGAAAAGAAGACAGTCATCAGTATCTGTTTATATTCTCTGTTCAGGCATAGAGGTGTCTCAGTTGCCGAGCTCTCGACCAACCACATAAATGACGCACATTCGAGCTTGGGGGAAAAGGGGAAACTAATACCAGGCTAGTGGGACTAGTCCTTATTGGTGCAGTCAGATCTAACTACTTCAGGGTCCAGGCTCTAGGTTTCAATACTATAAACCGTGGGGGTCTGTCTGATTGGAAGTCTCGAGCAACAAATACTTGGGCTTTAGATGTAAGTATCATATGCTGATTATGCCTTTATCTGCCGCCTGAGCTGAGATTAGAGTTGTAGTATGGATGGCTTACCAGTATATTGTTCCGTGGCACAGACCGGCCAACACTATTCAAACGATTGGAGCGTGCATGGCAGAGACGGCTACCTACAGCCCTAAATCAAGGGAAGTCCATACTGTACTACAGCCAACATCTAACGTCCAGTTTCTATGTTCAAACTTCGATTGACCTATACAAATCACAACTGGACAGAGCCTATGTAATGCCATGTTTCGAAACTACGCACATATTTCCCAGGACCCGGCTGGAGGAGCCGTACTAGCATCTTCCGCCCAATTGCTTCAAAGTCCTAGCTCCATATGCTGGACTTTCGGGTACCGCATTAGTACGGAGTAGCCCTCAACGGCATTTACAGGGGTAGCATAAGTAATTCTCACTAGACCGATGGGACCTGATTCGACTTGATCTGGGCAAATGGACTTCCCGAATGCCCTTTAAGAGCTTTGCACAATCAGTGATATTAATGTCTGTGCACGTGGTATAATAGATTAATATAGTTCCATATTTGCAGTCTGCTAGACTTGACATCACCACTACCATCAGCCACCCACGACCTCCATCTACATTACAACACCTTCTCCACTGCCCGTTTCTGAATGGTAACCCACATATCCCTCCAAAAGCCCACGCCTCCCTTAATCACAAACCTAGGAGACGGCTTTCCATGGACCGGTCTGGTCTCAAAATGACGGAAGAACTGCAGCGGATCAGTTAGTTAATCAACCACCCACACCCTCTCCCACGACAACACATACCTGCAACGGTCCCTTAAACAGCTCCATCATAGCAATGTCCCTCCCCAGACAAACCCTAGCCCCGTACCCAAACGTAAGCATATGCTTGTTCATGACCTTCGCGCGCTCCGCATCCAACCACCTCTCAGGCTCAAACTCATCCGTATCGGAACCAAACACCTCCGGGTCTCGCTGCACAATCCACGGATTGGCGGAGATTTCCGTCCCGGGGGGCGCGAATTTCCCGCACAGATGGATGCCCGGCTCGGAGACATAGCGCGGGAAAATGTTCGGTGCGGGCGGGTTCAGACGCAAGGTCTCGCGCACACAGGCAACGTAATAGGGCAGGTGGTCGACGATCTCGCTGTATTGGGGCATTGGGCTGATGAGGCCGTCGCGGACGGCGGTGTCGATCTCCGCCATCATGCGGGCGTAAGCCCCGGCGTGGGTCATGAGGTTGTGGACTAGGGCTTGGAAGACTGTCCCGGTGGTGTCTGCACCGGCGAGCAGGACGAGGAGAACCTCGGCTTTGATGTACTCCATGTCTAGGGGCTGGCCCTCTTCCGTTCGTGCTTCGAGGAACGTTTGTAGTAGGTCAATGCGCCCGATGTCCTTCTTTTGTTCGATGTTGCGTAAGCGCTGGTCGACGAGTCGGTCACGGAAGCGCATGAGAACGCCGATACCCGAGTCATCCTGCGGAGTGGCGACGAGGTATTTCTTCAAGAAGGTTGTTTTCACCCAGCTGGTAAACGGGTGGAGACGCGCGAGGAGCCCGAATGCCGGGAGACCGTCGTGGAAACCTTGAATCAAGCCGCCGACGTCTTGGCCTTGCTCGATGAAGCCGAAGGGGGCGCCGAAGCCGATCTCACTGATGATGTCGTATGCCATATAGCTGTTAGGATTGGCTGGTTAGTATAGTCTCTGGCGCGAAGAGCGAGGCCGCACTCACACTGCCCACCAGGAGAAGTCGAAGATGGCACCCGTGCGGGCGAACGTGTCATCGAGTCTCTGGATCCAATCCTCAAGTCGGATGTCGATCAGTGGCTCCATTCTCTTCACGTTGGTGAAGTTGTACTGCATGGCTATCAGCCCAGGGATTGGGGGTGGCTGCGGGAAGAGCATACCGGACCCGCGATGTGCTTCCGATATGCGGCGTGGGTCTTGTGCGAGCGCATGTTAAACAGCGATTCGGTTTCGCCGAAAGATCCGGTGATGTAGTGACCTGTCTTGTCTGCATTGCGATGGTAGATTTCCGGGAGTTTCTTGGGGTCGCTGACCAGCAGCAGCGTGGGGGTGATTCGGACGACGGGGCCTGCCAGAAAACGAGTGTTAAAAGGCCGTTGTTTTCGGAATGTTATGGACAGGACATTCTGACCATATTTCTTGGTCAAGTCGTAGACGGTCTGGAGCTCCGTCGACTGCAGATTATGCCATGCGATCCAGAGTCTGGTCACTCCGGCCCAGAACGGGCCGGGGAATTTGGCCAACGGGTGGAAGAAGTGGTAGTAGACAATTTGATAGACGAATTTGAGCACGACGTAGGCCACCAGACCCAAAATCACATTAGTCACAGTGACCATGGACGCAATATCTTCGCCGACAGCCATTGTTGCGGTTGAGACGCAGAGATGCCAAGGCAGGATTCAGGCGGGGGTGAGCTCTTAAGACTGTGAAAGGGGGGGCTGCGGGCTGCCTTGGATATGTCACCCAGCGCAGCGATCTCGTCGCCCCGTCTCCTCCCTTGTGGGTAGTCCAAGGGCAGATCACGTAACCCCTACTGAATGCTTGCGACGGTTGGAACCACTGGGTCAGGTGCGCCATCTGACATCCTCGCGGCCTTGCATCCGCGCACGATTGGTGGTGTGAGTGGACGGCGACCGGGTGTCGATCCAACCACAGCAAAGACATTGGAAAGCCTGCTGCTTCTCTTTCCAGTGCAGAAGTCCGCCCACCGGCCGTTATGGAGACTTGGCGGTGCGGGGGAGGAGTGGTTGCCTCTTCGAGTTCACTGGCTGGTGGGAGACTTTGAGGGACCAGACGGCACGACCTAGGGTTTACTAGGGCCTAACGGCTCCTAGTGCCCGGGACGCGCAGTTGGCAGTTGGCAGGCTGCTTCTGCCCACCTAAGCCGTCGGCCGGACCGAGCTGGAAACCTGAATCATGGGCTGGCTGCTGCTGATCCGCCCGGCTCTGCTGCTGCCCTTGCCGATGTCAGCCATGGATGAGAGGTTGAGCCCTAATGGGTGTCGGCCACATTTAACTTCCGGACTCGCTGTCCGTCGCAAACAGATAAAGAAACTGCCATTGCCGAGAGCCTTGGGACAGACTCCTGGGGAAAGGGTTGGTACAGCCTTTATTATGAGAATCGCAGTCCTGCCGTCTGTCTCCATCCGCGCGACTGATCCAATTTCGCGGATGACTCGGCGCGATCCACGCCGGCCCCATTGCGGCGACCTTCTTCGCCCTAACGGAGGCTAGCTCTCGCACCGTCCCCCTCTGCCCCCGATCAACCAGATTTCCTGGCCATTCATGACTTCTCGCCCAGAGCTGCGCGGCACAATTATTCCGAGGGCCGTGGCGGCGCGCAACAAAAGTACTGACTGCGTAGATTAGGTGGTTATCTGTCACGGGCACAACTCGACATGTTCGTTCGAGGGGTAGGATGGCAAAGATGGTCCCCTCAGTTCCCAGCCACTGTCCGAATCCGTCAAGAAATGGACGATTGGTCGGTCGTCAACCTTCGAACAAAGGGAGGGTTTGTTGATCGAACCTTCATCAGCATCACAATTGCATGCTGTACAACATGAAGACTCCCACCCGTCCCTCCGCAGTCCGCCCGTACAAAGAAGGCATCCGAGCAGCTGGACCCGGGCGGAAGGGCCCTCGAATGGCGTCGCCGTGCCTGAAGACGACCTTCCCCCCGTTGATTGGGCCCGAGTTCCTGGCGTAGCCCTCAGACCCCTCGACAGCATCAGGTTCTCAAGATTGTGAATTCGATCCATCCCAAGCTCCCCTCCCCTTTTCAATTAATGTTAATATACCTAGCAGTTCGCAATTTGTCGTCGAAAAAAAGTAAACCTCCCGATTTGTGATCTATTGACCGACTACTGGGCCAGTGCTCGCCCAAGGGGGCCAATGGAGACTTGCCCTACGCCGTTAACCTGTGCCTGACCACCAGCACCACCCCGGGGGATTGCTTGCGCTGAAAAGCAGGAAGGCAAAGGCCAGAACTTGATCCGACGTGCATGCACCATGCATGCAGTAATACTGTAGTACAGCGCACGGAGTGGACTATTCGCCGTCTGGACCTTGGCTGAGCGCGAGTGGGTCACCATCGCGGCCCACTACGGGAGCCGGTCCAGTCAACTGGTGGGATTTGTCGGCCCTAACCGGTTGGCGTTGGGACTCGCAGCCACTCTTTCCATCGTCTTACGCCGGTCGTTTGTAGAGCGATTTAGGTGGAAAATGCTTCCAGCTGGCATGTCTTTGACTGTCTGTGTGTGTGTGTGTCTGTGCCTGTGCCTGCTCCTGTGTAATGCTGGACTTGAAAGGGGGAAGGGACAGAGCAGAGCACTGGCCAACCAACCCCCACCAATTGCAACTGCAGTCGAGATGAGTGTGTCTGCCTGTCTACTGTCATCTCCACATTGACGTCCTTGCTGTATCACATCCAGAATTCCAGACAAGGAGCCATCTTTATCAATCACACAAATTGTGCGCACAAGATATCAAGTCCAGACCGAAGCACCCAAGCACGACGTCTTGCGATCGGCGCATTAATATTACCCCCTCTCTGGGAGCCTTTGTAACCGCCCCGCTCGCGATGATCGTGCCCAAGTTGCTATTCCTGTCGACCAGGGCCACGCACTGGCCGACGAAGGCGTACAGTACCTCGACAAGTATCTCCCGTCCCGGCATCCGAGTGGCGTCTCCAGATCAGCTGTGGAGCATTAGCCCGTCGACACATCTTCTGTATCAGATTCCTCTTCAACGCGGAGTTACCAAACACATCCCTGGGCATGACCAGGAAGTCCATGCCTACACCGGACCTACAGTGGTGGGAGTAGGTTACTGCCATCATCCCTGGTCCCGATAGCTTGTCCCTCAACTCCTCTTAGTCTCCCAGTCCCAGCACGCCGGGCCCAATCTTGAACAAAAGTTCCTTCCCCCTTCAATTCCCTTTTCAGGGAACGCCACCGTGCATCGCCCAGCTCCATATCTCCGGCATGTGATGTGCGCTGCTCTCGATCGCCCAGGGGCTTGAACGTCACCATGGGTGCATATCCAGCTAGGTAAAATAGGCAGTAGGGTACTTAGGTACTTAGGTACCGGCTGCATCCTGCGCGCATCGATGAAGCCGGCAATGCAAGATCGTCTTCCCCCCGGCTCGAAACCCAATCTTTCCGACGCCGCTGCGGGGTGTGTGTCTGTGTGTGTGTTTGCTTTACTGGGAGCCCATCAAGCGATCGATAAATAGGTTCTCCATCCCCGCGGCTATTCTTTCCGCACGCACGTACTGCACGTCCGTCATGTCGAAGTCCCAGGGTCCAGTAGTGGCTGGCGTGGCTGTCGCTTTCGCGGCCCTGACCTTCGTGGTCATCTGTCTGCGGCTGTTTGCGCGGGTCTATGTGTTGAAGAGGATGGGGCTGGATGATTGTAAGTGTGCTCACGCGTCTCATCTTGTGTTTTGGGGCTGTACTTACAGGATAATAGTTCTCATCATCGGTGCATGCGTAAGAGCTATCGATCAATCCAATACTATAGCTGAGCTGACCTCGGAAAGTTTCTCTCGTGGGCATTTACAACCGTCACGGTCGTCGGTACGAAACCACTTCATACACCTAAGGCAAAAGCAGAAAGCTAATCTCAACAGCCGTCCACCATGGAATGGGCAAGCATCTAGTAGATGTGGACGAGAACGGCCTCATGACCTACTCCTTCGTACGGCCACCATCTTACCCCCTCTCATACCCCGACACAATACTAACCAACCACCCACCAGGCCGTCTGGCTCAGCTCCATGTTCTACCTTGCCTGTCTCGGCTTCGTCAAAACCTCGGTGTGCTGGTTCTACACCCGACTCGGCGACAAGCATCTCACGCGCGCAGCAATCGTGATGATGTGCGTGGTGGGCGCACAAGCAACATCCTTCGTCCTGACCGCGGCCTTCCAATGCCAGCCCATCGCCAAAGCCTGGGACACCAGCATCCCCGGGAAATGCGTGACCATCAACGTCTTCTACCTCTGCAACGCGGCCCTGAACATCCTCACCGACCTGGTGACCTATTCGCTCCCGATCCGGGTCATCCTGAGACTCCACATGCCGCTGAAGCAGAAACTGGCACTGGGAGGAATCCTCTGTCTGGGATTATTGTAAGCCAATTACCACCCATCCATCCACACCAACGCACCCCGCAAAAGAGAAAAACACAGACACGTCTAACCCTACCGAATCAACCAGCGCCTGCATCTCCTCGATCATCCGAATCACTTACATCCCCAGCATGCTCACGTCGGCGGACTACACGTACGCCATCAGCGGGGCAATGTACTGGTCCGCGATCGAGATCAACGTCGGCATCCTCGCGTCTTCCATCCCGTCCTTCAAAGCCATCGCATCGCGGTTCCTCCCACGGCTCATCGGCGAATACAGCGCCGACAAGGGCTACAACTGGTCCAGCAGCAACAACAACAACAACAACAACAGCAACAATCAAAACAAGCGCTACGGGTCCGGCTTCTCCAAGGTCCGGGAACATACCTTCGGCATGAGTATCCTGAATACGCGCGGCGAGGAGGAGACAGTCACGGATACGCATATCGGGCGGAATACAAGCGAGGAGAGGATCATTATCCCCGAGGGAAAGATCTTCGCTCATACAGAGATTGAGACGAATGTGGAGGTTAGTCCCGATTATGTCGTTGAGACGGTGCCATCGTTTGAGAGGGAGAGGTCGAGGTGAGGACGAGGATGGATGCGTTCGTTAGTAAACGTGGACTTGAATGGGGTGGCTGGGGTGGAGGGGGGGGTGTTGTGTATAGGATAGATACTCTTTCTTCTTCTTCTTGTTGTTGTTGTTTGTTAGATTTAGACGTTGATACCATTTGTCTTCTCTCAGGTGTTTCAGTCACTGTCAGACCTGCTGTAGGTTCAATTTGCTTGTTCGGGAGGATCGTAGTGCAAGCCTTGCCGTCGTACTTTGTCATTCCCAGCGCTTCCCTTCCCGCACTGACCCGCGATACAATACCAACGCCCACCCACCATCAAAGCGAACAAACACAATCAGCCAAGCCATCGTACACATCACACGCACCCCATCGATCCAAAAAAAAAAGCCATTGTGCAAGCCGTACGCCCATATGCAAGCCTCCCTGACCCCAAGCCGTGGCTCAGACTTCATCGATCAGTCCTCGGTGATAGATCACATCGCATCACATTGTGGCTGTGGCGTTTTCGCAAGGATCGTGATTTGGTTATCAGGGCTGGAGGGGGAAGGGGGCCATCGCCGATATCGATGGGTACAGCCAGGGATGCACAGTGCCGAGACACAAAATCGTGAGGCCCCCGTCAGGGCCAGGCTTGGATATGTTACCATCAGCAGATCATAGCTTGTACATAGACAGACAGGGAAGTGGACAGATAATACCTAGATCGAGGCGTCCGATCAGGGTGATCGGGCACAGACCGGGTTTTATCTAAGCGTTTTGTGGCTTGATCGTGAGCCCTAGCGGACGGGCTATTGGCGGAGTTACTCGGTAACTTGGTCTTATTCTCCCGGGGGGGGGAGGGGGTGATTGGTGGGAGTTGCATCCGAAGGGAAGGGAAGGATGTTTGCGCGGTTGTCGGGGTGGGGGTGTCAGGTTCATCATAGTAAGTAGACATCGATAGTGTGGGGTGTTCCAAGGCAGTGTCAGGGGGATCGACTTGACATTGGGGTTGTGGATGCGGGAGGAGGGTGTCGTATCATGCTGTCAGCGTCTAGTGACAGAGGAGGACTTCATGGGGAGGGGGGTTTCGTCAGTGGAGTGGAGAATTTCGAGGTTCTACCGGGGAGTAAACAGGTGACTCTAGGACGCGTCCCAGGCTTCCATACTGGGTAGTGAATGGTTCACTTGGCGTGCGTGGCCTTGGGGAAGTGATTGACAGTTCGCAGTTACTCGGTCTTTTGCGTGACGTCATGTAGAAGGATTCCAGTACAGAAATAAACCGTCGAACAATGCTTTACAGCTAAACGGCATCTAACAGATATAATGGTTGACATCAATGGACAAATGTCCCGACCTTGCTGAGCCCCAAAGCAATCCGTTTAACCACTATAACCCTTATCCCGTAGATCATGTCAACAATGCAACGCCCTGCATAAACCCTACTACCTTCCCTCGAGTGCCATATACTCATAAGATTCTAAATCCAAGCCACAGGAGCTGTCCCATTCACTAGCACCTCCGCCTTGTACCCTACGCGTTCCCCTCAGCATCACTCTTGAACACAAGTTCAACCCAACACCCATTAGCCAATGACTCAGCCCCAACACCCAACATTCACCAGAACCAGTATTGATCTATTAACTCCAAATCTGCCACCGTCTCCTCCAGCCAGTGCTCCACCTCCTGCGACCTCGAACAAGCCGGGAATGAAAGATATCTCACGCGCCGGACTCAGTCCGGGAATATCATCCACGGTGTCTGCGGGAGGAAAAGCATCCTGAAAGTTGGAAGCAAGTTACATACGCGTTGACGCGAGGGATGCGCTCAGGACCAAGGAGGAATCGCGCTGCAGCGAGATGGTGGCCCCCAATGTCGAGTATGAGGCTGTCTTGGTGGTCGACCGTCGGGGTTTTGGCGCCAGGGGAGGGCTGTCTGATTAGCTTGCCATTACCAAGGCACCACTACAGCAACACAACAGAATTGGCAAACATAAAAAAAAAGAAGAAGAAAGAAAGAAAGAAAGAAAGAAAAAAGAGACAGAATTATAAACCCACTCACAAGCCAGCAATAATTAACCTCCCCGGCCGACAATCAAAATACAGCCGCGCACGGAACTGGCGAATGGGCCCTAATCTTTCTAGCTGCTCTCGACTATATCGGATCGAGTTCAGGTATCGCTAGTTCTCATGCACAGCGCAGGTGATACCCGTCTGCAAAATCTCGAATTTGCACCGCTGGGTGAGATCGGCTGCTTCAGCGATATCCATGGCGATGTGTTTCTCGGATAGGACGTGTTGCCGGCTGATAATGCAGCAAGAACGTAGTGGGCTTGTTTGCAGATGGGGAGGCTTTTATACAGATGGAGTAGTTAGTTGGTGCTGTGTTAATGTAATAGTTCAAGGACGATGGTGGACGCACTCGATAATAACTGCTTGGATGTCGGTGCGGTGGATGAGCTGTTGCGGGCCTTCTGAGGCGTCGTCGGCATATCGGGGTAGATCTTGCTCGGTCGCGATGATGGATGCGGTCATTGGGGATTTAAGGAGCGGGAGTATATGGTCTTGAACGAGAGAATGGGAGAGCCTTTGATGCCGGGCTGGTATCTCTACACCTACCCGAGAATTTTAAATACATCCGAAGGGGCGAGTTCCTGATGTTAAACCCATATCAAGGGTTACGATAAGTATCCAACTGACGTCAAGAGCAGGTTTGTCATCGCGGGCGATGGTCGTCATCAAACAGTCTCTACCAACAGCATCCCATCGTTGGACATCTGTGATACTTCTGTCAGAATGGTACTTGTGTGTCAACAACCGGCTCTTTGCGCGAACTGGCCCGAGAATCCGGGAAGGCCTTGGAACGGCCAGCAGAGAAAGTCTATTGAAACACCTCTCCGATCGTGACTACAAGTCCAAGCGCTGCCTTGGTTCCCACCAGCCTGTCATTCCCAGTTCTGAAAAAGATTAATCTTTGGCGATGGGAGGGATTGGACATATATCTCTGTCACTCCGTTGGATAATGCATCTAGATTCTCAGCAACATTCTGTACGCTTTCCAGCAATCCACCATGTCCCCCCCATCATCCAAAACACGGGCAAAATTCAGCCAGGCTCTTTCAGGAATCGAGCACCTCACGAGACACGCCCAGGACCCGTTCCAGGTGAGGATCGAGAACTTCATTGGGTGTGCGCAAGTCCCCGTCGGACTAGCCGGACCGCTACACATTCGGACACCCGATGAGCCCGGCCAAGACATATGTGCGCCCTTGGCGACCACCGAGGCTGCAATGATCGCCAGCTGCTGCCGAGGATGCAAGGCCGCGAATGCGTGCGGAGGAGTCGAGTACATGACCGGAGAGGAGGGTATGTCTCGCGGACCGTCTTTCCAATTCCACAACCCCAGCGATGCCTTCCGATTTGTGCGCGCACTCCCTGATCTCGAAGTGCAATTGGCAGAAGTAGCGGAGTGCACGAGCAAGCATCTCCGCCTCAAATGCCTGACTCCGCATGTAATCGGGTGCTTCGCCCACGTCCTCTTCAGCTACACCTGCGGGGACGCGGCGGGGCATAACATGGTCACGATCGCGACGCAGCGTGCCTGTGCCTGGGTGCTGACAAACCTGGCGGACGAATACAACATAAAGAATTTTTACATCGAAGGCCAGATGGCATCCGAGAAAAAGGCATCGTGGGGAAATGTGAAGGTCGCGCGGGGAGTCGAGGTTACCGCATGGACGTCGCTCTCCGACGCGGTGTGTCGACGTGTCCTGGGCTGCTCGTCCGAGCACTTATATGAAATCATGCAGATGGGCCAGGAAGCGTGCATCCGCAACGGGCAGCACGGCAACAATATTGACTCGGCGAATGTGCTGGCCGCAGCCTTCATTGCGACGGGTCAGGATGCAGCAAGCATCATCGATGCGTCCTGGAGCCACCTGACCCCGGAGTACGATCGCGAGTCCCAAAAGGTGACGCTCAGTTTGTATTTTCCTTCCATGCCGGTTGGGGTGGTCGGAGGTGGTACAAGGTATGCGACCCAGCAGGAGGCCTTGCGGATCCTGCACTGTGATGGACCCGGCAAGAAACGGCAGTTGGCTGGGTTGATTGCTGGGTTCGCCCTGGCATTGGAGACCAGCACGGCTGCATCTGTGGTCAATAATACGTTCGCGCAGAGCCATGAGCGGTTGGCGCGGCGGGCGTCTGAGGACGGACGACCGAGATGTAGATTATGATGAGGATGAGGGGAAAGAAAGATGTACGTATGCACGGAGTAGGCTCTCTCCGTCTGTCTCTGATCTACCCTATGATGGCAGTGGCGTGGCCAGACAATCTTCATGGCGTGACCCGAGGGTTTGATCCGGGGTAAATCTATTTAGTTATGGCGCGAGCGTAAGAGAGTGAAAGAAGATTGTTTGTTTTGCTTGTCGAGACTCTCGCCTGCACGGGACGGGCTTCGTGCCTGAATCCCGAGGTGTCAGCGCCCGGCCAATGAGCGGTGCTGAGTCAGACCCGTGGCTAGCCGTGGCGGACGGGCCAATCAGGGGCGGGGATCGACAAGAGTCTAGGCCGCGACTGGCCGGGACTAAGGGCGGCGGCGACGACATCATCGGCCTGCAACAATGAAGACGCCGTTCCTTTCTTTCGCCGGATTTTTCTTTTCTTTCTCACCCAATTCTCTTCTCCCCTCAGATCCTCACAATCCCCCCCCCCCTGCAACCGAGGAATGACTGACGAATGCTCATGACCACCGTTCTTACCTCCCCTCCCACTGACCGATGGCCGACCTCTCCACTTCTCCCAGTCGGGATCCCGACACCGACCCAAGGGAGGCCAACGACATCCTGTCCCAGCACCTCCACCCCCAATTCACTGCGTCGTTGCAGGATGAATTGGTCCCCCCAGGAGAGCCTCCCGCTGAGCACCACAGCGGCAACAGCCAGTCCGAACCCCAGTCCTCCCTGAAGCTGCAAGGTGGTGACGTCCACCGCGATCTCTATCGCATCGATGCCAGATCCAAACAGGCCCGTCTACACAACCGAGCTGCGACCTTTTCCTTCCTGCCCCGACACCAGCAAGACGATGCCGTAGAAGAAGGAGTGGCTGCCCTCGAGCCAGGGAGCTTCCGTCGGCATTTCGTCCAAAATAAGTACGGTCGGCTCGACCAGCCCGGCATCACCTCCTCCTTCCTCGACTTTCTTGGCTTCTACGGCAACTTCGCGGGCGAGGATCTGGAAGATACCGAGGAGGAGTCGGCTATCGTCGAGGTCGAAGAAGAGGATGAGGGACCAGCGTCGGAACGGACAGCCCTCCTGCGACGACGGAGGAGCTCACGAGTCGGTCGCCCAGGCGATGCGTCCAACATGAAGACCTTCTTCACCCTTCTCAAAGCCTTCGTCGGGACGGGCATCATCTTCCTGCCCAAGGCGTTCCGCAACGGCGGTATCCTCTTCTCGTCGATCACCCTCGTCATGGTCGCAGCGATCAGCACCCTGTGTTTCCATCTGCTCCTCGAGTGTCGCAGACATTACGGTGGGGGCTATGGCGACATCGGCGAGCGGATTGCGGGGCCCCGACTTCGGTCCCTGATCCTGGCATCGATCGTGATCTCGCAACTGGGCTTCGTATGCGCCTGCATGATCTTCACGGCGGAGAACATTCACGCCTTCTTCACAGCCGTGCTAACCGACCCTGAAGCCGCCCTCTCCACCGGAAAACTCATCGCCCTGCAACTCATCGTCCTCATCCCCATCTCCCTGATCCGGAACATTTCCAAACTCGGCCCGATCGCCCTCCTCGCCGACGTCTTCATCCTCACCGGCATCGGCTACATCTACTGCTATGACATCGCCAGTCTGGCGTCCAACGGGCTCGCGTCCAGCGTGGAACTCTTCAACCGCCAATCCTTCACCCTAACGATCGGCTCCTGCATCTTCACCTTTGAAGGCATCGGGCTCATCCTCCCGATCCAATCCTCCATGAAACGGCCCGAACACTTCGACCGCCTCCTCTACACCGTGATGGCCATCATCACGGTGCTGTTCACCGCCGTCGGCGCCCTCTCCTACGCCACCTTCGGCGCGGACACCAAAACCGAAATCATCAGCAACCTGCCCCGCACCGACCGCTTCGTCAACGCCCTGCAGTTCGTCTACTCGCTCGCCATCCTAGTCAGCACCCCGATCCAGCTCTTCCCCGCCGTCCGCATCCTCGAGGGCAATCTCTTCGGCCAGGGCTCCGGCAAGCGCGACCCCATGATCAAGTGGAAGAAGAACGTCTTCCGCACGCTGGCCGTCTTAACCTGTGCGGTGATTTCCGTCGTCGGGGCCGGCGACCTCGATAAATTCGTTTCGCTGATCGGTTCGTTCGCCTGTGTGCCTTTGGTGTATATCTATCCGGCGTATCTGCATTATAAGGGCGTCGCGCAGTCGCCCTGGGCGAAACGTGGCGATCTCGCCATGATGCTTCTCGGGGTGGTGTTTATGGTGTATACGACTAGCGCGACCATTTCTGTTTGGGTGAAGGGTTAGCTTTAGATGTGTGGTGTGTAGTGTAGTGGGCTTGCTTTTGTTTTGTAGCTTGTGGGGGGGGAGAGCTTCGATTCTGCTCTTGCTCTTGCTCTTGCTCTTGCTCTTTCTTCCTCCGACTTGTATTCCGACTAGGCTTTGGCTCTAGCTCAGTCTGTTAGTAGTGATATACTCCCCATCTCATCCCACTCCTCTATTATCCTCAGACGAACCGTCAACTCCTAACAGCACATACAGGATTCACTCACCATCAACACCATCACCACGCTTCCGGCAGAACTCCATCCACCAGGCCAGCCACACAGCTAACCTACCCGCTCAGCCTCGTTGGAAACATCAACCCCAACACACAACCTTCAAAATAAGTTGGGCTGTGTTCAGCCGAGTCGCTCGAGCGCAACTCTGTGACGACGATGATGACGATAGGAAAATAGTGGGTCGATTCTTGCTTGTTTGCTGAAGGAATCCGCATCGAGAGATAAAAAGAGGGGCAAGGAGGAATCTTCATGATAAATGATTGAATGAATGTTCACATGATCACGCCATGTAATACCCTGCTAGTTCTTGTGACAGCATCGCACAGCACACGCAGCACCGCACCTACCTATCTACCTATCTACCTCTCTACCTACCTAGGTATTAGCTGGACTTGTTTGTGTGTTGAGTCACTTGCTCTCTTGCTCGTGAAACAGGTGTAGGGTAGATTGAATGAGGGGTTGAGGTTGAGGTTACTATTAGTAGACTAATATACTAACTAGAGTCGACCAGACTATCCTAATGGAGGATAGTGTGCATATAGCTCCAGTGAAGAGTGGAAATATCTAGTTATCTATCTGGCTAAGTTCCTAGGACCCCGATAGCTGTGTGTGACAGAGATCTTTTTTGACGACAGTTACACAAAACCACTCCCAAGGTACTACTAGACAGAATATTTGACCAAGAAAAGCGCCACCCCACAGGGTCGCACAATTTTTATTTTTTTTCATATTATAAAAAGTCCGCTGCTGATCTACAGCCAGCATCAAAACACGAAGATAAATACCTCCCACCCACTCACTATACAATACTATACTATATATTACACAACCCCTCTCCCCCACTACTCTTCGATCCCCTCCAATGAAATCAAATCAAGGGCACCCAGTGGAAGGGTAGTTGCAGCTATCATCACTTCCACCGGTGATGCTGACATCGGTGAAAACAAAGTTATCGCAGCTGCCGTCTCCACAGAGGATGTAGTAATCCTGACCATCGCTCATGGTACCAGTGACATCGATGAAGGTGATGTTCTCGATCTTGACGCCGTTGGTCGGGTCGCCGGTGGCACCACCGTTCTCGTAGTCCTGCTGGATGTCGATGCCGTAGTCGGAGATTCCGGAGATGGTGATGTTTTGGTAGAGGATGTTGTAGACCTAGATTTGAATAAGAGAGGAGGTTAGTGAGGGGGTGGATGGGATGGGTTGTGTTGGAAGGGACAAAAGGGGGACCGACCTCGCCAGTGTCGCCGGCGTTACTCTTGATCCGACAGCCATTCTCGCTGTTGACGACCTGCGAGTTGGAGAAGGTGACGCCGTTGACGGTGTTATCGCTCTTTCCGCCGATGGAGCCGATCGACAGGCCGTGGCCGCCGTAGCAGTAGAGGTTGTCGACGACGATCTCGGTGCCGCTGGTCACGGCGACGCAGTCGTCCTGGTTGTGGACCCACGAGTCGGACAGCGTGAGGTAGTCGCTCTGCTTGATGTCGAAGCCGTCGGAGTTGTGCGCGGCCGCCTTGCCGTCGCTCTTGCTGTTGGCCGCGTCGCCGGCCGAGTTGTTGAGGGTGAGGCCGGACATGGTCAGGTACTCGGTGTTCTCGATCTCGAAGCAGTGCACAGGCCAGTTCTGGATGTAGAGGTCGGTGATGCTGGAGTTGTAGAAGTCCTTGATCACGATGAAGTGGTCGGGTCTAGGGAGGGGGATGGGGGGGTTAGTGTCTGTTTGGTGGATATGGTGAGGTGGGAGAGGGAGGAGGGACTGACTTGTCCTGGCCGCCGTTGGAGCCCTCGCCATCCCAGTAGGCTTCGCCGTTGCCGTCGATGATGTGGCCCTCCTCGCCGAAGATGGTGATGTCTGTGCCGGAGATCACGATCGGGTCGAAGTCCGAGTCGTAGGTGTCGCCGAAGGTCTATAGGAATGTGAGTCGAGTCTGTTGGGGGTTGTGGTGTGTTGGTTTAGGTAGGGAGGGAGGGTCTTACGGTTTCACCGGCGAAGATGACGGCCGCACCGGTCTGCAGGCTGGTGAGGTCGATGGTGCTGGAGGCCGGGGCGGAGATGCCGGACAGGAGGATGTTGGAGCAGGATGCGACGGCCGACGAGATCGAGGCGTACTCGGTCACGGTGCAGGTCGTGCCTCCATTGCCAGCGAGGGAGCTTTCCGCAGGGGCCGGGCCTCGGTGGTGGCCGCGACGGCTGCCGGGGTGGACACCGCAGCGGGGGTGGACACGGCGATCCGGACAGCAGTGGTCTGGAGGGTCGTGGCGACCGCCAAAGTAGGGGTGGCTACGACAGGGGCCGCATTGCCCTACACCGGAGGATTAGAACATATTGCTATTGTTGATGGTGGACTGTTGACTCACTGCAGTGGTGGTTTGAGCACTGGAGTCAACACTGGGGTAGGCGGCGGGCGTCGACGCGGGAGACGACCCGTCGGCTGCACCCAGGCAGCTGCACGCACTCGAGAGATGCTTCGTCTTGTACTCGCAGTTGGAAAGGAACGCGTCCGGGACATCAGTCGTGGCCGTCACAGAGCTGGCCGTGAAAGTGGCGCAGAAGCTGGCAGCAGCAGCCGAGGAGACCGAGTAGACGGAGGCACAGGCATGATTCTTGGGGCTTTCACACCCCAGGACGAGGGGAATGACAGAAAGTAGAAGCGCACTGCGCATCATGGTAACGAAAGGAATGAATAGACTAAAGAGTGTAGAATAGGGGAAAAGAACGACAATTGCGATGTGAAATCCGCCATCTCAATACCTGCGGCATGGGTGGGTTATATATATCAAAGTGGCCGAACAATTGCCGTCCGTGGAGCTTGGCCTGCACGCCCGGCGGTTCCGGCACAGAGCGACTCGGTTGCAGAGCGGTAGAACCGTCCCTGATCCATTCGATGGTGTTGCCGGTGGAGCAGAGCGATGGAGTATGGACTGGAGAAGGGGGTTTCAGGTCGGGTCATGCCACGTGCTTATCCGGACAGCAGACGGGATACCAATGGCCAGACCGAGGAGGCCAAGATCGGGAGATTACAGGCGGGGTCTTGGCTCTTCCAATTTGACCGTAGCATGACTAGTATGGTCTATTTAGAGTCGGGCTACTGGAATCCCGCAGAATAAGCTAGGCACAGCCACCTCCTCCGGAGCTTGGCAACAGTTTGGCACGCACGACTTTAGCCGGTTCCGCAGGCCCTAAATGATCCATTGCGGCGCTCCCATTGGTGTCGTCGGCAGTTTGGACCCAGAACCGCTCTCGCGAGTTGTGTCGAGGGTCAAATCAAACTAGCCATGGAATTCGTTTTAATCTGAGGAAGTGTCAAAGAGATCCTGGCAATCGTTTCACGACGCGACGGGGTGGAGACGCGAGGCGCCCCAATTCGCGGGTCGATGCGCTCCAGTTCCATAGCTCCATAGCTCCACAATTGAAGCCCTGACGCCGTGACGCGTCACCTTAAGCAGACCAGCTCTTCTTTTAGTCTTTTGTGACGGGGTGCTTGTGTACTATGTAGTAAAGTAGTAAGTGAAAAGTTCAAGCAATTGTGACTTTATAGGGCATTGTTATATGCCCGAGGGCAATTGATCCGTTTTCCCTTGACGGCCATCGAACCACCAGTTGATTGACCACTCTACCCGATGATCCCCTGAAGCGACTTACCACTACTACGCACGGACTCTGAGTGGATGGCATTTCGAGCCTGCGACCCTAGCTTTTGCCCGGGCCTTTTGAAAGTGGATCCGCACGTTCTGTCGGCTTATCGGATCCCTTCAAGTGATCAGGGCAGTCGTTAAATTAAGCGCTTTGGAGCGGCGCAAGGAAATGAAAGCAATATAAAAGGTTCCTTTCTTGGTTAGTGCACTCCCAACGAGCGCATAAACTCCAGGCCGCTTATCCAACATCGTTGTGATTGATAAGGTCTACTGTACACCCGCCGGCAGGCCGTTGCGAGAGCCCACAGAGGGCACGTGTCGGGTCACTCGAGCTGTAGGCCAACATTCACGAGCAAATCCAGATAAAAATAGATATCGCATAGTCCTTTCCGAGATTTTATCTAGTGTGAAAAACGATCATTTCCATAGATTAATACTTCGATAATATATTGTTAGTGGTGGATAGATGGCGAATGGGATGTTCACCCGGAAGCAAGATAGGGAAGTCACTGGTGGAAGTCTTCGAAGTGACAGCAGAATGGTAACTGAAGCTTCCCAGAGAGAGATTAGCCTTACCATCATGTTCGACCGTGACTAGGAAGGTCCGCCCGTACAACTTTCAGTGACTATATCGAGACAGATACGACATGGCCACAATTTCTTCCGAGTACCGACGCGGGAGAAAGATGTCAACATAATCTAGCCAGTCAGGAACATCATTAAAGTGCCGGTAAGTCCTCTCGTACTCCCAGTATTCTGGATACCAGCCAGAGTGATCCTAGTCCAAGATACCGGTGACATGGCCACCTTCGACTAAGATATTCCTCGGGGCTGTATCACTATGGGTGAAAACGATCTCGTGGTCTTCCTTAAAGGTTTTGGTTGCATGGTACCGAAGAGTGCTTGGGACTCTTGAGATTATCTTCGAGAAAAGGAAATCGTTGAATTGGAATTCTTGGTCAAATGGCCCACCTTCGTGGAATACGTGCTGGCCGATGACTGCCTGACCACGGTCGGCGCCTCCAATGTAACCCCCCTTCAACTTGCGGAGTTGGTTTATGTAGTTGCACAGGTCTTCAGCGACAGATTTCCTTTCACTTTCAGTCATAGTTGCCCAAGATTTATCCAAAGGTTTCCCTGGCATGTAGTCCATATAAATCTTGAGGACTTTGCCATCTTTGTCTCTTTCAACTCTATGAACCCGAGGAACAGGAATAATAGTATGCTCAGCAACAAATTTCATGTTACTGACTTCATGGTTGCGCAAACCAGCCCCGGATTTAATGACCTGATTATTGCAGACTTCGATCGTACGCGACCCAAGAGAGTGGAGAATCTGTGGTTCTTCTACTTATTAGCACACATCATTGCAGCCATCCCCCGCGGAGCTTACTATATTCGAGGGTGGGCTTTGCCGGACCTCTGCCCCCGAAAGATGCCATCGTTGGCTATGGACTGAAGGTATAATACAATCGAAGGGGAACGGAATCCCAGAGCACAGATGGTGACGGTTGGTGAGACCTCTCCAGATCCTAATCATGTGCCCAAGCCACATCGGCCGCAGTGCGGGGTAGAGGGGACAGAGCGATAAATGAGGGGATTTTGTGTTGCTCGCTGCAGCGCCATCTGGGCTTCTGGGTGCTTCGCCAATGTCAGGGACTGCGGTGAATGGAGGTGTTATGAGCAACAATTTTCTGGTTTTTGGACCCGACCAGTCTACCGAGTGCCGATTTCTCCCACTCGATCATCGCGCATGTACCATTCGCGTGCTCTCGCGAGGGGGGTGCACTGCATGCAAAACCAGCGGCGCCCCGACCGGCACCAACGCTGGCAGGCCATTATGACAAGCTATGCGCGGTGATGTGCCCCGCTGCGCTCCCTGTCTGTCACAGGCCAGACATCGCAAATCCGTAATGAGAGGAGTGGAAGGAGAGGACCAGACGACAGCCCTGGAGCAGGATGCGGGAGCAGCGGGAGCAGGACCACGGCAAGATGCGGGCGGGAGAGGAGAAGGAGCAACGAGGACGGGGGGAACAGCGAAGGCCGAGGACGCGGGGCCGAGGGGGGGGGGTTTATACTCGGGGCCACCCACGAGCCTTGTGGCCTCACAGCGGGGTTAGGCCAGCACCGTTGAAGGCAACCGCGGTAGGGCTGCCGACAAGGGAAGGAGCAGGGCGTGCCTGGCCAGCGGGAGCAACCCTCCCCCCAAACACAGAGCGGTGCCCATCCCAGCCAGGATCTCAAGACAAAACTGAACCGTCCGTGCTTCTCCCGTTCGTATACGAGAACGGCAATGGACAATGGAGGCCTACTCTGATGGGGATGAAGTATCCACCCCCAACACCGCGCCAACCTCAACATGGTTCGCACTACGAGATACGGTTGAAGATTGTGGCCACCACAACAGCCACACAAACATGAGGGTCGTCGGTTATGTAGATCTGGCAAATTTGTTCATTAGCTGCTGTCACTTAAATCCCATCGCCCTGCTCGACTTGTACTTTTCTCGCCCCAATCCTGATGTACCGCGTTGTTGTTCCTGAGTCTGAGTGCTACCGACCATGGCCACCGGTTGGACCGCATACGCCTAATATCCATCGGAGGGAGGGGCTGCTGTCATGATTATGCTGTTTCTTGGAGGCGTACTGGTCTTCAGTTACCAACTGATTCGGACGCGAGCATGGTTGACTCTTGCAGCCTTGATAGGAGGAATTTGTATGTTTCGAGATTCTATGCCCCTGGGTACCTGGAAACTGACTCTCGTTGTTCCCAGTTGAAATGATCGGCTACATTGGTCGAGCTATGTCCAGACGGCAATCCCCCCAATTTGGACTCTCGGTCCCTATATCATCCAAAGCACGCTTCTTCTCATCTCCTCATCTCCCTGGCCTTGTTCACCGCCACCATCTACATGATCCTGGGGAAATCTCCTGTGGCGGTGGCGGGGAATGGGCTGAGGTTTGAAGATGTGTCCCCGGCTATGTGAGGTATGGAGTTCTGAGGGATGGTGTGGTGGAGTAAGCTTTCTATAATTTTGTGTATAGATCAGAATACTTGTACGACATGATAGCCCAACTTACCCCGCGGGTTTATCGTTTTAGTCTGGTGTTTGATTGCAAGCTACACTGGGTTGAAGTTTTGTTTGTCGGGAAATCATAATACCTTGTTGAAAGGGAACCCATCTGAAGGAATGGGGCGCGGCTGGTGAACAGAACTTCCTTTGACCATTACTGACACTTGTGGTGTACCCATGGGTCTATCCGATTTGACCCCCCAAAGGGTTCTGATTCTTTGTTAGGGGGAAGTTTTTGGCATTCACAAGTCACCACTCTTTGTCTATGGCAAGATATGCGTGCTCTATTAAATCAGAGCGGCTCTCCGCACTCCAAGGTCATTTCCTACACTCTACCTAATGTCTTCTCATCCTGCGTTATCAAAAAGGAGGGAGCCATTTCGGCGTCCTCCATCTTTTTGGGAGAATTTACCCAAGATCTCCTTAACAGCCGGAGCCCTGAGGGAACTGGACCGACGAAGCGGCCCTCCACAGTTAGCCCAGAGGTCGGACTTTCCATCACTTGATCCACGGTTCCACACTAACACGATAAAGCATTATAGACCGACAGAATTTGCCCCTGATATCATTAAAGCCTGCTCGCCAAACGATCTGAAGGAAATCAAGAAACTGGCGCGGAGGGGAGGCCCTGACATCTCCAGCTTTCAATATGTATGTTGTTTTGTAAATTTGTCTCCCGATCGGCGCTGATGGATTCAACTGAAGTTCCTCCCACCACCTCAAGCATTTGACGACATCTCAATGGAACCGGCAAAGTTCAATTCCCACGGTACGGGTCCGTCATCTGAAAGCATGGAGCGCCCCGGTAGAAAGGCTACTACGACATATAGCCGCAATTTCGAGCAACATTTGATATCACATAACATCTACCCCGTGGGATATATGTATCCGGATGACCGTATACCTGCGGACCCGAGGAATCTGGATGCCATCAACGCAGTTCTATCTAAGCAGAGAAATTCTCCTCCCCCGTCCGATGAAGACTTTGGAAAATTTCGACGAGCCTGTCCACACGCGTCTAAAGAGGACCTGGTCACAACGTTGCTGATTCCTAAGATTGAGGGCAATACTAGCAACCCTAGAAATATGGGTGCCGGATACCCTTTTCGCAACCTTGCCCCATTAACAAATGGGGGGATTTCCCACGCCAAACCGGACCTGTTTCATGGGGCACGCCCTGGCGAGTTGAATGATGCAGTCTGCCAGGAGCTTAACAACCAGGTAGCTCCTTCAACGGAGATTCATCTACCACTCGCCCCGAACTTCTTTTTAGAAGTAAAGGGCAACCATGGATCATCTTCAGTCGCTGATCGACAAGCTTGCTATGATGGCGCACTCGGAGCGCGAGCTATCCATGCCCTCCGGACTTTCCGACAAGACCAGGACCAGGAATCTGATGGCAATGCCTATACCATTACAGCGACTTTCCATGACGGCACACTGAAGCTCTTCACTACCCATCGAACGGAACCTCGTAACGCTAGCGAACGCCCCGAATATATCATGACACTGGTGGGAGGCTGGTTTATGCCGGGCAATTTCGCATCCTTTCGGCAAGGCGTAGCAGCCTACCGGAATGCCCGGGATTGGGCGAAGGGGCAGCGAGATGAGATTATCTCGCGGGCGAATGAAAGGCAACTACACGCCCCGACGTCCCACCAGCAGGCTGCTCCCAAGGCCTCGAGTAAGAAGCGTCGCGCGGCGTTTGACGAAGACCAAGATGAGCCTTTTCACCATGCATCGCGCCGAGTGCGCCAGAGTTTGAGTGCTCAATCAGCGCCTGCACGCCTATAGTAACAAGATATGTGGATAGCTGTTTTTTCCACTACTGAACACTGGAGGGATCGATACTTATGCATCAACTATGATGGCTGTGAGGCCTGTCAAAAAAAAAGGACTTCGGGCTTTTGTTGAAGGAATGGTGATTTGATCATGCTTGGCACAGGGGGCATGCAGTCAGGGATGCGGTTATGAGGAGACATCGTTTAAAAAGGTTCATGAGGGAAGTGATCTAGATGGTTGTGATGGTAATCGGTACAATGTATGGCAGGTTATATCTATCTACCATGAGGCAATGATCGAGAGGGGATAAAGTTTGTACATGAAGGAATTCACACAGATACCTTTCTCATGCTATTATCCTGTATGTAGTAGTGCTAGATGAGAAGTGACGCCAGTGGAGTGGGCCAATCATAGAAGCTAGAGTACCCACTTGACCCTGCGGGGGACTTGTAGATTGGTTCTTGTTTACAAAGTCTCACCACCCGCTGTAGTTATCTCATCGAGGTATCGGAGCAAATACGATGGCGATCGAGCCCTCTGCCCTACACCCAAAGAATACCAAGTGGAAGGTTCGAAGCTAATGGATGGATACCACACTCTATCTACAAGGCAGATAACGTCGTAGAATTGCATTGTTTTGGTGTTTTCTTTAATGGTCGAAGATGACTATTCTCTGTGGGTAGCATTGATGATTAACCCAGTGGATGGTCAACGGGCAATTGCTCCGAAGAAAGATCGAAACAAAGACAAAGCCTCTACTCAAGGAAGTTTCAACCGGGGATGCGGCCATAATGTTTCATCTTATACGTCGCACAATGATAATAAATTCCATACATTACTTCCCTTGACGCCGTCTCAAGTATATATAGCACTCAGGTTTATATATACAAATCAGCAGAAGAATTCAAACTGATGATTCTGGTTGAAGTGTCATCCACCATCAGAAGCATTTACCAAGTTTATAAAATGCACCATTTCATCTAGTTCCCGGCAGGGGCACTCCCAACACAGACTCAACGGCCAGATTCCTATATACAGTGATCACTTCGAGCAACATCTGATAGATCACGGAGTCTTGCCCGTTGGATATGTGCATGCAGATGGCTATAGACCCGCAGAACCGAAGAACATGGATGCTATCAAGGAAGCCCTATGTCAACGACGAGCTTCTCTCCCACCCTCGAGTTCGGACTTTGAACAATTTCGACAAATCTATGGACACACGGACAATCACCTCGCGCTCCGCAAGATGGTCTTTGATATTCTGGAAGGCAGCGCTTCAAAGGCCAATTCACACTACTGCCAATTCAAAAACCTCGCCCCCTTGACCGATGGGCAGATATCCGAGGCCAAGCCATGTTTGTTCCACGGCACGCCCGCTTACCAATTGCATAAAGGAGTCCGGTGGGAACTGAACAACGGGATCATCCCGTCATCGACTTATCCTCTTCCACCAAGGATTACGACGAGTGCGCCAGCGTCGGGTGTTTTAGTCGTATAAGGTATGCCTGTACCAACATAATGGGATTTGTAGAAAAGAATGTTCGTTTTTGGTTATTGGAGAATGCACCACATTTGTCAAGAAGTTCGTTTATCTAAGGGTAATTCTTCTGCCTTGAAAATGATGATGACCACTATGATAAAAACAAGTTTAACGAGTCTAGAGATGGGAGGTTCTCGGGACAACTGGCTTAGATAGTCCTGCGTGGCTCACCTTGCGTTTTGATGTATATTAGTTGTAATATCATGCGAGCGTTTGTGGGCTTTTGGGCGTAGGATATCAAGGTCCTGCTTGATTATAGAATCTCCTACAAAGCCAAGACAAACTTCGGGCTCAGTTAGCCTAGTAGAATGTGGCTTAATTTGACTTCCTAGGAAAAGGAGCAAATATTCGACCTGTCAAGAAGTATTACTGACTTGTCAAGGAAAAAGCCTGCACACAAAGGAATTCTTTGAAAAAGCGGCCACGGTGTTTCACCACACAATGGACAGAAAACGAAGATTTCCTTGTCAAAGTGTTCCGTCGTAAGGTGTTGCGGAACAATCAAAGAAAGAACCCGGATTCATGGCCCCCTTTGTGTCTTTGTGTTTGTCTCGGGGGGAAGTACGTTCTTTTTATTAAAGACGAAAGCGTCCCCGACTCGGTAGACGACGAATTTCCCCGCATTCTAGCCACCTATATACAAAAGACCACACCAAACTAGCCCTATATCTACGATATGGCACCTGAAAAGAAACAGCCCATACTGCTCAAAAGGGAACATAAAAAGCCCTCCCTACAACAACCAGCGGTTTGCGATAAAGCACCACCGAGAAGGCTAACGCAAAACAATCTTCTTCAACTAGACCGAGCAAACGGTCATAGATTTGGAACCAGGAGGCCGTATCTCTATGAATCCCCCTCGACATGTCCATACCGATCCGAGGAGACATACAGACCAACTCAATTCGCTCCTCACTTTACCAGCACCTGTTCGCCAAGCACCATAATGGATATCAAGAGGTTTGCCCGGCATGGCGGTCCTGATTTGACCAGCCTTCGATGTGTATGTACTTGACCAGCTCACTTTTGAACTATGGATTTATGCTGATAAATGTGATCCAAGTGCCCCCCAACCACAGTGTTTGTCTACCACCCCGCCGGCTCGGATAAGTCCAACTTCCAGTATACGGAACTTCATGCCGGAGCCACGTATTTCACGTTCGACCATATACTCGTGGTACCCAAAACTGCAGATTCCATGAAGCATGGAATGCCAACAGCGAAAGTCATTTCTAAGGCCAGTTTGAAGGCGGCATTCAAAGCGAACAAGGCCTTGAGGAGGAAGCGTCGCGCACCCGATGCAGCTGCTGCGCCTGTTAAGCATAAGATACCGCATCAAAGACGCCAGAGCTAAGAGTTTAGTTGTCGACTGACTCCATGCTTTTTATAGACAAAGTAGACTCGGAACAAGGCACTATTCTTTTGTTGTTGGGTTGTGGCGCGAATTGAAAATCTCGGGGATATGCTTTAATTTAGTTTCTTCATGTGAGAACCTGGAGATTGAAATAGCAACAGGTACAATGCAGGACATAATACCGATGTTAAAGCTTTGATAAAAATTCAGACAAAATAATCGTCTTCCACTGAGACGCGCCTGGATGTGCAATGCGGACAGTGACAGAAGTCTCTGAACACATAGTAAATTGTCTTCTGTTGACAGACCAAACAGACCACTCGACTAAAAAGGTGACCGACAGCCAACTTACTACCCACATTCACTCCCCATCCACCCGCACCAAATCCACTGTGGCGCAATGAAACGAACCCCCAATACTATTCACATTCCTAAACGGACACAAAATCACCTCCATCCCCAACTCCTCCAACCAGCTTGCCATCATCCCATCACTCTCCTCCACCACCACCCTCCTCCCATCCAACACCAACACATTCAAACACAACCACCCACTCGCCATAAACCCCGGCGGATCCTCACACCCAACAGGCCGAAACGGACACGGCCTGAGATCCCACTCCCTGAGCACCTCATGACTCCTCAGCTCTGCCTCCGTCACCCTCTCCGGATTAAACGCCAACAAGCCCTCCCGCAGCGGACAAATCGTCGCATCAATATGCATCGCCTTATCATCATCCGTCTCCACCATCTCCACCGTATACCCCTCCGGCACGACCGACCGGAGATACTCCACGCCCTTCCGGTTCGTGACATGGCTATACTGTCCGAGGATCGTCTTCCCGATCCGCATGAAATCCGCCGTATCGAACGCCGGTCGCGACTCATTGATCACGAACTTCCTCTCGCCTTCAAACCAATCCTCATCCAACAGCGTCTCCGCAAACGACTCCTCCGGTCTTCGTACAACGCGCACCCGCGGATCTCGCCCCAACTCCTTCAATAAAGACCCGTATGCCAGATCGATCTCGCGTGCGCGACACGGCCACGCGAAACACGCTTCGATGAGCGTGTTCCCCACGCTCATTAGTCCGTCGCGGGGCATGGCGCCCGTGTAGCCGTTCTCAGCCGCCCAGTCGATATCGGGCGTGGAGCGGTGGACTTCGATGCCTAGGTCTGTGAGGATGCGGGCGAACTGGTCGAGTTCTTGCTCGGCTTTGGTGACGATGTTTTTCGGGAAGGGAGAGTTGGGGACGAAGTGGTGGCGGTGCTCGAGGGGCATGGTGGCCTCGATCATCTTTTTAGGGGCCGGGGGGAAGCACGCGTCGCCGGCCCGGCCGACGAGGATGGATTTCAGGGGGGACCATTCGTTGTCCGCGTGGATGGGGGGTGGGGAAGCCATGGTGGATGTGTTGATAGTGGGATGGCCTGGCCTGGCTTGGCTTGCCGGTGAACAATGGGGTGGGTTAGGAACGGTTTACCAGGCGAGGGAATGAAGAGTCATATATAACTGCAGACGCCATCCCAATGATATATGCTATCCGATGCACAGCAGCCCTAACAATGACACCGCATCTCGCGGCGGAGAACACAAAACAGCTCAGGTCACACATCACACTCATCATGACTGTACAGCCCATATTTACAAACCATCACCCAACTCATAACCGGCCCTGCCGCATAGCATGCAACCCCCGCTGCCAAAACGCCGGAACCCTTGGAACGGCCTCCGCCAGCTTACGCAGCCCGGTGATGCCGCGCTCCGCATGGGAAACCGCAACATCCCTCCCCGGCACATTCAACGAGTTATTAAACACCTCCAACGAAATCGGCCCCTCATACCCCGTCGCCAGCACCGCCGCCGCCACCAAATGCACCGGCATATACCCTCCACGATGGCCCTCAAACGGAAACAAGCGATGTCCGCGCGACCACGGCAACAGCGCCGGCACAGCTGGATCCGTCGGAGGCCGAAAAGTCTCCGGATTGACACGCTCCGCATCGCCAACCTGGAAGAAGAAGATACGGTCCCCGGGCACGGAAGCAACCAGCGACGCCAACGACGAGCACAACACGTCGGTTGACTCCTCCGCCGTGGGATATATGCGGCCGTGGCCGGCGGGGTTATAGGGGTCTGCGAACTCCACGGCCAACACGTTAAACGCATCGATGATCAGTCCTACATTGGGCCGGTTCGCCATGCGTACGACCTCCCAGGTCGAGGACCAGGTATTCCGCGTCGCCCAGGAGAGGCCCTCGTACCCGATTCGCAGCATCGGGCCCCCGTCAGCCTCCGCGTACGCCTTGGCCATGTCGCCCATCTCAGCGAGATCGCGCGCCACGGTCTTGAGGTCGAATGTGACTCCGCTGTCGGTGCGGATGCTGGCGCATAGGAAGACCAGGTCGGTGTCGAAGGCCCGCATGAATGGGAACCGCTTGGCGACGAGTTCCAGTGAGGCCCGTCGCTCGGCGGGGTCTTTGATCCCCTCGATGGCGCGCAGCGGCTGTGTGCACGCGATGCGCATGCCAAGGGATTTGATCAGGTCGCCGAGTTTGCGCGCGATGCGCAGGTTCTCCGGGGTCGGTTCCCACAGCTGGTCGCCCGGGAGTCCATGTTCCTCGAGGTAGCCGGCCCAGCACTCGTCGAAGAGGTCGATCCACTTGTACCCGGCTTTGGCGGCGGCCTCGAGACGCGGGAGGAGTTTGTGGTGGGTGGCGTTGCCGAGGGAGAGGGTGAAGATGCCGAATTCGTTCGGGATGGAGGCTGGGGGCCAGGAGATGGGCATGGTGGTGGTGGTGGTGGTTGTGATGGTGATGGTGATGGTGATGGTGATGGATGTGGTGTTTTGATGGGGTTGGGGCTGATGGTGAGGGGGGGGGGCGATGTATGTCATGGCCGGATAATTGTTCGGTTCGTGCGGGGAGAAGGCTTTCCCGTCTGCTGTGGATAACCCTATCCCCGCGATTCTGGGGATGGGGATGGGGATGGGGATGGGGATATTCCGGGGTATGGTTTATGAATTTATATCATGTGGGTAAGGGTATGTATCTGCGGTAGGGCGGATTTTATTATCCGTGGTTGTTGCTATACTGAACCGGTCACTACTGTGGTGAACCCACGGCTACCGATTAAATAAACATCTGCGAATGCCTTCATTTTGAGGAGTCAAATTTCATATCATGTTGATTTTTTTTCGCATGATAGGAGCCACCCATCTTAGATGCATATGCGAGTAGCCCTCAGGAACAGCCGTGTCGAACGCTCATCCCCCGGTTGTTGACAGTTAAAACCTGCCTGCACTTGGACCAGCATTTACCCCGGCGATCGCCACCGGGAGGGACACTTCCAACCCTGCTTCAGCCTGCCGCATTTCCGTCTGACACCAAACATGCCCATAACTATCCACTCTATTGTCTCCGAACATCCAGAAATATTTGACACTCGGCAGGGTATAAAAACTGCACTGTCACCGCCCTCCTACCTTCTTGACCACGCGATAAACAGCCTTCCTCACATCACCCCACACGGCAATCCTCCCACCCATCACCCCACGGAGTAACCCCCACCACCAAACGGACCCTCTCGACTCCCAACACCGTATTCCGTAAAACTACGCACAGCCAAACACTCTGCCCGAGAACAATTACTAACAAGCCAGACCCGTCGGGGTCTCGGACACCCGGTCCCGGCGCAGGATCTCGCCGACGCAAGGACACGTCAGATCTGCAGGCCGGACGGACTATTTGCGCTGACCGGTCCAGGTTTTACCCTGATGCGGGCGAGCCGGAGGGGACAATCCCGGCGGGATGTCTGTCTGCTGGGGGGCCGAGGGACGATCAAGCATTGTCACCTGATGGTGGCGGCCCTAGATCAGCTTTGCTCGGGAATGGCTGGGTGGCTGGGTTTGGGGACGAATGGTTATTGGTGGCTTGGTGGTTCTGGGCAGGGGCAGATATCTCTCTGCTAATGCTTTGTTGCTGTGTTATTGTGCCAGACCCTCAGTGGTGAGTGAGGGTTTATCATGAAGAGAATAGTAGCATCGTCTCTCGGAGATAATCTGGCAGCCCCGCTATTGTAGTCCAAGGTGGAGCAGACCCTGGTTGCTTGCACTAGCTGGTAGTAACTAGCAGAGAATTGCAGCATGGGCCGACTTGTCGATCCACCTTCCCTTCGGACATTCCCAGTCTCCTCCAGACTTCCATTCACTGTTCTGCTCGCTCCAGTTCTGTCCAGGCTGGTCCAGTCAAGACCAGCCCACCATATCCCTCAACCCTTACCGATAACAGCGAACCCAATACCGAGGCAGTCTCGATTCCCAGGCCAGCCATCGCATCCTCTGGTTTACTTCCACTTCAAGCCTTCCACCATGCATCCCTCCACCGGAATGTCGCCACCCAAGCGGACCACCCCGCTAGTGAGTCTCTCCGCACTCCCTCCATCCCCGAGCCCAACTAACAGCAACTAGCACCATCCAGGGTCACATCACTACTGCATCTGCACCCTATCCTCCGTCGTGCCACTCCCTCCGCATCCCACACCGTCCGCACCAGACTGTCTGCATCCCATACCACGCTCATGCAAATAGGCTAATCGGCTAAACCCCTCGACTCACACCAACACCTACTTAAACCTCCCATATACATCTCTCCCTCCCCATCCATCTCCCTTCACCTCCACCGAGAGCAAACCCACCCCAACCATACCATGACTCCCAACTACTAAGACACTACACTCCTCCAAAATGTACCTCCCACTCCTCTACCTGGGCGCTCTCGCCCAAACCGCCCTCTCCCTCACCCCCCCAAACTACATCTACCCGAACAGCACCGGGCTCCGACTCCAACACGGGTTCGAAACCCTCCTGATCCAACCCTTCGGGTACGACGGCTTCCGGGTCCGGGCGTGGCCATTCCGACCCCCGTCAGGCAACGAAATCAGCTTCATCTACGACCCCCCGCTCGAGGGCTACGAGACCACGGCGCACGGCACGAGCTACTCGACCGCGACCACGGGGACGACGCCGCAAACGCTCCGAAACGGGAACATGATCCTGCGCACGACAGGCTGGGGCGGGGAAGTAGGCGGCTACCGGCTGTCCTTCTCCAGAATCAACGACGACGGCAGCGAGACGCTGCTCACGAACGAATACGCGCCGCTCAAGTCGCTCAACCCGCGCTCCTACCAATGGCCCGGCCCCGGGGCCGAATTCACCGCCGAGTTCTCCTTCAGCGCCACGCCCGACGAGCAGATCTACGGCACGGGCACGCAGCAAGACCACATGGTCAACAAGAAGGGGTCCGTCATCGACCTCATCAACTTCAACACCCACATCCCCACGCCCGTGTTCGTCAGCAGCAAAGGCTACGCCTTCATCTGGAACATGCCGTCCGAAGGCCGGATGGAGTTCGGTCCCCTCCGCACCCGATTCACCGCCGCAACCACCACCCTGGTCGACTACGTGATCATCGCCGCCCAGGACGGCGACTACGACACCCTGCAGCGTCGCATCTCCGCCGTCACCGGCCGCGCCCCCACCCCTCCCGACTTCGCCCTGGGGTACATCCAGTCCAAGCTGCGGTACGAGAACCAGACGGAGGTGGAGCTTCTCGCGCGGGCGTTCCACGACAGGGACATCCCCGTCGCCATGATCGTCATCGACTACCAGTCGTGGGCGCACCAGGGCGACTGGGCGCTCGATCCGCGGCTGTGGCCCGACGTGTCCGCCATGTCGGCCACGGTGAAGAACCTCACCGGCGCGGAGATGATGGCGTCGCTGTGGCCCAGCGTCGCTGACAACAGTGTCAACTATGCCGCGCTGCAGGCCCATGGGCTGTTGTCTGCGACGCGCGACGGGCCCGGCACCACGGACTCCTGGAACGGGTCGTATATCCGCAACTACGACTCGACGAACCCGGCGGCGCGGGTGTTCCTGTGGCGCATGCTGAAGGAGAACTACTACGATCACGGGATCAAGAACTTCTGGATCGATCAGGCGGATGGCGGGGCGTTGGGCGAGGCGTACGAGAATAACGGGCAGAGTGCGTATATCGAGTCGGTGCCGTTTGCGCTGCCCAATGTGTTGTATGCGGCCGGCACGCAGTTGAGTGTCGGGAAGCTGTATCCGTGGGCGCATCAGCAGGCGATCGAGGAGGGGTTTCGCAATGCGACCGGGTCGCAGGAGGGGAGTGCCTGCCCGCAGGTCTCGCTCAGCCGGTCCGGGTTCATCGGGTCGCAGCGGTTCTGCAGTATGATCTGGTCGGGGGACACGACGTCCGTGTGGGAGACGCTGGCGGTGCAGGTGGCCAGTGGGCTGTCGGCGGCGGCGACGGGCTGGGGGTGGTGGACGGTGGATGCGGGCGGGTTCGAGGCCGATCCGACGGTGTGGTGGAGTGGGAATATCGATACCGAGCAGTTTCGTCAGCTGTACGTGCGGTGGTTGCAGTGGACGACGTTTCTCCCCTTCATGCGCACGCATGGCAGTCGCGCGTGCTACTTCCAGGACGCGTATACCTGTGCCAATGAGCCGTGGTCGTATGGGGCGGAGAATACCCCCATCATCGTGTCGTACATCCATCTGCGGTACCAGCTGGGGAGCTATCTGAAAGCCCTGTTCAACCAGTTCCATTTGACGGGCAGGAGCATTATGAGGCCGTTGTATATGGATTTCGGCAAGACGGACCCCAGGATCAAGACGCTGACGGCGACGAATTCGAACTTCACCACGCAGCAGTACCTGTTTGGGCCCAGGTTGCTGGTCTCCCCGGTCACCCTGCCGAATGTGACCGAGTGGCCGGTCTATCTGCCCCTGACCGCGGAGGGGAATGCCACCAAGCCGTGGACGTACTGGTGGACCAATGTCACCTACGCCGGCGGCCAGGTGGTCAAGGTGCCTGCGCCGGTGGAGCATATCCCGGTGTTTCATCTGGGGTCCAGGGAGGAATTATTGTCTGGCGATGTTTTCTAGATAGTATAGATCGAGTATCTCGCATGAAGTTATGCCAGAAATATATCTACGCGAGTGGTCAGACACATAGTAATAACTGGCAATTCTACTATTGCACTCCGTGACTCACCCCCGAGCCCGACACAGACAGCCCTTTCTAATCCCCCTCCCACCCCATCCCCGTCGGCACAGCCCGCACCCCCTCGGCCTGACCCTCCCCTCCTCGCCCACGCCATCCAAACCACCGCCCTCCCCCCCAAAGGAACCACCCCCGCGACCCCCGGCAGAATCCAATGACGATCACACCTCCCCCAATCCTCATCGACCCCCCTCACCTCGACCGGCAAATCCAGCGAGGGGAAATAATCATCCCGGACCATAAAGCACAACGACCTCCAAGTAAGCGGACACTGGATCCCCCCGCGATACTTCTCCCAGGGGACCAGCAGCTGCGAGAAGTTGCCGATCCGACGGGGCACGAAATCCGCCAAGTCGAACGGGTAGCGCGTGCCGTAGACGGGGCGGCGCGAGTTGTAGTGCGAGCGGACGGACGAGAGCGTGGAGGGGTGCACGGAGAGGAGCACGTCGGTGTGGTTGTGGCCGCATTGGGTGGGGAAGCGGTCGTTGGATCCTGCGCGGAGCGTGGGGAGGGAGATGTAGATTGTTGGGGAGGTGAATGTCAGGGTGGTGGTTAGGGTTTGGTTGTTGTTGTTGTTGTTGTTGTTGTTGTTGGTTTTGGTGATGGTTTTGGTGATGGTGGTTGTGATGGGGGTTGTGTTCGGGTGGAAGGGCGGTTGTGGCGTTGTTGGGGATGTGAGGGGGGTTTGGCTGCGGGAGTGCTGGGGTGGCGATGGGGGTGGGGATGGGGGTGGGATTGCAGAGGTCGTTGGTGGTGGTGACGGGCCAGTAGAAGATGGTTGCATCGGCGGGGACGAAGTGGCATGCTCTGCAGGGGTTCTCGGTATATGGTGCCGGAGGGGTGGGGCAGTGGAGGGGGCAAGAGGGCTGGCGGTGTCGCCTGGGGTTCTTGTGGTCTTGGTTGCTGCCCAGGAACTGGATCGGCGGGAGTATGTTTCCCAGATGGGGATGCAGTCTTGTGTGTCTAGGTCACAGGAAGGGCGGGGGACGGCTCGCGGTAGATAGGGAAGGTGTAGGTGTAGGTTTTGGTGGATGTAAGGCAGGGCCCGGTGCCGGGGAGCCAGGTGGTGATCATGCCCACAGGGCCCAGGGCTCGCGGGATGCCGTCGCAGAGGGTGGTGATCGGGCCGTTGGGGTGCGGGTCGTTCCAATCCTCGCGACGCACATGGGTTTTGCAGGCGCCTGTTATGTCTGTGTATCGATTGAGAGAGGTGATGGTTGAGGTGGGCCGAGGGACCTCAGTCCGTAATTACGCTCTACGTATTCCATCCATGCGGCGTTGCAGGACACGGCGGAGGCTTGGGGGCCCGTGGTGGGCCCGTAGAAGTAGTCGGTTGAGGTGGGCCAGAAGATGGACGTGTTGGAGATGATGAGCCATTGGTTGCTGGTGGAGGTTGCAGGGGGTGTTGGGGTGCTCGATGGAGAGGGCGTTATAGGGCTAAAGAGTGAAAGGCCTAAGCCGTGGACGCTGCTGGCGAACAGTAGTAAGGTGAGCCACATGGTGGATTGGTGGAGGCTTGGGCTGCAGAGTTAGGACGCTCGACGCCTTTCTCCGATGCAAAATTCAATGTCTCTCTATATATATAAGCGTCGGATATTTCCATGATATTGCCTATGTTTCACGTCGTCCCGTAGCGGCCCGTACTGCGGGGATAGCTGCAGCCAATACAACCTCATCTGGACACAGCAACCTGAAAGTTCCCGTGGTTGCATAAATGGCCACTGAGGCAACGGGAGTATTCCCCGCGCAGGATTTCGGAAGCCCTAACATGAGGCTTATAGTGGATAGAACAGACACCTTATTTCGCTTCAAATCAGAAATCAATTGAGCCAGACCAACACAATCAGGGATATATCGCTATAAATACACAACAAAGCCACAAACCGTAGACACTTTGGCAGCAAAGTGAGTACTCCCCGTTTACCTCCTAAAAAATTGACCAAATGATAGAAATCAATCAATCCCCCCCAACCAGCGGCTTCTCCTCCGCCAACTCCGGCAGCGACACCCGCTCATCCAAGTCACACCAGCACCGCTTAGCCCTGGACCGAAAGATCGCCACCGCCGTGTCTGTGGTACCAAGCACCTGCAACACCTCCGCCGTCCAGGTGAGCCCCAGAAACGTGGACCCCGCGGTCGCCGACACCCCGTACGCGTTGCCGGACATATTGATCAGCGTGACGAACTCGGTGGCGATCATGCTTGCGATCACGGATCCGATGCCCAGACCGATCATGCTCACCTACATCCCAGGATCATTAGCGAGCTTTCTGGGAAATAGAGTTGGGTACATGCAATGCAACATGCAACCCGTGGCGCATAATGAGCAACTCACCAACAAAGCCACCAGCTCCACCCTCGACGGCGGATTGTCAAACTCGAACCGCACATCCGACCGGCCAGGATAACTGCTCCTGCGACTACTATCATTCGACCTCGAACGGGCTCTCCCCAGCGCCCTCGCCGACGCCAGCGACCACAGTCTCACCCCCACAGCCACGGCCGCGGCGGTTGTCCCGAAGATATAGAATATCACCATGGTGGAGTTGGTCGGCTGCAACATCCCAAAATCGTCTGTGATGCACGACGGCCAGATATCCGACGCGAGGGTCCCGGACTCGTTGCCTACGGCTTTCAGGATTGCCGAGGTTGGGTTGAATCTAAACAGGACGCTGCGGTCCGAGCACGCAAATAGCCGGTTTTGGGTGGTTGTGAAGTTGGTTTTCGGGTCGGGGACTTGGAAGCCGCTGCAGTAGGACATTGGATAGACGGAGAAGAAGTCGGGGGCTGGGGCGGCGTTTTCGGTGGAGGGGGTGCCGATGCCGTGGGTGTATAGCTAGCAAGTATTAGTGGGCAGATAAAAGAAGGTGAATGAGAAGAGATGGGGGGTTGAAAAGAGAAGTGAACCAAAACTCACCGTCAAAAGATCCACCTGCGGCAACTGCCTCTGATTCCCAGCGAAGATGCATAGCATCCCCAGTAAAAAGGCAGCGAAGGAACCTATGCAGGGCAGCAGGGCACGGAAACAGCCCATGATGATTGGATGGATGTGTATCCTATCCTATCCTGTCTCCGTTCCAATCCCAATCCCAATCCCCGTCCGGTACTCAATCACCCGTAACAGCAAGGATCAATATCGCAGGGTGTCCGTGTCCGTGTCCGTGTCCGTGTCCGTGTCCGCCGAACAGCAAATACACATCCAGAAATCGTTCGAACCTCGTCATGGATCACAGCTGGGACTAGGGTGAGAAATCCCTCGAAACCATTCCCAATCCCAGCGGGGGTCGAGGGGGGAGAAGCGAAGCTTATGAGGTAGCTGCGCGGCGTGATGCACGTGTAGCTAGATACTAGTAGTATGTAGTAGGTAAGAGGAGTAGGTAGGCGACCATCCGCTCTCGGCGCCCAGCCCCGTCAACACCAGGAATGTCGAGCCCTACTGTTTTTCGTTTCGCCGGACTAATCCAGGAACCGCTCTGCCCCCTCTTCTCTTCCCGGGGTATGCTGTGCGACTGGTCGGTGGCTTGGAATGCGGGAAGAACCCCAAGGGGGTGGCGCGGAGCAATAGGATCCCTTGTCGGTTGTTACACGGGATTCTTCGCCGTTGGGAGGACTTGTCCTCCCTGTTTCCTGTTGCTCTGTCGGGGGTGTTGGGGGTATAGGAGTTAGGAAAGGAAAAGAGTCGGTTGCCTGGTGAGTTGTTGGTTGGTGGGATGGGGAACTCTTCATGGAAGACTAATCATTGCGGTGGAAAGTGTATTCTCGGCCAGGTATACTAAGGAATTTCTAAGAGGCTCGATGATTCTGGTTGATGGTTCAAGCGATTGTGATGGTTGTTGTTGCTATCTACATGCGGAATTCAGAGCAGCGACTTTGCCGGGGGTATCGGTCTGGTCTGGGTGCCGATCGCTGCATGTAGGACTAGGGTCATATGGGCTTGAAGACGCCCGCATTCATGGACATCAAGTCTGCACCGTGATTGGTCTTCCCATCGTAACTAGAATGCAGACTGATCTTTCATCATACATAGGTGAGTGAGTCAGTGGAGCGATGTGGAAGAGAAGACCTATCTAGCCCACGGCTGGGCCTAGCCTGCCTGCCTGCCTGCCTGCCTGGTTCGGTCGGAGTCATGAGGGCGGGCTAGCCCACAAAAATCTCGCACAAGTGGTATCTATCTATCTTATTAAGTCTATAATGCTGACATAGTGGTAAATGGCAAGTACAACAGTATCTATGTGTCATAATCAGAAGGCGAGGAGGCTACTCCTGTTTGACCTCGTCCTCGTCGGCCTCCATCACAGGAGCCAACTTGCTCGTCCGCCGGAGACGGCCCCCGTAGACGTAAAACATAACCGGGATGGGAATCATCACGACGGCAATGCAGCCCAGCAGAGTACCGGCCCATTGGATGCCCAGGTTGTCGAACATTTGGCGGGTGAACAGGGGGAATACGGCTCCGACCATGGATCGCATCATGGTGTTGGCGGCGAACGCGGAGGCAGCGCTGCGGAATTAGCACAAGCGATCGCATGAGGAGAGGATGATGCTCACAATCTCAGATACGTGTCCAGGAGGTAGTTGAACCCTTGCATGAAGATGGAGGTCATTCCGAAGCCGACCAGCACGCCCGCGGCCGTGGGCGCCATCCAGTGGATCGACCGGTCCCAGCCCGTCCATCCGAACCTGCGCTCGTTAGTCCTGTCGGGCCGTATTCGGTGTGCAGGAGTGGATTCTTACCAGAATAGACCCCCGGCAAAGGCCACGCCGCCGACGATGGCGGGCGGGAGACGCCATTCCGGCACCGGCACGTTTTTGTTGGCGTTGAGCTTCCGCGAGTAGGATCCCTGGAGGGAGATGATGAAGATACTACCGGCGATTTCTCCGAGGATCAGGCCGATGAAAGGCAGCCCTGCGACCCCGCCGACCATGCCGTAGGTGCCTTCGAACACGATCGGGTATGCCTCTAGCAGCGCATAGGCCAGGCCGTAGATAAATGACATGTACAGGGTGAGCATGAATGCGATAGGCTCCGTGAAGAGAATCAGGAACGGACGCGCCAGGTTCTTGGTGACTAGTTCGCGGAAGTCAATCTCGAGTTCGTCCTGGCGGGCGTGGATGCCCCAGTTGCGCGTCTGGCGCCGGAGGATGGCGGCCTTCTGGACGAGGATCACGGGCGCGTAGGTTTCCCGAGTGAAGAGGGCTATCAGCGCAAGAGCGAAGAACCCCACGATGGCGGGCATGTAGAGCGTCCACCGCCACCCGAGGTAGCTCTCTGCGGTGAAGCCACCGATGAACGGGGCCGTGAAGGGACCGGTGAAGACGGAGACTGTGTACATGGCAATGGCGATGCCGCGCTGGTGGTTGTTGAAGATGTCCGACAGGGTGGCGGGCACCAGGGCGATGATGCTGGCTGCGAAGAAGCCGGAGAAGAAGCGGCACAGCATGATGGTCTGCGTGTCCTTGGCTGTGGCGCACGCGATGGTGAAGACATCGAAGCCGAACATGCCGATCAAGAGCGGCCAGCGCCGGCCGATCAGCTCAGAACTGGGCGCCCATACCGTTGGCCCGGCCGAGAAGCCCAGCACGTAGAGAGTCGTCCCCAGGGCCGCGACCTCCTCCCCGAACCCGAACTCTCTCATGGCCCCCGATGCAGCGGTGGCGAAGACCGCACTGACGTAGGCGCACACCAGGGCGCAGAACGTTAGCATCGAGCCGATCATGACTCTGCAGGCGTCAGCGATCATTCCGCACGTGGCACATCGCTTGTTCCAGGAGGCCATGCCCTGCCCCTTACCTTTGCTTCATGGGCCAGTTGTGGGGGTGCATCGGATCACCGGCGCCCTCGAACTCCACGATGTAGCCCTCGGAGTCGGGGAGAGGAGGAGGGTAGGGCTTCCCCGCGCCGAGGGGCAGCCATTGGTCTTGCGGCGTGCGACTGACCCGGGACCCGACCGTGAGTTGCTGCTGGAGACGGTAGGTGTTGATGCGTTCGAGCTCGATGGTGTCATGAAGACCCGACGCCTCCAACTGGGCCTCGCGATCATAGGCGGCTGAAGGGTGCTCCGCGACCGACGACCGATCGTCGACGTCGGCCTCGAACTTCTCGTGGTGTTCCATCACACCGGATCAGCTTGTCAGCTTCTGGGAGGACAGGAACGGGGGTAAGCAGGACGAGGATCAGCTAGTTATCAGTATTTCACCTCGGGGACCAGCATATTAATATCAAGATTAGGATCAGGCTGCCGGTCACGGCACTACCAACAACTACGGGGCCCTCTAAATTTTTCGGCCCTCGATTTGGGCCTTCCAGATTTCGCGGGAACCGATGCTTGTGTGGGTCACCGACCAGAACCTACCGATGCACTGGATATGTAGCCCGGATAAGACGGCGCACCATCGCGTGGATGGTGTGTACGCCGTACGGTGTAATAATCAATAGCAATGGTTACTGCGTCATCTCGTCACATCACATCACATCGCATCGCATCGCTAGTGAGAGGCATCAGCTGAGAATCATCGTCAGGCAGGGTCTGCATGGATCGTGCCGCAGCAAGGGCGGTCGGCGGCGGGTCGGGGGCTTGGACAGGGCAACACGGCGATACTCAGAGCCAGATCACAAACCCCCGCTGGCTGAATGTAACTAACCGAGCACTCGTTCTCCGTCGATAGTTAGTGGCGTGGGTGCCGAACCCGGCCATGTGGGAGGATCCGGGGTCTTTATTCCGTCTATTCCGCCATCCGCCGCTATCTGGAGCACGCCGTGCACAGTATCTATACACAGTATTGTTGTTGTGATTCTTCACAGTGACGGGCAGCACTCTCTTGAAGCCCGTTCGTATGATGCCACGATCCGGGCAGGACCGGCGTAAATATATGCCCGATCAAGTCGGCGTTGTCAGGCTCTGTGCCCCGCGACTCATTTTGTTGATCGATCGTGTTGATCTTTTTCCTCGGGAAAGCCCGGCCTCGGAAATGGCAGCTATAGCGGAACCATTCCGCTGCCCTGCTGCTTTCGGGGTTTGCCTGGTCGCTGTGACTCAACATAAATCTGTTGTCCAGGTAAAACTTTGTATTATGGTCTGCCCGCGAGGTATGTCGTCAGTTATTTGGCATGGTCGTGCAGAGGTCTCTGGGGGAGCTGGCACTGCTCAGTCTTTTCACCGCCATATCGTACACTTGGTATGGACGAGAACATTCACTAAACAACCAGTCCAGTAGGAACATGACAGTACCAGGTCCGGAAGACTTGTGAGCTCTCTTGGTCCAGTTCCTCCTGTAAGGAGAGGCAACAGCTCATCCACTCAGTCAGGTGCCTGCTAGCCAAATGATACTTTAGTTTTCTTACTGTCATTAGCACTTTGCCCGCCGCTCCAAGCCATGCCATGTATATTGGTCTGATTCCTAACGAGGAAAGCAGCAAGCAGGCCAGAGTCCAGGTCAACATATAAATACCCATCCTTGTGGCTGTGTGGTTAACCTTTTGCATCAACCAACATTCAATACGCCCAGGCTGCTAAAAATGCTCATTCTGCGGTCCCATGACTTGTTTAATACCTGACACCGTGGATCGCAAGAAAGCCACCGTATCTCATCCCGCCAAGCGAACACCAACCGTGATCTACACGAAAGATCAATGGAGGGGGACAAGGAAATCAAGCCCACCATTTTGGTCCACAGGCCAACATGATGATCGCCTACGATCTGATCGTTCATTACTGCAAGGAGTACTCGCCCAAGGTCCATCGTGGAGGCTGGAGTGTGGCTCATGCTCTCGGTGGTCGGGGAATTAGCGGGCTATGGACCGCTGCTAGCTGGGAGGACCCTTACAGCAGGACGGGACCACGTTGTCACTTTTACTCTCACTCTATCATATCGATACTACTCCCAAGCAAGTATAACAAGGTATATTCTTTAACTCCTAAAGGACATTGGTCTCCCCGCGGGGAAACACCGCCAGGGCCAGGAAATCAAGTTCCGGCACCGCGTCGGGAAATGGCCCGACCCTGTCTGCTCCTTCGTATTCGCTGTCGCCATCGCTTTACTTTACTTTATCTTCTGCCCCTCTCTCCCCTTCCCCTCATCCTTCATCCCCTCATCTCATCCCATCACAACCCATCTATCTATTCGGCATTCACATCACCCCTCCACCTATCTACCTACCCACCTAATATCCAAAATTCGAAACAGCCGAAAATAAGCAAAGCAAAGCAAAATGATCACCGGCATCGCCCACGTCAACATCCTCGTCCCCCCAGGAACCCTCCCCCAGGCCGAGGACTTCTACTCCTCCACCCTGGGCCTGGTCTCCGCTCCCGTCCCGCATCTGCAGAAGGGGACGCTTCTTTGGTATAGTACCTACTTTACCCCTCCCTCCCCCCCCACGTACCCACCTACATATGCACATAAACCAGTCACGAGACTGCATCCCCATCCCCATATATCCACGTATAAATATTTATTTAATTACATCAAATAAAGGTTCAACCTCACCCCCACCGGCAGCCAACAAATCCACGTCGCCCTGGGTCAAAACAGCGACTTGGACTCGAGTCGCCATGCGTGTCTGAGGGTCGGCTCGGCGGAGGACCTGCTGGTTCTGCAGCGGCGCGTCTGGGATCATCATGTTCGTGGCGGCGAGGCCGCGCCGTTGGCTGTCGATCGGCCGGGGGATCAGAATTCGGGTTTGTTTATCCTTTTTTTCTTTTCTTTCTTTTCTATCTTAAGATTGTCGCGGTTTTTTGTTACCTGTTTGTTCCTGCTTGGGTTGCGTTGCGTTTGGTTTGGATTCTGTTATGTTATATTATGTTATGTTATGTTGTGGTATGTTATGGTATGTGTGGTGTGGTGTGCTTTGGCTAATAATAATTGGATGGAGGTGAATCAGGTGCCCAGGGCGTTGAATACCCAACGAGATTCTTTGCGAGGGATTTTGCGGGGAATAGGCTTGAGTTTACGCTTTGAGATGGATGGGTGTGGGTGTGGGTGTGGGTGTGGATTGGCATCTTTGATGGTGAGTCTGATATATCTTCTTGGTGGGGTGGGGTCCATAGGATAATGGGTTGTCTTATTGTGTTTGTGTTTGTGTTTGTGTTTGTGTTTGTGTATCTGTGTCTAGGTATCTAAGGTGGGGAAGTACATATCTGATGAGCGGGGTTGGAGTACTATCTAGTCTGTCGTGTCATATCTTATTATGAAGTTAAACGTGCATTATTTGTTATTCATAATCTAGGCTGAATGTCAGCGTGGGCTTGTGATTATTATCTGAACTATCTGCGAGATCAGATAGCATGGGATAATATTAGTTGGGGTATGGCATCATAACTGAGTCTCGGACCCGACTTCTTCCTGTTTCTCTGGACAATTCATGTACACGCACACACACACACACACTCTCTCTCTCTCTCTAACCCCCCAAGCTCATAACCGGCAACTCCGCCATATGCAACTTCGCCGACCCATACGGCACCAGATCCAAGTGAAACGGTCTCCCCACGCAGCGTCTCTCCCCCTTCAACGGCGGGTTTGCCGCATACCCATCTACCATTGGCCAGTCGATCTCGCACACCCGCGCTCTCACGCTTGTCGGCGCGCCGAGTGTCCACACCGGATTCTGTAGCCCACTTTCATTTTCATCCTCCATGCCGGTGAAGCGTAGCGTTGATGGGTCGATGGCGTAGGCCCACAGGCTGATGGGGACAAGGTCGCGGTTGAGCACGTTCGGCGGCGCGGAGTCGTACCCCGGCACGCGCGAGGAGGTGAGGTTGTATGTGATTGGGATGGCGTAGAGGAGGGCGCCGTGGTAGATGGAGATGGTGTCGTTGGCGCGCGGGGTGATTCGGAGTGCATCAGGTCGATGAACCGGTGGATGGAGTCGAAGATGCGCGTCTGGAGATCGGTCCCGGCCTCGACTTCGGCCAGTTGGATCAAGCCCATCAGCATCAGGTACCGTGCCCAGAAGTTTCGCGTGGACAGGTTGGTCTCGGGGCCCAGCCATCCGTCGACCTGTTGGTGCGATAAGACGAGCACCTGCTCTTTGAATCGTGGGTTCTCAGTTAGATAGGCGAGTGGTACGAGTCCGTTGAACCACTAGGGGAAGGCTTCGTTGAGTATACTGTGGTCCTGGTCACCTCCGAGCCAGGGGTTGTCTTTGACGATTCGGTAGAAGTCGTGCTCGTGCCTGGGGAGACCGTCGGCCATGAGCTCTAGCTGGTCTTGCAGCCAGCCTCGGGCCTTTACGGATCCTAGGGGTAGAGGCTCGAATTCAAGTAGGAGAACTGGACATGTTAGAACTGGTAAGCATGCTCAGGGCATTGGAACATACGAGATAGATGGCTGGTTTCATCCTCTGGCTGGGAGAGGATAGGTACCTGCACAGACTTGTTTTCCGACAGGACATTCTGTAGACCGGCCGTGGCCTCGTACACGATGGCGCACCAGATCAGGGCTCTGCAGGTCGTTGAACCATGGATAGGCAGGTGCAGTAGATCATCAATCTGTGCATTGATAGAGTTTCATATTTCGATGGAATCGTTGGGCGAGCTTATCAGGGCCAGGCAGGCAAATGCGGGGAATGGCCGTCCGTGGCGGTGCCACCCCGTCTGGATCCAGGGATGCCGCAGCCGCAGCTTAATCCGATCGCCTTGCATCGGACCCGGTGGACCTGTCACGGTCACTGTCACGGGCATTGCGCGGGGCACTCTCAGTCTCATTTAGACTTTGGTTTCAGCCTCCAGAATTCTTTTGAGGGCTCATCTGGACTTCACGGACCCAATGAGTCACTTTGCGCCCAGTAGACCATCACTGTCCTACCCTGTCCTACCCTCTCCCACCCTGTCCCACAATACTGTCCCCGTAAGCAACAAATCTGCAACGGACAACTTATCTGAAGCCAAGTGTCTTTTCTTTCGCGGCATTCCCCTGAGGTGGAGTATTACGCACCATGTCATCAATTCTTACGGTCGTAGTAATGCAGCAGTAAAACGACTCCTTCCCAGCATGGGTAGCCCATGTTGAGATTCAGTGTTCAGGGCAGCCGTCAGCGGAGGGATATATCCGCACTCTCAACGGTCGGACACCCAAGTCCCGAATCCCCCGTGCCGCATAGGATCACTTTGTAGGCCCCGAGCAACTCTGGCACAAGACAGACATCAAGCCACGAGTACCTTGAAGCTCTAACTAGCTCGATTTCCCTATCTCGATGTTTGGTACCTGGTAATTGTAGGGTGGGGTGGGACAACAAGGATGGTTCCCAGGCAGCCAGGCCGCGATGGGGCCACGCCCCGACGTGCCGACCGCCTTCCGGAAGTAGCCCGCCTCCGACCGTTTTTGGTGCCCAGTTCGCCCTTCTCCGCCGCCAGATGCCAGCACGCTCCTCTCTCTCTCTCTCTCTCGCTCTCGCTCTCTCTTCCTTTCTCTCTCTCCCCTGTCGCTCTCTTTTCCTTCTTTTTTCTCCCCCCCCTCCCCCACCTTCTCCCTTCTTGCCATCGTCCCCTCTTTGGCTTCTTCTTTTCCCCCTTCACCCACCTTCTTCCCCACCCCGTGGCGTCCCCCCCCCTTTCTTCCCTGGGGTATGCCTAGAGGTGGATCTCCCCCCGGACCCCCTTGTTATTGTTGTCCGCCGATGTCCGGATGAGGCTCGACTCTCCATCGGTACCAGCAACCCGCCGTTGGTGACACCTAGTCCCTCCCTCGACTAACCCTCGCGTCTTCGTCCTGTTGGCGAGACTGCCTCTCGCTTCTACCCCTCGTCGTTCCGTCTATCTCCGGTCCCTGGAGGTACCTGCCGAGTGTCCTTCACCCGTGGGACTTCGAAAACCCATCCCGAGCCTCTCCCGCTGTCGCGTGCAGTCAGCCTCGCGGACGCCGCTCCAACAACAATGGCGCACTACCAGAATGGCTATCCCACCTATAGCCAGCCATCCACCTCTCCGCCCGGCTCGCAGCCCACCCGATATGACCTGTATCCCCCCCAGCCGGCTAGCCCGCAGTTGCGCAGGATGCCCAGTTATAACGAGGGGGACGACGCGGGTGTTGTCCTAGGCTCCCCTCACTCGCAGAACGCCAGAGCCGCCGAGATCAATGCTCAGTATGCAAGCTGGGCCGCGGGCGAGGGTCAATCGAGCTACAATCTCACCAACGCTGGCCGCGATGATTATGCCGACCCGCGATATGCGCACCTCCCACCCCCCACCTCGCCTCGCGCCCGTGCCTCCTCGCAGTCCAGCTACCAGTACCAGTATGGCTCGCCCGGTGCCGCTCCCACCTCGCCGACTCAGTTGACATACAACCCCCAACAATACGCCATGCCTCCTACTCCGTCGCAGCAGCAGATCGGCTTCAGCCCACTCACCTACTCCGGACCGGCGCCCCCGAGTCACCAAACCTACAATCCTGCGGCCTACCAGCCTGCCGGGTTTGTTTCCTCTCCGGTGCAGCTACAACCCTCGTATGCGCAGGCTCCGCCCACGCCGCAGTCCTACGGACCCCCCCATCCGCAGCTCCCGCCGCCACCGCCGCCGCGGGGATCCGATCACCCATACGGAGGCCGCCCGTCTCCCGCGTATGGAGGTGTTTCACCGGGGACTAACCACGGCTTCTCAGCGCAGCAGGCGTCATCCCCTGGTTCTTTGTCGTACGGCATGGCCTCCCCATCAACACCGAGTACAGGCTACCCTCCGCCCTATGCAGGAGGGTACATCTCGCAATCGCCATCTCGTTCTGATACCCTCTTGGCCTCCCCTTTCGATGACCCGCCTCCTGCACCACCGGCTCACTCGGCGTCCACGGAGGACGCCTTCGGGAAGCGAGGCAGCCTGACACGCCCCGGATCAGGACGGTCGCTTCCAACCCCGCCGATCCATCAGACCCCGCCACAGCTGTCACCGCAACGGACGGATACCTTGACCCGGCACCCCCAGTCCCGGCCCTTACCGGGGCCTCCAGCCGATGCGGAGCCGCCGTCAGATCCGTATCTGGCCCTAAACGGAGTTGAGGGTTTGAATCACCGGTCAGGTTCGAGAGCTGGCTACAACGCGCAGCTGATGGAGGAAGTGGGAGCCGTGGTGGCGAATCGGCGAAGGGCCGGAACATCGAACCAGGACGCTCATGACGCGCTTCTCCCGGAACCCTCCAGCGGTGTCTCGCTAGGCCCCCGCTTGTCCCCCGATGAGAGGCACACGCATACAAATGGCAGTATCGCGACTGGTACGGGTCAGTACGTGAACTACGACGCATACAGTGATGACAGTGATGCTGAGGCCGCTGCGGGCTTGGCGATGTTGCAAATGGCGGATGAAGAGGAGAAAGCGCAAGCTGAGCGCCAACATGACCGTAGGCGGGAGACGACCGTCTCCATCATCAGTGCGTATGGCGCCCATTCAGAGACCCAGGACGCGTCTCATGAGGACTGGAATCCTGATGAGTCCGGGTCATACGGTGGAGACTACCGTCGGGCTTCCCAATACGATGAGGCGGATTATCAGACGAATGGCTATGGTGATGACTCGGATCAATCTAGACTTGTACCCACTCTGGGCTCCTTGAGACAATCCAACTTGTCCCACGACGAACGTGAGGAGTATTCTGATGACTATCAATACCCTCTTGAGCCGCTAGATGCTGCTGGATATTCTTATGCAGATACCCCCCAGCATGCACGGGTGGATGCTGGAGGCACTGGGGGCCTGGCAGAGCCGGGAGAGTACGAACGTCGGATGAGCTTCGACTACGGAGATGAGACCGACACGCCGTTATCCCAACAGGATCGTCTGCAGCGATCGGAAAGTGACAGCTCCGGCCGGGGCGAGGAGCCTGGGGACCTCTTCTTCCACCCCGGCATGCGGCCGCTTCCACCGGCTCCCGTGGAGCCGGCCAACAATCCAGGCTTGATGTCTCAGTTGATGCCGGCAGGGACGTACCGGCACCCGGATCAGGGTGACGTGCAGAGCTCTACCGAGTATACACCCTCCTATTTCCCTGTTGCTCCAGACTCGTACAGCCCGACCGTCCCTAGCTCTACTCCAGTCCCACGGTCGACGTCTTTGTCGAGTCATCCAATTGGTCCTCGTACTGACCCCCCTATCAGATCGAAGACCGATGCGGACCGGGCCAAGTACAAACAGCAGCAGGAGCTGCTGCGCCAGCAAACGTTTGGAGGCCCCGGATCGGATGTTTCCCCAGATGCTGCCGCGGCGATGACGCTCGATCTGCCTACGATCCCCGCGGGGCGTCGTAAGAAGTTCAACCCGTCGAAGCTGTCGTCGGAACAATTCCGTCGCTGTGCGGAGCCATGGGCTTTGAGCTCCATCTTGACGTGGATTCGGGATCTGAGCGAGGACGAGACCGACCTGAAGGAGCAGGCGATCGTTGAGGCTATTGTTGCCCTCTTCACACACAAAGTGCCGACGATGAATATCGCGGATGCCGAAACCCTGGCCGCGCGCGTTGTCAAGAACATGATGGATGAGGAGGCCCTCGTGAAGGACGAGGAGTGGGTCAAGTTCAGCAGCGGCACTCTGTCGGGTGTTCTGTTCCAGATCACAGGCACCGGATGCTACTCCTCTCGACTCCATGAACACGGTGCGGAAGCCTTCGGGCGTTGTTATTCTCACCACTGTATGCGGACGCTCAAGAAAGTCAACCTGAAAGCGCAATTGATGGAGCCGGAGAAAAAGGCGGAAGACTGGGTGACGTTCTACATGGTCCCGAAGGAAGTCTGGGAGACTTACCCCAAGAAGGAAATCGATCGACAGAACAACCTGCATGAGATCGTAACCACTGAGGATTCCTACATCTCCCAGTTGGATGTGCTGCGCGAGCTCTATCGGGATCAACTGGAGAAAATGCAGCCGTCGGTGATCGCGCCCAAACGTCTGAGCAAGTTCCTGGTGGATGTTTTCGGAAAGGTGGATGCGGTCAAGAAGGTAAACGAAGACCATCTGCTGGCGCAGCTCAAGTACCGTCAGAAGGAACAGGGTCCGTTCATCGGTGGATTCAGCGATATCTTCCGGGAGTGGATTCGCAAGGCGAAGACCGTTTATGTCGACTATGCCGCGACGTTCCCCAGTGCCAATTATCTGGTGCGCAAAGAGGCAGAGCGCAACATTCACTTCCGCCAGTTTCTGAACCAGGTCCGTGACCACAAACTATCCAATCGTCTCAGCTGGGATACCTACCTGAAAGCGCCCATTACTCGAATCCAACGATACACCCTGCTCCTCATCACGGTCCACAAGAACATGCCCAAGGACTCCGAAGAGAAGGCCAATCTGGCACAGGCCATCGAGGAGATCAAGATGGTCGCCCTGGAGTGCGACAACAAAGTCGGCGAAATGAGCAAGAAGGTTGACCTCATGGAGCTCTCGTCCAAGCTGCAGCTCCGTCCGGAAATGAAGAAGGAAGTCGAACTGAACTTGGAGCACCTGGGTCGCGAAGTCATCTTCCGGGGTGACCTGCAGCGGCCAGGAACACGAACCCGGTTCTTGGTGGACACTCATGCTATCCTCTTCGATCATTACCTGGTGCTTGCGAAGGCCTTCACCGCTCGGGATCCTTCGAGAACGGTCAAGTACGAGAGCTACGACGTGTCTAAGCTTCCGATTCCCATGGACCTTTTGGTCCTGGAGAGTACCAATGATGATCCCGTCGTGAAGTCCTCGGTCCGTGGTGTAGCTACTGTGACTCCCCCGCAGGCCGTCGTCGGCCGTGGTGTAGGCGCTGGGCCTCTCACCCACACTGCGAGCGGTAACTCGGCTAGTTCTGGCAACTCGAACTCTGGACGGACGTTGGTGCCTGCCACTGTTCTTGAAAGCTCCAAGGACGACAAGATCCTTTACCCGTTCAAGATAAAGCACCTTGGCAAGAATGGAACATACACACTTTATGCATTCTCTGCCCAGAACCGACAGGACTGGTGCGAGAAGATTGAAGAAGCCAAAACGAAACATGCTGCCGCTCTGTTTGCCCAGAATGCAGAGCCGTTCAGGCTCCGCGTGCTCGCCGACACCGCCTTCGCTTCTTCTGACAGTTCGGCGCCTTCCACCAGCATCACCATTGAGGGTACGCCTCTAGATCGCGCCATCAAAGAGGTGGAGGACCGCTATTCTGGCTCGAAGACCCGGCCGCCACCAATTTGCAGGGCTGCTGTTCACTGTGCTACAGTCTTCCAGCAGCCCGCTGGCCGAATGATGTGTGCCATCGGTACTGATTACGGCGTTTTCATCTCCGAATACAATGACCCTCGTGGCTGGGCTCGGGTAGGTGGCTCTTTTCCGTGATTCGGCACCTTGTTCTAACGTAGATGTCTAGGCTATACCTATCGTGCGCGTGACGCAAATCGCGGTGTTTGAAGAATTCAACGTCTTCCTGCTCATTGCCGACCGGTCTTTGATTGCTTACCATTTGGATGTCGTGTGCCCTCCGGGTGGCGTGTCGGCTCAGACGACGACGGACTCTTCCCGCAAAGCGCCCCAGAAACTATCCGGGAGTCGAGAAGTGGGCTTCTTTGCGGCCGGACATATGAAGGATCGCACGTTGGTCATGTACAAGAAGCGCGATGGACTGTCGTCCACTTTCAAGGTTTGTTTCACCACATCATCCTCTGCATGTTCCGTTACTTATTCGAGCAGATACTCGAGCCAGTCGTGCAGAAGTCATCCAGTAGCAGGACCCGGCTATTCCAGTCTCGTCGTTCGCAGACCGAGTTCTTCCGGGAGTACGACGAATTCTACATCCCTGCGGAAAGTTATGGCATGAACCTGTTCCACTCTTCTCTCGCAATCTCGACGCAACGAGGCATCGAGATCCTCACGATCGACAAGAAGCACACGTGGTCTGTGCCGGACTTCCGATCCGAGGCACCGCCCGAAGCGCAAGCGCAACTCACCAGTATCGCCCATCGGATTGGCGCTCTTCGCCCGTTAGGCATGTTCCGCCTCAGCGACAGCGAGTTCCTGGTTGTGTACACGGAATGTGCCGTTTACGTGAACAAACACGGCGACGTTTCCCGCAGTGTGGTCATGGAATTCGTGGGACACGCGCACTCCGCGTGCCTGTACGGCAAATTCCTGATCCTATTCAACGAGGACTTCGTCGAGGTGCGAAACGCCATGAATGGCCGTCTCCGTCAGGTTATCCCAGGCCACAACGTCGTCTGTCTCGATGACGGCAGCAGCATGCCCGGCTCCGGCGCCAACAGCATCCCCACCAGCGCGGGTGGCGCAGTCAATCTCTCCAGCGGACTGTCGAACGGCGCGTCCCTGGCATCCAGCGGCCGCACAGTCAAGATATGCATGCAACATCCCGAATACGAACGGAGCCAGATCATCCTCGAACTGATCGAGAACGAGGGACAGAAGGATTAGATATGAATACGACTACCTGTGCAGAACACGTGACCCACGTCGACGATCTGTCTTTCCGGTTCACCAGCCACATCTCCATGTTTTTGTCTTTTTTTCCCACTTGCATCCGAAAACATCGCATCGCATCGCATTGCATTGCATCGCAATCGTCAGTTATCTCGTCAAATAGTCGCCGCTGGCCGACGAAGCAGCATCTCTACCTGACCTGACCTGCCCTGACCTGCCCTGACGCCGTGTGCAAACCCCACACATTCCATTCCGTCTGCAAAAAAACCCCCCTTACACTATCATTTTTAGCATCACGGCCCCCGGCACAAATTTCTGTGGCAGAGGTTATTATTTTTTCTTCTTCTTCCCCCCTGACCAACCATTTTATTACTTCTGACTTTATACCCCTTTTTGAACCTTGATTTCTGTGGTGGATAATTTCTCTCTTCTTCTTTCTTCTCTCTTCTTATTTATCTATTTATCTATCTATCTATTCTTTCTATCTTTCTATCTATTTTTTATTGCCATTTGTGAGCTGTTTCTGGGCTGTGAGCTGTGAGCTATGAGCAACATGTTCACTGTACTTGTATTGTAAGGCTCCATTTACTTTTTCCTTTTTTATATTTGTAGTCGATGTGAGGTGAAGTGAAGTGAAGTGGAGTGAGATGAAGTTGGTGGATGGGGTTGGATTGGGTTGGCTTGGGTTGGTTTTGATTGTCTTTTTTTTTTTTTTTTTTTGTATTGTACATATTTGGCATGGTTGGGTTGGATGTCGGATACACTACTACCTCACTTATTTATTTATTTATTTATTCACTACTTGACTACTTCACTTACTTATTACTTCAGCTTTAGCTAAAGAAAGGTGAACCAGCAGCAGTACTGTTCATTTTACATCGTCTGAATGAATGAATGGTTTATCATCTTGTGAAATCAATCGATCATAGTTTTTTACAGATAGACAGAGAGATCGACATAGATAGACAGACAGGCCTACATACAATGAATGATTGTTCATGTTCATGTTCATGTTCATGTTCATGTTCATTTCATGTTTCATGCTCCATGCCCCCCAGAAAGGAAAATGCAGACACAATCGAAGAAAGAAAATAATAATGATGATGATGATGACGATGATGATAAAAATAAAAATAACAGACACGAGACGTCTAAGCAAACCCCGGTTACTTATAGGCAAAAGCAGATGTATGTTATTGTGATTGGTATTGGTATTGTGATTGTGATTGTCATTGTCATTGTAGTTGTGGTGGGGACTGACCGGTAGGTAGCAGTCCGTTGAATATGATTGATATGGTGATATCTGATTTATGTTTGATGGTTGGTGATGATGACGATGATGATGATGATGATGATGATGATGATGAGATAGACAACGCAGAAGCACAGGAAAGAAAGAAGACGGAAGGAGAAACATCCAGAAGGAAATTGGGAGGGAAGGGAAATGGACAGGAAACGGGCAGGATGGATAGGAAAGATCGGTAGGTAGACAGGTAGGTAGGTAGGTAGGTAGGGATGTAGGGATGTAGGGATGTAGATGGGTGGCTATGTAGACAGGTATACGTATGTATGATCATGACTCGAACTCGACTTTACTGATGACGTGGGGGTCGTCGTGGGGCGGGTTAGAATTGTGTGCGTCTTTATGGCCGTTGTCGTCGTCGTCGAGGAGAAGGGAAGCGTCGTCCTTGCCACGCATGCTGACGACTTCGGCGCCCTCGAGGAGATCCCGATCCGTGTCGCGGACGCTGCGGCGTTCGGGGTCGGCGCCGTACACGCCGGCGCCCCAGCTGGAGATGCCGCCGGCCATGGCGGAGGCGGTGGCGGCGCCGGAGCGGGTGTCGTATTCGTCGTCGTCTTCCTCTTCTTCGTCGTCGGCGCGGCTGAGGGCGCTGCGTTCCAGCTCGCGTTGCGCTTCGTCCATGCGCTTCTTGACCTCTGCGGCCATGCGGATGCCGTCGGAGACGATGTTGTCGAGGACGCCGCGGAGGCCCTTGCCCGGGGGTACGATGCCGCCTGATGCGCCGGCGACGGAGGCGCCGGAGACTGCGCTGAGCTGGGGCTTGGCGGCGCCGATGTTGGAGAATGTGGTGAGGTTGGAGGAGAGAGACGACGAGGCGAGGACGTGCAATCCGTGGTCGGAGAGGCGGAACGACTGCGGGAAAAAGCTGTCGAAGAATTGCTCCAGCAGCTCGTCGGCCAGGATGACCATGCGGAAGGTCGGGAGAGTGATGTGTAGCGGGTTGTTCGGGTCGAGGGCGGGGTTTGCGGCCTGGGACAAGGCTCGGTTGTGTTGTGGGTTGTTGGGCTTGTTCTCGGACTCTGGCTTCGCTGGCTTTTCGGTCACGGCTGAGGAGGTTGATTTTGTGTCACCGTCATCCACATCGATCAGGTCCTCCTCATCGTCATCGCCGATGCTGAAAGATCCAAGTTTATCGGCTGCGTCGTCGGTTTCTTTCTGCCCCTCCGCGGCTCTGCTTTCGGGGTGGCTGGGATCGGCGTATTCGAAACAGCGACGAATGAAGGAACTGACACTGCCCAGGAATCGTTCATAGGTGCTCAGTTTATCCTGCTCATTCTCGTTGGCCCGAATGTCCTCCACCGATTGCGTGGGGGTGATGGTCCCATCGAAGCCTCGTCGAGACAGGAACAGGAGCGCCTCTGACATGCGAAGGATGCCCTCCCGATCCACCATGCCAACCCCGTTGTCATCATAGAGATCAAAGAAATATTGAATATTGTTCATAATATCACGTGGACCTCTCAGTCGCGCGAGACCGTTGACTACATTCTGCAAGCTGATACCCTCATCTGGATCCGTGGCCCATTTGCGGAAAAGCCGTTGCATGAACTCGTGATCTGCTGGTTCCGGTTTGCTGTTCAACAGAGAAGAGGTCTTGCCCCATCCTCGGAAGGAGCCCTGCTCAGCTGTGGAATCCTTGCGTGATGGGCTGGGCGAGTCCGCAACGGCCCATTTCGCTGTTGCTGCAAGGAAATCCCGGAACGCATCGTAGTCCATGTGGGTGGGACTGGGTCCAAGACCAACGCGACCAATTTCTCGATCCACAGGAGGCCCGAGTATGGATGTTCTTTCGACTCTTTTCTTTTGTTGGCGCCGTCTTTCCTCTTCCAGGAGCTTGTCCCTCTGCTGACGATCGTAGAGAACCTCGTAGTAACGGTCGTAGATGACGCCCAGGTCGTCCATGCTGAGCTTCTTACTATCAGGCCCAAGGTTGCGAATGGATGTGCGTTTGGCAAAGCTCTCAATGCTCTCCAGAACTGCGTCCTTGTGCTTATCGCGCTGTTCCGTTATTGTCTGGTGTGTGATCTGCGAGAACTCCTTGAAGGCGACGACCATCAGCTCTTGGAACCGAGTGATAGCCCTCAATTTCGGGTTCTCTGATCTTGGGTGGGCCGACTCATCGAGGCGAGAGAAATAAGACTTGAGCACGGAAATGAATGAGCCATCATCCTGTATATCCAAAAGTTCCTCGCCATTGATCCGAAGAATTGCCAGTCCGACCTGGAAGAGAACCTTGGGCCCTTCCAGGAAAAAGACATCCAAGACACGGAAGGCGAAGACCAGCGGCATGGAGTTGATGTAGAGTGACAGAAACCATGGAAGGGAGACAACGGAAAGCTGGACATCGGACTTGGTGAGGTGCTCCCACAGCACCGGCATGGTTTTCTCAACGAGGGACTCGAACACCTTTTGATCGAGCAACGTGCCGTACATTGTTGTTGAGTAGTAGCCCGGCAAAAGGCGGTCGCATAAGACGGACAGCAGAAAGAAAGCCTGTGCCTCCGACATATAACTGGAAGGGTCAGCTTCACTCCGGGGAACGTGGTAGGGTCGCATACATCAACAGTGCTGCAACGACGATATTCATGGCCTGGCAGTACCCGATCTCCGCATTGATCCAACTATAGGCCGTAAGGACCCTTCGGAGGCGACCAATGCCCTCTTCACTTTGGAATCCGGGATATTCTGGCAAGCTGCGGTTCAGATCCTTCTCAATCTCGTCTATCGCCAACGATTCTTGTCCCGAGAATTTCGACAGGGTGTCTGTGTATAACTTGGGCGACCTCAGGCGGAGGTAGAACGAGCCAGAGGTTATCTCCCAGACCTCTCCTCGTAGCCGATTCGGGAGACCGACACGGATCAGTTTGTGGAAGGTGGGCTGGCGGATGAGCGTCGCGTTGCGACCATTTTCTACGAAAATCACTCAGCATACGTCCTGGTCACGAGAGCACTCAAGGATGGGGTTTCATACCTCTGAAGTACTCCCCCCACAACCTCATTTTACTGCGGTCCCGAAGCTTGCGCGCATCGCCGGGATAACGGAACATCATCCCCAGCCCAGCGTCGGGCGGCTGGCGCGCTTCAGGGGTCTCTCCATTCTGGGCCTTAGCCTTGGCCCCAGACAGCAGGTATTCCGAGTAGCAATCATTGACGACTACTCGCAGGTTCTCGATCTCCTTCATGCACTCCCGCAGCCCCTTCTTTAACCCGTCGCAAAAGCGTTCGCAGGCCTGCCTGCTTCCAGCCAGCTGGATGGTGAACCGTTGCGGAACAAAGTCGGGGTTTTGCTGCTTCCCCAAGGCGCCGTTCCACGTTGTCAATGCAAGGGAGAAAACATGGCCGAGGCTGTTGAGGCGTTCCACCCTCCGGATGCAGCACAGCGGGATGGTGAATCCATTTCCTGACGGGCCTGTCCCATTGGTCTGGCCGGCCCAGTGGGTGGATGCACCCAGGCTAGCAGACGGTGCGAAGCTTGTAGGCTGAGTCGAGAAGCAGATAAACCGTTCACTCAGGTGGAGCCGACCGGCATAGCGGTTTCCGGCGCGGTCAAGGTTGCGGGTGGCGTCGCCATGGGATGTGGAGGTGTGCGGTATGGGAAGAATCAACTCGGCCGTGATCTCCTGGAGGGGGTTCTGGGAATCGGGCAGACGGAATTGCTGGCGAAACAAGGAGGCCTTGGACGGGTTGCGATCGGAGGAGGTGAGGGTGGGAAGGGTAAAGTTAGCCGGGTCGATAAGAGACTGAGCTTTCTGAACGAATGACGTCCACTGCATCATGATGTGAGTGCGAAACAAAAGGCTTCCCGAGGGGCTTAAGGCAGGTAAGCAAGCAGGCTGTCCTGCTGCGTTTGAGGCGACAGAGGGCCTATACGGCTGACGGCCGTTTCGGGCGGGAGCGGGAGCTGCAGCTGGTGAAGCTCACACGGGCAGTCGGAGTTCAGTGAGGAAGATGCACAGAAGCCCACGGATGATCAACGGGGGAGGTCAGGGTCATCGTAGAGAGCTAGCGCGACATCATTCAGCGAGGGCTTCCGGCTGTGACAGACAGGCAGGCAGAACAAAAGGAGCTGAGGTGATGACCGACGACGTGGGAGGAGGAGGGGAACGTCTCCGGCGATCGTTCCTGGCAGCCTGCCGTGACGAGCCTCACGTGACGGGCCACTGCCGGCCGGCGGGCGGCTGGGCGGCTGGGCGGGTGGACGGAGCTGGTCAGACCCTGAAAAAGTCCAGTGCTACGGTGTACACGCAGTGCAGGTTGATCATGGCATCACAGTGGGGTTCAATTGCCGACTCAATAACCATACTTAACTACACAAGGAAACTACCTATCCTGATAATGGCAACAGGAAAGCCGAGAGAGCGAACTAGTTCTCCGTGGGCTCGGAGAAGTGGGACAGGTAAAAAAAAAAATAATAGAAGTTAAGGAAATTGTAACGAGGGGGGGGCTTATAATCACAGCGAAAGAAACAGGGACAATCTCAAATACATCCATCTCCGGTTGTTGGCAGGCAAGCCTTTGCCTTTGCAAACCCACCTCTTGCTGAGCGTCAAAAGTAGGTGCGACACCTCGGGGCAGATCACTAATATCGCGCAGGTGCTGACTAGTTCTTGGTCATGGACACGTCTTCAACCACAGCCTCCTCGTCAGTGTATGCAGGGGGAAGTTCCTCGGAAGACTCGGTCATCAGACCCTGCTTTTCGGAAACGGTGCCCTGCTCCAAGGACTTCTTGGGGGTGGAGCGGCGGAAGCGCTGCCACATGAAAACCACGATCTGGCCGACGAGCATACCGAGAGCGCTGGCAGCCAATCCCGCCAGGACACCCAGCACAGCCGGAACGACGATAAAGCGGACCACACGGTGGACAGTGCGCTCCCACTGGCCATGGTGCATGTGGTGCATGTGGTGGTGGTGGTGGGGACGGTCAAACTTGTGCATGTGGTCCATGAAGCCAGCCTCCTCCTCCCCGTCCATCGGGGGAAGGGGCATACGCTCGGGGTCAAAATCTTCGTGATGGTGGTGGTGAGGACGACCAAACTTCTCCATGTGGCCCATGAAGCCACCCTCCTCTCCGTCCATAGGGGGAAGGGGCATACGATCGGGGTCAAATCCATCGTCGTGGTGGTGGTGAGGACGGGGCGGGCGAGGATGATCCGAGCCATGAGGGCCCCCGCAGTGGTGACCCTTGGACTTGGGCCCCATGCCGAGCATGCGCGCCTTGGCCGCGGCGAACAAGGACCGCATGCGATCGAACAGCAGACGTCTGAGGCAGTTCGGCTTCCCACGGCACTGTCTCCAGGAGACGCGGTTGGGGGTTGTCTCTTCGATCGCGGTTTCGGCCATGTACAGTTCGCCGCTCTTGGGGTCGTGGATCAGGGTCAAAGCCACAGTGTCCAGAGGAACGGGGCGGCTGTCCAGGTCAAGGACGGTGAAGCGAACCGCCACCAGCTCCGTGGGGTCCTCAGGCGCGGTGGGCAGAGGCATTTCCTCCACGGCGTATCCCAAGGGAATCGGTTCCGTCTCCGCGCCATCGGACAGCCGGCGCTGGACGGCAGTGATTTGGGTTGGGGGAGGGGGAGGGAAGATCTGGCGACCGTTGGCTAGAAGGAAGCCATTTTCGATGGAGAACTCCAACGACTGCGGCTGTTAGCATTTCGACCGATCGACGAGGGGTCTCCCGCTCGGCTCAACTTACCAGAGAGGTCTGGAAGCCATCAGTCCAGCTGACAGTGCCATCCTCGCTGACTTCGCGGAACGGACATTCGGTGCAGGCCAGCTCGACCAGGTCCTTATGGGGGATATACGCTCCCAGCGGGACGAAAGGAAACATGTCCTCCTCAGGGGCGATGGCATCCTCGACCTCGGGGATAACGAGCAAGGCGTTGGCGCCGAGAGCGAGCACGCTCCCCACAAGGCACGAACGGAGGTGCATGGCGGCGAGGACGGATCTAGTCCAGGCTCATGAGATGACGGGATATCAAAACGACACAAAGTCTGAGGAAGCGATGATGAGTGATGATGATAGAAAACGTTAGCAGATACGGAAGCCGGCGGGACAAGATGGAAGGAGCTGGAGATCTGAATTCTACTCGGGCTTGAACCTCAGGCGCCCGCCGCCAGTCCGTCCGTCAGGAGGGGACAAAGCCGAGTAAGGCGAATCGCTGGATGTCCGGCGCTGGCCTTTGGTTGGCTGCCGCTGCGCGCCGGTGGGGCGGGTGACGCATTTCCCCTCCACCGCCTGCCGCATCGGGCTGGTAGCTGACGCATCCGCCCCCGAAGCCCGTCACATGACAGCAGTTGCCGAAAATAGATATCGCCGCTGCCTTCTGAGCGCTTAGTCATTGGGCAAAGTGCAGCTGCATTGCATAAATAATTAGTTACATCGCGCACCCTATATACTTCAATACAGAGGAAGGAAAGATCTTCCGTCTGGATCGCCACATGGCTTTCTGATATGGCAAGTCAGTATGCTTTGTCACCTATGCGTCCTCTATAAAAACCAGAAAATGTCTTTGTTCGCGCTATGTTCAAATCGTGTAAATGCCATAAATGTAACAAAGCTGCATAGTACGTTCCCTCTATCAAATGAATAATATACAATCACTTCTATCGCAAAAGCCATCACCAATCATCAAATCTTGGATGTCTTCTGGCCCTTGACGTTGGGGACCGCGTCGCCCGAGAGAAGGAAATCGGGATACGCCAGGCTCCCGGACGCGGCACCGCCGGCCGACATCCGCCAGGATGCGCCATCAACTGCATTCAAGTCAACAGATACTCAATCCAAACAATCGTAGATACGGCGTACCAACTAGGGTTTGTCCACTGACATAGCTGCCGGTCTCCGCAAAGAGATACACGGTCGCATCAGCGATGTCACGGACAGAGCCAAATCGGCCGAGTGGCTGCGACTTGGTGTACGAGTCTATATTGTCGGTCGGGAGGAGGCGATCGAGACCCTAACATTGCGGTTAGTCGTCTGGATATGGCATACATGTGAGCAGCTCAAAACAAACCTCCGTCCCCCCAATGGGTCCAGGCGCAATGATATTTGAAGTCACGCCTAAAGGACCAAACTCGATGGCTACGCTGTGCGACAGCGCGTCCACGCCTGCCTTGGCGACTGATACGTGTGTTTGGAAGGGCATTGTCCTGTAGTGGATGGTGGCGCTGACGAAAATGATACGGCCTCCGGTACCTGCCGGAACTGGCTTGACTGTGTATGTCGTCACTGTCAGCATATATCTACGCAAGGGGTGACTCTGTCGCATTGACTTACGCGTTTTCGGGTCTATTCTGTGCTTTTTCCCAGACTCCACGAGGTGCGGCAGAGTGGCTTTGAGAGTGTTGTAGGAGCCCAGGACATCGATGTCAATCACAGATTTGAAAGCATTCGCGGACAGCTGGTTGATGGAGGCAAGGAAGTTACCGGCTGCTCCAGCGCTGTACACGGCCAAGGTTAGCAGAGAATATCCCACAATGATAGCTGAGCTGTCCATACATGACAAAATCTATGCCACCAAGCTCGTGAACACAGCGGTCCACCGCATTCTGCAGGCTTTCAAGCTTCCGCACGTCCACCGCTCCGATGCCAATAACCTTGGCACCAGGACGAGCGGTCGCAATGTCTTGGGCGGCCTTTTCGGTTTTGTCGACATTTCTGCCGACAATGCACGCGCTAGCGCCTAGATGGACGAGGGCGCGGACCTGAGCGCTGCAGATGGTGCCTGCTCCTCCCGTGCAGAAGACGACCTTGTTTGCTACCACGGGTCAGAATTGAGCGGATGTGGCTGACTGGCCTGAGCCGACTCACCGAAGAGGCCATCCTTCCAGGTGTTGCTCACGTAGTCTTCTTTCGGAAGGGGCATATTGGTGGCGCGGATCGGGAGAAAGCGAAATGGAAAAAGGAGGAAGTGGTATAGACGGCAGATGGTTGTAACTGGACTCGTCTCACGTCCTCCGGGGTACTCCGGACTTTGTTTCTCCGCACTTGCTACGCTGGCCCCGTGCGGCCTGTGGCGGGCGGCATGCGGGACCTCGGCTCTTGCCGGGTTGGGCCTAGTGCAACGGCGTCCAGCTACGGGGGCTCGATCGCATCAACAGCAGAGGCAACACACATGGACCGCCCTTTTCCAGACCGTGCGATGGCTCACTGAGGCTATTATTGAGCCCCATGGAAGTATTAGCTATGTTCAGTCGTTGTACCTGAATATCCGAGCTGTGAGAATCTCTCAGCCTAGTATGGAGTAGTCCGTGGGTGTAGGGAGTACGGAGTACTAACACAGCCGCGATGATTGGCCACTGTGGCTAAGAGCCTCAGGCCTCAGGCCGCGCACAACGTCACTATCAGGCCCTCAGGCTCCCAGGCTCTCCGCCAACAAACTCCATCACGACCCATCGCTTGTTGCTCGCTTTTCGCGACCACTCTGCCTCCCGCACTTCCATCTCCTCCGCGTCAGACGGCATCGAGACACTTCCATCCGTCACGGATTCCTTCTCTCACGGCAATCTGGTGAAAGCGTTCCGGTCGCGATCTTGACCCCGTCTGACAACCATCATGGCGTGCCCCATCACCGTCTCCAAATTCGTGGGTACCGTTTCCCTCGGCCTGCTCACGGTATGCAACCCCCGCCCATCCCTCCAGCGCGTTCGCCTTGCTTGTCCCGATGAGATCCGCGACTATCATCCTTCCCAAGCAACAGCCACGCGAACCCGCTCTTTCCGTATTATGTTAAGACATCCCACTAACGCGATATGGTCCGCAGGGTCTGTCATACTCCGCATCCACCGTCGCAATCCCATCCCTCAGCCTCCTTCCCACCGCGGCCACGGCCTCCCGGTCTTTCAGCGAAGTGAAGCGCTTGAACCGCAAGCATGGTCTGCGGCTGACCAACATCGCCAACGGGTGTCTCCTTTTCGCATTCTGCCTCTCCTCCAAACAGCGCAAGCACCCCTACTTGATCTGGATGTGCGTCACCTCCACGATCGGTTCCTACGGCATGGACTACTGGTTCCACCGCCAGGACGGCGTCAAGGCCTGGTTCCGGTCCGTCCTGCAGGACGTCGGGTGCTGCCACAAGGCTGCCCAGAAGCAAAAGAAGGAGGAGGATATCGTGGTCGTTGAGGCGGAGGAGAATGTCAACGGGGAGAGTGTGGAGCGGGAGATGGCCATCGAGCGTCGTTTCCAACGGGTGCGGGCTGTTTTCTCGGGCGTTGCGCTGGCGATGGGCATCATTGGCCTTTGGGGCGACCGTCGGCCTTGAGCAGACATCCGGAAATTTCTCGCATGGCGGTATCTGAGTGGCTTGACTCGGGTATCTACATGGGGCGTGTGATGCGGGCCGTCCGTGGGCTTTGCTTTCCACGCCGTTTTTCTTCGATTCTTTACTTGTCTTCTTTCCTAATTTGCAAAGTATGGGCTCTTTGTTACGCAGTGATGATGTTGTTGATGTATCGATACTGATTGGAGGATGTTCTATGCTGTCCTGGTACGACTGAATGATAATCCGGGCCTCGGGCAGAGTTCTGATTCTCTCTGGCGGAGGGACAAAAGCGGTTTTTTTCCTTCATATAGGCTAGAGTGTTGAGCTTCCACACCAAGCCCTGACTTCCTATGTTTGACCCAGCATGCATATGCAGCCATGTTGATCTGCATCAAGAGTCGGTAAGGTAATCACTGGCACCTAGACCAATGGTATTATTAATGGCCCAACATGACTCCGATCCAATCCCATGGTCGGTCCAACAGTCGGGAGCAGCCAGCCAGACATGCGAATACAACAACACAACCCCAGGTTCTCCCCGCACCACCCGCCGGTACAGAGGCGGGGATCGGCCACCCCAGGCATATCAACTTATTAATTCCTCTATCCAACGTCAAAAAACATGCGCTCTGTGCTCTGCATTCCACCAAATGCATCCCACTGCGCCTATGAGTAGACAAACCACGTAGCGCGACCCAATCCAACCAGACAATACCCTACCCCATCTAAACCACATGCACCATCCACCCCTAGCACAACCCCCAACCCTAAAATGCATCATCATCTCCTCCTTATCCTCCTTCCCATCATCCTCTACACAACAACCCACCTCACCCATCTCATCCACACAACCCTCACCCACCCCTCCCAACACAAACACAAGCACAAACACCAATCCAATCCGAAAGCTTCACAATCAAACTCACCCACCTGCACCCCCCCAGCACCTCCACATAATATCCTCCTCAAACCTCCCCACCAACTCCAACACCACAGCCATCACCCTCTCCAGCATCCTCTACCAACTCCTACTCCCCCGGCACCCCGACTCGCTGAGTAAACAAACCCCGCATCGAGATCGACGAGTCCATTGCTACGGGCCGCTGTAGCGCCCAGGGAAAAGGTGGATTTCAAGGAGAGCCAGGGGATACCGTACCTGCAGGCCGTCATTAAAGAGGCGATTCGCATGCACAGCGCTACCGGTCTGCCGAGATGTGTCTGTCGGGGGGGGAGTCTGTCTGTCTTCGTTCCATCGTGTTTGTGTCAGTGGCAGAAATATTGGGTTTACACATAAAGTATATACTATAAGGTAGGCCGGGGTATCTAATATCAATCCAATCCAACAGTTCGGTCTCGGATCCCGAACCTGCCTGGTCCTGTATATTGAAGCCAACCAGCAGCCCTGCAGCCATATCTCCATTCTCGAGATATCGAAGTTGATTCCGCGGATTCCGCGGATTCTGCGGGACTTTGGGTTCGAGCTGAAAAAAAAAAATCAGCCATGGACAACGCGGAATTGCTACACTTTGATGTTGAGGTTCGTTTGCGGACGAAGGAATGAAGGATGATGGACAGTGACTGACTGGGTGGGGGGGGGGAGGGGGTTCTTGACTCGATATCTTTCTCGATGTGTAGTTGTTGTTTTGGTTTAAGCTTGCAGACGGATACCCAAGTTGAAATTTTCCCATGAAGGAGTAAAAGATTGTGTCTTTTGTAGCATGTCTGGCCTGACGTTTGCTTTGTTTACCTGTATCTCGGATGTGCCCTTGTAGCCTTGAGTTCGAATTAGGATATACTATACTTATGGTGGGTTGCAATCCACCCGGTTATTAGGTAACACTATGAAACAATCCCAGGTATCTCTTAAGATACTTTCAATGTTATTGTCAAAGTACTAGTAACATAATTGGTGGCTATCGCATACAACCATAGACCGTAGCCTTACTCGAACCGTAAACTACAACCTTAACAAAGGCGGAACGAGACTATACTATAGATACTATTCCTGTAGGCTGACACCAAGGCCGAGACCGACGCATGTGTCTCACTAGACGAACGCAACCTCAGAAGGCGCCTCATCCGACATGTCCGTCCCCATTCGACGGCGGCGGCTTTCGAGGAACATCTCGACCATGCGCTTACTCGACATGGGGGAGTAGGTATTCTGCAGCTGGGTGTCTGGGCTTGGGACACCACCGTAGACATTCTCAGCTCTCATGTTTTCATTCGTGAGTCTTCGATGATCGCGATGCGAACGCGAAGATCGGCCTTGGAAGGGTTTCACATCCTGGGTCCCGGGGGACCATTTGGGACGATACTGTCCGTACCGTTTGCTCGCACTTTGCCACTGGGGCTTATCAGTTGCATCTCTTCTGGGGGTCGGGGACTCAGGCGCGCGGGGCCTGTTGTTCAGTGCCACCTGCATTGGCGACAACGCAAGGCTGTTTGATCCTGTCTCACACTGATTTATGAAGAGGCTTTGTCCGCTGGAGCTGCCTGATACCTTTGGGGGCGTTGGGACCGGGGCTGGGGGCGGAGGAACCGGCTGCTCCTTGGCCGTTACCGTGGTACGTAGACTTGACGACCGACTGAACGGACGGGAGAAATTGCTAGTTGCGGTCACTTTGCAGCTGGTCCACATATCATCCTCAAGGCTCTGTCGAGGAGCTGGGTTTTGAGCTGGGGTTCGATAAGTGAAATCGGCCCCCTCGTCTTCAATCTGCGCCTCTTCGCGATAGTGACGTCTTGGGGCAATATTCTCGATTCTCGCCATCTGAGTATGCATCCATTGTTGCCAGTCCGCACTGGGACGCTTAGCATCAGGGGCATTGCGTTTTGGAGAGCTATAGGCTGTCCTTTCGCTTTCAAAAATCGTGGCCATCCCCGGTTCCTCTTCCCCATCAGAAGACGCAGCCGCCTTCTGATCCATGTTGGGTGAGTTCCCACTGGTCGTGCGAGAATAGACACTCGGCGAATCAAACTCATTCGGGGTATGCGGTCTTCCCATGGCGCTTTTGTCTTTATCGGCCCCTCTAACCCCGAAGGACGAAAGATCCCCGCAAGTGGAATAGGGATTGCGATCGTCACTATCCCGCACATGCTGCGGTCTATGCATTTGCGGACCCGGACCTTGTCCCTGCAATTGGGGGGTCATACCGGCGTTAGCTGTCATGAAAGAACCTGGGGACTGCATCGTCTCATTGCTGGAGATCAGACGAACCGTCTGCCTGCTACGCCGCGCGTACACAGAAGAAGCCGGTGTTGGGACGGCACGATGTTCCTTGACATGGCCGAGCACGACTTCCTCGCCCTCACCTTGTGTCTTGCTTCCATCAATCCGCCTCATCAGCGCGGAGTATAGACGCTGGCTGTCGACCATGCCGTTAGGTCTAGGAGGGCTCCACGCAGGGACGCAATTTCCCGATCTATCACACGGTTCAGGCTTGGGGAGGTTCTGGCTCGAGTGCCCTCGTTCATCGATTATAGACAGGGAACTGCAGTCACCTGCCTTGTGTGTGACGATGGTGTTTGCTATTGTTGAGTCCGCCCAGCTCGTCACACGAGAGTGGCTCGTAGCAAAGCTTTCAGAGCTTCCTGATCTCCGAAACACGTGGTTCAAAGAATCGGGCTGTGCTTCAGACGACATGTCCTGGCTCTGTCGGACACAGGAAGGCGATACTTCCGCTTGAACATTGGCCGAAGCCCTCGAGAACCCAAGTACCCTTTTAAGCCCCTTCTTAATGGACGAGGAAAGGGACCTTGTCTTCCCATAAGAAGAAGTATTGACAGACTGCTGTACCAACGGAGTAGTCGCCGCATCCGACACTAACGTTGTCGTCCGCAGTGTCTTTCTAAACGGTCTATGCTCTCGTCTGGACTTCGGGACGGACAGTGACGATTTCCTAGGCCGATTCGCCGACGCGGACTGTTGGTACTGATCGCGAGCCAGTTCAATCGCCGCATCGTGACTCTTCGCATGCCGAAGAGCCTGGCTGTCCCCTCTGAAAAACGACATGGAACGCCGCAACGTGCCATACCCGCGTGAGCTATCCCGAGAGTGCACTGCTTCTGCAAGGTGATTCCTACAGGACTCAGAAGCGGGCGATCCATACGACAGACGCGAGGGACGAGGTCCGGTCGAAAACATCGATCGCGTTTTACGGAGTCGTCGATAGGACGAGTTCAGGGCGGGATCGCCGGCGTCAAGCCCGCGGAATTCGCTGATGGAAGGCAGGGCGGTCGATGGGGTGCGATCGACGTTCTGGGTATCCGTGTTCTCGGCAGTGGTGGATCGGCGAGAAGATCTGTAATCCACGGATGCGCCGGTAGATGATGTCTGCAGCGATCCTGATGGGCGATGCCTCCTCGGGGGCACGGCCATATTGCCGGGGCCACCCAAGGCATCGTAGGAGCACCTGGATCCTAACATGGCTCGCGAGGCGGCTGCCGTGGCGTGCTGTTTAGCGATGATGGGGTCCAGAGGCTCGGTGGATTGGGAGCTGTGGTGACTTCTGCGCATGGATCGCGATGATCTAGATTTTCGTAGATAGTCCATTGTGCGGATGCAGGGGGAACACAATGTGAGGTTCTAGCGATAGAGTTGTATGATAGAAAGGTGATGGAATCGAGAAGACTGCTTTCACCGGGGTGGGGGGAGGGGGGGGATGATCCCAGTCAGACCGTGAACAGCGCCATTGCTGGTTGTGGAAGGCGCTGAGGGGGACAATAATGCGCTCTTGCCTTTCCGGGCAGCTTGATGGACTGACTATATGCCAGCATCTTATAGAGGGAGGGAGATGGAAGTAATAGACATTCACTCTACTACTGTAGTATCCTCAGCGATCTAAGTAGTGAATAAATAGAAACTAAAAGGATGCAGTGCTGCAGAAGCATTAGACCACCATTCATGATCTGAGGAATAATAATAATCTTATCTTATCCTCTTTAATCACTGTGAATTGTATTCCATTAGAAGAGTTCAACCCCTTCTGAATTATTCCACATAGCAGACTCAATATATCCCTTGACAACATATACCTCTTATGCTATCTAGAAACCCTCCTTTCCCCCTCACTACTAAGCGCGTTCCAGTCTTCACCATCATGGATAAAACAGCCATTCATAGCTCCTAAACTAGCTATGCACAGATCCACTGTGCATCCACAAACCAGATAAGTAAGTAATCAACCTTCATAAGCTGAAGCTCGGGCATGCAAACAGCAAAGATCTAGTACGTACGGAGTACTCCATAGTGTAGATGGTATCCATGAAACACCCCCCTGTCACAGGATGCATAAACACCCGATCAGCAAAGCTTACCTTTACCGTAGGTTCTTATTCTTAAGGATCGCGGAACCACCCACTGATCAAGATTTTACTCATCCGTCCATCATCCGCTTACCCATCAACAATCATCCCAAAACCAACCTACCAACCGATGACCCAGTGACCCGATGAAGTATATCCCAAACCCCCTAACATAATAAACCAGAACTCAGAACCCAGAACCCAGAACCCAGAATCCACCACATGTTAATTTAATACATAAGCTTTTCCAACCCCCAAACCCGACACCAATATGAAATCAACCTCCCAAAATCCAGCCCGCGGCGGAACAAGTCCCCAATTTTCAGCCCTCGGGCCGGGGGGGGGGGGGGGGGGGCAACGGGTAGATATGATATGTAGATATTAGATAAGTACACATCAGTAACTAAAGTCAGTAGCGTTTCAACGCCCCGGGGTAATGTTATGCATGGGGAAAGGATTTTCGGGGGTTCCGGGATTTCGGGACCGGTCGAGACCGCGTCCATCCATCCATCCATCCATCCATCTGTACCATCTGTACCATCTTTTCCATCTGCAAGTAAGTAAATAAGTATCTCTAATCTATCCAATATCCGTCCCATGCGTCTGTCGCAACAATGACCTAATATCAAGATTAATATTCAAGGATGGCATGTGCTTGGCTTTTGGGTTTCAGATGTTTTCTTTTTTTTTTTTTTTGTGAAGAATTGCATACGTGTGTGCGTGCATGCATATATTCGGGTTTCATGCGTGCAGGATTTAGGTAGGGTAGTAGTAGTAGTAGTACGGGGAAGAGGAGATCGGAGATTAGAGATCGACGTAGCCGGCCGGCGGCTTGGAAACTGGAAGGGTACCTAGGACCTAGGTAGGTAGGTATCTAGCCAGGTAGGTAGGTAGGTAAGTAAATCCGCTTTCATTTACAATGAGACGATCTATATCCAATACATAGACTGGGGTGGGTGTGCCGGTTTTCTAGTCAGTAGATGGTGGGGTGAATAGGATCTACTTCTTGAGGCAGAGATCCACCGATTCGACAGGCAGAGAGTAGTACTCCCGCAAACTAAAGTGGCTAGGATTCAGATGTATCTCTCCCTCCCTCCCTTGTCCTCCCGAAACCCAAAGAAGGGGAAGCGGGACCCTCCCCGTCTGACATCACATCACCTAACTATCAACCAACCTCCCGCGCCGCGGGCCATCATTCGCACGGTTCCTTGCTTGGCCAGTGGTCAGAGCACTGAGCAAAGCACTGAGCAGGTGCGGCCTGCCCTGCCCTGTCCTGTCAAGCGACAGCGACATGCCGATGACGACGCCGCACCCAGCACCAATCACCACGGGCAACGAGACCGTCGTATCCACCCGCTCTGTCTGACTGATGCCGTGCATACGTAACATCACATGGCTCCTAGGCCTGTTTGGGTCTCTGCGACACGACGCAGCGAGGGGAAGAATTCCGCGCGGGCCACCCCCCGGGGACGGACGCAGATGCGCGCGGCGGATCGGCGAATAAATGACATGGACATCGGGATCTCGGCCTGGGTAGTGTCCGTCTGGGCCTCTCTCCGGCCTGGCCTGGGCCTGGGCCTGCTGGGCTGTAAACAGGGCAAGCGTGCGCGCATCCATGGGCCGACCAGAACCGTGGAAAGACATCGCACCGCTACCTAGTAGTACTCTATTGTTGCGTTCCGCGGATTACTTATAGAGCCGGAGCCGGCGTCGGCGATCTCCGGAAAACAAAGAAAAGAAGAAGAATAGGCATAAGAATAGGCATAAGAACACGAGTAAGAGTAAGAGTAAGAAAATGGGTATAAGTATTCAGTATCCAAGATGAGGTAATCGATCGTACAATTAGCCGATATGGGTATGAGTTATCGACCAACGATATTACAGAGGCACACATGACATGACAAAAAGAAAAAAGTAAGGGAAAAAAGAGTACACGGGGGGGATGTTTGGAATCAGAGACAAAAAGACAGGAGGAATAAAGAAAAAAAAATGTAGGGAATCACGTCCAGAAAAAGAGGAGGGAGTGACGGGGAAGAAGGAAGATAAAGGAACGTATCGTGGAAGGAAGGGGGAACAAAGATCCGCCTGCGCCACTGCTCGCCCGCAGCAGACTGCATTTCCGAGGTGCGGTTCTCTCGCTCCGGTAATTCCCTGCCTGCCCTGAATCTGAAAGAGAAATAAGAAGCCGTTCTTTCGAGATTCCTTTCAGAGCCGGAGGGAGAAAGAGGATGGAGAGATCGCTCGGATTGCGCGCGTGCGGAGGTCCCTGCCAGGATCAAGATTCCAGATCGTAGATCGTCGGATCCTCGATCCCAGCTAGCCAGCCGGCAACCCACCCAGTCGCCCATTAATAAGATAAGATATAGATGAACCCATGCCGCTTCCGAATAAAAATCCGCATATACACCAACCCACTCGTCCCTCGCGAACCCGGGGCGCCCCTCCCCCCCCCCCCCCTCGGAAGGAAGGGAGAGATGGAAAAAGGAGGAGGGAGGGCCCGGCGTGAGGGCGAGAAAGAAGACCAGTGCCAGACCGCCAGGTAAAATGAAATCGACAAAGCCGCCCGTCCTCGCATGATAGATATGATATAAACAGATGATCGATCAAACTCCCAGCAATGCATCAAGTCGGAGCATCAAGCCGAATATGGTAGAAGCGAACGCGTAGGCGAGAAAGGCACCGCTAGAATTTTCCTGGGGTTCGTTCCCAACCTGCAGGACCCCGGGGCAATCGGCCCTGTGTTACTTTTTTTTTGGTCTCATTTTTTGGAGGGGTCTGGAGGGTTTGGTTTTTTTTTTTTTTCTTTTTTCCTTGATTTTTTGAACCCGCCAGATTGATCGTCGCGGTGTCATTATATGCAGCGGTCGATCTCCTTGTAGGGCGAGTCTCGCAGGATTTCGGACGGCAGAGCTCTCCGGTAGTCTCTGGGCTGGGCGAAGGGGGATGCGGATAGCGGCCGACGCAACTTCAATTGCTGGAAAAATTTCATCGTTAGTGCCGGGGTCGCATGCGACCCGGGGGTCACCCGGATCTTGAAGAGGGGGGGGAGGGGGGGGAGTCTGAAGCCAATGACATACCACGCAGTCAGAGCATTTCCCTCCCGAGATGTTGACGCGGCCGCGGCAGCCGCGAGGATAATTGGCGCAAGAGAACATAGCGATGGTGCTGGTGCTGGTGATGGTGTGTGTGTGGAGGGTGAAGGGCAAGTTAAGTTGCTGATGATCAAAGGCCGCGGTTCAAGTGAAGAAGGATTTATCCCGTCAAGGGAGCTTTTCTAGGGCTGGGGGGGAGAAGGTGTCTCGGAGCGGAGCAAGAGGGGGGGAAAAGCAAAAAAAAAAAAAAAAAGGGTAAAAAAAATTAAGACCGAACGGCTCTGGCAGAGATAATGAATAATAATGAACAGTGAGAAAAAAGAGAAAAAAAAAATAGCCCCAATCCAAAGCCACGGGGCAATTACGTCAAGATCGCAAGGCCGTTGTCTTGCAGCGGCACCAGCAGGGGGGGAAAAAAGAAGCCGTAGTTAGGCGCGCCGGCCGGGGTCCGTTGCGGTTCTAGCGCTGAGGTTGGGCTGCGCCACTAAAGTGGGTGGATGGGGCGAAGAGAGACAAAAGGTCAAGTAGGTGCAACAGCGAAGGAATGAATGGACGGGACTGGATAAAGGAGTGCAAGAAGGGGAGGGGAGGGGAGGAAGACGAATCGAACGATCAACGGTCAATTATCGCGCGGAAGAAGCAAAAAGAGGGAGCGACGAGGGGGGTCTAAGAGGAAAAGGAGGCAAATTTGAGGGATCTCTGCGATTTATATCGGCAATGGAGATCTAAGCGAAACGTTTGCGACGAAGATCGGGGTACAGGGTCGTCGAACGTTAAGTATTAGTGATAAATAAAATCAGAAAATATCAAATAATAATAATAATTATCCAAGCAGGCCAGACGGAGTACGGGCTGGTCGTAATAGGCAAAACCATTAATTTTGGGTTCCATGGCATCCAACGGGCCACGGGACGGGGCAAGATGGAGCCCGTGTGTATATTGTTCTGATGCAGCGCTCGCATTGGAGGCTGGAAGCCAGATCCGACGAGCGCGATGGTCAACCTACCCTGGCATGTCGGTGACAGGAACGGTGGCGATGGTTGAGAAATCATCCTCTTACCTTACCTGTCTGTCTGTCACCCAGCAGCATCCGGAAGTCGAGGGAACCCCCAGGCCGCCGCCGCTTGACGTCCATCCATCCTGGGCATCACCGACTGCGACGGCCACTGCTTGTTGGCCTTGGCGCACAGTATTTTGTTCCTTGTGATGGCTATCGGGTTACCACCATCTCCCCATCTTGCCATGGCCATTGGTCGTCCGACGTCCCAACAGTGGACTCCGCATTTCCCGGCTGGTTGTTCGAGAGTGACCCCGAATGGGCGGAAAGGAGGGGGCAAAGGAAAAAAAGTGCTCCCGAAGCTACATAATAGTACCAACCTTACAGCAGCCTGCCCCCATGTAACAGCTTGATCGCCCGAATGACTCGCAGTGTTGGCCCCTGATTGACTGGCGGATGGGGGGGAGGAGTTGATTGCAGGGCGGCGTGGGCCCTGTCAGAAAAGTGATTTTCGCGGCCCAGCACGACACAATAAGCACTGCCAAAAAGTACGGAGCAGTACTAAGTACTACTAAGTACACAACTGTGTCGTCGACGTTTTGTCGCGGGATGTGTTGAACAATGAGAATGAGATGATAATTGGGCGGCCCACTGTTGAGTTTCGGATTGATGAGGGCTAATAGAGCCCGTAGAAGCAAAGTCTGGATCTTGGGCCCGAACCGTCGCACCAAGAAAGTTTCCACTGTTTCTGGAACGTCTCTGAGCTTCTCTCCTTTTTCCTTCCCGTTCTCCCCCCCTCTTTTTTTTTCTTTTCACCAGCTTTCTCTCTTTAACCCCTTTTGCTCGTCAGCGGAGTCGGCTGTCGGAAGACGCGGGAAAAGTGGCCAATAGCAGCCAACGTCTACTGTCTGCTTGTCTTTGTCCTCACCCTGGCCATCAGTAGAGAGCAGCTAGCAGCATGGCCATGATGATAATAATAATAATAATAATAACAACCCATGTCCATGTCCATGTCCATCCATCCATTGTTACCTCGGTCGGGTGAGTCAGAAGACAACCCAACCCTAGGACCGACTGGACGACACCTGAGCTGTTGCCTCTTCCATGCGTGCAGCCCGCATCCCGGCCGCTGTGTCACCCACGACTGTAGATCCTCCTCCTCAATTGCCTTGTTTCTGCGGTCATTATGATTACTTTTCCGACTCTTCCCATCATCATCCGGGTAGATGAATGGATACCCTGACTCTGGGATGTCTAGCCGGTCTCATGAGTAACCTGAAGCCCGAAGCCTGAAGCCTGACTGCCTGAAAGGTTCCGCGCCGCTCAATTGGCAAAGTGGGGTGGGGGGGAGGAGAAGAAGAGGGGGGGGGGGGGGGGAGAACACAGTATTAATGTGAATGAATGACGAGAACGCCGCAAAGCCGCGAACTACTGTCGCAGTACATGTGTAAACCCTGCCAGATGACGGGCATTATTGTCTCGGAGACCAGTCGTCCAGTTTGGTCGCGCGGAATGGTGCATACATGCGATCAGCAAGCAATGAATTCAGCCTTGTCAATGCTCAATCCTGGCAAGGCAGAGGCAGAATCATGATCATGTCAGATGAGGATGTGTTTGCTCGGGTCCGCGATTGGTCCGCCCGGCGGCCTGAGGCTTCAGTGAGGTGACAGTCGTAATGTGGCTTGTCTGTCTTGTCCGTTCTGGCTTCCTGTCTCTTCTGTCTGGCCGTCCGTCCAGGGCCGATCCACTGATCCAGACATTCCGGCCCGGAGGCCCAGGCCTTGGCCGTCATGGACTTATGGTATTGGGTGGATGATGAATGGCTGAGCATGGAGGCGAACGGAAGGATGAGGGGAGACAAGGAGCAGAATTTCCAATTGCCATTTCAAATGGAAGCATCGGGAATCAAGATCGTGGTCACTTGACCTCCCCAGAACATGATCATGTGCCTGTCCGTCGGCAGGCCTGTGAAAGGTGCGTCGGTGACTGACCTGGACCTTGACACCTTGACCTTATTGATTGATTGTGATTATTCTACGGATCAACAAGATCGCGACGTTGCACAGGACCCAGCGACCAGCATCAATCGCCCAACAGTGCATCCAGTGCCTCCAGGGCATCTGGAAATACTCCGTCCGATCAGGGCTTGCCCTCGTAGCACGGAGGAGTCATCATGGCTGGACGAGGTCTTCGCCGGGCTGGACTCCGATCTGACTAACCTATCCTGCCGGCGCTTCCAGTGCCACCCCGTCATACCAGTTAGTACTCCGTGCCCAAGACACATACCTAGCAAGTATCTAAATGATGGCTGCAAATCATGCCTATCACAGTATTCACAAACATCATCGTCCTAATCGACGCTCTGGGTAATTGGCACCCATCGTATGACACGTCCTCGCGTGTGCTGGAGAGCTTTGGAAATTATGGCTAATTAATTACTCGCAATCTCGGCAAATTATGGGCATTAGATTGTTATTGTGATTAAACCTTCCCGTCCAGGGCAATGCCCAGGAGACTTCCAATTCCCGAAATTCCACCCATCTGCTGTAACCGAATCGAATCGCGGTGGTGGCCGTCGGTGTTGGTCGCTAATCGGTTTCACCAGTGAGCTGGGCGGGCCCGTCTAGTGGGAGAAAACCCTTTCTTTAGTGCCCTCGCTGCTAGTTTGCTAACTTGCTATCTAGTAGTAGTATGGTACTATGTCTTGTCTCGGGTCCGGCGTCCCCTCTTTGTGACTTCCCCCTCCCCTCCTACGGATACCCCCCTTGCCTTAATTGACTGAACTGGCCCGTCTGGTTACCCTGCCCCCCCTCTTCGATAGCAGTCTAATAGTTGTTAATATATAAGCAGATGATCGCTTAGTCCAACGGTGTGATTCCCAAACCAATCACGACAAGAACGCCCGACTACATCTGGAACCCGGATACAGTCGAGACATATCTGAATCCGTACCCACTGGGTCGCAAGGCTACGGCCCAAATCCGTCAATGGCCCCGGTTACCGATCTAACCGGGGCCAAACTTTCTTCTGTAACGACGCCATCGCCTCCCTCCCATTCGGCTCCCAAGATGCGTAAGCCGAGCTCACCACCCTTGCCTGGCCACTAGCCTGTACTATCTATCTCCAGCGAGAATTTGGGTATCCCGGGCGAGGCTACTGCTGAGAGACGCCGAGAAGTCTAAGCCCTGGCGTATACCCGTGCGACTCCATCCCGACCCCAACACGAAAACAACTCGTCCCTTTGGGGTTTGGAAGGAACTGCCAATGTCTTGGCTTGGTTGAGCCGCCGCTTCGTTCTGCCATGCCTTGCCCGGTCCTGGTTTGTCGACCGTTCTAGATCGGGAGTGCTGCTCAGCTGACCTGGCGCATGCCGCATAGTCCAGATGCTATAGCTTGTTCGGTCCCACTGCAGCTGCGATCCAATCCCGTATCCTCATGGACGCGACACCATCGACTCAAGACTGCCGTTTACCCGATGGAAAGATCTAATGTTGCGCAAAGAGAGTTTGGAGATAATTGTTTGAGCGTGAAACTCGAGCGCTGGGGGGGTCGGCCGGGACAATCATCGTTCATGCCGGCTTTACTGTTAGGCCGGAGATCGGGGTGATCGACATGGGGCAGTTTCATATGGAGTTCGCACTCGCAGCGCCCTGCAAGTCTGCAACCGCATCTTCAGATGTTAAACAGCGATCGAAGCACGAGCCATGCCACCCAAATTCCCACCGTTGATGCGACCAACAGGATGTTCCCCTCCCAGGTCCAGCCCAGATACGCCAAACAGCCCACCACGAGCTCCTTCCTTCGCGCATCCTCTCGTTTACTCTCCCATTCTGGATCGATCGGAAAGGGGGCCACCGGCGGCGTCGCATCCTCTAACTGCCTCGCCTGTGCGGGCACCGACACCAACAGCGCGACGGCGCGGTGGTCGGAGGTTGGAAATAGCGGCAGTGCATCATACCGCAGCGGTCTGACCAGTCCTGGATTGTCCACACCGAGTGGGGCATTCAGATATAACACACGGTCACACCAGCTGGGCCACCGGGTCCTCGTCCACTGCCAATCCGAACGTGCACCCTCCACAGTCGCATCACTTGCAGCCTGACGTGCTGCCATCGCGTATTTGTAAGTCGGAGGAAACGTGATTGGGGCTTCCGAGAGTCCGTGGAAACACCGAGACTCGCCCATTTCACGGGACAGCTGATCCTGTTTCAGGAGATGCGAGAAGTGTCGAGGGTCCGAGGGGTCTACGTCCGCCCGCGGGAATCGGCTATGGTCATCCTTCTGTGGGGACACACTGGAGGTGCGGTAGTTGAGGTCGCCCGCTAGGAAAAGGTAGCCTGTAGGGAGATAGATACCCCGGTGATCATGCTGGGGACCGGACGTAGATTCCTGGAGCAGGGGCTCATTCTCTGACCCGCTGCCCGTCTCGACAATTTCCCGACCCGCCGCAGGTGATCCGCCGAAGACCAGCCTTTCCACCAGGCTGCGCCAGTTTGCGTTCCTCTGTTCCGCGCCATACTCCATGGGGGCGAGGTGTGCAGCGACAAAAGTGAGGTCTACGGGGTCTCCGGCTAATTTCGGGGCCGTGTAGCTGACTCGTGCCCCTACGGCGCCTTTGTTGCCCATATCCTGAAACCCAAATCCCACCCGGGCCGTGTCGACAGACGAAACGTTTTCGGCAATATCCGACCGAGCAAACACCATGAGACCCGTCATGCCGGAGTGGTCGGTCACAAGGTTTACATAGTGGGCATCATCCCAGCGTTGGGCCACCGCGCGATCCACCACCTGCGTCAGAGAGGCGATGTAGGGAGTGAGGAACGAGCCTCCCAGGAAGGCGTATGCGAGGGGGGCGATTTCTTGGAGGGAGAGCACCACGAGGTCGGGGGGTGCTACGGGGGAGTTGGGGCCGTCGAGGGGCAGGACGTCGAAGAAATGCTGGGAGAAGCGATCGAGGTCAACCACGTTGCGGGCGCAGTTGAAGGTGAGAAGGTAGATTGTTAGCGAATCCATGGCGGTAGTTCTGAAGGTGCTGTGGTGGTTGAGTGAGGTACCAGCATTGAGGATTTGGGGGTGTGAGATGGGAGATGGGAGGGAGGAGAGTTAAGTTGAGGAGCTTTGGGTTGGGAGGTCGCTTGGGCTGCCAACTGAGCGGAGCTGAGCTGAGCTGAGCTGCACGGCGGCCGATCAGTGGATCCGCCCCCCGATGAGATCATCGTTGACATCTATCTCATCTTCCTCGTCTTCACTGCATATTCATGTTGAAGGTACTTTTTTGCTTATTTACCAGTCTGGATTAGGGCCCAGTACTTTATATCCTACTACTTCTATTTGGTCTTTTTAATGAATAAATACCAAATATTACCAGTATAGTATTCGGCATTTTTAACCATCAAGACGCCAAAAGGTACTATATATACTGAAACTGGAAGCGGGAATCTAGTATGATGGAACGCACCACCTCAGAAAGTTCGTAACTAATGTGATACCGTCATGAAAGAATTCCTACAGCTTCCCTCTCATCCCCTCCAACTCCACCAACAGCATCCCTTCCGACACGTCCTCTTCTTCCTCTTCCATCTCATACACCCATTGCGCCCGTCCTGCGCGCGGACTACGCACCTCCAGCTCCATTTTCATCTGCTTGACAAATGCCACCACTTGATTCTCAGCTACCACATCCCCCGCGGAAACAAGTACTTCGATCAGTCTCCCAGATAGAGGGAGGACAATATGCCGCGGATTACTCACGTCTCCGCGCCGATGAGACGATGTGACAAGAGCAGACGCCGCGGTTGGGGCAGCCACGAGCTGCAGTCGATGAGCCGTAGAAGATGAGCGCGTTTTGTACTCGATCTCGGCTGTGAGTGAGGCAGGGAAGTCGTTTTGTAGCACGCGAGTGATCTGGAGGTGATGTTGTTCTTCTTGCTGCTGCCGAGGTGCGTCAAATGGTGCGAGGCTGATGGACCAGGCGTCGCCTCGTCGGAATAAGAGATTGGAAGCGGGCATACTGGGAAGCGCAGGGGCTTGAGATATCTGCGTCGGTGTCAGAATATGAGATGGTTTCACATTCCCTCCTAGCTGGATTATCTGATCTAGTTGTGACTCCAGCCATTGCGTGTCTATGTTGCCCGCAAGGAAGTCTTCATGACTGACTATCCCTCGCAGTAACTCCAGGTTCGTCTGGATCCCGGCTATCCTTACGTCTGCAAGTACGCGTTGAGCCTTCAGCACTGTCGCTTCCCAAGTAGACGCCGTGACGATGATTTTGGCCAGCAGATTGTCTAACTGCGTGCCTATCACCACGGGGCTTATGTTGGCCATGCTGATATGCGTATCGACTCGAACACCATTGCCACCCGGAACAAAAAAGTCAGTCACCTTGCCTATACTCAGCGAGAAGTGATTCCGAGGGTCCTCCGCGCATAACCGGAGCTGAACTGAATGGACACGAGACAGGGCTGGTGCCGATTCATTGAGCCCCAGTTGCGCGAGACTGCACCCCTGCGCCACTTGCAACTGTGCCTGTACCAGATCCACACCGGTAATGGCTTCCGTGATGGTGTGTTCCACCTGTAGGCGTGGGTTGATCTCAAGAAAGTAAAACTCTTCCTGGTATTCGTTAATTAAAAATTCCACTGTTCCCAGGGACCGATAATGGATTACTCTCGCCATTCGGAGAGCTGCATCCGCCACTTGGTGCACAAGAGCCCGATTATTGATTGAAGATGGCGCCACTTCCACGACTTTCTGAAAGCGACGCTGTATGCTACAATCGCGCTCCCACAAATGTCGCACATCCGTCCCGTCGCCGATGATTTGTACCTCGATATGCCGAAACCCAGACACGGCAGCCTTTTCCACGAAAACAGTCTGCGACGGCGATTCACTTGTCGCACCGCGGACCGCGCTCTCTAGCTGGTCCTCTTGTTGTACAAGCCGTATGCCACGGCCTCCACCGCCATCTACTGCTTTGATCACCACAGGATAATGTATTTGATCAGCGAAGGCTCGGATTTTCGCCAGATCAGCGGTGGGATGCGCCATTGCCGGTAAAACGGGAACGTTGCACTCAATGGCCAGCTGCTTCGCTTGGAGTTTATCACCTGTGCGAGCCAGAGCTTCCCACCCGGGTCCGATGACTGTAACTCCACCGTCATGCATGCGTGTAGCAAACTCGGCACTTTCACTGAGGAAGCCATACCCAGGATGCACAGCGTCGATGGCATGCTCCTGAGCCAGATGGACCAAGACCGGAATGTCCAGATAGGCAGACACCGACGGGACGCGCAACGCCTGGTGCGGACAGCCGATTTCGCAATGGGAACGATCATCGTCCGTGTATATGGCAAACACCTCAATAGGAGGCGAAAGCTCGCGAGCGGCTTGTATGATACGGACGGCAATCTCGCCTCTGTTTCGTCAATTGAACGTTCCGTGAACATTGATTAGAGGCTCGTACCTATTAGCGACGAGAAGTCGCCGGAGAGGCGTGAGAGACGGCATGTTGACACAGTGCTGCCCTTGAAGATCACTGGGAGACTTGGTTCTTATCAGATTGAGGTTGGGGTTACTTACTTCCTCGGACCTCGGAGCTGATATAATGTTACCTACCCCTCATGGGCAACGCAACAGCAGCAGCAAAAGGAGAGGAGATGAACTCCGGACTCAGAAGCGTATCTTCAGTATAGAACTTTATGACACCGAACCATCATGTCAGATGACGGCGACAACAGCAAGTCGCCCAAAGTCGACGCACAGTCCCAACAAGCATCAGCATCAAAACGGCTCCGCCAAATATCCTCCCAGCTACCCCCCGACTACTCCGATGTACTCTCCCAGATCAACACTCTACGTACACTGGCCGCAACCCCAGACCCCTCTCGTCGGGGCTACGTGCGTCAAAAGCAAGCCGGAAAGCTATGGGTGCGAGAGCGCCTCGAGCAGCTTCTCGACCCGAACAGTTTCCGAGAAATCGGCTCGCTGTCCGGCACAGTAACATGGGAGAAGACGGACCCTGGACGCGAGAAACCCATCTCGTTCGTCCCCAGTAACAATGTGCAGGGAATGGGAAAATTGAATGGTCGTCGGGTCCTGTTGACGGCGGACGATTTTACCCTCCGTAGCGGACATGCCGACGGTGCGTCGCACGAGAAGTCGATATATGTGGAGAAGCTGGCGCTGGCGTTGAAGCTGCCGGTGGTGAAGCTGGTAGATGGAAGCTCCGGTGGAGGCAGCGTCACGATGATTCGCTCCGCCGGTTGGAGTTATCTGCCCTATGTGTCTATGTACAAGCATGTCGTGGAGCAATTGAACCAAGGAATTCCTAACCTGGGAGCAGTTGTCGGGCCAGCTGTATGTATTATCATCCCCCGGACCATCCATCCATCCCTCCATCCATCCATCCCTTCTATAACACAACCAACCGCTCATTCCCAGCTACGAACAAACACCAGCTAACACTCAACCGCATACATACAGATCGGCCTCGGTGCCGCACGCGTCGTATCATGCCACTTCTCCGTGATGGCGGCAGACGTCGGCTCACTCTTCAACGCGGGTCCCGAGGTCGTCAAAAACGCGACCTTCGAAGAAGGGCTGGATTTCCAAACCCTCGGCGGTCCAACCGTGCACTGCACCAACGGCACAATCGACAACCTGGCCGCCAACGAATCCGAATGCTACGCCCAACTACGCACCGTGCTAAGCTACCTCCCAAACTCCGGCCTGGAAGCACCCCCCGTCCTTCCCTCGGACAACAAAAACAACGACGACCCAGAAGACCGCGAAGACGAGGCCCTCCGCCGGATCATCCCCCGACGACAGACCCGCATGTACAATCCCCGGACGATCATCACCAGCGTCGTGGACCGCGGATCGTGGTTCGAGATTGGGGCGCTGTGGGGCCGCACAGCTATTGGGGGCTTAGCACGTTTGGGCGGACGACCCGTCGGCGTCATCTCGCTCAATTGCGAGGTAAACGGGGGTGCGCTGGACGCGTCAGGGAGCCAGAAGCTCGCGCGCTTGTTGAAGCTGTGTGATGTGATGAATCTGCCCGTGTTGCAGTTCATCGATGTCCGTACGTTGCTGCCCTGCCCTGCCCTGCCCTGCCCCCTTCCTTTCTCTTACCCACCCCACTATTCCCGGTCATTTAACCTATGATATTGATATTGATATTGACATGATATGTCCTACAACCAGCCGGCTACTCCATCGGCACCATCGCGGAACGCACCGCCACGATGCGCTGGGGCGTCGAGCTGGGCAAGACATACTTCAGCACGACGACCCCGATCTTCAACGTGATCACGCGCCGCGCGTACGGCGTCGCAGGCGGCCTGATGCTCGGCGCCCGCGACCCCGTCATGCAAGTCGCCTGGCCGTCCGGACAGTGGGGCTCGCTGCCCCTCGAAGGAGGGATCGAGGTCGCGCATCGGCACGAGCTGCGCGAGGCCGAGAAGCGAGGCCCCGGGCACAAGGATGCCACGTATCGTGAGCTGGAGGAGGAGTATCACCGGTTGATGAATCCCGTGCGCACGGCCAATGCGTTTGGCGTGGAGGAGATCATTGATCCGAAGGATACGAGGAGGGTGTGTTGTGCTTGGGCTAGGCATGTTTATGGGGTGTTGATGGCCGGGAGGTTGGTGGATAGGGGGGCGGGGAGGATTGTGCCGCGGTTTGTGTAGGAATGGCGGGGCCCGGGGGGGGCTGTTCTTGCGGATGGGAATGAGGGGAAAGAGGGTAGGTGCTATATGCCAGTTCGCATGGTAAGGGGGTGGAATGTTGGGTTTCACTTGTAGTCTTGTGAGTGTCTAATAAGTATAAGTTGTATATCTAGCAGGAGGGAAGAAGAAGATAAAGCCAGCCACGATAATGATGAGAGGATGCTGAGGCGAAGATGGGCACAGCGAAATCCCATGCATGCAAACTAGAGCACAACCCCCGCTGGCCCAGAGATCTACATACTGCAGAGTTGAACACACAATAGGATATCTAGATGGATAGATATAGATGAATGGATAGACAAGATATAAAGAATAGGAAAACAAACACCAGATGGGTGGATGACATGACATGACATGACATGAGACATGCATTATCATTATCCATCCCTCATGCAAGAACAACCAATATCAACATTAATAGTATAAACATCAACAGCCGTCCCTCTCTCCTCACGTCCCGTCCAACACAGACCCTCCCTCCTTCCACTTTCTCTTCCCCTCCCCTCCCCTCCTAACAGAGCACCACCAAAACATCTGACATACACACTCACTCCACATAATTCGCCGGAAAGCTCCCCTTCCGTCCCCTGACCTCCCCCTCCCACCAATCATCCGTACTGTCTGTCTTCTTGAGCACCCTGATACGATCGCCCTCCCGGAACGCGAGATCACCTGCGCTTTCGCCATCGAAGTCGTACACGGCGGTCACGTACACCGCACCAGGAGCATTGGAGTGTGCGCGCGGCGGAGGCGGCGGCGGAGGCTTCTTTTTGGAGGCGGCGATGAGGGAGGAGGCGGAGACGCTTGGGGATGCTACCGTGGTGGCGGCTTGGATTAGGGTGGGTTGATAGGGGGATTGTTGGAGGGTGGAATGGGAGGTGGACTTGGAGAGGGTGGGTTGGGATTGGTTGCGGGAGAAGTAGTCTGTTCGGGCGGCGATGGAGGAGGAAAGGGCCGGGGAGGGGGAAGGGGCGGTTTTGTAGGAGGATGGGGTGGCCGGGGAGGGGGAGTAGGAATTGGAGGGTTGGGAGAGGTAGGAGGGGGAGGGGGAAGGTTTGGTGTCGTAGACGGGGGAGGGTTTGGTGTCGAAGACGGGCTTGGGGGGAATGGGGAGTCGGTTTGGGGGCATGGCTGGGATCTTGGCGGGGGCGCCGCGGGGAGCTGTTTAGCCGCCGAGGGCAACGCGGGGATTTTGGGGACGGGGGAGATGGGGCGCCGCGGGGGCGCGTGGCTGCTGGAGGAGCGTCGGAAGCTGGGTTCTTGGGCCGGACGACTGGATGAGCGCCGGTAGCTGGAGGCTGGACGGCTGGACGAGCGCGTGCGAGAGCGCTGGTCGTCCGTAGCTTCGGACATGAGCACCGTTCGGCCGTGGATGATGCAGCTGAATTCCTCGAGTTCTTGCTGCACGGGCAGGCAGGCGCGTTCCCATTCCTGGATGACCTGGTCCATGGGTGGGGGTGGGGAGGGGAACCGCTCGTCCTGGCAGTAGTTGAGGACTACGGTGTAGTAGTGCGCGAGCATGGAGTTCTGGATCTCAATCTGGGCAGCGAGGAACTGGGGGAGGAGTGAGAAGACCGCCGCGATTAGAGGCGGGAGACATTGTCGCAGGCGTTCGTCCGCGGCGTGGTATTCCTGCGATTGTTAGATATGGTTTGGACGATTGGAGAGGCCTGGGGGCGTACCGCTGTCGCTCGCTCGAGGTCGCTCTCGGCCTTGACGAGGGCGGCGTTATCACGGTCTGATCTCCTTGTCTTCTTGTTGTAGGTGTCGACGCGGCTTTGGTAGCGTTCAAAGTCCAACTAGAAAGATAGGGAACGTGTTAGCATGGAATCAGAAGAGCAATTGAATCCCAGGCATGTCACTAGCGATCCAACTCGGCGGGGCAGTGACTACAGGGGTCAATGCGAGATAGCGCACCTTTCGATCATCGCGCCTCTTGATCGTCTTCTTCACCGGACTCATGAATTCCCTGGCCTGCGAGGCGGGTCTAATCATCCGTTCATCCACCGCGGCGAGTTCACCCAGGAGATCCTTCCGCAAATCCTCATATTGCTCCCGAAGGTGGTTTGTTCGAGCCAACGTGGCTTCCGGTGTCGGAACGGCCTTGTCGACGGCCGAGGCGTCGGAGGAACCAACGATAGGAGCATAGAGGCCTTCGAACTCGGCCAGCATGCGATTCTGGTGCGACAGGATGGACGACCAGGCGTCGCGCCAGGCGCTGGTGGAATCGACGATCTGGCGGGGGGGCGGGGGGGTGTCAGTCAGGAGTCACGATGCCGAGGAGAACAACTCCGGGGATAGGAGTGTCTTACCTTGCCCAAGAGTTTGTCTGCTTCTTCGAAGTCCTTCAGAAGAATGGCCACCTGGCTTTCGTCGGCGGACCTCTTCATCAGGCGTCCGAACTGGCGCTGCATGCTGTGCATGGTGCCGCGTGGCCCCTCAGCGGCGGAGGGAAGGCTTCAAGGCAATGCGGAGAGGGGGAGGATTGGAGGGGGAGAACGGGGAGAATGGGGGGATCGAGCAGGAGAGAGTGAGACCACGAGGGATGAAGGTGGCAGCGGAGCAAGGGGGCAGAATGGATGGTGAATTAGTTGCCAAAAGGACAGCCTCATGGCAGCCAGCGAGCGAGAGAGCCTGCGGATGACGCAGCCCCCATGCGGTGCTCCAGCGAGGGTCTCCGGCGTGTTTCAGCGCCGTTCTGCCCGCCGCCACGCTTGGGACGCTGCGCTATTTTGGTCAGTCTCGAGTCAATCTTATTAGTTTCGGTCGCCGCGGGTCGCCGGCGCCGTTCGGTGATGGAAGGTGCCTTGTAGATCGTGATCCACGCTGGAGGCGTCAAGATTCGAGGTCCTCGACATGCCACCTAGATACTTACTCAGTAATATGAAACGGGAGGACATTCACCTCCTCCTCTGTCCCACAGACTCATCACTCGCAGCAGCTCGTAAGCGAGACGCGAGATCCGTCATCTTCACCTATCTAAGTTACCCCCTGGCATCCATCCATTCATTTCTTTCAGGTGGCACCGCCAAGGCAACCATCTCGAGCCAAGCACGGCGGAGGGCCTGGCATCGACTAGTGAGTTGGCCATGCTCGGATTGCAATTGACTCCGGATGAGAGGCGTATAGCATCCCCGGTGCTGGCAGCAGACAATTGCATTCTCCCGTAGCTGTAACTTCGATGTACCCCGTAGATGTAGGCATTTCCTCGAAGCTGGCACGAATGAAGCAGCGACAGATCGTCCGGACCGCGGCTCCGACGCGGGACTGGCGCCCGGCGGCCTCAGGCCTCCGTCTCCTCCGCGGCATTTCCCCGGCGGCGCCTTCATCGACATCTTCCTCCCTCTCCAACCTCCAACTCCTCCATCCCCATCATGTCCAGCCTCGGGGTCGCCCTCCCATGCCCCTGATCGCATCTTCACCTTCTTCCGCCATCCCTCTTCTTCCATCCCCCCCCCGGCGAAATCCCCACCGCCAAAATGTCCACCCCGCGCGGCACCCCGAGCATGAGCACGAGCATGATGAACATCCCCGCAACGCAAAACACCGCGCCGGTGATCAAGTTCCGCTGCCTGTACACGCACGACATGCGACGCAAAGCCAAGCGCTGGCAAGACGGGTACCTGCGATACCACACCTTCAACAAGCGGATCATGGTCTACGACACGGTCGGGAATTACATCGGCGATCACCACTGGCGTCAGGACGAGGAAATTCAAGATGGCGACGAGCTGGAGCTCGATAACGGGATCCTGATCGAGGTTGGCGAGTCGGTGGAGAGGACGGAGACGGATGTGTCGAGCTTGCATGGCAAGAAGAAGAGTCACAACCACAATGGCAGATCGCCGTTGAGACCGGGGGAGACTCCGATGTCGTCGGTGTCGACGCCCTCGCGGTTCTCCCAGCAGATGAGGTCGCTGAATGATCTGCTCGGGATCAAGAAGTCTTCGACGTCGACGCAGCGCTCGGATGCCTCGCTGGAAGAGAGACACCCGAATCCGACGAGATATACCGAGGAGGTACCGGATCGGCCTGCGAAACGACCAAGGATGGTCGCGGACAGACAGGTTTCCAGCCACCGGCAGCGCGCAGTGATCGACTTGACGGAATCCACACCGGATCCTATACGACCTACACCTACAGGAGAGGCCATAAGGCGGACCGAAGATCTAGATCGCAAATCCCACAGGGACAAATCCAGCAGAGAGAAATCCAGAGACAACCCCAAGCACAAGGGATCCTACGACGAATTTCCCTCCGCCCCAGAACAACAGATCCCAAACCCTCCCTCAAAGAGCGCCGCTGTCCCCGACCCCCCGATGAACAAGATTCGTCTGTCCACCGGGAAGCAGCGTAAGAAGATGCTATACCAGCCTGGCCTTATAAACACTACACCTACAACAACAGCGGCAGCAGCAACCACAAGCATAGCCACCAGCTCTGATCCCGACCCCAAAAGACCAATACCAATACCACGACCAAGACCTACCCCATCCATTCTCCCACAGGCACAACCAAAACCCCAACACCAGCCTCCCCTCCCTCCTCACCATGCAACCAGGAACATCAAAACCCACGCCATAGACAGCGACAGCGACAGCGAGGACTTGACCATGACCACAACCAACCCCAACCCCAGAACAACCCACGCTCACACCAACACCCACACCCATATCCCACCCCCAAACCCACACCCCCAATCAAAGCAACAACAACCCCTCCAAGCACCACCCAAGCCCATACCAATACCAATGCCAATGCCAATCCCAACCCTCAAATCCAAATCCAGTCTCCGAAAATCCTACTCCGACCCCACCGCCCTCGCAACCCCCAGAACGCTTGCGTCCCGGCGTCCAGAAAACCCGGACCATGATGCAGAAGCAGAACAGGGTCCGTGGACGAGAGAGGCGCGGTATTTGTTTGACTTTTGGCCGCCGGGGAGGGAGAGGGTTGTTTGAGGGGTTTGTGGGTTGGTCTTTCTCACACACATATACACACACACTCTCTCTCTCTCTCACACACACACACACACACACACACACACACACACACACACCCTCTATCTCTGTGTGTGCACGCGCGTGTAGGGAAGAGGCGGGAGGAGAAGAAGAGAAAGGAGAGAGCAGGGGGGAGGTGGTGCATCTATATGATACGTTTGTGTGATCTTATGTGGGTGGATGGTGGATGGAATGGATGGGTAGATGGATGGCCGGATTTTGAGATGAGATATATACATAGACTCCTTACTGGTTAAGGACGGACAGACAAACCGACAAACCGACAAACGAGCAAAATGACCATCGATGATCGAGTGATCCAATAAAACCAACAACAAACTAACCGATGATACCCTTACCAACTTAATGACATGAATATCTATCTATATGCATCTATGTCTACAAGTCATGAAATGAATGACATCATGATGAAATGAAACAAGACAGCGCGAACCAAATATTCATAAACTATACTAATAGTAACACGACACCACAACTAAATAACGGCCAGAATCTATAGGACTTAGGCCGTTCACTATTGGCTAGATAGAGTACGGGTAGGTAGGTAGCTAGTAGATAGGTAGGTAGGTAGATAGGTAGGTAGGTAGGTAGCTGTGCAGCTCAGCTGACAGACAGATACATGATATGGTACATGCCGGTCTACGGCAGCATAGTATCTACCCACCTACCCACCTACCTACCCCCCTACCTAGGTACCCACCAAGGTACCTGTCTACCTACCGAGATACACCACGCCACACCACACCAATAAACACCAGACTATGTATCAATCATATCTTCAAGACAAGAAGAGACCATCAATTGCTCACGGTGCACGGATAACAGTACCTAGATCAATCCCGGCAATAAAGACCCCAGATCCCAGATCCTGAATCCCAGATCCCAGATCCCAGATCGCGAAAAAAAAAAAAAAAAAAAAAGGACAAGACGGACAAACAAACAACCACGAATGAATTGGTTGGTTGATATCAGCCGCCATATCACATATCAGAACCTGATTAATCCAGGTCAAGTCAAGAGAGAATACAGATCAATAGTGCAGTACATAAGCTGCACATAACTGTAATCCGGCGCAAGTGTCTGCGCAGCTTGTGGGCTTTTGACACAGTAAAGAGATGGAAAAGGAAGGAAGGATACGGCACGGTCAAGTCAAGTCAAGCCCGGGCGAAGGAGTGACCAAAGTTGTTCACATGTATGTCAAGTTCGCGATGAGTATCAACATAGGAAATTAGATGGCCAACAGTTTGTGCGACATGAGGGCTCGCAAAAAGAACGACAAACAATTCGGGGCACGGGAGTGGGGAGGAGGGGCAGGTGAGGCCTGGCCCCAGGATTAAAAGGTAAGTATAAAAAGATGCGGAAGGGAGAAGTGTGCCCGTCAGGATGCAATTTCGCAGCATAGGTGGTCCAGACGCTGATTTCGCCTCAAAAATACCAACGACAATGGCAGGTGCAAGGATGATGGTAGGAGTTAGAATGCAAATAGAGAGATTCATGCAAAAGTGAACACCAGAAAACAGACAGGCAAATCGCTTAGTGGATCAGAGCGATTCAGTGGTGAGAGTGAATTCGGTTGACGCGAGGACTATAGCGGCTGGTCCTCGACAGGGCGCCGACGTCGTGCTTGCCTGTAACCTGTTAGCAAAGTTTTTATCGAAATCGTAATCTGTGACATACCATCGCAGCATGCTCGGACATTTTCCAGCCGGTCGTCTCTGTCCATAATATGGCGCAGGTCCTCCTCGCTGTCATGATCGTGGGTATGAACGCTTCCTTCATGCACACTCGAGGAGGCATAGTTAGGACCCTTGCGGCCAAACGACCCCTTGATCGTGGTGTTCAGGATGGTACTGAGGCGGGAGGCAGAGCGGGAGGCAGAGCTGTGCCGCTGGTCCGAGTAGTTGGATGGCGTACTGAGGGCTGGGGAGGCACGGCCAGGCGTCGCGGCGCGGCGGACCGACATGGCGGATCCCGCACGCTGCTTGGGCCAATTCCGACTGGCCCGGCTCCGAGAAGAGGAGAACGACAGCCGGGAGGTCTGGCGCGAACGCGTCCGGAATCCGGGGTTGAACTCGTCAATGTCCTCCAACGAGGCATTGCTCTCCTGCTCCTCGCCGTTCTCGGAGTTGCGCAGCAGCAGATACGAAAGCGCATTGAACCAAGTCTCGTGTCTTTGGCTAGTGGTTGCAGTGAACCTGATCCGGCGACCAGGACTGACGACCTCCAAACTCTTGCAATGAAGACCAGGGGGGTACGGGTTGTCATCTGGAACGACCCTGACAGCCTCGATCGCAACGCTCTTCGTCCGGAGTTCGCTCTTGCCAGCGCTCTGCGGATCCTGTTCACTCCAGTACAAAGTACGGGTATACGGGTGGAGCCAGAAGTAACGACGATGCCTGGAGCTGGATATTTCTCCGGTCACCGTCTTGCGTGTGTATTTCCAGAGGAATTCTCCAATCATCGTCTGCGTGATCGCTTGGATCATGCGCGGGTCCGTACCGGCGGGGTGGCCATGAGGGCCAAGCGCAGGGTTGGGATGCATATTGAACCGTTCCTCGACTTCAGAAGCAAATGATGACACAGACGATCTGCGAGACACGTGGCTGCCCTCGCGCCTTACCCTGCCCCGTGAAGTTGTCGTCGTAGCAGGTCCAATCATCAGACCGTTTTCGTTGGGGGTCCGTGGACGCTGAGCAGAGGTCGCTCTCAACGCAGAAGCTGGGGCAAGTGGGGGACCCATCAGACTTGGGGAGGACGGACGTTGGTCCAGTGACCTCTTCTCGGCTGCCATAATGGCTTCCCTGTGGTCTACAGGCAACGGGGGGTGGCTTTGGATGCTAGATGTTTGGCTAACAGCACTACCAGGCCTCCGCTGCTGGGATGGGAGAGACGTCACGGAAGGCTGATGACTAGGGCGACTTCTTGCCTTCGGTGTAGCGAAAGGCGAAGTGTTTTGATCCTTTGCCTTGTCACTGTCGGGTGGAGACAATGGCCGGGAGGTAATGCGGTCCATTAGAATCTGATCGATTTGCTTGGACGACAAAATTGTCTGCGCGCCTTGGTCTGTCCAGCCAGATGAATGTTGCTTACGAGGAACAGCATTTCCTGAAATGGCGCCCAACGGCGACAACACATCCTGCTTCGAGTCGGCAACATCGTTGGCCACACTTTCATCCGAAGTGTCTTCTGCGACCACGACAGACGGTATTCCTGACGCCGGGTTGCTCTTTACCAACTTCCTGCTGGGAGCAGGTGCTGGTTCTGTGTTCTCATCAGGAAGTTGAACCACGGGAATAATGGCTGTACGGGGCCTGTATTCATCAGGCAGTGTTTCCACGGAGCTGACATTAGACAGCGACATCCGAGGAGCCGATACTTCACGCGCTTGTGGCGACACGGGCTCAATGTACTCAGGAGGTATGAATGAGATAGCCAGGTCGGCAAGAACAGGCTCAACTGTCACTTCCGGTGTGGGCTCTCTTCTCTCCAGGATAGCTTCAACGGGTTCTGTTTGCTGACAGGAAATGGAAGAAATTGAGAGCTCTGGCACGGGGAGCTCTTCCTTGGTTTCGACCGGCTCCACAGCAATTTCAGGTTCCGGGGCCTGCGCTAGGATAGCGACAACGGGCTGCGTCTCCTGAGATAAAATAGAAGACAGAGAAAGCTCTGGAAGATCCACAGTAGCTTCCACTTCATCCACGAGAACTTGGGGAATTGGCTCCCTTCGCTCTACAACAGCTTCAACGGGTTCAGTCTGCTGTGATAGGATGAGCGAAAGAGCCACATCTGGGGTCTCTGTGTTCGTTCCGTGCTCTGACAAGGAGACTGGTGGAATGGGCTCAGGAAGAGCTGGCACGACAGGCAAAGTATCCTGGAAGTTGATGCTGGAGATGGCCATATCAGCCACATACACGGGCTTGGGCTCGGGGAGCTTCGCAAGGACCGGTTGTGTACCCTGCGAGGAGATCGAAGACAAGGTAATTTCTGGTGGTCCAGGGGGGAGGCATTTAACAGGCTCAGTTGCAACTGCAACGGAATACGAGGTGCTCAACTGAGGTAGTCTCGGGGCCACGGGTGCAGTTTCCTGGAAAGAAACGGAAGAGACAGCCATTTCCATCGGAGCGAGGGGCTGTACAGGGTCCTTCTGCTGAACCTCCGCGACCAAGCCATTCATCTCTTCTTCTGATGCTTCCAGAGGGGCCCATTGGGTCGCTGCATGAGCCAGTTCGGGGATCTTTTCTGTCTCGGTAGCAGTACTGGCATCCGACATCTTTGCCTTTGGCGTTGTCGGCACATCACGAATTTCCTCGACACTCACAACAGCAGGAGCAGGTGAGACAGCTTCTGGGCTCCAGGGTTCGGTCATCACTCCGGAATCAACCATAACAGGCTTACGAGGCGCATCAAGCATGGCCTCGGAGGGCCGCCTAGAGTCAGGCGTCGGGAGCATGCGCGGCGTTGAGCGCGGCGTTGACGACTGAGAGGCGGTGTCGTATCGCATCGGCGGTCCAAAATCACCCTCGTCTTCATCACCATCAAGGTCTGCAAGTTCCATAAAGAGACTCTGTCCCTCTCCGGATCCCAGACCCTGATCGAAGCCTGTCGCAGGGGATTCCCGTGCGCTGGACGGTCGACTGCTGGAAGCCATGGGGGCCTCTCCAGAGGGGCGAATTTTTCTCAGGACACTCCGCTTCTGCCTCAACCTGTATCTAGGTGTAGACACCTGGCTCGGTGAGGGGAGATCGTCGTCTTCCTCCATTTCTTCGTCACCTGACGTGGAAGCTGAGCTCTGGTAGGAGATCCTGTCACGGGTCTTAGCCATTGTGAAGGAGGAAACTCGTCCGCTCCCGCGGGGGGTTCTCTGCAATGGGTCTTCGGTCTCTGTGAGCTCATCGGAATCGGTGCTATCGTCCGCCATGCTTTCCAAACCAGTCTGGAAGGCATCACTTTCGGTGGCCGTCTCTCGTTCATTGGCGGTCTCGAAAGCATCATCTAACTCGGTAGCAGTCTGGTATGCATCGCTAGGATCCGCAGACGATTGCCCCCCTGTCCGGCCCTTAGACGACCTGACAGGAGCCTTGTGAGGGGGGGTACCGTCGGTGGCATTGTCTTCCCAGTCGGAATCGTGGACAGAATCGTGGATTTCGATCTCAGCCTTCTTCCGTCCGGCGCCCAACAAGTCTGGCCGTGGTGCTTTCCTGGCCGGCTCGGTCTTGGTCTTTTGCCGCTTGTTGGACGGGTTGGTCGGAGCGGCAGCTTCACGACGACGCTGTTCGATCTCATCGCGAGCATCTTGCAGCATACGCTTCAAGTCAATCTTCTCTGTCTTCTCGCGATGGATAGTACTCTTGAGGTTTTGAATCATGCGGTGAGCATGGCCAAGCGAACTCCGCAATGTCTCGGTTTCAAGATGATTGTGCCTAGGAGTGAACTTGTTGGGAGATGGAGGCGGAGAGTTGTCGGGCGTGGACTGATCCTGGTCATCGGAATCGCTGCCGCGAGAGATTTCACGGGTGGAGTCTGTTTCGTGCTGTCGGAGTCGCATTGCCACGGCTTTCGCAAGCTCCTGGTTCTGTGAGTTCAGCTCCTCGAGCTTTTGCTGGAGAGCAAGCTTCTCCGCATCTCCAGCGTTGAGATTTCTGCGCAGGAGATGAATCTCAGCATCATTCGCTTTCTGGGCCGCAGTGTGATCCTCAACAAGCTTCGCATTGGTCTGTTTCAGGTCCTCGAGCTCTCTGTCCATGGTGCTTTTCTCAGTGGTCAGAATGCTCAGGCTGCTATTAAGTCTATCCTCGCGATCAGCAGCCTCCTTGACTGCGGTCGTAAGCTCGTGGGTCCGAGTTTCCAGCGCCCAGTTTTCATCCTTGTATCGCTCTTCACTTTCGTCCAGGGCCCGGATACGCTGAGCGTATCCCTCTGCCTCCAACTCGAGTCGGGACTTTTCCAGGTTCAAAGTCTTCAAAGCCTCCTCACGCTCGGCAAGCATAGTTTGTAACTGACGGACTTGGGCCAAAAGAGAAGTCGAGATTTCCGTAGCGAATTCAATATCATGGACTCGGCTCGAAGGTTGATTGCGTTGTTTCCGCGAGGGCACGCTGACCTTGCTGGGGGAGTTGGTCGCTTGGCTGGCGAACAGCGCAGGACTAATTGGGGACTGAGAAATGATTAGCAGCTTGCACAGGCTCCGAAATCAACCCAAACACCACGATTTACCTTCTGCTCGTACGGAGTCCCAAAATGGCTTTCGTCACCACCAGCCAGGCGTTTTGGCGCAAGGAATGCGCGCGCCGTTTCACGCCCGATTTCATTGTATTCTCGCTCCAGGTCCGCAAGTTTCCGACGCAGCTCCGGTCCGATCTGACCAACCTCCTGCTGTTGTTCAACTTCCTTCAACTTGTCCTCGAGCTCCTTCTGTTGTTGGATCAAAGCGGTACCGAGTTTGCCGGCCTCCTCGAGCCTGCGCTCTGTCTCTGCCAAATGCGCCTCGAGGGCTCGTTTGGCCTGCGCTGGTGAGGCCGCATCGAGACTGAACAGCTGCGTGTCAAAGGATGAGTACCGATGCGACTCGCGGGGAACCGCTCCCTCCAAGTTGGAAACGAAAGGATCTTCGATTGTTGACATGATGCCAGTTGCCCTTCGCCGACCATGCGGGTCCCGTTATTCGTTGAATCCGACACAAATCCGGTCGCTCTCGCGGCTGATTGATTGCAGGCTGTGCCTAATCCCGTAGGGTAAGGGTACAGTCGCCGTCAAGAGCGCGCACTCGTCGCCTCGTTTCTCGTTTCCTCGTGTCAAAGCTGGGTCATCATCCGACCTGCGACTATTTGTGTGCCTGCCTGCGTCCTCGGATCCCTTTCACCTCGTAGAATATTCAGTGAGCCGACCTGCGACCCCGAATGTCGCGAAAACTCGGGCTGGGAGTGTAAGCGACGGTGGAACAGAAGTGAATGCGCGCCGTCGATCGATCGGAGGCTCACGGCGCCGCTCGTCAGGTGAGAAGGACAACAAAGAGTCGAGAGTCGAATCGGCAACACGGCCGACGGTCGAGATCCGTGCTTACGTTGCGTTTGGCAGAGACTGGGCAGCAAAGCCAGATCCTGCCCCAGCGAGACTCCCGACAACGAACGCGTTGTGGACGTAACGTAACCTAATGCGTGCGACCACGATGACGGGTTTAACGTTCGGGAACAGGCAGCGGTGCTTTGGCGCTGCCGCGAAACCAGGAGTAGCCGAACCACGGTGGACAGAAGAAGGACCAAGGGTTGGACGACAGGGGGGAGGGAGATAAATTACGGGTACAGGCGGATGCGATGAACCACCTGCACCATACAGCGGATAAGATCCAAGATAAGCAAGTATTAAAGGGGAAATGCAAAGATAGAGAGAAAAAATAAAGGAAGGACGGTGGTTAGAAAGAAACTAGTAGTAGTGTCTGTCAAGGGAAAGAAAGAGAAAAGGGAATTAGGAAGGAGAGAAATCCAAGAGAAAGGAAGGGCAATGGTGGAAGGAAGAGGGGGGAGGGGGAGGGGAGTGGAATGAGGGAGTGATTCGAGGCAGTGGAGTGCCAGTTGGACAACGAGACGAGGGCGACTCGTTCGTTGGGCGGGGGAGAAGAGAGGAGGGAGAGGGAGGGAGTGGAAGGGGAAGGGAAGCGAAGGGAAGGGAGTGATCGAGTCTAGTGAGTGGTACTACTAAGGTAGCCTGCCTAGTCACCGCAGGGAGAGAGAGACAGCAGCGAGAGGATCGCTTGCCTCAGATTCGCCTCGGTCAGGACAGGACAGGACAGGACAGGGCGCGTACACTGTACCACGTACACCGTAGGTACGATCGGTCGGTCCGTTCAGTCCGTTCAGTCTGTTCGTTCAGTTGCAGCCGAGGCGGTATCTATCAGGGAGAGGGAGGTAGGTAATAATAGCTAATAATCGCGCCTGAATAATTGATCGGATACGTAATGGCAAAGCTGGCCGATTTGAGGGGCGTCAGGGATCAATACCACCGTGATACAGCAGCACGGCAGTGGTGGTGGTGGAATGGAAGAGCAGTGATGGTGGAACGATGGAAGCGTTACGATCTACCTGGCTAGTAGGAGGATTGGGGGACTGTCATCAGCCAGATCCCCTGGTACCGGACAAAGAGCTAGAAGGTTATTTCAATGTCAACAAACACCGTAGTCAGCAGGCCTGGGGAAGGTAAACAAGTCAAGTTGAGGGTTGAGGATGATCACAACAATAGTTTGTTTAGTTTACCACCCAAACGCGTACCAAACTTGTTTTCGGTGGCCGTTTGCTCGGTTTGCAGTTTTCTAATGGGGGTTGCCGGGTCGGGGGCCTCCTTTCCCCGTCCCCCGAGCGAGATCATGTGCGGTCACCTGAGCTAGAGGGGCTGCCTGCCCTTTCGGCTGTCATGTGACAGCTAGCCTTGGTTCAGTTAGACCGCTTTGCTACGCGGCTCTGTGCGAAGGAACGAAGCATCCAAGTGTGCCTCTCTCTCTCTCTGTGTCTCTGGTGTGATGTCACTGCAAGTCTGATTAGCAGCTCGCTTCCTGCAAGAATTACAGATAGTCCACATATCTGCCCATGTGGTCCAATGTATAGGTAGGTGCTATGGCAGCTCAAGTAAGGGATCAATCACATCTGAATGCTATCGGCTTCGAGAAGCTGAGGGGCAATTGATCTCCAGGGGCCGGAAGGGAGAACAGGGACAAGAAATACCCTTTGGAATAGTGGTCGTTACAGAAAGGCTTGGAGTGTCGTTTGATGTCCTCTTTATCTGTGGTTTTGGTTCTCGCCCCTGGAAATCTTTATCCAATATATCTGGTTATTTTTAGGGGTTACTCGCCGCCCTAAATTATAGGCCGCTGTTTATACTGGCATAGCGCTATGAGTACATTTCCAATGGAGCTAGCATTGTCGATCGAGATTCCGCTCCGGGTTTTATTTTATTTTTATTTTTATTTTGCCCCTGTAGCACCCCCCTGGACCTTGATTTCGGTTCTTCCTCGGCCAGTCTATAGATCTCTATCGGCATTCTGATCAAGTAGCCAAATGGACTTACTCGCCCCCCAAAAAATTACGCAAATATTACCAAGTCTAGCAAGCCTGGACCTGTCGTCAAATTCCTCGTCCGTAATTGAAAATTACTGCGGCAGTGGGTATTGTTCCGGGTCCGAAGGTTTCACAGCATCGAGGACATGTCTGGGCATAGCCGGACTATCGAATGTAAGCTTTTGACAGACTGTGGAACAAAGAATGTCAGTGCCGTGAGCTCATTCCTGTGCTACGGAGTACCACGGTACTGTATCAGCTACTGGTGCTTTTCCCATGGATTCCTTGATATTAAGGACCATACAAGCTAAACATCCCGCTGGGGTAGAAGATCGTTTCCCGCCAGATAGATTAATGCGATTAATATTCGTAGCCCTCGTGAACTACATACTGAAATCCAACTTGAGAATACATACCTCCATGCAAGGATGTGTAGATGATCATCTGGATATGGAATGTTTTATTCTGAATGTGGCGTTGGCATCAGTACTCAGAGAACGGCCTCCCTCTTGAAATTGCATTTGGTAGAGTACCGCCATTACCCCAGATACAATCAGTGGGTTTAGCATTATACGATGTGTTGAGAAAGAAGCCTTGGCCGGTATAGTTGCTGAGTTCATTCTCGGGAGATCCTAAAATACTCGACCAGCCTATAGTTCTGTATAGATATCTCCAGATAATGTGCCTGTGTTATACTGCTGTCCTGTGAGAAAGGCATGCGCCCCCTAGTCAAGATATGGTTCAGGAACTAGGGAGACTTGTATCGGAGCCTTCCTCGTCCATAGACACAGCCACAGCCACTTGGCTGGTTGCAACCGACTCTTCTGCTCCAGGCCCGTATGCTTCAAGATTTTGAATCTGTGATACATTAGAGGAGTCCAACATATCAATAAGCCAAAGACTGTTGTGCTATCATTATACTTTGTCATAAGTTGCAGTCGATAGGGAGAAAAGTCTCTGCTGGGTAGGTATGGTACATTACCAAGGCCTTAGAGGTCGACTCTCGCCATGAAATCGGTTTGCCGTTGATTGAACAACCCCTTCAGACTGACTTCTGGCTAACATGACTCAAAAGCCGCGCAATAGTCTGATAGCCAGCTCACCCATGCCAACTGACTAATTATAGAACCAATTCTCTCTGAAGCAAGTCCATTCATCAAAAACATCGGTATATATCCTAATCTTCTATTCTGACTCTCCACATGCGGTATTTCCTAATCTGGTCGGGTCACTCGGTTGCTCGGACGCCCGAACTCCCAACCCCCGGGAAAGTTCATGGTTTTGGAAGATTGACATTAGATAGACCCTGGTGGATACCATTGAGATGCTGGGATGCGCTTGTGCGCTCGTGAAAGAGGAACCCGCAGTTGCTGCGGTGGCGCTCGCTAGGAATCAGGTAAGGTTCAAGCTACAGAGGGAGGGGAAACACATCCCAGAAGAAACAACTAGCAAGCTCATGAGAAGGAGAGATGGAATCAATAGGAGAGGGAGCAGAGACAGGGATCAAATAGATCGAATCGAGGGGTTGCCATGTAAAAGGAAATTAAAACCGAATCGCCAAGAAACAATGTCGCATGCGCAACGAATCTCGGAGCTGCGTCTTATCTGCGGAGCGACTTCCCCAAAAGGACTCCACAGTCTGCGGGCAAATGAAATACCCACTTCCCAAAGACGTGATTGCGCGGAGCCAGGCACGGCGGCAGAATACATACTGCAGTGCCGTGCATCAGCTTTCCAAGGCATGTTGTTGCCTTCCACATATCAGCAGCCAGCGCGGAGGAGCACAGTATGGTGTCGAGGTGGGATGTTGGAGATAGCGTCGTCGATCACGAACCTATCAGGCTTGACGTCTGACCACCCGACCGTTGGTGTGGATTGTGGCTGCGAACAGTATGAACCATGGCAGAGAGTGTTCCGACTGGCAGGCATCCTGGATTATCTATTAGCCAGGAGACTTGGTGCCCACGTACGCGCAATGGCCCCGGCGACGTCATCCCGCTCGAGTCGAAAGGGCCGCCACAAGTGGTCCGTGGTTCAACCTGCCAACTCCATGCATGTAGACGTTTAGACGATGACTTTTTAAGTTCTGACCCGACGGGTTGGGACAGGCGTTGGCTCCCAAGCATCTCCCAGGATATCCCGAGTTTCTCCTGAGTTGAGAATATCCGAGTTGAGAAATTTGACAGCTGCTGAGAAACAGCACTTGCAGCGCAAAATGGAGGGGGGGCGCGGCTTGGCAGACGACGGCGCCCCCACCGATGGACAGATTGGCAGATTGCTGTTTGAGAGTTCCACAGGCAGTGCTCGGCACCAGCCAAAAAGTTGCAAATGGTGGCCGCCAAGCTTCCCCGCCAAGGGCGCTAAGGCGCTGGAAAGTGGGAAGTCGCTGGAAGTGGTTCCCTTAAGGTTTCCATTGTCCCTGAAGGAACCCCGTCCCGGTGGCCTATGACGGGCGGTTCCAGCCCGTTAGCCCTCGGCGTGGCAGCCATTCATCTACAACGACGGTAACGCGTGGCCGGAGAGTGGGGATCCATTTGATCCACTCTCGCTCTCCCGCGCTATGGGGCATAGGCATGGATGATTGAGAGTTGCCTGCTCCGTATCTATCAGTGCTGTCTAGACTACTCTGTATCTACCTGCCTGTCTGGAGTTCACCCCAACTCCCGAGTCTCTCTCTCTCTCTCCATGTCTCCATCTCCCCATGGTCTCTGTCTCTCTGGGCCAATGGATCCACTCCCCTTTCCAGCTCGCCTCGTGGCCGGCTGAGTTTCTACCAGGAAGTCGTTCTCGTGCCTCCCACTCCCACTCCCACTCTCTCGCTTCGACCCCCTTCCGGTTGCTTGCTTGACTCGTTCTCTGCGCCATGGATTAATGCATACCCCAGCCTACCCTCCTTTTCTCTCTTCTTCTATCGTTCATTTCAACCAATGGCCCATGACCTTGACGCTCATCCGTCCTTCCTTCTGATGCTGCAACCCTTTTTCCTATCTCCTTCACCTTCACCTTTTCAACCAGTACTCAACCAACCACGTCCCTCCTTAAGTGCCATTCAGTGCCAAAATAACCTTACAATTACCAGACATTTCCTTTCACTTCCACTCTGAACCTTGGGAGAGAAAATCGGACGCAATCCCGCATTGCACCGGGAAACCACCATACGGCGGGCTCCCGACCCCAAGCACCACCTGCCATTCATCATGCGCTGGAACGCTCGAGTGGCATTATGTGCTAGCCTGTCCCTCCTCATACCCCTCTACCTCCTGAAAGTCCACCTCGAGGACCTGTGCGATCAATACCACGCCGGCGCATATATGATCGACTGGCTAGACCTGGGACCACCAACGCGCGGAAGGCCCCATTTCCACAACGTCGCACAAGGAGACAAGGTGATCGTGATGGCGAAGCTCGAAGAAGAACACACGGAATGGGTTGAGCAAGAACTGCCCGAGTAAGTGCAGTTACCATGCCGTGCCATTGAAGCCATCCATATCTACTGGTATATCTGAAACCGCAGCCCCACTAACATGACTCCCCCCTCCGCTGCAAAGCTGGCAACGAGCCATCTACACCGTCAACCCCTCCAGCGCCACCGCAGCCGATACCCAACAGCTCAAAACCCCCTTGAACAAAGGCCACGAGTCCATGGCCTACCTGACCTACCTGATCGACCACTATGATGTTCTCCCTTCCACAATCGCCTTCCTCCACTCCCACCGCGCCGGCTTCCTCATGGCATGGCACGTCGACGCCCCATTACACGATAACGTCTTCGCAATGCGATCCCTCCAAACAGACTTCGTCCAGCAGAACGGCTACGTCAACCTCCGCTGCAATTGGAACCCCGGCTGCAAGGCCGGCCATCGCACAAACCGGCATGTCACCGAACAGGCTTTCATGGAGATCTTCGAGGGCACCAGTACCCCGCCTCTCAATACAACAGATATCTCCACAATGCAGAGCCCTGCTCAGTCGCCCGACGATCAGAAGTTCCTACAAATGCCCACCCATGTCGCTGCGGCATGCTGTGCGCAGTTCGCTGTGTCGCGCGACCAGGTCCACAGACGCCCGCGCGACGATTACGTGAAGATTCGTCAGTGGGTCATAGATACCGACAAGGATGACGCGAGTAGTGGGCGGGTGATGGAGTTTCTGTGGCATGTCATTTTCGGCAGGGAATCTATCTAGTATGTTTTCTGCTACTATTTATTGTTCATCACCATGTCCCTTGGACTTGTTGCGAGATATCGAAGCTAATTTCTCGTTTTTCTAGCTGCCCCGACGAAGAAGTCTGCTACTGTCAGGTTTACGGGAAATGCTGATAACGAACCGACTGCTTCCACTACCTCCATACCTACCTACCTACCTACCTACCTACCTACCCACCTACCCACCTATCCACCACCTTCCCAGCGCACCTACTACTTCTACTCTGTACATACATACATACACACATACATCCCCTCCAGCGACCCTCTTTTCCCTCTTCCCCCTCCCCTTCCCCTCCCAATACCTCTCTTTCCCTTCCAGGCAGTACCTTTCCAGCATTTCCTTCCTTCCTCAAAACATAGACACCAGCAAGGCGTTGGCGTTATCACGGGGCAATATCGGTTAACATCATCCTTCTCTTTTTTTTTTTAAGCGATCCAACTGTTTCATACTATGACCAAATGGCCAGTTGATCTCCTCAGCCAGGAGCAGAGCAGGACATTCATCTTTCTTTGCACATACCACCCACCTCCTTACCTACCTACCTACCTACCTACCTACCTACCTACCTACCTACCCACCTACCTACCTACCTACCTACCTATCCAAAATAACCTAACCTAACCTATCATCATATCATATCCTCAACCAAGAACCTGAAATACAACGGTCCCAAGAAGATCGAAGATCGACGGTCATTTTTGGGTCGTGCTGGATTTTCGGTCCGTGATTGAGTTTACAGTTTACGACTTACCACCACGGACGGACGGTTAGGGAGTTTAAACCACCTAAAGTTAGGTCAATCAATATCAATACACCTGAGTAAATAGTTGTGTGAGATTTAGGGGTAAAGGGGATGTGGGCGTTGTAAGCTTGGTTGTAGATTTTCTCCTTTTTGGGGAGGGGGGGTGGGTTGTGAATGGAGTCGATAGTACTAAATAACTTAAAAATAGAATGGGCTGCCCCGGATGATTGGACTGTAACTAAGTGCCAGTGTGGGTGATGTATATATATACTGCATACCTATATCATATGCCACCAAATTGGCAGGTTTCATGCACCGCCTATGTTCTGCTATTGATTTTTGATGTTTGAGTTGAAGCATATACTGGTATCAAAAGGTGCTTTTTGAAACTCGGGGGACTATCATTTGCCCCTCGAAGCTTCATGTCATTCTATCACGTGACTAGGCATGAAGTGAGCCGTTCAGGAAATCCAAAGGAGAGAGTCTCCGTCGGGACACAGCGCATTTGTTTGATGATCATCCAATGTCCGAAGCCTAAAGTCGCATATGTCGAGGCGTGTCTCATTGCGGTGTAAAGGGTTAAGATGCCAGATAGGATCGTCTATTAGGACTTCACTTCGACTCCAAAAATTCCTCGACCCGTTCGACAAGATCAGCTTTCTTTCCGACATTGGAAAGGCCCTGAGAGGTTAGGAAGCTCTTGAGAACGGCCACCGTAAGCTAGAAGGTCCGGTCGTTAGCTGAGTATAGAGGACGTGATTTCTGGAGATGCTTACTTTGGAAAGAGTGTTTGTCTTATAGTGGTTACGAACATCTTGCTCGACGCTCTCATAGCTCTCCTCAGCCTTCACCTTTTTAGACGACTTGCTTGGTTCGTCGTCGAAGTCTTTTGCGCCTCGTTTGACAAGTGTGCTTGTGGGTTGGGGTGTGGCGGCTGAGATCTTGGCGTATTGCTTTTCGAGTTCGTCGGCCCAGTTTATTACGTATTCGCCGGCGCGCTGGAAAGATCTGTTAGCAAGATTACAAGAGGTAGATGCATAGATGTGAATAATTAGAGTAGCTTACTTTGTCAATTTGCCGATATTTGGGGATTGTTTTGTCTTCGGGCTTCTCGGGGAGATCTTCATCCAGCGCGAGGGCTTGTAGGATGCGGTAGTGCCATTGAAGGGCTGGAGGTGGATTAGCATGGGTCAAGGGTAAGACAATATGAAGAATAATGCGCATACATGGGTTCGGGTATTTCAGAGGTTCATACGACGCCTTCGGGAGCTGCAATTGCTGGATGATGACACGCATGTGATCAATCAGCGGCTCCGGTGCCACGTTCAAACTGGTTTCGGGGTTTTGCCGAATATCATCGGCGAAAGGAAGAGGCAAGATCCACATTCCGGGAGGGTACTTCTGCACACCATTCTCATCTACCTTTTCCTCGCCTGCCATCATCGCACCGAGAACCGGGCCAGCAGCCTTGCGTGCAATGAACCAGACAAGAGCCATTTTCTTCTCACGTAGGAGCGTCTGGTGCAAAGCGGAAAACACGCGCGTGGAGCCCACATAGTCTTCTTCCGAAGGGTAGATGAAATGCGGGTGCTTGATGTTCGCCCAGAATGGGAGCGCACTGAGAGGTTTGAAGCCAATGATGCGGATCACAGGTTCACCAAAGTCTCTGAGTGCTTTTTGTTCTTCAGGCGCGAACGTGACCTGGTCCCCGCCAAATTTGTACGCTTTCCTGATCTCCCACTTTTCGATCGTACGGGTCGAATCGTCTGCGATTTGAGTAGTAATGCCTTTGGCAATCTCCGGCTTCTCGCCTCCGAGCCATATGAAGGAATTTCGGGCGGGCTCTTGCCGTTTGAACAGGATATAGCCTGAGACTGAGATCCGGAGATTCGGTCCGAGTTCCAAAGGCATGTTCGTGAAGTGGGAACGGCGTGGAACAGTCCTCGAATTGATGCTGGATAGAAGACTGTTGAGAAGTGAGATTCCATCGCCAGCAGCTGTCGATGATTTCGAGTCCGATAGCAGATATGCTGGTGCCTCTGGATCATTGGGCGACGTTTTATAGATGATATCCTTTGTATGTTAGCCAGGCCTGCCCAATGCAGACTAGCGATCATGACTTACGTCATAGAATTTGGAGTTTTCAAACTCATGATCAGGGCGTGCAATGGGGAACAGCTCAATGCTGACGCCAAGGTCGTAGAGATCCTTGGCTCGTACAGTTGCGGCAGATCGTAGAGCTTTATCCGCACCGTGGGGGTTGTCATTGTCGGTGACAATAAAAAGTCGCCGAGAGACAAAATTTGGGGCTTTCGACGTGAATATTTGGTTGGCGCAGAATAGCACGTTCGCCATGGACACTAGTTCCTCTGATGGCACAAGTATGTCCCTCGCCTCTCCCTCATCATCTACCAATGCTCTAAGGTCCTTCACTTCTTGCGCCGAGGGAATGTCCAAATCCGTGAAGAGGTAGCAGTTGGGATAAGAGAGGTCGCCTCGGCTACTTTCATCCTCGTCATAAAACTTGGACGCCTGTGTCCCATATAGGAGAACTCCCATCATGTCGTGGGGATTGGAGATGATGCGTTGCTGCATGAAGTTGTAGGCGCATTTGAGGGCGGCGGTGGTCGGTGATTCTTGTATAGACTTCTTCGAATCCGTCGAAGGACGAGGTGCCAGCATGGATTCGCTAACATCGATGGCAAACAGGACCGCATCTTTCACTGCTTTGTAGCTCTAGCCCTGCGTGTCAGTCTCCGGTCCTTATTCAACCTTCACTGAAGATGCGCGCGTACAGTTTCATCGATTTCCTCTTCCTCCTCCACCACCTCATCTTCCCGGTATGGGTTTCCGTCCGCCATTATGGATGTCGTGGAAGCATTCAGGTTGTATAGTGCGCCATGAGAAAGAAATGAGCGACCGGGAGGAGGGAGAGGCGCGAGAAAAGGGATATAGTTCGGGAAGGGATGTCTGCCTGGGGGGGGGTCTGCTGCCTGCTTCCTGGTGTCGGGTGCCTGTCTGCCTCTCTGGGTCTAGACGAATGCCCGTCCTTCTGCCGCGCGGTGACGCGATGGCTCTCCGATCGGAGCGACGCGGGGAAACACGAACATCATGTGATGCCGCCGACCATCGAATCAAGCTTGATGACGCTCGGTCGCCGCTAATTGGCTCTCGGCGTTAAGGCCATCGACGCTCCGTCATCAAGCCGTTCTGGACTTTTCGGCGTTCAACTCGTTCAGCTCAACAACTGGCCTTGCCACACTCGGGGACTACTCATTCGTTTCGGCCACGGAGGTGCGCTCAAACAGCAGCCACATTAACTTGCGATTCAATTGATTCCTTCATACCCCCTCTTTTGATCGCTCCGGCCACCAGCCTGCAATACCCGACCGTCATGGCTCTCCGCCGTCCATTTACGCTCCCCCGGCAACTGCTGCGACCGGTCACTCGCGTTTCGCTCGGATACTTGAAGGAACAGAGGCACGGTCTTGCAACGGCCGTACCTCCGGTTACTCAGGATGCGACTGGTTCGAAGGGCCCGACGGCAATGGTCTTCCTGAACATGGGAGGACCCTCGAAGACAGACGAAGTGGAGGACTTTCTCAGCAGGTTGTTTGTACGTTTGGGGGGTAATTGAGCTATTTGCTGTTGCATCGCTAATTCCCTGTTTGTTCTCTAGGCCGACGGTGACCTGATTCCTCTGGGCAGACTCCAGGCATATATCGGACCCCTCATTGCGAAACGCAGAACGCCCAAGATCCAGAAGCAATACTCAGAAATTGGCGGGGGCTCGCCCATCCGGAAATGGTCGGAATACCAGTGTGAGGAGATGTGCAAAGTGTTGGACAAGATCAACCCGGAGACTGCGCCTCACAAACCGTACGTCGCGTTTCGGTACGCCGCACCCTTGACCGAGACTATGTACGCCAAGCTGCTGGAGGATGGATTCGGAAACGGCAAGGGCGGGCGGGCGGTCGCCTTCTCGCAGTACCCACAATACTCTTGCTCTACTACGGGCAGCTCCTTGAACGACCTCTGGAGGTGGAGAAATCGGCTGGAGGGCAAGCGGGCGAATGGTGACGTGGACGCTTCGGGGTCCATCCAGTGGAGTGTCATCGATCGGTGGCCCACGCACCCGGGCCTTGTAGAAGCCTTTGCGAAGAACATCGAAGATCAGCTCAAGACCTACCCCGAAGATAAGAGAAACGGTGTGGTTCTCTTGTTCTCCGCCCACAGCTTGCCGATGAGCGTGGTGAACAGGGGCGACCCTTATCCTGCCGAAGTTGCGGCGACTGTCCATGCAGTGATGCAGCGACTCAACTTCAGCAACCCTTACCGACTCTGCTGGCAGTCTCAGGTCGGACCAAAGGCTTGGCTCGGGGCGCAGACCAGCGATACGGTCCAAGAGTACGTGAAGCGCGGTCAGACCGACATTGTCCTTGTCCCGATCGCGTTCACCAGCGATCACATTGAGACTCTGTACGAGCTGGATCTCGAAGTCATGGAGGAGGCCAACCATCCCGGAGTCAAGCGGGCCGAAAGTCTGAACGGTAGCCCCATTTTCATACAAGCCCTTGCGGATGTCGCCAAGGAGCACTTGAATAAGGAGGAGAAATGCTCTCTGCAGATGACTCTGCGTTGTCAGGGCTGCAAGAGCGACCGGTGCTTGGAGCAGAAGAAGTTCTTTGCGGGTGAAAAAGCTGCTTCTCTTGTTGTCTGATCCGCTTGTTGCGAAACCCTTCTGATAAGATCTTTCTGGGGAAAGGCGTTTGAGTGTATCCTATCTCTTTCTTTCTAAGATGTACAATAGCCTACATAGGAGACGAACTTGGTATTTCGGCAAATTTGGCAACGAATAGATAGACTGGTGTTTTACTCTGTTCCCTAAGCCGGTCCTTAGCTAGGTTCCAGCTCCAGCTAACTCTTGGGATCTAGCCCTCGTTTACTAACACATGATCCCGAAACTCCAGCATAGAAGACCGTGCATCCGCCCAGTAAACACCCCATTGGACGAACTGGAGGAACCCTAACACCGACGCTGACAAGGAGGACTAATGACAGCTTGCAAGACAAGATATCCTCGCGTGTTCGCTCATATAGCTTTCTCCTTATTTATGAGAATGGCCACGCATATCATATGACTGGAATGTGAGCCTAAATATATGGCTTATCATTTTGTCGCGCGTCTTAGTCCATCTTCTTCCCAACTCCGGGCGGTCGAGACATTCTGTTTCTTCTTTTCTCCTTCCCCGTCTCGCATGCCCTGTGCAAGGAATCCATGTCATCCGAGCCTGTTACTAAAATATGGCAAGCATTGCGCCGCTTGTTCTGCATTGCTTCTTTGCCTGCTAAATCCAGAAGGATACCACAGACAATACTAGCGTTGTCCAGAAGCCCAAAGGCGCAGCCTCTGCAGGTCGCATTCTAGTATTCTGCGTCTAGACCGTCGTCTTCTTCCTCCAGAGAACGACTCGTTCTTAATTCCCCAAACCTTAGCCTGTGTACATGCAAAACAATCGATACTGCTTGGTTGTCACCATAAAAATGGAGCCTAGAGTCTATGTATGCCGGGATGAATGGCGTCGCCGATAAAGTCTTCGTGACAATCCCTCACAGGGGCTCGAGTGCATGACTCGGATGCCGTCACAGATCGGGGGGAATCCCTCGGGTCTCCCCTCGTCCGACTGTGCGACTCCGAGCGTGCTGAAATGGCACTACACACCTAGATATCCATCTACTGGATGGATAAAGCCATAAGCCTGTCTCTCCGGACATAAGATGCACAGACAAAGCAGTCTCGGGGGTAAGGGAGAGACTGGATAGGGGGTGTGGCGCGTGGAGGGATGTAAGTGGTTGTTGGATGGTGCGGTTATCAGTTCGAGGGCCGAAAGCCAAACAATGATGGAAGGACGCATTAATTCGGCTCCTGCCTTGCTTGCTTCAGATCCTCCGACTTGAAACGCTTACCATACGCACAGGCTGGCAGGTCTGTCACGTCACCACTACGATCGATCCCCTCCGTTACCCAACATTCGCTCCTTGGGCAAACCGTCCCTGTCAGGGCGATTGATAAGCACCCTGCGTTTAGTTATCTTAGCATCTTCGCTCTTCTGGTTCCGCGACGCTCTTCCCCCTCTCCCCCCTCCCCCCTTCCCTGCCTCAACAATGGCTTGAACCTGTCCTGCCCCTTCAGTACCAGAGCTAGCAGATGTAGCCGCCAGATCTTTACGCTCTCTATACACAAATCCCAACTCCCTAGCGCGAAATGGCTTCCATCGTGCCGCCCGTCGAGGGCGAAACACCGCCGCCCACCGTGCATGCCGAGGTTGAGGTTGACGGGGTATCGCGTGGGTCGGACGCTTCTCCAGATGGCCGGAAAGGCACCGTTCGCATGCGCATCCACGAACATACCCCCTTATTGCAAGGCGCAGACGAGGACGAGGATTCGGAATCGGACCAAGACGGTCTGTTAGGTGTGCGACATGACGTCGCTGAAGATAACAACTTTTGGCGGTCCTGCAGGAAATCAAGCGTGGGTGTTCCCCTTTCGTTGCGCGCGCTGCGCGAACATCCACGCCATCGGGTTCTAATTGTCGATAGATTTTCTGGATCCTCCCATTTCTCCTTGTTTATATGCTTGGGTTTGGCGCGACCGCGGTCCCGAAAATCAACCTGATGATGTCTCTGATCTGCCGAGATTACATGGCTAAGAAAGCAACCCAAGATCCGGGTTTCACCTATCTTCCCGTCGTCATTGGGAGCCATAACTCCCAGTGCCAGACACCCGAGGTACAATCGTTACTGGCGCAGTTCCAGTTGTATTTCAATCTGACGGCAGGCGTACTGTCTGCATTGGCCTGTCCCCGGCTGGGCCACTTGTCGGATCGCTATGGCAGGACTAAGATCCTGGCCATCAGCGCGCTCGGGACTGTTCTGGCAGAGGCCATCACCGTTTTCGTCGCAGCCAGGCCAGACCTCGTGTCGGTGAACGTGCTTCTGCTCGCTGCCTTCTGCGACGGCGTGAGTGGTTCCTTTACGACTATCATGGCATTGTCGATGTCCTACACCTCCGACTGCACTGCTCCCGCAAAGCGAAGCGTGTCATTCAGTTATCTATACGGCTCCCTTTTCGGAGGCATTGCAGTCGGGCCACTCATCGCGGCATTTTTGATAAAGAAGACGGGCAATGTGATTAGTGTCTTTGATGCCTCGCTAGCGTTGCATGCGGTCTACTTTGTGGCGATCTTGACCGTTGTCCCAGAATCATTGCCAAAGGAACGACAGCATGTCTCGCGAGACAGCCACCGGAGAAAGCTTTCCACCGAGGGCGAAGCGGGATGGCTGTCCCTTGGGAACCTGAACCCGAAAAACCTCATCACTCCTTTGTCCGTTTTGCTCCCACCGGTTGGACGTCCGAGTGCTTTGTTCCCCAACCGCCATGGCGCAAGCCCGCCTTTGCGGAGGAACATCATCCTCCTTACGATCATCGACACTCTTGCATTTGGCATAGGGCTAGGGACAGCCCAGGTGGTCATCATCTACGCCGAATACAAGTTCGGCTGGGGCAATGTCGAATCGAGTCTGTTTATTTCGACCGTCAGCCTCATCCGGGTCGTCAACCTCTTCATCGTATATCCCCTTGTGACGGCCATCTTCCGGGAGCCCCCGAGAACGGGGCACATCGTTTCCGGGTCCAGCACCTACGAGGTTGTTCTCATCCGGCTATCCCTCCTTCTAGACACGGTGGGCTATATCGGCTATGCGATGTCGAATCAGAGCCCCGTCATGGTCTTCTCGGGCGTTGTCACGGCATTCGGGGGCATGGGTATCCCGACACTGCAATCGGCCCTCACCAAACACGTCCCTCGTGAACGAGTAGGGCAGATCCTGGGCGCGAAGGGCCTTTTGCACGCTCTTGCTCGCGTAATCGCCCCGTCGGTTTGCAGTCTGATCTACAGCCTGACGGTGGGTAAATTTACCCCGGCTATATTCGTATGTCTGGGAACTGTGTTTGGGCTTGCTTTCGGCTGCAGTTTCTACATCAAATCACACGGTACGTGTCTCTTTCTTTCTCACCGGGGAGCATCTTCTAACAATTAATATTTGGTAGTCTCTCTGGATGACTCTTATCCAGGAACCTCCCCGGGGGAGGTGAATGAAGAGGGAGCAGATAATGATACTTTGCTCTAGAAGGTGTCCTGGTCCCTCCTGATAGCAAGCCCCGATATCGGTTCATACCGGGTTGTTTCCAGGACAGACTTTTTGAATTTCGGTTAGGTGGCGGTGTATATATGAGTGAATCTGTGTTTGAATCTGTACCTCTCTTAGACCATATCGCATGAGATTCCAGCGATCTCAAAGAGTAAACACACGAGCATAAGGAGTGGATACCTCCGTAGTCTAGACAGTTAGACGTGGGCGCACCCGGAACGTGTGGCTTCAACCGGAAAAAGGCCGGACGCCGTACGGCGGACGACAGGCGCCAAGTCAGCCAGGTCGGGAGCAAAGTGCAAAAGTGCAAACTTCCCGCAGGAAAGCCGACGGACGCAAAGCAGTCAGTCTTTCTCCGATCTCAACTCCCCCCCCCCCCCCAAAAAAAACACAAACACAAACGCCAATTGCACCACCCATTGGAGCCCCGACGGCCTCGACAACTCCTCCTCACCTCCCGGTGGTTGATGGTTCTGCAACGATAACGGCCAAGCCCGCTGCCTGCGGTGAGACCATATTGTATACGTACGATGGTCACCAAACCCACCAACAACAGCCCCCCGGCGGCCGTTCCCTCGCGAAACGCCCTCCGCGCTCTCCGCCGGTTGGCGTTCGCAGGGTCGACTGTGGGAGGCTTCTGCACGGTTGCTGCCCTCACCTACGAAGCTCATCGCCGGGTGCGCATTGCCGAACGAATCGTCGAGAATAAACGTGCCCTCCAGACGTCCGCCCCTAGGTACGATGCGAAATCCGCGGCGAAGAGACTGGCCCGTATGATGGAGGTGGCTGAGGCCGGGGAGTTCATGGGACTGGATTCGTTGAGAGAGGAGGATCGGACCCGGCGAGAAGGACGGACGCGACGGGCTGAGGAGCCGGACATCCCGCTTGGTGATTGGAGCTCGGATCGCCAACAACTCCAGGACCATAGGTCTCCGGCTCAGGCGGAGATGTATGCTAATGCTCCTTCGCCATTGAGCTTTGTCGATTCGCTCCGCCCGGGACCGATACCGCAGAACCATGTTCCGAATGCGTTTACTCCTCCTCCTACCCTCCCGCGATCGATGGATGCGTTAGAACGATCAAAGTCTCTCCTTGCGCTTAAAGACACGAGTACAAATAATGATGGGTTGGTGGAAGCGGGGAACACGCCTCAGGAGCAACTGTCTGTTTCGGAGCGAATGCAGCAGCTCCTTGATGAGGGCAAGGCTCTGGACGCTGCCCACTTGTTCTTGGAATCGCATCCCGCAACGTTGCGTGGCATCTCTTCGGATAAACGGGAGGTGGCGGTCAAGGCGTTTTACTTGAATTGCAAGCAAGGGAACGTCATGGCTGCGAAGAACGTGTTTGAGCGTTTGGAAGAGGTGGACAAGATCTCCCATGGCATGTGGAAGGTTCTGTTGTTTGCGTTGGCGAAAAAGGGATGCATTGAAAACGTTGGGACTATCTTTACCCGATATATGCACCAGTTCAAAATCCCTGCGGAGATCCTTGATATTGTGCTCCGATGTCTGCTGGAGTCCCACCGGCTCACCACCGCAAAGTGGGTGCTTCTCCGCAATCTCGATGTTGATCGGGGCTGTGGGCTCTGCGGTGTCTATCTGACGGGACTCTGGAAGAAAACAAGAAGCATTGAGCTCATGAACGGACAATTTAAGAAGCTGTTGACGATCCTCCCTCGTCTTGGGAAGCAAGTCACTGATAAACTTTTTAATCCGGTAATCAAGGCATATGTCGATTTCGGTCGACTCGCAGATGCCGAAGCTTTGGCTCTGGAGATGACCACCACATACGGCATTCCTCTACGATGCCGAACCAAGGGGCTTCTGGTCTTTGGCAAGGCTTTGGCCTGCGACTGGGAGGGCGTGCGCGCCGGCTTGCAGGAGATGCACGAGCTTAAACTGACCAAGAGAGTGCGGGACTTCACTCCTGTCTTCGATCGCATTTTCCTTCAGTACTGGGTGTCGCATTCGGCCGCCGACATCAGCGATTTCATCCACCGCTATATTGAACAATTTGAAATCGTCCCGGACAAGGTTCTGTACAAACATATCCTTGAGGCGTTGGTGGAGAAGGGGGATAACGCTATGGTCGATGACTTTTTGCGCCTCGCACGCGAACGTGGTTGGCCGAAATTCATCAATGAAGAGGAGTTCCTGGAGACGCTTCGCGCCCGTCGCCACGCTCTGGAGGACTCACCCGTGGGGTTCTGGCAGATGCTGCAAGCCGCGCGATTGCAACATGGGCAGGTTGCCTCGTCGCAGCATATTCTTGGATTCGACCAGCAGTCATTCCCCAGCCCACAGGTCAATCTCATGCCGTACACGCAGAGCCCCCTGGCGTGGTATGAGCGGACGATGCAGCCCATGACTCCATCGAAACCCGTCGATCAGTACCAGAAGCTCCACAAGCAGATGTCCCATTACATGCATGTTGGTAAGCTCGTGGAGGCTTTGAAGTGCTACCAGAACGCCAAGAACGCCAAATTCCACGTCAAGCAGCTTCATGTGGAGTTGGCGGTCATTTGCACCCTGCTCGAGCATGGCCTCGACGCCGCGCGAGCGCTGATCGACGCGGACTGGCGGCACATTCGGGATTTCATTCGATTCTTCCCCCAATTCTTCCGCCAGATCATGGAAGTGGACTCCGCGAGTGAAGGCGAGCTGATCAAGCTGGCCGTCTTACGCTTCTACGAGCTTTGCTGGTCAAACAAGAAGATGACCGTGAAGCACCACATCACGGTCGCGACCAGCCGGCGGCTGATCGTGGTGCAGAAGCCCGAGCTCGCCATCGATCTCCTCACGGCCGTCTACATGTCGCGGTACCAGCGCTCGCTGTCCTTCGACGGGGTGTGCATGAAGATGTTCCTCCGCGCATTTTCGGCGACCGACAATCTCCCCGGGATCCGGTGGTGCATTCTGACAGGCCTTGCGCGCGGCAGCGCGATCAACAGTGAATTTGTGAACGAAGCCCGCCGCGTGGTCGGAGCCCTAGAACGCCAGCCAACTCCGGAATCGACCAAGCCCAAGGATGCCGCCCGACAGGCCAAGAAGGTCGCATATCTCACGCACGTCACCGATCTGCTGGCACGGAAATGCGCGGGGGATACCGAGATGTGGCAGCTCAAGGCCGATTCGAAGATCAAAAGGGACGGTCGGCGCTTGCTCAAGCGACCTCTAGATGAGCGGCATCTGTACAATACGGCCCAGGTCCCGCAGACGATCGCCCGGTGGGATGAGGAGTATGAGCTGGAGACCGTGCTCGGACGCATCGACATCGATCCGAAATCCATCGTGATCCGATGGAGCGAAAAGCACTGCCTGGGGCAAGTGCCGTACATTGACGATCTGGTGTGATCCGGGGGTGTATATTTACTTGTATTATTATGTATTGTCTTTCTTATCTTCATTCCCCCCATTGGCATCTGCAATCGTTCTTGTCTCGGCGAGAAAAGTACATAGATTTGATGGATGTATCCCGTGATTCTTGTATGCATACTAGCGCTGCGGTCTGTCAGTTACTTTAGCTTCGCATTGGCCTCTTTCCTCCAGAATATCATTTGGGGGGGAGGAGAAATTCTAATCCGGACGGTCAGCTTTGTTGTCGTGTAGACTGAAGTAGTCAGGGTCCATAGTGTAGGATAGGAGTAATCCTCCGTAGGCGGTCTGGGCCTGGCGGGCATTGGCTAGCGGTGCCTGGGGGTGCCTGGAATCGTACGGTGTCCATCCATCCTTTCACATGTCACGCCACTCTCTCGCTCGCCGCCATACACTTTTTCTCTGCTCCGTCTCCTTCCCTCCCTCACTCCCTCCCCCCTCCCCCCTTTCTACTTACTCGTCCGTCGCAGCTCAACCTTCGACTTCTCCTCTGTCTGCTCGTCAATTCCTCCCCCCCATCCCACTTAGGACAAAATATGCCCTGCGCCTCCCGCCGAATCTGCCTGTCCTGCCGAGTCTGACCTCCTTTCACCCTCTCCCTCCCGCACAATGGCCTCCGCAATCGAGAACGGCCATGCCACCCCCTCCGCCGCCGAAGCGGCCAAACAGCGCAGACAACTCCACCACCACGCTGATGTCGTGATCATCGGCGCGGGCATCCTGGGATGCGCACTTGCAGTGACACTAGGCAAGCAGGGGCGCAGCGTCCTGCTGCTGGAGAACTCCATGAAGGAACCCGACCGCATCGTGGGTGAATTGCTACAACCGGGAGGTGTTCAGGCTCTGGAGAAGCTGGGTCTCGCCGACTGTCTCGAGGACATCGATGCGATCCAGGTTGACGGATACTACGTGTCGTATTTCGGAAAGCCCGTCTCGTTCGCGTACCCCAAGGCCTCCCCCTCGTCGCCTCCCCCGCAAGGCCGCTGCTTCCACCATGGCCGCTTCGTCATGAAGCTGCGTGCGGCCGCGCTGGCCTGTCCCAACGTCACGGTCGTCGAGACCAAGGTTACGGACCTGGTCACCTCCTCGCACACCAAGCAGGTTCTCGGAGTCGAGTGCATGACCAAGGACAAGAAGGACTGCTACTTTGGCCACCAGACGGTTGTGGCCGACGGCTACGCCTCCAAGTTCCGCAAACAATACCACACCAACACCCCCAAGGTCAAGTCCCGGTTCTGGGGCTTGGAATTGATCGATGCCGACATGCCCAAGAAGTACTACGGCCATGTCCTCCTCAGCGACAACTCCCCCATCCTCATCTACCAGATCGGCACCCACGAAACCCGCATCCTTATCGACATCCCCGAGAACCTCCCGTCGGCCTCCGTCAAGAACGGCGGCGTCAAAGGACACCTTCACAATGTCGTCCTACCGTCTCTCCCCGAGTCGATCAAGCCGTCCTTCGCCGCGGCGCTGGAAAAGGGCCAGCTGCGCTCCATGCCCAACTCGTACCTCCCCAGCGCGGCGAACAAGACCGCCGGTCTGATCATCCTCGGTGATGCCCTCAACATGCGGCATCCACTGACTGGCGGCGGCATGACCGTCGCTTTCAACGACGTTGTGGTTCTGCGCGACCTGCTGAGTCCGGAGAAGGTCCCCAGCTTCGCCGACCACGACAAGGTTCTGTCCCAGCTGTCCTCCTTCCACTGGCAACGAAAGAAGGCATCCTCGGTCATCAACATCCTGGCCCAGGCCCTCTACGCTCTGTTTGCTGCCAATGGTTCGTACCCTCCCTCCCCTCCCTTCCCCTTGCATCCCCACCCACTAACCCTCCCAACAGACGAGAACCTCCGTGCCCTCCAACGAGGCTGCTTCCGCTACTTCGAACTCGGAATGACCGCCGGCCCCGTCGGTCTCCTGGGCGGTCTGGTGCAAAAGCCCGCCGTCCTGTTCTGGCACTTCTTCAGCGTCGCTTTCCTCTCCCTGTGGCTCGTCATCGCCAACTCCCCCATCTACAAGCTCCCCGTAGCCCTGTTCCAATGCATCACGGTCTTCTGGACCGCCTGCGTCGTCATCTTCCCCTACATGCTGATAGAAGCCTTCTGCTAATTGGCCCTGGCTCAACCTCACCCCTTCCAAACAAACTGCCACCACCACCACCACCACCCATTCACCCACCTTTTTATTCCCTGTCATGCCATATCATGCCATATTACTCCACCCTGTCATACTCATACTCATACTCATACATCTTAATGGACCCCTCACCCCACCTCCAAGACGGTGGATCATCACTCCATCTATCTATCTATATAACGCGCATGCACGTTCCATAACGGAGAGCCATGACCACCACCACCATCATCACATACATACTTACATGCATACATACATATTACATGTCATATCCATCCACCGCCTTTACCATTACTCATGTACTACCATTCACCCTCCATCGTCATCCTTATTATTACTTTTACTTTATTTTTGCTTTACTTTTTAAACTTCTCGTCAAATACTTCTTTTCTCTTCTTTATCCTAATCCTTTCCTTCTATCCTGTCGGGCTTTTTTATACTTCATACTGTGTAATATTAGATCGCATTCTACTTTATGTCATACTTCTATCTATCTATCTATCTACCTATCTGTAATTTTCTGTCTTATTAGCTTTTTTTGTCTGTATTGTTGTTTGTGGTCTTTTATATTGTATTGTATATTGTATACTTTTTGGTAGGTGGGTAGGTGGGTAGGTAGGTAGGTAGGAATAGGAATTGCATTGCATACATAACATAGTAGCATAGCATAGCATGCATCCATCAATCCATCCATTTGTCCGTCCGTCCGTTCATCCGTCCGTCCAATCTATGGATGTATATATGTATATATGGATGTATGGATGTATGGATGTATGGATGTATGGATGTATGGATGTATGTAAGTGCTTGGTCTAGTAGCTTTGTACCTACGTAGATACTAGAAACTACCTATACAGCCTACTGTCTACAACGTACCATCCACACAACCTACACAACCTACACAACCTACACAACTAGTTCCAGGATACCCTTATTCCATCCAATACACAATATCCAATACACAATATCCAATACACAATATCCAATACACAATATCCAATATCCAATATCCAATATCCAATATCCAATATCCAATATCCAATAGGGAGAAGAAAAAAAACGGAACCACCCCAAAGTCTGTTTTAAATCTTTTTTTCATTGTTATTCTTGTTTCCATAAAGGTCTTCTAGCCTATGTAAATTCCAAAGTCTACATCTCATCTCATCCCATCCCATCCTCACCATAGTCCATCGACCCGCAAATTTCAACCAACCTCAACACCCCAAAACCCACAACCAGCCCCAACCGCAACCCATAACAAGTCGCAACCACAACGCCGACGGACATGATATGATATGTAACAAGGCAATGAACAGATATCTTTCAGAAGAGACACACAGAGACACATACAAAAACAACAAGTACACAAACAAACAAGCATGCATGCATGCATGCGAAGATGAGAAACAACAAAAGATGACATAACCCACTCGCCTGGCACCCTGCTATGATGGTATATTGACAATGATGATGATGATAATAATGATATGATGACGATGACGATGACGATGACGGTGACGGTGACGGTGATCATGCTGTTTTGATATAATCCTCAAAAATGCAGAGTCAGCAAAAACAAAGCAACAAAACGAGGGCCAACCAGGCCGGCCGTCTCCCTCGAACTCGAACTCGAACTCGTCTCCGATATGTATAATAGTAGTAGTGACACATGTCCAGACCATTTCTTTGGCTGACGTCTTCTGATTCGGATGCTTCCGTGGACTTTTTTCATTTGGTCTGTTTTGTTCTCTTTTTGTTCTTCTCATCTGGTCTTTTTTTCTGGGCCGAATGTTCTTCGTGCTTTTGGCCATTTTCCGTGAAGCGCAACTGCATGAAGCAAGGAGTGGATAGCAGGCCCGTATACAACACAAGCGGACACAACCGAGGAAATAAGACTCAACCACAACCCCAATCTTAGAGCCTAACTCCAAAGAACCACAGGAAGGTTTGAAACCACAGCACATCAGGTGAAAACAATATAGGACGGGCACATATGCCATATGCAATTCACGCAAACAACCCGTGATACCCAGCCAGGCCCCCTGGCTTGCCAATTTTCCGTTATTTAACCCTGCAAAACGCCAATATTGAACATGAGAAGAGGGAAAGGAAAAGTGTCATATACTTCCATGAATGTAGCAAAACAAGTGTGACCGAAATCATGTCATCTGCAAAGAGGACGCCGCCTCATTTATACAGTACCGAAGGACGCCCCTTCGGTCCGTCTTTGGTACAACTTCAACTTTCGAGAAGTGAAGTATCATGTTGAATTTTTTTTTTCTTTGGAGCCGGCTGTACAAAGGCCATGCGGGCCGTAGACTTTCCGGTCGGTATAGGTGCTTAACGCAAATCTGACTCGGCCAAAGACGAAGATGGCGCGGAGGAATTCTTTCACTTCGGACAGAGTGATGACACGGCTTGACACAGTCCAACGAGGTGCGAGTCGTAATGAATCCGCCTGCCTTCATAAACAGAACCTAAGCAGGCAATGGAGAATACCTATAAAAACACGTCATGCAACACAAATTAGCCACCCTTTCGGAGTGACTCGTCGGCCGGTAGTGGCTCTGCGCCGCTGTGCAGGCCATATCTGTGCTCTGTTGAATGCTTTGCACTTTTTCTTGGCTTCTTCTTGGTTGTCTGCCAACCGCTGCTGGAATGAGCACTGGCAGAGTCATGCGTCGAGTTCACACCATTGGACTTTCGAGATTGAGGACCAGCGCCGCGTTTCTCGGTATCATGTGCCCCCGATGATTGGTTGTGGCTCTTGGGCTTGCTCTTATGCGTTGTGCCGTTGACTCTATCAGATGGGTCCACGCCGTTAGGTCGTCGTTTCCCGGTGGATGATGGTGGGTGTGGATCGGATGGCGTCAATGGCCCGGTATTCGACGCTCCCTTTTCCATGACGTTCACCTGCCTTGAGCGGGAGCTTTCTTTGTCTGCAGACACATGGTGGGTTTGTGGCGGTCTTGGCTTCTCGAATCCGCTCTTCGACAAAGGTTCCGACGCCTTCTCGGTGTTTGATAGATGAAGGCTCTGGAGGCGACTAGAAAGCAAGCTGTGCTTCCCACCGTTCCCGTTGACAAAGACGTCTGCTGACTTACCCGTGGGATAAGCATCAATACCCTGTCGACCAAAGTAAGGTGTCGGGTCAATCTCAGCAGACCCGTTCTCTTGGTAGTCCTGCGAAAAGGAATCAGAGACACTGGCGGGTGTATCCATGTTCAGGTCATCCGAAGTCGAAGGACAGTGGCTCATGGTGTACGGATCATAACCCTCGGCCGATACCGACAGACGCGGCTCGCTAGGGGTAGGGGGCACGGAGCCGTCGACGATTAACGGACCGCCACGGTCACCAGATGCGGCAGATCGAGAGGCCGTGCGATGCGTATATACCGGTTTTGCTGGCAGGGCCGTGCCATAATCCGAGACCTGACCAGTAGCTTCAGCAGGCGGTACTGTTGACATGTACGGTAGGATGCCGCCGTTCTGCATTGCTAACCCGATCGGGGACGACAGTGAAGACAACAAGGCATTCTGATGATACGTCTGCAGCTGCGGAGACGTCGCAAGATAGTATCCCATATACTCGTTCGTTCGACCTTCATCGAAGTACGTGGAGCGAGACACATTCGGCAGGCTACTCGGCATGAAGGTATTGTCCTCCTCGCTCTGCGTACCGTCAGGCGAAGCCGACGTCCGACGAGCTTTCGACATCGGAGAGCCATCTGTCGGTTGAGAGATGGAGTACAGTGGAGCAAAACTTGGAAGGGAATTTACCGTCCGCGCCGGTTGCGAATGTGCCCGGAGTGACCCGCCCGGAGACCCATTCGCAACGGACGATCGGCGGGGGCTGCGCCTGAAATCCGGCATGGTAGCGGCGGCTGATGGCGACGGCGGATTCGTAGTGCTTCCTTGGGTGCCGGGAGCAGCAACCGAGAGATAAGGGCTGCTGTAGTAAACAGGCTGGCGGAGCGGGGCGCTGAGAGGGGGGTGGTTCACTGTCCCTGACCGAGATCGCGAGTTGTCGTCACCGGATGATTCCTGCTGAGGCATTGGGAATTGGATAAACGGTTGTCGGATGAGGACAGGGGGCGGTCTCCCTGTGAGTAGCGCCTGGTTTTGCAGCTGCGCCCGCAGTCCCTGCTCCTGGGCCTGGAGGTACTGAATCTGCTGGAAGAGATGGTCATGCAATAGGTACTGCGCGTGCTGGGCCTGCAAAGAGATCTCGGAGGGGGTTAGACCGTTGGGCTGTCGGAAGCTGTTCGACTTGTTCGGCGTATTCGATGTCCTGCGGCCATTGTTGTGTCCGCCGCGGCCGAACTGGTTCGAATGCCGCCCACCGCGGCCGCCGCCGCGGCCACCGCGGGATGGCGGCGGCGCTGCACTGATGACGGGTAGCGGCTGGGGAGGCGGCCTCTCCCATGAACGTTCTTCCTCGGCTGGGTACTCGTACTGTTCGCAGCAGTGCTCCAGGTTGCCTTCCGAGACCGCGGAGAATGCCCTGCGCAGCTCCATATGGACCCCTCGAAACGACGTATCATCTGCTGTGTTCCCCAGGTTGCGCATAGTGTTGAATGGCTCTTCTACACAAAGACGGTTGTGTTGCAGGTGCCAGCCTTTAGCCTCCTTTGTCAATAGCTTGCCCTCACGAACAGAAACCACGTGATTTTCGTAGTCGAGTTCATGGCCGTAGTATCGGAAAAACTGGAAAAATAGCTCTCCGAGGCTCTGCTTGTTCTTTTTCCCACACCCGACCAGAGAATCGAGATCATCGTCGAATGAACACACTATCCCATCCGCTGTCAACCTCTTCTTATGTGGGCGGGCCTGGAGACTCGGTAATATCGGCGGGTTCCGGGTTTGCAGGAAGTTGATGATCAAGCAGATCCACGTATAGGAGCTTAACGTGCCTCCACCACCTACATTCGAATTGTCAGTTAAGAGCACATACCCCCCCGAAACCATGTTTGGCACTTACCAGCATCATTCAGTATCCTCCGTTTCGTCCAATGTTTAACTAGCATGGCTAACGGTCGCACGCGTTCGTCCAATTCTACATATGTCCGGACCATCCGCGTATTTTCCAGTGCCATAGTGTTATTGACATTCATGTCGCACGCTAAACACAACTCCGGGTCCCAAATCTTTACAATGGGCACTTTCGCATTCGAGATACAAACGACCCGTTCCATACCATCTATTGCCATGAGCGTCAGCGATTCGTCAAAAAGGCAAAGTCAAAGAGTGCACTTACGCCTCGCCAAAGCCTCCGCTAGCAAACAGACATGTTCCAGCTCCTTATAGGTAGTCGTAATACATATGTCCACTATAATTCATGTCAGATCGCGCATATTCCCCCAGCCAACGGGTACTTACCGTCCGAGTCACTCGAGCAGAGCTTGTTCCCCGATGAACCAAAAACATGAGCCTTGATATTAGACCCCGGCCATTGGTCGTTGAAGAGTTTTTCCAGTTTGCGAACGAGTTGTCGCCGCCGATCGTCACTCTCCGCTGATGGTAGCAGTCGATCATATACCTCCCACATATCCGCACTAAGTCGTTTCTCCTCCTCCGGCTCCAGACGCTCCTTGAGACCCTCCTTCACCTCCGGTAGCAAGTCGGCACCAATGGAGTACGGGATCCGCCTTCGGGCCATGGCCATGGCGGTTTCGTATTTACAGCAGGAGAACTGTCTCCGCTGGGACGGGGGAAGGTGCGTAGACTCGGAGTGGGTGGATCGAGGGGAGGTATTTCCGTGAGGGGGCGAGGGTGATCGGGAGTGGAAGGAGATTTTCCGCGCATGTTGGTACGGCGTCGAGGGCAGGGAATTCGATTGCTGGGAGGTCAATGGCGGGCGATTCGCTGCCTCTGGAGACGTCTCTGTGGAGAGCTTCCACGGCATATTCGAGGCCTTCCGGGACCCTAGCGGTGACTGTTCACCTGGCATTGAAGGGATTTTAGCATTCCCATGAGCGTCTGAGATCATGTAGCGATTCCAACGTTGGTCGACCGAACAACGTTGGCCTCCAAGGAAGTTATAGATGGATGGTCCCGCGGCAATCGAACGCTAGGGTCGAAGTCCGTCTGAAATCCAACCTTGAGGGCGGGAGTCAGTCCGCCACCGGCGAGGGTATTGTCCGACCACGATCGTATGCACGGTGCGTTCCGGGAGGGAGGGGGAACAGCAGCGGCGGGCGAAACGAAAATCCGGGAAGGAGCAACGCAGGGGACTTGATGCAGAATCGGCCGGCGATGGGTCAGCAAAATTGTCTCGGGGCAGGAAAGACCTGGCAGTCGTCCGGAGGGGTGGGGGGGGGGGGAGGGCAGAGGCGCTCTTGACACAAGAGACTACCCGGACAAGCGATGAATGGTGTGTGAAGCAGGTCGGGGAAACAGGAGTGAAGGAAGGGTGCTCTTTCCTCCGCGTGGGAAGTTGGGGGAGGGAAGGGTGCGCTGAGTGGACAGTCCGGCGATCGTCAAACAGATAGCAGTGTTTTAAGGGGAGAGGGCGATAGACTCTAGCCGGGAAGGGCACACTGGAAAAACCACACAGGAAGAGCGGAGAAGCCGTGTCGGGGAATATGAACACCGTCGGGTTTTCTCCATGTACATAAAGGACCAGCCTGAGGGAGGGAAGGAGGAAGGAAGATAGCGCAAGATATATGGGAATTCCAACAGAATGCTGGGAAAGTCAATCAAGCCAGCGGCGCGGAGGGGAGGGAGCCTGGGAGGGGGGGGAGGAATCAATCGAGGCGAGGCGAGGCGATCGCCTTGAGGGTTGTGAGCCTGAGCCAGGGGGCCTTCAATCGCGGTCTCCAACGGCGGTAAGTGCCTTGGCCGGCGCCGCGGGTTATGCTTCCAAGCCCCGAGGGAACTATTCTCGCTCTATGGCAGATAGACCCCCTCCACCAAGGAGTTTGACGGCGCAGTAGCTGACTGACAGGGCGTTGCAACAAAGAAAAAGAAAATCCCCAAGAAAAAGAAAACAAGAAAAAAAAAAAAAAAAACAAAAAACAAAAAACAAAATAGATAATCCCCGTCGCAAGATCTATGTGCAGGAAACCACGGCGCAGGTAGGTGGAGAGGGAAGTTGGGTAAGTAGGAGAGAGGGAGGGGGAGAGAGAGAGAGAGAGGAAGGAAATCACAGAAGGAAAAGAAAAATAAAAGAATGCCGAGAATCAAGCAACCAACACGTTACTCACCTCAGACCAGGTAGTTACTTAGGAGAAGTTCACAATTAAGCCAGTCCCAAATAGATAGATGACAGGTAACCGGGTCAATTTCGTGGTGCTCAGAAGGGGAGATATGCAGTATAGGCAGAGAAAGTAATGTCGGAGCTATTGCTCTGTGCCGGAATAATTGCAGCTGGGGTGGCAGAAGGGGGGGGGGGGGGGGAGAGAAGAGGATCAATAGGGCAAGTGTCATCGACAGCTGCCGCGGCGATGTGCAGTAATTGCACTTTTTCTGATTCTTCGTCGGTTTCTTTGGTTTCTTTATTCCCCATCAGAAACCCACTTCCCATGCCTGAGGCACACCACGCATCCACCGCTGGAGGAGGGAAATAATAATGGGTGGGATTACCTGAGCGATTGTTATTATTAGTAGTGACTCCTGCTAGCAAACTGGGACTCCGCGACAGGCCCTCCGACACAGTATGATCCTGCTCATATCCATCTGAAACGGATGCATATTATTCACGAGACACTCGACCGAGTCCTGGTCTGCGATCACCGCCGCACCTACCGGTTCTCTGGTGCCTGCCTACGGAGCAGCACCCCGTAGGAAGGGAGGTCCAATGGAGTGGATGGAGTGGAGGATGGAAGGATGGAAGGAAGGAATAATTCTTAGCAGTTGACGTGCATTCTCCCGGCCTGCAGCATAATGCACTACAGTAAGTGAGTCCTGCGACTACTATCTAGTACTACTTAGTAGGCAGGTAGTACTTCTTATTCATCCCACTCCCCTCCCCTCCATTCATCCACCCATCCTCCTCCGTCGAGGTAGGACAAAGATTGGGGGGGCTACACCTTCACCTCGATCGCATTGAAGGGTGCAGCGTCCATCTCCCGTTCTTTGTGTTGGACGGGTACCCACGAGTAGATACGAGTAGGCTGGTCGGCCACTCGACGCCTCTGAGTCGCCAACAGCCCCCCGTTCGACGCCGCCGCCGTTGCTCCTGCCACTAAGAAACCGGGATGCCTTTCATTGTTCGTCCCCCTTTTTCTGCCCCGCGTTTCCCGTGCTCCTTGTCCGGGAGGGTTTCGACTGTCTATCTAGTCTGGTCATAGTGTCTCGGCCCTTGGTCAATGGTCCGGCCATAAGCTGCTGCATCCCTTCCTCATTCCCTCCTGCTAGATAGGCAGTGGCACTGGCTCTGGGCACGTGTGACCGACCCGACCCCCCCCCCCCCCCCCAAGTCGTTGCTCAATCAAATTCAGGCCCTGCTCTGGCCCACTTCCAGACAATACCGGAAACCCTCTTCTTCACAAACGGCCGCTGGTCCTACCATCGTCCTGAATCCGGAATCCCGGATGGTGTCGCATCCCCAAATCATGGTCTGGGGAGGCGATCATACCGGGAGGTGTTTGAGACTCCTACCTCCCTCCTCCCTTTTCACTTCACCCCAGAATAGTATACGGACTCGGACTCGGTCTCTCCGCCCAGAACCACTAGTCATGAGGAAGCCAGTCTTCCATGACTAAGGAGCCATGTGTCCCACTCCGGAAGTGCCGTTGGTCTTCGGCCCCAGTAAGTAGATACTTGTGATGTGCCGGGAGCAACTAGGGCGTTTATACGCCGCGCTCCGTATCCAACCGATCAACCATCGCTATACAGCGAAATCTTGCATCCTCACCACCCCGAAACAGCTCAAAATCTGACCCAACTACTTGGCAACTCCCCCCCCCCTCCCCATCTCCAAATTCCAGGAGATCCCCGATCCCTCTGCGCTACCGCTCCTAGACCTGTTCTAGAAGATGGGCGCTGGGCCTGAACGTCAAAGAACCATGGCCCACCCCGTAGGGCCATATTTTGTTTCAGGTGACAAAAACTGCATGCGGGTATTGAGATAGTGAAGACAGAAACAATGGAGGGGGCCAATAAGCCGCCGGCCGAGTTAAAGTCTGGCACATCCAAAGAATCGCTGCGCCGACCCCTTGACGCTTTGTTCCAGCCGGCGAATGAGATCTATCTGATCCAGTGAGTGCCTGGGGGAGGAGGCTATCGACAAACCTGCGCGATTAAACATTGCTCTGGAGTTGCATCTAAGTATACCAGGATTGGGTGTTCAGACAAGAACCCCAGAGTGGCGGAGCGCTTCGTCGACTCAGGTGCGAGTTAGGCCGTCGGGGTCCAACTTGGGCTGGCATGCAAGCAAGCCAACACAATCAGCCACAGAGGTCATCTTTCTGCAGAAGCGCGGCGGCAGCTGAGCGAGATGTAGTATGTACAGAGAATGTAACCGTGTATGTATGCCGCCTTGCACTAGTCCTGCAGCCGAGGAACTTCGTCCATCCGAGCCATTTGATATTCCAGATGCCATCCCACAAACAGGGACCTTGAAGCCAGAAGACACCGCCGCCGCCGTACGTCCTTATGGAGTAGGTTGGGTGACCCTCCGCTCCAGTTCATCGCCACTTGGAGACCACCACTTACCTGCCATTGATATTCAAGCCCTCATACATGGTTGACATGCTGATCCAAGCCACTGACAGTACGATGACGATGGGAGAAGCCATCTTGTGATTTGAGTGCGCCCCCAAGAGTGCAGGGAGGGGGGGCCCGAGTGTCATCATCCATGTTGAACTGGCCATGCCCCACCACCAAGTGTCTTGCGCCTGGCGGGACGGAGTATTTCTCCAATGTGTATTACTTAGACGCTGGTCAGGTCAATTGTGATAGCTAGCTACCTAGCTATCTGCAGTACATTACTCCATGGAGGGATGTACTATGTACATATGTGTACATAAGACCGAATGGGAGGGAAGGGGTCACGGAACGGGACGATCAAAAGGACCATAAGGACAAAGCCAACAATCAGGTGGTGTGGACGGTCTAGAAGGACATGCTACGCTGATTGAGATGACGATTGCAAGCCATGGAACGGCCGCCGTAACAAACAAACAGAATGGCGATAAATAATCACGATGCTAATTACCGTAGTGGCATTCCAAGACAGCTGCTTGTTGGCTCTGGGATTGATGGAAGGTGTGAGATGTGACCCGCAAGGAGAAGCCGACCACCGCACGCACTAGCCCGCCTCGGATGGGTTTAGCAGCATACCTCAGTGCTAATTTAATCCCCCCACGAGGGGGCCCGGCGATGCTTTTTTAACATGGTTCTGTCCGATTTCCGCTTGGTTCGATGGTTTCATTACTTATATTATCTGGTACTATCTATCTATCTATATCTACCGTCGTTATCAGTGGGAAAGCCAGCAACCATGATCATGATCGGTAGATAGTAAGGTAGGCCCTGCCCTGATCATAATTACCTTACCCCCGTATCATTCCCACCACCCCGATCTGAGTCGGTACCCGTACCATACCGGTATCGGTTCCATTCCAATAGTGGTACGATACACATGCTTCCTTCCTGGTCGGAGAGTCCAGAAAAAAAAAAGGGGAGTGAAGTTTATTATATGGTCTGTCACAGCGTCCCAGGTCTAGTTACAGTGCCTGGTCGAGATCAACATGTTGAGGCGAACCGGATGGTGCTACACCTGCGCGCATCGGGGACGGGCAATTCCCCTTCAGGAGTGACGGCCGGTGAGTGCAGAGTCTGAGAGTCTGAGAGTCTGAGAGACCTGATCATGGATGTCTTCAATTCAAACTTGTCCCGGACTCCAGCAGGGAGGAGAGGAGGAGGGTGGGACAGCTCTGCAAAAAAAGGTTGACGGGCCGACGCTAACAGAGGCATAGGATTACAAAGTTGATGCCCAGTGCTCCAATTTCCGGCTACCGGCTACGGCATTGGTAGCAGACGACTTGGAGGGGATAGCCATGGAAAACGCCATGGTGCATCTGACCATTGAGGATCACGCTGATGGTCCAGTACGTACGGAGTACTTACTTTACATCTCTCCGTTCGGAGGATGCTGGATAGGTGGTGGTGGTCAGCGGTAAGTTGATTTGGGATCAGATGTAGCCTCGGAACAGGACTCCGTTGTAGTGTTGTGATCATCGTCTCCCTCCGATCTTGATTGCTTCGTAGGTACGGAGTGCCTACGTATACTGTCTGTCTATCTACTACAGAGGATGAGGGATGATAGTCGTCAGCATGGTCTATCTACTCCGTGCTCCGATCCAAGTAATAGCATCCAAGCCCATCCATCCGACATGGGGGTGGTAGGTCGGTATCAGGACGGTCCTGACAGAACGTGGACTGCGTATGATACTCAGCGTACACCGGCAATACGGGTGGGCCCCCCTAACATTATCAGCGTCCGGGTAGGAACCTGTCAATGGAAGAAACAATCAATCCTATTCGAGATGGTCGAGGCATGTTCGAGTTTAAAGAAGAGCAATGACCGTGAACCCTCCTTGTCATTTTGAATTAAGCCCTATGACAATGCACACGACCCCCCCCCTTTTTTTTTCTTCCTTAGCGTTAAACGGCATGACAGACAAGAATAATAATAGAGTTGGGGGATTGAGACATTGTATGGAAAGGGTAAGTAAGAAAGGAAAAAAAAAAAAAAAAAAACCCCTCGGACCGGGAGGAACCTAGCGATTCAACAACCCGAATCTCCATCGCCAACCAGAACAACGCATGAGTATCCATCCGATGCCCACCCGGTCTAATTTTTCCCTTCTTTCCTTGGATGGAAATGGGGACTGGAGGGTTGTGTTGTGGATAGAACCTGTGAAAAAGGTGTGTGCGTGCTCTCCTGGGAGTGTTGTTCTGTGTCTTCACGCTGGTGGTTCAGGTTGTCTGGGACTCGACCTGCCCTGAATCGGAGGAATTATTGTCGACTGGGCTGGGAGGAGTCTCCAGTCTCCAGTCTCCAGGCTGACGGCGGTCCCGAAGCCTGCAGTTGATTAGTTGGTTGGTTAGTAACTGAGTAGTTAGTCAGGCCGTGGATTAGTGGTGAGTTGAGATAATAAATATTATTTTCATTATTATTCGTATTAGTGCTGGCCCGGCGGCCTCTCTGCCTCTCTCAGTCTCTGCCTTCTTATCCCCGGTCAAAAAAAAATCATAATCCACGCTTCCTCTCGCTTCCCTTCGCTGGCCCCCCTCTCCCACTCCCTCCCCTCTCTCTCCCCCCCCTCCCCCGGTCCTCCTCAATCTCCCTCGACGTCGCACCTCTGCTACCCGACCTCCTCGCCCGTTGCTCTTCTTCCCTTCCCTTCCCTTCCCTCCCTCTCCTCCTCCTCCCTCCTCTTCCCTGTCTTATTTCCCGCACCACCACCACCACCCTCCACCCCCCCCCCCCCACGCCTCCCTCCGGCACCCTTTTTATTCCCTCACGCCAGACTCTTCCGTCTGCCGTGCCTCAAGGGTGAGAAGTTGTTTGCTCAGTCCTCGTTCTGCCTCGTTCACTCGTGGTAGAGCTGTCCGGATTTCCTTTTGGGAGGGCTCTCGTTTGCTTAGGTAGGCTGATCTTCCCCATCCCCGAGGCATTCGTTGTTTTTCTTGTCCGCCCTCCACCACACACCACCACCACCACCACTACCACATCAACCCACCCCAAACACGCAAACACCCACCGCATCAATCAACTCGACGATACCATCGGTTTACGGTTACTCGATTCATGTCGATGTGTCGGATCAATGATTCCGCCGGATCCGCACCCCATTGCCGCGACGTGAGGAGGCCGAAAGGGAAAGGAGACCGAAAAAAAAAAGTTTGATACCTAAAAGAGTCAATTCGGGGAATCTAATAATAATTCCGATCGATGTCATCGCTGGCCGCCATCCGCCTGCATCTCCCTCCCGTGCGCTGACTCGGACACCTGGCCCGTTTATTTTCGGCCTCCACGTCGCTCCATCCGCCTTTTCCATTCTGTCAATGCCTCTTTGCTTTTGTTTCGGTCGAGAACGTGTGCTTATCCGTCACCTCCCAACAGGCCTCTCCTGATCGCTCCCGTACGGATCCAGCGTCCTTCCGAACCGTCCGTCCGCTCGTCCGTTGATTTTCGTCGTCAATATGGCATACTACGAGCCTCAGGGTTGGCAGGCGCCGTCCACCACGCGCCAGGCGTCTTGGGAACAACCGGTTCCCCCGTCGCGGTCAGGTATGGGATACTGTCCAATTGATATGCACTCCGGGGGTCTAGGTTGGCTGACTGGGGGGGTTTATAGGCTCCAGTTCCGTTTCCCAGCGTGAAGATGTGCCGGCCTTTTCCTCTCAGTTTGATGGTACGCCTGTTTTCCTCACCACCCCGTCCTTCCATCGGTTCGATCAGATTCCAGCGTGTGGGAATATACTAGTAGCTGGGTATTGCTAGCCCAGCTGGGATCTGTTGCTTGGCTGTGCAGCGAAATGGAGAGTTGATTGGGTGCTAACCGCGAACAGAGGTTGACCGTGCCATTGACAACCTTGTCAAGAGTGGGAAGCTGTGGGCCGCGCCACGGAGGGACTCCATGCCCATGATGATGGGCCGTCCCTACCCCGACTACGGTATGACACCGCATCTCAGCCGGTTGACGGCGACGAATTCTAAACCCTCGTGGCAGATCCCCGCGTGTCCGGCTCGATGTCCCAGCGTCACCACTCGATCAGCGAGTTCGATTCCCGGATGCACCCCCCGACCCCCAATGCGCCAGGCTTCTACGCCTCGCAGCGGTTCCAGGGTCGCCCCAATGAAGTAGAGCAGATGATGCAAGCGAAGCGTCGGATGGCAGCACAGCGTGAGAGGGAGCTCCGCAACTATCATCAGGAGCAACAGTACAACCGAAGTACGTGGTAGCATTTGTCTTTGGAGCCTTTCTGCACTTGCTTCTTTCTTTCTTCCCCAATATTCCCCATACATCTTTTGCCCACATGTATTCGTCGGCTTGTATATTACATTGGGACGTGATCCATCTCTGAACATGGTTTTAATTCTCTTCTTCTTCTCAAAGGCCTGCTTGCCGAAATGTCTGGAAACAAGTCCGATCGCTCGATCAGCCCGGCCGCCATGAGCGAGGAAAGCCGCCGCGACCTGCTCGCCCGCCAGCATAGGGCTTTGTACGGCAACGACAGTCCCGCGTTCTTCCCGCCCGCCGGTCTCACCGACGACGGCACGCGCTCCGAAAGCCAGGCCGGTGGCACGCCGACCTCCGCGAGCGGCGTTCGTGGGCCCTCTCCTCGCAGTGTTGACCCGTTCGGTCTGGCGCAGACCCCCGTCCAGGGTGCCACCGACGCCGTCGCCCAGGCGGCGGCCGGCGCAGCCTCGCTGCAGTCGCCGTCTCGCGCCAACAGCGCCTCCTCGCCCAACTCCGCCATCAACCCGGTCTTCGGCAAATATGACGGGACGGACCAGCCCGTGACCTCGACCTCGTCCCCCGGCGCGGACTCACCCTCCTCGCGACAGGCTCCGGCCAAGTCCATGGCTGGCCCAATCGGCTCCGTCCTGCCCATCGGGACCCGTCCCGTTCCGCAGGCGGGTGCCGGCCAGGCGTCCAACCCGGCCCTGAGCATGCGCTCCACGACCCCCCTGCCGTCTCCCCTGGGATTCGGTTTCACTCCGGGTGAGACCACCGGTGTCGAGCGTGCGGGTTCCGTGTCCAACCCTCCCACCTCGGCGGCGGCGGCTGCTGCCGCGGTCAAGGAGGCCTCTGGCGGCGTTGGCCTTGGCTGGGGCAACAGCAGCGGCGTGTGGGGATCGAAGAACGGACTCGGCGTGCAGGCGTCGGTCTGGGGCTGAATGACAGGCGGCGCTCATTGACTATTACAAAACATTCGTTCGACAGGTGTTCGCTTTACCGTGGCGTTCTGAGAGAGGGTTTCATTTTCTGAATCTACTGGGAAAAGAGCATGGTACATATTAGGAAGAGGTGGTGCAAGAATACGTCTTTTTTTTGTCTAGCGCGCCGTCACATGTGGACAGTTAATTTGGTACATGGTTGGTTTACTGACTAGGGGACTTTGGTTGGCCTGTTGGTTCTGGAGTCGGTATTCCCCTTTTGTGTGCTTGCATTCATCCTTCTTGGACACTGGCTCGTGGTTGTTTTTTGTGTTTGTTTCTTTCTTTTCCTCGGTTTGGTGCTGCATCTGTTTTTGTCCCTTTCTTTCTTTCTTTTCATTTTTCACCTGACACGACCGTCCACGGCCCGCCGGGTTGGGGGGATTGTATTTACTTTGGGAGAGTGTATGTCTCGGGGTCTTGTTTTCCCGCTCATCTAGGGGGGTTCCGGTGTTAATCTGTCATCGTTCGGGTCTGGATGTGATTTGGCCAAGCATGCGAATTTCGAGTTCACAGCAATGGGGTTTTTTTGGAGGGGTACGAAAAGGATCTGTTTTGTTTTGTTTTCTTTTTGTCTTGTTTCTGGAGGCATGGATGGGGACATCGGCAAAAAGAACATCGGGGAGCAGGCAAACATAAAAAGAGTTATCGGAGTCTGATCTGCTGAAGTTCTGGCTTGTCATGTTATTTACTAGGTTCTGGTCATACTATTTATTCTTCTTGGTCATCATCTTCTCCGTTTGATCAATTTTCTCCATTTGATAACCGTACCCACCCACCATGACAACATCTATCAACATACCACCACAAATCTGGTTGCATGCCCGTCCTGGATAATCTATTATATCTCCCCACCTACCTAAAAGCCCATAGTCCGTCCTATAATTACTCATCTCCGATCCCTTCCTGACTCTTACAGTGTATACATACCCAAACCCGATCCGGCCCTGCCCTCCCCGAAATTCTTCGGACTTGGTCAACATCACCCCGAAGTTAGACGGAAGTATATAAAGTCCTCAGCAGCGCCCCTACCATCACTGCCATCACTACCAGCAGGATCTAACTACTAGTACTTCAATCACTACTACTTCTATTCCTACTGCAGCTATCGACAAGCAACCAACCGATCAAGCTCAACCGAACAAAACACCTTCACTTCACTCCATCCAGATCCAAACCCAACCACCACCACCACCACCAAAATGCCCCCCCAACCAACCCCCATAACAATCCCCTCAACAACCCACCACCTCTCCGCGCACCTCTACCACCCAACCGCCACCGCCAAACCAACCAGGCCCCTCCCGGCCATAATAATCTCCCACCCCATGACCGGCATAAAAGAACAAACCAGCACGACCTACGCGCACTACCTGACCACCTCAGCCGGGGGCGAAGACGGGGACTCATGCGGATTCATAACCCTCACCTTCGACGCAGCGCACCAAGGCCTCAGCACGGGGTACCCGCGGGGCCTAGAAGACCCATGGCAGCGCATCGCGGACATCAAAGCGGCAGTGACCTACCTCTCGACCCTACCGTCTGTCGACCGGGCGCGGATCGGCGTCCTCGGGATCTGCGCGTCAGGAGGATACGTGTGCTCTGCCGCGGCGAGCGATATACGGATTCGGGCTGTGGCGACGGTGTCGGCCGCGTGCGTGGGCCGGATGGTGCGGTGCGGCGGGGTGCATGAGCATTTACAGGAACCGGATCAGGAGCAGGCGATGCGCGAGACGTTACTAGACGCTGCTGCGGCTTGGCGATCAAGAAATGCAAAGATGGTGATTGGAAGGGAACACGCACATGGGGGGGGGGGGGGGGAAGAGGAAGAACAACCCCCCCCCCCCGCATGATCATGCCCCTCGACAACCCCTCGTCCATGCCCCCGGGAACCGACCCGTTTGTCTGCGACGCGGCGCAGTACTACGGCACCGAGCGTGGGCGACACCCGCGCTCCGATCAACGAGTCCCCGCCGTCAGCTTTGATCTGATGGTCGCGTTCGATGCGTTTGCGTTTCAACGGTTGATTGCGCCGCGTCCGCTGCTGATGATTGCGGGGGATAGGGCGCAGACGTTGCATTTTAGTCGGGATGCGGTGGCCGCGGCGAGAGAACCGAAGGAGTTGCTTGTTGTTCAGGGCAGGAATCATTTCGATTTGTATGATGATTTGGAGGTGTCGGGGCCGGCGTTGGTGCGGTTTTTTGGGAGGGTTTTGTGAGAATTGCGTGGGTGGGAGGGGGGGTTTATATAAGGCTAGGAAGATGGTGTGGAGTAGTTAAATGATACCTAGGGGGGTTCTTGAGGTAGCTGTGGTCTTGGCTTCGGGGGGGAGGAGGAGGGATGAGGGAGGGTCGGTAGGATGGGTGGGAATGTGAGGTGGGGTTTCTACTTATCTATGTATGTATAGTGCCAGGAAATGATTTCTTGGTGATCTATATCAAATTGGATGATCTATTTAGCTCTAGGCATATTCGCTAGTTAGCATGCAGTCATTTGTCATCCGTTATCTATCAATCATGTATATGTATATTTCACCAGCAATAGGGCGCGGGCGCCGCCCTACGCACTCTCGCTTTGACTCTCACTCCCACCCTCACTCCCCCTTGGCAACATCGGATCACGCTCCGATCCCCCCCATCCATCCGTAGCCCGACTCTGGGACTCAATCTTCCTCCTCGCCGTAAACACCCCCGAGACACCACGCTCCTGGTATCTGCCCAGCCAAGGCTTTCTCGCTTCCCCCAACACCCGCCGTCCAACATAATAAATCAACTGACCGACCGTAATCAGCAAAAACGCAATCGGATACGCCCAATGCACCGTATACCGAAAGACAGCGATCCCGATCACCACGCCCCAGAAATTCATCGTCAGCATGGAGATATTGAAGAACGCGGCGGATGACAGCCGCAGCAGGAGCGGCGCCATGCAGTAGAAAAAGGCAAGACAGAATGTGTAGCCCACCAGGTAGACGGCGACGTGGCTGTTCCAAGTGGCGGTGTCGAAGGAGCTGCGGCCGAATATCCCTGCTTGGAGACCGTTGATGACGGTGCCGTAGAGGGCCATTTGGCCCAGTACTTCGTAGACGGGCGCGGTGCTGACGAGGAATTCCTCGGCGGTGTTGGCGAGGCCGTAGAATGTTGCGCCGAGGAGGGCGAAGATGTCGCCTTTGATTTGGTCGTTGTGCGAGGAGGATCGGTTCGGGTCGGTGGAGGTGTCACTGCCGGTGAGGTGGTCTGAGGCAATCAGCACCCCCATGCCGCCGATGCAGATTAGGATGCCGAGGACTTGGGTGTTGTGGTAGCGGACGCGTAGGAAGATGGAGGAGACGAGCACGACGACTGCAATGGCCCAGAAGTTGATCAGTTGGGCGCTGAGCATGGTTGTGTATCGGTATGCTAGCACGATGAAGTAGTTGCCCTCCACGTCGCAGAAGGATAGGAAGACGTCTGAGGAGGGGCATGGGTTAGACGGGAACGGAGACCATCATGGGGTAAGGGGGACTCACATTTCCAGCCGCGGTGGAGCACCATCTCGAGCCAGCCCTTGGTGCCATACCGGTATATAGTGTAGGGGGTGAATATGAGGTTGAGCAGTAAGTAGTTGAAGAAGGTCTGGAAGGCGGGGATCGAGGTGCCCTCGTTGGCGAGGAGCGTGCTGAAAGTGCTGCAGGCGGTGTTGGTGATCGCCAGGACCTGTCTGAAGGCGAGTGTTAGCCATTGTTTCATGCGAGAGCATGAGAGCTGCTGTACTCACCCAAGTAGCAGTGTTATAAAGAATTCCTTTGTCGTGAAGTATGCTAAGAAGCTGCCGCTTGTATCGCCTTGGTCTGGAGGGGTGTCTCGTGTAGAGTCACCGCTCCGGAAGCTATCACCCGTCACTGAAGGGTCCGGTCCCGGCGAGTGAGGAATGGGGGCATAGCTCGCGGAATTCGAGGACGGCCTCTGAGCGGTGCGAGCTTTGGCATCTGCCATTTCGATAACCTAGATAGCGGAGCTGAAGGCGCTGGTTGGAAAACCGCTGACCCTGATGGCCAGAGGCGGGGAGGGGAGCTTTCAACCTAGACGAGCGCAAAACTCCCAGAAGTCGCTCGTCTCAGGCGGGGAGAGATCCTCTCGAAGTTATTGGAGCAAACAGGCCATCCGGACGACAGCAAGGGACTGGCGATTGGGTGTGAAGCGGGGGGAGAAAAGAGGGCCTGGTCAGGCGGAACTTTGATGGATCGCAGCAGATTCGGCCAAGGGACCGAACCGCCATTCCGTCTCGTGGGGGGGCCGGCCAATGATACGCCGATCTGGCCCGGTCGCTGTCATTATGTAAGACATGGATCCGCCCGCCGGAGAAAGTGGGTCCGACGCTCGGGCCTGATCATGGATCATGTCACTGTCAGTCTCGAGGATTCCATCTGTCTGGGTAGAACTATATCGATCAGATATCTGGGTTGGTTCTACAAAAGCCGCAGTCAGGTACGGCGCAGATCTGCAAAAAGCAAAGGAGCTAACGCCATAATAGATCCTGGAATCCGAAACCTGGCACGGTCACTTTCCAGATTTTGGATACATATTCTAGTGCCTCTGCATGCTGCGCCGTCACTTGCCCTGATTATATCTAGTACCGGCGGCTATCTAGAAAGCTGAAACAGTAGGAAAGCCAGGGTCAGTATCTACATCTGCCTAGATCCAGGCAACCGTCCCCTTGGATGCCACCTGAAATCACATGGGTGCTGCCTCAGGCTGGCAGGCCTGTCTGATTAGCTTTGCGCCCGGATCCCCCCGATGATCTCATCGGCTCCGGCGATTGTTCTGGAAAGCCGGGGGTGAGAGAACAGCCGCCGGGTGCCCCATTCCATGCCTGGCTCGGTATGTTGTTTCGCAATGACCGTCCGTCTATTCTGGTCCCTCCCTCTCGGAGGTTGCCTGAGTCGTGTCAGTTTGCCAGTGAGGACAGTCCAGTAGGACCACAGCAGGCCAGGGCCAAGGGCCGTACTCCGTATACGTCGTGCAACCGTTGCCCTTCGGAGTAAACAGGGTGACCGCGTCGCACAGATCAGGCAGGTTTGGGTTTAGTTCGCGAGGTCGATGCCCAACATCGCGCTGCAGAACTTTGCATGGCGAGAAGAAACAGAGAGAGAAGAACCATCTGACTTGAATGCAATTGACCCGAGGTGAATCCCGGACAATGGGCAGACTTGGACCCTGGTCCGAGACAGCCCGCCCATCTCGTCCGCTCTAGCGGTGGTACCGTGGTGGTGAGGGCTTTGAAGGAGCAGTGATTGACATTAAGGTTCCATGGATACGTGGGGACGGGTTGATGATCCGGACAGGATTATCGCGATCCGACAAGACTTATAATTAGCAGTCCGAAAGGATGGCCGTGATGGGGGAGGGGGGGAGGGGGCTCCATTATTCTCTGCTATTACTATCCTTCAGAGCCAGAGTCGCCCTGTCTATACCGAGCCTCCTGAAGATAGAATGATGTAGCAGACCACCGGGCCAGGCCTTCCCCCTTCGCCCTTGCCAAAACCCCTGAAACCTCCCTACTAGCCCGCCAACCTTCAATTGACAGTCACCTTACATGCCAACCTTAAGTGCTGAGCTGCTGCTCTCCATCTATTCTTATCCCGGAGCAGCTCTGCGGGCGCACGTCATTCGCACCACAACCTGGGCCGGATCTGATGCGCTCCCCCTACGGTCGCTTCCCTGCAGAGTTCCGTATTGCATCCCCAGGCCTCCTTTCTTCAGTACCGTATGTATGTAGATAGATAGATAGATAGATATATACATAGATAGCTAGATAGATAGATAGATAGCTAGCCTGGTGACTCCCGCGCATCGCGGATCATGAACGATCAGCTAGCGTGGGCCGACTGAATCAGGATCTTCTGGGGGGGGGGGTCTGGTCTGTCTTTAATTATAGTTAGGGAAGCCGATCGATCTGGTGTCTCGATTCTCAACTCGACACCTTGATTCCCCGCGACCTCGGGCCAGTTCATAGCAGACATAGGCTTTCTTTTTCTGTTGGGGTGTGGTGGTGCGCGCCGTGTGGGTGCTTTTCTCCGGTCGCGTGTGTGCTGGTCGACCGTCTGTTGCGCGCCGGGCTCTTTCCCTTCTCTCGCCCAGCAAGCCCAGCAAGTCCAAGTCTAAACAACCAGAGCAAAGCACCGCAAGTCCAGCAAGCAAAACGAAAGCGAGAGAAAAAAAAAAAAAAAAAAAAAAAAAGAAAAAAAAAAAAACCAGCAGCAGCGCCGACCGCTGCCGAGGCCGTCAGGTGGCCCCGGCCCCGAAGACTCCCTCAGGATCACCATTCATCATCTGTTCGCTGCTTGGGAGCAGCGCAGCAGCTCCCAGCACTCAGCACTCAGCACTCAGCATCTCCTCCTCCTCCTCCTCCACCTCCATTGTTCCCTCCCCTCCGTCGTCATCCTCCCGTCGTCCCTTTTCCCCTTCCCTTTCTTTTTACATCATCTCCCCTTCCCACTCCCAAACCTTTCCCCTTCCCACCCATCCCCCCCCTCCTCCCTCCTCCCCCCCCTTGACCTTTTTTTACGTTTCCCTTTGTTCCCCACTCCCACCCTTTCCGCCCACCCCCTCGTCCAATCTGGACCAGGCTGCGGACCGTCTTATCATTCCGCTACTTGGGGCTCTCCTCGCGCCGGTGCGCTCGTTCCTGAGTTGTCCCGGAGTGACGAGACGCCACCTCTCCGTACTCCCGGACCATGGCGTTGGAGGTGCAACCGCCCAGCGATCGCAAGCGGGTGAAAGTTTACGAACTCAGAGATAATGACTGGTTTGATCGTGGGACGGGTTTCTGCACCGGGCAGATCCTAGACGTGAGTGATCCTCGCCACCAGCCTGCTGCCGCGCGCGACCAGCATCGCCGCTCGTCGGGCGCAAACGTTGCGGCGTTCAGGCGCGCTCCCCCAGGCCTGCTCGTCGTCGCTAACCACCGTCACCTTCCCTCGCACAGGATGAGCCGCGAATATTTGTCGAGTCGGAGGATGAGCCCAATCGGGTGCTCCTGGAGACGAAAATCTCCAAGGATGATGGCTATCAGAAGCAACAAGGTCCGCCCCTCGCGACTCCCCTCTGCAACTGCACGCATCGCCCTACGCATCTATGCTGACACGTCGGCAACTTGACTAGAAACCTTGATCGTATGGACGGAACCCAATGGGACGGACATGGCACTCAGTTTCCAGGAGGCGGAGGGGTGCGCCGTGATCTGGTAAGCCGCCGGCGTCGGACAGGCACACGCGACTCAAGCGATGGCTGGCTGACTGTTACGAAGGAACTTTGTCAACAATGTCCAGCAGCATCTTCTCAGTATGGCGCCAGGAGGTTAGCTTCCCTTCCCCGGTTTGACATGGTCCTGTCGTTTCCTTACTGACCCGGTCCCGTCCGATCGTCCAGAAGATGCACTATCGGACGACATCGACTACCAGCCGATCATTCTGCCTCCCGCCGAGCTCGGAAATCTGCCGGAGATTGACCACGTCATGAGAGCCGCCAGCATCACCCAGGCTGGGCGCGACGCGCTGTCGAAGTTCGTAATTCGGGAGGAATACATCCAGAAGCTGATCCCGTTGGTCACCGTGGCGGAGGATCTCGAGAGTCTCACCGATCTGCATCGCCTCTGCAATATAATGAAGTCGCTCATCCTTCTCAACGACAACACCATCATTGAGACCGTGGTCACCGATTCCATCATCATCGGAGTGGTCGGGGCATTGGAATGTGTGTAGTCCCTGGGATAGTCCATGGGAGTGTCGCTGACCGGTTCTAGATGATCCTGAGTTCCCGACTCACAAAGCCAACCACCGGATGTACCTCGCAGACCAGTCGCGCTACAAGGAAGTCGTGCCCATCAAGGATCCGCTGATCCGTCGCAAGATCCGTTGCACCTGGCGCTTGCAATACCTCAAGGATGTTGTTCTGGCCCGAATCTTGGATGACCCGACGTTCTCGGTCCTGAACTCCCTGATCTTCTTCAACCAGGTCGAGATTGTGAACCACATCCAGGCAAATGCTCCGTTCCTGAAGGAGCTCTTTACCGTCTTCGACCCGAGAAGTAACGACACGAAGCGCAAGGAAGACGCAGTCCAGTTCCTCCACCAATGCGCTGTGATCGCAAAGAATTTGCAGGCGCCGGCGCGTGCCAATCTTTTTGCGAACTTCATCAGCCACGGTCTTTTTGCGGTCATCGCCTTCGCTATCAAACACCCGAAGCCGGCTCTGCGCACGACGGGAATCGATATTCTGGTGTCACTTCTCGATCATGATCCCATTATGATGCGCGGGTATATGCTCAAAGCTGTCAACGAGAAGAAGACCCCCCTTACCGACACGCTGATTGACTTGCTGCACACGGAGCCCGACCTGGGGGTCAAGAACCAACTTGCAGACGCCGTGAAGGTGTTACTGGATCCGCAGGTCGCTGTGCAGGAGACCATGGGTCGGGCTGGGCCCGATCAATTTAAGCCGCGCACAATCCTCTCGGACGCGTTTGTCCAGAACCACTTTGATGAATCTGCGAGGAGGTTATTTTGGCCGCTGAAGCGGCTGGAACACCGTGACCATCGTCAGTTTTCCTTGCGTCGGAAGACTCCATTCTCCGCCATATGGCTTAACCCAGGCTGACCGCTTTATGATCTTTAGTTCAAAACCTTACGTTCCAGCAAGTAGCTTTGTTTTCGCATCTCGTTGATATCCTGTCGTTTTTCGTCCGTCAACAGCAACACAGAACCCGCAATGTCATTTTCAATGATTCCCTTGGTCGTCGGATTGAGCTCTTGCTCACGGTGCCCCATAAGCATCTCAAACTGAGTGAGTTCTGTCTGCAGGCCCACCGGTGTCGCTGATACTAACGCGTGCGGTCATTAGCTGCACTGAAATTCTTCCGCCAGTTGATTAATCTTCATGATACCTTCTACCAGGCCTTGCTGACCCACAGCAATGTATTTGGGAGTATTCTCGACGTGGTTTACGAGACCATGCCACGCGACAACCTACTCAATTCGGCTTGCCTCGAACTATTTGAATACATCAAACGGGAAACCGCAAAACCCCTCCTTGTGCACGTGGTGGAGAAGTACCGCGAACGGATCCATAATATTACCTATGTCAACACGTTCCAGAACTTGATCGACCGCTACGAGCATTTCCAGGGCTACGGTGTCGAGCCGGAACCCACTCTTTACTCGCAGGAAGAGGTGATCCCGGCGCGGAGGCTACAGGTCAACGGGCAGCGTTGGCAGGGGGTCAAAGAAATGGATCCCGCGGAGGAAGAGTATTTCAACACTTCCGACGATGAAGAGGAGGTAAGAGCTTGCTTCATCGTGGCCCCTTATGTGACAATGCTAACTGGATCTTAGTGGCAGCAGGAGACGAGGCAGAGTGTCGGGGTGCAAAACGGTGCGGCTTCGCCCGTTGTTAAACCTCTCGTTGACTATCCCGACGATGACGACGAAGACGATGCCATGGATACTAAACCTGAACCCGGCGACGAGGGGCAAGGCCCAACACCCGATGGCGAAAGTCGCGACGCTTCCATTGATTCACCCGAGGATCCGTCCACACCCGTTTCGTCGACGAGGGGCCAAACGCCTCCCGAGCGGTTATCGGAGAAGCGCCGGCGCGAAGAAGAAGACGATGACGAGCTGATGAAACTCTCGTCCGGACCCAAACGACGAAGCTCGACGAGCAGCGGGCCCGGGAGTGCTGGGCCCCTGCGACGAAAGCGAAGTGTGTCGTTCGGCTCACTGTCCCCTAACGAGAAGGGCGGAAACACGACTACCAGCGCACCCCCCAGGAGAATAGCCATCAATCTCAGCTCGGCTACGATCAAAGGGACTGACACTGGCTCTACCGACTCGGCAACGGACAAGTCGAGTAGCGAGAAGGAAAACCGGGGCGACAACCACGGTGGTGAAGGTGGATGAATAATGCCACGCGTCTTGTCTTCATGCTGAGTCGAGAACAGTCGGTCTTTCTGCAAGCATCGTTCTCGTCTGTCAGAGTAACCTGTTCTTTGCCAGCTTGTTTTACGACAGCCTTCTAGATACCAGATGAAGTGATGTGATTTATTATTGTTTTGTGGACCGGACGTATTCTCCTGTACGATTCCCTTTCCGTTTCTCCCTGCATCTTTGCAACTTTGTCCTTTCCTTAGATATCATGTATTACGGGTTTTCAGATCAGACCTTCTTGTTTCGTTTTTCACCTTTGCCATCGGATCCGGGTGGTATGATGTACATCTACTGCGCATTCTCTGCTCTTCTTTTTTTTTTTTTTTTTTTTTTTTTTCTTTTCCCCTCTTTCTCTTCTTCTTGTACCGTTGGCCTCCGCCGGAGTTTCAGTGCTGTCGCGTTTTTCCGCATGGGACCGGGCGCATTCCCTCTACGTTCGTGGACGACCACGGGATTCGTTCACATGGAAGTGCTATTTTGCGTGGTGTCGACCAGTCGAACTCGGCATCCGGTATTGATTCGTCTGCGACAACTGATATGGCCTGAACAGTGTCTGCATCGTTTGACTGTATGGTTCGGGGAGCCTGGGTAGGCGGTAGGGGCGGAGTCGAGGTCGGAGGATAGGATAGGATATGTATGGGCTGGGTTGGGTTGGGTTGCATTCTTGAGGAGATATTGACTGCACATAGTTGACGCCGCAGTAACTGATGACTCTTCGACGTACTCGTTCTCCTAGTGTACTGTAGCTCATGACTATGGTTGCGGGAAACCAACCTGTCAGACCAGGGACGAAACCCGTAGCGGTCAAGTGCTAGTACTATATCTATATCTAAATAGATTATAGTTCAGGTCCGGCACGCGCGCGGAACCCCCACCGGCAATTCCGACCCGCTACTAGTTACGGAGTCCGCCAAGTTCAGTTCAGTTCAGTTCCAGCCGACCGGCTCCCGTTTCGCTGCCTGAATCCTTTCCCTGGATCTCGCAACTCAATTTAGTCTTTCGTATCGTACTTTTTATCTCTCTAACATCCGATTCAGGGGAATCTTCTTCTCTTCACAATGTCCCCCCTCCGCCCCCACATCACCCCAGACAGCTTCTTCCACACCATCCCCTCCCAACCCCAATCATCATCATCCCCCCCAACCCTCATCTACTTCATCTCCGGCAACCCGGGCCTCATCTCCTACTACACCCCCTTCCTCACCCTCCTCGCCGAGAACCTTAAACCTCTGACCGCTCCTGGTCCTGGCCCCTCCCACCAGTCTGATCCTGCTTCTGATTCTGATTCTCGGATCTTCCATATTCATGGACATAGTCTTGCGGGGTTTGAATTGTCTGACCGTGGTAATAATGATAGTAACAGCAGCAGCAGCACAGCAGGGGACCATTACCACAACCTAGAAGAGCAGATCTGCTTCGTGCAGAGAAAACTGAATGCTTTTGTTCGAGATATACCGCGTGAGGATAGTGGTTCGTCTCCGCCGAAACCGAATGTTATTCTGATAGGGCATTCGGTGGGGGGATATATTGCTATGGAGGTTATTAATCGGCATTTACATGGATATCGGCATCGGCAACCTCATGGTGAACAGGGCTCGATAATGACGCCTGATGGTGATGATGATAATGACGTGCAATTCAACATCACCGGCGGCGTGATGCTCTTCCCCACAGTCGTGGATATTGCCCTCTCGCCTTCGGGGAGGAAGTTGACTGTACGTTCCCATTACCATCTTACCATATTACTATATTACTATAGTATACCACCTACCCACCTCCTATATCCCCTTCTTCCCCGGACCTCAATAATCCCACGAGGACTACGTGCAGGAGGCAGCAACACCATTAATATATCCGATCAAATTGCCATACACATACACATCATACTCACAACCAACAGACCTTACTATCCCTCATCCCCAACCTCGCCCTCCTCGTCGCCTTCCTCGCCCGGATCCTGACTTCCCTCCTCCCGACCTCCATCCTCCGGCCCCTGGTCGCTTCTTTCACGGCCCATCCGCCCGATCATGCCCTTGACGCTACCTGTGCGTTTTTGGCGAGTAAGACTGGGGTTAGGCAGGCCTTGTACGTTCTTTCTTTCTTTTTTTCTTCTTTTTTTTTTTTTTTTGTTTATGGGGTTTGGCTTTCTTTTTTTTTTCCCCTCTTGGATTGCTTTATATACGATACTATCTTTGTTCTTCTATATGATCTGGTTATGGCTGGTACTGCTGCTGATAGAATGAGGGGGATAGGCATATGGCTGCTGACGAAATGAAAACTATCACGGCGGATGGATGGGCGGATGAAGTTTGGGGTGTTGGTTCTAAATCTGGATCTGGACCTGGATTTGGATCCGAGTCTGAGTCTGAGCCTGAGCCTGATGGAAAAGATTTACTGGACCCGCTACCGTTACCGCAACTCGCCTTCTACTTCGGGCGAAATGACCACTGGGTCGCTGAGGAGACGAGGGAGGAGATTCTCAAGGCTAGGGGTGGGGGTGCCACTGCCGCTGCTGCTGCCGGGGAGAAGAACGGCCCAAGTATGCTGGTCTGTGAGGAGGGGGTGCCGCATGCTTTTTGTTTGCGTGAGTTATTCCTTTTCTTTCTTTCTTTCTTTCTTTCTTTCTTTCTTTCTTTCTTTCTTTCTTTCTTTCTTTCTTTCTTTCTTCCTGGATTTATTTCGTTGCGAGGGGGGGTGGGATGGATGGATGGATGGATGGATGGATGGATGGATGGATGGATGGATGGATATATTGGGTTAAGCGTTTGATAGTGCTGGGTTGGGTTGTGCTAATATGTGTGGTTCGGGGATAGGTCATAGTGAGGTTATGGCGAGGAAGGTGGCTGGGTTGGTGGGAGGGATTGTGAGGGGGGGTTTGGATTGATTTGGATTGGTTTGGATGGGGGGTGGTGGGATGTATTATAGGCTGGATGGATTATGGAGTGATTAGATGGGGGATGGTGGGATGGATTATGGAGTGATTAGATGGTGGATGGTGGATGGTAGAGCATTAGATCGATAGACAGGGTAGTAGGGTATAGATAGATAGACTGGATGATAGGGTATAGACAGAAAGACTGGGCGATAGAGTAGGCTTAAGACTCATAGACTCATATATGATAAGGATGGATTCAACCAACTGCGTGATCATCAGATATCATGGGTATCTCTTAGCGGGACGGTACGCCACGCCAAGTATGCACATCTCGTGACGAAGATCAGCCAGGGAGACAGACAAAGAGCAAGTCCAGCTGCCAAGTGCCCCCCCGCAACACACTACTGACCTCCCTGGTACGCCAGCCCAGCCCTCCGAAACAGATCGCCCAACACATCCTGCTGCCGCTGTTGCGGCGGCGTCGGAGCCGGCCCCGCGCCAGCCATCCCCGGCGGCTGTGGCTGCTGCTGCTGCTGCTGCTGCCACTCGCCCGGCCCCAGCTGATGCGCCCTTGTCGTCCACCCATCGTCCTGCGCGCGCTGAACCCCAAACAGATCCTTGAGCGACACCTGTCGCCCCATGGGCACACTCTCCTGTACCTCCTCCAACGGCGCGGGGGTGACCGACGCCGCAGCCGCCGCAACATGCAGTCCATTCTGGCGCGACGCCTCCAACCGCTCCTTCGCGACCTTCATGCTCTCGCCCGCATGGCCCGCACACTCCCGGATCACCTGAGCGTTGATACTGCGCGCCTCGGCCGTCGAGTTCGGCGCCGGCTCCGAGTAGATCCACAGACCGTAGATGCGGATATCGCCTACTTTGCCGCTATTCCCATTACTGCTGCTGCCGTTGTTATTGGGGCTGGTGGTGGTGTTGTTATAGCCATTCGCGGCACCGGTACCGTCCGGATTGATGTCCGTTTTCAGGATGATGTATTCGTCCGTGATCTCGACATTCTCGGCGTCGGTGAGGGGGAGGTCGAAGTTAGTGAGGCCGCGGCGGTTGAGGACGAAGACGCTGTATCGGTCCTCGGAGAGGGGGCCCGGGGTGAGTTGGCAGACGAAAAGCGTGCCCTCGACGCCGTTCTTTTCCCATTGGCGCGTGGTCGGGCTGAAGAGGTAGACGACGGCGTATTGGGCGAGGGAGAGGATGGAGGTGACGGCGGGGTTGTGGCGGCGGAGGACGGCGAGGTTGAGTTCCTCGTTGGTGCGCAGGGGGGGCATCGATGATGGCGGTGGTTGGTGCGTGTCGGAGAGGTAGTTGGGATAGTCGGATTCGTAGTCGGAGGGTTGGTGGGCGAGGTGGTGACGCGGGTTCGGGTTCGGGCTGGCCTGGTAGCTGGCGACCGGGTGTGGACGAGGGCTGTTGGTGTTGCTGGGGTGGTTGTGGTTGTTTTGTCGTCGGGGTTTGCGGGAGGCCATTGTGGGGAGAGGTGAAGGGGAGATGGAGGGAGAGGTGTTGGTGAGGGAGTGAGGGAGTGAGGGAGTGAGTGAGTGAGTGAAGAGGGAATGCGGGATGAGCAACAGCAACCGGGCAGCTCCTCCGTTCGGGAAGCGGTCGGGACCCCGCGGTCTGGCCGGCCACAACTGCAACTGCTGCTGCTGCTGCTATTCCTACAACTGCTACTCCGTACCACTGCTACTCACCCCTCCAACCACTCGCTTTACTCTCGCAATCTTTCCACTGACCCGCTTAGACATCTGTTTTTCTTTCAGCAGGCGTCCCTGAGCCGTATCGTGGCTTTCCCCTCCCACTGCGTTCGCTGCCCTCGATCCTGGCGTCATACCATCGAACACCTTTGCATCATCGATCGCTACCAAACGGCCTTTTCCCCAGCGTGTTCCGCATTCTCGCCAGTGCATGGGACACTTCGACTGGAGATCTAATTCCCTCACTAGCTGCAACATGCTCATCTCCTAATGGTCGCAATCGTCGCCTTACTTCCTGTCCGGTCCCTACCTCGTACCTTCGCGCCGCGTGACTGCCGCAGGTGAACTCTTAACCGCCGCCCGTCCTACAGCTCGGGACTATATATAACATTGAACTCTCCTCCGAACCTACAGTGGAATAAACCCCGAACCTATCCACTATGGCCCCCAAAACAGAACACCCCCCGGCGCAGTCGTCCCCTTCTAGTTCCTCCTCCACCGATACCGATACCCCAGATGCCTCGATCGACCCATCTTCGCTCCCGCAGGCCGTCAAGGCCAGAAAGACCGAATACACCCGCCAACAGTCGATCCGAATCAAGGTCGGCACCTGGAACGTGGCTGCCATCTCCGGCACCGAAGAGGACATTGGAAAGTGGTTTGTGCAACGGAAGGGGGTATGTGAAGAAATCTCCGGACTGCGGGTCTCCGACCTGCAGGATAGTGGCGTCCTGAAAGAGCGTGTGCTCAACAACGAGGACGCACTTCCGGAATTCGCGCCGGAAAAGATCGGCCTCTACGTTCTCGGGTTGCAGGAGATCGTGGACGTCTCGTCGCCCGCGGAGGCCTTGAGGCCCTACGTCGATCCGGCACCGTCGAACCGGTGGAAAGCGGCGGCTCAGAAGGCTCTCCCGCCGGGGTACCAGCTGGTGGCGGAGACTCAGCTCGTGGGTCTGCTGCAGTTGATCTATGCTGCGCCTTTCCTGGTCGACCAGGTGTCGTCTGTTAGCTGTGTCAGCGTGGGTACCGGCCTGCTGGGGTACATGGGCAACAAGGGGGCTGTTGCGACTCGACTGATGCTCGGCGAAACTACATGCCTGGCCTTTGTGAACTGCCACTTGGCGGCTGGTTCCGATAAAAACAGTTTGGAGCGGCGGAACTGGGACGCCTCGCAGATTATCTCTCGGGCCAAGTTTGATCCCATCGACCCCAATATAGCGCTCCGAGATGAGCCTACAGAGAGCATCGGGAAGGAGGACTTTGCTTTCTGGTTTGGGGACCTCAATTATCGGCTGGAGGACATCCCAGGGGACGATGTGCGCCGCGTCCTGGCCCGACATACGATCAACGAGTACGACAATGGGCACCCGTTTCAGCGTGACGTCCAAGATAGTACCGCATCTCCGCAGATTAAAGCTGCGGGGCCGACAGATACAAACAGTCACCCCCCAATGGTTTCGGACGAGACTGCCGACCCTCACACCGATCCAGCGTCTCTCCTAACCACTATATCGTCACTACTACCACACGACCAGCTTCTCCTGCAGCAGGAAAAGAAGAAGGCTTTTCACGAGGGCTGGCGCGAGGGCTCGATCACTTTCCTCCCCACATATAAATACGACGTGGGGAGTGTTGGCAGGTTTGATTCTAGTGAGAAAAACCGAGGGCCCAGCTGGTGTGATCGTATCCTCTACCGGTCTCGCCAGGATAAGCTCCGGTATGAGAGACTGGCGGAAGAGGCCGCAGAGGCCAGGAAGCGCGACGAGGATATGAAAGCTAGGGGTCTGGACAAGGCTGTCGCTGACGACAGCGTGTTGTTCGACTACGACCCGGACGTCGACGGGGCGGACAGCGACGAATACGATCCGGATAAAGATAGCGACGACGAGGCCTCCTTGGATTCCGACCCGGGTGCCGACGAGTCACTGCGGCTTGAATACTACGTATCGCACCAAGGAATCCTTTCCTCCGACCACAAGCCTCTAGCCGCCGGATTTACCTTGACACTAGAAACTGTGGACCCCCAGTTGAAAGCCAAGGTGCACCAGGAAGTGGTCCGGGAGCTGGACAAGGTGGAGAATGAGTCCCGACCAGGACTCACTGTCGTGGTGGATCATCACGGCAATCAGCCGACAAGCGGAGACCCCAACGCCGTGAACTTCGGCGATGTGCCTTTTGACGTGCCCGTCACTCGATCACTGACGGTTGCCAACACCAGCGGCGTGCCTGCAACCTTCACGCTGGAGAAGCCAGAACAAGACGTATCGAATCGGTTGCCCTCCTGGCTGGACTACCGGATTGATCCGCCTCACCGTCCTGATTCAGAGCCAGACCCGAAGCAGAAGCCCTCACATGAATGCACTCTGCATCCCGGGGAACTTGCCAACGTTGAGATCACAGCATATGTTCGGGACATTGAACTAACCCGTCTTCTGAATGGTGGACAATTGAGCCTGGAAGAAATTCTTGTCCTCCGAGTGACCAATGGTCGAGACCATTTCATCTCCGCGTATGGCAAATGGCTCCCCACGTGCTTTGGCCGCTCTTTAGAAGAACTCACCATCATGCCCGAGGCCGGTGCCAGAAACGTGACACCCGCTAAAGCACCAGCAGACCACCCGACCGCCCCCGGTGTGCCTCTATCGGCCCCTCGGGAGCTATTCCGACTGACTGAAGCCATCTCCGAGATGACCGAACGCGCCACTGCCGAGTGGAGCATGACCAGGCCCGAGTCCGAGGGAGAAGACACGCCGCCCTGGATCAAAGAGCCCTTCGGGTTCGGCTGGCCTTTCGAGCCCGAAACCTGGACCCTCCGAGACAAGGACGAGCGATCCCACCTCCTCGCCTCCGTCCGCGAAGCCCTCGACACCAACAAAGACTTCGCCTCCATCTTCGCCCCCGAAATCTCCTCTCTCCACCGCCTCGAAATCCTCAGCGAGACCCTCCTCGTCTTCCTCCAATCCCTCAAAGACGGCATCGTTACCGCCGCTGTCTGGCAAGACCTCGACCAGCAACTCCTCGCCCGCGAGAAGTCCAAGTCCCCCCCTCTCTCCTGGGAAGACGCCCAAGCCTGGGTCCTCGAAAGCCTCGCATTCTCGCCCGCTCACAGCGTCTCTTTCACCTTCGTCACTTTCATGCTCGCCCGCATCGCCAACGAAATCGCCCCCGCTTCCTCCATCCCCGCCCGCGGCCCATCCACCATCCTCTCCCCCTCCTCCAACCCCTCCTCCTCCTCCAACCCCCCTACCGACTCCACCAACACCCCCCAGAAACCCTCCGACGACCCGCCCCCGTCATCCTTCATCTCGGGAAACAGTCTCCGTCGCCGAACCCGTACCTTCGCCTCCTCCATCTCCTCCTCCAGCAACAGCAACAGCACCAGCACAGGCACGTCCGCCCCTCCCCCCATCAACCCCATGGCCATCCGTCGCCATGCCGTCGAAACCGCGCTCTCCGGCGTCTTCGCCTCCGTGCTCATCTCGCCCGACGTCCCCGTTCCCTCGAAGGATAAGGAGCGTCGCGCCTTAGATGATCGGAAGCGCAGCATCGTGGAGCCGTTTTTGAAGACCATTGGCGTGGATAATTTGGGGCCGTCGGGGGGTGTTTCTTGATTTATTCCTTCTTATATTTTTTTATATATATTGGGTTGTGGCGTGTTGTGGTCTGTTGGTGTGGGTGGCTTGTATAGTTGTATAGCTGTATAGTGGTTTTGTTTGTTAGGGGAATGGGAGGGGAGAGAGTAATTAGATTGATTGATTGCTGATTGTTAGTAGATAGAGGGGGTTTGGCCTGCTCTTGTATTTATTAGTGTTAGTGTTATATTTCGTCTTTGTGTGATGCGATGTGATGTCGAGTGAGTTGAGTGCAGGGGAGTGAGAGGAAGTGAGTGATTAAGGTTGGTTGTTAGCAGTGGCTGTTGGCTGGATTATGGACTACTATCATGATGTATTGTAGCCTGGTTGTGTTATATATATATAAAAAAAAGGCTATCTGCTCCGCTAGCCCGTGATTATTATTGATGTGATGTGATGTGATGTGATGTGATGCGATGAGGGTTGCCAATTTTACTTATTTGATAACGGTACCTAATATCTCACTTGTCTTACTAGGAGTAGTTGAATGGCATAAGAAAGAAAGGATTATTCATTGAAAGACTGTTATCAATCATTATTGTAAGTCGTGCGTGCAGCCACAGAGAGATATATATACTGTAATACGACCAATCCAATGCACCAGATATCCCTCCGATTGAGATCCAAAATAGTGACCCGCATGACATCCATTGTGATGGATTGAGCGCTTGTATCCTGTCCTGCCAAGACAAACAAAATTGTGATATGAGTAAATAGAGGGAAGCTCTATCTGGAACAACATAAAGGAATAACAACCAGCAACTGTGTCTGATGAGTTACCGTACCCGTACCCGAAACGTAAGTTGGGAAAGATACGTCATGGTGGACTCATCGCCGGGCTTCGAGGCTATATACAATGCGGTTATCGCTGGTTGTGAGTCAATTAGACTCTTGGATAGGGTTGAGTCCCCGCGGCGGATCGATCGCGTCTTCAGTTCGTTTGGACCGTTTCTGTGAGCGAGGGTTGTCTTGTACTGTTTTGCCCTTTGTATGGATAGATGACGGTGCCTCTTTCGAGAAGAAAGAAAGAAAAAGAGCTTTCAGATAATTCCGACAGGCCCCTGCCACCTGCATCGGGAGACAGACTGTGGATATGGTGAGTTGTATGGGGATCCACATAGCCGCCAAGAACCAGTCAACAAGGCCCCGCGGGCGTTGTGCACTTGTGTGATGAGCTGCTACCGCCAACGACAAAGCATCATGCATCTTGGTTTCCAGGGCCTGGAGGCGAGAATCCGTTTGGTAGGCGGAAACGGCGGTGCGCTTCTCGTAGCGTCGAACGGCGCGATTCAAGGCATCGATGTCTGACTGGAAGGCTTTGCGCACTTCCGTGATTGTTGACCGAGTGATCTCTCGATCCTGTGCGGAGGATCGAGCTTGAGGTTGATTGCTGGCTGAAAGTCGCGCCGCAGCTGTCTCTGCGACGTGGGCTTCGAGCTCCTCGAGCCGTTTCGCGAGATCGATGACTTTGCTTGCGTCCACCCTCTTCGTCTCGTCCTCAGAGGAGGAGACAACGATGCGCTGGAGGTGGAGGGTGCGTGCTTGTACCAGTTTGAGGAGATGAGACACAGGCCGAATCTCCGATGCTAGTAGGAAAATGGTTAGATTGTAGTTCGACACTAGCCCTTCGGATGGGCGCGATAGCTTGGATCGGATGGTGTGCAGGAGCCATGTCCCGATCAAGGGAAGTATAAAGCAGGATGCGAGAGCGGCAAGTTCGTGGAGTTGTAACTCTCGACTGGCGGCGACAGCAGCAGCATTCTCGGAGAAGTGCTGATTTTCAGGACCTGTTTCATGATCTTGGGGTTTCTGCGCAGATAGGTGATCCTCTGTTTCCGAGTCCAATGGCAGATCAGTGGCGTCAAAGTAGCTATCTGCTAAGCGGACGGCCTGTGCGGAGCGATACCAGTCCCTGACGATTACTGTTTAGCACGCGACCGGGCGGGGCAGATGGTGAGCTCCTACCATGGCAATCGGACAGACCAATTTAAGAAGATGGCTGCCAGTACCAGAAGCGTGACATCTGTAACTACAGCACTCCCGTTCTGGAAAAATATTCCGGCGATAGCAGGCAGCAGAGCAAGACCCAAGGGTGCAGAGTGCCAGTGCGATTCTTCATTTGTCGAGTGAACGTCATTGCTCTTGGCTGCACGTGGGAAAAGTATGTCGTCCGTGGATGACCGAATTGAGTTCCGGGCCTCAGAGACCGAGTCAGAGAAGTTGGAATTTCGACGTTGACCTGGGAAGTTGGTTGTACCCTCTGCAAAGGTTGCAGACCGGGCTGTTCCACGATGACGGAGATTCATGGAATCGGGGGGTCGACTGCGGGGGCTGCTGTCGTCAAGGGGAGAGGAGGGTGGCCGGGTAAGCTCTGGCATGGCACAGCAGGCGCGTGACAATGTTCCAGCCGGCTAAGAAGCACTCATACTATGATGGCCCGAATTTGAGATCTCGACCAGGGGAGACGAGGTTGAGAAATGAACTGAGGTGCGAGGAAGACAGCGTGAGGAATGGGGAGTGGGAGAGCGGCAGAATCGCCCTGCACGATAGGGTGCAGATCTTCCTTGCCCGCTGGAATCTGGAGGGATCCTGCTTGTCAAGCAGCCCGGGATGGTGCCGGCAGCGCAGGTTGGTGGTGGTGGAGTGCGATCCGTTGGCCGAATCCCAATGATCGCTCGGGCGCTATCCCTGCCAAGGGGCAAGGCCGTGCGGAGGAAGAACCCGTCGCAGTAATGACGACAGGGACCCACGGAATCTAGCCGGTCTGGTCGAGTCGACGTCAACTACTGCCTCCAGCCGTCTATCGAGATCCGGCACGACGCTTCTGGCCGGTCTTGTTCTCTATTGCGCAGGCGCGTAGGATCGACTGGCCCCTGAAATGGGATTCCAGACTGGGGACGGTTCGTTTTTCAGAATCTCGGGTCAAATGGTCTCTTCATTCTGGTGACACCCGCAAGTCTAGAACGTCGATCAGGCCTGGGGTAGACACGTATCGAGCCGAGAGAAAACCTGTCAACCAGTCTCCAGCTCGAGTCTGCTGTCTGGGGGTTTCTAGCCAGAGCCATGACGGATCAGACATCTTCTCTAGTTGAAGAACCGTAGGCGGAAGGGGCCTACCTTTTTGGACGTGGGAAATGAGTTATTCGACGGCTTCAAACATATGAAAGTAACACCAACTCGCTAGCTCTGAAGGGGATCGAAGATCTAGGGTTTGGATGGCTGGTTGGATGGGGAGGGAGAGAGAGGGAGGAGAGGAGGAAAGGAGGAAGCGAAGGGACGAGCGGCGGAGAGGCCGTGAAACCGCGGCGGCGGAGGGCAGGAGGCGCTGAGTCCTTTGACACCCAAAAGAGGATTAGCATCAGGAAGTGTACTTCTACTCCTACTCCTCCTCCTCCCTCCTGACTACCTTCAGGTAAAGTACCATTCACCACAGTAATCATAGTCCTTGGGGCCAGAAGCTGCCCGTCCCACTTCCCCTCCTCCTTCACTACTCCTTATTCAGACGCCGTGCTCTAACCATTGAGGCTAGCCTGCATGGTATACAGACATGTACACCAACATGACGATCATCACCCCCAGACGCCCCCACTCTGCAGGATGACTCGCCTGGCCCTCCTGCTGGGACCCGCTGCAGCACCTCCAAGCTGGCCACAAAAGGTCCCGGAAGTCACAGCACCCCTCGGTCCTTTTCAGAACTTTCTTATTCGGTACACCTGGGGTGACTACACGAGCACGAGCGTGTCTCAATTGGAGCCCCATCGAGACTCACCTTCACCTGCTGTCTTCAACTCTCTCTATTCTGAGGTTTCGTCCTCAATAAGCCATCACTGTTACTCTCATGACTCTGAGTTCCACCCCATGGCTCCGTGTTTTATATGGCCTGTTCCTACCAGAAGGATGATGTCGACTCATCATCCTTGATCGTCCTATGAACGTGTTCCCCCAGCTTGTGATCTGGCTATCGTGGCGAGAGAACTCGGCTTCGTCGACTAACACCCTCAACAAGAGCCGGAATGGCCTCAGCGGTGTATCCCGTTTACCCACAGGCGGTAGTCCTGCCAATTCTTTCCATCCTTTCCATCCTTTTGAGCATCGTTCCCCTGGCCCTGCACTGGAAAAACCGAAACTACCCTGCGAGCAGCCTCATCTGTTGGTACCTGATCCTCAACGTGTTCAATACCATCAACGCTCTGATCTGGCCAACGGATGATATTGCATCATGGTGGGATGGCAATGGACTCTGCGATTTGGAGACCAAGATCATGATTGGCAGCTACATTGCTATCCCTGGCACCTTGGTCTGTATCTTCCGCAACCTCGCCATCGTGCTGGATACCAGACGTGCGGCTCTTGTCCCTACCAGATCGCAGCGTTGGTGGAACCGTGGAATGGTTCTTCTATTCTGTGTGGTCGCCCCAGTCATTGCTATGATCACGAACTACGTCTACCAAGGGAAACGGTACCTCCTATTTGCCATTGCCGGCTGCATGAATGCCTACGATGAGAGCTGGGTGACCCTTGTGCTAGCAGAAATCTGGCCAATCATCATTTGTATCATTGCTGGATATTACTGTAGTACGTTGACCCATTACCTGAAATATATCCCCGGCCGTTCCAACCCAGAAGGCTAACCGCATCGCTAGTCCTCGTGTTGCATCGCCTCGGGAAATATCGAAGCCAGTTCGGCGAGATCCTCCAAGCGTCCAGCAGCAATCTGACCAAGTCGCGGTTCATGCGGCTGTTTCTGCTTGCCTTTCTCATGCAGTTGGCTATCATACCGGTGCAAACCTACGTGTTTTCCACAAATATCGCTCACACTCTGCCGTGGCATCCCTTTTCATGGACTGCCGTTCACGGTCCGGACTGGAATCACATCTTCAAGGTCCCTATGAAAGGCCAAGTCTTCTACGATCGCTGGATCCCAGTCTCGTCAGGGTACATGTTCTTCATCTTCTTCGGCAGCGGCAGAGACGCCTCGAAGATGTATCGTGCCGTCTTGCGGTTCTTGGGATTTGGCCGGTGCTTCAATCCTCTCAATTCGACCAGAGCCAACGACTCCTCCGCAACAGGATCCAGATCCACGGGTAGTCGCGCAAAGCTTCTATTCCATAAAAGATGGACCTCGACGGCAAGGTAAGCCTGCATAACGAACCCGACTTCCCTTGTTCTAGCCCTGACAAAGCCTTTCTAGGACACATATGGGCAACTCAGTCGACAGCACTCCCTCAGCTCGTAACTACCACGACATCGAAAAGGGCCCCACGTCTCGACCCAAACAATCACAGTGGACATCATGGTATCGACGACCCTGGCATCTGTTGAACCCACCCCCCTCTCTCAGCCACGAAAGGATAGTCCTCCAAAACATGCCCGAGCACTCCAACACCGTTTCCACAAACGCCTGGGCCGCAACGACGGTGAGTCGTGGGAGCAGCGACCTTGGCAACGCCACGCCTGCAGATGACCATATCCGGGTGAAGCAGGTCATCAGCCAAGAGAGCGAGCTGCATTTGTAATTTTGCCTATTTTTGCAGAGGGTCGACCGGTTAAGGCCGTGCGTGCAAGAAAGGACTTTCTGTCAGCTCAATTTAGTTCAATTAATTTAATACCTGATTTAATTCAATCCAATTCAACTTAAGATCGATGAGCCTAGCCTAAGTACCTAATCGAGCCAGCTCATTGCGCTAGCTACATTCTAGATAGTATGTAGGCGCTTCTTTCTCCAGCGAAGGTCGAAGCAGGAACTCTGCCGCGCGTCTGATACATACGGTATACCCAACCCAATCCCTCTTCAAAACTCGCATAAGCAATCACGCATGGTAAAAAAAAAAAACAACTCAACAACTAAAATAAAATAAAACAAAACACCACATCCGTATCCGAGGTAGATCAAGCCATCTATCTAGACAACGTCATTCCTCTCCAGGCCTGGCTTGGCTAGACTAGGCCAGACTGAAAAAAAAAAAAAAAAGAATAAAAAAAGATTGCCTCCACGCGGGATTGAACCACGGACCTCTTGATATCCTAAGATGATACAACTGGGGAAATGTTAGAGTAAGGACTTAGTAAGAAAGTTAATTGGGGTAATGACGTACGTCAAGCGCTCTACCACTGAGCTATAAAGGCGAATTATGTCCGTCTGGTTTCCACTTTGTGGATTTGGCTTTTGAGATTTTGGTTGGATTTGTTTACCTACGTAAAGGTCGGTTGTCTTTTCGATGGACGGATGGACAGAGTCTTTGTTCTTTGTTCTTTGTTCTTGTTTCTTGATTCTTAATTCTTAACTCGCAGTCTTTGTTAGTTGGTTGATCAGGTAACTTTAATCAATCTAATTCGAACGGATGGGTGTATCTTGCCTTTTACCTACGTACCTACCTACGTAGGTGGTAAAAAAAAGAAAAGAATAAACAAACAAACAAATCTCAACCCGCGTCCCAATGTTCTCTGTTCTCTGTTCTCTGACTATTGAAGTAGTAGTCGGACATTTCTTCGCGTATTGAATCGACGACAGCCCAACGTGCTACACCGCAACCCACGGAATGGCTAATTATAACTCCAAAAGGAAGATACTACCGAGTCGATCCCCGAAAGAGGACAACCAAAGTATACGAGTCAGCAGTTGCCCCGAAGCGGCGCTGGAGGCGACGTCTATTGGACACCGCAGATCAAAATCATCGTTAACATCCACGTTAACATCAATTTTAACGCAGGTTTGAGATTTGAGATTCAGTTGCACTACTTACGTCCTACTACTATTTATAGTATCGCGAGGAATAACAGGAATCGACCACCTCCCCCGAGGAAGCAGAAGTAATGGCACTTTGAAATTTAGATATAGATATAGATATAGATATAGATATAGATATACTTATACTTCTGCTTAACAAGACTCAATACTACAATACACGCGCCCCAACACCAAGATGATCGGGTAGGATAGAACAAGGGAAGGGGACATAAACATGAGATGGCTGAATGGAGACGTGCGGTGTTTCACCAAAAGTCGGACAAAGTAAGAAGCAGAAGAAGCAGGGTGATTTAAATGCAGCTCCCAAGGGAAGACGAAACTCCGAAACCGAGATACCGTTGTAAGCCTACACGACGGACACATAATCTAGCCACGCAGATGCGCGCGCACGCAAGTGCATGCTTCTTCTACCTAAACCCTTCCTGCAATGGTATGTTGCTTAGTTGGTGGGCTCGGACTCGGACTGGTTCTCGAGCGTGTTCTCGGGTCTGTAGGGTCTCTTGAGGATCTCGATGTGGCCTGTAGCGAGGAAGAAACGCGGGTTAGCGTTTCTGCAGTGGATGGGTGCTTGGGGAGGAGGGTTCATTTGTCCCCGGGGAAGGAGTGATGGGGGGGGGGGGGGGGCGGGGGAGGGTGTGGCTCACGCTGGACAAGGTTGAGGGTGGTAGTCTTTACGCCCTCGGCATTCTCGAACTGGCGCATGCTGGCGTCGCCCTCGAAGTAGACAAGGGTTCTGGAGGGTAGAAAACCAATGGTTAGAAATTGATGATCCCGGGGGGAGAGTAAATTCGAGATGTCTGAAGACTGAAGAGCTTGGCTTGAGACTTACCCCTTGCCCATGTTGAGGATGACGTCGCGCTGAGATCCGCTGGAGAAGCTCGTCACGCGGAAAAAGCTCGATTGGCGGTTGTCCTTGGAGCCGGTGTTGGTGGCCACGGTGTATTTGACGACTTCCGAGCCAGACGCGGTGGCGCGCAGCTCGGGCTCACTGGCAATACGGCCGGTGATGGTCATACGAGCAACGGAGCACGGCGTGGACGAGCTGAAAGAGCGGGCGGCACCGGAAGAGGCGCGCAGGCCGGGACGCAGAGCGGACAGAAAGGCAGACATTTTGGGGTGGATTGTGATAGGAGGATGGGGATACAGGGACTGGAATGGAATCGGCAACAGGGTGATGGGATGATGTGATGGGGAGAGGATTTGTTTCGATATGCCCGGAGCTCCAACTTTTCCCTGCCGCAACCCGGCAGCCCGGTCCTTCTCCGCCCGCGTCACGTGAAGGGGTAGCTTTAGGCAGTTACTCCGTACATACTCACTCTCCTCTCCACCACATCTCTCCTTCTTATCTTGCCACGACAAGCACACGGCCAAGTAACTTTCCTCGTACGGCGTCTATCTTCAAGCTGCATGCATATATCAATCATAGACTTTGAAGCATGGGAAATGTCTACCGAGCCAACCGCTCCAGCGCTCCAACGCAGCCGGCGCCTGTGAGACGTCAGATCCCAAACCCATCAAGCGAGCAGCAAGGGCACAGATCTTAGCTCCAACCTTCAGCACCGCATCTTTCTTAAGACCCAACCCAGCCACCAGCACTTCGGATTTCTTGTGAACTCGGCTCACCGCACCTAACGTGCGTCTCTTTATTGACATGTTCTGACAGGCATTGGAGGAGATCGAAAAGCTTCCGTCCGATGGTGTACGTACCTCCCGTGCTGCATGCCTCGGCCCTCGACACCGCTCGAACTTCAAGAAGAACTCTCTCCCAGACCTGCGTTCCCTCCCGGCCGCTAGCCTGTAGCGCAGCTTAATATAGCCATCGTCAGGATGAAGCTTGCATGCCTCCCAGGGCGCCGTGGCCGGATCATTCGGTAGCCGCGGAGAACCCCTGGAGACTCAGACCACGTCGGATATTAGACCAGCGTCGCGGTCCATTAGGAGCGCGCGATGGGTTTCTTCGTCCGAAGCCCCAATGGCTATTGTCCCCCCGGGTCTGAAGCGCGATAGGTTGAGAGCCATGCGAATGAAATTAGATGTGTCGCCTCCTGCAGCCGATCACACGAACGGCCTAACTATAGGCGGCTAGCAAGGCTAGTTCTGATCACCAATGGCGACGATCTGTGGTCGTATCGTTGCAAGGCAAGCTTCCTCCGTAGTCTTTGCTCTATTGGAAATCTTAATCCGGTCCGGCCACCACGACTAGACTATCTAGTTCTCCCTTTCCGCTCAATATGTCATAGCCCTGCATCGACAAAGCATGTCAACTCGGTGACCCGTCCTATTGAAATCTAGCCATCGCCCGCGTGCATTAATTATACGACTCCGTATCCCGTGGTTTGCCAACATCTGATAAAGCCTTGGCCTGGAATCTCGAACCGTAATGTTTGCCCTCTCTCACGCACGGCCCTGATATCGAAACCAGATCCAGGTGGCGCGTTTGGTGGCCGAGGGAAGTCGAGCAAACATCAGGATGATGGGATTGTTCCACCCGTCCGTTTTTCTTCAGCCGATGTTGTCGACACTTACAGGACTTCGCATGAAGTACCCCATGCTTCATAGGCGATGGAGTGTCAGGAGCTGCCTAGCTACAGGGGCGGATCCCTGCCAAATAATTTCATTTAGCATGCACGACCATGCGACAGATATTGCTTCTTTGGAGACACTGAGTGGACCAGCTCGCATCGGTCATGCAGCTAGCCCACCCTCACTATATTTCCCTGGGATTGTCGATGAAGCAGACCGTGACTATCTCACCGGAGTTACCTAGTTCCTAAATCTAGAAGAACGAGCATCGTTTTCGCGTCCCGTGCTGCATGCGAAGCTCAGTCTACCTTTTTTTTTCGAATTTATTTTTATTTTTATTTTTATTTTCTAGCTCCCTAACTTTCGCTCTTATCTTTCCCTTCCGTCTTCCTCCGTCCCCCTCATGGGATACATATAGGTGGTGGAAATGAAGCCGTGTGATTTATCACTTCGTTTGAATACGTACGCCACGTTTGTTGCGCCTTATTGCGTGTCTCGGATTGCTTGGTGCGAATACGCCGCTTCTTATAATAGCCCTGCGGCCTACATGGCGATTATGTGAAGAGCAGTCGTGGAAAAATTCGAAGCCAACATTTTGAAGTCTACTGCCCTCGTCGCGGCGCAGACATAGTTTGGCCAGGACTCGGCCGTTGGGCTGTGCTGACTCTCTTTTGCGGTCCCTCCCCTCGCACCTGCCACCATGCGATTGTTCCATTTGTTTGCTTTGGCCGGCTGCTTCGCGCCGGGCCTGTTTGTCTCCTCGGCGGGGATACCTCACCCCGAGCGCAATCAGCTAGCGGGCCTGGCAGCGCGAGAGACCGCTCCGACTTCCTCGACGGCCACAGAGACCTTTACGGATACGACCGGCGCCAGCGTGACGAGCCATGCGACAGCGAAATACGAGACAGAGAAAGGCAACGCAACGACAACCGCAAATGCCACTGCTTCCGCTGCGACCACCACGTCTCTGAGCACGTCACAAGCTTCCCAAGGCAAGTTGACCCCTGGAGGCTCATGGGTGTACCTGCACTTACTGACATCCTGAAGATGATAAGGGCCCGAAGCGCCCCGATGCTCTTCCAATCCAGCCCACCGTAACGCCTGCCCTAGGCTTCGGTGGCTTTATTCTCATTGTCGCGGGCCTCGTTCTTGCGCTAATCGGCATCCGCAACCTAAGGTGGGCTTCAAGCCCGACAGAATGTCGGAGATTTCGACTGACCAATAGTTTAGGGTCCAGGTTTTTCTATCCGTTGCATTCCTCACCAGTCTCGGAGTGATAGTAAGTTTCATGTCCTAGGTAGAGTCAAAATCCAGCGTCTGACAGTTTTAGGTTCTCATTGTCTATGTGATGAGCCCCCCAGTCCGGGTCGCTGTCCAGGGAGCCTATCTTGTGGCTGTCTTCTTCAGTGGAATCACGTTCGGTGCAGTTGCCCTTGTGTTCAAGGAGCTGACCGAGGGTCTCGGATGCCTGCTAGGCGGCTTTTGTACGAGCATGTGGTTGCTGTCTCTGAAGCCGGGAGGCCTCCTCACGGACACGGACTCCAAAAGCGGGTTCATCGGCGCGATCTCGCTGGTGTTTTATGCCCTGTCCTTCAGTCACCACACTCGTCCGTACGGGCTGATCGTTTCAACGGGCATTTCCGGCGGTACGGCTGTCGCATTGGGGATAGATTGCTTCAGTAGGGCCGGTTTGAAAGAATTCTGGCTCTACATCTGGGGTGAGCTGACTGCTTCCAAACACGCTTTGATACGACGTCCTAACTCAGGCCAGCACTCAACAACGATATTTTCCCTCTGGGCACCAAGAACTACCCCATCACACGCAATATCCGCGTGGAGCTTGCCGCCACGGTCATTATCGCGATCATGGGTGTAGTCTCCCAACTTAGGCTATGGAAGGTGGTTAGAGAGCGTAGACGCAAGGAGAAAGAGAAGCGCGAAGAAGAGCAAAGGAAGAAAGAGGAAGCCGAGGCCGAGGTTGGCCGCAGGATCGCAGAGCAGAACATGCAAGAGCGCAAGGAATGGGAAGCCAAATACGGCGTCAGGGATCCCCCGTCGGACGTTTCGGAGCTCGCAGATGACGCCAAGTGTCATGCAGACGAGATGGACGCAATGGAGAAGGGCGATGCCTGTGACATGAAAAGCATAGCCAGCTCTTCTGAAGGCTCCTACCGTTGCTCCGACTGTAGGGAACGAGAAGCGAATGGCGACGCGGATTCCGACGCCACTGGGGGTGCTGAAGGTGGCTGCGAACGGGATCAAGATGGCACCATCAAAGAGAGAACCGGCCACACCCCCGAGGAGTGCGGTGCCATGCCGCTCAAGGTCTTCGATGGCGCAGATGCAACCCGCATCAAGGACGACAAGGCCTCCGATATGACGGCCGTTATTGGCTCGGAGACTGCTACAATCCGCTCCAAGAGGTTTTCGGGAGCTTCTTTCATGAAGCGGCTCTCGAGGAGGAGCAGCGGTTTACCGTTGTCTCAGTCGCAGGAGGCTTTGGTTTCCGTGGATGATGCTTCTTCGTCTGTCGATGGTACCACGGATGAAGGACGCGATCTCGCTTCGGATTGCCATACCGTCCAGGGTGATAACCATGAGAGGACGAATGAGGTTCCGAAAGAAGGTGAACTCCAGCCGGCGGCTGTATCTCAGGGCAAGCAAGCATCTACGGCTGATGAGCTGAAGGGAGAAACCACTCAGATAGGCGACGGGCAGGCCCCAGCAGAGCCTGAAACGAGCGAGGCCAAGGCGGACGTCAAGCCAGAGCCACATAACGCCTCCCCGGAAGCAGCGTCGATTACTGCAACCCCGGCTGCTGGCGAAGATCCTGTCCTGGCCGGCGAACAAAAGATGGATAAAGGTAAAGCGACAATTCCCGTTACACAGGACGACGAGAAAAGTCAATCTCCAGAGGCATCGGAGAAGCCTGCAGCAGACGAGTTGAAGGATAGCAAGCACGATCAACCCCAATCAGATGACTCCGACAGAAAGATATCCAACTCGGACGGACAAGATGATCAACCCCCCGATGAAGCCAATCCACCACAAGCCCTATCTCAAGACGAAAAGGTCAAGCCTTCCAGGTCTCAGAACAAGCTTGACCCGAAGCCGCCAAAAGAAGAACCCACCAAGGAGCCCCCCAAACTGGACGAGGAGACGGTGAAACACCTTCCCCGACGGACCTCGAAAGTGGTACAGTCATACCGCACAAACGAGTGGGCAAAACATCTCGCCGACGCAGAGGCTCCTCAACTGGAACCCATCCTCCCCATCGAAGAAGAACAGCCCGAATACCCCCGGGAGGTCGAGGAAGCCGCCGTGCCCGTCAACGTCGAGGAGCTGCTGCAAACACCGCTGAACGCACAACCACCCCCAGCGGTGGAACCCCGTGAGCGAGACCCCCCAAGCCGACGCACCAGCCACCGGATATCCAGCGGCGGCGAGTCCCCCGGCAGCGGCGACCGACTAAAGAAGAAATCCTCCAACTCGCCCCCTCCCACCGCCCAACCCCGTCTCAGCACCGCCTTCACCATCGCCCCCGACCTCCCCGGCGAGGACCCCGGGTCCGACCCCCCCAAACCCCAATGGCGAGGCCCGCCCCCCCTCATCGCCGTCCGCGAAGACATGGTCCGGAACAGACTCTCCTCCTACTCCCTCACCCTGGACCCTTACTCCCGCTCCAGCCCAGGCCACCACTCCTCCTCCTCCCCAACACCAACCCAGACCCCTCACCCCCCCGACGAAGCAGACGACATGCCGCTTTCCCAGCGCCGCGCCCTGCTCTACCAGCAAAAACTCCATCCCCATCCCCAGCCCCAACCCCGCCACCCGCCCACCTCCCCCAACTCCCCACCGCAACCCCCGCCGCACCCCTTCCGGGCCCTCCCCACCAACACCCCCGCCGCCATGGCCGCCTGGCGCGAATCAATCCACGAAGACCTGAAGGACAAGCGGAATCCCCTCTCACCGAAGCAACATACCCATCAAACGCCCGCCGCTGCCAGGGGAAGTCCGCCCCCGCCCTACAGCCCGTCTCTGCGGAATGTCTCCGGAGGCGGAGGCGGAAATCCCACGGGTATCACGGAGACGCAGCGCGGGAATATGAGTGAGTTGCATCGCGAGGCAATGAGACGGATGCAGGCGCAGGCGAATAAGAATGTTAATGGGTTTTAAGAGACGGAGGAGGAAGATGGGATTAGATGGGAATAGAGTTATATTTGATAGGCTTGTCTTGAGTAGGTTGGGTAGGATACGATGGGTAGGTAGGGTAGGTAGTAATATCATAATATCATCATACTATCATATCATCATACCATCATACCATCATACGTATCATCCTATCGAGATCCAGGATCTTTGTCTGTTTGCGTATCTGTGTATCTCAAGCTCTACCTACTATACCTACTGTACCCAGATATCGGGGTTTAAAGATAGCGTGCGTAGCGTGGCATTCTGCATTGCTCACCACCACAACCACCACCACCACCACTACTACTACTACTACTACTACTACTACTACTACTACTACTACTACTACTACTAATACTACTACTCCTAGCTGTCGACTTCAATCCCCTGCATATATGGTAGGTAGGTAGGGAAGGTAAGGGAAGGTAAGGGAAGGCACACGGTAGTTATGATAGTACTTACTTACTTACTCACTTACTTAGCTCAATATACATATCTACAAGAAACCAGTCTCTACAACTCCAAAATCACTACCTAATACTTCCTACATCTCAGATCTCAGCCCACACTAGCAGACAAGAACCAAGAACCAAGGCGAAGAGCAAAAAGATGCAAAAACAATCACAGCCACAACGACATCGACATCAATATTGCATTACCAGCGCTATAGCGTTAAGAATAGAATAAAAGGGGCATACAAGCCCATCTATCTATCTATCTAGACAAGACTAGACTAGTCTTGCACTACCAGACGCGGACAGATCACCAGGAGCGAACGGACCAGCAGAATTAAATTTCATGAATGGACGACGTGGAAGAGAACGATACTTCTTTGTTTTCCTTTTTCTTCTCAGCGTTAGGATCACGGAGAGAGGAACGGAGCACTTCCTTTCCCTTGCCTTTAGTATCATCGGCAGCGTGAGAGGGCTTTACCCTCTCCCTGTCCTCGTTATGATCCACCAGGAAATATCGAGGAGTATCGACATGCCAGGCAAAGAATCCATCTCTGAAGAGAGGCCAAATACTACCCGCAATCGGATGAATCGAAGCATTCTGCTTTGCCTCTATATGATCGATAGGGGAGCCAAAGGCCCGATCCAGAGCGTATATATAGCGCGCAACCCGCTGAGTCATGCAGTAGATGGTGTCTCGACAACTCCACGGCCCGTCTTTTGTAAACGTTGATTTGCAGTTAGCACCTCGTCGTGCTGCCGTGAGGAGCATGACATAACTAGTGCCTTGTTTCGCAAGAATGTTGCTGGGATAGGAGAGGAGATCATGCAGCGTGCACGCAAATGCTTGGAACACGGGAACGTAAAAAATCCACTTGGGATAGGGACATGCGCGGTTTACAAGAGGCTCGAAGACGCCAGGCAGCATCGGCTGTGCGAAGAGAGTTGAAAGATGCGAGGCCAACTCCTTCGTCATATGAACCGGGGGGTTTGAATCATGTGGCAGAAAATCTGACCCATCGATGATCTCTTCAACAGGGATGGACTGAAGAGTTTCCAGCCAGCCTTCACGCACTCGGCTCCCCCGCTCAGGGTTACTGTAGGCGAAGAAATTAGCTGTGTGTTGAACAAAGCCGAACCACGGAGAATGCAAATCAATCGCAAAATCCTCTTTTCCCTTGTCCTCGCCCTTCTCCTCGGCCTTGTCTTCGCCCTTCTCCTCGGCCTTGTCTTCGGCCTTGTCTTCGGCCTTGTCTTCGGCCTTGTCTTCGGCCTTGTCTTCGGCCTTGTCTTCGGCCTTGTCTTCGGCCTTGTCTTCGGCCTTGTCTTCAGCCTTGTCTTCGGCCTTGTCTTCGGCCTTGTCTTCGGTCTTGTCTTCGGCCTTCACCTCGCCCTTCTCCTTAGCACTATCCTTCCTCTTGACAACAAGGCTTTTAACGTTGTCGAACGGACGCTTTATGTTCTTGAACGATTTGCGTAAGGAGCCCTTGGCTATAGCCTTAGCCTCATTTCCCGACGTAATGGGCTCATTGGTCTTAGGCTCAACCTTGGGCGCACTGGTCTCAGGCGTATCCTTGGACTTATCAGCCGTAGTCTCATTCGCAGGCTCGATTTCCTCAGTGAACTTAGACTCAACCTTGGGCGCACTGGCCTCAGGTATATCCTCGGACTCACTAGCCCTCTCAGACGCAACGACCTCAAGCTTATCAATAGACTGATCGATCTTAGACTCAACATTGGACACACTAGTCTGAGACGTATCCTTGGACGCACTGGTCTGAGGCGTATTCTTAGACGCACCGGTCTCAGGCGTGGTCATTGACTCAGGCGTATCGCCAACGATTTCGGCAAGCAGTGTCTCATCCTTTTCATCAAACCTCTCAAGGACCCGACGCCGTATTTCGAGAAGCGGATACAAGAAGCGTCTTGTATTATCCCGGGAGCCCCAGACATAGAACCAGAGTGCAGCCTGGACCATGGCGAACTTTTCTTCGCAGCACATTAGCGGATGGCAATACTCGACGAATCTGGCGGCATCCTCTGAGAACTCCGATGGATCGACATCTTCCGCATAGTCGGGCAGGCCTGGGTACGAGGCCTCCGCCAAGTTTTCCAGGAGATTGCGAAGATAGCGGTCCTTGCCTTGCGGAAGGTAGTTTAAGGTGGTTCTCTGGTGAAGTTTCTTGACCAGATGTTTAATCTGGTCAGCAATGACTGTCCGCCTTTGGTCACTGAGATCAGCCTCATCGTGGTAATTTAGGCAGTCGTATTCGCTTCTTGACATCACCTCGTGGAGGTCGTTGAAGTCGTCCATGGTGATGGAATAGGAGAGACGATGGAATGATGGACGTGGTGTTGGTGTGTGTATGTAGGGTATTGCTCGCTGGATGAGGCCGGGTTCCCTGATGCTGGGACAACTGGTACTGGGTTGACTGCCGCACGATTGACGATGCTGGATTGAGGAGCGCTGGATCGACAGACGCTGGATTGACAGGTGCTGAATCAACCGATGATAGTCAACTGACCCTGGATAGGCAGAGATTGCCTTGATCAAGGCTGGGGTAAATAATAGTAGATTGACTAATGTGTGTGAACGAATTTGTAATAACTGACGATAACAAGTAAGCGTGTTGTAGCAGGAAGATGATAACTAACGATAACAAGTTGATGTGTTGTAGCAGGCAGAATCGAAGAAGATGGCCTCATTGGGGGGACTCCTTCGCATGCCCACAGCACCTGCCATCCTTCCCCCAGCCGTGTACGGCAGGAACCCTCGTCGAAAAGTGCTTTCCTGTTTCAAATTGCCCTGCGTGGTAGTTAGCGCCCTGGATGCGTAAGTAGTAGACTTTTTCCATTAGTATGGGGTAAAAAGAGTATAGAAAGATGATCAGATCCAAAACGTGACGCATGAAAATACGTCTCTATTCGTAATAACAAGACATCATGTACGCTCAGAAGCAATGTAACCCAAAGCTATCCATGACAAGACAGATCCAATCGTGCTTAATTAATTCCCCTGCATCCGTCGAAACCGCTCTTCGGCTGCCCGGGCACGGCGTTCTCTTTCTAGACGCATTCTCATCTCCGGCGTCATGCCGCGCATTTCCTCCTCTCGCTTTTCAGAGGCAGTCTTCTCGATAGCGCCCAGCGTTCGGCCGCCGGGTCTCCTGGAGCTCTGTAGGGCGGCTTTGGCAGCATCCTCCTTTTTCAAGCGATCCATCTCGGCCTTGCGTCGACCGGCCTCTTCTTCCTCCGCGGTTTTTCGCTCTCTTTCTGCGCGGCTATTCGCATCGTCTCTCGAGATAGGTGATGGGATGTTTGTAGCGTCCCAGTTCCACTTTGACTCGCCTAGCTCGTGGCGCGCAACGCGAAACGCATCGCGGGTTGCCCGGTCCCCCGCAAGCTCGAACGGGGTTCTTCCTTCACCATTAGCCGTTGTCGGATCGGCCTCGGCCTTGGTAAGAAGCGCCGACACCATGGAAGGAGAGTTGATATTGGCGGCGAAATGGAGGGGGGTGGGACAGCGAAAGTTTTGTTGCGAATCGGTGGGTCGGAAAGTGAACGACGCGGGAATCGAATTCTTGGACAGATAGGACATCAACGCGGGAATCTTGGAGCGACGAATAAGAGCCTGTATTTGGGTCGTGTGAAGCAAAGCAGCTTCATCTTCTTTAGAGATCTTGGGTTTCTGCGGTTGTGGTTGCGGCCGTGGAGTGGATGGCTTCGACGCCTCTTCCCGCTGTTTGGCCTCTGCAGCGGCCAGGGCAGCCTCGTCGATTTGGCTAATCTTCACACGTGTGAGCTCCTTGAAGCACCGCATCAGCTCACCCTGGGTGGCCCGACGGGTGCTGAATGGGAATCCCCTCAAACGCGAGTCATTCTGCTTCAGAGCCTGACCCTCATGCTGGCTGAACAGAATTTTGCGGTTCGTACTGCCTGTCGCGCGGACGAACAGTAGCTCGGCATCATCGATCATCTGCTTCCAGTCGACTAGCAGCTCTCTGACCTCCTTCTCTAACATGGCTTCATTGTATCGTCTCAGGCTAGAACCCGCCGAGTGCGCCGCTCCCTTGGCCGAATCATTGGCCGACTGCGAGCCACCCTGCTTCCGTCTGGTTGTATAGCGATGGAACGACTTGTGTGCAATCACCCGAGCCTGTCTGTCTTCGACACCGCCTTGCCTGCGATGGATTTCGGGGGCTAGCGAAACGAGCATTGCTGCGAAATGCCCGCCGCCAATCATACACATAAAGACATGTGGACTGGAAGGAGGTGGGATTTGTTGACCATTTCCAGGTTTTTGAGGGACGATCGGAGCAAGTTGCTTCTTCCGTATCGAGTCGACGAGGTGTCGGGGTTCATCTTGTTCGATGGCGGAAAACAACGCCCGGTAAATACCAAGCGACGTGTTGGAAGGTAGGAGTGAGCTGGAAAGCCAGAAGAGTGGAGGCTTTCCGGATCCCTTCATCCGGGAGGGGGTGTCTTCATCATCTTCAGCCGCTTGTGTAATCTTGGCCTGCTTTTTCAGCAAGGCCGAAAGCTGTACATCTTGTTCCTCATCATCGCCTTCTGACGACTCCGACCCGGATATCGAAGCGTCCAGGTCCCCAATGGCCTTCGCAAACTGTGTCTCGTCCAGAGTCGGCCCGCCTCTAAGCTGCACCTTCAGGTTGTATCTGTGTTGATCCGAACGAACATGACCCCGCTGCTCCTGCACGTTCAGGAACAACACTCTGCACAGGGCGCACCCGGTCGCTGTAGCAATCGCATGATCCAACACTGCACCCTCGGCATCCTCCGGTATAGGATCCGAGTTGTCTACCACGGATATAGGTTGGTCTCCGGACTTCGTGGACAGAGTCGAGAGGAGTTGCTGCGGAAGATCATACACTTGGATGGCTCAGTGTCAGCAAACAATCTGCAACTCTGACAGTTAAAACAGGGCTTAAGGTAGAAGGGCCGCCAGCAGCACTAGCTTACCATATAGAGGCCTCTTGATGAGTTCCTCAGCCGGGGTTTCTGCGACCATCGTGGCGTTTGGGAAAGGTGGGGGGAATGTTGGGGAGGGGACTGAGATTGCCAGCGGCGCCCAAGATGCTAGCAGAACAGAACCATGACGCTGCCGGCCCCTCCAGCCCACCGCCTTCCGCCTTGGATGTGGGGCTGAATTCCGCGGTCCGCCAACATGTCAGGGCAATAATCGCTTGCAGAAAGCATAACTGGCTAGAATTATGGAAGAGATTGTCAATTGATGGATCATGGAAGGCCGTCAGCTATAATACTCTCTCAACTCCCACCAACACTCTGTCAAACTAATTACTCCGCACAGCTAGGAATGATAGGTGCAAGAAAGGCGGTCTACCGGTAAATTCCCCGTAGGTATCTTCATCGATGCCTTAGGGGGGGGGGGGGGGGTTTTCCGTGCGGTGAAAGATCTTTCTTCCGTTTGTAAGCACAGAAGAGGGTTTAAAACACCCTTGATATTCTAGCTGTTCCTCGGAAGCATCACATGCTTCGCTAGCCTTGAGCATCTGCTTCTGCTTCGATCATGACTAGCATCTCTAGCATCGCCGGAAGTGGAGCAGGCAATGCCGATTGCCGCCCTGTTAGGCTGCTGGGTGCTGCTCGTTGCCCAACCAGGAGAGGCTCGAGTTTCTGGAAGTTTAGTCCGAGGCAGCGCTATGTCCGGGCGGGGAAGCCCGTTCTCCGAGTCCGAATCCGCCGCGGCATCCAATCGGGGTGGGCAAATTCAGGCTAGTAAGCACGACATCCGGCTGAATTCTCCCCCAATTGCCTCCGAAGCTCTGGATCCTGGATTTCCGGGCTCACGAGGGGGAACAGCAAGGGTGAGGACCAGGATGCTGAAGTTTTCGGGCTGGCATTCTTGTGCTGGGATACACGCACGTTGGGGACATTGAAACCACCGCGATCGGCTTGATAAGGGATCGGCAGCCAATCAGTAATTACATCATCAGAGCTGCTCCGCGTGCGTGCGACCGAGCTGGCCTGGCTGGCGCAGTACCACCTATCACACAGTCTGGGGTACGTCGCAGACTGTTTCCGGGCTGTACGCCATCCAGGAGGCGTGCGAAACGGCTCGGGTGGACTGTAGACAAGTGAAGACTTCTGTAGGACACTGGACGGGGAGGCAGTGAGACACTGCCAAGCACGGCTTTCCACCACGAGGGCCTGGAATTATGTCATAAGCTTCGGAGAACAGCATTGCGTCGGCTCGGCCGCCTTCCACCGACACCGGATAGGAAGAGAGGCTGTGATGCAGCTCAATCTGACCGACATTCTGGACAGTGGACAGTGGACAGTGGACAGTGGACAGTAAACAGGGGACAGGTCTCCCCCCCCCCCCTGAATCGCAATTAATAAAAGAGGAGTCTGCTTATCAGCGTCGGGGACCGGACTAGGCGAAGGAAGGAATAACTACTCTAAGGGACGCCCGCGCGGAGGCCCGCCGCCCGTTAGTCAGCCGCGTGCAGCTCACTAGCAAATCAATAGTTCTCTTCCCCGTCGTTATCGCCCTCCTCCCAAACGTTCTTCTTCCTCGTCTTCTCTCCTTGCGTCCAAGGCATCCTCGGGGCCTTTTCTGTCTTCCCCTTCCCCCCAGTTCCGTGTCCGAAAGGACGAGCGATCCAAAGAGTTGGGAATCTTCGGATACCTTGATTCGGGGAAAATGCTGGACGACGGTGCCCAGACGGTCCTTGGGGGCTCCAACCCCGGATCCCTGCTATCGTCGAACCCGATCTCAGCATTCCACTCCCCCAATTTGCAGCCCTTCTGCGGCGACGTCGAGGGCTGGGGCCCCATCAGCAAAATCAGATTCGACCTGACCCCCTGTTTTCTCGATGCTGGAGTCGCTGTCGTTGCCGCCTGGGGTCTCCTCATGGGAGCCGGCGCCCTCTGGTACCTGCTTAAAAAGCGAATCCCCCAGCCGGTGTCCAAGAACTGGCACTTCTACACGAAATTGGTAAGCTTGTTCGGTCGCTTGCTCTCCCTCTCTCCCTGCTCAAGCTCGGAACTGACGATCGTTGCTTTCGCTTCGGTGATTAGGTTGTCCTCGCCGCCTTGATCTTCACCACTGCTCTGCAGGCGGCGATCCAGGCCGAAACATCCCCCCATATCTTCTTTGGTGATTTCCGGTTCTGGAGCTCGGTCCTGGTGCTCGCTTCTCTCTGCGTGATATCCGCGGTGCAGTACTATGAACACTGGCGCAGCAGGCAGCCCAATGGGGTCGTTCTCTTCTACTGGGTCTTCTTCGCCATTGCCTACGGTGTCAAACTCCGGTCGCTCGTGGCGCAGCACGCATGGGAGGACCAGCTCCCATACTTTGTCTGCTTCAACGTGAGCCTGGGGCTGGCGCTGTTGGAGTTTGTGCTGGAGTACTTCGTTCCCAAGAAGCAGAGCGACTATGATGCGTTGGGCGACGAGGATGAATGCCCCTATGAATACGCGGATATCTTCTCGGTCCTGACGTTCAGCTGGATGACCCCGATGATGAAATTTGGCTACAGCAACTACTTGACCCAAGATGACCTGTGGAACCTGCGCCATCGCGATTCGACTGCCGTCACCGGCAATACGTTGAGGGGCCATTGGGAGAAGGAGTTGCAGAAGAAGAAACCTTCGCTGTCGTGGGCGCTTATCAAGTCATTTGGTGGTTCCTTCTTGCGAGGCGGTATCATCAAGTGCGGGAGCGACAGTCTGGCCTTCGTGCAGCCGCAGCTCTTGCGTCTTCTGATTACCTTCATCAATTCGCAGGCCAGTGACGAGCCTCAGCCGATCATCAGGGGTGTGGCCATTGCTCTGGGCATGTTCCTGGTGTCCATCTCGCAGACCATGTGTCTCCATCAGTACTTCCAGAGAGCCTTCGATACCGGCATGCGCGTCAAGTCTGCGTTGACGGGCATGATCTACGCCAAGTCCCTCAAGCTCTCGAGTGAGGGTCGCGCCGCCAAAACGACTGGCGATATTGTCAACCACATGGCCGTTGATCAGCAGCGCTTGTCCGATCTGACCCAGTTCGGTATCCAGCTCTGGTCCGCGCCGTTCCAGATCACCCTCTGCATGCTGTCGCTCTACCAGCTCGTCGGATACAGCATGTTCGCGGGTATCGGTGTCATGATTCTCATGATTCCCCTGAACGGCGTGATTGCCCGCATGATGAAGAAGCTCCAACTGATTCAGATGAAGAACAAGGATTCGAGATCGAGACTGATGACGGAGATTCTCAACAACATCAAGAGCATCAAGCTTTACGCATGGAACACCGCTTTCATGAACAAGCTCAGCCACATTCGTAACGACCTGGAGTTGAATACCCTCCGCAAGATTGGCGCGACACAGTCGGTTGCCAACTTCACCTGGCAGTCCACCCCGTTCCTGGTCTCGTGCTCCACATTTACCGTGTACGCCCTGACGCAGGACAAGCCGTTGACCACCGACATCGTGTTCCCAGCCCTGACCCTCTTCAACCTTCTAACCTTCCCACTTTCCATCCTCCCCATGGTCATCACAGCTGTGATCGAGGCTTCGGTTGCTGTCAGGCGTCTGACGGAATACTTCACTGCCGAGGAGTTACAGACCGATGCCGTCAAGTTTGAGGAAACCGTGGCCCATGTTGGCGATGAGTCTGTTTGCATTCGGGATGCTTCGTTCACCTGGAATCGGTACAACGGAACGCACGTCATTGAGGATATCAACTTCAGTGCCCGCAAGGGGGAGCTCAGCTGTATCTTGGGTAGAGTCGGAGCTGGAAAGTCTTCCTTGCTCCAGGCCTTGCTGGGTGATCTCTGGAGAACTCAGGGTGACGTGGTCGTTCGAGGCCGCATTGCCTATGTTGCTCAAGCCCCCTGGGTTATGAACGCGAGTGTCCGTGAGAACATTGTCTTTGGCCACCGGTGGGATCCCCAGTTCTACGACCTCACGGTGGAAGCGTGCGCCTTGATTGATGACTTCAAGAACCTCCCCGATGGTGATCAAACCGAGGTTGGTGAAAGAGGTATCTCCCTGTCTGGAGGACAAAAGGCTCGCTTGACCCTCGCCAGAGCTGTTTACGCCCGTGCCGATATTTACCTGCTCGATGATGTTCTCTCCGCCGTTGATCAGCATGTGGGACGGCACCTTATCAACCGAGTCCTTGGACCGAATGGTATTCTCGGTAGCAAGACCAGAATTCTTGCGACGAACGCCATTCCTGTCCTGAAGGAGGCGGATTTCATCGGTCTTCTGCGCAACAAGACTATCATCGAGAAGGGAACCTACGAACAGTTGCTGGCCATGAAGGGCGAGGTTGCCAATCTCATTCGGACCAACCTGAACGACTCAGATGACGACGACTCTGGCAGTGAAAGCCGCGATTTGGCCAGTCCCGAGAGCTCGGAATCTGCCACGGTGATCGACAACGCTTCTGACGCCTCAGACCCGGAAGATGCGGAGAATGAAATCGGCGCGCTTGCTCCGATCAGGGCCTCTGGAGAGAGAAGAAAGAGCACGGTTACTCTACGACGTGCCAGCACTGCCACTTGGAAGGGCCCCAGGCGCAAGCTAGGGGACGAGGAGAATGTGCTGAAAAGCAAGCAAACACAGGAGACGTCCGAGCAAGGAAAAGTCAAATGGAGCGTGTACGGCGAGTACGCTAAGAACAGCAACATCATCGCTGTTTGCTTCTACCTTGCTGCCCTCCTGGGAGCTCAGACCGCGCAGGTCGCTGGTAGTTTCTGGCTTAAGCATTGGTCTGAGGTCAGTGAGAAGCAGCCCAATCTTGGTGTTGGTAAATACATCGGTGTCTACTTGGCTTTTGGCCTGGGGTCGTCGCTGTTGGTTATTGTCCAGAACCTTATCCTCTGGATTTTCTGCTCTATCGAGGTAAGATTGATGATATGTGCATTCTCAAGGACCATATTAACAGTACCAGGCCTCCCGCAAACTCCATGAACGCATGGCCTTTGCAATTTTCCGCTCTCCTATGAGTTTCTTCGAGACTACACCGTCTGGTCGGATTCTTAACCGGTTCTCAAGGTACTGCTACCACCGAAACTTGCTGGTTACCAAAAGCTTACATTCTTTAGTGATATCTACCGTATTGATGAAGTGCTTGCACGGACGTTCAACATGGTGAGCTTGGAACCCCGATCCATAGAATAATGTTTCTGACGTCTGTGATAGCTGTTCGGCAACTCGGCCAAGGCCATGTTCACGATGATTGTTATCGCCTCCTCGACTCCGGCTTTCCTGATTCTGGTGATTCCACTGAGCTATGTCTACTTCAGCTACCAGAAGTACTATCTCCGCACCTCGCGTGAGCTGAAGCGCCTGGACAGTGTTACCCGGAGTCCCATCTTCGCGCACTTCCAAGAGTCTCTGGGCGGTATCTCTACTATTCGCGCGTACAAGCAAGAGGATCGGTTTACTATGGAGAACGAGTGGCGCATGGATGCGAACATCCGTGCCTACTTCCCGTCCATCAGTGCCAACCGGTGGCTCGCAGTGCGCCTCGAGTTCATTGGCTCCATCATCATCCTGGCCTCGGCCGTACTTTCTATCGCGTCCGTAGCGACCGGCAGCGGACTGTCTGCTGGCATGGTCGGTCTGGCCATGTCGTACGCTCTTCAGATCACCCAATCTCTGAACTGGATCGTGAGACAGACGGTCGAGGTTGAGACCAACATTGTGTCCGTGGAGCGGGTGCTAGAGTACGCAAACCTGCCCAGCGAGGCGCCGGAGGTGATTTTCAAGCAACGGCCTGCGATTGGCTGGCCGGCGCAAGGCGCGGTATCTTTCGAGAACTACAGCACACGGTACCGCGCTGGCCTTGATCTGGTGCTCAAGGATATCAATCTTGATATTAAGCCCCACGAGAAGATTGGCGTGGTTGGGCGGACAGGTGCAGGCAAGAGCTCGCTGACTCTAGCGCTCTTCCGCATTATCGAACCGGATGGCGGCAATATCAGGTAAGGGCTGCTGCCCAAGGCGTCTTACCTACTGCTGACGTCGGATGTAGCATCGACGGGTTGAACGTTTCGAAGATTGGCCTGTTTGATCTGCGGGGCCGGCTGGCCATCATTCCTCAGGATCCGGCGATGTTCGAGGGTACCGTCCGGGATAATCTGGACCCCCGGCATGTGCACGACGACACCGAACTCTGGAGCGTCCTTGGTACGTTGGGCTACATTGCATACGAAGTGTGAGTGCGAAGGCTGACCTGTTATGCTGCAGAACACGCGCGACTTAAAGAGCACATCTCGCAAATGGACGGACAGTTGGATGCCCAAATTATGGAAGGAGGTAAGCATGCGGCTGGCAGGAGCCAATGGCGCGTGCATTTGATGCGCGTTTTCCTACATCATCGAGAGTCGGGAGTTAACCTAGAGTGGCAGGATCCAATCTCAGCCAAGGGCAGCGCCAGCTGGTTTCTCTTGCGCGAGCGCTGTTGACGCCTAGTAATATCTTGGTGCTTGACGAGGCAACGGTACGTGGCCAATCAGACTGCAGTTCATGCATTTTTTTTTCTCATCTCTATCCCCTTTGATTTCCCCCCCAAACTTACAGTTGGCAATTTAGGCGGCGGTGGATGTGGAAACGGACGCATTGCTGCAACGCACGTTGCGCAGCAGCATCTTCCAAGACCGGACGATCATCACCATCGCGCACCGCATTAACACGATCATCGACTCGGATCGCATCGTGGTGCTGGACAAGGGCCGGGTGGCCGAGTTCGACACGCCCGCGGAGCTGATCAAGAGCCAGGGCAAATTCTATGAGCTGGTCAAGGAGTCCGGACTCCTGGACAGCAGCGACGGGCCTGGACTGACGCAAGCGTCCTAGCGCCGCTTATGACGAACATGGCGCTTCGTGGGTGGATGGGGGTTGTGGTTTCAGGCCGATCTCTCTCTCTCGCATCCGCCGTGAGTCATTAGACTCGGGTGGAAATGCGCACCCCGACTAAGCATAGTCTGTACATAGACAGAGCTATTGTTTGTGAGCTGAGCTGCATGGGGGTCCATGGCCAGTCTGTGCGCAATACAATTGGGAGCGAAAAAAGGGGCGGGGAGGAGGGGGGATGTATGCCGAAGGCGAAGGGGAAAAGAAAAGGGGTTGCTGTCATGTCATTGTTGTCATGTCATGAACGTCAGGGGATCGATTCAACCAAAATCATCCGAGGATGGAAAAATGTGTGATTTAGAAAAATAACCCCCGGAATACTCGGAGTTGTATGGATGGATGGATGGATGATGAGGTTTTCCTTCCCCTTCCCCCTTCCCCTCTCTGCCTGCGCTGCGCGATAAAAAAAAAGTCTGATCAAACTGGGATGAATATATATTGGTGTTCTTATTTTTAATTTTATTTTATTTTTCTTTCTTTTTCATTTTGTTTCATTTTACTAGTTGCGTTTGTATATCAATCATACCTACTTACCTCGGTGCCTACCTACCTACCTACATCATACTCTGTCATACTGTCATATTTATCACGCGCGCATATACATAATCAAGACTGACTGACTGACTGACTGACTGACCGGCTAATTGAATACTGAATCCTGATTACCCCGTACTGATTGATATTCGTGTTTCATCTCCCCCTCCATCCCAGATGTTAGACGTACTGATTATCCATCCCATGATCCTGATTACCATTACCATTGTCATCGCCACTACAACCCGCCCCCTCATCTGCACCGCAGACCGAAGAAAAAAAAAAAAAAAAGCAAAACAAGTGCGTGAGCGAACGACCAACCCCCCCTCCCCCCCCCCAAAGGCGAAAAGCCAGCCAGCCCAGCCCAGCCCAGCCCAGGGCAAGGCAAGGCATGGAATGGAATGGCAAGGCATGGCATGGCATGGCATGGCATGGCCAGACAAGAGGACCGTCAACAGTAGCGGTGTAGAAACTGCAACCAGGGATCTCATTAAAAATAATAATGTGGTTGGCGTTGGGGGATGGTGGTTGGTTGGTGAGTTGGTTGGTTAGTTTTTTTTTTCCTGCAGGCTGGCTGCAATGCGGGTTACATGGGTTGGTGCATGACGGTGACACTGATGCTGGTGCGGCATTACTTGCCTTGTCTTTCTGGATGTCTGTTTGCTTTCGAGTTCTGAGATGGAGTTTTTGCCTGTCGATATTATTATTATTTATTATTATTTTTTTTTTATTATTTTGATCAGATGGGTGATGGATGATGATACTAGTTGATAATGAAATGAAATGCCAGATGTTGTGGTTTCTGGGGTTGGTTGGTTAGTTGATTAGTTGTATATATTAATTAGCTCGCTGCATGCTACCAGGTATCTAGGTACTAGTCAGTACTTATCTTGTAACGATACAATGATATCTAATGTGGCAAGGAAAGTAGAGAATAGATGATAATATTGTTGTTTGGTTATTTGGTCCTGGTTGGGCGTTGGTGGTTAATTTACTGGGGAATTTTAGCTGTAAGATGTTGAGGGTTATATAGTCAGTCGGTCAGTATATATCATATACATAGGTATGTGGTAGTACTTATGTATGGGTGTAAGTATGTATAGTAAGTATGGCAAAGGGACTTTTAGCAAGGATAAAGTACGCCGTTCTGATGAAGGGTACTTTGTTCTGAACTGGACTTGGGATTTGGACTGCACTTTAGACACGAAGAGTTGTGGTTGAAAGAGATAAAGACAGGGACAGTGGTGGTGGTGATGGTGATGGTGAATATATATCCTTCCCAGAAAGCGGAATGTCAGAGTTCAGAGCTCAGAGTTCTACCTAGTACAAAGAGATAGAGAGAGAGAGAGAGAGAGAGAGAGAGAATAATGCGCGCATTAGTTGTCACTGCTTCTACCTACCTACCTACCTACCTCCCTACACTCTATCCCTCTACATCTACATAGTTCAGAGATACGGTGTGTCTGTATCTACGTGTGTCTGTGTCTGTCTGGTGGGAATGAGAGTAATTGAGTTTTGGGAGATAAAGTCGGTGGGAGAAGAAAGTCAGTTTGTTGATGGTGTGTGTGGGTGGGCTCGTGGTGATTGAGTATACGGGTGGATATTATACATTGGAACGTGCAGATAACTTGGACGGTATGTTAAGTAGTTATAGTATATTCAGTATATCTTAAGTGTATTGACAGGAAGGGGGGATCTAGATGGATAAGTGTGGGTAGGAGAACGACCTAGTTATGTCCCTAAGTATATCCATCCCCTCGTGTGTAAACGTAAACAGCATGGTATACCTTACTTCAGGTACATACTTACTCTCAAGAACCATACAGGCGAGTCAGTTCATTGTTTAATTAAGTCAGTCAATTACAACAGAAGAATACTATACAAACCCAGCTAGCTAACTAACTAACTAGATACCGTTCAATCCAACCCCTACCCACCCAAGCAAGTCATCATCATCATTATTACCACCAGCAGACTCCACCCAAACGTCAGACAGAAACAGGCCCGCACGGTAGCATCATGCACAACAGCATGCCTCATCCGGGCCATCCGCTCAAACGGTGAGAACGAGAAAAAGATCATCCGACAATGATAACGTCGCAGCCCAGCCCGGACATGAGGGGTTGTTGTTGTCGTCGTCGTCGAACTGGCGGTGAGAAGATCCCTGGACAGGGTACCCCGATCCCCAGACATTTTGTTAGTCGGGCGAGGTAGATATACTTAGGTACCTCGGAGTATCGGCAATCAAGCACGAGGCGATGCGATGGAGGAGGGGGAGAAGGGAGGGGCTCGAGGTCGGTCGGGCTGGTGGTTCATTGGAAATGAAAGATTTTTCTTTTTTTCTTTTTTTTTTTCTTTTAGCCTGAATGAATGGCTGCCAGTGGATGTGGATGGCGTGTCGGAGTTGCGAAAGTGTTCTGGATTGTGGTGGGCGCTTAGGTTAGCTTAGGGAGGGATATGGATGGAGGGGGAAGGAGGAGGTGGAGGTTCAGTCAGTCAGGTCCGGAATACAAGATTACACCTTACTGACTGACTGACTGACTGTCTGACTGACTGACTGAATTACCCCGCGGCTGGCCGGATTTAAACTGGCTCCAAACGACTCATCTCCGGGACCGGGAATCGTTACGGAAGATAGCCGAGTTGAAGTATAGTAAGTAAGTCAGTAATCGAGATAGATAGGAATAAGTAGTAGTTAAAAGGTGGTCTGTGTCTGTCAGCCGACCAGACAGGAGGAATAGAATAGAGTTGGTCTCCTTGCATCACGCGGCGTCACCATCGTCGCCGCACTCAACAATGGCGTCGTCCGGCCGAGTCTCGGCGGCTTCACTGACTGTGTAGTGTAGATCCAGCTACGATATACTATACCTATATTATCTACCTAGATACTTACCCACCAGCATACCCCCCCTAGATAGACCCCCGAAAGCCTATCTCATCGAAACCTTACCTTTCCGGCCGCAAACCCAAACCCAAACCCAAACCCCGATCTTCGATCCCAGACAAACACATCATCCTGAAGGCGAGAGTGGATAACGAACGGCACGGCATTTGCCCCCGGGATCTCATCCGCATCCATCCTCACCTTCATCGTCCTCGCCAGCGTCATCGCCATCGCCAAAAGCTTCCGTATCCAACCAAACCGCGAAGGTTCAAGGCCCCAGGTTCAAAGTTCAAGGTTCACACCCACACCCACCACCTCATCCGATCTCAGATGCGATAGATACAGTAGTCGATGTTGTGCATGGATCCAGGGCTGTGCGGACCTGGTCTTCGGGTCGGGGTCGGATTCGCGATGATCCACTGGGACGACCCGTTTTGAGCGGCGTGCAGAAAGAAAGGGCGCTGGTTGGGTTCGAATGACTTCAAGGTCACGGCCCTTCGCTTTGTCCCTGTCCCTGTCCCAGTCCCAGTCCCCAAGAATTGGGTGTCCGCTTCCTTGATTTTGGGGAGGGGGGGAGTTTGAGGCTGGTTCCGCCGTTCCGGGGTTTGAGGGTGGCGACTGCGACTGGCGGGGTGAGAGGTCGTATTTTGATGAGATGAGTGGTGAGTGGGTTTGGGAATGGATGGATTCTTGAGTTGGAAAGAGGGGGGGTTGGGGATGGATGGATGGGGCTGTCTATACCGGACCCGGTATGAGCTAGAGAGATGGAATCTGGAATCTGGAACTTGGAACTCGGTAGGATAGATAGATGGATGGATGGATGGATGGATTTAAGTTATGATAGTGGTTAGTATTATTATTATATTAGGAGTGATAATATGGGTGTTCCGTAATCCTGGATATTCCAGGTGATGGCAGTGGTGGTGGTGTTGTTGTTCGTTGTTGTTGTTGTTGCTGGGATGTAAATATAGAATAGGTGGCAGATTGAAAGGCCGGAGAGGCTTGCTCCGTCCGGCAGACAAACACCGACAGAAACGCTCCTCCCTCCTTCCCCGAACCCTCAACCATGGTTGAAGGAATCGCCAAGGGCGAGTCTGCAGGGACTGGCCAGTATGGAGCGGCCGTGACAAAGTCATTGTCAGGGATATCCCTACCAGCGCGCCTCCACCGGACAGCTGGCCAAGCGCCATTTGTCGGCTGTCCAGCCGCGCCGGCGGTGGCCGCTGCCCTTAGGGCTTGAACTCGCTTCGTCGCTTAGGGCTACACAGAGAGTGAATGCAGAATACTAGGTACTAAGCAAGAAGTCAGAGACAGAAAATAAAGCTACAAGACAAAGTACGGGCAACGCGATGATCGCTATAAGACTCAGCCCGTCAATGCGCCTGTCAGATTGTCAGGGTCAGTGTCAGTGTCAGTGTCAGTGTCAGCCTGTCAAATGTCAATCGCAATGACACTGCCGCCCTCAATAATAATGCTCGGGATTACCCCTCCAAAGCAAGGCTGGAGACCAACCTTGCAACCTCCCCACTCTGAGCTGAACCTCAATTAAACCCGTCCCACAGTGCAATATCACTGCAGATCCCCCGACTCCCCCGACCGGCCGCCCATTACCCAGTTGAGCAACACCTCCGCGCCAACACCATTAGCTCACCACCATACTCCGTAACATGAACCACTATGACCATGTAGATACCTAACTCCAGAGACCGGGATCGCAAATTCAAATCCAGTGGCTTGGACAGGGCCTCACCGACCAGAAGAATGGAAGTGTCCAGAACATGCCGCCCCAGAACCGGCAAGAATAGTTAGTAGTAGTACTTACTTAGTAGTCACAATGCTTTGACAGCCTGTCAACCTGCTTCTTGCCAGGGTCCCCAGTGTAATTCTCCTGCACAGGACTTTCTGTCCCAGGAAATGCGGTGGATCAACCAGCCTGAACCACCCACCCATCCCCCCCCCCGTCGTCGTCTCAGGCCCTGGAACCTGAACCTGCCTGAATCTGAACCTGATCTGCCTGGCCTGTCTGATCATCAATAATGGCCATGTTAAGTCTGTCAGAGAAGAAACTTGAAACGGTCCCCGGTTGGAGCCTGAGGAAGGGAGGGACTTCGGGTACGGGTACGGGTACGGGTACGCGGGAGCGAGCCGTCCATCTTCAGGGAGTGTCTGTCATGCTATGCCATGCAGTTCTATTATGTACACACACACACACACTACACTGGGTGGCTTGCAGTCAGTTGGTTGGTGGGAATATTTGTTTGTTTGCCATCGTGCCTGCCTGCTGTGTTTGTGTGCAAATGTGCAAACGTGCAAGAAACACTACCAGTAGTTCCTGTAAGGAAGCAAACCGACCGACACCGACAGCAACCACACGACATCATCTGTCTATCCCTCATTCCAAGGTTCTAAGCGTACTCTTACCACAACACAACCACCTGTCTTATCCAACCCCAAAGGATCAAGGATCCAACTTCTTGCTTACAGTAGTAGTAGGAGTAGTAGTAGTAGTAGTACTATTTCCTTTTCCTCCCTGCCCTCTTCCCTGCTATCGCGCAGACAAGCGGGGACAACTCACTTCGCTGCGGATACAATCTCCGCAGACAACCGACCGAGACTCCCAGTCTCCCACTGACTAGAATAGATAGATAGTCAATATTCAGTAAAATAGTCGACCGGCCAGGTGTCAATACTCAACTAAGGTAGTTAGGTAGGTAGGTAGGTAGGTAGCTTACGGTACGAGTATCTAGGTAGTCATCTTCGGCCGTCGGCGATAGCTAGGCAATAATCCCCCTACCCAGGTCTAGGTAGAGCACTACTAGGGCCCTAGGCAGATAGGATAAACCGCGATGGATCCAGTGGTGATCCGTAGTTAGCTAGATAGTAGATAGTCCGTACCTTACCTCGCGTACTTAGCTCCGAACAAGAGCGAGCCAACGAGCAGCAGCACCCGAAGATAGTACGTTGCTGCGAGTGCGCGCACTAGAACATAATCCCTGCGCAGATTGGTGGGCGCCCTGCCCTGGTTAGTGGTTAGTGTTGTCGCGGATTTACAGAGATCGGGCGTGCCCGAGTCCGGGCCGGCGATGGATGGATGGATGGATGGGGAGAGGCTTTTTTGCAAGAGGGGATTGGTTGGGGGTGTGCTTACGTACTTACATACATATAGTACATAGTTACGTGCTTGCCTAGGAGTTTGGGGACTGGGATGTATCGTTTTATCGTCTATTTTTCTGCTTTGCTGGAGGAGTACCTAGGACATGGTGGTTACGTGGGGCTTGGCTCCGTGTGGGGGGTTTGTTTGGATATGGATATGGATATGGATATGGATATGGAATACTTATAGTACTTACCTTCGGGAGTTGGGTGGTGGGAGTGCCGTGTTGCAGCTACCACTACAACAATGCATAATTACTTGAAAGCACGGTACTTATGTAACCATGATGATAATGATGAAGATGACAATAATAGCCATTCATTCCAGAGTCCAGACCAAGTCGGCTCCTTCCGTCGGATATCCCTGCTGGATTTGATTGTCAGGACATGGCCGGGGGCGGTTATTATTGTGGGGGATTGACGTTGAACAACTTAAGCCCTGGCGGGATTGCAATGCGCCGCTTACGACAGACAGACCGAGACCAAGGACCAGGACCATGAATAATAGTTATTGTATGGTGTGGCACCGGACGCGCGCGAGTGAATAACGTCCATTTCTGGCGGCTTACAGCTTACAGTTTGAAACGCAACCGCAATCGCAACCCCGGTAGTAGGTAAAGTAAAAAAAAAAAAAAATCAAACACAACAACAGTAGATACCTAGATAGTAGATGGATAGATAATGATATCAACGATCCGCAACATCCACCATGCATCCAGTTACCTGGGTCATCCCTACACAGGCCCAGGCAGCGGACCCGAACGATTGGCCCTGAAGCGCCAGGAAAAGCCCTCCCCTCCCCATTCAGATAGTAGTATTTTTTTTCAGTTCTGGTTTGCAATTCCCCCACCAGTCATCGCATCCAGTGCAGCGGTGGGTAATTCCGTACGCAAGTGTTAGTACTTGCAGCCCTGAGTGCTGGCTGGCTGGGCTGCTGCATTCTCCACAACCCGGGACGCCATGTCGGCGTGGCAGCCACTCACCAGCTCGGGACAGGGATCCCCCGAGTAAGGTAGGTTCGAGGCTAATGAGCGCCATGCAGCTGGGGAGGAGGGGGGCAGTGGGCACTCCGTCCACGCGAGTCATTGGGGCGGAGAGAATCTTCCCGGTTCATTTACATGATTGCTTGCGTTACTCTGCTTTGCGCTGCTCTGCACAGTGCACTGGTTGGAGGACTCCTGCCAATGATCGTCTGGTTACTAAGAGTACTTACTACTATCTAGTTAACTACTTTGTACCTTAGTACTAAGGGTACTCACTAGGTAGGGTCTTTCTGAAACACGAAGAACGACCCGAAGTGCCTAAAGTCAATTTTTGTTTCTATCCGTCCGGACACATGGTTTGGCGCGCGCCTCATGGAGCACTATTGCTATTTACGGTACTCCGTCCTGTGTCCGTGGGAATAATAGAGTAGTATTATACATACGGACAGAACAGGACCGCTGACAGACAGGAGGTGAATGGAGACCGACCGTCCGACCGACCGGCGACCGAAACCCGAGAACAGAAAACCGAAAACCGATGGATACAGATTACAGATTTCATTGCAGGCGGAGGGGAGGAGAAGAGGGAGGAGGGGAGGGGATCAGATCCGTCAACGGGAGTCTTTCTCCCTCGATCAACCCAATCGGGGAGTTTCTCCCAATCAGGACATGCAATCGGATCTGGGGTGTAACAGTAACAGTAGGGACAGTAAACAGTTAAAACAGTCATGAATCTGTGTGGCTGACGGAATTCCACATCCCACTTCTATTCTGAATAATCCTATCCTATCCGAACTGAATCCACTAACTACTCGGTAGTACTAAGTAAACAGAAAAAAAAAAAAAGACACATCCACAATCCATGACCTTCGATCGCAGAAACCCATGACTCCATATTGTTCTGTTGTTCTGTGGAGAACGACGAGGATCATGGATGAATGTTTCATGCTGCACCTGTTCCTTTCTGGGCATGCCCCCTCCTTCTCTTCCTCTCGCCCTCTCCCTCTCCTCTCCTCTCCCCCCTCCACCCCTCTGCACTTTTTTTTTTTTCTTTTTCCGTTTTTAATTTTAAATACTCTACCAACTAAAATATATGGAGCCGCAGATGACGATCCGATCCACGCGCACACTACGTATGTCATATCCGCATAGTTCGAGCGACTATCTCCCTCGGTTCCATGGTTCAGAAGGGTCTTCCGGCTTTTACCCGCGATGAGTTGTCCAAGCGCCGACTAGGCCGAGGTAGGCAGGTGATGCACTGGGGTAGGATACATCGAGTTCGACTTCCCTTCGCTTCGTGGACTTTGGCTTCGATTTCTTCCAGATCGAGTTCGAGATCGAGTTCGAGGTCGAGTTCGCTGTGAGGTAAGTACCTACGGAGTACTCCGTAGATAGATTGCTGGCTGGGTCGGGTCTTTGCTGTTTACAGTACTACCTACCTACCTACCTACCTACCTACCTACCCATCCACTTACTAACTAACCTAAATCCTAAATCTCTCACCTGTGTGGAATATGAGATACCTACGGAATACTTGTTTCTGCAGCATTTCCATCTAGTTTGGTTTCGTCTGGCTCCATTGGTTCACTTGGTTGGGCGATTCTTGCCTGCGGCGCAAATCCGGAGTACTGCTACCTGCCACCTGCTACCTGATACCTGCTACCTGATACCTGCTGCTACTGCTACTGCTACTGGTATATGAAACTCGCCTGCCTGCATGCAGGATCATGTTCCTGATAGATGGATGATGATGATGATGCCCTGCTGACGGAACGTACCCCACAGCCTCATATGATTTGATGTCCGGATTAAGGTGTTGCTACATGCCTAAGCAGGTATGGTATGGGGGTTAGCGGGCTAATTCCAGGGCAACGCCCTCTTTTGATACACTGCCTTGTAGGTAGTAGGTAGATCACTCAGTAGCCACTTCTATTACGGTAATACCTCGGTAGATGGTCACGGAGGTAGGTAGACCCAGTCGCACATCCCCCGGCCTTTGTGAGGGACAGCGTGTCGGGGAATAAATTAACTAATAATGCGTAATTTAGAATAGTTTGTTTGATACCAGTTACAGGATTGTAGACGGCACATGATGATATATGTATGTATATTTAATCTGGTTTGTTTTGTATACTGTGTCGGTGGTAGTGAACTACCATTATAGATATATATATATATACGTGTAGAAGTACATATAAGTATCAAGCAAACAACAACTACAAATCCCTCTCTTTCTTCACTCATCCCATGACATGACATGCAGTGCTTCTGCAGAGGCTCGGCCCGGCCGGTCGGGAGAAAGGTAGGGTCTGGAGTCGAGTCGACGATCTATGAGGCATCAATTGGAGGAGGAGGAGGAGGTAAGAGAGTGGGCGAGTGGGTGCCGACCGTGGCGATTGCATCATTACATTACTATTTCCTGAAGTATGTACGGAGTGCGATGCGAGAGGTTTCGTCAGCTGAGTATCCTGCTACTGATGCTGCTTGCTACATGCTTGGTCGCTTGCTTATTGGTTTACTTGTGTTTGTCTGTTGTCTGCTGTCTGCCTGTTTGTTTGTTTGTTTGTGTTCTGTGTAGCTAGTAGCTGTACGCCAATGGGGTGTGGCACCGCCGCCCTGAATACATACTACATCCTAAGTACTAGCAAAAGTATGGAAGGAGATTGGCTACGTAGGCAGAGAATGAAGTATGTATGTACAGTACAGTAGCACATTCAACGTCAACGTTGCGCAGCAAACGGACATACCTACCTACTGAAGAATGCGCTTAATCGAGGATTGGAAATCAGTAGCGAGACTACTCCCTACCTTGAACACACAGTAGAAAAAAAAAGTACACACCTACACACCACAGAATTAAATGTCAACGAATAGGCGCGAACGGATATCATTCTACCTCCCGTGCAACTTGACTAGTTCTGGAGTTCGGAGTAACTCGGTCATCCCATCCATTCCATGTGTCTAGTTCAACCCATGTATCACACTCACTCCCTCACTCGCTTAGTAGGTATCTACGTAGCATCCCGATATCCAACAGCCTCTGTGCGCCGCGAACGAATTCATTTGATAAAGTTGGGATTTGAAACATCTGATCCTGCTGCGTGGGTGGGTTGGTGGTGCTGGAGATGGACTACGTCAGATGTTTCTCCGGGGAATAGATCTGGTCTGGTCTGGCCAGGCCAGGCCAGTCTTTGACTTTGGCTTTGGCTATCGATGTACTCATTCGCCTAGGTATGGGTGAAGTGGTA